AGAAAAGAGATAAGCAATAGGTATAAGGCAACGCCTTTAGATAAAATTATAAGAGTGTCGATATACTAACGGTAACTAGAACAAATCTTTACGATACTATTATATAGCCTAGCACTCTTGCTATATCGAAACCTTATATACAATACGATATAATAGCGTAGGAAACGCTGCAATACTCTAACTCCGGCGCCGAGGTAAAGCTAAGAGTAGTAGTGCATTCTGAAAAGCTATCTATAGGTTGTTGCAGGGAAGTCGCTAAAAGACCACCGTAGTGGAACCTTGCTGGAATTTATCCCCCCACTTCGGCCGTCGACTTGAGGGACCGACATCATCACGAGACAAATCTGCCTGGCATTGGATGTTTTGCTGTCGATTTTCCCTCCGCTCTTTCACCTCCATCACCTCCGCCACCTCCATCACCACCATCAGGACAGTCACTCCGCTACGTCGACTCCCTCCACTCCGCCAGTTCCATCATCACCAACCTCGCCAACCCATGTCCGCACCCAAACGTCAAAAGATGTCCACCTCCACCTCCAATCCCATCATTGGGACACACAACGGACACTTCCACGCCGATGAAGCTCTCGCCGTCTATCTCCTCCGTCTTCTCCCCGAATATGCATCCGCCTCACTGATCCGCACCCGTGACCCCGAAACCCTCGCAACCTGCAACATCGTGGTGGATGTCGGCGGCGTCCACGACCATTCCGCTTTACGCTACGACCACCATCAGCGCGAATTCTCCGCCACCTTTCCTGGAAAGCGCACCAAGCTCTCCTCTGCGGGTCTTGTATGGATGCACTACGGCAAGCGTATTGTTTCCGTTGTCACGGGATTGGAGATTGAGTCTGCGGAGAATGAACTGCTCTACCAAAAGATCTACGAGGACTTTGTCGAGGCCTTTGACGCCAATGATAATGGAATCGCCGTCTTCGATCCCGCTGCTCTCCGTGCCGCCAAGATTGTCAAGGGATTAAATGACAAGGGTTTCAGCATTGCCAGCGTTGTTGGCCGCTACAACCATGGTATGTCGTCTACCAGAACGGGCTGGAATGCCTTTGCCTCACCACCTCTTCCACCTCCTCCACCTCATTCACCTCTCCTAACTCAAGCACCTGCCTTCTTCTCCGGCTATCCCCCAAAGCTCAGCAAGGAAAAGCGGCGTGGCATGTCGCGAAGGCAGTGGAAAGCGAAGTGTAGACCTGTTCCTCTACTTCCTCGGTCTTTTGGTAGTAATTCTTAGAGACCCTCACACACTGCTAACATTCCATTCATCTTTGTTACAATACAATCCATACTAACGTTATGCGTAATCAAGGCACTCCGGGCACCCTCAACGCCACCAAAACACCCGAGATCGAAGACACACGCTTCCTCCACGCCTCCTCTTTCGTCGGCGAACAATTCTCCCTCGAACTCACCGATCGCTTTCAATCCTGGCTTCCCGCCCGCGCCGTTGTCGCTCAAGCCTTCAACTCCCGCTCGGYTCTCGACCCGCAAGGCCGCATTCTCGTCGTTCCCTGGAAGGAAGAAGGTGTCCCATGGATGGACCACCTGTATGCTCTGGAGAAGGAGGCGGGTGTCGAGGGAAGTGTGCTTTACGCCCTCTTCGCAGAGTCTGGCGAACCAGATAGTAAGTGGAGAATCCGTGCTGTCAGTCTCGAGCCCGGTGGGTTTGAAAACCGCAAGGCTTTGCCGGAACAGTGGAGAGGAGTGAGGGATGATGAGTTGTCCAAGGTCAGCGGTGTTGACGGGTGTATCTTTGTGCATGCCGGAGGTTTCATTGGAGGAAACAAGACTTTTGAGGGCGCGTTGGAGATGGCGAAAAAGGCCGTGGCGATGTGATGTGTGATGCGGGAATGTGATGTGCGATGAGAAGGATGATGCTGCTGCTTTGAGTCAGTYGCTGAGAGCGCGAGGCCGACTGTTTCATCCCGGTTCTACTTTGAACAAAAGAAGATGGATATGATCGCATGGCCAGTAATGGACCATGCATGCTAGAAGGCGAAGAAATGCCGAATAGACGGAAGCCCCCAGGAGTAAGTAAGTGGGCAAAAGCACTCCCAACCCAGTAGTAACTAGGTGGGTAAAAAGAAGAGGGTCTCGAAATGTCCATTTTCCAGAAAGATGTCCATTCGAAACGACTCGCCACCATCACGCATGTCTCGCCCACGTTTTCTCTTTTTTCTTTGGTTCACGGCTACATGTTCTTCCGCATGAAAGAATATGATATCATGCACGTTGAGAGATGGAATGACATCCGGTACGGAGTCCGATCCATGACTCGACCCACGGTACGAACATCGACTCGACGCAACACGTAGGAGATATCCCGTCGGGATTGTCATGCAGCCCAACCGCTGTCCATCTCGCCACATGTCGACACAACGTTTCCAACGCACAATCCACCCTGACGTCTCGTTTGTCTCATCAACGCGGCAGACTTGGCCTTACCAATGAAAGGGAGAAAAAAAAAGACCCTCAACGGTCGGAGGAGAGATGCATATTGATGATGATGACGATTATTTGGTCTCTTCTGCCATGCAAACAGATAAAAACAGTCCATGAGACTCTCAGAAGAGAAAATATTAAAAATCCAAATCCAACACTCCAATCCACTTCATTCGCCACATTGTAATCATGAAGACTTCAGGCCTCTTTACCTATCTCGCAATTGGTACCGCAACAGTCACCTTTGCTGCTCCCGCTCCTACGCCGGGAGATATTCACCCTCGAACTCTCCTCCCAGGCCTCAACCTCGCACAGACAGAGTGTGCCAATGGCATCATTTCTCAAGCCAAGAAAGATGGAGTCGGGGCTCATGGATGCCAAGTAGCCATCACGGCTAGCATAGTCGAGGTTAGTTAGTCTCAGCAAGATCCTCAAGTCGTTGTTCTAACCAATACACATAACTAACACATACGTATCAAAAGTCCAACCTCCTCAAATCAGCCAACAAAGCAGTCCCCGAATCCCTCACATATCCCCACGATCAAGTAATGTCGCCGGCTACGGCACCTTCCTACAGTAGTGGTGGTGGTGGTGGGACGGGACCTTTTAAACAACAAGCTCCCGTCTACAAGGACGTGAAATGTAACATGGAACCTTCATGTTCTGCGGGACAATTTTTTGATGCGTTGAAGAAAATTGAGGGGTGGAAGGTTGCTGCTGTGGATATTTTGGCGATGAAAGTTCAGAAAGTTAGTGAGAAGGTGGAGTTTGAGAAGAAGGTGGGGGTTTCTGTGGGGATTTGTAAGGCTGGGGGGTTGTAGGGTTTGAGGTATGGGATGGGATTGGATTGACGGCATTGGGATGGATTGTATGGATATGGATTATGAGATGATGTTGAGTTGTGCTTTGTATGAATATGTGTGGGTGTTTTTTATAGAAGTTTAACGGTCGTTTTTACTCTTGGAGGGATTGCTTTGATCTTTGTTTGCCTTTGGACATTCTGGAAATGGGATGAATTTGGAGGGACTGCTTTTTTGATCAGCAAGGAGCTATTACCCACACACACCCCTCAACCTTCGGATGGTTCTTACTTTGATGTTCCTTCCACTGTGTAGTCACCACCTGAAAGCTCATTCGCGTAGACGAATATCCTACAATTTGGGGAACCCGGAACGGAGGTCCGGATCGCGTAGCTAGCCAGGCCATATCTTGAGGTGCTGTCAGTCAAGACCTTTTCAAAGATTCCAGCGAAGCAAGTAGTTAGCTCTTCTATCCATTGTAGATCTCCTAATAATCCCCCGCTCTCGCTGCAAGAAAAGGTTCAAGACTAGGCCGAGAAAGGGCAATACACATGGCATATACACTACCCACACTGCCAATTTCAAGGGTCAGAAACTCATTCACCCTACTTCACCATCACAAAGCAATCGAATCATCAGCAGAACAAGTCATAAACTTAACAATCCAGAAAACATGCCTCTCGCCACAGTCAAGTACGTCGACCCAACGCCCCATACCGACAACAAAGGAAACCAAACAAACCACTGGTCCAAAGTAGAAGGACCCTTCCAATCCTTCAATCTCCTCGACAGAACCCGCAACATTCAAGACATTTCCCAAACCAAATCCCACTTCGAAATCGACACCTGCGGTTTCGCAGTCCATCACTGGCCTATCCAGCAGGAAGTATTCGCCAACAACGAAGAGACAATAAAAGCCACATACTATCCTCAAGTAGAAGAACTCCTCCATGAGAAACTCCCAGGCAAAATCCATAAGATTGTGATTTTTGACCATACGTTTCGACAAATGGATAAGGATTCCCCTAGGAAACCTGTGATGCAAGTTCATGTGGATCAAACGGCTGAAGCAGCAAAAGCACGAGTTCAGAGACATCTCCCCCCGGATGAAGCGGAGATATTATTACAAAGTCGGTATTCTCTGATTAATGTCTGGCGACCGGTTGGGAATCCCGTGTGGGAATATCCGTTGGCTGTTCTGGATTGGAGAAGTCTTGCCCCTGAGGATTTCGTTTTATGTGGATCTTCTCTATCCGATTCGTAATCCTCACCGACCCTCCTCCACCTCCGACGACGACGACGACGACGACGACGATGACGATGATAATGATAATGACGACCGAAACCGCGAAACAATCCCACCCCCCCCYCCTCCCTAAAATCAACAACAAACTACAAAGTCCGCGGCGCAACTTATGGAATCGCACCTAATGATAACCATCAATTCTACTATGTGAAACACATGTCACCGGATGAAACAATACTTTTTAAATGTGCGGATTCCAAGGGTTTGGATTTGGCGACGAATAATAATAATGATCATGGGATGAATAGTAGTAGTGGGAGGATTGCGAGTTGCTGTCCGCATACTGCGTTTGTTGATCCTGAGACTCCGGAGGATGCGCCTTGTAGGAGGAGTATTGAGGTTAGATGTTTGGTGTTTTTTGATGAGTGAGTGAGTGGGGAGTGGTTGGTGTTTGTTGTTTTTGGGAAAAGGTGATTTTATGGGAGGGGGGGGGGGGTGGGGGGTGGGGGGATGTTTTTGAGATGGGTGGATTTTTTTTGGGTAGTTGGTGGTTGTATAGAGGAGGGTTTTATGTTGTCGTGAGGTGGAAGCACATGCATAAGGGTACTGGAGATGGGGAAGTTGAGCTCTTCTTACATGAAAGAAAGGATATATTACACCGAAGGTAGAGAACAACTTATCTACTGTAGCTAAATGCCAAGATCTCGCTGAGTTCTCCCCTCACTCGGCCCCTCTTTTTCAATCAGTATCAAAGCTGAGTGTAAGAACAAGATTRGCATTCAACGGTGGGTAGTGGTTACGTTGTTGTTATCGTACAGAAGGTGCTAGATAGAAGTCGAAGTAGATGCTGAAAAGGGGCAAATGAAAAGAAATCCTCGATATCGCTCTCCTAATCACTACACCAAACCAAAAAAAACAAACCAAACCAAGGAAGAGGTGGATGGAACACATCTGATAGTGAGAGGTTTGTGGCGGCGTTATAGGAGATCCAATATCATCTACCGAGGATTGACATAGATCTTGCTATAGATCCCATGTAGTCGCCTTTGCAGCTTAGCTTGCCCTGAACTTTTGTTGTAAGTAAGGTTGTGAATGTCGTAAATCTTTTCGTTTCCGTATTTATATCTTCGCTCTTTTCTAAGCGGTTTAAAATAATAGGTATCAAGACGGGTTACTAGTATAGCCACGATGAGAACAAGATAGAAGTCTCTACTGCTTAATCCTACTATCTGTAGCCATTAATGACTGTGTACACTGCAACTCTCATTGCGAGATGCACCGCCTTGGAGCTCAAACTGAGATCGAACGAGTCGTATGCGATTGCACGGTTAATGTCGTTTGTACAACGTTGCACCAAACCGCATCCAGAATTGTAGCTTCTCCCGAATAATTCTATGCAAACGTGGTTCACGACGCATCAAAGATCAAAACGATTAAGATTCCACCTACGTGTAAAAGGGGAGTGGCACCTTGGCAAGCAATCCCTACACACGGTCGTTGTCCACCAGCGTTGGTAATAGCCGCAGAGATATTGCGAGGTTGAAAAGAGGACCGCTTCCCGTACAAACAGCAAAGCATGTGCAACATTACACAAACGCCAAGATGCGATCAAACACAAACACAATGCTCCATCCAACGGCTCTTTCTTCTGAAATCATCCGCCATCGGGTTTCTTGTATTCCCCATCGACCGCATCAAATGTCCAACTCAGAAGTCATTGGTATGTCCAACTAATCCGACGAGGCTGACCAGCCGGTTGAAATACGCTGATCATTTCGTTGAAGGTCCTGGAAAATACTACATCATTAAGCCGACACCAGACAAGGGCAATGGCGCTTTTGCACTCCGAAATATTGCAGCTGGAACGAGAGTCTTGCTCGAGAACCCCCTTCTGGGAGATCGACAAACCAGGCAAAGATATCACAATCATCGACGTTCTGAAAGCATTCCAGGCCCTTTCTACTACCGACAAGGCTCAGTTCATGGAGTTGTTTGTCTGTCACTCCCGTTCTGAGGGTTTCCATGAGTTGCTCTGGACTAAATATCACTCGAACAAGTGGACAACTCTCTCGGATCGGGAGGGATGTTTCGCGCACGGGTCGAGGTTCAATCACTCCTGTAAGTCAGTCCATCCGCAGCAATGTCGAAATTTTCGACGGTCAGTCTGAGATAGTGCTCCATACATTGCTGATCCATTAATGACATAGGCATGCCAAACACTGCCATTACACCTACTGCTGGACTCAAGCTTCAACTCCAAGGGTACGTCAAGAAAGACCTCACAGCCGGGGACGAACTCACAGTATCTTACGATGAGAATGACAACTACATGACATGGACCGAGAGAGCAGCGGATATGAAGACAACAGGAAACCAGGGCATTGAAGTTTGCAGATGCTCACACTGCAAACTCCAGCCAGAGAACCGCCTCGTCAGCGATATGCGTCGCAAACTCATGCGTCATCTGATTTACGCTTGCTTCGATCGAGTTGGTGGTGATGATAGTATACTACCACCCGTCTCAGCGAAATTTCGAGCTCAGAGTCTATATGCTAGAAAGAGCCCCTTTGACTTTCTCCTCTTTGCCCAGCTTGCCGAAGCCGAGGGGGTTGCTACTGGTAGAATGCCACGCATGAGTTACACACAAGCCGCACTCGCGATGCTTTGTTGGACACGGGAAAAAAAAATGGGGGAGTGATATCCAAGAGCCAGCTTGAAACTGTCAAGAAATGGGTGGCAAGGGCTTTGTATCATAAGGAGCTTTATCGAGGGCGGGACGTGTACGAGGACGAGCCGGAGGAGGTTTTGGCGGCTCGGGTATATCAGCTTGTCAGTATGGTTGGCGCTGATGGCTATATACTGTGAGATATGTCGCTCTCCAATATCATTTATTTGACGGCGGAGTCAATTGTCCTGATGGGACGACTTGGTCACATGGAACTTCATTTAGATTTTAAAGAGCTGATAATACGGCGGGTGACATTTACCTTCACCGAGAGGGAAGCAACATCCAACCCTCCTCTCTCATAGTCAACAAAGTTGTTAACTCTCAATCTTTCTAAAATTTGTGGAGATCGTTCAAGAATTTTCACTTGCATAGATTCACCTGCTTGACTTTTGTGATCGGAGCTCTAGATGGAGTATTATAGCACGTGATACACAGGGTAGTCAAGTAATTCAATCATCGTTTGAAAATCAAATCGCGAAATGCAGAGATGCCTTTCCAGTAGTCGCGATTAAACTCCTCGCCAAGTTGGGCTATATCCCTACATACCCGAAGCCCACAGCCAAGACATAATGATGATAGGTCTGAGTCGTACATCCTCTGGTCTGGAGAACACTATGTCCCCATCATATTCACACGCTGATCCACAGAACAGAAAAAGCACAGTAATCGCCCTAGTACCCAAGCAAAGGAGAAGAAACGTACAATCAAAAGCAGTGAGATGTATGAGTATCTGCTACGTTCAGACAACCCCCATCTCCACGACAAAACAAGCTCAAGAAGGATTCCAACCCACAGAACCACACCCTCAATCCCACCTCCCCCAACAACCAACCCATCCCACACCACCACCCCACACCCCATCCCTCACCTTCCCACATAAAATCCCTCATCCACAAACAGCATACATCACTCGGGACAACTCCCACAAATCTTATCAACCTGCGTAATACATTTACTAATACACTGACTGCGCACCAGAAAAGAAACTCCCGGACAACCGATCGTACAATTGGCGTTTTCCGTGGTTTTGCATTGTTGTTTGTTATCCACGCCTCCTGGACAGCCTTCCGTCCGGGCGCTGACGATGGGACTGGCTTGGACAAGGGCGCCGAGAGATAGTATTGTTGAGAGGAACTGTAGTTGAAAGTTCCTTTAGGTCGAGGGATTTTTTTTGGGTGAGGTGTTGGGGGGGACTTACTGTTGAGAGATGCATTTTTGGTTGGAATGAGTGTTGTTGTGTGAGGTGTTTTTATTGGTGGAGTTTGAAGGGAGCAGTGGAGGATAAAGTTGAGATGGTGAACTAAGATGGCGCTCGCTCTATATACCTTCTCAAGGAGGAACGCTCGAGCCAATGTTGAGAACTACATCTCGTCATTTGTCGTCGTCCGTCGCGTTGAGGGCGTGGCAGTGCATGATCCTTTTGAGACCCACAATCCTGTGATCCTACACTATTTGAGCCGGGGAGGGTAGATCGGCGGTGTTTGGATTGCTCGGCCGTATTGTAATTCTCAATCCTGTGATCCTACATTAGTAAGGCCTGTGAGGGCAGAGTGTTGGTGTCTGAATCTATCGTAGCGGAGCACGTTCTGAGATGGCGCAGACGGCGGTTTCAGGGGTAAGTGAGTCGGAAGAGTGATGACTGGCCCAACACCTGAGAATTTTGTGTCCGTCCTCGAACTGCTTGAATTATCACGGTGGTGCTGCCAAATCGGGATTCGAGAGGGAAGAGTGCTGTTTCTGAGACGCCTCCCGATCGAACCTGGACCAGCCGTATAGAACGAAAAAAGTAAATAATTTCTTGGGCAGGCTACACTCATTCGAGAAAACTACGCATCGCAGGATACCGCACGCGAGAAGTAGTGTTAGAAGGTCATAGTATGAAAGGTCATGTTATTCTGATGGTCAAAATGCCCACATCACTCAGTTTCTGTGAGTCGCTTGAGACAAGAGATTAGCTCTTGCAAAGACTGACGTTTTTGAAAATCAGCCGACTGTTAAGAACATTACTGAATCTCCAGCACACACTATGGGGAAATGCTCAGATAATTGTGTGGGTAAGTCGTCGTCTGACGACCTCTAGAATCAGCAGCCAGGAGGTCTCAAAATTGCAGCGAGATGGAAAATAACGAAGCGATGTCAGCGATCGAATTGAATCGAAGTCACGACTACAGTACGGGGATTTAGCATGGCAAAAACCAAGTCAAATGTTGTGTTAAACGATAACCTCTTTGGGTGACGTACTTGCAAAGATATTATACTTCGCCAAGCTCAAGCTGGTGAATGAAGGATCCAAACTCAAAAGCCACGCGACCAAAAAGCCCTTATAGAAGCTGATCCTTTAGGAAGTAGCTCATCCTCTAGAATTTGACTGTTTTAGAGCATCAAGTTCTTACTTTGACAAGCGCTGTTTCATAAACATGAGGCTTATGAGACTTTACAGAAGCTCATCCTTTGAAAACTAGCTCATCCTTTGAGAATTCGCTATTCTGCGCTATTCCATTCATTACTCTGCCAAATACGGATTAAAACTAATGAGCCCTTACAACACTCCATCCTGTAGGATCTAGCTCATCCACTAGAGTTTGATTCTCCTACGATATTCATTTCTTAGTCTGCCAAGCAAGCCCCGTTCACATAGTCGTTCACTCAACTGAAGCATACACGAAGAAAAATGCGCTAAGCCTTTCCAAGCCAATATTCGCTTCCTTATTGAGGCTTGTTCTCTCACGCCACATCCTTCGTGTCAGGTTCTTCCACGCCGAGGAGAAATGTCGCTGCGATGCTGAAGGTCGTAAAACGCTACCTGCGTCGTAATGTACCTCGGTGAGGMTGGTTCAGGAAAAGTTTCCATTGACAATGGAGTGGCTCTTGCCGTGAGGTATTAACGGTATTGAAGTCCTGTCCTGTCGTATATATATACTCACTGAGTATCCCAGATCTGGTCCTCATTCGCATTCATATCTCCCAGAACAAACAAGAACAAACCACCAACCCACCACCACCAACAACATCCATCATGCCTAGCTTCTCAACGTGAGCCTTCAATCCCTGCCCTTTCGCAAAACGCCAAGATCTAACTTGCAACGTTATAGCTTCGTCGCTGCATTGGCAGCTCTTTCCGCCAGTGCCATGGCAGCCCCGTCCGTCAGGGCGACCGGTTGCTGCGACACCACTGGGTCCTGCTTAACTGTCTCTGGTACAACCTCAGGTGGTCTGCACTGGTAACTATCTCCATCCAAGACATCATTTCGTCAGTCATTCTAAGATGAGATATTCAGGTGCTACGGATACCACTCCGGCAACATTCCCTTCAACGCAGACGACGGTCTGAAAGCGCAGTGTTTGACCCAAGCCCACGCCAAGCAAAACAAGCAGTGTATCGACACCCCAGATAGCTCCTGCAATTCCGGCAACAGTGCCAACGTAGGCTCCATGCTTGAAGCACGCCTCGGCGGCGACCACACGCTTGGTCAAGATGACTCTTTGGCTATCCAGGCCGCCATTGGTGCTGCGGTTGCCAACRGTCTCCACTGGAGCGATGATACCAGATTCGGCCCAGGATTCATTAGCTTTGGTAATTTCCTTCACTCGGTGCTGCTGGTCATAAGAGCCTGCTAACATTCTCCCCTAGCGCATACCGCAAAAAACGGAGTTAGTATGCGCGGAGTCGAGGTTTTCAAGAGAAACCTCTGCAAGAAGTGATTTTTGACAAGGGAGGGGGGGTTGGAGGTGAAGCGTACATAACAGCGGTTGCGTTGATGACGGAAATTTGTCTGTTGGAGCATCGAGAGTATTGAAGTCAAAGAGAAGATGATATCCATCATCATCACAACCTGTCATTACCTTGGATTTTTTGCTATAGACATATCGAATAAATCGGAGTATTTTTCCTCATCTCACTTGGACACAGCGTCTTAAACTACCTTTTCATGACTGCACAGAGCGATGCAATTTCAAGATCCGTGGACTCTTGACGAAGGTATCACTCATCATAATTATTTTTTGTTGCTTCATGTACAGCATACTGAATTGGACTTCCGTAAGCATCAAGCCCACTATCTTGTAGACTTGTGTGTCAACAACATTACTCCGCCGGGTCCCTCCCCTTCTTCGCCTCCATAACCGCCTTATAGTGCTCATCGCTCTCAAGATCGAACTCCAACGGCTGCGTAATGGGCGCAATAGACAATCCCCGACTTTCAATCTCCTGAAGACGCTGTCTCGTCGCCGCTCGCGCTCGATTAATGGAGTACACCTTAATCCGATGGCAGGAGCTAGTGACATGAAGGTCCCAGTTCCTTGAAAATTTTCATCAGCTTGCAAAATTCAGAGTATGAGTCCAGGAAGGACATCACATCTACTTACCAAGCAGACCTGACATATGTCGGTTGAGTGTTCAGTGCGTTGTCCCATGTTCGACAACAGAATTCTAGCCAGCCTTCATACTCTACAGGCATTTCAATACTCCAGATTCGCMAGCCGTAATAGTATTTTGTGCTCATTTTGTCATAAGGGACCTCGTACCATACTGATCCTCCATCAGCGCTGACTTCGACACGCTCGGGCCAATGACCGCCGGTTCCTACAACACTTATCAGCACTGAAAAAAGCGGATCTATCTTCTTCAACCTTACCACCAGAGTACGCCCAGCCTCGAAGCGTGATCTTGCCATCATGAACAATCTGATCCATATCCACAGGAGACATGATGGCGCTACTGACCGGCATATCCTGAATACTAAACCCATTGGAATATTGCACATTCTGTTTTCCAATCTGCGGTGTGTAGTACAAATACTCCTTCTTCTGCACGGGAGCCTCGCTAGGTCCAGTAATGGCCTTGATCCTGTACAGCCACTTGACACTTCGCGCGCCAATGTATCCAAACACCACGGCTCTCAGTGGGCCGCCGTGGATTTTGGGGAGAGGTTCCCCGTTCATCTCCCATGCGAGCATGACTTCTTCAAACTTGACTTTGCGATAAGGCACGCTGACGACGTAGTTGTACACTTTCCCTTTCTTGACATAGGTGTCCGCGCCGTAGAATTCGAGATGTGTTGTTTCTGGGTTGTCGGATAGACCGTCGCAATGATCAATCACATCTTTGAGAGAGACACCCGTCCAGCGTGCGTTTCCAATTGCACCTTCAGCCCATGGTGCGTTGAGCAGTTCATCGCCATCTCCGGGATACATTGCGATCTGCTCCAGACGACGAGTCCCTGCGCATTGTAGAGTGACGACATTGGATTGACRGGGGAATAACTTCTCGTTTTTGATGTCCGAGAGGGAGAATTTGCAAGGGTTTCTCACGAGTCCGTCTAGCGAAAGCTCGTATGCTTCTTCGTCAATCTCGGGCACACCACCATGATTGCGTACGAAGAAGTCCTTGTTGGGTGTGAACTCGGTGTCGACGAGACGTGACTTTTCCAACGTTAGTTACTGTTCTAACCTCAATCACAAGTCTTCCAAGCTTACACGAGGAGGTTCTCCATTGTAAGGGAATTGAAGCACATGCAGCATATCCGGCGACTTTTCCTTTCGAACGTATTCCCAGCTCTTAGCCGGGAGATCCCTCAAAGTCTCACCCAAGGCATAGTGGTATTGCTTCCATCGTACTCCCTCTAAGATTGGATTTGTTTTGGGCAGAGGTATCATTTGAAATTCAGGCGGACCAGGAAACTTGTACTGTGCAAGAACTTTCTCCGCTTGTGCTTTCTTCTCTGGATACTTTTCCCATTCCACGTATCCTTTCCATCCTGGACGTTCCTCTGCAAAGTACGGTGCTGGCTCATGGACGGGGAAGTCGTCGATGGAACCCGAGGTAATCATTGCTGGCGTCATGGTTACTTGAAAGGCAGAAGTGTAATGAAGGTTGGAATTTAAGTAATGATAGCAAACGCTTGTTTTCAAGGAACTCAGTATATTTTGTACAACATCATACCTTGGCTTTGAGATAAGAAAAAAGTCGCCTTCTCGGTGTGGTCATCGATGCACACCCCCTGTACATTCGCTTACTTACTGCAACTTGCAACTTCACGTCATATGCAGTCATAGGTATTCTTCGTCACCATCTCACATGCGTGCGAGATAAGTGATGTGCAACGCTCTCTCCTTTGTTGCACAATGTGAGTACAGAGGCTCATACGTAGTAACTTCTAGTGGATAGTTTGAAAGGACACCCTTGGCAAATGCAGCCGTATTGTTCCTTGAGTCGTTGTGGAAATCGCGATGAAAGGAAATGGCTGCAACYGAAGATCACGGTTGCAGCAGTGAGATGGGTGAAATTTGACAAAATTCACAGGGCTTGGCATTCCTTTCTCCTATGGCTCCAACCGCAGCGCGAGGAAAATGATCTTAGGGTTAGGGTTGGGGTTGGGGTGTCAATCACGACCTACAGGTCTAGTAGCCTTGAATCCTCGACTAGCACAAACATCAGTAAGAGAAAGAGACCAGCACGATCTACTTGGTTTCCAAAATGGAGTTGACCAGTGGTGACCAGTGGTGACCAGTGGTGACCAGTGGTGACCAGTGGTGCTTCTTACGATGAGGTCGTCATGTAGCAGAGAGCGTCGATTCATGATACTACTGGCTGCAAAGGAATGTTGTAGAAGAAATCGAGCCATGTATTCTGCTCTCTCTCTCTCTCTCTCTCTCTCTCTCTCTCTCTCTGCCCACTCGAATTCAAAGTCTGCGATCCCTTCGAGAACAATACTCTCAACAAGCCCAACTTACCCTTGAGCACCAGTAAGCGTCTGCCTAGTCGACTATCCTCACAAAATTAGCAACCACCCTCTCATCATCATCATCATCAACAACAACAACAAGACAAAAAAAAAGGTGAAGGGAATCCAACATACACAGCCTCCATTATTAGAAGCACACTACAGCGGCATAGTATTCGGCCCCTCACAATCAAAAAAAAACCCCCCGATCCCGATCATAACTCCCGCTAGATTTATAATAAAGATCAATCGAAGGGCTCCTTCCCATCCGGATCCCTCAAAAACGTCACTTGCACATCATCACAACCATCGACGTCTCTAGTTCCCATGGGAGTTTCGAAATTCCAGTAGCAGGTTCCAGACAGAGAAATCGGTGCTGCTGTTACATCCGTGGAAAATCTCCTATGTAGACGTTACATTTGGGGATACAGCAGAATTTAGGAGAAGTTGCAGGCGGTGGAGTAGGCGCCGTCGTCTAGGCTGAGGGTGCTTGCGTGGGTCTGAAGGGTTGGTTTGGGTTTGGGTTTTGTAGGGAGGATTTTCGGGAGGAGGGAAAGGGGTTTTACTATAGTTGGGAGGAGAGTAGCTGCGAGGAGCGCGGTGATGGCTTTGATGGAAGACATGGTGGAGTCTTTGACAGTGTTTTTCTTGAGAGGACTGTGCAGAGACTTGCTGTTTGGAAAACTTTTCTTGGTGATTGTGAGGGGAGGTATTTATGCTCTGGAAGAAGCTCCTCGGATGCCCATGTGATTTATGAACGCATCTTGTCTTCGCGCACTTTCAAAAGCCACCGGGCTTCGACAATGGTCCAGACAGTAGACGGGTCATGTTGCGACTCGTGGATTTCGACTCGATAGTTGCTTGGCGTCTTGGCTTCATCATGTTCAACCTGGTATTGGCCGAAAGTTTTCTACTGAAACTACTAGATCGAACTGCTAGTCGGAGGCAGGATTCCTTGTATATGTAGCTATTCCCCCTTGAGAATATGTAGCGAGAAGACCGACACGTGGATGTAGAAGTAGGCTAGCTTCGTGTTGGTTTCGTCAACTAGCAAGCTCTAGAGGTCAAATGCAGCGACGGGAAACAGCTCTACACCAATCAATGCATGGATGTTAGGCGTCTGGATTCTTAGGTTGAATATGTACTTATAGCATCGTAATGCATCATACCGCATCGATGGTGATTAGCTCGTCCATCCATATTTGAGATCAAAGCCACCATTGGGAGCTAGAAGTATTGTGGAGGAGAAACCTTACATTGAGCGGTCCTTGGATCTTGCTGGATCGTCAGATGAGATGATAATTGCTCACCAATAATGGAACTACGAGTTTCCATGCAGATTTCCCTTCAGTGATGATCTGCCTCTGAGCTGATACTCTTACTAGCTCTCGATTCATACATGTCATCAAATTCTCCATACTGTCCACCACAAAAATTAAACGGCATCATGATCTCGGTCTCCGAGATATAATAGACGAAAGAATCACCCACATGACACTAGAATGAGTATGTAAAAAACGAGCCCTCACTCGAGTAAAAAAACGAAGGATGAGAAAGGTTCAATCCTCATCGCAGTAGCTGATCCTTCGCACTCTAGCGCAATATATTAGTCTCGCCACTGCACTACCTCCGCGGATTCGAAAAAAGTATGGGGTAGCGAATGAAGAATAAACTGGAAAGTAAAGGATTCAGCCCTTGACGTAAAATAAACTTCAGGATCAGACTCTCCCTATATTATATATATACTAGAGAAGCGCCTCATTCATTGCGCTAGTGCGAAGGATTTATCAAGGCTTCATAGGTCAGACAAGCCACGTGTACGTCGTATGGCAGTGCTTGGATATTGTCTTGAATTTGTCTAAAGGTGTCACTGTAGCTCTGTGCCGTAGTTCTAACTCTGTCCCCAAATGGAACGGGGAAGTCAGGGGTTGATTATTAAGCTAGCTCTTCCCACAAACTTCACTTATATGGGGGTCTGAGGTCATGTGGACTGGCTATGTCTTGAGCAACATGCCAGGTATCGCATCTGTTGTTCTACTAAAGACTTGAAGCCCTTACTCGTGCACTAGAGCCATTTAGGGGGAAATTTCAGGAACTTCCTGCTCTGCTCGGGAATCACCGACATCGTCTCCGTGCTGGAATATCAGAAGATGGCTCAAATCCCTTTTACTTGGTTGGAACATTTGTAACTCCTGTATTCGCCTAGATTTTGTAAATTGTGTACGCCTCTCATAAGACCCATCACCCCAGGCTCACCTCTTCTCAGCCTCTCACGTCGTATTGTACTTTTTCATACGATACCCCGACGGTACCGCCAGCTTCTCATCCCGCTGCTCCTCCCGCTCCGGCTGCTCCGGCAAAACAATCGCCCGATCCAGCGTATACGGCAAACCACGATGGCGACCACGAATCATCATGGCGCAAATAACCAGCTTGCTGAAAATCTTAAACTCCCCCGACAAACTATAATTCATACCAGGATATCCCAGACTCAGTCCAACATTACCATATGCCGAGACGACCTCGAAAAACATGGCGAAGACGGAAAAGGCCGGGTCTGCATTATCGGCGATGCGTGAGGATTCATTCACACATAGACAGAAGATGCCTAGGAAGATATACCATAGATCGAAGCTGAGCTGGTTGCGTAGGTGGTTCATCAGATATGCTCCCGGGGACTGTCCATCGTAGACGGCCGCGTCGGCTTTCATCATTCCCACTGGACGATCATCGTAGACGTTGCTGGTACGTGTGCTGATGGCGAGGGGGAATACAGCAATGTACATCATGACCAGTAGACTGAATTGTACCGCGGGGTTGACGCTCGCGAGATTGAAGGATGCAGTTCCGGTGTGGCGGGCGGATGCGGATTGGAAAATTGCAGCGAGGACTCGGGGGCCTGGAGGGAGGTAGTTGACTGCTGTATTTTTGAGATCCAAGATTATGATGAGGACTACGTCGGTGAGGTTCATGACGAAGACAATGCCGAATAGAGCCCAGGTTGTGCCTCGAGGGAAGAGGAGGGTATAGCAGCGTCGGGGGTGATCCAGGAGGTATGTTAGAGGTTCCTGCATCGCACTTCGTTTGGGAACGATCTTCCTCATGGTGACGATGAGGAGACGGAGGAAGACTGGATAGCAGGTGTTACCTGCATAGGCTAGGAAGGACAGCACCAGCATCGGCCATGTTGCATCTGCAAAGGAGATCATCGAGTCGGCCGTCAAGGTGAAGCCTAAGTTTGATACCATGGTTTGAGATGAGTAGATGGCCCTGATGAAATTAGACGGTGATCCTGTAAGAAGAACTCGACACAACTCACCACCAAGTCTTGTTCTGTCCTTGTGTCTTGAGGTAGTCGGTATACTTGCTCGGCGCATTATGGATCCATGGAATGAGACAAATCACTCCAAAGAGATGAATGCCGACAAAGTAACCTGGGAGGGTCAGCAAAGTTCATCTAGCAAGATAATGATACCTCCTCACCAATCACAATCTTCAACAGCAACTTCAAACTCCGATACTCGATTCCTCCAATCGCGTCCCAGTCAACGGAAACAGTCGATCTTCGAGAGTCCTTGCTAGGTGCCAATGATCGCGAAGGACTGCGTGACGTTCTACGGCTCCTACTCTCCGAACTTTCGCCTATGATGAACATGGATGAAGCGATGCGACCGACGGTCATGCTTTGTGTCAAGCTCCGTGCCGTAGACGTCCTTCGAAGGGGTGGAGCACGTGGAGATCGAGAATCGGCCGCAACAGTAATCTCATCGGTGTCGTCATTGTCCGCTTGAGGAAGTGTCCTGCGATGTATGGGCGCTTCCCGAGTATCCGTAGCCCAGGAAATGCTTTGAGGGTCACTGTATGTGTTGCCATCTTTCTCCGAAGGAAAGAGATTGTCTTTTGGCGTCACAATGACTTCTTCAGCTTTCGCGTCGAGGTGGTCCACTGCATGTTCGGGGTCGGCGATGCTGTCCGCGCCATCGGAAAGACGTCTCTTCGTATGGGACGGTTTCAGAAGAGACGGATCTTCACTTCATGTTAGCCCTAAGACACCCTTCGTATGGAGCTGGAAGACGAACCAATTCGCTTCAGCTGCTTCCGAAACCAATACAAACGGACGACGACGACAGCGATGTTGACAAATCCCAGATTAGTGACAATAGGGAAGAAATACAAGACGAGCTGTTGGTACGTCTTGAGGTCTTTGACGTCCACACTATGCAGAGGTCAGCTCTGCCAAGAAAGAACATGCTCAAACATACGTATTCAACCCAGACTCGGTGTTCGCACTGCAGGCGAAGAAGAAGGCATCGATGGCTTGTAAATTTCCCTCCGGGGAGAGGATCAGGAATGCCAAAAGACAGCAAAACAAGATCCAGGTGTCTGCAAGCGACGTGTCAGTCGTGAGACGTAGTTTCAAGAGGGTGATGACTTAACAATGAAGTATCACGTAGTTGATGGGAGGCCGCCACATGGTCAGGGATTTACCTCACGGTTTTGGGAAGTATAACGTAGTGTTCGTGACAAGGTTGGAGAAAGGTGGTTTGTCGAGGGGACAAAGCGGGATGTCGCCCTACCTAGCACATAAATCGCGCAACAAGGCGCAGCAGTCTTGGCGAAGGACGAGAAATCCTCATGGTAACCCTTGAAAGAAACACCTCGCACATTGTGCAAGGCGCACACAAACCCCTCATAGCTCGCTCTTGTTACCACCACATGGGAGATGAATGTGTCCGTTGCAATGTAGAGCGTGTTGTTGGTCCTAGTCTCTTAGTAAGCTTTCCCCCGTCCCTTGGCACTACCAGCCCTACACTGAGCCCCTTAGCAGACTTCTGCGGTCTTCGTTATGTTGACTGAGGAGGTAAGTTGAGAGAACATCCTCCGAGGATCATTTGCAATCGATTATGAAACTTTTTGGCCTTCTGCTTATCCTCCTTTTCAGCCGCTTTGCAAGCTGCTTCAGCCTGTCTGTCTGCTTCGACCTGTATCAGGAAGACTTCATGAATAGCAGCGGACACTACCGTGTTATTCCACTTGGGAATCTTCTTCTTCTTCTCTCCCTTATCATTTACCTCTCGGCCAACACTCTCTAGTAAAGCCCCAGCGTGTCGCCGGATCGAGGCAAARACAATAGAACTATCCGCGCCAACTGAGCAGCTTGCACACCGGCTGGAATACTTTTCAGTCCTTCTCGCGCTTTGGTTGTAGCGGCCTTCCTGACGGCATCTCGAAGCTTCTTTATGACCCCCGAGGAATCGATTCCATTATTACTAGGCGGTTCGCGGAAGCTAAAGCGTTATCTTGGCGAGTATAACTGACTTCTTGTGTGCCGGCCAAAAAGCAATTCGAAGCAGTAAGCTTGATTTTCTGGATCGTTGCTATCGTGCCGCTTAATAGAATAGATTGTCGCATTATTATAGGCTGTTAAGAATGTTATTTTTTCGTGCTTCGAGACTGGTGGTTGTCCGTAAGGGATTGCTGTAGTATGCTATATCTCCGAGGCTAGTGCGGTATAGCACAGTTGTTACTACTCTCTATAAATCTCCTAGATACTAGGAGTATAAGTTCTCCTTATCTCGGCTACGATAATCTTACCTAGATAATAAAATAAGGGGACTAGCCTACGAGTTATTATGTTTATACTACTTAAGGTAGTCTCGGATATTAAAGGATTAGAGTAGTTGTTTATAGATTTCTTAGAGGTCGGGTCTAAAAAGGACATCGAATCTCAAATGTATAATGTGTTTATTATACGTCATACGAGCTATACGAGAGAGTTTGCTGATTGTCGGTTTAAAGTGGCATGGCATGGATGTCGTCGAAGATACATATAACACTATCCCACCTCGACATCCATTGAAAACATCACCACCTCATCAATCATCAAGGCCTTCCACAAAAAAAACACCACTCAGACAATACCTTCCCGATCTCCAAAATGTCGACTCTAAACCTAGCAAAATGGGCCACAGACCTCTCCCCCTCCCAAATCCCCCCCTCAGTCCTCAAAGCCGCCCAACGTTCCCTCTACAACTACATCGGCTGCACAATAGGAGGATGCACCCACCCGACAGTCCAAAAAGCTCGCGCGGCACTCCTACCATTCTCCGGCCCTGCAACTTCCACACTTCTAGGTTCCACACACATCTCCTCATCATCATCATCATTGCAAAAAATCAATAAATCAGATGCGCAACATGCAAGTCTACTARATGGAATTTCCTCACATGTTCATGATTACGATGATACGCATTTAGCGACTATTATCCATCCCACTGGTCCCGTGGCATCAGCACTCCTTGCATTCATCGAATATCAATCCTCCACCCGCGATATTGTCATCAGTGGGGAAGAACTTCTCACGGCGCTCATAGCAGGAATAGAAGTATCTTGTAAACTCGGCTTGGCAGTCTGGCCCTCTCATTATGATCTCGGCTGGCACATCACCTCCACTACGGGCAGTATAGGCGCCGCAGTCGCCGTGGGCAAAATTCTGAAATTGGATGCGCAGCAAATGGCGCATGCGATTGGGATTTCTGCGACGCAGGTCACGGGATTGAGGGAGATGTTTGGGAGTGATACGAAATCTTTCCATGTGGGACGTGCGACGCAGAATGGACTTTTGGGTGCGGTGTTGGCGGGGCAGGGGTTTACGAGTTCGATGACTGCGTTGGAAGCTAAGCGGGGATGGGGCAATGTTGTGGTTGGCAGTGGGGAGCCTCGATTGGAAGGGTTGTTGGAGGAGTTGGGGACTGTGTGGGAAGTGGAGAGGAATTCATTTAAACCTTTTCCGTGTGGGATTGTTTGTCATCCGGCGATTGATGCTTGTATTCAATTGGCGCGGGAGATGCGGTTGAGGGGAGAGGAGTATGTTGCTGAGATTGAAAATGTGGAGATGAGAGTCCATCCGCTGGTTATGGAGCTTACGGCGAAGAGAAGGCCTTTGGATGGATTACAGGCGAAATTCTCCGTCTTTCATGGATGCGCTGTGGGGTTGATGTATGGGAAAGCGGGACCTGCAGAGTACGCGGATGAGGTTGTTATCAATCCTACAGTGGTGGCTTTGAGAGATACAATCCAAGCTACTGCGGATGAGAACGTCCAGGCCGACGAAGTGTTCCTCAAGGTGTTTTTGAAAGGTGGAGTGGTTGTGGAGAAGCATGTGCTGCATGCAGTCGGGTCCGTTGAGGTCCCTATGACGGATGAGCAACTTGGGGAGAAATTTTTGGGTCAGGTCGAGCTTGTTGTGGGGAGTGTTCAGGCGAGAGAAGTTAGCGAGCTTGCATGGAAGTTGGGCGTTGTTGATGATGTGGCTCGGCTGATTGCGAGATTGTAGATTTCCCCATTCCTGGGACAAGTAAGCTTCATGACATTCCAGCATGAGGCTTCATTCTCATCATCGGAGAAGCTCGGTTGTGAGTTGAGGGRTGGTGAACAGAGGAACTTGTTCCAAAGGAGTTGGACAGGCCAGATTTGCCATGGCGTTCATCTGGCCATCTGCGCTCGGATGACCTCGTAAAGCAAACAACGCCACTTCCGACGGAGATCCAACGGAGAGATACTGTACAATCGCATTCGGGCAGAATATGGAGTGGTCGGCGACATCTCTCGTCTATTCACAGGTCAGGCTCGTCCATTGCAGTCTTTCTGGCCCCACGTATGCAGACGGACGCTGTAAATAAGGCGAGAGTCCAGCTCAACAAGTGTGTCAAGCGAATAGATGAGAAAAGGAAGCGAGCGAGCGGGCAGGCATTTATTTTAAGCATATTACTGTCAGCAGCATGGGATGGGGTTGTGGCTCGTTTGAATGTGCGGGTAGGTTGTGGGTAAATTGTGGCAATTTTGCAAGGGTGTTGAATAGCTGCCGCTCTCACCAATCCTCCGTCCGCCACACTTTACTTGAGACGAAGACCTCTTTTTGGTCTGGGGTAGACGTTACACGATCGACCTTGTGCACGAGCAAAGGATTAGCATTCCGTTCTTGGGATCTACCAGGATCAAACATGCTGTTTCCCCGGATCCATCATCTGTCAAAAATGCTAGCAAGCCACGTTTTTCGGACCATGACCCATGCATGACAGGAATATGTGCCGTCCGGTCCGAAGTCGTAGGCGACAAATGCCGTATTGGATGGAAGCCACTAGCCAGGGACCGAAAGGCTCCGTAGAGATTGCCTCCCGTCTTCGCATCAAAGCTCAGCCCAGGCCGCCCATGGCCGATTATGCGCCTGTCATCCACGAATTGGATAGAGCGGCTGGCTCCCTTGCGACAAATCCTATGAAGCGGCCACGCGACTGGACTAGGCAAAAGCATATGTAAGTGAGTATGATGAGGTTCCTTGTCGTCAATTTCCTTTCTCCATCATCAACTTTGACATCTCACAATACATTCTCTTCCTCACATTATTGCGAGAAAGAAAGATGCTGCCCATACGCCTTTGGAACGCTTTCGCTTTGATTGGATGTGCACTGGCTCAAACATCAAGAAACCATGTCCAACTCTTCATTCACAACATGGATCCGGCAGCTGCGTGGGCAGCTTCCATACAAAACGCCTGCAACGGTTCCACAACATATGTCGTGTCGTGTACTTCCGCACCACTAAACAACTGCAGTCCACAAGTTCGTATCCTCCTCCTCCTCCTCCAATACCCTGCTAAAAGACCTTGCTAATCACCCATACCTACCACATAGACCGCCACCATCACAGAAGGTCCCGACTTTTACATCGCAACCACGGCGGCCATATATAGCGAAACATCAGCAACCATGACCGAATCTTGCGCATTGAACTCGGCCGCAACTTCCGCGTCTTGTGTGGCTACCATCGCACTCAATGGTTTCGGACAGGCGAATGCCAAGACCATCAGCTATAATCTCACCGGAACGGATTACTATCAATATGCCGTGCAGGTGACCAAAGGTGCCAGTCGTACTGCTGGTGAGGGATCCTGTCTGGCACAGGTCAGTCGTGCTTCTGGATCTTCAATGGATGGGGGGAGTAGAAGTGTTCTGGTGCTGGGCGTGGGATTGATGCTTGGTGTTGTTGGCGTTTTGGCGCTGTGATTGTTGCTCAATGCTCTCTTCACGGTTGCAAACAGTGATCGTCCATTCCCGCGTGAGCCTTGGCCGGTCGGACAATTTCACCTGGAGGAACAGAGGCTTCCCATCTCCAGAACAACAACAACATCGTCGCGCTGGGCTCATCGAAATGAATTGGTCCGACCTGGAATTGACGCCAGTCACGCCATCGCCCGTCCTGTTTATTTCTGACGGTGCCATGCTTTGTCTATCCCGGTAGGGAAAGAGAGAAAGAGAGAGAGGGACAGAAAGAGGGACAGACATCAAGATGTAAGAGCAGCCTCCATCGCCATCACTTGCGACCTTTCTAGACATATTCCACGATACCCCTTTATAGAAGCAAGCATTTGGAGGAGCACAGTACCACAACATTGGAATCTGTTTCCCTTGTTCTCTCTCAAAGTCAGCATGCGTCTTCTTTCCTTATTGGCAGTGTTTTTCTTCTGAAGTCTTTTTCCTGACTGCTCACCAGATCGCCAAACGCAAAACCATGTCCATGGCCATCGATCAAAAGAAAGTTGGGGCAGCCTATGGTTCAGTCTCCGTTTAAAATCCTTCGGGGTCAGATATTGGTCATCTCTGATATATCGACGTTGCTTCCTTGGTTGGCCTCACAGACGATTACGCCCGCCTTGCAAACTATCTGGATAGTCCCGCGAAAGGCTTGCTGGGCTGGATATACCGGCAAGGAGCCATACCCACCAACTTTCACCCATTTTTCCTGGGACATTCCGACTCTTTCAAGTTCTACGACGAATGTCTGGAGAAGCTTCGAGTCTCACTGCTCTGATTCATGGCGAGATCACTTGCGAGATCAATTGCGAGATCCACCGCGAGATCCAAGAACAGAATTCCAAGATCGACGCTACGATGCTGACCGCCGTGAAGCTCTCGAGGTAAAGTGTTATATCAAGACTGCTCTTGAACGATTTTTCGATCTCCAGGAGATCGCTTGCCTTGGTCGAGGAACGAAAATGACAAGAAGGCTACGACAAGACATAACGCCTGCCGAATTTCCTGGGATAGGCGTCTTGGATTTTGCTCTGGAAGTGTATCAATTCGGACGTGGCAATAACTCTTGTCGAGACGCTCTCTTTATGCTGCAAAAGGAAGGCCCCTGGGGACTACCGTCGTCGTCGTCAGCAGGTCCCCCTCAAGCATCTTGCTCACGTTGGAAAGACATGAAGCGGGATATGAGACCCAAGATGCGACGAAGCCGAGACGTGGCTATCTCCTGGATCCCTCTCCTGAATTGTGAATATCGGTCGGGTTGTCCCACAGCTGTTTTGGGTGGGACTCAACATTCACCTTCGTCAGATCGGATTCGAAATCCTACCCTGCCGGCGGACGTCCAGACCTCGATACTTTAATCTTCGTTGAAGTTTCAGTCGAGGACAAAGGCTTGCGCATGATGCTCAACAACGCAACTTGTGCTTGCAAGCTTAGAAATCAAGAAAAAAGCCACCTCAGAAGTATCTTAGCGATTGCGCGTCCCGAGATCCGTCGTTCAAGACTCGATCCGAATATAATCCAGTCGCAGCAGTCTCGGCCGAGATGCCTGCTCATGAACACCTCCTCACAGTCCAGTCAAACGAGCCAAACGAGCCTGCAGCTTCAAAAAGAGTTTCCGCCTCCGGAGCAAACCCCCAAAAAGACCAACCATAGTGAACAACTAACCCTGCACAACTCGATGGCGATCTCACCACCGGAAACGGATTTCACAAAAAACCTCCGTCTCCGCTCCTCCAAACCAAGCTATAACGACCATGTCCCCTGCTAGTAAGCCAGCACGAGCACACGAGTGGCACATCCTTGATCCGCGACAATGTCGGCAGTCGCTTACACTCGCGGATCGTCATTTATTCACAACTCACCCATCGCCATGATGAAGAATGGCCGGTCAACATATTCCTTTACTACTACCTATAGGCTACAGGGCCCCCGGCCTATCCATATACAGACAGACAGTACCAGCGGTACGAGGCCTGTTGAAGGTGCTGATGAGAAGGACGACGACGACGACGACAACAATTTGAAAGGAAAAAGAAGAAGAAGAAAAGATGATGTTTCGACGTCTAGCCCTGACGCTCGCAGCAACAAGCAGCATAGCAGCAACAGCCTGTAAAAACTGCACAAACTTCTCCCCCGAACCAATCTCCTTATCCCCAGCACCATGGACACTCCACGGCGACGTCTACGGCCTCTTCCTCCTCCCCGGATTCGGCATCCCGCTTCTAGGAAACCAAATCCCCTCCAAAGCATTCCCTCCTCTGGAACGCGCGAATCAATCGTACATTGCGGGGAACTATAAAGGGAAAGTCGGGATGTTGCAGGTTATTCGTTATACGGATAGTCCTGTGGGTCCTTATGATGAGTTGTTGATTGTTCCGGGGTTTTTTGAGTATGAGAATGAGGGGATGRGGGAGCAGGCTGTGAGGGTTAGTAGGATTTATGTTTCGCAGAAGTATACTGCGTGGAATGGACGCGTTAGTAAGTTTAATCCATCTTGCTTGAAAGGAAAGGACCAAGACTAACATTTTTTTTTTCTTCTCTTTTTCTTGCAGACTGGAACATGTATGCATACATTCCTTGACATCCAATCATCACATTCCAAAAAAAGCTAACCTCTTCTGACAGTCCCAAACATCTCGCCCGTTTCGACTGGACATACGCCGACTCCGGCGCCGTCACCGTCAAAATCTACCCCTACGACACCACAGGGGACTCCTCAGAATCCTACCCGTCCAAAAAACCCTTCTTCCAAATGACCTTCAACCCTCTCCTCCCAGACAACCTAGTCGGCAACGTCCTCAACTCCCTCCTTCCAGGAGCCGTGCCCGAAGGACTAGACCTCACCCTCGACGTACCCCTCACGACAAACCTCTACAAGATCCTCGGAATCAACGCCACGCTCGTCCAACCTCCTGTTCCTCAAGGCAATGATGCTTTCGGTGCCTTGGGAACCGGAGGTCCACATTTCAAATCTGTGATCCCTGGACAGTTTTCTACTGATGGGAGTGTCGGGTTGATTAATATGGATCAGTCTGGAGGAGATGGGGAGCGGACGGGCAAGAATGCGGTTGGGGATGAATTTTATAAGAATTTCTGGCCGGGTTTGCCGAAGATTAATGTTGGAGTGAGGCTGAAGGATGCGGTCATTACTTTCAGCGAGGCGATTGAGATGCCTAATGTGAAGATTCCGAGGAAGTCTCTCTTTTGGGCTTGAGGGGTGAGGTTGTTGTGGGGGGGATGGTGAGAGCGGGAATACGTCTCTCTCTCTCGGCATTCCCTTGGTTGAGAGGCGGTGGAGGTCGTCCTGGCAGTCTCTTCTTCGAGGCGGATTGGAGATGTCGAGTACTCTTTTTCTTTTGTCGTAGTCAGTCCAGCCGCTCGCTCGCTAGATATCCATTCGAATAGGGCAGGAAAACTGCTTCATTTCCAACACACATGCAACACGAGCGGATCACACTTCTCGCATCTTGATTGCCCGCGTCAACGCCTGGAGTCCGAATCCCTTCTTCTCGCCTTCGATCGTCGCGGCATTGGGAGCGAGGAGTGCGTTATCCTCTCTTGTCTCCACCGCGAAATGCGAGCCTTTGACGTTGGGGATGCGAAAGATCACCACGCCTCCACCGTGATCATCTGCTTCCCATGGTATTCGGTGCTCGATGTGAATTTCTCCTCCATCTAGTCTCCTCCACCCATCATGAAAGGTAACACGCTTACTTTGCCCACTTGCATAGCATAGCTCATAGGTCGTGTCATCCCATAACTTTCCCAGAACCCGATCGCGCCGCAGAATCTCTTCCGCAGTCAGGGTCTTCCAGTCCGCGATGTTACGGTCTAGAGGGGTGATTTTCGGGGCGTGTCGCAGTTTTTTCCCGGGTACAGTGCTGATATCTTTCGGGTCGATGAATAGTCCATTTTCGATCCCAGAAGCTAGCAGCTCCGCACCCATCTCGCCAAGTAGATCTACCATCCCTTCCACCGATGCGTTCTCAGGCACATGCATACTCTGCTGGGAGAGGATAGCTCCTCGATCGAATTGAGTGGGATGCATAGTTTGCAGACTTACGCCCGTCTGTTTGTAATCCTGCAGCAAGGCGTGTTGAATGGGCGCCGGTCCTCGAAGATCCGGGAGGAGTGAAGGATGGACATTGACGCCTCCATATTTCGCTCCGCTGAGAATTCTCGCAGGGACGAGAAGACCGAATGATACTGTTATAACCAAATCTGTGGGTGGTGGGGTCCAATCTGTAAAAGTGTCGATTTGATGGAGTTGGAGTCCGAGAGATTGTGCTGTGTTTTTGATGGGAACTGGGATGTATTCAGTGATTTGTTCTACAAGGAGTTGTTGTGATTGAACGGACCTTGACGGATCTGTTTCCCTCTTCTGCCGACTGGTTTGTCGGGTCTGCAGACTACATCGATGCTGTTGATGCACTCTGGCCTTGACTTTTGCAGGGTATCGAGGCGGCGAAGCGAATGAATGCTGAACTCATCTGCACCGCAGAAGAGTATTCGTAGTGGATTGAAGGATGATCGTGTGCTGTATAATCGTGTCTGTGGAGGTGAATAGAACTTCAGACAGAGGACAGGCTTTGAAGCTTTGAGACGGAAAAGCATTGCAGAGGAACGACTGATTCAGACCAAAGGCGTCTACAAGAAAACGCTCAGAATGCAATCAATTGTTATCGAGAGGACATGGTCGGGAAGTGTTCAATGATCTGATGTCAAGATGTAAGGTGTACTGGTTGTCGTGAGGTCAATGAGGTTGATATTGACGTCCAAGCTTCGACCGCTTCGTGATCTGCGCGTTCCGTGAGGAAAAGTCGCGTTTCGCGACTCATGATCAGCCCTCCATCTTCATCTTCATCTTCATCTTCATCTTCATCTTCATACACTGTCCATCATTCACCTGAGCCGTGTATGCCAAGATGACTGCCTTGTCTGGACTTGTGATGATGATGAGGAGGAGGAGGGACACAGTGGATCTCCCAGTGTGAAAATCCACATAAGTATTCATTGCATGCAAATGACGAAGATTGAACGTCATGGAAGAGGCGACCAAAAGTGTTGAGTTGAAAGATGCATCCCCATATAGACCACTCTTTCCCTCCTCCTCTTCTTGTCTCTGCAAGATCTTCACCTCCATCAAACAACTCTAGTCACAGACCCACGTACCCAAAATGGCCGACAAGTCGCAATTCCAAGAGGGTATGTATGCATCCCTCCACGGAATACCAATTCGTACGGCCAATGCTAACAACCCTCCAGGCCACATGCCCGAAAACCAATACCAAGATCCTCCCGGTGCTCAACATGAACTCGACCCACAACCAGCAACCGAGATGATCCCCACCCCAGAAGGCGGCTACACCAAATACCTCGCAGCGGGAAAGCTCAAGGGCAAGAGAGCCGTCATCACCGGTGGGGACAGCGGTATCGGTCGTGCCACAGCCGTACTATTCGCCATGGAGGGTGCGGACAGCTTCATCGCCTACCTCCCTCAGGAAGAGAAGGATGCGCAAGAGACGAAGAAGCAGGTCGAAGCCAAGGGAGCGAAATGCCATCTCTTCGCCACCGACTTGACTAAGAAGGAGGCTTGCGTGCAGACTATTGAGAAGGCTGTTGAAGCTCTGGGAGGGCTGGACATTCTCTTCAACAACCACGCTTTTCAAATGGTGCAACAAGACATCTTGAGCCTGCCAGACGAGCAATGGTTGAAGACATTTKACACCAACATTCACCGTATGTTGCTTGAGCATGCAGTATACACATGGGGGGAAAATTTCATCCACTGACACAATCCACACAGCCTTCTTCTACCTCTCCAAAACAGCCATGCCTCACCTCCTCAAAAACCCCGGCGGCGGCACCATAATCAACAACGCCTCCATAAACGCCTACATCGGCCGCCCCGATCTCCTCGACTACACCTCCACCAAAGGCGCCATCGTCTCCTTCACCCGCGGCCTCTCCAACCAATTCATCAACAAGAAGATCCGCGTCAACGCCATAGCGCCAGGGCCCGTGTGGACGCCTCTTATCGCGGCAACGATGGGGAAAGAGCAGCAGGATAACTTCACCTCGCCAATGGGTCGTCCGGGCCAACCTTCGGAAATGGCCACTGTGATTGTTTTCTTGGCTAGTTCGGACAGCTCCATGATTAGTGGGCAGACTATACATGCTAATGGTGGCACTGTTGTTAATGGATGAGCTTGCTTGTTGAAGGATATAAGGTACTACCAGGCATGATGCATTGAGACAGGTTCATAGAACTGTAATGACTACGACTTTACGTTTGAATGACAGGCACAAGTCATTTACATTGAAGGATGAGACATGTCATACCAGTAAGTCATTCACATTGAAGGAGAGTAATCGTATGGGTAAGGACAAGTCATTCACAATCAAGTCTCATTTCGATGAGTACTACACTGCTATGATGTTACAAGCAGCATCTCTCATCTGATTTCAGTTTCAATTTCTTCCATGCAATGCATGCCATTCTTCATAATCCTGTCCCGCCCAGCGGCAACAAAGCACCTTCAATCAAACACCCCAGTCATTCATAATACATTCATTTACCGGCTGCAGTAGCACGGTGTCTTCTTCCCGTTGATATAAATTTCCTCCACAAGTAGCAGCAAGTCAAGCTGGCAAGAGCTCCACCTACTTAACTTCCTTCAGGTGCTGCACCTCTTCCTCCTCTTCTTCCTCAAGCGTACCCGCGGAGCTACCAGTGCTCATCTTCTCCAACTCAGCGAGATCCGGTCCATGGAGATACTCGTCGAATTCCACGACCTCATTAGGATCCGCGGCTTCGAATTTCGTCTTGAGAGCCGAGTAGGACGCGGGAGCGAGAGTAGTGGAGACGGAGCTGCGACGACGGGCTAAGGGGAGAGTGGTGAATTGATTGGAGTTGGAGCGGCGTTTGGGTTGGAAGGTGTTGATTGGGAGGTCTTCGAGTTCGGAGTGGATGGGGAGGCCCCTATTCGATGAGACTTTGTGTTAGAAAGCAAGAACGGTGGATGAGAAGGGACGGGAGGGATGTTTTACCAGTTGGCTTTTCCACCGCCTTGCTTCTTGGTGCCGCTGGGGTTGTTGCCATCGTAGCCCGCTTTGCCAAAGTAGCGGGGCAGATGCTCTTCTGGAGCGGCGGTTCCGTTGGCTAGGCCAACGTGGTCGCGGTCTGTGGCTTTGTGGGTGCGAGTCACTGGGAGGAGGAGGTTGAATGTCAGCTTCTTTGATGGATTGGGTGGGTGGCATTGGAGGGGGAAGGAGGAGGATGACGATTGACTCACTGTTGGGTGGGTTTTGATGGAGTGGTGTTTGATTGGAGTGGTGTTTGGGATTGGTTGATGGAATTGGRGATGATGGATGGGTGATGGAATTGGAGRTGGATGGTTGATTGTCGACGATGAAAGGTCGATGGATGATGTTTCAGCGTGTCAGGAGATGTCAGAGGGGAAGAGGACGTGGGTGAGGTGAGGTGATGTTGGAAAGTAGAAAGTAGAAGTGTGATCCAGGGATAAAGAAGTCTGACCTTGTGGATAGAAATACTTGTACCTACGTAGCCACGTCGGGCCAGTCACGCGACCCAAACATTTCCCTTCTGAGGTAGGTTAGGTAGGTTGGATGAAATCAACAATGCGCTCACCTGATATGTTCGATTCCCATCTCCAATGCCGATATCGCTATACATAGTATCATACCATCCCAGGCATTGAACAATATGCCGATAGGATTGCGTGTTTTGCATGCCACCGCCATTCCCCATCTCCCATCTCCCATCACTGTGCAATGTACATCACGATGAGCGTCGTGTGGCTGCTATTCGGTACCTGTACATGCAGCAGAAGTAGCTCAAAGTACCTACCTACCTACTTCCAGCGACAGAGCGGGGAGCTGAAACACCCARACAATGTACCGAATGCCCCTCCACCCTCCGATATCGATGGCCGCCTTCAAATGAGTGGTACCATAAACAAGGGAAAGGGAAAAAGGAGCCGACGCATTGATCATCATCTTTCCGCCTCGCACTTGCCTTGCATTGGGTCTGGAAGGACCTCGAATAAGGTATGGAAAGCTCTTATCGCTGTCGCGATTGCGATTGCGTTTTTAGGGAGACCCTGCCCCGGCACACGTCACTGCTTGTTTCATCGAGACCCACGATTTTCCGGAAGCGGTATCATCGGAATGAACATCGAGGATGGGATGGGCTTTGGGATTTGAAGATGACAGCTGTCCTCTTGCCCTTCCCCAGCATCTCGCTTTGTTGTTCTGGTCTCTTGTCTTGTTGATCAACGAAGGCTAGGCTGCGTCGTCACTAATCAGACTTCCATTTCTTCGGCTAAACTTTCACTCCCGCCTTCCCCGGATTTCCTCAAAAAGGCGGGGAAACGTGCTTCGTGAACTCTATTGCTCCTTTTTGACATTTCTCATCACACCATCTCTGAGGCATGAACAGAATAGGAGCTTTGCTTCTTTACAATTGACAAGACTCATCCATCTCAGTCAGTGCTGACACTTGGGATCCGGCAAATGTTCCAAGCGAACCTTCCATGCCGCCGCGATGGACATAGGGTCACGAGGGCACGTAAAAAGGAGAATCTTCCGCCCGAAGACCTACCTTAGCGGCTTGGAGATGATGGTGAAGAAGCCTCCCGTCTGCGTTTCGGATCCGTGGGGTTTTGGATAGGATAATAAAAGTGCCGACTGCATCTCTCTGGCATTTCTCTCGTTCGCTCATCTAAGAAGACCATCGCTGGTGTCGAGATTGGTGATGTATATATCCTGCTCGATCATTGTCATCGGAGAAGACTCGAGCATTAATAGAGAACGTGATGTACACGTACAGACTACATCTTCGTACGGTAAAGACTGGTTCATAGTCTTGAGTAAATCACCTATTACCAAGTACTATAATAAACATATCCCCCGTTCCTTCACCTCTATACACCAGATCAGACATTCCTCAAAGAAAGTTCATAGCTCTGTTTCATAACTTCATATCTTATCTCATTCAACGATCCGTAATGCAATGTCCATGTAATCCCATGTAGTCCCATCCCATCCCGTCCCATCCAGTCCAGTCTAGTGAACGACCATTCCAATACTATTATACTCATACAACCTCAACTCCCCATTCGACATCACCTACCTTTCATCCCGCCCTCTCCTTTAACACTGGTACAGCGTGATCCCACTCGCCATCCATCCCATCCATCATCGCTCCTCATTCCACATCACCTAGCCATCATCCCATTCTCTCCTTTTATACTCGTACAACATGACCTCACTCGTCATCGCTCCCCATCCTCATCGCTCCCCATCCTCATCGCTCCCCATCCTCATCGCTCCCCATCCTCATCGCTCCCCATCCTCATCGCTCCCCATCCTCATCGCTCCCCATTCTCGTCCAACCCCACCACTTCACCACTTCACCTCACTCATCCATCTTCACCCACCAAATCCTCCTGTTATTGCCCTCCAGCACCCCCCCTCCTAGGCCTCAAACCCTCCCTCCTCTGCCTGCCCTCTTCAGCAGCAGCAGTAGCAGCACCAGCCCCAATCGCCGCCAGCCTCCTCGCTGCAGCTCCCAAAACCCTGAACTCCTCAACTCCTCTCCTCGCATGCTCACTTCCCTCCCCAAAGACACCCCCTTCCATTTCAGAAGTCGGTCTCGTGTACCTGTAATCCCGCCCAACATCAAAGGTTTCACGACGAGGAGCGGATATCGGTACCCGGAATCCACCCGGAGGTTCCCACACCGATCCCTCACTACTACTCACACTCTCAACAGGACTTGTGGGAGAATAATAGACCACGTTCTCGACAGGGTCGATACGGAGCGCTCCAGGACTGGTGGAAACTTGTAGCGGCCTTGAAAGGACTACGACGGGTGGGCTGCGAGGCGGACTGGCGGGAGATTCCAATCTCCGAAGGTCGTTATTTCTCCTCGTGACTGTCTGCTGAAGTTGAGGTTCCATAAGTCGATTGGGTAATCTCGGATCTCTTCGTGAGTCTATCGTCGTCGCATTCCTACGTCCAGGAGTAGGAGTGGGGCCGGTAGAAGAGTTTGTCGTCCTCGGTGCTCGATCGTGGGTCAAGTCGACATTCACATCAGAGGTCGCTCGAGCAGAAGCCCATTCCCCATGTGTCTGATCAGGGTGACGAAGGACACTCCGACGAGGCCCAACAGACTCTTCTTCTTGAGTCATGCGCCTCGACGGCACATGTGAAGAACTTGAAGGAGTTCCCGCGGGCAGGACTACCTCCCCCAATGCCGCCTCCATAGTTTCATSATCATTCGTGAGGTCCACAAACTCGACATGCCGGACAGAGGCATCCCCTCTTCCCTCTGCAGCACATCTCCTCTCAATGGCCACCATATCTTCCATCGCTTCATGGCAATCCCCCAGAAACCACCCAGCCTTGGCTCCATCCGCGCATATGTTCTTCAGACCTCTCCTCACAGCATCTAATTGTGTGACGTAGCCTTGCAGTTTGGACAATCTCGCACAGTTTCCCGCACAGCCCTTCATGGTACAGCCGGTGCATCTTCCCGTGTCGTCAACATCGTTCAGAGGAGATTTGGCKGACAGTTCCATGACACCACGGAGACTGTCGTCGATCATGCGCCAGCTCTGGGCGACACGAAAGCGTAGAGGATCGTCGACCATGGGTACCGGGAGCGGGCGAAGGTCGAAAGCTGCGATTAGCTGCCAGAAGAAGGAGAAGATCTGATTGGTGGCGCGGTGGGCGAGGGTGTAATTTGAGTGGAGGGGGGTCAGAGCAGGGAGTGATCTTGACGCTGTTGGAGTCTGTTCTCGTGGAGTGGGGACTGCGCGATGCTTGGAGTTGGAAGGTCTCTTCGACGCCGGCTCTTGCGTTGGGGAGGTGGTGGAGAGACGGCGTTTCTTTGCAGGAGGATACTGGTGCAGAACGTGCTCCATACCGRAAGTCAAGCTCTGGCATGCACCTGTGATTCCCACACTGGCGGCGTGGAACATCCGGGGACCGGCGGCATCCTGGTTGGCGGGATCACGGCTCAGTCGTAGTTTTGCCGCGACGGCCACCGCTCTTCGCAGGTCGACGGCGAACATTTCCTCGGCAACACTCTCCAACAACTTCATGGCATCTCCAGCCCCTCCGCCATCCAATCTGCCCACATCCTGACAATGCGCATCCCAGGCCCGCACTTGATTGTCGAGATTGTCCAAACCTCCATACGCGGGAGGCAGACCCAAGGATGCCCTCTCCTTCTCCTCGGCGTCCAGACGGAGGAGTTCGTTCAAATCCTCCTTGGTGTTGCTAATGTCCATCCTGGCGGCCTCGAGGTCGGCATAGGCTTCCTTGGCCATGCCGAGGGCGTCCATGTAGCTCACGCGTTCGTTATTCGCCGTCTCGAGCGCCCCACTCGTGATTTCTCGCTGTTCATCGAGCGTCTTCTCCAGCTCTTTCTTTTCCTTCTCCAGGGCCACATTCTTCATCTCCAGCGTCTCGATGCGCTCGTTTAAGCTTTCCTGCTCGTTTTCCGCCGCCGTGCGTTGGAAGGTCAGCCGACGGGTGAGTGAGGACTGTTCGGCCGTCATTTTGCGGATGATATCGGTGCGGTCCATGATGGCGTTGAAGTGTACATCTTGCAGTTGGCGGAGATGTTGGGCTTTATCCTCGTCGTGTCGTCGGACCGATGCCGTGAGGGCTTCTTGGAGGAGGGCGTTCTGTCCGAACGAGATTTCATGAGCCAACTCCAACTGTTGATGAGCCATCTTCAACTGTTGATGAGCATTGCAGACGGCACGGAGGGCCCTGTTGAGGTTTTCGGCGTCGTTGTCCCCAGTCTCATCGCCCGTCATCGTCATCATCAGCATCTTCCGCCGCTCGCGATCTCGACGTCGACCATTCTTCTTGGCTGTCGACACGCTTTTCCGCTTGCTGACGACGACGAGTTGAGATGGCTGCTGCTTCAGCATCTCAAAGTACAAAATAAGGAAAAGCAAAGAAAAAGAACGAAAATGAAAAGGTAGACGTGTGGGATTGGAAGTGGTGGTAGGTAAGGTAGTTGTTGGTGAGCTTCTCCAGAGCGCGCCGATCCGTCGATCATTTCAACACGAACTTAGAACGACCCCCCGCCTTGTCGCGTGTGATCTGCAAATTGATGGCTTCGACGTGTCTGTCCATCACCCAATATAACAACATCATGAAATGACAGATTCAACACCATCATCCCCATCACTAAGCCACCTCCTCTCCCTCCCCTCCTCAACCCGTACCCCCATCCTCCACTCCGCCCTCACCTCCTACCCCACTCTAACCCCCCCGAACCTCACCCCTCTCGACCAGATCCGCTACACAACCATCCCAACTCACCTACAAACCCACTCCCATCTGTCAAAACCCCAACTCCTCCAACTCTTGCACTGGAAACTCTCCCATGGAAAATTCCGTCCCACTCTCCAAAAATTAATCGACTCCAATTCGCCCCAAGTTATTGAAGAAACCACCCGGCGAGCCCTCGCGGAATTCTCCAAAGATGAAAACTCTCCCAAAACAGCACTGAATATCCTTACGGAGTTAAAAGGAATCGGTCCGGCGACGGCTTCGCTGATTCTGGCTTGTAAGGACCCCGAGGGGACCGTCTTCTTTGGGGATGAAGTGGCGCTGTGGGTGCTGGGAAATGGAGATTGGAAGAGGAAATTAAAGTATTCGTTGAAGGAGTATTTGGAGGTGTATGAGAGAGTGAGAGAGGTGAAGGAGGTTTTGGGCTTGAGTGCTGTGGAGGTGGAAAAGGTGGCGTTTGTTTTTGGGAAGAGAGCAAAAGGTGCGGTGGGGGAGAGCAGGATGGGTGTGAAGAGTAAGGTTGAGGATGTGGTGGATGTTGCGGATGGTGCGGAGGAAGTGGGAGGGAAGTCTAGTAAGAGGAAAGTCGAAAAGATTGGAGTGGCGGAGAAGCCTGCGAGCAAGAAAAAGGCCAAGGTTGAAGGGATCTCTCCTCCACCGCCATCATCGGCTGCAGGTACCAGGAGATCTACCCGATCGAGTAAAAAGTCGTGATATTGTGGAGACGCCCGAAGACAGCAGTCTTGGAATGACGCGCTCATCCAACGATCGGTATGAAGGTGCAGATGAAGACCTGTGTGGACTGCCATACCCCACAATATACAACCTATTCTCCCTCCAGTGGATGCATGTACTCGCAGCGGTCTGCCTCGACCCCACCAAGCCTCCACCGTATCACTTATTGAATCCTCGCGGCTCCATCATATCCGGCACCAAGTTTGCTGTATACAACTCTCTCGCGGTCCTCATGGAAAGTGTCAATCCGGACCTCTCTCCGCTTTCTCAAGATTCGCAGGCCCGCGAATTTGAACACGTATGGGAACTTCAATTCCATTTTCTGCTCCAGCACTTTCCCAGTAACACGGCCTTGAAGTCATGGAGTCCTTGCAGTCATTCCAGCGGAGTAGTGTAAGTCCAGAACCCGAACAACTTCCGACAAGGAATAAGAACGCTCCGCCGTTCTCCACGCCTTTTGCCGTTGTCAAAAGATTGGATTCGCGGTCCGGAGTCCGAGCTGTAAGACAGACCAGACCAGACCAGAAGCAATGATTCAATCAATCAACAAATCAAAGAGCGTTCTGCTCCACATATCTCCTCATACTATCCAACTGTGTCTTACCCGTCTGTCCAAACAAACAGATCATCAGCTCAAGGTTCTCACCCCAAAAACTCAATCCCTCACTCTTGAGAGAAGAACAAAATCGACAGGAAGACTCACCGAAACCAAATATCGAACATGTCCCTAACAAAATTCCACATCAGCTTATGATAACCCCACGGTTTGAACAAGATAACAATCGTATCGTAGGAACTCAAACTCACAAGATCATCAACATGTCGAAACCTCTCAAACTCCTCCCTCGCGAAGTCCCGCATTTCCTTTCGTGTATCTTCAATGGGAATTTCTATTCCAAATCATCATCAGCGAACAAATTCAGCAGTTTAAAAAAAAGTACATAAGTACTAGGAGGGATTAAACTACGTACTATTCGTCGCTCGGATAATTTCTCTCCAAAGATTCATGACTTTCTGGCGTTGTAGGAACTAGATTTAAGAAACTGGATATTAGAACGCGAAGCGATTGGAATTCAAGTATTCTCTCACAACACATATCACACACCTGTTCCAAAGAAAGTAAGGGTTTCCCTCTTCCTCGGAGATTTTTGCCCGAGGAGATTGTGGCGTAGCGGCGGAGGGTGGGATACATTGTCTTCTCAATTGTATTCAGATGCCAATAACGAGCGAGGGCTTGTGAGTCGTATCAAATTTGTGATATTGTCATTGACGTTGGAGACACAAAGGACTGGAACTGTGGAAAGTAAAGTGAATGACGAAGAAGGCGGCGGGAAAATCTTCGGCTCGGCCCGAAAGATCGCTGAAACGCGCCTTTGACACGCGTAAACATTGAACCGCGTCCTCTCAGCATCCATCCATCACCTCCATCAACTTCACGCAAACCCCAATCAAAAACCAAAAAAATGTTCAAACGCAAACGCAAATCCTCCCCAATCTCTCCAACCAGCGCCCCCAAAAGATCCACCCTAATAAAATCCCTCAACGCCCTCCCGGAAAATACCTTCCAAACCCGCTTCAGTCCCCAAAATTCCCCCTCCCACAACCACGAAACCACAACCTACACCACCTCCCCCATAATCTTCTCCCAAACCCTCCCTCCAACCCTCCTAAACAAATGCTTCTCCCTCATCGCCACCACAAGTCAACAAGACTACGAAACCTCCTCGTTCGGCTGGCATCCAACCCGGAAACTCCGCGAAATGCAGGATCGAGATATGAGATTTCTTCTCTTGTACTCCTCACCCTCCTCCTCATCCCCTTCAAAAGACGAAGATGAAAATAAAGACGAACAATTCCAGGGTTTCACCTCCTTCACATTCACCCACGACTCCCACCCAGCAGTCCCCGTCCTCTACGTTTACGAAATCCATCTCGTTCCCTCGGCGCAAGGAATCGGGTTGGGGAAATTTCTCATGGATTTGGTTTTGGGAATTGCGAGAAAAGCGGGCGTGGAGAAAGTCATGTTGACGTGTTTTGTGGCGAATGAGAGGGCGTTGGGAGCTTATCGGAAGTGGGGGTTTGGGGTTGATGTTTGTTCGCCTGGGGAGAGGAGGTTGAGGGGGAAGATTTGGAAGGCGGATTATGTGATTATGAGTTTGGAGTTGGGTGGGGATGGGGATGGGGATAGGGAGGGAGGTGAGGGGGAGTGGGAGGATGATGATGATGATGGGGATGGGGAGGTTGAAGTGGGTGAGGATCACGAGGGCGATGATAAATAAGGATGGCGATTGCCACTCGTCCTTGTGATAGGAGATGAGCACTACGGGATCAATCATCGACTATGGAAACTCAAACCCCTCTTAGCGAAATCTCAACGAAGCCAAGGGAGAATAAGAAGCTCCCGCCAAACGAAAAGCCACACGATATCAACATCCCAGACGGAGTAAAAGTCCAGTGACTTGACATCCAAAAACCAGCTCCTCCAGAGAAAGCTTTTGACCAAACCTTCAAGACAATTACCTATGGAATGAAAGCGCATCCAAGAAGAAGAAGAAGAACGGGACGATTTGCAGTAAGGAACGAGATAATTTACAGGAAGCAACGAGATGGTTTTCAGAAAGAGAGAACGGGATGCTTCACAGAAAGAAGCAACGGAAGGAACTGATCAAGAACAGAATGATATTTTGCAGAGGGAATTTGTATATATGTATGGAACGGAATGGAAAGGAAGCTGAGAAAGGAAGCCAAGCAAGGAATTTATTGAGGTTGAGAGGGATGACTTGTAGACTGAAAGGGATGATTCACAGACTGAATGGTGAGATTTGCAGACTTAATCGGATAGTTTGTAAGAGTAAAAGGACAAGCCTTAGCTCCAAGAGGAAGTGCAAGAAGATCTCAAAGCAGAGACGTGAGGAACGAATAGAAACCCTACTTTGGAAATCGACAAGGAATCTTATTAGCGGATTAGCAGGATGAAGTGGGGGATTAAAGGTCTTCCTCGAGGGTGGTGGTGATAAACTGTCATGCATGACTGGTAGGACGATTTCTGCTGGAAACTTGGGGAGTCGTTGCAAACTGCCCTGATATACAAACTCCGCTTTCCATCATTAAACGTCTCATAAAAGATTCACTCTTCGTCTAAATTTCTATAAAAAACAGGGGTATCAATAATCAGCCTCAAACTCCAAGCAAAATCATGCAGCGTGCACGACACACAAATGGAAAGGAGAGATGGGTAACAACTCACAGCTCATCCTTCCCCTTCCTGATCTCCTCCTCCCTCTTGTTCTCCCCCTCCCCACCATCCATAAACCCCTCCAAATCCAACCATTCAGCCGCAAAAGCCGTCGTCAGCACCGCCCAATCCTCCACCGTATCCCCGTGTAAATGCTCCCCATCATCGTCCATCGTATGCCACACCCTGGGAAATGGAGTGGTAATGACATGCAGAATATCCACCCCCCGCGCCATAAATGGTACATGATCATCCTCCACAAACCCACCATTCCAACTGCCCTCCGTCTCTCCTTTATCCCCTTGGTACAAAAACATGGGTTCCTTCCTCTTCTTTCCATCTTTCCTCGCAGGTTTACTGGCATGGTTGGGTGAAGATTTAAACCTGCCGATTTCTCGCAAGCGCTTCTCCGCCGTCGCCATGAGTTGATACGCCCAATGCGTCATTTTGAAGTAAGAGGGGACTTTGGGATCCTTACTGCCGAGGAGATCCAAGAGCACAAAAAGATCAATGCTCGCGAGAGGGGAGTGGTAGGTATTCCACGCCCCATATGCCGTCCCCTCCCACTCCTCGGCGAGAGATCTCGCTCCGTATAAGGAATCCGTATCCGTCCAGGTCTGGAAAGCTTCCTCGCCATCCAGTAATAGGATTTGTACACCTTTGTTCCCCTCCATGTCGAGCTCATCCCTCTTGCCCTGGAGGCTCATTTCCGCCCATTTCTTCGTCAACGCCGCGTCGATAGATCGCGCGGTATGCAGTAGCATCGCGCATGGAGCAGCGGAATCCGTGGCGCCAATGAAGCCTTTGGGTTCTAGTTTACTGTCGTAATGCGCTACCAGCGCCAATCTTCCCACATCTCCGTCGCCTTTTGTCCAGGGAGGATCGCGAGTTGCGATGAGGTTTGTGAAAGGAACCGGGGTGTTAGGGGATGTCGGGGTGGTCGAGGTGGAATTTTGGAAGGAGAGAGTCCAGGATGGGAGATTTTGGGTGAAGAAATCGACGAAATGTTGGAGAACGGCGGTATTGCCTGGCGTTCCGGGAACTCGAGTGCGGAGGATTGGGGAGAGGAGGGAACCGGTGTGGATGTCGAAGTCGGAGCCGGGGGACGGGAGTTTCTGGAGGGTCGAGTCGGAGAGGGCCGTGTACGCGACGCATTCTCGGAGGAGAGTTGGGAGGAGGAGGATGGTTGTGGGGATCTTCATCTTATTGGCGGTGACATCCAAGGGAAGTGGAGGTGGGAGTAGACGTGGAAGTGGAAAGGTAAGGTGGTTGATGTAGGATGGAGCATTGGATACTTGGACCGAAGAATTGCCATGCGCTGGAGAACACTAGAACTACCTCCGAAAGCTAGAGTTAAGCTAGAGAGGTGATTCATTCACCCAACATCTTGCATCCCGTCTCTTACTTAGCTCCAACAATGTCATGTCCTTGTTGAACATCCTCCGCCTCCGGGCCTCGTGCAGGACTATAACGACATCCAAACCACCCACCTCGCTCACATCTCTCACATCAACACCACCCCGCCATGGAATAATTCCCACCTTACCAGCGCGATGGCGCTCCCCCCTCCACCCCACATCCTCCTCCACCCGCCGTCTAGCAAGCAGCAACGCAGCCACCGCAGCCCGCACCCGTATGAAGCCCCCCCTCAAGAACAACCTCCAATTACTCCCCACTAACAATACCCAACAGCACTAATCTTCCCATCCCACATCAACATCTACCGCGCCGGCACCCCCATAACCCTCTTCACCGGCTTCCTCCGCATCTCAACCATCATAATCTTCGCCGCAGGCACCCTCGGAGTGGCTCCAACTTACTTCTTCTCCCCGGACCACTCCAGCCTCTGGGTACCCTTCCTAATCATCGGCTCCGCGATCCCCCTGGCCCTCATAACCTTCATGACAGGCCCCGTAGTCCACGCCATCCACATGCGTCTCCCCACCCCGGCGCGCAAGAGTAAAGCCGAATTGCGACGTTTCGCAGAGGCCGTCCCGGGGGATACGGTGCTGCAGTTGTATTACATGCGTCTGGCGCCTTGGTGTACGAGTAAAGAGGTGCGGATGAATCGGTTGAGGAGGTTGACACCTTCCATCAAGGGAGGTATTGCGAATTTGGAGTACGTGCCTGAACATGCGGAGAAGCATGCGGGGTCGATTTGGTTTTGGTTGGTGCAGGGGTATTGGGGGAGGTATTATGTCAAGAGGGATCAGAGGAGGGATCGGGCACAGGTTGCGGGCGTGTTGGATAAAATGTGGGAGGGTATTCCGTGGAAGGGGAGTCCCGGGGATCCTCTAGTGAGGGGTGCGAGTAAGGGAGAGGAGAGGAGGGTGGTACGGATGAGTGGACGGCCCGGGGTGATGAGTGGGAGGGAGGAGGTGAGGAGGAAAGAGGTGGTGCTTCCTCCTCCTCCGCCGCCGGGAAGCAAGCAGAGGTGATTTGCATGTCACTGTTGTAATAGCAGAAATGTACAGTCTCGAGTTATGCTGTCATCCAAAGTACCTTGACATTCGTAGTAGGGTATCTATCATCAGCGACTGAAACAACAACTTCATTCGCAAATCGTGACCTGCCCGCAGCACCATCATCAAGCAGAGTACATGCCTCCCATCCCATTGAATGTTCATACATACATTTACCATCTCATCGGCCGTATCCCTCTTCCTCTCCCAACCAATCCGTAAACATTCCCTCATCCTCCCCTATCCTTCAACCTTTCACACCGGCTTGTTTTGCAGACGATGCGGGACGCCGTAGCCTGTGAGAAGGAACAGCGTCCCCTCGGTCAGCCTCGGGTTCGTGGAGAGAGTCAAGGTCGAGGTCTCTACCGACTTTCATCCCTGATCAAAGCCACAATCATCGAGTAGAGGTAGAAGAAGAACATCAACAGGTGGAATCCCAGCTTGATAAAAGACTCCTTCTTATGGACGTTGAGTTTGCGGAAGATTTCCGTCGCGTCGAGGAGATGTTGCTTTTCGAGAATCCTACCACAATCACATCGGTCAGTATACCATCATCCTCTCAATCCTCCTTTCTCCCCCAAGATATTCGCGGGAAAGAAACTCACTWCTTCGCATTCCATCCCAACAGCGGCAAGTTCAACAGCAGTGGCAGCCAGTATCCGTTGATGAGGAACAGCACGGTGAGGAAGGCGTGCACGGCGGCTTCGGGGATGATGTACATGTTGAGGCGGTTGCACAGGTCAATCGGGTTGATATAGTCGCATTCGAGATCCGAGTACATGATGGTGAAGAAGACTTGGAGGAAGAGGTTCACTGCATTGAGCAGGACCGCGAGGAGGAATAACCTGTGTGGTGAATGGTCTTCGGTCAGTCATGGGTGGAATCTTCGCGCAGGGCATTTCTCAACATACCACGCCTCGCCAGACATCATGAGTGTGATCTCGCACGCAGCGGAGGGTGTTTAAGGTAGGAGAGGGGGTGGGGTTGTTGTTGCGGAGGAGGTGTGTCTGCGCGGGCTTGTGGGTGGTGGTGTTTCCTGTTGAGCTGCTACTGCTAGGTGTTCCGACGGCTTTTTGTCGGAGTTGGGCGCTTTCTGGAGATCGATGCAGAGGGCGAGAAAGATATCGCTTGCACTGCAAAGGCTGATCGGCGTCAGATTATTATGACCGTCGATTATTGTGTCGTCGATTGCAAAGAAACAATCTCCCGAAGCTACCAAGTGTAAGGTAGGAACTTAGAAGTTAAGAAGTGCTGCTGCCGCTGACCGCTTGGCAGAATGACGATGGAAAGCAGGGATACAGATTTCGAGAGGCTGGTGTGGGGCAAAGTGAAGCATCACCATCACTACCTACAGTACATGTATTATCAACATGCAAGAAGCGAAGTCGTTTGGGACACATCTAAACATCTAACTGTGGCCATTCGTCTTCTCCTCCATATTCTGCCCATTTGCCATGAAGCCTTCCGGCATGGCAACCTTCCCACCAGGAGAGTTCTCCAACCTCGCAGTCAGAATTTCCACGCCCGTTTCAGTCACCAGCAATGTATGCTCGAATTGTGCGGTTCGTGAGCCATCTGTCGTCACGGACGTCCAATCATCCGGCCATGTCTTGTCCTTGTAAGACCCGAGCGTAATCATGGGCTCAATGGTAAAGCACATGCCTGGCTTGGCCTCTCCAATGGCCTTGTTCTTCGCGTAGTGAGGGACATTGGGAGCGCAATGGAAGAGCTGGTTAATGCCATGCCCACAATATGTCTTCACTACCTGGCAGTTTCGCTCCTTGGCAACCTTCTCAATGGTGTTGCCATAATCGCGGAAGAGAGCGCCGGGCTTCACCAATTTGATGGATTCTTCCAGACAGTCGCGCGAGGCCTCCACGACCCTTACATTGTCGGGGTTTTGTGCAGCCGAGTCGCCAATATAGTACGTCTCGTTCAGGTCGCCATGAAAGCCGCCGTGGTAGAGTGTGACATCAATATTGAGAATGTCACCATCCTTGAGCGGTCTGTGGTCGGGTATGCCATGACAGATGACCTCGTTGGGACTTGTGCAGACAGATTTGGGAAAGTGACAGTAGTTGAGTGGGGATGGGTAGGACTGTGATGGACATTAGCGGCCGTAGCTCGGGAGGGATTCATACTTTGACGTACGTCTCGTTCCATGCAAGCATCGTGGACGACCTTGTCGATGTGGTCGGTCGTGACGCCTGGCTTTGCAGCCCGAGCAGCAATGTCGAGCACTTCACGCGCCAACCGACACACTTTTCTCATCCCCTCTTGTTCCTGCTTGGTCAAGACCTTGATTCTGTTGCGACCAGAGAATGCCTGTCGTTGTCAGCCTTTACTCCCATGAACCACATCCTCCATGCACCCACCTGCTCGCTCTTGGGGATGCCATTGCCGGCATAATCTGGAAGCTTTATCCGGTCGGGAACAGTTCGTCGTGGCGAGAGTGGGTAGACGGGTCGCAAGCTACCAGTGAAAGGGTAGGCAGGGAAAGGATTAAAGTGCCCATCTGCGTCTGGTAAGGATACGACGCTCGGGGTAATGATTTTGGAGAGCATACTGTTCTGTGCCTTGTGGATCGTCTTATGTGTACTCTGTCACCGTCCCATCAGTACTTGATATCCTTCAGACGTGCTCGACGTAATGGCATGGCAGGTTTGCTGCGACTGACCTACCCAATTCCTCTTGAAGCATTCCTGGCTGCAAAAGTATGATTCCTTGCCCGCCTTTTGACATGTCGGACATTGTAGCGCGCCGGCATCCTTTTCGCAGTCTGCTCCTTCACACTTTCGCGTCTTCTCCACCGTCACCTCTTGCGCCGGTGCCTGATCCATGATGGCGGCGGAATGCGGGTGAAACTTCACAGGTGTCGATGCGATGAGCTGGTCTGCTCAAATGTGCTTTCGCACGTTGAAATGCAGATGCAGGCGAGCGGATGTTTGCTGATCGACCGTCACACGAGCAGAAAGTCCATTTTGTGATTTTCAATCATCATACCGCGAGTACATGCACCGCCACAGATCAACGCGCCACACCTCACTCTTGCCAAAGTTCCTTACCCATGTCTCTGAAAGTTTGCCGCAGGTCCGAGAGCGGACGAGGGCGGCGCCTTACAATTTCCATGACACCATAGACCACTTGGACCAGTCCAGAAATTGCCTCTTCATCCATGCTTCGTGTTGTTAAGACTTGCGAATCATCCTCCATCATGTCTCCGATCTCATCCGGTGCATTAACAATCATGACCACAAGCAGCCCGACAGCGGAGTGAAAGAAAGCTCAAAGTGAATGAGTTTGCTATTGAAGACAATACTTCCATCGACAGTGGAAACCATTCCCTCGAAAACTTCACCAATTGAAGTGATTGTGCATCATCAACACCACCTCGCATCATCCCTCACAACACCTCCCGTCCCAGCGGAAACATCCGACAATGGGTGAAAGTCGGGGTCTCAAGTGTGTTGTTATCGGTGCCGGGCCCGTGGGTGCCTTAGCGGCTCTCTATGCTGCACGAAGAGGCTGGGATGTGGAAGTCTACGATCTGAGGCCAGGTACGTTGATGATATCCGAGATGGGAGTTCTTCCATCAATGGATGCGTGCTGACACCGACCAGACCTACGAGATGCATCCACCACGCCACTCAACTTCACAAAATCAATCAACTTGGCGCTATCAGAACGTGGCATCAATGCATTGCGAGCTTCTCAATCGCCCGAGCTGTTGAAGTCAATCCTAGCCGAGACGATCCCTATGCATGGTCGCATGATCCACAGCCAGGACAAGAAGGGTGCATTGACGGAAGCTTCTCAACAATACGACATCCATGGCCAGTCGATCAAAGCCGTGGATCGAGGCAACCTCAACAGTCTTTTGCTGGATGAGCTGGAGGGTCTACCCAATGTCAAGCTACGATTCTACCATAAGCTCACCGGTATTGACTTTCGGCGACGCTTGGCATGGCTGGAACAAAAGGGTGCCTCCCGTAGGCAGAGCACAGTAGGGGACAGTCCAAAACTCAGCGATAGTCCCAGGCCGAGCGGACGGCCAGGACGACCCGATGAGATTGAAATCGACTTTGATCTGATCCTCGGCTGTGATGGTGCTCATAGCAGTGCGCGCTTCCACATGATGAAGTTCGCTCGGGTGGATTTTGCCCAGACTTACATTGACACACTGTGGTGTGAGTTCCAGATTCCACCCGCGGCAGAGGGAACGAGCACTACGCCCTCGGCCAAGGATGGTTTCGCCACCAGCCCGAACCATCTTCACATTTGGCCAGGCAGCGACAAGATGTTCATTGCGATTCCCAGCGTGGACAAGTCTTTTACGTCCACCCTCTTCGCCCCATACGAGGACTTTCTCGCCCTGGAAGACGATCCTTCAAAAGTGGAGCTCTTCTTCAACCAGAACTTCCCAGGCGCAGCTGATCTCATCGGACCGGGGGAGATTCGCAACCAGTTCATGGCGAACCCTCATCTACCGCTCATGAGTATCAAGTGCGCGCCACATGTCTTCGATTCCAGTGGTGTCATACTGGGAGATGCTGCGCATGCCATGGTTCCGTTCTATGGACAAGGTATGAACGCCGGTCTGGAAGATGTTAGAGTTCTCTTCTCCCACCTTGACAGCCAACCTACCAGCCATGAAGGCCGTGCCAAGGCGTTGGAGTCCTACAATGCCGAGAGGATTTCAGATGCACATTCCATCAATGATCTCTCACTGGCCAACTACTGGGAGATGCACGTTGGTGTCAACTCAACGATTCATCTGCTGCGCAAGAAGATTGAGGAGTTTCTCTCGGACAAATTCCCCAGCACAGGCTTTGCCACGCAATACACTCGCGTCAGCTTCAGCAATCAGCGGTACTCGGAGGTTGTCAAGGTTGTGGCCCGCCAAAAGCAGATTCTGCTTCAAGGCATGCTAGGGTCTGTGCTGCTGCCCGCAGCCGGTTTGGCCGTATGGATGGCATCAAGGTGGCACCGTGGAGGGAGTGCACCAGATCTTATCAGCGGGGCGCGGTTTGCGCTCGATCGTGTTGCGCGGGTCTTAAGGTGGTGATGGAGCTGTCATAAATATTTGTCTGCGACCACAGAAATGCTCTCCTGTTTGGGATTTGATACCACAGACCGGTTTCGCGCGGACCTGACCTATCCTCCCCCATCTTTTGCTCGTTCAAATCTCAATGCCCCTCCATCACACTCTCGCTGTCTTTCTCCAATTGTGCGGCAAGTATTCTGTTGCCGGTCCAAGTTGCTGACATGGGCTGCGTGCTCAGCGTCCCAGATACAATGTCGTGGATCATGAAAACCACCAAAAATGCCGAACGAGACGAGGCGCTGCGCAAGCTGGATTTAATCGTCCCGCCGTCGCAAGATGATGTTGACGCTGGGACGAAGAAGTGCACCGGATGGGCTTCATTCATCAACAAAACTGAACGACAGACATTCATTTGTGAGATAATCACTTCCCACTGCGAGAAGGTACTCGGTCGCTGATAAAATCTGCAGCAAATGCCTACACGGTCTTGACGAACAACGCAGAGGACAGCCTTAGTGGTTTCGAAGTCAAGCTGAATGTTACAATCGATGATACGGGCAGAAGATGGCACGCCGCCCTTAGCGCTGTGAACAAGCAGCGCAAAGTGGCCAGGTCTATCTCCTCGCCTCAATCCGGTGATACGCCAGGACTCGCACTTGCTGCTTTGGTAGATACCGTCGCGCAGGAAGCGAGGGCTATCCTAAGCCGTTCAAACGTAGGTGTGGCTGGTCCATTCATAATGAGCACAATCCAGGACAGAAAGCAGGCGAAGACGGAGCCAGACGACGCTCCGTTACCTTTCGATTCAAGGCCCTCGCAACCTCGCCTACATGCTGATGTCTCCTCGGCGAGGAATGGGAAAGAGTACAACAAGAAGCTGCGGGAACCGACACAAGTGAATGCCTATGGTAGACAGCGCATTGTTCAGAGAAACTCCTATCCTGTCCCACAGGGGCAACCGGCGGCTATGAATTACAGACTACCCGGTGGTTACGAGCGACATCCAATGATGGACGCTCCACAAAAGAGGGAAACGGTCGAGCGACACTCTCTTGTTGATGTTCTAGCTGAGCCGGCTGCTGTACATCATGACCCGCGTTCAGCCCGCGCGCATCGTCCCTCGACAGGAGCTCTACGACATCCCGAGAGACAACGCCGTTCAGCTGTCGAACAGCACGCCCCCACCAACGACCTGCTCCAGCCGTGGGCTGTCCATAGCGGACGTGTTCAACCCGTACCGGCTCCAGAAGTAGAGGAAGGCTTGGTGAATTGGGCAGCTTCCTTCAAAGAGGCAAACGACGCCGATACAAAAATTCCCATGGCCGACACGCGCCCCCGCGCCGCCACTCTCTTCGAGGAAGTCATAATGAGACAGGGTCATACGCTAGCCAACCCAAGCGTTCTCCAAGCAGCTCGAGGTGCCTACCCTGTGTCAGGCCCTCATCATCGACTGTACCACCAGAAAGATGGCGATGGACCTCCCGTAAGGTTACCTTCGGTGAGGAGACATCCCCGCATTGTGGATCCCAATCAAGTTCTTTTCCAAGGCGAGGGAGGGATTGCACACACGAGACATTTGCCAGTACCTCCGCCAAGCCACAGCAGGGATGTCCGTCCACATGGGAAAGTCCCAGAGATGGTGCAGCGTCCGGTCAGGTATGGTTCCCAGTCGGAGAACCTGGAAGGACCTTCCGGGACTGTCACGGTCTCAGCACAGGGATCCCACAATGGCAGTCAAAAATCCGCCATAGCGTCCTCTTCGAAGCAGAGGCATCACCACGACGATGCTGAGACCATTGCGGAACATGCCAATGGCTCTTCGCAGTCGGAATACGGGCAAAGAGACCAAACTGTCACAACGAGAAGTGTCTCATCAATTCCAGATCGTTATCGTCACCGCAGATCAGGAGCCGTCATGTCGCAGCGCGCAGTACTCCATCAACCAGTTCGTCGCTACCAGAGCGCAGAAGCGATCATCACAAGCACCTCAAAGACCCCAATCCCCAGCTCAAACTCAGCAAAAACAAAAGCCTCGGCCACAAAAGACAGCGGCATGGACATTCGTATTACTGAAAGCTCACCCCCGATCACTCACCCTGATCCCCGAATCACCGGAGCCGCGAGCCCGATACTGTCGGATTTCGGAGGCATCGAACCCGTCGCCGCAACGAGGATAGCTCCTGATCCTGGTGGAAGGCCTGTGGCGCGGATTGAATCGATGAACTCCATTCGCTCGCAGCCGGTGGTGGTGACGAGACGTGAATCGATGAACTCCATTCGCTCGCAGCAGCCGGTAGTGACGAGACGTGAATCGATGAACTCCATTCGCTCGCAGCAGCNTGAATCGATGAACTCCATTCGCTCGCAGCAGCCGGTAGTGACGAGACGTGAATCGATGAACTCCATTCGCTCGCAGCAGCCGGTGGTGACGAGACATGAATCGATGAACTCCATTCGCTCGCAGCAGCCGGTGGTGACGAGACGTGAATCGATGACTTCTGTTCGATCGCAGGATTCTACTGCTCTGGTGGCTGGGGATTCGACGGTACCTATTGTTCGCTTGCCTCCGGTTCCGTCACATGCGCCTGGATCTATTGCTCGCTTGCCGCCGGTAGATGAGCTGAGCGTTGCTGTGATGGAAGGGGGTGAGTGAGTGAGGGAGTGAGTGAGAGAGGTGGTGCTTATGTTACACACTTACGCACGAGGGGTGGATTGGTAAGGATTTGGTTGMGAAGGAGCTGCTTCTTGACATCTCTTTTGGGGGATGCTTACTTTCATGCACGAATTTTTGGGAGTTTTGGGTTGAGTTTTTGTGATTTCTATGATTGAACGACTGGATGAGTGCACGATGGGACGATTGGACGATTGGAAAATTGGACGATTGGACAATGACTATTTTTACGGATACGATTATTTTACGGATACGATCAATGGGGTTGCTGGCTTTGGAGGATACATCATCATGGCAATGACAGGTAACAAAGAGATTGAGCTTATAATCTGTAGCCGCGTGGTATGTATGTATGTATGCATGCAAATCAAGAAGTCCTTACAATTGACCACCATCATCATCAATCACCACATTGATTATGCAATCGCTTTCTCCGCACGCCAAAGAATCAGTCGATGGTCAAAACCACCACTAACCAACATTTCCTCCCCGTCCACCATCCCAGCCCACAAACACCTTACTTTTGTCCCAGCATCATGTCCTCGTAGAGTAACAGCCACTTTACCCGTCTTCGCCTCGATACCTCTCACAGCCCCATCATCGCCATTCACCCACACACCACTCCCATCCGGCCGCCACGCTACAGCAGGTGTAGAATAGACGGTCTGAGGCGCCATGGTCGTACTGTGGATTTCAATCGCTTGGTCTTCGCGATTCGCAACTATTAGCGCGGCACGTGCTTGTGAGGCTTGGGTTTCTCTCGCGGGGTCATCCGAGTCCAAGAGAGAGGCGGGCGCGGTTAGCATGGCTGTTGGTGGTGCGGGTGTGGTAGTCCCTTCCCATGGTGGGAAGAGTAATCGGACTAGAAGCAATTTCATATGTGGGACGGACGATGTGCCGACTGCTACTAGAGTTGGGTCCGTGGGACAGAGCTCCATTGCTGACGGGCTGAATGCGACCCATGCATTTGAGTGAGGGGCAAGATTCTGTCGGCCCAGGAGGCGCGGGGTGCTTTCAATCGTGTAGTATGTAAGCAGCGTGGAATCTGTTCTGCTGACGAGCAGGATCGGTTCGTTGTTGTCGGGGTGTTTGACGAAGAGGATTGCTTCCGGTTTGGTCGACAGTGGGATTTCTGCAACAGGTTCACCGAGCTCGATACTGGAAGGCGAAATGGTGGGCTTGTAGATCAGGATCTTACCATCCCAGCCTGCAGTAGCGATGACGGGTGTCGTTGGATCGTCGTGTATGGCGACTTTGACGACATACTTGGAGTGGTCTCGACGTTTTTGAAACACTGTTCCGGCGTAGTCGCTTRGATGCAGCTGGCCTGACATGGAAGAAGAGAGTATGTTCGTCTTTCCGAATGCGGAGCACGAGAGGACCGGGGAGTCATGAATGCCAGAGTGAGATGCGCTGAGTGTGTTGGTTCGTACATCTAGAATGTGGAGCCGACGGTCTGCCGTTGTTGTGAGTAGCACGGGATGCGAGGCTCTGTGTGAGTGTCAGCAAACCGGTGATTCCTCGAGGAAGATCTCCCAAATGCTTCAATCATCCGGAAAGGCGATGCATCCAGAGGTAGTTGCTCGCAAAAAGGGGCATCGACCTACCCTTCTTCATTCTCGTCGAAAGTCTCTATCCTTGCACTGAGTATATTGGATGCCGTAGGAAAAACGTCAACTATGCTCGGGATCGAAGGTGCTACATTGAACATTAGATCTGCTTCAAAATCTCACCAGTCTCCTGCATAGTCTTACCGTGCGAAGTCCAACCATCATCCCCTTCCTTGACGCCCAACTTTTCAAATCTCACCGATACGTCAAAGTTTCTCTTCTCCTCAAGCAGAGTCTCCAAAGTCAAGTCCCCTTTAGATGTTGTTCCTGCTTCGCTTGACAGTCCAGCCTCGTGGATGAAAGCTTCGTACGACTATGGACGATGGATCTTAGCAAGTCGTCAGTGAAATATTGTTTGGAGAATAGGCGTGGCAAACCTCGTTGAAGTGGTTGGCCTTGAGATATCGGGCCACGAGTGTGGCCGATTCCTTGAGCGACATCACCAGAGGTTCTTCTAAGCACTTTATGCGTGAGCAGAATCTGGGAGTCGTACTTGGTGAATTGATGTGTAAAGGTTTCTCATATCGTGCCTGAGGTGCCTGACATATTGTATGCTCACGACTTTCTAAAGCGAGTGTCGATCTGGCGCCAAGAGCTTGTGCCGCAACTTCATCTCTCGCTGTTCGCCTGCTGCTTGAAGGACCGTCGTCCACAACCTTCCTGCTTTATCATCGCGCTGCTGCAGGCTCGAGACAGTCTTCGGCTTTCGGACAATAGTATGCCGTCTATCACTGCACGTCGTTCTCCACCAGCATACCACCTCTGTGACATCATATCGCGTCCGGGGTTCCGGTAAACCCTTGATCCTTCACACGAAACTGTCGATCTTTCGCTGTGAAGGAGTCGTCATTCATCTCCAAGTTGTCGATGCTCTTTACACCATCACTGCACATGCTGTTCCGCCGGGGTTGGATGGACATGCCCCTTGTTTACCGGCATAGCCTGAGCGCTCCAGCAGAGTGAGGTGTAATGCGTCCATGCTTCCTCGCATGCAGCAGACAGGTGCAGCAATACTCCACAAAATCCAATGCATCCACCTTGCTAGTCAGCACACAGCTGCATATCGGGGTTTCGTGAATGTCCGTTGGCACGAGGATGCTACGTAGATGACCAATGCTTCCTCTGTGAGATATGGTTCGGGTGATTGATTCACAAACATCCATCAGTACGTATTGTACCAGGGCTCCCGCGTTTGGTCGTTCATATCAACAGCAGCTATGTCTACTGTCAGCCTATCTTTGTCGCTCTGTGTGCTGGCCCTCTGCTATTATGTGATCGTATGTACTTGACCCATCTAAACTCTCGCTAAACTGACTGTATGACTTGTAGACAACAGTCTTCAAAGATCCACTTCGACATGTTCCAGGTCCTGCATTGGCCAGATGGACATCTCTAGGGACCAAATCCCGAACGCTTCGAGGATCAAGATCGAGATACATCCATGGCCTACATCAGAAATACGGTAGGTCTCCAATCCTTTCCCATCGGACCGCCCGTATTCCAGTCTTCGGTCTTGACTGATATCWCCCCTAGGACCAATTGTCAGATTGGCACCCAATGAGGTCTCCACGATAGATCTACCCTCCGTACATACAATCTACAAAGTCGGATCTCCATTCCCCAAGTCTGAATGGTACACGCGCTTCACCGGCCTTGCGAAGCTAAAGGCCACGCCCCTTTTCAGCATGACAAACTCAAAGGAGCACGCAAAGCACCGTCGCGTGCAAGCACATAATTTCAGCGAGAAATGGATCAAAAATCTCGAACCCAATATTGTCCGCAACATCGCAATGACAGTCTCGGGAATGAAGCAGGAGACGGAAACACAAGGTTACATGGATGTTCTGAAGTGGTTCACGTTCATGGCAACAGATGTGATTGGTGAAGCATCCTTTGGGGAGAGCTTCAAATTGTTGGAAGCTGGCAAGGTTTGATGTCGGCTTTATATGAATGACCAGTAGCTGACTTGAAAACAGAAGAATCAATACACTGAAGACCTAGAAGCTGCTGGAGCCAGGGGTTTACTCGCGGCCGAGTTGCCTATATATGTTGATCTGCTCAGCCGCTTGCCATTTGGTCCCGCCGTCACTGCCAAGRAGGGGAACATGAGGATAGCAACGTACGGAATGCAGTCTCTAGAGCGCTACAAGAAGCAACTAGATGCCGATCCGGACAAGGTGAAGCCGACTCTGTTAACCAATACATATCGTCTCGTGGACGACGGGACTGTTCCCAAAGACCAACTACTTCGAGATGGTGGGTTCCCCATTCCGGGTCGATTCATATGCTGACGAAATGACAGCAATGGGAAACCTCATAGCTGGAACCGATACCACTTCCGTCACTGCAACATACCTATTGTGGAATCTTGCAAATCACCCAGCTCTYCAAGCACGGGTCATAGCCGAGGTGGAGAAGCTCCCAGTCGATTGCACAGACGATGACATTCGAAAAGTTGAGCTCTTCGAGCATGTCCTCAATGAGACCTTGAGGCTTTGCGGACCTGCATCTGGTTCAATGCCTCGAGACGTGCCCGCAGGAGGGCTCACGGTTTGCGGTCACCACATTCCGAGCGGAACGACCATATCCACGCAATCATACAGCCTGCATCGTATTGCGGATGTGTGGGAGAATGTCGACAATTTCGACCCATTGAGATGGGAGTCGCCGACTAAAGAGATGAAGGATGCATTTCTGCCGTGGGGAGGTGGGAGTCGAGGTAAGAACTCTCAACAACATACCTCGAGTGAGAGCTCAATTGACATACTGTCCCGATCCAGTCTGCATAGGAATGCATTTTGCGCAGGTTGAGATCCGCCGGGCTATTGTCGATTTCTACAGGACATTCCCAAGAGGCGTCCGGCCAGCTTTCGATGATGATGATTTCAGCCAGGAGGAAATGTTGCAGGAATCATTCTTCATAGTCCGCCCAAAGGGGAGGCGATGTCTGCTGCGACCACTTTGAAGACCCCAGATCTGTGATGTAGAGCCCTGGCGTCTCAGATCGCTGATGACTCAGATGACTCGTTGACTTCAAGGAACGCTAGTGGTGGTAAAGGGACCCGCAAAAACACGATTAGAATGCACTATGTATGTGCAGATGCACAACGGTCGATCTCATCTAATTCAGTTAGCCGCAGCCATGATGAGGCCAGATTTGACCTTCACCGCTGTGCGCTTCACGTTATGTGTTCCTATCCAAGTAAAGCATGAATGAGAATGTAAGTAGACCCAGCCGCTGATGTTAGAATCGCTCCGATGTTAGACTCCCCTACTCTCATTGCTGGAACGTTGGTGTCAACACGAGTGTCAGTACACGCACTCGTAGCTTTTGACCTGAAGCGTCATGGTAACACTAGTTGGGCGGTGGAGGRGGAGGAATGTCGCTTGGTGGGGGTGGCGGTGGAGCGTCGTAAGTGGGAGGTGGTGGTGGTGGAGCCTCGTAGGGCATACCGGGAGGGGCGTATCCGTAGCCAGGCTGTTGCTGAGGTTGCTGCTGCTGCCATGGAGCCATACCGCCGCCGCCGCCGCCGCCGCCTGCCCAAGGTGGTGGACCACCTGCTGGCGGACCAGCGTTGTATCCAGCGTTGTAGCCTCCTTGGTTGCCTTGATAGTTGTTGTTGTCGCGTCCACGCTGCCAAGGGGCTGGGCCACCGGTAGGTTCAGGGCGTTGGGCCCATGGAGCCGGGGCACCGGTCGGGCCCTTCGCCCATGGCGCGGCCGCTCTTTGTGGCGCGCCTGCGTCGCCTTGTGGAGCAACACCCTCCTCCCAACCAATCTGGCGGCTTGCGTTCGCAGTGCTGTCTCCGCCTCCACCGATCGCCTTCATCATGTTCTCGTAGTCATTGTCCAAGGCGTTTGTAGGGGCGCCACGAGGCGGCAAATTGCGGAAGTCGGTTCCACGGGCCCGGTCTGGACAGTCGCGGGCCATGTGACCGGCATTTCCACAGACACGGCAGATGATAGTGGCAGTGAAGTTGCGCTGCTGCGGGCAGTCGTACTTTCGGTGTCCAATTTCACCGCAGTTCTGGCAAGCTTGATTCTCATCGTCTCTGAGAGTACCGTTGAGTGCTGCAAGTTCACGAAGCTGGTTGCGCTTCAGCTCGTTCTGGCCTTCTGGAATAGATGCAGCCTGAGCAATGTCAATGTCTGTTCGCCACAATTTGAAAAAAGGATACCAACGTACCGTCTCAATGACATTGTGAATCAACTCCTTGGCTTTGTTCACTTTATCCTCAGTATCCGCCATGATCAAGCAATGCAAGTCCTCGTCGAGGTTGCTAGAGTGAGCCGCATCGGATTTGCCCTTGCCTTCTTTAACTGAGCCTTTACCACGAATGGCGATCTTGGCGCCGGACTGAGTTTCCATCTTTTTGAGAGTGTTACCACGAGGGCCGATAAGCAGGCCGACTGTTAGWGAAGAAAAGCTAGGTGTTAGTCATTGTTCGTGGAAAGTGCAGGGAGCGCGTTAGCAGCAAGGAGTCAGCCCAGCTTTTGATCGCCAGTAACACAGAGTGCGGGAATGGGTATTGTGCGAGGGAACGGGTTAGTGGTGGGTTAGAATGCATACTGAAATTGATCTYCGGGTAGTCATTCACGGGCACGTAGACCTTCTCCTGCGTCTTGGTGGGACGACGGTAGTCGGATGGCGGGTGGTAGCTGGGGATGATCTTCATAGCCTTCTCAATAGCCTTGTGACGTTCCTCTTCCAGCTTTTTGCGGTAGCGGAACTCGCGCGTGTTGGTACGACGACCAAAGTTGTCGTACTGCGGTGCGGGCGAAGGCGAGCTTTGTCACCACACGTCAGTTACTTTGGTCATTGAAGAGGGGATATGTATCGACTCACCGGTCTCCGTCAGCTGGAACAACATCATTGATACGCAGCTTCTGACTGATCTCCTCGATGCGCAAATGCGTCACGTAGGCATCCAGTTGCTCGGCCGTCATTGGCGCAGTGATGGCAGTCGGCAGATTCATGAGGCCTGCCGCCTTGTTGTCCGCCGCATCGCCCCAGCGGTTACGCTTGCGACGCTTCTTGGTGCCATCCGGGTTGAGTTCTGGCTCGGCCTTGACTCTGACCTCAGGGCTGCGGCCGCGCTTCATGTCGCGCTGTGGCTCATCTGCGGGCGGCGACCCCTCGTCATTGTCAAAGCGCCGCTTGCCGAGCGGAATGGTGTTGGCACCGGTTTGTCCGGTCTGTCTCCACGACATGTTGGTTGTGTGAAGATGGGTGATGGTGTGGTGGTAGGGAGGGGATGGATGTCGAGCGAGCAGAGGTCGAGGACGAAGAGGTTCTAGTTAAGCTTCTGCAGCGTTCCCCATTGGTATTAGCTTTCTTGACACGTGCGCAAAAATAGGGTAACGCGATCTTCCGCCTGCTCCCTGCTCACACATTCTCTCTAATCCAACCAACTCCATCACTATATACTCACCCTCAGTCAGAATGTCACGCGGCGGAGCTGGAAATATTTTGGCTATACAGCAGGAGAAAGCCCGATTAAGTGCAGATGTGGAAGCCCAGCTCCAGCGGACAATCGACTCCGCCCCCGCGCAGATAATCAGAACGCAAGAGTACGCTCATAGCGGTAGAGGTGGAAGCGGGAACTACTACTCTCCCAAGACTCTGAAAGAGACTGGACATTTCGGCCATCAAAACCCCATGGCAGACGCACGCGGCCAGCAACAGACTAATGGCCAGCCCGTTCCTGTGGCTAAATATGGACGAGGAGGAATGGGTAACATGGTTTACGGCGTGGCTGAAAGCGAGCAGAATAAGAACGAAGATGACAAGCTGAAGCGCGAGAAGATTGAGGTGGAGAGCGAACGTGAAGCTGAGCAAAGCATCGCTTTACCTCCAAAAGCGAAGTTACCGCTGCCAGGATACGATCCGACTGAGTCAAATCAAGACATATGAATGCATACCAGGCTGTGCGATACTGCTACAGCGTCGCTTTGTGGCGCAATGCGTCCGATACAGGTGCGCTTGCCAAAAGTCTCAGCGATGATGCCCTACCCTCGGGCCAATCTAGATCGCCTCTTCTCTTGACCCTCCTACAGCATTGATTGCAGAGGAAGAAACCTGGTGGACAGTAGTCACCCATCGCGGGCGTTGGATGTTGTGTTCGGCCACTTTCAGATGTGCCTGCACTCGAATAGATCTATTGAACCTTTCTAGCAGGTGCCAGTGGTCTTGTAAGAGTATCACTGGTGTCAGCGATGTCGGTGTTTGCTCCTACACGCTGAATCTCGCTCCTTCGAGATGAGGCGGAGAAACAGGAAGGGTTTCCAGCTCGCTCGCTGAAGCAGCGCGAACCAATATTTGCTCTTGTAATGTTCAACTCCCAGCGGGAAACGCGGAATGGGCGGCTTTTGATACTGCAGACTTCTGTGGCTGTACGCAACCATGCCACGGATCGCTGAAGACAACGCGCCATGACCACAGTGCACCTCGACTTGATGCATTCTATTTCATCTTTCGGCTGATGCCCTGGCGTCGTCACAGGCTCGCGAGGAGTTTAAGCACTGGGGTATTGACGGAACTTGTCGGGTGTTCGTAGCAGAAGTGGACATTCCGTCATCAAGGATAACTTCCAAAGAGACTCTGGGTAGACTGGCAATGGAGAATAAGGCTGCCCAATGACTTTTGCTCGTCCTTCTCAAAAGGAGACCGTCTTCCATACTCCGGCGCCTGGCCCCGAAATGACTTTACATGTTTCTCGTTTCTCATGGAGTGTAGTCGATCATACAGTAATTGTCTGAGAACCTGACGTGCTTGCACGTGAAGTTATCTTGATTTCGTCGATAGTTGATATAGTTGACGCAGATTGAGATCTTGATCTGGAGGGACCTGCATTAGCGTCGCACTAAGATCGCCCAAGCGCGATCGACATTGCATCGTCATCACCTACTCCATTCACACGACATAGCATCACCTTTCTCTTTTTCCGACCGAGCCACTCGCCAACTCACCGACAACTTCATCAACATTGAAGCCTTACCACGCGTTGTTGCCATTCTCGGAATATCGCAACGCCACGTGTCATTATCCATTCACTCCTTATCGCCCACGAGACAACTGATCATTCGCATAACAAGGTCTTTCCTGTTCACCAGCAAGCTTCATAGATTTCCACCTCACCAAGCTCTCAATATGGCTCGATCATTGAGATCGTCCACGACAAAGGCTGCTGAACCTACTCAGCTCTCCAGTCCACCAGCAACCCCAGCGACGACCAAGAAATCGCCGGCTCGTGCGAAGAAGAATGCGACAGTCGCCAAGGAGCAACTGAGCACACCTGCCAGTAATCGCAAACGTCCCCGCAAGGCCGTCAAACAAGAACCTGAGGGAGATGTGAACGATTTGCCCCACAATCTTGGTCCACTTCGCACTCCTGCCGGCGACGATGAGTTAGAATCGTCTCCTCCCAAAAAGCGGACCAAAAGGGCAAAGGGCTCACCGACCGCTGCCAAGATGGAAGAGATCCCAGAGGCACAGATGGAAGACGTCCCAGAAGCAACTCCGAAGAAGTCACCTAAGAAAAAGGCCAACTATGGCCTGACTCCTGGCACGTCTCCGTACCCAGACTACCTTCGGCCAACCCCAGAAGAGTGCCATGAAGTAGTTCGTTTGTTGGAGAAAGTGCATGGCAAGGTTGTGGCCCCAAAGACTATTGCTGAGCCATCTCTCGATGTTGCGGGATGTGGAGAGGTGCCCTCTGTACTCGACGCACTGATCAGGACACGACTAAGCGCGAACACCACAAACAAGAACTCTTCAACAGCGTTTCAAGGTCTCGTGGCTCGATTCGGTACGCTGAAGGAAGGTGTCGGAAAGGGCTCTGTGGATTGGGACGCCGTTCGTACCGCCCCGAACCGAGAGGTTTTTAAAGCAATCGAGAGAGGAGGGCTTGCAAATGTGAAATCGAAAGATATTCAGGCGATCCTTCAGATGGCGTACGAAGAGAATCAGGCGCGTGGTGCAGCTCTCGCCGATCCGTCCAACGACCCGGCTGGCGCTGAGAACGAGCCAGAGAGCGAGAAGCAGGAAGAGATCAGCAAGGCGAAGCAGAACGTCATCTCATTGGACTACATCCATTTGCTCAGCACGAGCGAGGCCATCGACAAGATGCTGACATTCCCTGGAATCGGACCTAAGACCGCTTCCTGCGTGGCTCTGTTCTGTCTTCAAYGACCTTCATTTGCAGTGGATACGCACGTGTTCCGCCTGTGCAAATACCTTGGCTGGGTTCCGAGCTCCACTAAGAAAGGCGAGCCCAAGGTTGATCGCAATACTGTGTACTCCCACTGCGATGTTCGGCTTCCCGACGAGCTGAAGTATCCTCTGCACCAGCTTCTGATCCGCCATGGCAAGGTCTGCCCACGATGCCGGGCGATCACGAGCAACCAAAGTGCAGGATGGGAAGAAGGATGTCCGATCGAGCATCTCGTGAAGAGACATGGCGCGAGGAAGGGTGGAGTATCGGTGAAGGATCGGAAGAAGGCCAAAGGTGCCGCCGTTGAGGATGAAGACGACGACGATGAGGTTGGCGAGGTTGACGAGGGCGAAGATGGCGAGCTTAGCGATGTGCCGTCAGATGTTGACGAGGATTGATCGAGTGATTGTTCGATGGCTCTGAGCAGGGTGCAAACAGGAACCCTGCCGAATCTTCTGCAGCTGCGAGTCCCTTATGAAGCTGTACAATGACATGTTGAAGTACTTGAGTGAATCTCTCTGGTGTCATCGTTCGATGCATCAAATTGGAATGATGTGTTAAGAGTTCGCCAATCCAGTCGAGATCAAAGGGTAGACTCGCTCTCTGAATGACCTGCCTGATGTGTGTGGAGGTTTCTAAATTAAAGACGTGGATGTTTCGTGATCTGGACTTCGCGCTTTCGCGTTTGCCTTGTCGCCCGTAGCAACCGGCTCGAGCCGGGAGGACGTGAGAACGAGTAGGCCGTGATGAGTAGAGATCAAGACAATAATGAGCGAGAAGAGGTGAGAGGACATTGCCATCCAAATACTCCAGCAGACTAATCCCAGTCGTACTGCCAGGATAGACTCCCATCGCTCTCCCACTCGCAAAGGAGCTTTTCGTCCTATCAATACGCTGCATTCGCCTAGAAAGCCCGACTTCGCCTTGACCAGCAGTTCTCACGTCTTCTCAAAACCAGGAATCGACTTTTCGGCCATGGTTCGTGAGCGCAGTCCTAGCAGGACATCTTCTGGAAAGCATCTTTCTCCACAAAAGCGAAATCAAGACCAAGCGCGGGCGCCGTTGGCAAAGTGAGCGCAAAAACATCCCACTTTCGGATGACGTGCCGCATCTAACAACATCAACTCTTCTTACAGCATCTCCGCGCGCATTCAGTCTCCATCCAACACACATCGATCCTCCACCGACATGGCGGGCAACGATGATGTCGAGTTTGGCAAGGCCAGTCCCATGCGCAACCCGCTGCATCCGCAACCCCGACCACCGCCCAAGAAAGCACCGGCCAGCGTGTTCATCCCCAGAGCGCGTCCCTCGCAGCAACCGGGACAACAACAGCAGCAGCGCCAGGTCAGCGGATCCGACGCACGCAATGCTGGCTTCGTTCTACCGGGCCAGCGCCCAGCCCAACCTCCCGCTCCAAACACTCAGTCTACCTCCCTCTCCGCAGCACTAGAGTCAATGAGCCTGCAGCACCGCAACTTTTCCAACGACTCCGATTTCACCGAAATCGCGCGACCCGCCAACATGCCTCTAAAAGCGATACATCCCCCCTCTCAGCCAGTGTTTTCATCCAGAAATCCAGTGCCCTTCAAACCGCTGGCACCGCCGCGCAATGTCATCACCATTGACGACAGTGACGAAGGGGAGCGTTTCGATCCGGACGCKGAGATTCGAAAGACCAGCGGTAGATTTGGCACCGAGGACCCACTCATGTACGTCGATTCAAGTCGTGCAAATGAAAACATCAAAAACCTACTCGAGGGCGCTTTCGACGACGAGGAGGAGAAGGGTAGGACCCGACTCCGCAAACGCATCAAGAAGGTCGAAGCCGAGCAGAAAGAGGTTAAGGGCCTTTCTGCTAGACTCGCGGCACTGGATGTGAAGGCGGAGGAGAAAGAGAACGAAGACGAGGAAGACGAAGAGGAGGAGGAGGATGGCACAGTTGATGGTCTCACTGTTAAGCTGCTTCCTCATCAGGTCGAAGGTGTTTCCTGGATGATTGACAAGGAGATTGGCAGAACGAAGACGAGAGGTGTCTTGCCCAACGGCGGCATTCTCGCTGACGACATGGGTCTAGGCAAGACGGTCCAATCTGTGGCCTTGATTCTGACCAACCCTCGTCCAGCACTCGATGCGAAGCCGGAGCATAAAAACCAGAAACTTCCGTCGAAAGAGGTCAACAAGGGCACACTAGTTGTAGCTCCACTTGCACTCATCAAGCAGTGGGAAGCCGAGATCAAGACGAAGGTGACTAAGAGTCATGCATTGAAGGTGCTTGTCCATCATGGCCCCAACCGCACCAAATCTAGTGCGGAGCTCAAGAGATACGATGTGGTCATCACTACTTTCCAAACCCTCACCTCGGAGCATGCTGGATCCAACATGACAGTCAGCAGCGGCAGTCGTATCGGCTGCTTTGGTGTGCACTGGTACCGCATCATGCTGGATGAAGCACACAGCATAAAAAACCGCAATGCGAAGTCCACGCTCGCGTGTTGTGCACTAAACGGCTGGTATCGTTGGTGCTTGACCGGTACACCACTTCAGAACAATTTGGATGAACTACAGAGCTTGATCAAGTTCTTGCGTATCAAGCCGTATTGCGAGTTGCCTGCGTGGAAGGACGCCATCACCCAGCCAATGAAAGCTGGTCGCGGCGGACTTGCAATGAGGAGGTTGCAGGTCTTCCTCAAAGCGTTCATGAAGCGTCGGACCAAGGACATCCTCAAGCTTGACGGTGCTCTCAACTTTGGTGGAAAAGGAAAGGAGAATAATGGTGGTATGCAGATCGTCAAGCGGGAAGTACTTACTGTGGAGTGCGATTTTGATCCTCAGGAGAAGGAGTTCTACGACCGCCTCCAAGACAGGGCTGACAAGAGACTGCAAGACATGATGGATGGGAGCCATAAAACCGATTACATTGGGGCATTGGTTCTACTGCTACGGCTGAGACAAATGTGCGACCACCMCCAGTTGATCGAGATGGCTATGAGCAAGGACAAAGACGCGATGACCACTGGAACTTCAAACAAGAGTGGCAAGGTAGAAGATGAGGAGATTGACGATCTCGCTGCGCTGRTGGGAGGTGTTAGTGTGCAGGCCAAGCATTGCGATGTCTGTCAGATCAAACTTTCATCGGAAGAAGCGAGAGATAGTGCAGTGAGGTGCAGTGAATGCGAGGCAGATATTGTGCAGATGAAGGAGAAAGACCGGAGCAAAGGCAGGAAAGTGAAGAAGGAGAAGTCAAAAGTCAAGAAGATCAAGGCTGAGGTCAAAGTCGAGGCCAAGACCGATCAACGTCGGGCAAGAAGTCGCAAGATCATTGCGGACAGTGACGATGAGGGGGAGGAAGAGGAGCAGGATGCCGGCGAGTGGATCGCGAAGGGGCCCGAAGAAGAGATCGATCTTGGTCGGGCTGGAGGGTCCGACGATGAGGATGCCGATGGCGGCGGGGAGACTCTCAACACCATTGATACAGAGCGCAGCGAGGACGATACCTCAGATATTGAGGATTCCCCACCGCGCGCCGTACGACGACGCCCAGCTAGGATCTCCACATCTTCGGATGAAGAAGACTCGGACGCGGACGTCGATGACGACAAGGTAGATACTGATGATGATTCCAATTCGGAAGCGAGCTCTGAAACAGACTCCGAGACTGATGCATTACCATTGAACCTCCTCTCCGGGCTTGGTCACACTGGGAAGTCCGCCCACGCCCCATCCACCAAAGTGCGGCACCTCTTGCGCATTCTCCACCGCGAGACCCCGGAACACAAGACTATTGTCTTTTCACAGTTCACCACGATGCTTGACCTCATCGCGCCTCACTTGATCGCATCAGGACTCAAATTCGTCCGCTACGACGGCAGCATGCGTCCAGATGCCCGCGAAGCTTCTCTCAAGGCTCTACGAGACGACCCCCGATGCAGAGTGCTCCTCTGTAGCTTGAAGTGTGGAAGTCTCGGTTTGAACCTCACGGCAGCGAGCAGAGTGGTGATTGTGGAGCCTTTCTGGAACCCTTTCGTGGAGGAACAGGCTATCGACAGAGTGCATCGGTTGAACCAGACAGTGGACGTCAAGGTTTTCCGACTAACGATAAGGAACTCAGTCGAGGAGAGGATATTGGAACTGCAGGAGAAGAAGAGAGAGCTGGCCAATGCTGCGATTGAAGGCGGGAAGGGCATGGGCAAGCTATCTATGCAAGACATTCTGGGATTGTTCCGCAGAGATGCAGAGCATGGGGAGGGTGATCAGGAGGACGAACGCATGTTCAAGAAGTTTGGGACTGATAGCAGACTCTTGGATGGGCCCTCTGCGGGTGTGGGTGCTGGTGACTCCAGTAGGCTTGTGGCGCCTGCTCCTAGACCTCGATCACAGGCCCCTGAGAGGCAAGGAAGAAAGGAGCATGAGGTGTACGGGCGGAGGTGGTGAGTGTATGGGATACTTAGGTGCTGCTGACGAATTTTGTACTCCTGTCTTGTGTTCCTCGGTCGCACTGAACGCGTGTAGATTAAGTTACGCGTGGAATTGAATGGTCTACCTAAGAACTTGCCTTTGCACTTCGGGTGAGTCGTGACCTAGTTACCTTAGCTCGGTGCAATGTCTCTCCGGGTTTCAGCCGAGATGACTTCCCCGCTCACGTTCATCCATACCACTCGGTCTCCACCAGCGTATCCCAGGATCGTAACGACGGGCACACGCAGTTCCGCTTCGCTTATAGAGGAATTTCCCAGGACAGGTCAGGCGGGGTGCATCATGGCCCTCGTATTCGAAGTCCGGCAATTCACTTAGGCTCGGAGCATGCGCAAGTGCAAAAGGCGGGGAGGTAAGGTAGGCTTCTAAGAGGTAGTACATGAACTATCCGCAAGGATAGGTTGATACAAAAGGCAGGCCAAGGTCTCATTGCCGCTGCTGCAAAGCTTGGTGGTTCTTCTTCCGTTCTTCGTTGCAATCAAAATGGGGCCATTGGATCTCTTGGCTGTCGCTGCGTTTGCTGCCGCGGCTTTCGCATACAATCCTTCTGCAACACAGTCCAAGTGTGGAATATCACCTAGTGCTTACCATCCAACTGCAACTGTGAGCTCATGTCTCCAGTGTGATGTAGTGAATACACTGACCGCGAGAATGGTTGCCGGAGACATGCTCTGCCACAAGATCAATTGCGTATAGCAAGTTCTCCTACACGGTACTCACCACAGCACGCTACGCAACAGCGATTCCGTCCCCTCTCGTGCTTACTACAACCTACGCACCACCCTTCAGTCAGGCTTCGACGCTTCTGCCCACAGACGTGACCTATACGTCGTACTCTCTCAATCGCTCCGCCACCGATGTGCAAGATGGAACGTATGGTCAAGGAGCTTACGCTCGTCTCTGGGCCCCTGTCTCCTATAACACAACTGTCCCCTTCACCACCACTGTTTCTCCGACTCCAATTCCTAGCAGTGAGCTTGTGTTCCCGCCTCCCCTTTACACTGCTTGCCCCGATTCCGCAGACAAATGCGTAGACTGCTACAAACTCCCCAAGGATTTTCTCTGGGGCGTAGCCGGCTCGGCATTCCAGATCGAAGGTGGATTGACGGAAGCTGGAAGAGGACCTGGCGCACTCGATACTATCGGCTCCCTGCCGAACCCTGAGGGGCTGCCGACGGCAGAACTCGCCGACATGAACTATTGGCTTTACAAGCAAGACATTGCTCGTTTGGCGGCGATTGGAGTACCCAATTACTCATTCTCGATATCTTGGACCAGGATCGTTCCTTTTGGTAAGGCCGGTTCGCCAATAAATGAGGAAGGATTGCGGCATTACGAAGATGTTATCGAGACTTGCCTGCAATATGGCATTAGGTGTGTTGCACAAAATTTTGCCGGTTTGGAGCTTCATTTCTGATCTTCTGTCTAGACCCATCGTGACTCTTACGCACGCCGACCCGCCACTCAACACGAGCTGTAAGTTGTGAAATCACTTGATATGACTCTCCGGTGGAGTGTTGACGAAACGACAGATACCGATCCCGATTTTGCCGATGCCTTCCTCTACTACGCCAAGGAAGTGATGTCCAGATATTCGGTGAGCCTTCTCTCATTCAAATCCATGACCACCACTAAAGAAGGTGCCAGGATCGTGTCAGTCATTGGGTCACTCTGAACGAGCCAAACATCGGGTTCAGACTCAACTACTACGCCGTGCCGAACATTCTCATGGCCCATGCCAGAGTCTACCATTGGTACAAAGACGTTCTGAAAGGCACCGGTCTCATCACGATCAAATTTGCCAACAACCTTGCGATGCCCCTCGACAGCACCAATCCAGAAGACACGCGCGCGGCACTTCGCTACCAAGATTACATCCTCGGAATCATGGCGAACCCCATATTTCTCGGCGAAAACTACCCATCAGAAGTCCTTGGCACGACAGGCATCAACCTCACCGCTCTCACACCCGATGAATTAGCCTACATCAACGGTACAAGTGACTTTTGGTCATTTGATCCATATACAGCCGGCTTCGCCACCAGCCCCCCAGGCGGCATCGACGCCTGTGCCGCCAACATGTCTGATCCACTCTGGCCAACCTGCACGGTTAATACCAATGTTCAATTAAACGGATGGCTGAATGGCCAGGGCAGTTTTGCTTACGCTTACATTGCCCCTCAGTATGTCAGGCAGCAACTCGGTTACGTCTGGAATACATTCCGACCTTCAGGCGTGTTGATTGCAGAGTTCGGATTCAATCCGTACATGGAATTCTCCAAAACGGTAGTTGCGCAGCTCTATGATTTGGAGCGGACGCTGTACTACGAGCAGTTTTTGAGAGAKATGTTGAAGAGCATGTACGAGGACGGAGTGAATGTCATTGGGGCTCTGGCTTGGTCTTTTGTTGACAACGATGAATTCGTTTCTTACGAGCAGCAATATGGGTTGCAGCACGTCAACCGAACGGATGGAATGTTTACGAGGAAGTACAAGAGAAGCTTCTTCGACTTTGTGGATTTCTTCCATCAGCGGATAGAGTAGAGAGAATGCGATCCTAATGAGCTCTTAGCCCAAATAAGGCCTCCGCATTCCGAACATGGCTCTTGATCGAATGAACTGCGCATCGTGATCGGCTTTCTGTTAGTATCCACAGCAGTCTAGTCTTGGCATCGCCAATTTTTCGGGCGAGTGATGCCATCGTTGGCTCCCGAAAAGAGATGTGTATGCTACATGCGTTGTCACTTGACAGCTGACAGTAATCGCCAAATCAGCAAAGAGCGGTGTATTGCCCCGGAGCAGACATCGGAAATCGACTAAAGCGTCGGTACAGACTGCTTGTGGAGAGAGAGACCGTATATCTATATTGGCAGAATACACCCTTGGATAGGACCCCTGAGGAGAAGCATGCGATAATCGAGGCGCAGGGCCATGCCCTACTGGGGTCTACGATCATACTGCAGGAAGGCAAGATCCTTGCGGGTAGACCGGAAGTCTAGATCGACCGCGTCAAAGATGGGATCACAGCTGCGTTGATTGTGCAAAGGAGAAGTGACGGAGTGCGACTCCGTATGTACAGGGATGTTTGCCGGGTAGTTGACGCCATTTCCGAGTTCGTAATGGTTTTAGGCATTCATGCCGTGGTCTCGCCGTGGAGAGGCACTATAATGGGCCCAGCACCGTGGTCATTCGTTAATCTTGGTCCCAAGAGTGGCTCACAGCGGCGTCTAAAAGTCTTGCTGGCGGGCGCAGCGCCGGAGAAGCAATCCCGAGAAAGAGGGAGATTGTGAAAGTTCGATGAAGCGCCTTTGGCTCAAATTGGACTTGTCCCGTCGGTGAGACCTCAACATCGACTGTGGAGTTTCATTGCTGTGGAGTGAGCATTGGAGTTGACCATCCTCGTGTTTTTTTGCCCGCTGAAATTGCTACTCTACTCATGATGGCCACTGACTTGGTGTCACGCGTGTCTCCTTCGCTGCGTGGCTCCTCACCGCTGATTCCGGACTCTGCGATACCCAACAGTCGAAGCCTGGGATGTAAGGGGGTCCACACCATTCCCGCGAAGGTTTATCCGTACCCACCTGTGCGTTCATCTGGGTGCCCGACGTTTGACTGATCGTCGAATTGGGGTGCAGGAGGTTGCTGTGCAAGCTGCCAAGGAGCGGGTGCTTGTTGATAATACCCAGCTGGGGATTGTGAAATCTGGCTGGGCTGCGTCATATGATGAGGAAGCGGGACGGCGTGAGGCACATGGCTGGTTGCCATCATGAGACCCGAGTTTGTTGTAAGGGGAAATGCTCCAGAGGGCCGTGGCGCTTGTTGAGCAGAATGATAGAATGGGCCAGATTGGTGGTACTGTGGACCAAAGTTCGGATGCTCGTGCTGCTGCCACTGCTGTAGAGGCATATGAACGGAATGATGGTTGTAAAATCCATCATCTATGTATGGGCGCCTTGGATCGATGTCTGATGGGCCTGGGAAGGGTGCAGTATCGGCTTGCAGTGCTGGATTGTTGTATGCCAAACGTGCAGATTGCACGTTCGAGGCGCCTTCCATCGGTAGATGTGAGTGTTGGGACGGGCGAGCATCGTTTCGCGGCTCCCAAGCCGGAAGTCGGTAGTCTTGTTGGGTGGAACCTGCTCTCCCTGGGACCAGATGACCCAAACCAGACTGATCTCTTTGTGCTGTCAGTGTGTTGAAATCGCCAGGCTCGTGTGGACCGGTGCTAGGAAGTATAGGGACGCCTGTCGCAGGAAACTTGGCCTCGAGGTGATGAATACCCTGCTGCCGACCGGGTTGACCGGACATTCGAGCGCCCAAGTGAGGTGAAGAGGATGAAATTGTCGACGATGCCGTCGATGGTATTCTGGTGATTCTACTCGACGTGTCTGATTCAGCCTCCAGGGCGGATTGTTGATCCACTGGGTAGAAAACACAATCTCTTCTCAGCCGGATGCAGTTTATACACCTCTGCCCAGGCTCGTCTTCTGATACCACGCATCGTATCTTGCGCCTTCGGCAATGCGCTGGTAATAGTATCAGTAACGGTACTAGGGTTTTGCCGCGGGGGGAAGAAGGAGATTGGACATGGCGTAGCGGCGGACACGGCGTCAGTCTGTTACATACCACATGCTATCGTACTCCTTTGGTATCCCAATCTGTTCCGATTTCTGGCGTCAGAACCTGACATTTTTGGAGAGCCTTGTAGCCACGGCGTTGACAGGAACTTGATGAGTAGCACTCTCGGGGCTGCAAGCTTGGGTTTGCTTTTCGATCCCTCGGATGGTGGGGCTCCCCGTGGAAAGGGTGCGTTGGCGCGGTTCTGCTGGGGACATCCACCTGTCGGGAGGCCAGGATCAGCGGAAGACCATGTAGCTACGGATCAATGCATATGCACAAGAGGCACGCTTGGATACAGTGGCCCCAATCATGAGACTTGCGTTTGTGAAGCTAGCGTCTGATGCTCTCGCTGCTTTCATCGTGAATGGGGTAGACAAGCATGGACTGTTCCAGAGCAGAGGGTGGCGAAAGGTGCTTGCCTTGGCCTCGGTGAGGCGAATGAGGCAAGCAGAGGCCAAAACGATAGCGAGACCCTCTATTGAACCAGCCTGGAGACAGCTGCGTTCCAAAATCTCCCATTCAGGCTCCCAGAAATGAGAGCGCCAATAATACCGCCGATGGCTAGTCGAACAGCCAATGACGGTGTTTGTATGACAGATCGTAGAACAGATAATAGGCGCCAAGGGCCGGCTGCCGACCACATGCGGTGTTCGTTCCGAAGGCATAATGTGGCGAATGGGAGCATCTGGCTTGTATCAAGAAACGGAGATCACCAAAAGCTATACGCTTTCAAGCAACCGGAGCTGTATATCTCCGTCTCTTATGCAGAATTGCCGTACCCGTACATTGCACTATGATCTTGCAAAGGGTCAACAAACCGAGTCGGAAACGTGWCTGTCAGCCTCCAATGCCAACCATGGCATATCTGGTGGATGAGTGTAGCACCCTGTTGAGCGGATGCGTTCCATAGCATCCTCACGCTCTACACCAGATGGTTGTAGAGATGGAGGTGTCCTGTACCTGTGGAAATGTGACAGTACTGGGCTACTGGCCCCGCGGAGTCTTCGTACGTCCGAGCGATCGTGTGGTCTATTACCCATAGAAACTGCCTGGTTCAGCGACTAGATCGACGCATTGCCGACCTGGACCGGCCGTCTCGGAAAATGTACCTTAAGACCGCCTCAGACGCAATCTCGCTCATGCCCTGCATTGCCGGCTAGTGCTCGTTCATCGCTTAAAATCGCTCCGAAGCAATGGCATGGCCAAGCAGTCCCGACGCACCATTATCAAGCGACGCGACGGCGGCGCCAGCGGGGCGGCGGCTCCATTACTCTTGACCCAGGCGCCCGGGATCCTGTGCGTTCGCGGGGCTGGAAAACCACTGCCACTGTTCTCCAAGTTGTCATATTCCTCCACTGCCTTGGAAGTGCGGTCGACGATCGATTGACGATCTTGCGCCACGTGAGAGTGACGAAAGCGAGAGCGAACGTTGGAACCTTAAAATCCAAGCTTTGCCGGGCACGGCCACAGTGGCATGAAGTTCAGCCCTGACGATCAAAGCCATCTTTGAAGGCTGATGAAGAGTTCTCTTGACTCTCATTGCGACCTAGACATCGATGCCGAAGCAGCATGGATGAGCTAACAGGCTGAATCACAAAGCCAGTGAAATAATGCCAATCGCAAGACCACTGTGCCCATTAATTCACCACGCACGTATCTTGTACTCTCTCAGGCTTCTTGTTCGATGCTGGTAGTCTTGCCACGGCACTCATTCCGCCAGGCGAGTCAGTGATTTCTGCAGATCTTGTATGCCTTCTGCCTATCTATCGACATTTTTCCGGCTATTCTGTAGGAATCTAGATACGTACCTCGTACTGAAAGCGAATAAGTGAAGTGCAAGAGTAGTCGCATATCGCTTTGCGTTTGAGCACCCAGCGGACGGACAACTCCTGTGCCTCTTACGGTACATTAGGAGATGATGTGCTGGCTGCTGTTTACGCCTTCGGCATACATGTAGAAGAACATGTCGGCTCTCAACGGAGATACTTGCCAAAGGATTCAGTACACATGAGTGGCGTCATCCCGGCTGCTGCTAAACGAAACGCTAGTTGCGCAGTAGCTGAACTCACAACCCAGCGTCCTTGGCATATGATCTGATGCAATGCCCTCAAAGGGGTTCTTTGCTGATCGTTCCATCACCAGGACGGAGACCGCGGCCGTTTATTGAAAAACCATCGAGATTTCATGGGATGTCGCTTCTGGAATTTGTCCGGTCAAGATGTCGCCGGGTACTGCAACGACCACGATGGCGCGATGCAAAGCAGAAGAGACTGGGAAGACTCGTCCCACAGAATAGTGTAACTACGTACCTACAGTTCCTGCAAAGTGGTATCCGTGACCGCCTTGCAGATCAATTCTTGCCCTGTCACATCAGCTGCACCTCCAAAGCATGAATTCCGGTGATCCGATGAAATGTTGCAGAGAACCCCAACTCTGCGACTGCAACGCCCGTTTCTCATCACGACGACGCCTTGATCGTCAAAGCATCGGCAGCCAATTTCCCAAAGTCCAGCTGGCTGTGATCTTCTGGCATGTGCTCGCCGGAAGCGATGCAGTGGACTTTCATATGGGGGTGATACTTCAAGTTGCTGAGTAGCTTGGGCGTGATCAGAAAGTACTGGCTGGTATGCTCAGCAYAGGCAATATCTACCATGCGAGAATGGACGAGTCTATATCAAAGGGTTAGCTGCGCCATGTACGATGGCTGGAAAGGCCGACAAACCTCTCATTCCGAGGGTCCATGCCTTGGTTGATCTCATCGACAACCCTGAATGGTGCTCGAGCAAGACTTTGCAGCGCAAGAAGATAGAAAATGGTAGATACGGCTCGCTCGCCACCCGACTGGCGATGTGAGTCGAGGACGCTGAGCTGTTCGCTCTCCCTGTGGAGCAAAGTTAGCCGCCGGATATGCTTCTCGCATCCGCAGATCACAAACCTGAATTTGACCTTGATCTGAATCTTCCACTGCTCGAAATCCTCGTGCTTATCAACGCCGACTTCTCCAGCACACTGAATTTGGGAGAAGTTCTCTGCAAAGGCTTCTGATATCTCAGCCACAAGTCGATCAAGCTTCGGTTCCCACTTGTTTCTGGTCTCGGTAATTCTCTGGGTGAGATCTGCCAGAGACGACTCCAGGCCCTCGAGGGAAGCTCGTTTTTCCTGAATCTTTCTGGCGCGCTGCTCGAACTCTCGAACAATGTGTTCATTGCCGCCGTGGAGCGATTCGAGCTCCGCCTCTGCGGCCAGAATCTCAGTGTTCAGCTGTGGAGGTAGCCATGTAGAGACACTTTCCAGAAAATCAAATTCTTCGGGAGAGAATGTATCGCGGATCTTCTGACATTCGTCTTGCAGCTTTCTTCCTCGTTCCAAAAGCTTGGCCACATGCTCTTCCAATTGTCGTACTTCTCGCCGCCGTGCTTCAAGGGCCTCTTCGTCGTCTTTGTGCTGGAGTGCAAGCTGCTCTGCGTCCGACCGCGCCTCGATTGACATAATCTCCGCATCAATGACATTCTTACAAAGATCTTGGAGCTGCTCTACCGCCTTGGCATAGTCGAGAGCTTGCTGTCCCATCTCCTGCGAGAACTTGTCCGCGCGCCCGACGATCTCGGCTATCCTTTCGCTTCTGCTGGCATCGTCGTTTTGAACGGCCTGGAGCTTCAGTTTTATGTTTTCCAGCTTCGTGCCGAGACCATTGAACTGTGTGTTTTGAGTCTGCCTATCGCTCTTGTCCTTCTCGAGCGCCTGAAGCTCTTGCTCATATCTTGCCTGGTCCTCTTTCAACTTGGCTCGGCGAGCATGCTCACCTTTGATCTCTTCTTTGATTTGGTCCAGTTCGCGCTGAAGGTCATCCTTGCGCCGTCTGACAGCCCGCTCTGCCTCAACATCCACCGGCTGATCAGTGAGGAGTTGCGCCGCTTTCAAGTTGTTTGCCCGTGAACTGATGCCATCTGCACCGTACTCGCGCCGACGAGTGATGGTGAACATTTGTCTGGATGATACCGCGGTGCCTACGGCACTGTTCTCGAGCGCGTCGAATTGACTGTTTGGGATGTCGCGGCTGGTATAGACCGCCTGGTGGATGTTTCTGTTGTCACACAACATGGCCAGAACATCTTCTGGCCCATCGATCAAATCCAGCACGAGCGATTCAAATCCAAGGCGCTCCAGCTCATCTTTAGAAAACGCAGGAGCGAAGTATGACAGCGGCTTGTGGACAGCGCGGATGTATTTCTGTGAGAGTCCCATGACTTTGCTCAGTTGATTGTTCAGCATTTTGTAGTCGTGATCGGATGTGACTGTGATCGCCTTCAGCTCGCTAGGGCCGATCACCGCCTCGACAGCGTTCGCGTAGCTAGCGTCTTTCAAAGAGCACTCAATCATCGGGGGCCCATACACCGGGCTGTCAAAGCTTGCTCGGTTAGCCTGAATCCATTCCCAGGCCTTTGCCATATCTTTGGAGACCATCTCAAGCTTGTTGGTCTGACGACCTGCTTGCGATTGCAGGCTTTCTTGGACCTGCTGCTGATCATCGATCATTCGCTTGCGTTGCCTTCCTTGCTCATGGAGGGTCTCGAGAGAGATTGAAATCTCTGCAGCCGACTCTCTTGCGCCGTCTCTCTGCTGCCTCTTCTCCCTGATACCGGCATTTATGGTGACAGGGTCGAATTCTGGGGGTGGATCCAGCATGAGAGTTTCGAGTTTCCTAATCTCCAACTTGTGCTTGCCCACATCAGATTTGGCCTTTGCGCCACCGTCCCTCTCTGCCTTGATCTCCTTGTCGCAGCCTTCGACCTTGGCTTGGGTCTCATTGATCTTCTTTAGATTGTTCTCGGCTCCCTTCTCAACGCGCTCCAGCAATTTCTTCTGTTGGGCGACTTGCTTGTCCACCTGAGTTTGATACTCCTGCTTCGCACGTAGCGCTTGTAGTTGCGGTGCCATGCTGCGTTCGAGCATTCGTAGTTCCTTCTGAGCGGCTTTCATGCGATCCTTGGCCGCCCTATGCGTGTTCTTTGCGTCAAAGTATTCGCAAAAGGGCTTCATCGTCTTGAGGTTGGCCAGCTTCTGTAGCAAGTCTGTGCGTTTACGCATGCGTTCCACGTCGACTTCTTGAGCCTTTTGACGGTCCTCCAAATTCTTCAGCTGCTCCATGCCACCCTGCTGCTCGGCCTGCTTCTCTTTCTCCTGCTTGCGCATCGCTTTCAACTCTTCATGCCAAATGGTCATCTGTTCCGGAGCTGCCGCCCTCTGCGTCTCTACGAGCAAGGCCACTGAGCTCAAAGCCGCAAACTCAACCACGCGGTCCTGGGGGAGGAATTGACATAGATTGTCGACCTGGATGGAGAAGCTCCGGGCCAGGTCTGTAACAGCCTTCTTGGTACTTTTCTTGCCGTCAATGAGAAATTGTGTTTTGGACTCTGCTGATTTGCCGCCGTCCCTGGGAATGATTGTCGTGATGACTGGGTTGTGGGTGTGACGCTTCGGATCGGCTTTCAACTCAATTTCAATCATGGCTCGCTTGGCACCGTGCTTGACGAACTCGTTTATATCCTTTGCTCGTCCGAGATGAATTGGAGGCCACCCAAGCCCAAGGCAGATTGCGCATACCAGCGTGCTCTTGCCGGTACCGTTGGGACCAATGACCATGTTCAAGTTTGGACCAGGATGGAATTCAGCCTTGGTGTAAGTCACGAAGTTCGTCAGCTTGACGCGGACGATGGACCCCGGTTGGTGTTCCTGGGGCTTTTCTTGGGACGTGCTGGCCCGCGCGCGGCCTTTGCCCTTGGGGGAGCGACGATAGTTGTCGGGAAGCACCGGACGCTCCTGAGGCTGTCCGAGGTCAGTAGATATGACTATGAGGCCTATGAAAGGGACATACCGGAGAGTCATCCTCATCGTCCTCCTCTTCCTCTTCGCCGTCGTCCGTCCGCTGACGCTTCCTGCTCGATGCGCCGCCATCGGAAGAATCGTCATCTTCACGACGGCGCCGTTGCGGCGTCGCGGAGTTGGGAGAGGACATCGCAGTGGTGGTTGGTGTTTGTGTAATGCGTCGCGGGGAACATGTGAGGTCAGCCGGAGTTGGCGGAGCGCAACGCGTGAGACGCGTTTGACGTGAACCTTAAAATTGGGAGAAGGTGGTCTGTGCTCAGCAATAATTCCTACCTTACTAGGTAGGGCTCGGGAACCATCAACAGAGCGGCATCCATCCATCATTGCACCAATCTATCAAATAATTTACGACAAATTAGAGTAAGCATGGCGGGAGGGGGGAACAACCTGATATAGAGTACGACTGCCCGAAGTTCGAGAAGATTGCAGAAATGGCACCGCAGCAGCAACCTCAACAGCGACATGCTGCCGGGTTCGAGTCGAAGAAACGCAAGGAAGCCCCCACGAATCATCAGCACTCGCAGAGTAACAATTCTCACAAAAAGCATAAGCCGGACCAACGGTCCAAAATGCGCGATGCTCGCACGCTGTCCGCGCAGAGCTCTTTCAAAGCGTTCAAAAATGGCGAGCTGGACGTTGACAAGTTTGTCAAGGCCCGCGAATACGAGATTAGGGCGCTGGAGGAAGGCATGTCTCAGAGCAAAAAAGCTCTCACGAAGAGAGCCTTTCAGCAAGTGCCCAAGGACCTGCGAAGGCGCACGGCAAGTCACAATGTAAAGAAGGTACCGAAACGACTACAAGCGCGGGCCAAGAGAGAGGTATGTTGCTTGTGATTGATTTTTTCCGTCCCTTGCAGATGAGAGAAATCTGGGAGGTCATCCCTAGGTCTAACCCTATGTGTAGATGGTAGAGGACCAAACTCCCACAATCACAGCCCGAAGGAGGAAACCTACAAGKCATATGCGTCTTCGATTGGAGACATTGAAAAAGCTACGATCCCTTGGCGTTCAACAGAGAGCTCAGAAGAATGCGGTACATGTAACCGGGAATCAGTCGCCGAGATCCACCCCGGACGCTTCGAAGTGTATAACGCAGTCGAATGAGAAGACTGGTGCGATTGCCACACGTACCCCGAGAGTAAAGCAAGCGAAACTCGCATCTGCCCCAGTGGCCAAAGCTAAGTTTCGCAAGCGACAATTTCACAAGACTTGGCTGCCCACGCATATGTTTCATGCGAAGCGTGCTCGCATGTCGCCTCCTAGTGATCCACTCTGGCGGTTTGCCCTGCCAATGACCCCAACCGCGAAATGCTACAGGCCAACCCATCGAGCTGCCAACGAGCGTGGCGCCGTTGCCTGGGACATGAGCTATGTTTCAACGCTGGGGCTGGAAGGCCAGGAGAGGAGCATCGAGAGTGCTCTCAAAGCTCTTGGGGTTGGATCTCGTCCACAGAGTGACGGTCTTTGGTCCGGGAAAGGCAAGAAGTGGCGCAGCGGTACAAGAGTGTGGGAAGGTCTTATGTATGAGCGCGAGAGCCCACACAGGGCAATTGCCCCCGTGACAGTGATTTGGTCTGCCTTGGGCAAGCAGAATGCTGATGTAGACGCCGAACAGCGGAAACGCAAAGTATTCGTGCGAGTCCATCCTTCCGCGTTCCTTCAACTCTGGCAAGAGTTGGTCCGGCTGTCTAAAGTCGCAAAGCCGCAGCTCAGTGTTGAGGACCTTCGATTCGAAATCGGGAGTATTGAAGTCACGGGTCCCGGTTCTACGGAAGCTCTTTTGGGTGCTCTATGGCCATCGCCGGTCGCCGAAGAGCATGCTAAAGGTAGCGTCCAGAGCACATGGCAAGCACTGGCAGGACTGACCAACCCTTCTGGACTTCCCCCTGGAGCGCTCCTCGCATTCGATGTCCAAGACCCACGGCTGCATCACCCGCCACGAACAATCAAGATGCCAAGCACGACGGCTGAGCAGCAGCGTTTGTTGGRGCTAACGACTTCCTGGCCCGTTGACCTTGAGCAGAGAACGCCTGCTCTCTTCGACAGACAGTCGCGGCGTTCGGCTTCTTCCAAATTACAGAGTCAAAGAGCCATTAATCGTCGCAAGACTCTGGCTCCTCCTGGTCATTTCCCCGATGCTGCTGAGAACGATCCGCGGATTCCAATCATGTTGTATTGTACAGCCACAGCAAATGGTAAGCAAGGGAAATGGACAGTGCTTCTTCCCTGGAAGTGTGTACAGCCTGTGTGGTATAGTATCATGTACTACCCGCTGTCTACAGGCGGCCAGCCACGTTTCGGTGGCATTGTAGAAAAGCGACAACTGTCGTTCGAAACTGGAACGCCAAACTTTCCGGAAGACTTTCCTGGCACGAAAGCGGGCCTGCAATGGGAGATGCAGGAGCGGGAGAAGCGACAAGCCGAATGGAATCGACGACCAAAGAGCAAGCGTGTCAATTGGGATGTAGTAGACATAGGCAATGGCAAGAAGGGCGAGATAGGCGAAGGGTGGGCCTGCGACTGGAAAAGGCTTATCGATGGTCCAAGAGTGAAGTCGACAGAGCCAATCACCTCCGATGCCAATTCTGCCCATAGGCCTGAAGCCACGAAGGACACTGAAGGTCCGAATATCAATTCTCCATGCGACGATGCCCAGGTCTTGCAGTTCACACATCATTCTGCTGCTGAGGCGCGGGCTATTATCGGACGCGCCAGTCCCAGCGGACCTCAAAGTATGGACCACCCATTGGCCAACGTGCGCATCACATTGCTGAATCGTGGAGTGCCACAAGTTTGCGCACGGATTTATCGCCTGCCCGGCTCAGGTCAATTGCGCGAAAGCTGGCTGGCACTTCATCCCAGCATTCGAACTGGAATGAAGCAACGCGGATCAAAGGACAGCCTGCCACGGCTGCCAAAGAACGCACCAGTCGGTGTTGTGCAACGTCGCTTGGCTGCATCACTAATGGTCACGCCCACAGTTGGCGATAGCAACTATCCCACCTGCCCTGATGAGGAATATCTGATTGGCTTTGTCACCAATGGCAACTTCAATCTTGGTGAAGGGCAGGGCACAGGAATTGGGGCTATCCTGCTCAACAGAGTACATGGTGCTGATGCGGAGAGCAGTGTGTGTGTTGTGAGGAACGCGGGCACGAGCGTGGGCAGGCTCGCTCAGTGGGAATTAGTCTGAGCATCGCTAGGTTGCTTTACCATATTCATGTCAAGAAATGAACAAATCCATGTACAGGTGAAGTCGAGATCGTTCTCCCCTCTTCGTCTTCGCTTCTGGACCCATCAACCTTCGAGTGAAATCGATGCGCGCCCCGTACAAACATGTACCGTAAACGTCACCCTAATCGAACATGACTCAAGCCGTCAATTGAGCAACGAAGCACGCCAGCAGCTACTTTAGCAGGAGCAATCACCCACCCGTCCTAACCCTAACCCCAACCCTAAGCAATCGCGATCGCGCTCTTCATGTATCGAGATGATACATGTACCTTTCAATGTGAATGAAGTAGGAAGCACCACGCAGAGCCAGCTCCTGGCTCGTTTCATTCACTTTAACGACAAGATTTCGGGACTAGTCGCCTGCTCTATGACTGCGGCCTGGAATGCTGCCTAACCTTTGTACAAATTTGCGACTCTTCACCTCACCACCTCATTTGTTGCAACATTCAGCTTCGAACTCGTGGGCTTCTTCTTTCACCACCCACCTGGCTATGCAGGACATCATCGCAGCGTAATTGACAGTTCACGCCACGTTATCAAATGTGCAGCACCATTGACGCAGAGAATTGAAGTGAAGTGGACGGAACGTCCGCCGGGAGGTCACAGCTTCCAAAGGTTGTTCTTTTTTCCACCTCGGGCACTTTTGAACTTCTCACCCCAACAAACTTTCCGTCACAGGGGAAATACGCGTTTGCCATTGGTAATCGGGGATTGATTCATGCACAAACCGCAAATATCAGCTACCGAGCATAAAAAATCACAAAATGCCGAAGAGGAAGAGAAGGGAGTGGCAGCAGCAGCCTGGCGAACTCGTGAGCAGCGAAGATGAGATTCGCGTCGCGACGCGTGTTGCATCCACCAAACGTTTCAACGCTCACCACAGCGAATCCGGAACAGATTATCTTGGAGATCGCTTCCGCGCTCGCGCAGGCACAACTGTTGTGAATGATGGTTTTGTGACACCACTTACACTGGGAGGAGCTTCCGAGTCAACCAAACAGGAACAGGGTTCAGAGTCAACCAAAGAGGCCAGGGAATTGCCAGCCGCACCTATCAACGCGAAAGTCCTTGTTCCCGATTGTCGCGATGGCTCAGCCTACCCAAGGAGCATTTACCAAGGATTCGAACCGCCACTGAAGGAAGTGTCTGAGCGTGTGGCCATCTCTCTTCTCGTGGCCGCCCATAAAGATGCACATCTCGACGACGAAGAGTACACGTACATTGCACTCGATCAATTCAGCATTTACAGACCAGAAACCTCTATCTACCATGCAAATGAACTAGTGACATTGGATCGGCTTTCAAGGGATAGCTACCCAGAGTTCTGCTTTGATGGAATCCTTTCGGTTGGATCGCACAAATACTTCGTTCGCAACGTTCGATTTGCGATACTGGCTGTCGATGGATATGGCGAGCCAGACGTTACGGATATGAGAGATCAACTTTGCGTCCAGTCCAGTCATGCTAAGAAACACGATGCATGGCTAAGGCTAGGTACGCCTGCGCGCGAGTACCAGCGATTCTACCAGCCATTTTTATGGCTGGTGAAGTTTACCAAACACTTTGTGGACTACCTCCTGTGCACTAAGCAAGTCACCATTGCCCATTTTCGAGAGAAATTTCTTACATGGTTGCAGGAAATGTATGGGGACAAGGACTCATCACTCCAGATCTGGCTGCGCGAAGCCAACCTGCGAGACTTCAGAACCACAGTCGCAGCTCACGTGGAATTGCTCTGGAAAGAGTGCTGCGGCACTCAACAACCTAGCGATGAGATACAAATTTGCACGCAACCTATCTGGGCAGAGGTTCACCCTGCACGCCTTGATGCAATCCCGGAGCAAGAGAACCTTGCGAAAAGAACAGTGGTCACTCCCTTCGCATATGACTGCTTCAAATCCATGTACTTCGCCGATCAATTTGTGGAGTCTCCAATCACGGATACCAAGGTCCAAGGAACAGTTCGACAACTCAAGGCCAAGCTAGGTCTTACACCGTTGTACGAGCCCAGGGCATTCACTCCTATAAGTAACACGTCCGAGCCTCCAGAGGCACGTGTTCCAGCTTCCTTAGCAAGTAAAGCTGCAGACAGCGCAGAGACCATCAACATCAAGGTGGGGGACGTTGTTATGCTTCCCCCAGAGAAGGAAGGCAGTTGGCGGTCAGTTGCAGATTGCTGGTATGCCTACGTTCAGCGTATCCACACGAAGGATGGGAAGACCCGCCTTGACATTCTCTGGCTGTACCATGCAAGTGATACCACTATCGGGAATGTCTACTACCCCTTCCAAAACGAGCTGTTCTTCTCAGACAATTGCGGATGTGACACGAAGGAACACCAGGAATCCTGGGATCTGGGAGAAGTCATCCGCAAAGTTGATGTCGCTTGGTTTACAAAGGACCCATATCAAGCAAATGAGAAGGGACTTTTTGTACGGCAAAAATTCCGCACGGTCCCAGAGATGGACCACTTTGACTTCGTCACACTGCAAGAAACGGATTTTAGATGCCATCATCAGCCTGATCACGTCGAGACAGAAGAGGAGGCATATGCGATTGGCGATGTTGTTCTAGTTCGGAACCCGCTCTTAACGCTTTGTGAAGTCGCGCAGGTCGTTGGGGGTGGCAGAAGGCGCTTGAAATTACGCAGACTACATGTACGCAGACGACGCGAATCTCAGCCAGCTGYACGGGCGAACGAATTGGTCGCAACTTCGGAGGTGTTTGAGGCCACTTTGGAAAATGACAAGGGCAATGACAGTGACAACGACGACCCGATGGACGAAGATGATGCAATAGGCCAGGTGGTTCGAAAGTGCCACGTGCAGACGTTTACACGCGAAGAAATCGATGGAGGCAATCTGCCAGCCCCATACGACCGCAATGGCACTGGCGATTTCTTCATTATGGAAGCGAGTGAGACTGAGAACGACAGCTTCCCGTCAATCAACAAGGGCTGGGATCCTCGAACTCCCAGTGGATTTAAGAAGCTCACTGGACTTGGCATCTTCTGCGGAGGTGGGACATTCGATCGAGGTCTAGAAGAAGGTGGAGCTGTGAAGTTCCAATACGCAGTCGATTGGACTGAGCATGCACTACACAGCTATAGAGCCAACTTGGATCAACCCCAGGAAGTCGATTTCTTCCTAGGCTCTGTTAACGACTACCTAGCGAAGGCGCTCTCTGGAGACCTCAGCGTCGCAGCCCCAGGATCAGTTCAGCTCATTTCCGCTGGATCTCCGTGCCAGGGCTTCAGCCGCATGCAGATTAACACGGCCAGTGAGCAGTCTAAGCAGAACGCATCGATGGTAGCATCTGTTGTCGCATTTGCTGATCTCTACTGCCCGCAATACATGATACTTGAGAACGTGGTCTCCATGACGGAGGGTCGAAATGAGCGAAAAGAACACAACGTGTTCCAACAGATCCTTGCCGCGCTTGTGGCTCTTGGATATCAGATCCAGCAATTTCTTGGCGATTCGTGGTCTCACGGCAGCTGCCAGCAACGATCGAGATTGTTCATTATCGCCACTGCGCCAGGCCTTACACCTCCACCCCAACCACCGTGCAGCCATGCTCATCCTCCAGACATTTCAACACGCAGTTTGGGTAGGTCCAGCAATGGGCTACCGTTTGGAAGTCGCAAAGTCAACCCTGATGTTGCGCTGCCGCATATTTCACCACAAGAAGCAGTTGGCGACCTACCTCCTGTCTACGACTCTCAGCCGCAGCTATGCCCAGCATTTCCTGACCATAGAGCAGCCACAAACGAGACCAGCCGATCTAGATTGCTTATGCGAGCAGTGCCTATCCGACCTCGTGGCATGACGCTTGTACAAGCCTGGGAGCAGGGTCGATTGTCCGGCGAGCCACTCCGCTTTTGTGAGAGTAGTGGTCAACTCCGGCAAGCCACTACATCGAAGATGTATGCTCGCGTCCTACCTGACAAGCTCTTCCCCACTATAGTCACCAGACTAGCAGTTGCGGATGGCATGAATGGACGCTGCTTACATTGGGATGAGCATCGTGTTCTTACGGTAATGGAAGCAAAGCGAGCTCAAGGATACCTTGACCATGAGGTGTTAGTCGGATCAGCAACGCAACAAGTGAAAATTGTCGGTAACAGTGTCGATCGCRGCGYCGCTCTCGTGCTTGGACTTTCGCTTCGTAAGAGCTGGCTAAAGTCTCATTYCTCGATTCCGACTGATAKCAACGATGTGGACATGATGGTCGACGTAGACCTCACAGACGACGAGATGCTTCAGGAGCGGAATGGAACTGGCTTCAGTAATGTGGAGGTTGATAATCGGACAGTGAAGATGTCCTTGACCATGAGTCGAGAGGAAATTGAAGGTGTTGATAAGGTGACCGCTTCTACAGGCAGCACGTTCAAGAAGCTCCTCAGGGTCTTGTCGAGTAGTAAGGAGCATCAGATAGCTAGGGAGTCCATCCATGGAGCAGCTGGATAGATAGGTCGAACGATGTATGAAGAGAGAATCTGTTGCGAAGAATCAACTTCAGTTTTCAGTGAGTGAGTAGGTACATGTAGCCCAGTGATCACATGCATAAGGCGAAGAACCCCGATACGGCAGGCTCTCGATGGAGAGTCTGGTCCTTGGCCAATAGCGGGACACTCAAACATCGAGCCAATTGGTTTCAAGTAGTGAGATTGTAGGAAGGTGAAATTCAAAGAAATTCGAGGTAATTGAGTGCAATGCTGTGACGAAATGTCGACGCTATTGGCCGCGTGCAGTACGCAACGTGTGATCTCCCGCTGGATCTCATTGCGTACAGCTTGCACAGCCCTGTAACAGTCACGCACTTTTCCCATGTCGTTCAAAACCACTGACAAGACACCAGAGAGACACCAGCTATCGTTTCGTCGTCTAAGTTTTAAGGATGCCTAAGAGAGGACCTTTTTAAAGAAAAGGCTGACCCGTCAATCCTGAATCCCGCTTGGTGACCTTCTTAAACCGAAGGCTGGCCGGTTGAATCGGAAATCAGCTTGGTGATTTTACCAATTGCAATGGTCTGACCCTGATCGCGCAGGGTAAAGCGACCCAGTTGTGGGTAGTCCTCAAATCTCTCAACACACAAACTTCCCGCGGCACCTGTGACCTCCAGTCTTGCGATAATGTTCATTCCCTGCTTTGCGAATCCTGGCGCCTTTTTGGACTTGCGATTGGTCTTGGGCTCAAGCTTGTGCAGGAGCTCGGAGAATGTGACCTCTTCTGTAGCCGAGTGGATGTGCATAACACAGTTAAAACCAGCGGAGAGAATGGACTTGAGTTCCAGGAGGTGGATCTGAGCCTCGAAAGCCGTCACACAGTGGACTGGGCGCTTCGGTGAGCAAAGCACAAAACCCGGGTAGATGTCTTCTTCTTCTGCACCCTTGATACGAAGGCGGATCTGCTCGCCGCTGGTGGCGTGTGGAATTTCCTCCTCGCTCTCGCCGTACAACGCACTGATCTGAATCTCAGCTCTGTTTGGCATCATCAGGTATTTCTGGTCCTTCTTGATGTATCCAGCCTCGATTTTTCCTTCGATCATAGTACCCATATCCCTATACTTGGCGGCGATGGGCATCATGAAAGGAGCGTTAACTTTACGATCCAGGGCTTGCATGGAGTCCAGGTACTCGAGCAGTGATGGACCTTTGTACCATGAGCAGACATCGCTTGGCACTCGATCTTTGATGCCCATGGTCTGTTGCGCAGCAACTGGCATAAATGTGAGGTCTGTCTTGGGGTTGTATCCAAGACCCTTCAAGAACTGAGTCAGCTTCAGCAAGCACTCCTTGTAACGCTCCTCGGACCACTCCACGGTAATGTCGTCCATTTTGTTGACGGCGATGATGAGCTTGCTGATCCCCTGGGTCTTGGCCAATACCGCGTGCTCGCGTGTCTGGCCACCCTTTTCGAATCCCGTCTCGTACTCGCCCTTTCGGGCAGAAATAACCAACACACCGACATCGGCTTGCGATGCGCCTGATAGCATGTTGGGAACGAATGTCTTGTGTCCAGGGGCGTCCAGAATGGAGTATCTCCGCTTCTCGGTCTCGAAAAACCCTCGTCCGACCTCGACAGTCTTGCCCTGTGCTCGCTCCTCCTTGGTCTGGTCGAGCGCCCAGGACAGATACCACGATTCATTGCCCATGTCTTTGGCGTCCCTCCTGTACTTGTCCAATGTTCGCTCATCGACCATACCGGTCGCGCAGAGGATGCTTCCTCCAAGCGTACTCTTGCCCGCATCGACGTGACCCAGGAAGATAACATTGACGTGTTCTTTGCCGTACATTTCGGCCAACGCCTCTTTATCGACCTCGGCGGCCTGCTCAGCGGCCAGATCGATCTTTCGTTGAGCCTCTTTCTGCTGCTCGGTACGGACAGGAGAAGAGCGACCGGATGCGGATGGCGTGGGAGATGTTCTACCGCTGACGGCTGCTGTGGGTTCGCCAGTCTTCTCAATGGCCTTGGCTGCTGCGACTTTTGTGCCTGCCTCTGGCTCTGACTTGCTGATCGCTTCCTTGGGCGCGGGTGCAGATTTGGTGGCAGCTGGCGGGGCACCGCCGCCARGCGACAGTACCTTTGCGCCACCGGCGGCCTTTTCGACCTTGGGCGCTGCTGCGCCAGTATCGGCGGCACTGRGTGAGAGGGTCTTCACTGGAGCACTCCCGTTGGCAGAAGCCTTGGGGGTCGCCGCTTTAGCAGCAGGTAGAGCCTCTCCGCGCTTAGCAATCATCGGAGTCTGTCGTTGCTGTGGAGGGGCATATGCTTGCTGCTGTGGCTGCTGATACTGGGCATATGCTTGCTGACCGTATCCTTGCTGCTGATAGCCTTGCTGAGCGCCGTATCCATACTGTTGTCCATATCCTTGTTGCTGCTGTTGCTGGCCGTATTGAGGGTAGCCACCGTACTGCTGGCCATAGCCATATTGCTGGAATTGTTGGCCGGGCTGGAAAGACTGCGCACCGGGTGTGAAGCTCTGCGCACCAGGAACGAACGCCTGGCCTCCATACTGCTGACCGCCTTGCATGTTGAGCTGCTGCTGGGTCTGATTAGCGAGATCCTCATCGCGCATCTCATCCTCCCAGGATTCCGGCTGCTGTCCGTTGGCCATGTTGCTAGCGAAGCCTTCGACGGCGCGATGCGGCAGGAACGAGGCAGCTAAGGTTTTTTGGAAATCTCTGTCAAAGTGTAGCGGACAGATTCGATCGTGTTTGTGTAGTGGGCAGAAAGAGGGTGGAAAGGTGGATTGGACGAGAACAATGGTGGGGTGAATAATTTTGTCCAGGGTCGTCACGATTTCTACCGTGGTCCGTGGAGGTAGAACGGCACTCCCGTTATAAGTTAACCACAACCTCAGCATGGACTTTCGTCATAAACGCGAACGAATTGGGCATCAACCACACGCATCACTACTAAGCGCCTTGCCCACATCATGATCTGACTAACTGCTTGACTGCGCTCATCTTTGCAATCATGGACGTCCTGCTGAGCCGTGTGACTCAACAAGCAGTCCAATACGCCATTCGATCCGGAATCTCCATCACCACTGGCTATGCCATCTCCTCAGCCGCGCGTCTCCTCAGGGAGGCGCCCAAGAGCAAAGACCGAGAGGAGCTGATGCAGCTGCAGCTGCGACTCGAGTCTAAAATCCGTGTCATCTCACCGTCAATCGACATGATTGAGCTGATCAGTGCGAGGGGCAATACCTCGCTGGAATCGGCTGTCGCACTGACCAAGGACATTCGTTATGAGATTCAAAAGCTCGGCGTGCGCCTTTCCAAAGCTGCGGAGGATGAGGCGATGCTGCGCCGAAAGAGCTCCAAAGCGAAAACGCGCGAACAGACTGATGTCGAGCTACGCGGCATCATCAATCAAGTTAAGCTACTACTCGCCCGCATCGAAGATGCGGTGCCTCTCATCAACCTTGCAATCACCACCTCTGGCGTCAATTTGTCTACAAAGCTGTCGGGCTCCATCAGTCCAAGTCGTTTGCTGCAAGCCTCTACATTCCTGACATCTTCAGACGGCACTTATTCCAATACTTCTGCTCTTCGCCAACAGGTCGGTCCCRCATACACACTGACCTTGTATATGCTGTTCGCCGGCCATGCTGGCCGACCTGCCGATGAAGATGGTGTTCGAGAGACGACGTGGAAGGAAGTCATCCACAAAGCCCGTGTCAAGTTGTGGCGCCTTCCTGTTGATCAGCTCTACGCGCTCCCAGGTGAGACTTTGGACGTTGATGAAAGCGCAGACAACATCATCCCGGCCGACGCACGCGCGGCCGAGTTCGCCTACCAGCTTACGATTGTGGAAGATTTGGACGACGATAGAGTGCATACCTTCGAAGAAGAGGATCCACGACCGCCTCCTCTTGATGATGTGGAAAATGCCGGCATTCGTGACGTTATCCCGATCCATGAGGTCTCGAAGATCTTCTACGCAGACACTGGCAAGATTCTCAACATCGGCAGCGATGGCGATGCATACAGTCCTGTGTTGCTGCTGAAGCGTGATGTTCATGCCGAACCTCCTCGACGTATGGTTCGTCGCTCAAACTCCCAAGCCTTCGTTTCCGACAAAGAGATAGTAAACGGGCCCGAGGATTCACCGGATGAGCAGAGCGAGATTGATGCCCAGATCGAGCGGGAGTCGACGCCAAACACGCCATCCCAGCCAGCTCCGGACCTACCTCTCACTGCCGGGGCTGCTTTTCGGCTACCGTATGTATCACGATCGGTGCGTTTACTCGTGACTATTGTATTGACTAATAATCAACAGGGCTGACCTTGATCCTGAATGGTATGCCTTTGAGGTCTACACCGAAACGGCAGATTCGGACAGCGATGACGAAGCAGAGACAACCCGACCATCACACAGCCGCACCGACTCATTAGCCAGCAGGCTGGGCAATCTGACTATGAGAGGATCACCTGCTGCTGACGAACACAACGGGCTCGTCCAGTCACAGTCATCTGCACCGAACTTCTCTCCAGAGAAACGTACTGGGCCGCCGATCAAGACAAGTTTATCACTGCTTGAGATGCTCATGAAGCTCGCCGCTCTGCAACAGTTTCGACAGGAATCTCATCTTTCCATCGAAGATGAGCTCCTGAACTTCTTTCTCGAAGACAGCGCCACTGCCGGCGCTGGCGCGGACAAAGACTACCGCCAGCGTCTTCGTCACCAAGCCACCAAGCGCGTTGGCTTTGACCCTTACGACGAATCGCCCATCAAACACCGCAACGAGGACTACATCAGTGGCCTGAATGACGGGGCTTCGCAACGTGGCTCACCAATTCCAGATGGCTGGCAACGTTCGAGCGAAATCAGTTTCGGCGAGGAAGCATTTGGCTATAATGATCCGCTCGACTTTGTCCAGAACYCCATTGAGAGGGGCAATACACCTTCTTCGCCACCTCCACGTCCTATGCCCTACCAACAAACCACGCCCCGCGCCTCGACGCCGGATGCTGTGAATAGTGAATCACATCGCAGTGCTGTGAACGCCAAGTACCGTACATCCCCGCAGTCGCGTACCCTGGCGACGCCACCGAGCAGCTCCAAGATGAGATCAGGTGTGCTGCGGGCGCAGAGCGAGCAGAAGCCTCGCAGTCCGCTGCACGAGAGTGTGGTTCACAATGAAGAGGATTGAGAGAAGGGGTTTCAATCTCTCATGCTCGATTTTAGCGTTCTCGCCTGTGAATACGTTTTGTACTTTGTTACATATACCCCAGAAGGCATGGATTTAATCGGAGTGTTTGTCATTTTCAGAGCCCTTCATAAGGTAACGTAGCGCCTGTCAAGTTCTCAACACTCGCTCAAATCGTATCATTCATCGTCGCTCCGCTCAATCAGAAAGAGTAGCCACTGGAGATGTCTTCCCTTCTCCGCTCCATCTACTGAAACAGGTCAGACCGCATGGTCGAGGGTATCTACCAGACTGCCTTCATAGTTCATACCTTCGCCTGAGCCTGGCTTGCCTGTACGTGTCCGCTGCCGCCGCGATCTTTGTCATTGGCGGCTGACAGCGAGAGTGGGACGCGTGCTTCCTTGTCCACTGGCTTCTGTTCTCTCTTGCTGCGAGAGGCTTCTGTTTCGATCAAGTGGGCTGGATCCGACTCGTTGATGGCGAAATTGAAGCTGCGAACTTCCGTGTTCGCCCAACCTGTCCCTGCGAACTTCTGCACGTCGGCCCAGTCTTCGGTGAAGTAGTGGAGGAAACCGCCTAGCGATGAATCTTCAGTTTAGACTACATGGATTTCCTAGATGAAGGTCTATAACATACCGTGAGTAACGAGCACAATTGCCTTCTCTGGCCTCGCCATGAGCCACTTTCTCGCCGCTTGCGCGCGCTCGTTGATGGCGTCTGGGTTTGGCGCCCACTTGCCTTTCTTGTCATTCCAGCCGGGGGTCACGAGTGACAAGTCCACGGGCTTGCCCTCGAACTCCTTCGCAAGCACCTCCAACGAGCTGCCGGTGTCGCACGGGAGATCTGATGTTTCCTGTAGCTCGGGCATGCAGATCACCTTCAGATTTGTGTTGTTCTTGAGCACATCCTCGAATCCGAGGAGAGCAGTGTAGATGGTGCGCTTGAGTGGGCTGGCCACGATGAGGTCCACGTTGTGGTAGGGGAAAGTCTGCTGGAGAATGTGGCACTGTTCTTCGCCGAATGGTGTTAGCAACGGATCGTGCATGATGTGGTTGGCCGAGCTAATGTTGTGGAAGCCTTGTGCATGGCGAATGCAGTGGATTGTGGCGGGCGCCATCTTGGTGCGGCGATGTTGTTGAGAGGTAGACGGAATAGGTATGTTCCTTTGTTTCTGCGGAGAATGGGATGTGCGGAAGCGCTTAGGTATGACTCGACGGAGAAATTCGATGGGGTGAATGAAAGGCGAGCAAGCAGCAGAAGAAGAGATAGAGGTAGAGGAAGCCAGGATTGCGGTTTGCTGGGTAGGTGAGGCACGAGGGAGAGATCGAACATTCTCATCTCCTTCCATGTAGCGTGGTTGTTGAAAGGTGCATGTGTGTGGTCACTTGCTCTGCTCACCTGTCTTATGAGAGTTTACAGAACACTGCCAGGAGCCATGGTCAGACAGATAACAGTGGCGATCGATCCGCGGCACTACCTTATTTCCTATTGCTTCCGACGATTGCGAACTCACTGGAACACGAATCGAAGTCCAATGTGCTGCTGCATGGATCTCGTGCACGCGCCGAGGAAACTCTGCTTCCTGTGATGTGACGAATCCGAATGCGAGTACAACGCGTGACGTTTGGATCTTGAGTGACGTGATCAGCATGCTCTTGCGGAACGCTCATGCATCAAGGCATGCGTGGCTATTCGCAGATATTCGGGACTCTCAATGCTCTCAATAGCAGCAACATGTACTATCTAAGCCAGTCWAGCTGACCGGAGCAGGAAAACGTCACGCCGAGCTATCAGTCYGTCGACGGAGCAACATGGCTTGTGTCACCAGCATGTATGTCGGCAAAAGACATCGTTTGTTACATTGCTAGATGTTGGATTTGTACATTGGCGTGCTTACAGCTGGAAGCAGAGCGCCTACTTAATCTTCTTCGCCTTCAACTTGATCGTCTCATCGTTCACAAAGATCCCCTTGCCTTTGTAAGGTTCTGGCTTTCTCCACGCACGAATCTCTGCGGCGAACTGCTTGACGACCTCCTTCTCCACACCCTCCAACAGTATTCGTGTAGGCTGTGGTGTACTGGCTTTCACACCTTTGGGCACACCCAACTCAATGGGATGTGAGTAGCCGACTTTCAACGACACGAATTGTTGGCCGGGATATTCGGGCGACTTGGTTTGAGCGCTACCTTCCACTGTAGCACGATATCCAACGCCGACTAATCTTAAAATCGCAGCATGTCCCTCGCTGACACCCAGTATGTGATTCTGAAGATATGCTCGAACCGTCCCTGAATTTCGTGTCAGTCTTTACATCTCATGTTTGATTCCGCGCTACACACCCCACATAGATTTTTCCTCCTTGTCCTCGGGATTCATTATGGTGACAGAGCGTGATGACACACCGTCACCCATTCCGATGTTCACGTAGGGTGGTATTTGCATGCTCATCTTTCCCAAGGGTCCCTCGATCTTGACAGTCGCACCGACCTGCGTTCGACTGACGCGAGCATTGGGTAGTCGGGCTGGCGGCGGAACGACCTCGAATTTGACATCTGGCGGTAGTGATAGTGGTGCGCTTCCAATCTTCGAACGGCATGAGGACGAGGTCGAGAACTGGGATCTCCGTGGGCGCCGCACGAATGCTGGTAGCAGGAAGGCTGGGAGTGTTGTTTCGCGAATAGCGCTGGGTGAGGATTTCAGCACTGCTCTTGATGAGCGTATGCAATGCCGTGTCGCATCCATGATGTTTCGCTTGAGCGTGTATGATCAACTCGGACTGTACATGGGTTATGTCCTCGCTCCTGCCGAACAATGTTTCGAAAGCTTGGGCCATGGCTGACAAAACGCGCTAGCAAAGCAGACATCACCTCTCTTTTGACCTTCTCTCATTCACCTTCCGCAATCTAGACTGTCGCCCGCTCTCCCTTTTTGAAGCCTGCCATGTGCCAGAAATATGACAATGAGTGAAACGAAGCGGCTTTCATGTGCTTTGAAGTGAAGCCTGCAGCACTCACAAGCTTATAAGCTTCAACACATTTCTTCCCACTCAGCCTCTTTCTCATCACCCACACAATCGCTCTTTCCGACATTGCACCACCACTTTACTACTGCAATCCGCCTCAGCAGAAGTAATCTTCGTGATCACAGTGAGAGCATATCAACGCCGCTGCAGGTACAATATACCATCGACTCAATTGATTAGAGGTGGCAGCCTCTGCGACAACGGTAAGAGCAACGCAAGGTCCGCTCCTGCTTCTCGAAGCTCCTTCCTCGCCGCGTGACAGTCGCTCTCCGCGACAAACACCACAGCCTCACCTTTTGAAACCACTTCAGCAGTTCCAACATACGGGGCAAAGGTGAGAGCACCATACCACTTCATCACAACATTGACAACACTTAACTCCACTACCGCAACATCACGATGTCGCTCTCCCAACATCTCACCACCGGCATTGTTGTAGCTGGATGCGTTGGTCAGGTTTCCGCCGGACGGGGTTGGATGGGCTCGCGGATCGCGCCTGCTCCATCAATCGATGCCTCCGTTGAGCAGAGGCTCTCACTCCAAAGCTCCATGGCGACGGTTCAGCAGACGCTTGCGTCGCTTGAGCAGATGCCAAGCTGCCAGAAGCTTGCTACCCAGAATCTTCTGCATTCGTGTGAGGTGTTCCAGGACCGTCGCGATGGGCACCAGTCCAGCGGGGACGCATATCTGGAGTCGTTTCGGAACTTGTACGCCATCCGCATGACCAACTGCGATCAACAGGATGCTCACTCCCCTCTGCCGGACAACTGCCAGCCACTTCTTGACACCGATCTCCGCGGCACTCCGCGGGAGGCTGTCAATCTCTGCCTCGCGGCTCTGAACTCCGGTCATCCTAACCCATGGTCAACATTCAATCGTGTCAAGAGTGAGGGCCTGATCATGTGCCAAGCGAAGCGGGCTGACAAGGACAAGGACGACAAAATCCATCTCTACAAGATCCTCACTAGCGCTATGACCGATATCAACGGAGCTATCATCCTGCAGAAGGACGAGCTAGATGCTCTCACAGCCAGCTTTGGCGGCATTGCCAGTCAGATCCAGGATTTTCATGGCACACTGCTTCAAGACAACCAGGAGATCAAGGCCCAGCTCAAGGGCTTCTCGGTCGAGCTCACAGACAATATGTCGGAGATCCAGAAGGTTGGTACCCACTGAATCAAACTTGAGGCGAACGATAGCTGATTTGTCTCTTCGCAGAATGCCCACGTATTAGTCAATATGGTGCAAGACGCCAAGGCGGTGATCCTTGGCTACACTTCTGAGGTCGGCTCAGCAATGCAGCTGGCCAAGTCCAGGGGCGACGAGACCGATGCACAGTGGGCAGCACAACTACAGCAGGTGAATCACATCGTCGGTGTGGTCACTGAGCAAGTTGGTTATGCATCCCAGCAGATGCTAGACAGCGTCCACGCTGCCGCGTACGACATGACGCAGAGTCTCGAAATTTCGAATACGCTGACCAGCGCGCTGGCCAGTGGGCTCGCCGAAGTCAATCTCGGAATCAATGGGGCGACTCAAGGACTCGCAAGCCTCAACACTGAAGCCGTCGAACTCGCTGCCAAGCATCAGCTCATGCAAGATTCCAGCAACGAGACGCTTCAGACTATGGACGCGACGATGAAGCTCTGCGGACGCTTCTTCGCATTGGCCGAGGYCATTTCRAAATGCATCACGAGCGTTCTTGATGGCATGAGCACTTTCACCATCTACCTCGTGGTCACATTCCTTGTGTCGTTCTGCTTGATGTGGCGCTTCGTCTCCAGATCGCTCGCATGGGTCGTCATTGCCGGTTTCAATGCATTCTACCTGAGCGTGTTCTTCACGTACGTCCACTCTCCGGTCGGATTCGCGCGGTCCGTCATCGCTCATCACCCGACATTCTTCTCCCCGGTGTATTGGAGCGTGCTGACCGTCGTTGTGGTATCGATCCTGCTATGGGAGGGGGCAAAGTATCTGCGCCAGCAAGTTGTCCAGCCATCCGAGGCAGACTACGAGTTGCGACTCCATTAATGAAGACGAGGGTATGGACGGCAAGGTTTGAGCAGAGGCAGTTGGCGACGAAAAGCATGGTATGTGGCTTTGCATGATCCAGCAAAATAAGTTAGATACTGGTATCAGACAATGGCTCTCGAGACCAAAGCCGATGGGTTTGGCATGATATTTCTGGCTTTGCGGGCATGTCGATGATATTTACTGGTTTACAGCTTCAATCAATCATACTTATCTTGACACCCAACGTTGGTTCCACCTCTCAGTGTACGAGAAGTGTGATAGATTGTGCCCCCGGTTGATGGTTCTCTGCTCTCTTCCTGAGTTGCAGTAGACTGAAGCATTGTACGGGCCCTGATGCTTATTAAGTAAGCATTTGTGATGGAGCCAATTTAAGTCTTCAGGCTCTCTCTCTCTCTTGAAATCGTACAACAGATCCACTTGTTAAAGCAATGATCGCACTGTCAAGTCATCCAGCGAGCAAAACAGTGCGCTGTCAATAATGATGAAGACATCGTTGATGCACGAAGGTCTTCGCTTTCTAAAGTTACCTACTTTAGCATTCTACAAGGATGACGTATACTTCCATCGAGAAGAGTGGCGGCAAGGTAGCCCTTTGTACTCCATAGCAAACAAATACTTTCTCCTCCTCTCGACAACCTCAAACTCGACTTGATGCGCTTCACCTTCCCGTTCGTACGATCACTCCTCTTCGCCAGCATCCGTACCCCGCCCAAGCCATTCGCCTCGATCGCAAGGCCGGCCTTACCTTTGAAGTCGATGCCAACGATTCCTTTCCTGGGTGCTCTATTCTCCACAGCTGAGAACCGCAAAATGTCGCATCCAGTGCAGAAGAGTGAATCGGAATGGCAGGCGCAGTTGTCTCCAGGTACGGGCTGGCCCGCTCGATCCAGACCTTGATGGAAGTACGCGCTGACGTTCGCACGATTTGTAGAGCAATTCAGAGTGCTCAGAAAGCAAGGCACCGAGGCTCCTGGTACTGGAAAGTATGACAAGCATATGCCAGAGCAAGGTGTATACACCTGTGCTGGCTGCGATGCTCCTCTTTACAAGGTACGTGGTCCTCCACGCGAGACATGTGCTTCACTCGCTGATCATGACTACAGGCACACCACAAGTTCAAGTCTGGATGTGGCTGGCCGGCCTACTTCGACGCAATAGAGGGATCCGTCACTCGCCATACCGATCGAACATTTGGCATGGAGAGAACGGAGATTGTATGCACCAACTGCGGTGGACACTTGGGACATGTCTTCAAAGGAGAGGGATACAACACGCCTACAGATGAGCGTCATTGTGTGAACAGTGTCTCGTTGAACTTTAACAAGGACGACCCTGTGGTGGACAAGGCCAAGGCATGAGTAGAAGCATGATGAATGAGTGTGCTGGGGGGAGCTGAGGGATGGCACGAGTGATGATCAAGAATGAAGATTTGTGGCTTCGGGCAGGACATGCTGGATAGTATCTCGACTCGACACCTTGACCAATGTCAGACAGAGTTGATGGACAGTGCACGTCCTTCGGCACGGCCTGACCTCCCTATTCCCCAATGCCCACGTAATGCCGCGTGCCCATTGCTCAAATGCTGAAATATGCAGGCAACCGCTTCTCCGTCCAACCCGTGCATTGACAGGACAGGCCGGCCTGACCGCCTCCCCTTCCTTAGAATATGACTCGTTGCATTGCGGACTTGGCTTACGAATGGCGTGCTCCTGTGCATACAAACGGAGACGGTAATGTTTGCACAGCCTGAAGTGCCCGACTACTTTCTCCTGTGTTCGCCGTAGAAGGGGGTCTCAATGTGACTTCATCCTGAAGCATGGCAATGCCGTTCACCAAAGGCAATAGAGGCGATTGCGGCGAAGCTTTTGAAGCGTCTCGGAGCTGGAGCTCCAGTCGTGAACTCGATCCAACCAGCGGTGCGAAGCTCCCCATTTCTTTGTGATCCCCAATTTTTCATGGCATAGCACATCTCCACCTCCGCATTCAAGACGCTGTGACGTGCCTCTGGTGGAGTTGAAGTTGGCTGGAGTCATGCTGGTCGCGCTTTCATACTCATGTCACCACTCGCAGGCTCCTCGGAGACGGACGACAATACCGATCACCACCACCACCAGCTGAGCGCCAGACACAAACACGCCGACATTGCCAATCCTACACCTTCGCTATCCTMGCGGCAGTCGAGTCACGATATAGATCCCACCAATGTGCTGCCTACTCTGCGGCAGCGACTCCGACACACCAGTTCGATCTTGACAATAGTAACCTCCTCCGAGAACATCTACGCGGGCACCCAGGCCGGTGAAATTTTGGTCTACGGTCTGAGCACATATGAGCGAAAGGCTGTGATTGAGGGTCACAATGGCTCTGTATTGGGACTGTGTTTATCGCAGGACCAATCGTTGCTGTTCTCCAGCGCCGGGGACAGGATCGTCAACGTTTGGGACACAAAAACATTGAAGCGGACGCACTGCTTGTACTCATCGTTCGATGTGGGTGACGTTTTCTGTGTATCATACTCCGCAGAACTACAGACCGTCTATCTCGGAGCGCAAAACACCACCATCCAGTGGTGCCAGATCTCTCGGGAGACAGCCCAGGAGCTCCCAATTCGAGCTCGGAGCGCTTCGATACGTGGCGGCGATCGCTTCTTCGACTCTGCTGGACCTGGTGGCGTACGTACTCCGCGGCCAGCGGGATCAGACGTGCTTCCGCGACACGCTCGGGGAGGTGAGAAGGTCAAGATCGATAAGGAATGCGTCCGGCATTTTGCACACTATGGCTACGTCTACTGCATGCTGTTGGCAAAAGATGGCGTTCCTGAATGGATGGGTCACGAGACTTTAATTACTGGTGGAGGGGATGGAGTCATCAGGCTGTGGAAGTTGGATACAGACAACGGAGGCGCGATAGAGGCGTTGTACTGCCTAGATGATGGTCGAGAGGAAGGACACGCAATTCTTTCAATCTCCATCGATGGCACATTTCTCTACTCTGGACGAAGTGGTGGAGAGGTGGACGTATGGGATCTCGAAACTCGGCAGCTTGTGCGGAACCTCAAAGCTCACAAAGATGATGTGCTTACAATTTGCGTCGGCGGAGGGTTTCTCTTCACAGCTGCGGTCACTGGCCATGTGCGAAAGTTCGATCGCCAATATCAAGTCAAGAACAGCTTGAAAGCACACGAAGGCCGCATCCTCGCTTCAGCCTTTTCATCTCACACTCAGCGTCCAGTCTACGTGACTGGTTCCAACGACAACAGTCTGGCGGTGTGGGATGTAAGTGACTGCATCAAGTCCGTGGCGACACCCAGCAAAACCAGCAACGAGCAACTGTTCGATTATCTGCAGAAGTTTGTATCGTTTCGGACGGTCTCATCGGATCCTCGGTACAAGGCTGACTGCCGACGAGGAGCATCGTATCTTCGCTCCGTCTTTAAGAACTTTGGAGCAACGACAGAGATGCTCCCCGCGGAAGATGGAGCAAATCCAGTCATTCTGGCTCGTTTCAGAGGCAACCCAGCTACAGCTGCGAATCGCAAGAAGATCTTGTTCTACGGTCACTACGATGTCGTAGCTGCCAACAATGAGAACGGCAAGYGGCTCACTGACCCCTTCAGCATGGAAGGTATCGATGGCTATCTTTACGGCCGCGGCACTTCAGACAACAAAGGCCCAATCATGGCTGCCATCTTTGCATGCGCGGAATTGACCAGCGAGCAAGCCTTGGGATCCGACATCATCTTTCTGATCGAAGGCGAAGAGGAATGCGGCTCCCGTGGATTTGAGAACGCCATCAAAGCCAGCAAAGATAAGATTGGGGATGTCGATTGGATTCTGCTTGCCAACTCGTACTGGCTGGATGACAGGACTCCCTGCCTGACATATGGTCTGCGTGGTGTCATTCATGCCACTGTGCAGATTGAGAGTAGCCATCCGGATCTTCACAGTGGCGTCGACGGTAGCGCTCAGCTCGATGAGTCGCTCAAAGACCTTGTCATGCTTCTTGGTACGCTGACAAGCAAGAGTGGAGACGTGAAAATCCCTGGCTTCTACGATCCTGTGCCCGAGGTCACCAAAGACGAGGCCGCGTTGTACTCTGATATCACGACGGCATTGGTACAGCGCAACCCAGACCTCGGAGATCCAGACGCTCTCGCAAGATCCTTGATGAGACGCTGGAGAGAGGCTTCCCTCACCATTCACCGCTTCCAGACGTCAGGGCCAGACAACGCCACCATCATTCCACGCTTGGCGAAAGCTGCATTGTCCATGCGGCTTGTGCCCAATCAGGAGGCATCGGAAGTAGCGAAATCGCTGGTACAATATCTTGAAAGTCAATTCGAGGAGCTGGATTCGAACAATGTGCTCACAGTGACCATTGACCACAAAGCGGAGCCATGGTTGGGAGATTGGACGAATGACCTTTTCAAGACCCTGGAAGAAGCCATCATGGAGACGTGGGGTCCCATCGATCAGTCGCACAGTCGACACTCCTCGGTTGCAGGACTCAAACCAGCGCTGACGCAGCAGAGCAACGGCTACTTTACTACCAAGCCGTCGGCTACCACATCATCGGTGCTCGCAATTGGAAGCCAAGTGCCACTCCCCGAGCAACCTCTCACTCCGCTTGCCGAAGTAACACAGAAACTGGAAAAGATGGCATCACCAAAGCGATTGGCGCACAAACAACGTCAGAAACCCCTCTACATTCGCGAGGGAGGATCGATTCCAGCCATTCGTTTCCTTGAGAAGGAATTCAACGCGCCAGCTGCGCATCTGCCCTGTGGTCAAGCAAGCGATTCCGCTCATCTAGACAATGAGCGCTTGAGACTTGTCAATTTGTACAAAAGCAAAGACATCTTTAAAAAGGTGTTCCGGGACTTGCCTCAAAAGTGAGACCATCTGGACCACTAGTAATCGTTTCGAGCGCTCTGCTACATGGTTGTAAGTTGCGAGCAAGCGCTTCGGCGAGATCTGTAATTCTACCCTTTGTTGGAGACAAGGAGCTACAGTGAACAGCAAACATCGCCTGGCAGGCAGCAGGCAGGCAGATAGAAGAATCATCACAGTACAACTATCAACGAAGCCTTCAACAGCCTCAAGTTCTGCATCTTTTCCCTTTACCTCTGTGCCACTGAACATGTCGTCGGAACTGTACGAGAGCGCACCCGAGAGTCTTGGGAATGAGTACGAGATCGAAAGACAACGCCTGCAACAGTTCTTCACAGCGGCCGGTACCAGAAATGGCAGACAGGAAGAGTTTCGCACTACTCCACTGTTCTCGCTGGCTGTCAAGCATGTTGTTGATGGTGGTAATGCGGGGACCGCTCCTGAGGTTCTGCCTCAGTACGGTCTGCTGGGTTTTCACATTGGAGAGAACGAGAATGTTTCGGAAAAGGAGCCGTTGCATATGAACGTCGATGCACCGAATTCTGCATTCATTTGTGGGTCCCAAGGTAGGTTTCTATCCAGACTTAGTGTCAGAGGGTGCAGAAACTTCAAATACCTCACTAATACCTTACAGGTTCTGGAAAGTCATATACTCTCAGCTGTATGCTTGAGAACTGTCTCCTCTCGAGCCCAGATACGGGCAGACTCCGCGCCCCTGTCGCAGGGGTAGTCTTCCACTACGACATCAACTCCACCCCTGCGCCGGCTGAAGCAGCGTATCTGTGCTCCAGAGGTATTGAGGTTAATGTTTTCGTCTCACGCAGCGCGGGAAGAGCACTCAACGAAGCCTACAAGAACCTTGGTGACAAGTATGGAAACCTGAAAGTCCAACCGCTCATGTTCCGCTCCTCGGACCTCAGTATTGAACGTATGAACAGGTTGATGGCTGTGGCTACGAAAGAAGGTCCTCCTCCCTTGTACATGGAAGTCGTCCAGCGGATCTTGAGAGATCTCGCGATCAATTCCGAGGTGTTTGACTATTTGCAGTTCAAAAAGCTGCTGGCAAATGAACAGCTTACGAAAGATCAGACTTCGCCCATGAGTCTCCGTCTTGGACTACTTGAGAGCTTCATGGATCCCTCGTCTCTGTTGGGCTCTGGACAGAGTTTCAACGGGAAGAAGTTTTACGGCCACAAGTCGGGTTCGAAGGATAAGGGATCCCTCAACCCTCAGCCGGGAAGTTTGACTATCATTGATCTCAGTGATACGTTTGTGGATTCGTCGACGGTGTGCCTCCTGTTCGATATGTGTCTTGGGCTGGTCAAGGAGCAGCGGCCAGAAGCTGGGCTTGTCATTGGACTGGATGAGGCTCACAAGGTAAGCATTTTCTGATATCTGTGTGGTTGTTGGGAGCTAATGCTGGGCGTAAAGTACATGAACAAGGACAAGTCGACCTCGGCAGCGCTTTTCACGGACAGTCTTCTTACTACCATCCGGGAGCAGCGGCACAACAGTACGAGGGTAAGTGAAGAGGAAGCAACAAGGAGTCTTGCCGCGTACCATCACATGCTCAGGCCCTGCTACTACTTCTGCTGCTCACTCAACACATCACTGGGTCTACTAACACTCATCTCCAGGTTTTCATCGCTACGCAAGAACCAACCATTTCCGAAAGACTCCTCGACTTGTGTTCCATCACTATAGTCCACCGGTTCTCCTCGCCAGCGTGGTTCGGATCGATCAAGGACCATCTTGGTGGAGCTTCTTCGATGGTTTCCACCAAAGAATCTCAGTACAGCATGTTCGAACGCATCGTGAATCTAGACGTCGGAGAGTCTTTGGTCTTCGCGCCTTCTGCTTTCGTTGGTCTGCGGGATCGAGAGGTCACCAAGTTGGGGGCTGTTGCTTTGCTGATGAAGACGAGGGCGAGGCTTGGGACTGATGGAGGTACGAGCAAGTTGGCTACTGGAAGTGTGGAGCAGTAAGCTCTCGCTGCTTTGTTGCGAGATGTGCTATGTGCTATGTATGAGGTTGTCGATCTGTGGTGCGTCTGCTCGCCATTAGCGATAGAAACTGGATAAGTTGACGAAACAAGACCACGAACCTCGTGAATGTTTGAAAACCAGTGATTACAGTATAGTTGTAGGTTGTAGTGACATTTTCTGAGCGAGCATGATCTAGGAGCGAGCTGAATGGTATTGGTCAATCTTTTCTCCGCCTTGATGACTCTCAAGCCTTCACATGTGTTCCATCGTATAGTGTTCGTTGTTCATAAGTACTACAGAGAACTCCAAACTGGTAGCTGGCGGCGTCTGGGCGTCTGCCTTTGTGTGATTGGCTCGCATCGCGCCTGATGATTCACTTCGCAAACACCACACCATCATCATCAATTCAATTCAATTCAAGTTCGATCCATCACCAGCACATCACCTTCTCCTCAATCGTAGGATCCATCGACATGGCATCACCGCTAATGGCATGGGCGTTGCCGCGCATCCAGCAAATCCTACCTCTTGATGACGATTCTCTCAAGGAGATTATCACATACACAGACTCTCTACCAAAAGATGCTGCCGCTGAACACTTGAAGAATCTGCTGGGAACTGAAGCTAAAAGCCTGGAGTTCATCTCCAGCTTCAATATGAGGCGACAGAATAAGCCCGCGCCGGCAGCACCTTCAACGAATGCTTCATACAATGCTGGGAATCCAGAGCTGCCCCGGAAGGCAAATCCCAAGAAGAAAAGAGCTAACATTCATGCGCTTCCCCCACGGCAAGTCGCTCCTGGGCCATCTGGAGGATATCACAAGCCACAAGAAGAAGCATACATGCCCGCCAGCACGCGGCAAAGCCATAAAGACCAAGTGGCGGATAACCTTGCATTGAGACGGAAGCCGGATGCTACACAGATGCCGCTCATCACAGACGATTCGAGCCTCACAAATCAACCCATCACATCCAAAGCACCACCTTCAGCCTCGGGACCTTTGATATCGGACTCGCTTGCACCTAAAAAGAAATCGCAATCCTCAAGAACTTCGTCTCCAGCACCCACCAAGGTCAACATATCAGGCGGCACAGCAATGCACGGAGCATCGACCGCATTATCTGACCTGGACTCTGCGATTCGTAGTTTGGAGTTGCAGACGAACCCCATTCTGTCCGCGAATTCTGCAGCTGATACCGAGAAGCGGAAGTGCAATTGCATGGCTACGAGACATCCGATTCTCGACATGGCACCAAACTGTCTCGAGTGTGGCAAGGTGATTTGTGTGAAAGAAGGAMTGGGACCGTGTACCTTCTGCGGCTCACAGCTGTTGAACCCGGAAGATGTCCAAAAGGTGTTGAAAGTTCTGAAGGAGGAGCGCGGTGAGGAGAAGATGAAAGCCAACAACGCATCGCATAAGAAAGTTGAGGTCGCTCATGGTAAAGCGAGGGCATTCACAGGCCGAGAATTCCTTTCTCAGCCATCAAATCGCTCGTCGCCACTGTCCTCTGCACCAGTCACACCCGCCGGATCAGACGACGAAGCAGGTGCAAAAGCCAAGGCGCATCGTGACCGACTGCTGGGCTTCCAAGCAAACAATGCGAAAAGAACGCAGATCCACGATGAAGCTGCTGATTACGAGGTACCCTCGGCGGGCACGAATATGTGGGCAAGCCCACAAGAGCGGGCGCAACAGTTGAAGAAACAGCAGAAGATCATGCGTGAGATGGAGTGGAATGCAAAGCCAGAGTACGAGAAGAGGCACGTCGTGGCAAGCATTGATTTAAAAGGCGGGCGGATCGTCCGACGAATGGCAGAAGTGGAAAAGCCCAGCTTTGAGGTGGAGAGTCATGGTGATGAGGACGATTACCGCCCTCCAGTATCTACTGGGGGTGGTGCGTTTAGCAACAACCCATTGGCTGCTGGATTGATTAGGCCCATGGCACGGGAAGCGAAGGGCAAAGAGGTCGCGAAAGAGCAGAACAGCAACACCTGGCGCAGGGTCCAGATGGACGAGGATGATAATGAGCAGTGGATATTGGACGGTGGAATGTATGGCACGGCTCAGATTCCCGATGTCTCGAGGGGAAACGAGCCCGAGTGCGGCTAGCTGGATGGGTTCTTCTCGAGTGCCGCGCCCCTTGCTGAGCCTCCATATTGATACTTATCCAGGCTGACTGTAATAGGGAGCGTCGTATTCGAACTAAGTCAAACGAAGCGGCCTAGTCTTGAGCCGCGCTATAGAGCAGCGTGGAGCAAGATGAGCTCCAGGATCTGCATACCAGTGAGCCGCCCACCGACCCACTGACCAGATCCTTGGGACCAGGAACGCAATGTATATTCTTCCGAAAACATCTTGCTGCATCAATCTTGTATCTCCGCACTCCGCACTGTGATGTCTTTGGTTCACGTTTCGCCTTACACGCCGTTAACGCAATGCATACTTCCACCGTCATTACGAGTAAAACCCCATCAGTCAACATCTTTCGATTAACAGCATCACTTTTCCTTTTCTTTGCCTACGTTTCCGCACAAAACAACACGAGCTGCCCTGATGCCGGGTATGGCGCTCTCTACACAAACACCAACGGAACAGAGTACGATTTATACTGCGGCTATGACTGGACTCAGGACATCGTGTCTTATCCAAACATGCCAGGCTTCGAGGATTGTCTACTTTAGATGTGACTCTTATGTACCACCACCAGGGGGCTCTGAGTGTGGCGCAGCTACTTGGGCAGAACCGCTTGGACTCACGTGCTATTTGAAGAGAGCAGCCGAGGAGGGCGGTATCGTGGGCGGGCAGGGGGTTGGAATTAACACGGGAGTGAAGAGACTTGGACCGGGCATCACAGGCCCTCCGATCGATGCTTGTCCCACAAGTAACGGCACGGTCTACACAGATGGAGACAATCACAGATATAGTAAGTCTCTTCAAACTTGGTCTCGAGGAGGGCATGGCCTAATCAGTTGGGTGTTCACCTGTACGATGCGGGCTTGATACGAGGGGTAACAACTACTTTAATGCATCCGCGGTACCGCGACGCGGTGATCTATACCGCACCGGCACAGGTGGCWCCTATCAGGAGTGTTTCTATCAGTGTGGTCTCAGACCTGGCTGCTTGGGCTTCAGTGAGTAGCGGTCTGTTAGTACGGGAACTGTAGTAACTTGCTGACACCATGTAGCCTGGGAAGGAATAGACGGAGCAGAGAATGGTGTTGGTCCGGGTGGTTGCTTTTTCAAGCAACAGGCAAATGACTGTAATCAAGTATGTTACGCAATGGTCTGGTGTGCGAAGCGAAGTTTAACGCCAGCCCTCACTCTAGGTCCTGTACGTTTTTCACCTCGACCAAGAGGGAGTGTACAATGACGGCCTCGTCTCTGCACTACGAGAAGATCAGGCGCAATTGATCATGGACACGTGCATACCGGAAACCACAAGCGAATCCACGACCCCAACAGGCTCTCCCACCTCGGTCATACCAGCACCTCCTCAAACAGTGAGTGCACGCCGCGGATTTTTGAGCAACGAGCGCTGATCACGAAACAGATCTCGACAACTTCTTCTATTCCGTCAGCAACGCCCTCAATATGCCCAGTACCTGACGGAACTCTCTATACGGACACGGGTGGACAGCGAGCGATWCACGATTTACTGTGCCGCTGATGTGTCAGGAGACGCCGTTTCCATCCCTGGCATTCCCTCTTTAGATGCATGCCTGCTTCGATGCGATCAGTTTGGCAACGCTTGCGGCTCGGCTGTTTACACACCGATAGATTTGTACTGCTACCTCAAACCTCCCCCCGAGCAAGGCGGAGTCCGGACTGTTGGCCAGGCCCAAGTTGGTGTGAAGTACTAACTACGACATTACGACGACTTCTGTTCCTGCGAGCTCGATTTTCACCACTGCAAGCTCTTCGCTGGGACTAATTCCATTGACCTCTTCGTCTGCGTCCTCGTCTTCTATCTCGATAGCAGGACTCCAGCCTGAGTATTCCAATATTCAGCACGACTACAACCGTGACACCTATTCCTAGCACGCCAATCATTACAACATCGACAATATCGACTCAACCTCCAACCGCCACACTTAGTTCAAGTCTTCCACTCTTGGGCACGTCCTCTGCCGACATAACGGTTCCCAGTTCTTCCAGCTCAAACATCGAGACATTCAGCACGGCGACGACGCCAATAAGCAGCTCATCAGTATCGACTTCGTTCATTGTTCCCCGCGGCTCAACAACCTCGACTCCAGAAACTTCGACGAGCGCCAGCTTCCCCAGCCCTTTGACAACACCTTCAAGCACTTCGGACTCCTCGAGTGAGATCAGCATCGAATTTGGCTCGAGTACTCCTAGCAGCTTACCACTCCCAATCCCCTCTTCCAGCTCTATGATTTTCACCACCACCACTGCGGTACCAATGGGTTCGGAGAGCTCAAGCTCCTCGAGACGTCAATCAACTGCAGAGCTCTCCTCGTTCACGGTCAGCCCTCCTAGCAGCAGTATATCGAGGTCACCGTCCTCGGAACCGCCATATACAACAACAACGTCTTTGATCGTCCCTGGCAGCAGCAYCATCACCTCTACTCCGACATCAGTCCCGGTGTCTTCACCAATGGTGACAAGCACCTTGTCCTCAGCTGCCTCGATCATTCCTCCAATCTCAGCATCTGCCTGCGCTGCGGGAGCGATCGAGACCCAGGTCAGCTCGTCTGGTGTGACCTATGTCGTCGAGTGTGCAGCAGATACCAGTGGTGAGCTTGTTGCTGTTGTCGAGGCCCCAAATACATATACAGAATGCTTTAATGCTTGCGACGCCGATCCAAAGTGTCTGGGATTTACATACGTTGGTGCTGCCGGCTCGGACTACGGAGTTGGTCGTGGCTACTGCTATACAAAAGCACCCAGCGGCTCGCAGAATGCTATACAACTCATCCCAGGTATGGACAATTTCGTGTCCGCTGTAGTCCTAAGACCTATCAATAGTGGAACTGGTTCAACGCTTCTCACTCCTTCGATGACTTCTTCGATGCCTAGCAGTGGCGATACGGGTATTCCCTCGACAACTCCACAGAATCCGCCGGGCTCCAGCGAAGCATCAGTCTCCAGCGGATCTATTGGATATACAGCCACRCCAGTTGTCACACCCCCCAGTGAGCGTGACTCCATATTCTGAAGGCACGCGAACAACAGCAACACCGCTATTCACGTCTTCTACATCAACGACACCCGAAGCATGCACTGCAACCGGCCAGCAGACTTTCACTTCCAACAGTGGCTACGAGTACGATGTCCAATGCGGCTCCATCATCTCCGAGAGTGGAGCTTATAGCAACAGGCTGGACGTAGAAGTAAACACTTCATACACTCAATGCTTTGCATTCTGTGATTCCGCTGCGTTATGCGATGCATTTACCTACACGGGTACAATTGCGGGCAATGGACCAGGAAAATGTTCCCTCTTCCTTCGACCCTCCTACGCTGATCAGTCTTCTTCACCACTGACATTTAACATTGGAAACACTGGCAATGTAGCAGCGATACGCCGTCGTGCTACTACGAGTCCGCCGGTCATTTCAACGACATCGATGACTATGCCAGCTACATCTACCTGCGTAACGACGGCCATCTCCACGATAGTCTCCTCAGCCGGTAACACATATCGAACGCAGTGCGGAGCTCGCACATCAGGTGGCACAGAAATCGAGACAGTTTCGGTGGTGGGAGGCTCACAGGATTGCTACATGTTTTGTGATGCAAATGAGCAGTGCGTGGCTTTCTCGTACCAGGAAATGCGGAGGGAATGTGTGTTACTCAAACRAACGGTGACGGGAGGTTCGGTGTCGCTTGAGGGGGGTGGCTCTTCGGCTGCGTTCTTTGCGGCGGTTCGAATCGCTGCAACAGGGACATCGACGATTCTCGTCACTCCAGTTCCTAGTCCTTCATCGAGCGGATCTCCCTCGGGTGGAAGTGGTATGACGGGAGTGCTTACGGCTCTTCCCATCGGTACCTACTCAGGAATCACGGCGTCGGAGTCGCTGAAGTCTGGCTGTGTGCGGAGGACAACAGTGATCGCTGTCACAGCTTTGGGATACTGATTGATATGCGAGGTGTGAATCAATCGCGGTTCCTAACTCCTCAATCGGCGGCGCTCTCAACCAGTCAATAGATAAGCGTAATTCGTTCATAATTATCATTCATCGTAGAAGAACCTCCACACTTTTGTCCAGCTTCTACTTGTTCAGCTGGAGTGATCACATCCACTGATGACATTCGGCCTTCTACCTGCTTCTCTCGAGCATGTCTCACCACTCGTTTCCAGCGTACCTAACCCATGCATTGATGGGTTTTCCGCCCATCACGTCTCCCAGAGTATGATTGATCCGACCGGACGACTTTGGCAAGTCGTGATCGTTGACTCCGCGAATACTCTCGTCATAGGTAGCCCCATCCTGCCAACATTAATCATAGCGATTGCAATGATGGAAACATAGCTTCACTCGAGGAGGATCTCTGCCCTTACTCTTCACTTTCTCAGTACTCCAGGACGTTCTTGATCGAATCATATACTCTGGCGACATCTGGAATGTTGAATTTTTCATAATTCAATCCCGAGTGTGTTGACCAACCCGCCACGCGCTGTACTGGAGCCTCTAGTCGCAAAAAGCAGCCTTCTTGAATTGTTGCAGCGACTTCGGCTCCCACTCCAGCGTTCACCATGCTCTCGTGTACAACAATGCAGCGGCCCGTCTTCCGCACAGAAGCCATGACAGTCTKTCTATCCCATGGATAGATGGTGCGTAGATCGATGAACTCGACAGAACACTTCAGTTCCTTTTCTGCGGCCGTGATGGCGTTCTGACAGGTGTATAGAGGAGTTCCGTAGGAAATGATGGTGACGTCCTTGCCCTCTTTGAGAACCTCCGCTTTACTGAGGGGCAGTGTGAAGGGCTCCGCAGGGACATGCTCTACCGCAGCGCGATACAAGATCTTGGGCTCCATGAATATGACAGGATCCGGACATTCAACCGCCGCCAACAGCAGTCCCTTTGCCTGTGTTGGTGATCTCGGCACCACAACTCTCACTCCCGGAATGTGCGTAAACAAAGATTCGGGGGATTGCGTATGGTAAAGGGCTCCATGACCAACGCCTCCAGCCGGCATCCGAATGACCAGACCACCGCACGACTGCGACTCTGCGTTCACACCGCTGCGATATCGAATCTTGGCAGCTTCGTTGACGATCTGGTCAAAAGCTGGATAGACATAATCTGCAAATTGCACTTCCGCGATGGGCTTCATCCCTTCCACAGCAGCTCCAATGGCAAAACCAACAATGCCTTGTTCACTCAAGGGCGTATTGAACACCCGGGCATCACCGAATTCCGASGCCAAATTCATCGAGCATCTGAACACGCCACCAAAGGCAACGTCTTCCCCAAATAGCAGCACTCGAGGATCTGAACGCAGGGCATGCGCCAGAGCCGAGTTGATTGCTGAAAAGAGATTCTGTCTGCTGGTAGTGCCATTACGAGCTTCTTCTGGCAATTCCTGGTTTGCAAGTGCTGATTTTGAGGTTTGGTGAAGAAGCGGAGTCGAGGCATAGTCGGTGGGGATATTCAGGCGGGCTTGTGGGGGATGCGAGGCGTAATGGCGGCGAAATGATGACGGTGCTATGCGTGCAACATCTACCAGGTTACGCAGAGGCCGTGCCATGTTTGTGTTGAGACTTCACGACCTGTGAAATGAATGTAGTAGTCACCTYAATGCCCCAGCAAAGAAGTCATCACAACATATCTCTCTTCCGGGAGACGCTTTGTCTCGGCTTAGTACAGGCTCGCTCTCCACATCTCCGCGTGCGTTTATGCCGTAAATCTGGGGGAGAGACACGTGATACAGACAGTCTCTTCGATGTCCATGACATCCCTTGCGGATCACAACGATCACATATTGAGCCTTACTGCGAAAATGCAACGACGTTCACGGTGGGAGAAGGAGCTAATAAGCTACTGGAACATTTGCTTTCTTCAGACTGGCCATCTGGTCTCTGCTGACCGCTATCATTACAATAGAAAACTCTTGGAGTTCGCTTGCCTTGCGTGAACGCAAAAGGCTGGTATATCAAACGAACAAGCTCAAGGTCAATTTCCCACCGGTCTTGGTGGGATACGCGAGGAACCGGCTTCGGACTCGGTTGCCTGTCCCGTTCCACGTCGCATTGGTTGTTGTGGAATCGGTTCGCTGCTGGATCGGGCCGTAGGGCTCGAGGCGCCTTCTGTCTCCTTCAAAATGGCAGCCACCGTCTTCGAGGAGGAGGTCTACTCGCCGCCCGTCGTCGGTGCAGGGGTGGAAGGCGCGCCGTCTGGCTTGCCGCCACGTCCACGTCCGCCACGTCCGCGACCATTGTCGCCTCTGAAAGCTCCACCCCGGCCACGGCCACGACCGCCACGACCGGCACCTTCGCTATCGCTTCCGGTGGTGGCACCTCCGGCAGACTGGTAGCCGCCACGTCCCTCTCCACCACCCCTATGAGCTGCACCGCCGCGGCTAGATCCCCAGCCGCCGGCACCAGAACCCCCGAAACCGCCTCGAGAAGGCTTGGGACGGTACGCAGCCATGCTGACGCCCTTGAAATCATCCGAGAGCTGCTTTGCTGGGTTGTGCTTGAGGACTTCGTTCATCGCTTCGTGCGTAGCAAAGTGAGCGATGAAACGCCCGTGGCCGGCACGCTCGATGTTGGTGATCTTCTCGGCATCTTCGGCAGAGAACAATTGGGTCTTGGCTTCCTCAGGTGTGATATCCTTGCCGGCCAGACCTTGAATGAAGATGCCCTTGGACGGCTCTGCAGGCTGCTGTGGAGATTGTTGTACATTTGCTGGCTTGTTACCCACTGGGGTCTCGGGCTTCGGAGACGATGCTGCTGCTGCCCCGTTTGTAGCCGGGGTGTTCACGATAGGTGCTGCCGTGCCGTTGGGGGCGAGGCCGGCTTGCGGGGTGGCAGCCTTGGGGGCCTGTTGTTGCTGAGGCTTTGGTTGGGCCTGCTGCTGCTGGCCACGCTGCTGGTTGAACGGAGCCTGCTGTTGAGATGACCCCTGCTGTTGCGGGCGAGCCTGCTGCTGGGCCATGTGTGGCGCCTGTTGACCTGGTGTTGGAAGATTGCCTCCAGTCGGTGCCATGGTGGCGTTGATCGGCGCCTGTGGGATGCCTTGTGGTCTCTGTTGTGTCTTGCTGCCACGGTGAGAGAAATTGAAGCCCTGCGCCCGCATCTCCGTGCCAATTCGGCCCTGATCAATGTCCAGAACGAGCCAGCCGAATGCGGCATCGGCAAGGTTGAAGTTCCACATGTTCTTGAATGCAGACTCGTCAACAGCACCGTTGAGTGGGCCTCCACCGAACGGGTTGCCCCCATTTGCTACGGCAGGCATCTTGCCGACCAACTCGAGTGCGTGCTGTAGAAGTTTGTTCTGCGCCTCGTTCTCAGACACTGCTGGTTCAACTTCGTGCTTAACTGTCTCCCACACATCGTTGAAAGATGCTTTGGAAGCGGAAAGCTTTCCGCGGTAGTGATCGAGGGAGGGGTTGACGGAGAACTCGTTGTACGAGCTGCCATATCGAAAGTGCAGACCTGCGGAGATGGAGAAGTCTGCCTTGAGTGTTACGGAGAGCTGGTTCAGCAGACCCTCGCGTGCAGGCGAGGCGTGGGTGACAAGCACGCGCGTCTCCGTAGGGTCGTACACGCGGTTAGCGGTGTCGATGAGCTCGCCCATTTGTAGGASAGTGGTCCACATGGTGCCTTGGCCGCCAGCGATGGTTGTCCGGCCCTCGCCATTGTCGAATAGCTTGTGCATCACGACGGCGCCACCCAATCCAAGCAGACGCAGCTTGACGCCGCCCACATCCAGCAGCCGCGAGTGGGACTCATCGATGATGTGCAAGTTATCAATCTTGTACTCCTGCGATCGGAGCTTCTCCAATACCGAAACATCCTCACACGCGCCCCAGACCGTGTAGACGGGAATCTCGAGGCGGTAGGTCTTGTTGAGAAAGAATGGAAGCTCAGAAAGCGGCAAACGCTCCCGCTGGAATCGCTCCCGTATCGACAATCCTGGTGCAGCGCGGGCGATATCCTGCTTTATCGGCTCGGCGAGGAGGGGCGAGTATTGAGCAACGTGCTTGAGGGTCCTGCGAGCGGTGTTAGAGTCAGTGGTGCTGTTTGCTGGCGGGAAATGGTGCGTACTTCTCGGCAATGCGCTCTAGGGAAGTGTCATCGTAGAAGCCAAAGTCTCCGGTGTGGATGATGTAGTCGGCTTTGGCATTGCGTGCGAGGTCATTGAGCTGGCGAAGGTTGCCTGTAGCACATGTGAGCGAGTTGTTTCCTCTTCATTTTCCTGCAGTCCTGCTCACCTCGGACGTCTGCGATACACAACACTCGTGCGTGACCAACTTGCTGCACGCGGCCCTGATTAGGATCCAGTGGCCGCGCTCCGGGCACGGGGCCGCCAGGCTGTGGTGCAGATGCGCCGTTGGGCTGTGACGCGTTGAATGCTTGAGAGTAGCTACGCGGCGCATTAGGCGCGGATGGAGGGTGCTGCATTGGATGAGTATTAGCCAGATGTTGGTAAAGGCGCGGCGAACGGAGGTGCACTACGGACAGCCATGTGAAGAACGGAGAAAGGGCAAGTTGCGGTGTTTCGTGTGGTGTGTCGCGGATGGCGGCGGCGATGAGCTGCGGCGGAAGAGGTTACGGGGTTATTAGAGGGCTGCTGCGGTGCCTTTAATGTATGCGGCCGGCGATGGCAGATGAAGATGAGGTTTGCGGAGATGGTATTTGATGGCGACTGGGAACAACTTTTGAGAGGGTACGATGGTCGTCAAAAGTCCTAGCCTGTCAGCCCAAGCCTCCTCCCAATCAATTCTTAATCAAGTCTGATCAATCGTCCGACAAGGTCTTTATATGCCCCAGGCCGGATTCAGATTAGTCCCGTATACATACATGTGATCAGAAAGCTTCATGCTACCTACATAAGGTAGTACTTTATTCATTAAGTTTCTTCCACGTTCATCGGAGAGCAATATTACTCCAGCTCACATGCAGAGACGTGCCGAACGATTATGCAGTAATTGTGTCGCAGATAAGCAGACGCTGCCCATCTCGTAGACCTCTAGCCATTCTCTCTATAGGTACCGTAGGGCCGAGTGAAAGCGTGGAGGAGTGAACGTCTGAGGAGCAAGTTTTCACATGCATGTAGGTCAATCAGTAGAAATACTGCCATTGGAAATGTTCCGCTGTTCGTTCTTCGAGGTAGGCAGCAGCTTCATTTCTCCATTCACTCCCAATTTCCTCGCCATTTAAGCCGCGACTTCCTCGAACATCCTCTCCGGAACACCAACATCAACAAAGATGCAGCCATACAACTGGAGACGTGGTCACCTCGACGACACGCCTTCGTGGCCTGTGTCGGATCCTGCTGCACCACTACCGCTGCCCTACAAGTGGGTCGATAGCGAGCAGCCAAAACACCAACCACTTCGCCAGCCGCTCTCACATGTCWCTGAACCCCGTCAGCATCCTTTGTGGAACAGTTTCGGGCCTGCACCAGGTGCTGCTCAGAACGAGAGTGTTCCAGAGACAAAGTATGCCGCCCCCATCCCGCTGCACAGCTACCGCGACCCTGTCATCGAGCAAGCAGCCCGCAAACATGCGCTGCCTCTGCCACGGCTGCCAGACTACCCACTCGGAGTATCGCCAGCACCGCAGCTCAACCGACCGCGCTACAGCTCCTCCGATGTGGCGCCCGACATGGAGACTGTCGAGCGACTGCAGCTAGGCAAGAACCGCATCCCACATCCAGAACGACTCGTTACGGCCAACAGCGAGTACGACATCATCCGCCCTCTCGAAAGCCGCCCAGACGTTCTTGCTGCGGGTGGTATGAACATTGGCCTCTTTCTGATCGAGCGCCGTCGGACTGGCCAGCTGTTTGTGCAGAAGCGTCTGCGCATTCGGAATCACCATGACCACAAGCGAGCAAGCTTCGAGATCGACGCCCTCTTCCAGCTCAAGAGAAGTCCTAGCAGCGTTCTTCAGATTGAAGAGGCCGGTCAAATGACCGGCAGTCCTTATGCTAGCCTGGTCCTCGAGTACTGCGACAGTGGTACAATCAGAGACCATATCGATCGCTACACCGCTGAGAGAAAGTCGACACCAGAGCCGTTCGCTTGGCACATTTTTGCCGGCCTGACAGCGGCACTATGCGCATGTCATTACGGTGTCACGGACCCGGACGACACGCGGTYCGTACGTGGATGGGAGGTTCTCTGTCACCTCGATGTGAAGCCTTCAAACGTCTTCCTGACATCGAAGGGCAGGAACAGCGCATACCCAAGAGTGGTGCTGGGAGACTTTGGCTGTGCTGTTAAGGAAGAGGACATCTACTCCGGTGCTGCACAGGAGATGCTACAGGAGTTCTACACACCTGACTGGCTGCCACCAGAGAGCCGTCCTATCTCCTACAGCAAGCGAGGTATCGCCGCTTCTTGTGGCACACATACCGACATCTGGCAGGCGGGTGCTGTCATCCAAGCAATGTGCCGGCTTTTGGGTGCGCCGCATCAAGGTCTGGTGGAAGAGGAGAGACCTTGTGGAGGAAAGTTCAGCGGCGCCTTGAACAATGCGGTCACATGCTGCATGAGCACCAACCCCAAGGACAGACCCACGGCGTTGGACTTGGTAGCGGAGGTCAAGAAGGAAGTAGTCCTCCGTGGAATGGTGTTTTGAGGTACGAGACATGTGTTGTATGTTGACTCCTCGGGGAGCGGCACATCCGGAGTTGGGGGTGTTGGCAATTTGGTGATTTCTACATCATGGAAGACGCGCCCACACAGGCAGACCCGTTGCGATGATCCATTGGAAGTAAGCAGAACGAGTGGTAGCAGATCGATGGCTCATAAAATCAAGTTCGTTCTGCCACAGGAATATTGCTGTGTTGTGTTTAGAGTGATGTATCGACCTTGTAGATTGAACCATATAGGCCACCGTAGAACTGCTGTGGCTGGTGAGCGAGCTTCCAAGGTTGTGCCTCATGAYGACGTGGACAGCACGTCGATCACAAGCTCCCATCTGTTGTGCTGCCTACGCTTCTCAGAGTATATACAAACTCTCGCTCATTGCTCACCATCGTACCCAGCCGACAGGTTACATACACATCGGCGACGTGACTACAACATCACGAGACGAGACCGCCGCCAAAACGCATGCACCGAGATTGAGACGACATAGTGCTGGATCGCCACGATGCGGGCGATGCGAGCCTGGCTATGGCTTACGAGCTTGACGCCGCTGCTGGCAGCCGCAAGTGACCAGATATGGACCAAGAAACACGAGCCTGGACGGTGCGCGCTCCGTGGACAGTGTGGTCACAATGGCTTCTTTGGAAGAGACTTGCCTTGTGTGGACAACGGGGTCGCGGAGGATCCATCGGAAGATGTGCGCAAGCAGCTGGTATCGATTTGTGGCGAGGAATGGGCGGACACCAAGGTGTGCTGTCGCGCAGACCAACTCGATGTTCTGCAAAGCAATCTGAAGACGGCGAACAATCTGCTCTCTGCGTGTGGAGCGTGCAAGAAGAACTTCTACGACCTTTTCTGCACCTTCACCTGCTCGCCGGATCAAAGCTTGTTCGTCAATGTCACGGACACTGAGGCAAAGGGAGACAAAATGCTCGTAAAGGAAATCGATCAACTGATCAGCGATGATTTTGGGGCGGGCTTCTACAACAGCTGTAAGGATGTCAGCTTTGGTAGCGCAGGAGCCAAGGTCATGGACTTCTTTGGCAACTCGAAGAACTATACACAACTCCTGAAATTCTTGGGCGACAAAAGCTTCCTGGGTAGCCCATTTCAGATCAACTTTCCTCGGCCAAGCGAAGGTTATCCCGGAATGAAGACCGTACTGGAAGATCCAATACCTTGCAACACGACTGACGAGATTTACCACTGCGCCTGCGTGGATTGTGAGGGGTCGTGTCCTGTTCTGCCGGCCGTCAAAGAGAGCGGAGAATGCTACGTTGGATTGTTACCTTGCCTCAGCTTTGCTGTGGTCATAGTCTACTCGGTGTTCGTCGCCCTGTTGGWGCTTGCGGTCACTGGCCATGTTGCAGCGGCAAAGCGACGAAAGAGCAAGAATGAGCGTCTACAGCTACTGCAAGACATTGCACCCAGCGATGATGAGGACGAAGGACACATTGTTCACAGCGTCGGCATGCTGGATCGACCCACCAAGCAGTACGTGGTCAACACTTTTCTCGACCGCGTCTTCTCGAAATTGGGGCGGACGTGTTCCAAGTTTCCCGCCATTACCATTTCTAGCTCTGTGATCGTTGTTGGGCTGCTCAGTCTGGGATGGATCCGCTTTGCCGTCGAGACCGACCCAGTCAAGCTATGGGTGGCGCCCGATTCTGACGCAGCAAAGGAAAAGGAGTTCTTCGACAACAACTTCGGACCTTTCTTCCGCACCGAGCAGGCTTTTTTGGTGAACGACACCGACTCCGCGCTCGGCCAATCTCCAGTGCTTAGCTATGATACGCTTGTTTGGTGGTTCGATGTTGAACGTAGGATCAGCGTTCAAAAAAGTGTGGGAAGCGGCTACACCTTGAAAGACGTGTGCTACAATCCTACTGGAGACGCATGTGTCATTCAATCGCTGTCTGGCTACTTCACCTCAGAGGACTTGACCGCTAAGAATTGGGACGAACACATTGTGGCGTGCTCTGAGCAAACCGCCAAAGACACCTGTCTGCCAGAATTCAAACTCCCCATCCCGATTGAGCGTGTCTTGGGAGGCTATAACCGGACCGACAGCAATCAGACTGCTCTTCAAGCATCTGCCCTCGTCACGACTTGGGTGGTGACGAACTTCAATCCGGGCGATCCTAACCTGGAGAAGGCAGAGGAGTGGGAAGAAAGTCTCGAGCGTCTGTTCCACGATATTCAGGATGAGGCCAAGGAACGTGGCCTCAGAATGAGCTTCAGCACAGAAATAAGCCTTGAACAAGAACTCAACAAAAACACCAACACGGATGCCAAAATCGTGGTCATCAGCTACATCGTAATGTTCATTTACGCGTCCTTGGCCCTCGGAAGCACGACTGTCACTGTCGGTACACTCTTGCGGAATCCGTTGGGGGCCCTGGTGCAGAGCAAATTCATGCTCGGAATTGTTGGTATCCTGATCGTACTCATGTCCGTCGCTGCGTCCGTTGGTCTCTTTGCTGCCGCGGGCGTCAAGGCAACGCTCATCATTGCAGAAGTCATCCCATTCCTGGTGCTTGCAGTCGGCGTCGACAACATTTTCTTGATCGTTCACGAATTCGAGCGAGTCAACATCAGTCACGCAGACGAGGACGTCTCTGAGCGCGTAGCACGTACTCTTGGACGAATGGGTCCTTCGATATTACTCTCCGCCCTCACAGAGACCGTGGCGTTTGCGCTCGGAGCTGCGGTCGGCATGCCCGCGGTGCGAAACTTCGCAGCATATGCAGCCGGCGCAGTCTTCATCAACGCAATCCTCCAAGTAACAATGTTCGTTTCAATTTTGGCACTCAACCAGCGACGAGTTGAGGATGGCCGCGTGGACTGCATCCCTTGCCTCAAGGTGCAGAGCGGACATGGCCACCACATGCCAAATGGCTATGGTGGTGCACCTTTCAGTGGTGTTGATGAAGAAGGCTTTCTTTCCAAGTTCATCCGCAAGCACTACGCACCGGCTATACTTGGCAACAAGGCCAAGGTTGCAATTATGACGGTTTTCGTTGGGCTGTTCGCCGCTGGCATTGCGCTTCTCCCCATCGTGGAACTGGGATTGGACCAGCGCATTGCGATCCCGTCAGAGAGCTACCTCATCAAGTACTTTGATGATCTGGACGCATATTTTGGATCCGGTGCACCTGTATACTTTGTGGTCAAGGACGCGAACATCACTGCGCGACCTCATCAGCAGGACCTTTGCGCTAGGTATACTACCTGCCATCAATACTCCCTTGCCAGCATCCTCGAGCAAGAACGAAAGAGGCCTGAAGTAAGCTACATTGCTGAAGGAACCGCGAGCTGGATCGATGATTTCTTCCAGTGGCTCAACCCTGAATTTGAGTGCTGCTTTGACGGCTCTAAGAAGTGCTTCGAGGACCGCAATCCGCCATGGAATAACACACTGTACGGAATGCCCGAAGGCCAAGAATTTATTGACTACGCAACAAAGTGGTTGGATAGCCAGCCTTCCGAGGACTGCCCGATGGCTGGCAAAGCCGCGTATGGCGATGCYGTCGTGATCAACAACAAGCGCACCACTATCAAGGCCAGTCACTTTCGGACGGCTCATTCTCAATTGAGCAAGCAGGAAGATTTTATCAAGGCTTATGCGTCAGCTCGCCGCATCGCAAAGGATATAAGTGATGCAAACGGCGTGGAGGTCTTCCCTTACAGCAAGTTCTACATCTTCTTCGATCAATACGCCTCGATCGCAAGGCTCGCCATGACTTTGGTCGGCGCAGCGTTGGGGTTCATCTTGGTCATCTCGTCACTCCTGCTTGGCTCCATCGCGACCGGAATTGTGGTCACAATCACCGTGCTCATGATCGTCGTTGACATCGTGGGAACAATGTCTCTTGTTGGTGTCTCCCTCAACGCCGTGAGCTTGGTCAACATCATCATCTGCGTCGGCATTGGTGTCGAGTTCTGCGCTCACATCGCCCGAGCAWTCACAATCCCCTCACCGTCAATTCTGGAGCGCGCCCAACCCAAGTTCCGTGGAAAGGATGCACGCGCGTGGGCGGCGCTTGTCAATGTGGGTGGCAGCGTCTTCAGCGGTATCACCATCACCAAGCTGCTGGGTGTGTTCGTTCTCGCATTCACAAGGAGCAAGATTTTCGAAATCTACTACTTCCGCGTCTGGCTTGCGCTTGTGCTGTGGGCTGCGCTGCATGCTTTAGTCTTCCTGCCGGTCGCCTTAAGCATCTTCGGAGGTAGAGGTATGTTGACGTGATTCCCTACTCGGTGACACTGTTTGCTGACAGCTTCCTGCAGGCTATATTGAAGCCCCGGGCTCTGATGGTGGGCTCGAGCAGGACCTTGCTAGCAGGCGCTATCGGGCTTTATTGCCCGACGATGAATACTCGGATGATGGGTACTGAGTACTCGGTGTGAGTATCCGTAGCATATTTTCTCACGATTGGTCCCAGAAATGAAACTACATGCACGCTTTTTCAACGATACACCACAGATGGTGACGGTAACACAGAGAGCGCGTTCGCCACGAGCACGACTTGAAAGCACAGCCTGGGAGGCATGCACGCATCAAGCGGAGCATCACAGCATGACAGCGGAAGCCCAACCATGTTGCGCGTCGTATCATCAGCAGCTCGGCTTCTGGCAGTTCTCGACCAGAATGGGATGCTCGCATCCAAAATTCAAGCCGGCCACGTACTTGCCACGATTTTTGCTTGCTACCACCAGCACATGCTGACCCGGGATCCTTGTTTCGAAATATGAGCGTGACCTTGTCGCTTGCAGCGCAGATCAGAGGGGTTCGTACTGGCATTGCTGGCCTGCATGAAACGATGCGTGCCTCATCGTATGTACGCGATGACTGGTGGGCAGGAACCGAACCGATGTGGCAGCTCTAAAAATAAAGCCATTGCTTGATGTGTAAGACAACAGATGCATGTCCAAGTAAGTAAAGAAGATGATCGAATGGCATAGCATGATGCTGCTGCTGCTGCCACTCCAGTACCTAGCCACGGCCCACCAGCCAGTTCTGACGACTGGTATGCCACACTTCACCAACTAATCCGGGTCCCGGAACTGTGCGTTTGACCTATAGCGTACATCTTGTAAGATCGGCGCAACAGTTCCAGGTTGTGCCACTCCTCCTGCATGCAAAAGCTTCCCTCCTGACTAACGCCATCAGACTTCAGTGACATGGGTGAAGGGTACCTTAGGGGTTCATTGCACGCCACATAGATTGATTCATGAGCTAGATGACGACTCGTTCATACAGCGAACTGAAATAACAAGATAAGTTTCGGGTGTACGGCTCTGACAATCTGATCTTGCCTTCAATAGCGTTGCATCTATCTAGGTTTTCACCCCAGAGTGCCCAGTGTGACTCGACTCACATCCCCAGGCGGGGGATGGCGATCACTTTCCAGCACATGTCCCTCTTTCTTGCTATTGTGGTACACAGGTACAGCGGATGCGGTGTATCTTCATTTGTACGGTTGGCACTTAAGCCTACAACGACGCATTCAGCATCTATGAGACGGCCAGCAGAGCAAGTGTGAGAAATTTTAACAAAGTCGTTGTGATTCCCTTCTACCCATACTGTAACAAAGAACGAAGAAATTCCCTGTGCTTTCGTGACGTTCCGCCATACTCCTTCAAACGTGAAGTGCTCATTGCTCTCTCGGCAATCATTGCAGTTCATCGTGTCGCGCTAAAAGATTGCATACTCGTAATGTTGACATGAGAATTGAAAGCTCAAGTTCTCCGCAGGTAGAGGGTGAGCCATCCGAGTACACGGTAGCCGCAGATAATTCCGATCATGATTCCGACCCATTTGCCAGTCTCACCAGTCTTGTACCCATAGTTCTTGAGCACGCCGGTTCCGCGGATCATACATTGATCGGCAAGATCGGTCTCGTACAAACAGGAGCAAGCTCCACGAGCGTCGGTGCCACATGTGAAATTTCTCTGTCCAAACTCGTTGACCATCATGCCCTGGAAGACGTATGATTGGTAGTCGATGTAGTGGAAAACATAGCGCCAGAATGGGTTGAGCGTTTGCGGGGGCACGAGGAAACCGCCCGTGCACATCCAGAGACCGTTGGCGAAGGCAGTTCCAGCGAGCGCCACCACAAAGATGGGAATGAGCGAGCTGACGAGGACGACGAGCGACTCAGCGGCGATGAGATCGAGGAAAAGCCACATGACCCATGTGAAGAATGCCTGTGCAGTGGGTCGGAAGTTGGAGAGCCAGTAGGCGACGACGGAGAAAAGCATGGCAATCAAAAACAGGTAAGGAATGCCGGTGATGAAGTTGGCCAGGAGGAAGGACGAAGGACCGTAGAGACCGTTGGCTCGTTCCTTGATGAAGAGTGCGCGATCCTCGAGAAACGCGGGAATGTATGCGACGGCCATGAAAGACATGAAAGCGCCACCGAAGAAGATTGCGTTGATGAATGACTGGATGTTGCCTTGATCGGGGTTCAGACGAAGCCAGACCGTACCCATCATGACTGCCAGGCCCATGTACATAGCAATTCGGATGCCGTAGGCGATGATGTCTCGGTATGACTTAATGAAGGACCGGTGAATCAGGGCCACAGGGATGGCGAATACACCAGCAGATTCCTCCTTTTGCATACCATGCACCTCGGTGTCCATGGAGTTCCGTGCCATCTCGTCGGTGAGTTCGGTAACAGTGGCTGTGGCGAGGCGAGACTTGTGCCAGGACGAGTGTACCATGTTCAACTGTTGGTCCACCTCGCTTCGGTCGCGGGCGAAATCGGTGTTGACGAAGTCAATGATGAACTCGGCGGGGTTCATGTACAGAGGAATGGGGAATCCGCAGGCATCGAAGTATGGCTGTACTTCGGAGACTGGTCCGCTGTATGCCGTACCACCCTGGGACAAGAGAAGAAGCTTGTCAAACATGGCGAATGTGGATGTTGAAGGCTGATGGATGGAGGCGATGACAATCAACTGCGGATACACGTTAGCGGCGATTGGAGCGAGCATGGAGGAATGTACTGACGTTGTGCTTCTTCGCAATGTCCTTGACGAAGGAGATGACCTCAAAAGAGGCGGCGGAATCAAGACCAGATGTTGGCTCATCAAGGAACAAGAGTTTAGGGCTGGTGATAAGCTGCGCGGCGACACTAACACGACGCTTCTGACCACCAGAGATACCCTTCCTGATAGGTGTACCGATCAAGTTATTAGCTTGACCCTGCAGACCAAATGCTGTAAGGAGTGCCTCAATGCGCTGAATGCGCTCGAGTTTGCTGACGGTTCGAGGCAGAGAAAGACGTGCTGCGAAGTTGAGTGTTTCGCGGACAGTCAGAGAACCGACCAGAGCATCTTCCTGCTCAACATAGGCAGAGATGCGACGGAAGGTGTTGGGGTTGGCGGCCTGTCCGTTGATGTAGATTGCAGCCTTGACGCTGGCAGCCAATGCTGCCGTGCGGTGGGCGAGGACATTGAGCAAAGTCGATTTGCCCGAACCACTGATGGCGACAGTCAGCGAAAATTCTGCAATGTGGTTCATGTCGAGGCACTTACGAAGGTCCCATAAGAGCGAGCAGCTCGCCGGCCTTGACAATGCCATTGACGTCTGATAGAATGGTCTTCGGTTGCTGCGATTGACGGTCCTTGACTGTGACTGTGACGCCCTTCCAGCCGAACGAGCGAATGTTGGTGTTGGTGAGCTGGGCGTAGTCGCCACCGATCATCTTTTCGATATCGGACATTTTGCTGTATCGCCTGCGGTCCGGAGTCGCAGAGACGTGTGATGCCAGCTTGGTGGTGGACGTCGTTACGATGGACGACGCGGAGAAGAAACGGACAGTGCGGCGAAGCTAAGAGGAGACCAGCTGCTCRATCAAATTCGTGCAACAAGTCGCTTTGACAGGGGTGCGATGCCGCCGGTGCTTAGCAGACAACGCGGATCAACACAGAAGGGGCGTGTGTCGTGCTGGTGATGATTCGCGAAGAACTGGACAATGGAGCAGCGTTCGAGAAGAGAAATGAGGGTGATGGGCGTGCGGCGCTGAAGGGATAATAGCGGCCGCGGCGGTGATGACCAGGATGTCGTGCTGAGACTCTGCGACGAACGAAGGGAAGAGAGAGGGTGATGAGATGCGCGACGTGGACAGCGGGGGAGAAGCTGTGTAGAAACACACCAAGCGACAGGGTCTGTAGCAGGATGTGAAGCCTAAAAAGCTACTAGCAAGCAKCCTGCACCCTCGCCACTTACTCTCGACCTCTCGGTGCTCGCCTTGCACCGCGGGCCTTCAATCGTCGACGACTAGCACCAGTCCCGAAGCCGCCGTTGTACTGCCTCGTCAGACGATACTGCCAATCCGGCATAGACCGTGTGCGCTGTGCCGAATCGACGTGCGTGACCCCTGGGCTCGGGAGGCATCGCTGCAGGGCTAATGCAGGCTTACCCTTCGAGTTAAGCGCAGGCGGGGCCACTGTACCCCTGAAGCTCGCGACCAGACATCACAGCGCGCTACCGCTTCGACCGTTTCACCATGCCGCGGCCTCCACCGCGATTGGGTCAGGCCCTTGCGTACCTGCCAAGCCCTGCACCTCTGGCAGCTCTGGAAATCTAATTCCGACCCCAGCTATGGGCCGGCAGCGAGAGGCCCGATAGCGAACCCCTCCGCGAGCACGTTGCTGACCAGCATGGAGGCATCGACTCGATGGAATACGGTATTGCGCGCTCGCAAGCCATCGGAGCCATGCCACGCACTGGCGTTCAGCCGAACACGGAAGAGTGCATCTAGGCGGAGTGTCAAGCGCGCGCCACGCCACCTACTGCTAGTCAAAGCCAAAGCGTTTCGAAACCTACACCATCTGATTCAGATGTGTGATCAGTTCGCTGCAAGCTCCTCCGCAACCCAACTGAATTTGAAGCGTCTTCGCCAAACCGACTCGCCGCAGAACGGAGAATTCGCACATTGTCGGCTTCAAGGTTCAATCTAGCCCGCGCTGACTCTCTAGGGCACATCGAATTCCGGACCAAATGGAGCCCCTTGTTAGTTAGGTCTGACTCCTGAAAAGGTAAAAGGTACGCCGTTCGAGGCCGTAGCAATTGCTTGTCGCATGTCCTTGGAGACGAAGCATGGAGGCAAAGCTCGCCATCACGGCAGATCTATCATCATCCTTGGGCGATTGCGTCGCGACATGCCGGACTGCTGTTTGGTACGACGAGGTACACTACCAGGCCCACGTTGCGTTCCCGGCGCTGAGTGCAGCATTCCACCCGCTTCACCCCGCTGAGCCTTGCCTGTACCAATCTTTGAAGGGTTCGCGAATCGTGTCTCGCCTACAGTAGCCCAGACCTTCGGCCGTTGAAGAGCCAATGCACAGTGCCGTAGACCGTGGGAGGCAAATTGAAAAGTGACGGGTCGCCGATCGCACCTGAATTTTGCGTTCCGAGCGGTGCGATTTGCGATATGGTGCTTCCGATAGCGTGTGGGTGATGAAATCTTCCTGGCAATAGTAATTACAAGTTCGTTGGTGCGCGATTCTGAGGTGAACTAGAAAKACTTTAGTCAGATCGACCTTACCCTTTTCTCTCTCAGCACGCCAAAATTGGAGCCGCCCCCCCAGCAGCCATCCTTGTCGTCGGTCGTCCAATTGCTCGGACTCACGTTGATCGACCGTCACCGCGGCTGCTGTTTTACGTCGTCTGGAATCCACTTTCGCTGCTGCTGCTCGACGCCACGATCTCTCTGCCCTTTCCTGGTTCCTGATGTGATGCTGTCTGCACCCCAGCCAGCGCACCCATAACCACATCTTTGTCACTAGTTTGGATACACTGGACATCACCACTTTCCTTGACGTCCGTTTCGAGTTCTCGCTACATACTGCAACTGTACCTGCTTCTGCCGAGACGACGGCCGTTCATTCCTTCCCTTGAAGACCCGGACCCAGGCCGCACACGACTACCTGACCTGTCGGATACCCACATCTTGGGCTCTTTTCTTGCCGTTTTGTTTGCGCAGCCTGGATCAACGGACCAGCAGCGGAGGACTTCTTAATCAACGCCGGTCACTGTTCTCTAATCTTTGCTCGTGAGCAATATCAGACTCATGGCCATGGATATTCCTGTCCACATACTCGACGCGGTCTCCATTTCAGACATTTCACAGGCATCGCCCCGCATACCCGCCCTGGATCTCAAAGCCCATTCATCGGCTGACGACGTCTCATTCACCAGCCATTCTGATCAGGAGCATGGTTATCAGACCGACTTTACTACGCCCTCATCTGCAGGAGACATGCAGCCGGACGAGGTAGAGGACTTTAGAGATCGCGAGTATCCCCAGCTCAAAGGCAAGACTTACCTGGATCATGGAGGCACCACCGTGAGTTAGACCTACACTTATCCAGAGCGTGTGCGATATGCTAACATGCTGCACAGCTGTATGCCAAGTCATTAATCGAGGAGTTTTCTGCCGACATGATTGCCAATCTCTACGGTAACCCACATTCGGCATCCACGCCTTCTGCCATTGCAGGTCATCGTGTGGATATGATTCGCGAACGTGCTCTGCGTTTCTTCGGCGCCGACCCTGACCACTTCGACCTTGTGTTCGTTTCTAATGCCACTGCTGCGATCAAACTGGTCATCGACTGCTTCAGGGACCACGCCGCCACCAGCAATACTCCGGTCTGGTATGGGTACCACAGAGACGCACATACATCGCTCGTGGGAGTACGGGAATTGACGAGAATGCACCGATGTTTCACCAGCGACGAGGAAGTTGACATCTGGATCAACAGTGGCGGCTTGGGGGGTCCACGACCGAGACAGTTGGGATTGTTTGCGTATCCAGGCCAGTCCAACATGACTGGGCGAAGGTTGCCGTTGAGCTGGTACGTCGAATGTCACACYCAATCCTGTGATGTCGAGACTAATGTTACGCAGGCCTGGCCGCATTCGCAAGTCGTTCCACAAGGCGGCGACCTATACACTACTGGACGCTGCCGCACTGGCAAGTACGGCACCGCTCGATCTGTCCGACCCTGCGACCGCTCCCGATTTTGTAGCACTTTCGTTTTACAAAATCTTTGGTTTCCCCAATATCGGTGCTCTACTCGTCCGCAAGGAGTCTGCACATGTGCTCGAGAGTCGAAAGTTCTTTGGCGGTGGCACCGTAGAGATGATCATCTCCATCAACGACACGTGGCACGCCAAAAAGGAGACTTCCATTCACGATCGCCTTGAAGACGGAACCCTACCATTTCACTCAATATTCGCGCTGGATCACGCCATGAATGTTCATGAACGACTGTACGGCCCGAACCCTATGAAGTTCATCTCCCATCATACAGCGCAATTGGGAAAGCTGTTGTTCGATGGAATATCTTCCCTACATCACTCCAACGGCTTGCCTCTGTGTCGCATCTACAAAGACGAAGCTGCGGTATACGGCGACCCATCAGTGCAGGGAGCTACAGTCGCCCTCAACGTACAGCACTCGGATGGGGCTTTGATCGGGTTTGAGGAGGTTGAAGAAGCCGCGGACGAACGAGGCATCTACGTTCGAAGTGGCTCTCTTTGCAATCCAGGTGGCGTGGCAACATACTTGAACTGGTCACCTGCAGAAATGAAAGCTGCCTATGCCGCAGGGCACAGGTGTTCCAACCCTACCCAGATCATGCTCGGAAAGGCCACCGGTGTCGTGCGCGTCAGTCTGGGCGCCATGAGTACGACTGCGGATGTCTACACATTTCTCGCATTCCTCGAAGATGTGTACATCAGGCCATCCAGCAATGGTTTCGGCTCAGCAGCATTCGTCTCGTCGACCCTTGCGGATGACGCGTGGAGTGGCTCTGCGTACAAGTACACGCAGCTTCCAGCGCTCACAATCCCACCCGGCCTCGTCTCATCGKGCACAACTCCTAGCACGGTAGACACCAGAACATGGGAGGTTGGTGTTACAGAAGATGAGAAACCGAAGAATCCGCCGTTCAATCCTGCGGAGTACCTCAAAGCTAGGAAACCGTGGGAAGAGGAGATGCGCAAGAACGCTGCCGCCTACGCCATGGAAATGAAAGTCCGCGAAATCGAAGACTCAAGTACGCTTTCGAGAGGCGGAACTCCCAGCGTCAAGGCCCGCAAATTCGGCCGGAGCGTTGTGAGCCTGTGGAGGACCAAGAAGTGAGACCCTCACGCAGAATGAGTCGTCGGCCACACACTGACCAGCTTGTCGATAGGCCGCCAACACCAGACCCTGCTGCACAACCGTCCCCAGACATGCATTTACACACTGCCAACCACCACGCACACGCAGGAAAATCTCGACCCGGCAGTAGTCGTGATCGAATGCACGCATCTACCGTTGTTCAATCGCTTGGGATATCCTGAACGAACATACACTTTCTTCACGATTCTGCTGTTTAGCCAAAATGGGTAGCACGGCGTCCACCCTTCTGATTTTAGTCATTTGTATCGTATGTTATACCACATGTTCGCAAGGAGGAGCGATTCAAAGTCTGGAATCTGGATCAAGGATTGGCCGCGTCAGGATTAAACGCTGGCTTGTATATACTTAGCGAGAATGAGGAGGAGCACCTATTGGGAAGCGCACTGCGCAGTAGTCAACTTGCCAAAACAGCCGCACCATAAGTCAAGTTGAGTGGCGATTGATCATCACCTATCCGCGTATCAACTTCATTGTCAATGCGCGTAACCTGTCTTTCGACACTTTCCCTCCGAGCAGCGTAGCACAACGTCCTTCCCCACCGATCCAGAGACGACCACGAGGTACACGCCGAACTTCTGCTCTTCGCCGAAGGGCTTGACATGGCGGTCAACCCTGCAACGCCGTTGGTAGTTACACGCGGCGAGCTCTCGAAGTCGGTAGCCGGATTCGACAGCGGGTACTCCCTCGCAGCTCTATCCAGGTTCACGGTTCGATGCATCGTAAAAGCAAGCGGAGCGGGTGGAGCACAAAATTCTCGTTCCACAACAAAGAGACAAACGCTGCAGGACCAGGGTGTCCCTGTTCACAGGCCACGGCATCGTGACACAGCATAACACCCTGGCTTTGATATCTCGCATCCACCTCTATATGATTCTCGAATCCAGATTCGACATACCTCAAGCGAGTCCCAGCAGAATTTGATCATCAGTCAGGTTGTAGGCCGCATTCCCACAAGGGGTTCAACCCAACTCGGTGCATGCAAGTAATTTTGTATGTAGTCTTGTCCTCAAGAGGAAGACACACTTGATCGGTATACAAGTAGATTGTCCCTTGTAAACATTTTGCGCTGGGCGAATTTGACAAAGATCCCCTTGAAACTCGATGCTGTTCCATCTTACGAGTGGTTCATTATGACATGTTCTCTGTCGGGAATGAGCACCATCGACATCGACACTGTTCGTCGTTGGTGGGTCGTCCGAGCATCTCAGACATCGGAGACTTGGTATCCTGTCCAACATGCCATGATCATCGAGAATGTTACACCCGACTGAGAATGTGATGACGAAGAGGCTTCGCATTTGTCACCTTGAGATGCTAGAGCCTGGGAATTGCGAGGGAATGACGGCGTGGGGAGAGCTTGGAGACGACAGCCCACAAGGACATGTCGAGGCGGCAAAGCATTGCCTTGAGATCCCTTGCCATGGCGTGAACGTCGCCTCGAAGTTCTTAATCTCCTTGCTGCTTCCTAGCTGAACATCACACCGACACAGGGGTTTTCATGTCAAACGTGTGTCAATTGCGAACATTCATGTTCGTCCGGAGCGGTCTTGCTCGGATCTGACTCACCCAACGCCTGCGGTGTGTAGCCAGACTACTGCTGCCGAGCACAGGTCTACATGCTACATTTATGGCCATGTGTATTCCAGAAGTATGTGTCCTTCGCGGATTCCGTCTCGTCTCCACTTCTGGTGATAGCCCTTGGCTTGCCGGTGAGCATTTTAATATACGGCACGACCCTCGATGTCCAGACAGGAGACTGCATTCCCCAGAGTATCCAGAGTTGACGGCCATGAGGTGATCTTGATCTTGTCACAAGCGCCTCCGTACTGGTTTTCCGGTGAGGAGAGCACAAGGCCCTTACTTCAATATCACTACTTACCAACCGACTTGAGTACGATAGTGTTCTGTTGGCAAGCGAACGCCGCTGCAAATCGATTCATCGAGTCGAGATGATTTGTAGAAGTTGATGTGCTGAAGATGGTGAATAGTAGGTAAGGTAGGTACATACTTCAACGGAGGGCCGAGCCGAATCTTCGGCGTTCAGAGAAAAGTTTCCGTCCAAAAAATCAAAAAATGTTTCGCCGACTTCCTTCCCTCTGCCTCCATCCACATACACAGTCCAGTTTCTCGGACTGCACACATCATGGACGAACAGGAATTCGTTGCGCTCTTGCAGGCGCTTTTGGAGCCAGACACCCAAAAGGTGAAGGCGGCCACCARCCAACTGAATAAGACATACTACAACTCCCCCGCGTCTGTCAGTGCCCTGATACACATCATCATCAACCACCCTGAGGCACCACTCCGCCAGCTCGCAGCCGTCGAGGCCCGCAAGCTTGTCCACAAGCACTGGGCGGCTGTTCCCGACGAGCAGAAGCCGCAGCTTCGCGAGCAGCTGCTCAAGTCCACCATCGACGAGGAGAAGCAGCTCGCACGCCACAGCAAGGCCCGCGTCATTGCATCCATTGCCAAGGTTGATCTCGATGAGGGCAAATGGCAGGAGCTGCCTGGCATTCTGCAGCAGGCTGCCACGAGTGAGACCGCTCACCACCGTGAGGTCGGCATCTACATCATCTACACATTGCTTGAAACCATGCCCGACATGTTCCAGGAGACTATGGGCGACATGCTAGCCCTGTTCAACCGCACAATCCAAGACCCACAGTCTGTCGAGGTCCGCATCAACACCATGCTGGCTTTATCCGAGCTGGCCATGGTCCTGGACACAGAAGAGGATGCCAACAGCTTGAAGAGCTTCCAGAGCACTATCCCACACATGGTCAAGGTTTTGGAAACTGCTATTGCTGGCGAGGATGAGGAGAACACTATGCTGGCTTTCGATGTCTTCAACAAGCTGTTGAGCTACGAGAGCGCCTTCCTCAATGCTCACTTCGCCGACCTACTGCAGTTCTTTATGCAGGTCGCGGCCAAGTCTGACATCGACGATGACGCGAGATCGCAGGCCCTCAGTTTCCTCATGCAGGCCGTGCGGTACCGCAAGCTCAAGGTTCAGAGCTTAAAGGTCGGCGAGACCATGACCAAGATGTGTCTCCAGGTTGCTACTGAGCTCGACGAGCTACCCTCCGAGGAGGATGATATGTCTCCAGCGAGATCTGCACTGGGCTTGTTGGACATTCTCAGCGAGAGCCTGCCGCCCAGCCAAGTGGCCGTGCCGCTTCTCAAGGCCATTGGACCATACGTCCAGGACAGCCGACCCGAGTACCGCAGAGCTGGTATCCTTGCCCTCGGCATGTGTGTCGAAGGTGCGCCAGACTTCATTGCCACTCAACTGAAGGAGATCCTGCCACTTGTTCTGCATCTCCTCGAGGATTCCGCTATCAGTGTGCGAAGCGCTGCACTCAACGGCGTCACGCGCCTCTCGGACGATCTTGCTGAAGATATGGGCAAAGAGCACGCGAGACTGATCCCTGCTCTCATTCGCAACTTCGACCTGGCCGGACAGGGGATGCGCAACTCGAAGGAGGGATCCGAGGAGCATGAGCTGAACACCCACATCGTCAAAGCTAGTGCCATGGCCGTTGATTCTCTGATCGAGGGTCTTGAGCCCGAGAGCGCTGCTCTCTACGTGAACGAGCTCATGCCCCGCTTCAGCACCTACATCGACCATGACGACTACAAGGTGCAGATGGCCGTGGTCAGCGCTGTTGGTAGCATCGCCAGCGCATCCGAGAGTGCTTTCAAGCCTTTCTTCGAGGAGACCATGCGAAGCCTCGGCAAGTTTATCGAGATCAAGGATGGCGAGGACCAGCTTGAGCTCCGCAGCATGGTCATCGATTCTCTTGGGAAAATCGCCAGCGCCGTTGGTCCCGAGGACTTCCAGCCATTTGTCACACCTCTCATGCGTGCCAGTGAGGAGGGCTTGCATTTGGACCACCAGAGGCTAAAGGAGACCAGCTTCATCCTCTGGAGCACGCTCGCCCGAGTATACGAGGAAAACTTTGAATCGTTCTTGGAAGGTACTGTCAAGTCTCTGTTCGAGTGCCTTGATCAGGAAGAGACCGATTCAGAAGTACAACTTGGTGCTGAGGCATCTGATCTTGTTGGACAGGAAATCACCATTGCCGGCAAGAAGATCAAGGTTGCTGGCGCCGGTGGCGTTAACGAGGATGATATCGCTGAGGACGACATTGTCAAGGCATTGATGGAGTCTGCCGACGATGACGACGATGACTGGGATGATCTCGGTGCTGTGACTGCTGTGGCCATGGAGAAGGAGATTGCCGTCGAGGTCATCGGAGACATCATGACCCACACCAAGGGCAAGTACATGCCATATATGCAGAAGACGATCGAGACCGTGCTCCCACTTCTCGATCACAGCTTCGAAGGTGTGAGGAAGAGCGCCATAAGCACAACATGGCGCGCCTACGCCTGCCTCTTCGGATTGGCGGAGGACAATGGCATGGCCAAGTGGCAGCCAKGTTTCCCCGTCAAGGTCAAGCCAACCGCTGACCTGGAGAAATTGGGCGATCTCGTCATGAAGGGCACCCTCGCCCTGTGGGAGGAAGAGGTTGACCGGTGAGTACCAGTTCCCCTTCACAACTCCCTTGACTTTCGTGATGTGAAAAACTTCGAGCTTTGCTCACTTCAGATGCCATGGCAATTGCTGCAATACGTAGAGGCTGTTTCTGATTCTGTCGCTCATTCGTCCACCAATTTGATCTCCGCTTTGGCGTGCCATTCGCTAACTGCTCTACAGCGCTACCGTTACCGAGATCAACCGCAACATGGCTGCCACTCTCAAGCTCTGCGGCCCTGCGGTGCTTACCCCTGTGGGAGGCCAGACTTCGACCCCGCTTGAACAGACCACCGCACACATTCTGCTCATTCTGCAGCGCCAGCATCCTTGCCAGAAGGATGAGGACGACTACGATGAGCCTGCTGCCGTGGAGGGGGAGTCGGCTGAGTATGACTGGTTGGTTGTTGAGACCGCCATGGAGGTCGTCGCTGCCCTCGCCACTGCTCTAGGAGAGCAATTCGGCGAGCTATGGAAGATCTTTGAGCCTCTGATCTTCAAGTACTGTTCGTCCCAGGAACGCTTTGAGCGCTCTGCTGCTGTCGGCACCATGGCAGACTGTATCGAGGCCATGGGTGCAGGCTGCACTCCATACACGGAGCGCATCTTGAGCCTTTTGGGCAAGCGATTGGGCGACGAAGACCCAGAGACCAAGAGCAACGCTGCTTTCGGCATGGGCCTCTTGTGTGCAAACAGCAACGACGGCAAGACGATCCTGCCTAAATACAACTCCATCCTCAGCATGTTGGAGCCGCTCCTGCAGACCGCCAAGGCGGATGCCAGCGAGGGCGAGGCTCGTCTGCTCGACAACGCCGCTGGCTGCGTTAGCCGCATGATCAAGAAGTCTCCCGACAGTGTTCCGCTCGAGCAGGTTCTCCCACGCCTTGCTGAGCTTCTGCCATTGAGGGAGGACTTCCGCGAGAACGAGCCAGTGTTTGACATGATCATCAGCCTTTACCAGGCTCAGAACTCGGTGATTCAAGGTCTGACACAGCAACTCATGCCTGTGTTCGAAAAGGTGTTGGCGCCGCCAGAGGAGCAGCTCAGCGATGAGACCCGAGGCAAGCTGACAGAGCTTGTGCAGTACCTCCGTGGTTGAAAGTGTTGAGGGTCTGAGTTGAGCCAAAAAAGTTGACGCGAGAGATACCCAGCAAAACGAACGCAGATAGAGCTGATTGATGAATTATTGACGATACAAACCGTGGCCATGTTTCCCGTCTCCGCCATTGCACATGTCCGTAATGCTACGACAATGTTGATCCCTGCTGTGGTGAATATTCTTTGTTCGTGCTCGGTTAGGGTTAGGGTTTGGGTAGTAGCTTTTGCGTCAAGCCGATGTTGAGAACGTGCTTCATATGTTTCGCTTGTTATACCCAATGCGAGCGGTTGCTCCGGCCATTCTGAAGTTGAGGGGCATTGTGGTGACAGTTCTAATGACGTGTGGGCTAATTTGTCCAGTATGCAGTGTGAACTTTAGTAGCTCAAACGACGATGAACAAAGGCCAAAGTACGGCGAACCACATATGCGCTGAATGGCACAGCACTAGAAAGTGAACACATATGATACATGATCTATCCTCACAAACGCAGCCTCGAAGCGAGTCCTTGTGCAATAGCTGCGAACGCCGTGGCCTGGGGTCCATCAGGACTTGCGACCATTGTTGGTTTCCCAGAATCTGCATCGCTGCAAATCGAGGGGTGCAGTGGGATGTCTCCCAGAAAGCGAATGTCAAGATCTTCGCACTTCCTCTTCGCGCCGTCCAGGCCGAATATGTCATGATTGTGACCGCAGCTGGTACACGTAAATGTGCTCATATTCTGGACCATGCCTAGAATCGGCACGTTGACCTTGTTGAACATGCTCACTCCCCGGACGGCATCGCGCAGAGCTAGATCTTGCGGAGTCGACACTATGACGGCGCCTAAGAAGTTGTGAGTATGGATGATATTGTGTGGCAGCTTATGACTTACCGGCCAAGTCGATGCTCTGCGTGATCGTGAGCTGAACGTCACCAGTACCGGGTGGCATGTCCAGGATGAGAATGTCCAGCTTGGGCCATGAGACCTCAAATAGCAATTGGTTCATCGCCTTCTGAATCATCAAGCCTCGCCAGGCGACAGGACTGTCCTGTGGCACGAGGAACCCCATCGACATGGTTTTCAAGCCRTACGCCGTCAATGGCACCAAGCGGTTATTGGCATCAAGTTCGGGTTCATAGCCCTCGAGCTAGTGGCAGTCAGCATTGAACGGGGTTTTCTAGCAGCAGTGTTTTGGTACATTCAGCAAAGTAGGTATACTTGGCCCGTAGATGTCGGTGTCGAGGATGCCAGTATGCAAGCCCTGACGAGCTAGTGCAAGAGCGAGATTGACGGATATTGTGCTTTTCCCGACGCCTCCCTTTGCACTGCTGACTGCAATGACTTTGGCTACATTTCCAATTGGTTTCTTCTCGGGCAGACCTGACGTGAAATTTGATCAGAGGGGGCGACATTTGGATAGAGTTCATCACTGCACACCTCTCTTCATGCGCGCGGCAAGATTTGGTGGAGTTCCGGATCTGGGGAGTCCCYATAGGCGTGGCTTGATCAGTCTCCTGGATGCATGTTTTATCTAGAGAGGCCAAGGTATGGTACCAGAGGGTTTTCATGGCCAGATGCTTGCCTGCATGCAGCGGAAAAGAATGACCGTTTGATGAGAACCTTCTCTATTAGCTCCGATCTGACGTTGGTCGGTAGCTTGAGTAGTTGTAGCATTGCGTAGGGTGAAAATGTAGGGTATTTTGTTGTYAAAGAGAAATACCTAACACAATGAGTGGAGGTAGGGACAGGGTGAAAGACATTATTAGGGTTATGTAGATCAGTCATCAAACATCCCAACGCCCAACATCACGCCTCTTCGCCACGCTCTTCGCTTCCCATATCTTACAACATCAAGCTGGTGTGAACGCTGTCGCACCTTTTCAATGATCCGGTTACCAAGCGAACAGTTCCGAAAGTACCGCCAATGAACATGACACTTCGTCCCTCATGAAATGCAATGATGCCAAACACCCGTTCCAAAGTACCATCTATCACTTTCCAAACCGAGAGGTACGGACGGCCACATCTGCGTCTTGCTCCTGCGAAGCCCGTGACCACGCTTCCGGATTGGCGTTGCGTAGGTCGTTGTACGATGCTCCTAAGCGCCTACAATAGACACCGGGATCCAGACGCATAGATTTCTGAGCAAAGAATTCGCCGTTGATGATGCAGCTATCGCAATAGCCTCGCCGGACATCGAAATGCTCCCACTGAATTGGTCCGCATGGTCCACGAAGCTTGGATCTGTCGCAGCGGGACAGTCTCGCGCCTTCTGAGGCAGTTCCGTGAGCCTGTTCCCCGTTAGCTGTTTGTATGATACGGACACGGAGAGTGTACRGACTGCATGGCCACACTTTGGATGTCTGGGCGCTGTTTTAAAGCACATTTTTGAGGTTGGTCCGGGTGCGTGGTCAGGAAAAGGATGAATGATGGCTGTTGAAGTCTGAGCACCCGGGGAGCTGACAGCCTTCATATACCAGGCATACGTCGATATACATGCTGAGCAACCAGGACAGAGCGCCAAGCGTCAGGATGCTGCAACCAGCAGTCCTTTCTGGATAAAGCGGGATGATCTGCAAACCAAACGTATCTGACCAAAAACGTCTAAGACATTACATGATGAAGTCGAAGGCTCTGCAAGAATCCACCTATCGCCGAGTGTGAAGACGCAGCCATCGCGGGTATCCGATGTCAGAAACGAGAGGTACAATGTATTCCGATCATCTCCAGTATACTATTGCCGAACTCGAACAGGTAGATCACGCCCAGATGGCAATTGGAGCTCACTCGGCTGCTGGATCTGGTCTTACAAGTGGGGATGGTCTTTGTACATCCATGTCTCAACAGATCTCACCTGCAGCCACTGTATAGGCTTGGGCATGGGATTCAGCATGTGCGCGACGTAATGGTGTACGGCTGTGCGGCCATTGCAGGCTGATTGCTCCCGTGCCTAAGTGGGATCGAAGAAATCGTCAAGTGATCAAGATAGATTGCCGACGGGCTCCTTGCCCTAACGGATGCTGACTGAGTCTACTTCCAGACGATCTCTGCATGTTTTTGACCCGAGCAGTCGGTCCAAGATCTAGCGTTGCACATGGCGTGCATCCAGACCAGACGCCACGGAGTTCGTGAGTGCCATGTGTGCTGGTCAGATCGATTGTGCTTCTTCCGGGCTCTTCAGGTTCAGATAACCGAACAACGTGATGAACTGTGGCACCCGAGTCCGCGTCCCATGGCTTGTTTCGTTCCGCAAAAGCTGAAGACTAAATCGAGACGTCTACGAGCTTGAGCCATCTACGTGATGCACCCATGCCACGCAGCGCATCCTACGACATGCGTAACCATGCTTCGAATTTGCGAGCCTCCCGGCGAAGCCTGAAGTCCAACCCTGCCGCCGCCTCGCCTTGCACTTCCGGCGATGTTCAAGGTCATCAACGCGGCCGTCACGTCCGACGCCGTAATGAGGTGATGTGATATGCTGCTGCCCGAAGCCAATGCGTGTCAGGATACATCGGAGGACGGCTGACGAGCTAACGCACCGAGCGGCGCGGAACTACCCACGCCTCTCTGTGATGTCTCGGAAGTGGAGGGAACGATGTAGTTTCATGTTGTACGCGATCCYCGTCTGCAGTTGGAGGCGCGAGAGGTCACTCGCGGAGCCGCGGACCGCTTCCGCTAAGGTTCATCCTGGTCGTCCGACATCGCTCGGCATTGCATGCAGCWCCCATGATGATTTTCATGAGCTTTTGCTAGACGTGCATAGACATCCCAATGGCTGCCAGCAGAACTCTTCGTATAGGCAGGTGGAACGGCATGCTGTATCGCTTTTACATTCATACTGATATGCCCCAGGCCTCATTCCGGGCGACGGCATTGGCCGTGAGGTCATTCCCGCCGGACGTCGTCTGCTCGAAGCTCTCCCTGCTTCCCTCGGCCTGAAGTTCTCCTTTGTAGACCTTGACGCCGGCTTTGAKACGTTCAAGAAGACTGGCGTCGCGTTGCCGGACAAGACGGTTGAAACGCTGAAGAAAGAGTGTGATGGTGCTCTGTTTGGCGCGGTGAGCTCTCCCACCACGCCCACCAAGGGCTACAGCAGTCCCATCGTCGCCCTGCGCAAGAAGCTCGACCTGTACGCCAATGTACGGCCCGTGAAGTCGGTCGCGCCCTCTGCCGCGTTCCCCGACCCCATCGACCTTGTCATAGTGCGAGAGAACACCGAGGATCTGTACGTCAAGGAGGAGAAGACATACGACGGACCAAATGGCAAGGTCGCCGAGGCGATCAAGCGCATCACTGAGCATGCTTCCTCGCGCATAGCAACCATGGCCGGCGAGATTGCGCTGCGGAGACAGCGTGTTCGCAGCAGTACTGGCGTTGGAGCGGACAGGAAGTCCATGGTCACCATCACGCACAAGAGCAATGTCCTCTCGCAGACCGACGGCCTGTTCCGCCAAGTAGCGCGTCGTGCGCTCGAGGAGGCCAAATTCCGTGACGGTGGTGTGCACATCGATGAGCAGATTGTAGACTCGATGGTTTACAAGCTTTTCCGCGAGCCCAGCACCTACGACGTCATTGTCGCCCCGAACCTGTACGGAGACATTCTGTCTGATGGTGCTGCTGCGTTGGTTGGATCTCTGGGTCTTGTTCCATCCGCAAACGTCGGCGATGGCTTCGCGATTGGCGAGCCGTGCCACGGCTCTGCACCCGATATCCAAGGCCAGGGCATCGCTAACCCTATTGCGACCCTTAGAAGTGTTGCACTCATGTTGGAGTTCATGAACCAGGAGGAGGCTGCGGCTATGATCTACCAGGCTGTTGACGGTAACTTGGCAGAGGGCAAGCTCCTCAGTCCTGATATGGGTGGCAACGCAAAGACTGAAGAGGTCTTGAACGATATCATCAGGAGGTTGTGATGTATATAAAATGTAATATGGCAACGCGCATCTCCAAACAGTCGACCCTCGTGCTCTTATGTTGAGACCCAGCACCAAAGCATGGCAACAATGCTTTCAAAGTGTCATTTTGTTCAGCTTGCTTTTTTGACCATCTCGAATCTCGCCAAAAATCATCCGCAGGATCTCAAGGATCGTGAATCGAAGACGAAGTGACAGGAGAGCTAGGTGCACTGAAACAATCACTTGAAGAACTGTTCCATTCATGGAGAAAGCTACGATCTACCAAATCGCCTTGAAGCCATGCTTCTACCACATTCTATCGCGAGCTGTGCATCCTCCTCTTCCAGAGAGGCTTCCATGCCATTCCTTGTCCACCTCATAACTTCGTGACTCGTAAAAACCGAATATCAGTCCAGGGGCTCCATTCGACTGACCAAGTCGGATATCAATCCAGGGGCTCCTTTCAAGCACCGTTTCCGTTGTATGCAATGTAGTTAACAGAGCCGTTGGGGTTGGGGATCTGGTTCTTGGTCGAGAGAGACTGAATGCGCTGGCAGAGAGCAGATGGGCTGCGTGGTCCCTCGAGTGCAATGAGGTAGGCGGCAAGACCAGCGATGTGAGGGGTGGCCATGGATGTACCGGAGATGGTGTTTGTTGCTGTGGTGGATCCGATCCACGTTGACAGGATATTCACACCTGGAGCAAAGATGTCGAGGAACGATCCATAGTTGGAAAAGGAAGCGCGGTTGTCATTTGAATCAATTGCGCCCACAGTGCAAGCAGACGACTCGGAAGCTGGTGAGGTGTTGCCAGCATCTTGGTTCTCGTTCCCGGCGGCGACRGCAGCGAAGATTCCMGCGTTAGTGGCGGAACGGACAGCGCTGTTGGTCTGGTCGCTGTACCCGCCTCCGAGAGACATTGAAATGACGGATCGGCCAACACCACCACGGCTCTTAGCGTCGTTGATCACCCAGTTGATACCAGCCAGGATGTCGGAGTTGTAACCGCTTCCTTGAGAGTCAAGCACCTTGACACCAATGACGGTCGCCTTCTTGGCAACGCCGTAGGTGGATGAGGCAGTTGTGCCGGAGCAGTGAGTTCCGTGTCCGTTGCCGTCGGCGATGGACTCGCCGTCAACAAAGTTGGCGCCTTGGATGCTTGAAGATGATTAGCAAGGATCTTTGCTACACTGGAAATATCCTTACGCTCTTCCTCCGAAAGCCTGGTGTGCGGAGTTGATACCAGTGTCAATCACGTAGATGTAACTTCCAGATCCTGCGCCGCTGTCATAGATGTAGCCGCTTTGGCCCTTGCTGCGGTGAGAGATACGGGCAAGGCCATAGATGGCGCCGCTCTGGGTGGTCAGAGCACGCTTGACCTGGATCGATGGGTTGGGACTGGATACTGGAGCCTGGATGGTAACCTTGGTGTCTGGCTCAACCGACTTCAAGAAGCCAAAGGTGCTGAGAATGTCGACAACAGCCTCTGATCCTTCGAAGGAGAAACCCTTCCAGGAGTCGGTAGAGTACTCATGCTTGGTCTTGATACCGGTGACGGCTTTGATGGTGTTCATGACAGACTCGATGGCAACGTTGTCGTTGAGCTCGGCAATCCACTTGCCCTGCACAGTGTTGGCAGTCTGGACTTTGTTGACGGTCGGAACAGCGAGGGCTACTGGCAGAAGGGCCAGGAAGAGACTGAGGACGGAAGGCATGATTGGAAAGATATGCTGGAGTTGCTGTGAACCTGTTGAATCGATTGCTGATGTTCTGAGCTTCTTGGTCGCCAGGAAGCATTCCTTATATACCTCGAGCACTCGCCATCAACCTCCTGCCGTGTTACATTGCCAGCAGCGACACAAGTGAAGTTCATAGAGACGCTGCGAGCGAATCTGCGCGATTGGCCAGCATGTGTAAGTCGTGTGATTCTTAGCCAAAGCATGTTCGACATGGCATCGGCCCAGATATCCAAAAGTGGCGATCGCTCATGGTCAGCACGCGCTACAGCAGACCATGTGCTGCAAGTTGGAGGCAGAGCCGGTATCTTCAACACCAGAAACCTTGATTGTCCGGAGGTTTCGAGCTGCAGATTTCCTTTGAACGTGGCGGCATGAACCACGACCATCATTTGGCGCCATCGCAGTCTGACTTGCCTCTTTGGTAAAGGCGCGGCCAAGACGTGAACTGCTTGGCAAATGTTCATCATCACCTCTTTTAGCAGTTCGTTGTGGATGCCGAGAGAGCCGTTCGCCTGTAAGGAGCAAGAAGCAGCGTCGATCAGGGTCTGTCGTTCTGTCGCACGATTTGCAGCCGCCGAGCTGCACAGCTCTGCCACTTCACCTGCTATACAAAGTTAGCGGACTCCGGTGGCAGGTTTGCCAAGCTCTTTCTACAGATGAGCTTGTTCAGTAGGCTTGTAACGCTTCGCCATGTGGTCGTGCGGTACCTAACCTACCAACACTGCCATCACATGCCACATCTCTGTAAGCGAGCTCTTCCAGCGGTACATGCTTGACACACAACCACGAGCCTGATACATCGATTGGCAGGAGCAGGTCAGGTCGTGGGGTATTCAACCACAGTGATCCACCCTACTGTTAAGGTTTGACAAAGGATCGCCGCGCATCCGAGAGAGATGTAACCACAAGATAAGAAACGACTGATGTGACAGCTTGCAATCTGCTCGAGATGAACGCTGCTCGCCGCAAATCGCCATTACCATCGATATGCAGCAACCTTGGTACGGAAGTACTCACCGCATCTAGCATTGTGTGTTGCCCCAGGAAAAGTGACACTGGGCCTTTGTACTTCCAGGTGTGGCGAGACTGAATGTCTCTTTTTGTCAACTGTTGAGCCAGGCAGATAAATGAAGGCTTATTCCAGTGTCCCGCGTCGGCTGACTTTGCTGTTGAAATACCATATGCGATTGGGTCRACGGACCACGCCTCGAATAGGAAGGTTGGCCACTTTTCCAGCGAAGTCAAGTGAAGTCCGATAGCTATGAATCAGTACCTCCTACCATAGAAGGCTAGTATGGTAATGTTCTACCGCCGTAGCAAGCCGGCGCAGGCCATGCAAGACGCAATCCTCTGCGAGAGCTATGCATGCTAACATGGAAGCTCGCTTTTCGTCTCGTTCCAGCGCAGTTGGTGAGTTTCGATAATCCTCGGCGATGATCCGACGGAGCACGGATATCCATTGCCTAGAATTGCGATGTGTTGCAGATCGCGACGGCGCACTCGTGATTGTCTCGACGATGGAATTCTGGGGCTCTCATGATTGTACTTGTAAGTAATGTTCATGTGAGCCAATTTTCTTGCCCCTCCACGAGGAAGGTGAGACATTAACTTCGATCATCACACTTGCAGGAAACAGAGCTTGAGTTGTGTCATGTCATGTCATCTGGCAACGCGAAAGGATAGAATGTCGTGGTTTTCTGAGCTGTGGTTGCGGGTGCAGCGACAATCCGCAATCAACACACGCCTGAGGCACGCCAGTCCCACCGAGTTCGACTCGCTCTCAAGCTTCATCGGAGAGGATCGCGATGATCAAATGGTCGTCGGCGGTTGCCCACTCCGTGTATTGCGGCAAGCCCTCTTCCCCCCAAGCCTGGAGCACAGTGAAGTGCACGATGTCTGGCAACGCTGCAACCTTGGCCACTACCACGGAGTGAGCGTGAGCTTCATGAGAAAGATACTGAGATATAACAGGGCAGTCCTTCTCCGTCAAAGAACAAGGAGATTCTTTCCAGCTTAGTCCATCATGAAAGGTGCCTTCGGCGACGTGTTACTGCTGTGGCAGGAAAGAATTTGTCTTGCTGTGCTCTGCCAGCACTGGAGAAATAACTTCGTTAACCAGCGAAAAGTTGATGGAAATCACCAGATGCCGCTCATCATGACGGGATGAAGGCTTGATAGGCTTGATAATGTTAGCTGATGTTTTGATGCAAGGGCGGAACGGCCCGTTGTCCGGGTGCAGGTGACCCCTCGATCGTCATCGTGAGGAATTCCAAGTTCACATGCTCAAATATCGAGAAGGCAAACGGAACCAGCACGACGGTATCTACCACAATCATGGCGGATAAATACGTACTCTCCGTCACGGCCGGTCCAACCTACGAAGATCAAAAACAGAWATCCATCAACACCGAAGAGTCAACCCGAATCTCCTCGCCACATCTCACCGCAGACATTCGGATCCGCGTTCAAAACTATCGTGGACTTCCAGCAGGCTCTCCTAAGACATCACCCTACTTTGATCATGAGAAGCACAAAAAAGACCTCTACTCGCTTGCCTTCTCCTTCACGCCAAAAGAAGACTTGAACGGCCACGACGTAGTCTTCGGAAACGAYTTCGATCATCCTATACGTGACAAGCTTCCGCCAGGCTTCAACCAGGCTTTCAAAATCGCAACTTGGTTCATTGATCCGGGTCTCTACGGCGATGTATACGCAGACGAGCCATATCTCTACGGACCCATGTTAAGCTCGATCAACACCCTTAGAATCGGACCCAAGGATGATAAAGCACAAGAGAAGATAGAAGAAGTCCGAGCGAATGAGGAGGTCTTGGTGTACGAAGAGGGTGCTGATGGTGATGGAGAAGAAGTGCGAGAGCAACTGAGCATACCCAGGGACGGTCCTGCGCGACAAAAGTTCTTCCTGACAGAGGCAAATTTGAAGAAGTTTACGTTTGAGAAAGGCAGGGAGTACAGTCAGGACTTCTTCAATCCCTATCTTGATTTCAACGGTATTGGTGACGGGCCATGCAACCTGGGGGAATTCGACTGACATTTCCTAGATTTCGCCCTCAGATTGCCCGGGTTTAGCTACATCCCTGGCATCACCATTCCAATCCTCGGGCATTGGAATGGTGAGCCGCTGCGGTAAGTCCTCCCTCTAAGTTGTTCAACGAGCTCAAGTCGTCGTCTGCACTTTCACACATCATGCCCGATTCACCACTGACGGGCTGACAAAAGTTCTCATTCGCTCAGATACGTGCTCAAGAACCGAGCTACGAACGAGCCATTATTCGTGATTGTCTTCACGCTGCTCCCGAAAGAGGAGGTGGAATCAAAGGAAGGTGACTCAAAGGAGGCTTTGACACAAGAGGGCAACGACGATCTCGATTGAAGGGATGGTTCATCCGGCGCTTTTTACAATGACGCTCGCCGACTCTCCACGAGCTGACATGACACCAGCGTGATTGACTCTCAGCTCGATAGATACCCACAGAACCAATCAGGGAGAAGGGTGTGATACGGTTTAATCGTTTCAAACACGTGGGAGCTTTCCTGAATTGACGTGATTCTTTTCAGGTCATATGATAGCAAGGCAATGTGGGTTGCAATGTGGGTTATCAGACCATCTACATGATGACCTCGTTGGCAACGTCCTTCGAACAGGTCAGCCTCATCGCAACAACAAAAGCCAAGACCAAGACTTACCCGCTTCAGCTCCTTGTACGGCAAGCAAACACAATTCTGCACTCGCACCTCGTCGGCAACAGCACACTCCTTACCCAGAATGGTGATGCTCTGCACCTTGACACCGTTCTTCACCACGCTAGTGCTGTGCTCACGGATTGGAGTGGGTGTGCCCTCCACTCTTGCCCACGCACCGATACGGCTGTTCCATCCGATGATAGAGTACAGAATGCACGCATCGTGACGAATCTCAGCATCCTCCAACACAATCGATTCCTTAATCCTGACGCCGGCGCCGACAACGGCGCGAGGTCCGATGGAAACGTTTGGCCCAAGTTTTGCGGTTGGGTCAATCTGCGCCGATGGGTGGATGTATACGGGTGGGAGAATGTTGGCTGAAGGTTTAGCGAGCTCCTCCGACTGCTGCTGGAATGCCTTGGTAAGGTAAAGTGCGTTGGCGGGGACTGCGGAGCCAGCAGTCTTGATCTGTCGCCAGAAGTCCTTGGTCTCCAGCACGAAGAACTGTCTGCTATCCGCTAGATCAGAAAGGATGTCCTGCTCCAAGCGAATCACCTCATTCTTTTCGCCATCTTCATCATCCTCTCCCGCTGGCGTGTATTGCGAGTCTAGTGCGTCCGAGGATGGGTATGATACCAGCCGCGGCCTGTCTGCACGTCGCTTGATCGCGCTCTTGATGCTGGGGAAGATGGCTTCGGTTGCGAATAGATATACGCCGCAGTTGATCAGGTTGGAGATGTGCGACTCGGGCTTCTCGACGTAATGCAGCACGCGCTTGCTGTGAGAATCGCTGACAATGCAACCAAAGTTCGTCGCCGAGTCATTCGGGACTCTAGTTCCTAAGATGATAGCTTCCGCATCCTTTTCCTCAAACAGACGAAGCATCTGCTCTAGTGGGAAGGAGCAGCAGACGTCGGCGTTGAGTACGAAGAAGCGGTCTGGCCGTCCTTTGAGAATGGCATCGCGGAAATGGTATAGACCACCTGCAGTGCCCAGTGCCTGATACTCGCGCAGGTACTTGACGCTGATGTGAGGGTGGGTACGCGAGCAGTCCTTGATGAAGTCGCGGAAGACGCCCTCGTCGTAGTATCCAACGATAAAGACCTCGCGAATCTCCTGTACACGTGCAATCGCAGCGAAACAGTGCTCAATGATCGGGTGGCCTGCAACTTCGAAGAGGGGCTGTGCCTTGTCAACACGGGAGACTGAATATTTTCACATGTGCTGGTGAAGGTACCTTTGGCAGATCCAGCGAAAGCGGTCTGAAGCGCGTGCCACGCGAAGGGCCACCGACCTGTATGTACCATTCAGCCCTGCATGCTCTTGCAATCTCTTTTGGTGTTGTTGCCATACCAGTATCACCGCCTTTGTCACAGGTGCACCGCCCGACTTTCCTCGCATGGGGATCTGCAACGAGGCCATGGTGGGTTGTGGTAGGTGGAGAGGAAGAGTTACTCGGTCGAATCGATTCGAAAAGGTGTTTCGAACGTCTGATTGTACAGTCAGGCGAGACTGTTGTTGCGTGAGAGTGCCGAAAGTGTGGTCTGTCCTCCTCACTAAAAGTGCTCGTGTTCATTCGGGAGCTTCAGATCCCTGCTTGCAAAACCCCGCTAACATAAAACTAGCGGCAGGGTCCATGTCATCAGTCTCCCGTCCGACTTGGTGCAATTCTTCTCTCCATCAAAATCCACTTCTGCGTTCCACATTATCCAGATTTACCGAGGGCGAGACACCAATGGAAGCAATACTCACAGCTTCATGACATTTTGTCCGAGAAGATGCTTGTTTGATAGCAGACCAGAGACATTACGAAACACCAAGACATCAGAGGTCATGAGAACAGCTCTCAGGATTCAGATCATGGGAGACTGTTCGATACGACCTGAGGGACACATATCAACTGACGCCATGTAGTTCGGCATGGCTGTACAAACACTAAGCAGCGCCGGATCTCCAAACTTTTGCGGTCTCGAGAACGCCAACGCCAAATTCGTTGCCCTAAAGCTTCCTTGTATCCTCAGCGCTCGACCTCCACCATAAATCCCCCGAAGAAGTCTTCCAAACGCCCATACGCATCCTCTGCTAACGGGAGCACGGCACTGATGTACTGATCCGGCCTCACCACAATGATACAACCCTCCGTCTTGCTGATGCCCCTGGTCTTGTATATCTCCCCGAATCCATACCCATAGCTCTCCTCATCCGTAAAGGCCTTCTCATAATCTTGCAATCCAAACTTGCCCTTATGAGGCAACAACAACGATGGCAGATCCGTCACGTCGAAAGTCTTGCGAGATTGCTGAAAAACTGCACGCACGTCGAAGATGGAGTCAACGTCGGCTTCCAATGGAGTGTACTTCGGGATCAGCTTCCTCCCCAAGAACTCACACGTTCTGGCAAGACGGGAATCGGGAGACGTCGGTTCGGATCCATCGCCGAACAGCACAATGCGCCAGCGGCCATCGGCTTTCATGGTGTGGCCAAAATGCACAGGCTTCGCGTCCGCGGCACACAGGACCATGGAAGATTGGAAACGGGTCCCTATCTTGTACCCAGTTGCAAGCTTTTGGTGTGAAGAGTCTGACATGGTGAGTAGCCCAGATGTATACTGTGTCTCGACACCAGCCATGAAACGAGCTTGGCGCTCCCAGAACTCTTGGAAGACGGCTGGATCCACAGAGTCCTCGCTATCGGTCTGATCATCTTTACCTTTTGGTTTCGCAGCGAACATCCTGCTCATGTCGCGGTCGAAGTCGATAAGAATCTTGGCAATGGCCTGCCGCTCTTCCGAGTACGTATGCAGTAGTTTTGGCTTTGCATGACCATGAAGCACAGCCGCCAACTTCCACCCCAGGTTGTAGGCATCGTTCATCGAAACGTTCATCCCTTGGCCAGCCTTGGCGCTGTGAGTGTGACAGGCGTCGCCTGCTATGAACACTCTAGGGTCCCTTTCCTCTCGTTGGTCCTTTGGGACATCATCGAAGTGGTCTGTGAGTCGCTGGCCGACGGTATAAATGGACCAGTAGGCGACCTCCCGAACATCGAAGATATATGGTTTGAATATCAGCTGGGCTCTTTTGATGAGGGTCTCCTTGGTAATATCCTTGGTTGTTACTCGTTCATCCTGCTTGAGCTTATCCATCTCGATGTAGAATCTGCACAGGTACCCCCCTTCTCTTGGTATGATGAGAACACTTCCTTCGGTCGCGGAGTGAATGGCGGTTTTGAGCCTCAGATCGGGGAAGTCGGTCACTATAAGAGCATCCAGCACACCCCAGACTTGATTTTGCGAGTCTCCTTTCAGTTGCAAACCAAGACTCTTGCGGACGGAACTTCTTGCACCATCACATCCTACCACGTATCTTGCTCGAACGTGCTCAAGTTGACCTTGATTCTTCGCGTCTGTCCGTTCCAAGACAACTTCGATGGGCTCAACACCTTTCGAAAGCTTCAGATCTGCGACTTTCCTAGAGTATGATGGCTCAAGTCTAGTTGGGGATTTCTTCATGGCCTCGAGCCAAAGATCATGCAGTCGCGCCTGGTTGAGAATCACATGCGGAAATTCACTTAACCCTTCCTCTGTGTCTCGAATCCTCCCACTTCGTCGCAAGCCAAGACCATCTTCAGTAGGAGACCAGAAAGTTGTCTGACCGAACATCAGCATTGCGTTCATGGATGATGATGATCACAAGAGCCCTTGACTGGCACTCCGTTGAGTGATTTACCTCGTTCACCCAATACGCCTCCTTCAAAACCTTCTCGCTGAACCCGAATGCTTCGAACACCTCAATCGTGCGGCATTGCAAGCCATCAGCTTGGCCTTGCTCCAACCGGCCATGTTTAGACTCGACGATGCGCGTGGTAATGCCTGGAAATTGTGCGAGTTGAGCTCCCAGCAACTGTCCAGCCGGGCCAGCTCCCACAATCAGAACATCTACTTCTGATGGCAAGCTGCTCTGGAAGTCAGTTTCCTCGCCCTCGAATAGCGATTCTAGTGGATCCCCGGATCCTTTGACTCCGTTCAGATGGAATTGCATGTTGAGAGAAGATGAATGAGAAAGAAGTAGCAAAGGAATGTGATTCAGAAAGCTACATCATGTCAGTCCGATCGACGAGTACTACCTAGGTATAGACCGAAAGGCGGAGTGTTGACTATTATGCACAAGAAACTTTCAAATTCAAATGCAAAGCCCGAAGAGCGAGGCCGCTGCATAAGAAAGATGTGAAGATGGAAATAATGATGTTGATATTATTCAGGTAGCTTCATGTCGGCAGATGAACGTGCGTACATACCTAGGTGGAGTGGAGGGACCCACCGTGATAGATCTATCGAAGCCACCCCACCTCCTCCCGCCATCTCGTCCGCTCGGCAGGTTCGCTACTCTCTGCCTATCAATCACCTGGTCGCGATGCTGACCTTGAGTGGTTCCCCTCGGCCGATATCGGCATGGGGGAGCTACTCGCAGCTCATCAACGACCCTCCGATCGGGAAGGTCAAGTGCACAGAGAGGAGACATCAAGGATTAGATCCTACACTCCTTCCTCATGCGGAGAGTACCTCCGGGTAAGCCTCTGTCTGCATAAAGAGACTGCTATCAGGCAAAGTTCTCGATACTGCCAGCATTCTCAATATCTCAGTATTTACCACGGACAACATGGACTGGAAAAAGGCCGGCAAAGACAAGGCAGCTTCAATTCTGAACGCGATCCCACAAGAATGGCKCATCACGGACATTCCATCGATTGAGGATCAGCGAGATATCAGTGGACCAGCGTTCTGGAAGCAACATTTGAATGAGCAAGAACTACAGATCACCCAATCAGATGCCGACGACATTGTCAAGAAGACGACGACTGGAGCCTGGACCGCCGTAGATGTTGTCAAAGCTTTCTGCCATCGTGCGTCTGTCACCCACCAGATAGTCTCTTGTCTGCACGAAGTCTTCTTCGATGCCGCTATTGCTGATGCGGAGGCATTGGATAAGTACTTTACCGAGCACAAGAAGCCCATCGGTCCTCTCCATGGCCTTCCAGTTTCACTCAAAGACCAATTCCATGTGAAAGGGGTGGAAACTAGTATGGTGAGATCTCCCGAATTGACGAACCTTGTCTTGGTAACAGCTAACCAGTCGTAGGGATATGTCGGCTGGCTGGGCACATTTCAGGGAAAGAAAGGAACTGGAAAAGAGAAGAAGTTCGAGTCGCTTATGGTCACGGAATTACGAAGTCTTGGAGCAGTCCTTTACGTCAAGACGAGCGTTCCCCATACTCTTATGTGCGGAGAAACGATCAACAGTAAGCCGCTCTAGGCGTTGACTTTCATCTGGTAGACTGTTGGACTGACGCCGATTAGACATCATCGGGTATACTCAGAACTCCAAGAACCGCAATCTGTCGTCAGGCGGTAGTTCAGGAGGCGAGGGGGCTTTGATTGGCGCCAGGGGAAGCGTCGTTGGTTTTGGAACAGGTCAGTATCACCTTGACCGAAATCTCGCACAGCTCGCTAATGTGCATATGATCAAGACATTGGAGGTTCTATTCGTATCCCCGCGGCATTCAATGGTCTGTACGGCATTCGTCCTTCTGTGAGTGGAATCCCTAGCGCAGTCGCAACTAATTTCTTGCTGACTTGGCGAACCAGACAGGGAGGTTGCCATACGAAGGAATGGCCAACAGTATGGATGGTCAAGGAAGCATCTTGAGCGTCGTTGGTCCCCTTGCCACCTCGTCGGGGGCCTTGAAGCTAGTGTTCCAATCTCTCCTATCGACGAACCCTTGGCTTCACGATCCACTCGTACACGAGATTCCTTGGAGGAAAGAGGCAGAAGTTCTGCCAGAAAAGCTCTCATTTGCAGTCATGCGCCACGACGGCACATGCTCAGTCCATCCGCCCGTCGCTCGCGCCATCGACCTCACCGTTAAGACGTTGGAAAGGCTAGGTCACCAAGTGATCGAATGGAAACCGACCCCGGAGCACTCCCACCTGAACGACATTTGCGGAAAGTGCTGGGCCTTTGACGGTGGGGCGGACTGTCGCAAGGACTTTGAGCTTTCCGGGGAGGAGCCTGCGAAGGACATCATGCTGGACTCTACGACGCAGGCCAGCGCAAGTGAAATCATGGCTGTGAACATCAGTAAAAGGGAGGCACAGAAAACCTACATGGAATACTGGAATTCGACCGCTTCGCTCACAAACACAGGCAGACCTGTTGATGCGGTGATCTCACCATTGGCTCCATACACGGCCGCTACGCCACATGGATACACTTACTACGGATACAGTACCTGGGTAAATGTGCTGGACTATACTAGCGTCACTGTTCCGATCACACATGTAGACAAGAAAGTGGACGCACCACTGGAAAACTTCAAGCCGCTGAACGAGACGGATCAGAAGACGCAAGACACCTACGATCCGGAGATTTATCACGGAGCTCCTGTTGCCRTCCAGCTCGTGGGCCGACGACTGCAAGAGGAGAAGATGCTGACATTGGCAAAGTATGTTGGAGATGCCGTGCAAAGTTGAAGATTCTGTCGGTCTTGACAAGCTGGACTGTGGAAATGGTCATCATACGTGACATAGCACGTTTGTTCTGGAGTAGGATTATGTTAGAGGTCTTTGTCGTTACATATGGGGAGAATTACCTGCCTTTTCGAACTACTCAAAAGTGGCCCATCTGTCCATTTCTGTATTGCGATGGACTGACGACGTTGTAGCCCTAAATTTCACATCCCAAGCAAAGTTTCGCTGCTGCTAAGCTAAATGTGCAAGCAGCCTCTTTCGCAAATCCCAAAGCTTGTATGACCACTTATTTCAACCCTGCCCAACCCCAAGCATAAAGTGGAGAGTTTCCCAGACATAACCATGAAGTAGGCCGACTATTGACCCCGTGGCGGCGGCGGCGGACCCATATTAGGAGGCATATTTCCCGACATACCTCCTCCAAATGCTCCTTCAAAACTTTGACCCGGCCCATTCGCGAAGCTCCCCAACCCCAATCCCTCTGCCCAATCCCACTCAAGTGTCATAGGCATCTGCCAAAGATCTTGCGGAACGAATGGCTGTTGAAATTGACCTGTGGGATCCGGCACTAGACCGCCCGGGCCCGCTTGGAACTGCATGTTGAAACCGTTCGGGCTTTGTGCAAAGCCACCTGCAGCTGTGGGCGAAAAGCCGTCGGGCATCCCTGCAAATCTCGCGTCTCCCGTATTGGTATTGAAATCCATTCCGTTGCCTCCCATGGGGTATGGCACAGGGTTGAAGAAACCCGTGGAATTGTCGGGCGCCTGAGATGGCATGTATGGCGGCGATTGCTGGTTGTGACCATTTTGCTGATGCATGCCATTGCGGTACTCCTGGTTATTTGCTGGAGGACTTCCTGGCCAGCTCTTCGGGCTGCTTCCCGTTTGACTTCCCGCGATACTCGCCCTTAGGCTAGGGGTCTGCACGGGTCGACGATAAGCTGCCTGAGTCTCAACCTGCATTTGCTCCAACGTCTTGCCCTCTTCCAAGCCCATCGCGATGTCTCCACTGACCCTTTGCTTAAAGGCCTTTTCCCGCTCGCGCTCAGCTTGCTTTCTCTTACCACGTCCGCGGATTTCCTTTTCAGCCTTGTCAAGAGCCACCCGGGCGATACGTTCGAACTCTGCACAGACGAAAAGCATACGGGTGACATTTCCACTGGCTTCTGTCATGTCGCGCTCTAGCATGGTCAGGAAGGAGACGACACTGCTCATCAATTTCAGGTCTGACCGAGCCCTTGCGTCCTGGGGATTTTGCAGAATATTGGCGAACAGAGTTACAAGAGCAGAAACGGGATAGTACAATATCATCCTGGACAGTGTCAGTTTCAGAAACTCCAAGAAGGCTGAATGTGAATGCGCTTTAGACTTACCACACACAAGCGTAGTCACCCTGTGGAATGTACCGAATCAAGGCGATACTTGTTCGCGCCGCATTCACACATAGCGCAGCACTCATGAATACTCGCGGATTCAGCGGTCTCGCATTCAGACCTTGAATGGCGAATTCACTCAGCCGGCTAGTCCAGTAGCCATGATGGACACTCATCCTATGTATGGTAGTCAGACAGTTGTAGTAAGCGAAATGCAAAACTACAACATGTAATATCAACGGAGTGTGGGCAGCCTTGATTTCATGCTCGGGCCTGAAATCGATGGGTATGCTGTCTTTCCACTCCTCTAGTTCAGAGTCAAGCTCTCCGATCGTGTTCAAGAGCTCGCCATCGCTCTGACGGCTTGAATTTACCGAGTACAACCGCTTGTACACTCGCGACTGTATTTGTGCAAATCGGCACATAAGCCGGAAAAGATTCATCGTAGATCTGCCTTCAAACTCCTCTGCCAGGGGTACACTACCAACGTGATCCGGCGGATTCTCCGATGGCAGCTCCACATTCATGTCGTCGTCGTCCTGTGCGGGCGGCCGACCGGAGCGAAGACATATGTCCTTGTCTAACAGGTATGCGATCCAAAAAACTCTTTTCCGCTGCTCATTCTCGWCTTCATTCAGATTGAAGCCAGAACCTCGCTTGTGCAATCCAATAGAATGTGCGAGCCGTATCGCAGCAGATACAAGGAAGAAACTGGGCTGAGGATTGGGTGTGCCCTGAAGGAACATAGCCATACCAAGCAAAGCTTGCACGGAAAGCAGATCATTAGCACGCATGGTAAGCTCAGTCATAACAGCCATGGCGTTCTTCAARTACGCCCATGCGATTTCGTCCTCTTCCTGGCCTACGACATTGCTCATAACTCTGAGTCTGTGTCCAATAGCCAATGCGACGTTCAGACTAGCCCACCATCCCGAGCCTTGGTACGGCTCTAGGGAGTAGTGTTTATCGACTAGGTGCATGAAGGTGGGTTCATGGAAGAGCGGAAACATGCAGTTGAAGTTCTCAAAGTAGTCCTTCAGCAGCGCGTAGCATTCCTGGCGGCCCGGTAGTGGCCGGAAAACTTTGCGGTGGAATATATCGTCGAAGACTTCTGGCTTCCAGTGATTCCATCCTTGCTTGTCTTCATCCGATGCGCTGGCAACCATCTTCTGGAAACTTGTGTCGCCGGTCTTTGAGTTGACCCATTGGATACCCGTGGGACTGAATATGCTAAAGCCGGAGGAGGAGCCAATGTATCGGGTCTCGCCAACGTTGTTGGTGATGAGACTACACATCTGATCGGCGAGTAATTCGACCTCCGGCGCGCCCTCGCCGGCTACATTACCCCTGGCCGGCGTCTTCGCTGGCTCGGGAGAAGTACTATCAGCTGCATTGATAGGGGCGTGTGGAGGGCTTCTTTCAGGATCCTGCACGTGCTGGCTGGGCATGGCGCTATCCTTGCCGACGTTTGTCTGTACCTGAATCGGTGGTGCAGGTGATCGTTGTGAGTGCGGGCTGCTTGCCGAGCTTTGAGCATTGGCTCGCTCTGCTAAACGCTTCTCCAATGTGCCCAGATCAGTGCGACCTCCGTCATCCTCTGCAAGTAAGCCCGAAAGACGCAAGAGACTCTCCATCCGACCCAAGCGATTCTCCAGCCCCTCAATGTACTTTGCTCCCTTGGGCGGCGCACGTTTCTTCTCCACATGCGTGAAGATGCACACGGTCTTGTAGTTTTCGCAGTGGCTACATTTGGGCAGTTTCCCGTCGCATTTGATCTTCTTTTTGCGGCACATGTCGCATGCTCGAGCTATCCGTCTGCGTTTGGCATCGCGACTGTCTCCACCTTCGCCTTCATTATCCCCGTGGTCTCCGTGTTCTCCATTACCTCCATCGCCCCCGTCGCCGTCGCCGTCGTCGTATTGGTAGTCCGCCTCGCCGCCTTGGGCCCACTGTCCGCCATTTCCCGCGTCCGGAAGTCCATATGTGCCGTATATCTGCTGCTGCGCTGGCGGTGGTGGATTCATCGCCATCCTCGTCCCCAAGGCAGCCGCGGATTGGGCCGYTGCGATTTGTCAATTGCCCGGGCGACACAGCGCTCACCACCTCCTCTGTCCTTCTTTTGACCGTCCGTCCGGGGGTGCTAGGTATGTCGGTCTCTCACACATTCACACCAAGAAGTGCATCCCAACACCCTGTTGCTCTATGTCGCCGCGAGGAAGCATGCTTGAACAACGCGACCACAGGTACCGTTGACAACGACAGCAGTTCGAATGCGTCATGCAGATGGGAGTCCTTCGAACCCTTGCACATCTGCTAACCTGATGGCCTTGCGTTGCTGATGATGAATGGCCCGCTTTCTAAGCACCCTGCATTAAACTTTAGCCCGTCAAAGCTTCGCGGCCTGATCGGGATCGCTCCACTGCGGTCTGCGAGCGTTGGCGTTGGCGCCGCGCACCCATACGTCCGAGCCCCGATGTTCTGTTTTATTACCTTAGCAACAATAATTGCAGCGAAGAGCTTGCAAGATCTCCAGATCAGACGCTATGACAACACATGGCGTCCTTTCGCAATTGGGTTTTCTCACTTCGTATCGTCGTACGAAGATGGCGGCGCAATAGACCATCTGGGACGCGAGCGATGCGAGCTTGGTAATTGGAATCAACGCACCCCGGGACGTTGGAACCACGTCAAGGGTCGGACTTTCAAGGACTCTCGTTGTGACGAACTCTCCGGAAGTCCGATTCGACCTGATCAGAGTCATCAGACCGCTCTCCTGTTCAGACCGGGGTAATTGACCACCCTTGATGCCCTTCGACAGTAGTTCCATCCGTCTTCGACTGTTGCAACATCTCGAGTCTGCTGACCGCCTGCGGTATACCACTGCAACACGGCGTGATGTTGTTTGGGATCCATGGCCGTGTACCAGGTATCGACTAGCCTGAATCCTGCGGTGATCATTTGCAATGATCGATCATTCATGTCAAAGGACGCTAGAGGGGCTGAGCACGGGGGTTTTATTATTATAGCGCTTACCGCTCTCTTTGCCATTCCCGGCGATGCTCCTCGCTCGTCAACGCTTTCTGTGCAGATGATCTAGGCCGACGGTTCTTCCATGCGATCAGTCAACGCTAGAACTACATTTTCGCATGCTCTTCAATACATAGCACATGCCGTATTGGGGTCCTTCGCCTCAAATGCATGTGATCACTACCCGAACGTAGATCTTCAACAAACGACCTTCCGAAGAAGCTTGTCATACAACAGGACCCAAGCCGCCAATTTCCCGGGAGCTACTTACTTGTGATAGATGTGCTGAAGCTTGGCACCACGAATCTGTTTGGTAGAATGGAGTACCATCGATCCGATCAAATACATGTGCTTCGTCCTATTCTGGCGTTTCTACTCCTTCCGTGGAAGTTCTTCCCTAAGCCACAAGCCACACCATACTTTAACAATACCAGCTCGTCTCTCAATGATACGTGGCTGACGGATGTTGAGAGGAATAAGGAGAAACGCGTGAGAGATGCAATACAATGCATCATGTTTCGTACCTTGGTCTGCCAGCATTGACGACGGTATCATCGCGCTCCTCATACGCTTACAGTAGCAAATCCTCCAGCTACATCGTGCAAATTATACTCAATCGCGCTCGACGACGCAGCAACACTCTCATCGATCCTCCTCAAACCTCATTCCACCTCAGCCTGATTCGACGAATCTCGGATCTCCCCTGAATACCCTTGTAGAAACCCATGAATCAGCGAAAGTCCTTCAATCCACAGACCCACTCATCAGGGGCATCAATCTACAAAATTTCTAATGAGCATTAAAAATTATGATCCGCCCGTCGACACATGACGAGAATAACGCACATCCCTAACCAGTGGGTATGGATTGGAGATGCGGAAGGGCGTTACTTACAAGTGGCACTCATAGTAGTCCAACAGCTTCTGCGGACACTTGAGCCGTAAGAGGTCCATCTTGTGCTGAGTCTTCCGGCCGTTGTTCCAGAGTACCAGGCCGTTGAGCTTCTTGGGGTTTTTCTTCGCTTTGACGATCATGGCGCCCTCGGCAGGCTCGTCCTCGATAATTGCGGAGATTTCGGTGATCGCGTCCTCCCAGAGGCCATCCGGTGGTGACCACGCGTCGGTGCCATTGGTAGCGCCCTCTGACTTTCGCCCTCTGCCTTTCTTGGCGGGTGCCGGTGAGTCTTCTTCGGCGGAGGCAGCCCTCTTGCCCTTGCCTTTCGTGGTTGATGTGGATGCCTTCTTAGCGGAGGACTTGCTGGTCGGTTGTGGTGTGCCGCCGACTTGGATGTGATACGCTCGGAGAATTTCGAGAGCGCCGGTACTGTTGTGTATTAGCATTGMACATGATGAGTGTCTGACAATGGCAATGGAAGACGTACAGGTTCTCCTCTGGCTCCCAAGTCTCATCCGCCTCATCGTCGTAGCCTAGCCACTTGATGCGATAGAGGATGCCACCTTTGACTGTCTTGTGATCGAGAATCTTCTCGACCTGGTATTCGTCTTCCTCGCCGGACTCATCGTCGCCTTCCTCGTCCTCGTCTGCGACTGGAGCCGCCTTTGATTTCTTGGCAGGAATCTCGTCAATCATATCGGCGTCGGAGTCCTCGATGTCGGACACGGCAGCTATTGACGCGTTAACCTGGTCCAATGCGCGTGAGTGATGCGACGCGATGGGACTTACGAGGCATTGTGGCTTTAGGGCGTTTCTTGATAATTGGCACGAGTTTTCTGACGGTTGGTGAAGATTTCGCGACGCGTTTCTTTTGGCGTCCGCTGTTTTAGCCGATTAGTTTGAGCGTGAAGTAGGAACCGTGAATTGTGAAGGCGGAGACGCGGAGGAGGTGAGCTTCGACGAAAAAGTGGTCCGTGCACGCTCAAAAAGTTGAAGCAGCAGGCGGGAGAGAGAGGGAAGCACATCAGGAAGTGGGCGTGCAGAACATCACCAGAAGAGCACCAAACACGCCGCGTCACCAATACTCACAACACCTTCTTGGCCCGCTTGCTGGTACTCTTGTTGCCCATTTCTGTTTGGACTTGATTGATTGTTTGGTGAAGGAGTAGTAACAGCAGACGGTGGATTGTGAAAGGAACCACGTTTGTTGTCGAAGGTGAAGAAGAAGAAGAAAGAGGCGTGTTGTTGCAAGAAGAGAAGTGGTGGTAAACTGCTGCGGCAGGTGCGAGATACAAGGCAACAATGGCAGGCCAACCGATGAGTGAGTGCTTGCATATGACTGTCATCTGATGGATGGCAGCAGGAACTGCAATGACTGATTGCACGGAAGTGATGCTGACTGACTTCACTCCATAGACATCGACCTCAGCAACGCGCAAATCACACAGGACGAGTCCGGCCGCCCATTCATCATCGTACGCGATCAAGGCCGCAAGAAGCGCAGTCATGGCACCGAGGCCGTCAAATYCCACATCCAGGCCGCCCGCGCCGTCTCTTCCATCGTCAAGACTTCGCTGGGTCCTCGCGGTCTCGACAAGATCCTCATTTCGCCCGACGGAGACATTACCGTGACAAACGATGGCGCTACCATTCTCGGACAAATGGAGATTAGCAACCACATCGCTAAGCTGCTCGTCTCCCTCTCGCAGTCACAGGATGCTGAGATTGGTGACGGTACTACTGGTGTTGTCGTCCTGGCCGGCGCTCTTCTGGAGCAGGCCTCGGAGCTCATCGACAAGGGCATCCACCCCATCCGGATAGCAGACGGCTACGATGCGGCATGTGAGGTTGCCGTGGCTGAACTCGACACCATCTCCGACACTATCTCCTTCACCAAGGAGTCTAACGAGAACCTGTTCAAGGTTGCCAAGACTTCCCTCGGCAGCAAGATCGTCTCCAAAGCTCACGACCAATTCGCTCAAATCGCCGTGGATGCCGTACTCTCCGTTGCCGACCTCGAGCGAAAAGACGTCGACTTTGRGCTGATCAAGGTGGATGGCAAAGTTGGCGGGTCCCTCGAGGACACCCTCCTTGTCAAGGGTGTGATTGTCGACAAGGACTTCTCTCACCCCCAGATGCCCAACGAGGTTCGGGATGCCAAGCTCGCCATCCTTACCTGTGCATTCGAGCCTCCAAAGCCAAAGACCAAGCACAAGCTCGACATCACCTCCGTCTCTGAGTTCAAGGAGCTCCAAAAGTACGAGCAGGCCAAATTCGCCGAGATGATCCAGCAGATCAAGGACACTGGCGCAAATGTGGTCATCTGCCAGTGGGGATTCGACGACGAAGCCAACCACCTCCTCCTCACCAACGAGCTGCCTGCCGTCCGTTGGGTCGGCGGTCCCGAGATCGAACTCATCGCCATTGCCACCAATGGCCGCATCGTGCCTCGCTTCGAGGATCTGAGTGCGGCGAAGCTCGGTCACGCTGGTGTGGTGCGCGAAATGTCATTCGGCACGACGCGAGAGAAAATGTTGGTCATTGAGGAGTGCGCCAACTCCCGMGCAGTAACATGCTTCATCCGTGGCAGCAACAAGATGATCATCGATGAGGCCAAGCGCTCTCTTCACGATGCGCTCTGTGTTGTACGAAACCTGGTGAAAGACAACCGAATCGTCTACGGAGGTGGCTCAGCAGAGATTGCATGTTCGCTCGCTGTTGAAAAGGCCGCACTGAAGACGAGCGGATTGGAACAGTACAGCATGCGTGCATTCGCGGATGCGCTAGATGCCGTGCCTATGGCACTCGCCGAGAACTCCGGTCTGAGCCCTATCGAGACTCTATCAGAACTGAAGGCGAGACAGGGCAAGGGCGAGGGGGTGGGTAGACTCGGCGTGGACTGCATGCAGACCGGCAGTAATGACATGAAGAAGCACTTTRTGATCGACCCACTCATCAGCAAGAGACAGCAGCTGCTGTTGGCCACGCAGCTGTGCCGGATGGTGTTGAAAGTCAACAACGTGATTGTCGCAGGTGGAGAGGAAGATTATTGAAGGGAACGCAGACAATGCGCTGGAATTGCATGGCAAGAAAATGATAGATGATTGTGAGGACTTGCCTGGCGAAGCCGTCCCTCGTGGAACTGTTAGACTCATGCATAGCGATGGCTAAGAATTACACTGAGGATTGAAGGGTTGGACGGTGATGTGGACTGAACTTCCTACTTTGCGAAGCAGTACTTAAAAGTGCAAGTAGAGGTATGTACGACATACGAATATGCTAGACTCCTCTACTAATGCCCCGCATGATCTTCGCGGGTGTCTTTCCAAGGCACGCGACCTCACTCACAAGCAAAGCGGCAAGTCGGCACCTTCTAGTTGCCATGCAGGTGACGGCAACAATGTGAGCGAATCAACTCGAGAAACAGAAAATCTGCTAGCTCTAACAAGATAGGCCAACCTTTCCGTGGTCGCAATCATTTTCTTTTCCTACGCCCGCTTCTTCTTTCCGCCCGTCCAGAAACAGCACAATCTCTCATTGTTCCTGAGACCTCTCTTCGCTTCTCCAGATTAAACAAGCACCGGAGCTCCGCCAACCAAACAACCCCACTGCCGATCTTCGCCTCGCATCGCCACGTGAGTAACAGAACCCAAAAGCTGGGAGAAATCAGTTTCGGTACCTGAATGTGGAAAACCACGAATCATGAAAGTCCCAGGCCGGACTCCGCACATTCTTCTGCTGGGGATGTAGACAGCACCGCGACAACTCTACGACACAGCCTTGATGCTCTTTCATCCCCAAAAGGAGACATTGAATTGAAGAACATTGACGAGTTGCGAGATCGAAGAAAAGAAAAAAGAGATAGTATTTCTTCCTCGATTGCTTCATTTGAAGATGATGAATCTGAAAGGGAGAGTGCCCATCTCCTCTCCCACGCAACATCCACAATCCTAAACAATTCCCCGCAAGCCGCCAACACAATCCCATCAGACGATGCAGAACCTCCACATCCTCCAGAGCGGCAACAAGTTTCTTGGTCATCGCTTCCCAAGAAGTCTCAATTGGCCATCTTAACGCTCGCCCGACTCTCCGAGCCTTTGACGCAGACGAGTCTGCAAGCATACATGTATTACCAGTTGAAATCCTTTCCCGGAGATCCGTCCGATAGTACAGTTGCCCGTCAAGCAGGTATACTAGCAGCCGCATTCACCGGAGCACAATTCTGCACTGCAATCATGTGGGGACGATTGGCAGATTGGGAAGGTATGGGGCGCAAACGTGTCATATTGATCGGTCTCTTGGGATCGATGGTAGGTAGTCTTGGATTCGGCTTCTCCAGAAGTTTTGCGGAGGCCGTCTTTTGGAGGTTTGTCGGTGGGGTGTTGAATGGGAATATCGGGGTGATGAGGACTTTGATCTCGGAGATTGTCAAGGAGAAGAAGTTTCAGAGTAGGGCTTTCCTGTTGATGCCTATGACTTTCAACATTGGAGTTATAGTCGGTCCGCTACTTGGCGGTCTGTTGGCTGATCCGGCGGGGAGCTATCCGGGTATCTTTGGACCCGGTGGAACCGTTGGAGGGAAGAATGGAGTTCGGTTCTTCGTGGAGTGGCCGTATGCATTGCCAAATTTGGTAAATGCCGTCTTCTTACTGAGCAGTGCACTGGCTGTACTTTTTGGACTGGAGGAGACTCTGGACCTGGCCAGAAATAGGGTCGACTATGGACTACGATTCTCGAGATGGGTCGGAAAGATTGTTTTCAGAAGGAAGCCCGCAAGCGGAGAGTACAGTTCTGTCGCCGAGCGGGACTTTGCTGGAACAGACGACATTGAACTCGATTCCGCAAATCACGACGTCCCTAAAGCGAGAAGAAAACTGGCCTTTGGTCAAATTTGGACGCGGAACGTACTCTTCACCCTCCTTTCACATGGTCTACTGGCCATGCATGTCGGGACATTCAGCAATCTCTGGTTTATCTTTCTGTCAACACCCCGGTACTCGTCAACCAACAACACCAAAACTCTCCACCTTCCCAAAAACTACAAACCCCACGCACCGTTCACCTTCACAGGCGGCCTGGCTCTTCCACCTCCCGCCATCGGAGCCGCACTCGCCATTCTTGGTGTCATAGGCATCAGTCTCCAACTCCTCCTCTATCCCCGCCTCTCATTCCGTCTCGGAACAATCACATCCTATCGCACCTCCCTCCTCCTCTTCCCAATCTCCTACCTACTAGTCCCCTTCCTCGCAGTCGTCCCTTCGACGACCTCCGCTCCCGCACAAGCTTCTGGGTTCCTCGTCTGGGCAGCCATAACTCTCGTCCTATGCATTCAAGTTCTCGGAAGAACATTTGCCTTACCAAGCACGGCGATTCTGGTCAATAATAGCTCGCCACATCCGRGCGTGCTGGGCACCATTCATGGAATCGCGCAGAGTGTGAGTTCTGCTACGAGGACTATAGGGCCTGTGCTGGGGGCGTGGTTGTATGGTATGGGGCTGGAGAGGGGAGTGGTGGGGACTGCATGGTGGTGTATGAGTGCTGTTGCGGTGGTTGGAGCTGTGGCTGCGAGGTGGGTGTGGGAAGGGGATGGACATGAGATTTGGTTGGAGGGAGAGAGAGAGGAGGAACAAGGGAGGAAACAATAGTGTAGAAAAGGATTGCTTTCAGAGGGTTGATTGACTTGCATGGACGAGCGGGTTGCATACTAGATCTCCGCTTTACGATTTCATGAGTGAATGAAGTAGCAGGTAGCAGTTATACGCAGAATGGTGTACTGTAGAACCTCGACAGCTATAAATGAGAAGATGACATGACAGGCGACTGGGAAGCTTCGGATCAAGATCAAGGAGAGAGGAAGAAGAAGGGGCCTGACCCTCCGGGGCTCGGACCGAAACCGAGCATTGTTTACATTGCGCGAGTCGCTTGACAACATAGAATCACATCTACCAAAGACCAATATGCCGCCGACGCGGCATCCTACCAAACAGATTCCAGCACCCAGCATACCCTCAGCGAAACAGACTTTCAATTTCCCGAGTAGCTGTCATTTGATCATCACCACTCCCAGACACGTTTTCGCATGGGACAAATCCGGCGTCCACTCTCTGTTTCGCAGCCGGAGAAGTAGCATTGTTGCCGCGCGAGAGGCAAAAGATGGCTCCGGAGTCTTGGCAATCGCGGGTCGAGATGTTGTCGTGCTGCACGATACGAAGCGAGGCAAAGATGAAAGCTGGGGATTGAACGCCGATCAAGAAGAAGTTCGCCATTTGGAGTATGCTCCGGATGCCAAGTCCTTGTTCCTGACGACGACCTCTGATGGCACGATCCAGCGATATGACACGGGAAGTGCGAGATTGCTGGATCCCGTGGAGACACTGAAGACCGCTCCCGTGGCTCTGGCCGTTTCTTCCACTGGCCACCTGCTTCTTTCAGCGTCCCACGATCCTCCAGTGGTTCACATCAGGAACCTTGCCCACAATACTGTTTCTTTCACATTGCATCCCAATGCGTCCACGGCACCGGTCTCTTGTGCTGTATTCCACCCCGAGAGACCGAACGTCTTCCTCCTTGCCTTCCGAGATGGGACAGTGGCGGCATACGACGCCACTAAAATGCCCAAGAGAGATCCTGATCAATCGAGTGCAAAGGATGGCGAGATCTCACACATCAAGGACTTGCATCGAGTTGTGGTCACCGGAGATGCATCGCTCAACAAATCAACGTTGGCAGCTCCAATAGCAGGTGTGGCGTTCCTACCGGGTTACAAAACTCGAGCCGTCACCGCTGGTCGCGATGGCAAGTGCAAAATCATCGACTTTGCAAGCAAAGGCGCCGTGTTAAGAAGTTGGCATGTCAAAGCTCCCTTGACATCCATCTCTGTTATTCCACTCAAACCTGATAGTGGACGATCTGCAGCTGGAAGTCGGCGTAGCCAAGCATCTAGCACGCATACCATCGGAGGACCAACAACCACAGACAGCCTCATTGCTCTAGGTCGCGTCGACGGAAAAGTTCACATCTATGATACAGTCGGCTTACTCCTAGCTCAGAGAGCTGTCAGCGCACAGGAAGAGAAGATCATCTCTGTGGAATGGGTCAAAGGACCTACTCCACGCGCCATTGATCTTGGAGGCGTCGAGAGGCACTTCAGCGACTCAGCCTCCATGTCGCTGAGATCTCCCGGAACCTCCAAAGTAAAGGCATCTCCTAAATCACGCGGGATCCAGAATGCCACACGACCGGTGCCTGTATCCGTCAGCCCAAAAGGCACGWCTGTGCCGCCAGAATTTCCCCAAGAATCAGCCACCACTCCACTACCGATGCGAAAGTTCACACTTCACCCAGACGAGATGGACGATGCAGAGGCTAGCACCGTCCGCTACACCCCATCTCCAAAAAGAGCTGCACCAGTCATCCCCGCAGTGGCTGTTTATAGCGACCTGTTCTCTCCCGTCAAACCCCATTCAAACGCGGCCAAAGCATCGGCGAAGAAACGCGTCCTGAGCCCTGGAAGAAATCGACCGCGCTTGTCGAGTCAGACCTTCATCAGAGAACCAGAATCGCAGGCAGGAACGTTTGTTGCAACAGATGAGGGAGAGACGCATTGTCACGTTCATCAGACTATCGATAGCCATGCTACAAGCTCCGACTCAACTGCAAAGCGTAAGCAGAGGAGGCCGCCAAATCATGCAATATCTTCGCAGCATACAAGTCTGGCAGTATCACCTGGGTCCATAAGACGCAATTCATTCGCACCGCCCGCTCTACGAATTGGAGACGGAACAGCAAGTCGAACTAGCACCATCGTGCAGCCTGCGAACTTCAATGCGAAGCTACTTTCGGACCTTCGGAAGCTGAATGGGAGCAATGTCACGTCTCAGCACGGCCATGGAACCCTTTCCGCTTACACTGGTCCGCAACATACCCGGCCGTTTGTCGATCGTTCACTCCCGGTGTCGAAACCAAGCTGTTCTCAAAAGGAGAATGTGCATGCGAAAAATCGTTCGGTTCATTTGAGCAACTCCGAGACGTGGCCGATTGATTCTGCTGCATCCTCGGTCATCGGCGCAGCAGACGACATATGGCTGACATCCGATGCTGAGGACGATGCACATCATCGGCCAAAGCGTGGGAGAGAGCGGCAGCCAAGACCATCAGCAAGGCAGTCAACCAAAGCGAACGGTGGTCATCTTGAGACTGTCCGCACCAGCAAAATCGTGCATGCTCTGCTACAGGATCCGGACCATGCACGGCAAACAGATGGTACGACTGAAGAAGAGATGTTCTCGGCAGAGACACACATATCGCCAGTAGCCGTGTTCTCGCCCGCTTCCGATGATCTGCGCGAGCTTTTTCCTAGAACTTCCTCCCTCYCACCCCATAGACATCCAGATTCGAGGATCAGAAACATCGAACCTCCTGATCGCAAAGGCCTTGGTCTGACCGCAATTGCACTAAACGAGGCTCTAGGCCGACCTCCAAAAAGTCCATGGGCACGCGCCAAAGCTGGCAGGCGTGTACCGAGTCCGCGTAAGGTGCTGCAGGTAGCTCGCCAACATCCATCAGGAACCGACTTGAAACCCCGACGAGTTGTAGCATTCGACGGGCTGGCTCAAAGTCCCTCATATCGATGTCTGATCTGTCCACAAACTACTGCGAGAGTCCAGGCTCTGGAAGGCGAGGTAGCGATGATGAAAGGAGAGATATTGGCAATGAAGGCGTTGCTGAGGAAGAATGGGCTTCCGTTCCCTACTTGCTTGCGTTAGAAGCGTCGGGAACGGGCTGAGGTGTGAGGAATATTGAATGTTTTCAACGTTGTTGATATTGTTACACTTGCGAGCCTTGAGCGTGGCGTTGGTCATAGGATATCTCGAAACGAAAGACACGAATACCATGCATATTTCCGCCTCAAATCCCTGTCTTGGCTCGAGGTACTTTTCAATTCTCGACATTCTCTTTGCCATGCACAGCCTGCTTCTCCGCATCCACCTCCTCAGCAAAATCAATCGATTGTGCACGTTTGTGTCCCGCCGCCAGACTCGCCGCTTGCGGATTCACAGAAGAATTTCTCCGAACTTGCATCTCTTCTCTTTCGATGTACTCCAATGGACGCTTGGAATTCGTGGCGACTTTATCTCTGCACACGATGATCTTTTTGCCGGCTGGAGAGGCAAAGTATCGATCGAGATCTTCCAGGGTGCGACCTGCAGTTTCTGGGTAGAAGAGGTAGACAATAGGGACCTATAGTAACTCAGATTACCTAATATTCGAATGAATTCAGGGGTTAGGGGGGGATAGGGACTCACGAAGCTGAAGTTGAAGACCATCCATACGATATAGAACTGCCATCCAAGATTCGCAATCCCGATTGGAGTCACTTCGACCACCATGAAGTTGAATATCCAATTCGTTGCGGTTCCTAGTGCAGCTCCTTTGTTCCTCATAGCGAGACCGTTAATTTCACTAGGATATAGCCAAGGGACACCCTGGAATCCAATCCCAAAGAATCTGGGACAGCAAGGGTTAGCAGTTTTGCAAACTATATACACATTAGGATTGAAAGCTTACACGTAGTATAGGAAGAAGAACGCCACGGAGGCACTTGCGAATTTGTCCGCGGAAGGTCTGGTAGGATTATCGGCGAGGGCGAGCAGAATCGTGATCATTAGGTAGCAGAAACATTGGCCTGCAGCGGCGTACATGAGCATTTTTCGACGACCCCATCGCTCGACGTTGGGAATTCCGATGAGGGAGAATAGGAGGTATGAGACGCTGTTGCAGGCTGCGAGGAGACGGGCCATGGATTCGCCGAAACCGACGGATTCGATGAGGACTGTTGGGAGGTAATAGGAGGTTACGTTTATGCCTGAGAGATTTCAGTTAGTCGATGCGACCACTGCATGTTTCAATGCCGATCTATTTTTCAGACAGGTAGTCATACCAGAAAGTTGTTGCATGGCCTGTGCTCCCATCCCCAAGAAAACCCTGCGAAGTGTCGCCGTTCCTTGCCCATCTGTCTTCTTTCCCATTATCAAGTCTCGAATGCGGACCGAGTGCTCTCTCTCATAGGCAGTGGAGAATTTGATCTCACTCAGCTCCGTCTGAACATACGGGTCTTCGATCGAGGTGCCTTCGATATCCGCCAGAATAAGCTCGGCTTCTTCGATGCGGTGCTTCTGAACCAACCATCTGGGCGATTCCGGTAGCCAAGGGACGGTACAGTAGAGGATCGCGATGAAGATGAACTGCAATGCCAACGGGATTCGCCAAGCCACGGCTCCAGGCAAGAAACTGAATCCGTAGGTAACCCAGTTGGATAGACTGAAGCCTGCGATATTCAGGATGAGCTCAATAACAATGAGCTTGCCTCTCCAGGCCATCTTGGAGGTTTCAGATTGCCATACGGGAGCCGTTGATGTCTGTACTACAAGTCAGCATGTACATAAAATACTCAGTGGAAGATCGTCACTTACATTCAGACCGTTCCCGATGCCGCCAATAATGCCTAGAGGGCCAAGTCAATTAGCCAAGATTGGCGTGAAGAGCTTGATCGTCGATTCAAACTTACGTCCGACGATCATATGAGGAACTCCATAGGCGGTGATTTGCAGAATGGCGCCGATGCTCATAATTGTGGTGCCTAGAAGAATGGTCTTTTTGCGTCCGATTATGTCTAGAAACGATCAGCATAATGCCTTTTCTTCAGAGCGTCGATGTATGTACCTCCAAGAAAGTACGCCGAGATTGCCCCAAAGAAACATCCGATGTCATAGATGGCTGTGACAGTGCCCTGGAGTGATTTATTGTCCTGGATGCCCAATTGTTGCAGAAAGTCCTGGGTGCTGGAAGCCAAATCCAACACATTAGCTGCTGCTTATGCATGAGGATATGAGGATTGTTCGCTAGCATGTTGTTGAGACGATTACATCAATCTACAACTCAAGCGCTTCCCAATCAAAGAAGCATAATCTTAGGTGGGGAGGTCGACCAGATCTGCGCTAGACTCGAGGCTGTCGAAGTGAATGCGTCGAAGTGAATGCGTCGAAGTGAATGCGCCGAAGTGAATGCATCGAAGTGAATGCGTCAAAGTGAATGCTCTGACGCTATGGTTGACTTACACAATGACACCGCCAAAGACACCCTGCAACACGTTAACATTCATCTCAATCAACAGCATCCTCGAGTCTCGAATACCTGGTCATAGCCGAACAAAGTCATGTCCGTGCCGCAGGCCACGGTCATCCAAAATGTCAACCACCCTCCACGTAACCCGAAATATCGATCTTTCATTCCAAACATCTTCGCAGACAATACTCATTAACAAGCTCTTGCAAAGTAACAAAGCACGAAAGACTTACGAACCATTAAATAATAATAAGAGAACCAACATGCATGACACCCCATGCAACCCCACAARATGGGCCGCTACGGCATGCAGTGCCTTGTTGCATACGAACCTACTGTAGCCCATCTCAAGCGACGCCTTGTATGCAAGTTATGGGTCACGGGTCGCTGTCGTGCCATAGTCGGACCATGGCAACCATGGCAGGCAGCTCCAATCGTCATGCACACCCACAGCCTCAGACGTGCATCGGACTGGAGTGCGAAGAGGTCTAGAATACCATCCATGGCCAAGATCGCCGCCGATTCCACGAGAAACAGCGCGCGATGGCCATCGGGGTCGCTGCAGGCTACCCATCGAACGCACAGTCCCGCTCTCCGCGGCTTTCGAAAGACACCGGGCATTTTGTGCGCGGGGTTGATGCATACAATCGGTGGTTTCAGTCATTTCGTAGTCGGTGCTGTCTCGGTGCCATTCTTTAAAGTACCTTGTATACCAATCGTCATTGGTGTAGCACAGACCTACTCCTGCTCTAAGCCCTCCCTTTGTTAGTACGTCAACGTCGCTACATCTTACATACACTTGACCTGCGGTCACTCAAGTTTTGGGATCAAGTTGGCGATTGCAGCTCCAGCTACGGTGGTGGAATCGCATCAGATTGAATGGCCGACATAGATATTGACCGTCGTTCACCGTTCATGTTCTCGTGAAATTTTCAAGGTTTGATCTCCGAAGTGTAAAAGAAGCATGTACCCCGCAAGGCGATCTCAGGCTAGGATAGAGCTTCTCTTGCGATGAAATGTGGAGTTGACCAGGTTTATCACACGTCACATGTTTTGGTCGGAACAGAGACGCTATTCTGTTGGTCGCTCGGAATCAAAATATGACATACTTCCAACGTACATCCTGCAGGAGCGGTAAATAGCGGAATAAAAGGCCAACATGGAAGAGTGGATGATGATCTGTTGTGATGATCTTTGTTGGTACTATGCCTGCCGCACGGTATGTTTTCTGCAGCTTGGTGACTCTCAATAACAGCAGGGTGAACTGCCTCCACACTGATGAGTTCGCATCGGGGTGCTGGCAACTGTTCACAGCCCCGTCCTAGGAGTCCCTGGCTCCATGAACATCTAGGGTCCTTCCTGCCGGGATGATTCAGGGCTGTGTTTTGTGAGATTTCAGCCAGCCCTTTGAATGTGCGTCATTGGATGGATACAGCTCGCAACAGTTCTTGGGAACCCGACACGAGTGTACGAGTACCGCGACCATGTGCGTACACCCTGCCAAGCCGTGAAAAGTCCGAGCCACGAGTTACCGCTGCTTTGTCGTTGATGCATTGACAAGCGAGCCTCCGTTCAGGGTAGCTCTTCCCGCGGCAAGGATCGTATGCGAGGCTCATCCATGTTATTACCAGATGTACCAGATGTACGGCATAACCACTGCTTGGTCAGCGTGTTTACAAGTCCCGCTCGAGAGCAGTTGCTACAGGCTCAGCGCCCACGACTGCTTTGCGGCCCAATGCCAAAACCTAGAGCAGCACCAAGATGGCCGAAGTCTGCAAGGCGCTTGCGACCAAATATCTGGACATCCTCGCCATGAGGCCAGATCATCCACCCAGAACGGACTGCCAGAAACAGAGTGATAGCCATCGATGCAGTCGTGGAGAGCAATGCCGTTGTGAGATACTTTTCCCATACCGAGACTCCTCTAGCATGCTGCAGCTGCAATGAGTTTGGTCGGGCCAGCAATGGAACCTGATCCCAGAGTCCTGCACCGATGCTTTTTGCGGTTTCGGTGAATGTCGAAACAGTTTGCCCACCCCAAGGAAGTGATACCTCGTCAACCACCGACTTGGACAGGACGGCATCGGCATCGGTCGCGAGGTTTAGCTTAGCATGCAATTTCTCGGTATATTCTGCAAGCTGTTGGTACTGTTTTCGCATGGTAGAACCGAGCCAATCCTGCGGGACTTGAGGATGAAGCATGAGACCGAGGTAGCCGTACAGCAGGCAGTCAACGGCAGTGGGTCCTTCGGTGTCGAGCAGCCATGTGCGACCATGTAGTATATCCTGCAGAGGTCCAAAGAAATTGTCGGCCAGAGCTTTCAGCTTGAAGATAGAGGCATTCTCAGGCCGCTGCAGCAAGCTCCTCAGAGTGTCCTTCCGCGGCAAGAGTAGGCTTGCGCGCTTCTGTGTCTCCGCCTCAAAGCCAGGCTCCTTGCCGACAGCTTCGAATCCTGCCGGCCTATTGCTCATATCCTCATGCACGTCGTCAACGTCCAGGCTCGAGATTCCCAATTGCTCCGTTCGCAGCCGCGCAGCAGACCGTCTCTGTGGCGGGATGATGTAGTTGGAGTGCCACGGGAGTATCCTTGTGAATGCAGGACGCGTAGCATGACGATAATTCTCGAAACTGACGTAGAGGGAAATGTCCAAGAGAGTCGGTGCGTTCAGCTCGAGGAACGATGTGATAGCGAGCGAGTCGGCTCGTGAGGCGGAGTCTAGTTCTGACGACTCATCGAAGGTGGAATTGCTCGCGAGGTGGCGGACAATATTATTGAAGCCAGAAATTCGTGTCCGTCCATCGACGAGACGCGGGAGATGTTCTTGCTGATCATGTGTTGGGATGATTGTGTATGACCCCTCAGCACGGAGCTGCAGGAGAGCGACGGCGGCGTTGCATTCGGCGTCGATGGACGGCAGTCCAAATGCTGGACCAAGGATGAAGAGCTGCATCGAGGTGGTCTTCGTCGCGTGTTGCGGGAGCTCGCGATTTTGGAAAGCAAGATGGGGCTAGTCTCCGGATGGAAACCTTAATTGCCTATAGGCATGTCCACAGTTTACAACAAACTACCTAGGTATCGATTCCATGTGTCTGAGTAGATGTAGACAGTTACAGGGTAAAGACAACAAATGCAGTATAAATGGTGTACAACATCACTCATTTTGGTTCAATACGAGAGTGGCCCTCCAGCTATTTGGCCTTCTTGCTCCCACCAGTAGCAATGTCGAGGCCCTGTATAATCTCCTGTCCAAAGACATACGACAGATACAACGGAAAGACGATCCAAGCTCCATTAGGGACGATCCACAAGAAGAACAGAGATGCCCAGTCATTGTGTCCAATGTTTGCCCAACCCGAGCAAGCCTCCAAAAGCCCTGAAGAAAGGTCAACAACAGCAACACATGATTCGAGAAGCGACAAAACTTACAGTATAGAACAGTCTTACTGAACGTAAGAAACGTAGTGCTATACCCCAACAGCACAGCATAGATAGCAACCCGTCCAGAAAGAGTCCTACTCTCACTCAACTTCTTAAACCGACCCATTGATTTCTTATCAGGTGCTCCACGCCCTTGAACAGCTTCCGGCTCTCCATAGGCATACACAATGCCAAGATAGACGAGGTACGCAGCAGTCTCCAACACATTGAAATACGTCTGCGCGGCCGTCCACCCGCTATGCGTCTCCCACGCTTGAATTCCATAGACATAATCCACACGTCCGTACAGTTCGTAGGGGCCCCAGAGTGGCTTGTGAAGCCAGCCACCGGGCATGCTATGAGGTCGGAGCAGCACATATCCCATATCCCAGATTACGAGCGGCAGGCTGACAGCAAGCCAGAACAATGCGAGATTGCTGGGCGTATGTGTCCATTCTGATCTCCGCGACACGGTCGTGCGTGGTCGTGGCGGGGATGGCAGTGTTTCTTCCGTGAGAGAGCTGGTGCTCGCGGTGGACGTGCGCGTCACTCGTTTCGTGGGTGATGCTTTGGACGGCGACTCGGTTGGTGCGGGTGGGTCGGGGAATGGTTTGGGGTGGTTCCTGGTAGCGACCATTGTGGCTTTTGTTAACGGTTTGCAAACGCTGACACGTCGGTCTTCCAGCAAGCGCAAAGCTGACGGATGCTGTGATGCAGAACAAGTAGCATGTCCCTCCCCCCAGCCTCCCTCTGATGATCTACGCTTACCCAAAGGCTATTTCACGATGACTTCCAATCACCGAGAGACTGGCGTTTTCACGGATCGTACCACTGCCGAAAAGTGCAAACTTTTCACAATGTGATGAGTGCAGCTCTTCCGCTCTMAAGCCTTTGTGGTATGATAACAGATGAGAGATCGAGGGGCGTATTTGGGATTTTGAAGCGATGTGGAACCTCCCCCGCAACGGATCATTGACTTGGTGAATCAGTCGACCATCTCTCATGAAGTCAGGCCATTCGCTATGGGATTGGAAACTCCCAAAGGACTTCAGCCTCACACGCTGTATATAACTTATCCTCAATAGCAGTAGAAGGCGTCGAGTAAAGAGCTTGACCTCCGGCAAAACGGAGCCAATGAATGACATTCACTCACCTACAAATCAAAAGTGACGTCGCCGTTCCTTCCCCTCACAAACCAGCCCATCTACAATCCAATCCAAAACAATACCCGTAAACATGGAGGAGCTCACCACGTTGCAGTCGTATCTCAAAGGTAAGCCTCCCGTCTCCTCACGACTTGACCCCAAGCAACAACACCCCTAACCCCTTCCAGCATCCAACGCCGACGGCCTCGCCATCCTGGAAGCCACAGCTCCCTGGTGCTCACAATGTAAAGCCATGGCACCATTCATTTCAAAACTACAAACAAAATACCCAGAAGCGCGATTCTACAACTACAACACCGACAGAGCCTTGGACATCTCCCAAGAACTCGGCGCAAATCAAATGCCTACATTCCACATCTTCAAAGACGGCGATCTCAAGGAATCGGTAACGGGTGCCAAAGCCAAGGAATTGGAGACTGCGATTGCGAAGTGTTATGATGGGACTCCTGTTGAAGAGGTTTAGCGAAGGGGTGATCGAACGGTAGCAGCGGCTGAATGTGGACTTTGATGAATCTGATGTCTTTGGCGATTGCGTTTGCTGCCTCTAATAATGAGATATGTGATTATATACAACACAGAACACAAATCGCTTTCGTTAGATTCTTGGTTCTCATTACGCCGTCAAGTGCACGAAGTAGCTTTGGTGGTTAAATCCCAACAAAATGTATGAATAGCCGGCTTATTCTCTCACAGATTCAGGAAACTCCGGACGACGGGAATCAAGCGGTGTAGATATTGGTGTAGAATCAGCAATGCGGATGCTAGGTAGTCGCCCAATCTCGGGCAGTAGAGGCGCTCCATTCCCGGAGCGTGATCGACTCCGCTCGAGATTTGATGCCATTGACTCAATCGTCCGGGATGGACGCTCTTCGATAGGTGATGTATAAGGCGGCGCCTCTTCAAATCCTTCGGCATCATATGAAGGCGGGTCAATATTAGGAATGTTTTGGCCCAGATCCGCGCTCGCCCTACCAGTGTCAACAGAAGGCCGTAATGTTCCTGTATTGGTAGATGCACGACTGCGTCCGCCGTTCGGCGTGTGCGAGGCTGAATTGTTGCGAGAGTGTCCCTGATTGAGTGTGACAATTTCAAAATCACTGCCAGAACGTCCAAACGGCGGCCTCTCGCTAACGTCCACACTCTCACGAGCATCGCCCTCGTCGGAAACGGAGGCAAAGGATCCATTTTGAGAGCGATTGCGGTGGTGAGTGCTGTATGTATCCTGAGTACTCCACGGTCGAAGACTATTACCACCACTTATGCTCGCGGCCGAATCCAGGAGAGGTCTGTCAGATTCGTTCGAATTCGCACGGATGCGGGTTCCGTCGTGCCTTGCAACTCCCAAAGAAGCGTACACCACACTGCTCACTCTCGGTTCCCGCTCGGTAGTTCGTAATTGATGCTCTGCAATCATTGCTGCAGCACCCGCTCTCTCCCGTCCCTCGGCCGCTCGAACTCGCTCTTGACGAATCCTCTCCAGCTCAGCATGGTCACCGCGTAATCGAGCATCTCTTCTACGCCTCGCGCGATCTTCGCGCTCTTCCAGTTCTTGCCTCCTCTGCAATCGTATTTGATATAGGCTTTCCATTTCTTCGTCACGCCTGGTCTCTTCTTCCATTTCAGTTTCAGGTGCCTCGACGACCACATCAATGCCGTCTCTTTCCCCTTCACGAGCAAGCACACGCTCATTCTCACGCACAGAACGAGAGTAGGCAGGTAGCGTCATAACGCTACGCACACTTGTATGCCTCTCCACGCCATCGTCCTGGGTGTTCTGGCCATCGCCCATGCCCTCTGCACCCGAGAAATCTTGCTGGCTGACTCTTACGCTGTGTAAAGTTGGTGCAGTAGATGTCTCCTGTAGCCTGGAGCTATACGTCCCTTTGGAGCGAGAGAATTTTCGGGGACTCCATCCTCGCCATCGCTGCTTAAGTAGTTGTGTAGGGATGTATTTCGGTTCATTGTAGCGTTTTCGAWGAGTTCGCAGGACGAGGTAGCATAGGACGACGATTATGGCGAATATGGCGACTGAAATGACAACCTGCTTGACTGTCAGCTTTCCGCTGCTTATCTTTGGTGACTTGTGATCTGTCGCACAATAACCGCGGCCCAGGAACTGTTGGGAACAGAGCTACTCCTGCCCGAATCCGTACGCCTGGAATGTATGTATCGTGGAAGCAACATGGCAAATCAGCACCTATGCGCTGCTGTGCTGAAAGAGTTGCATGAGTGATTCTCCTCACCCGCTTGCAGTGTTAGGCCGTGCCGTGCGGCTGTGCTGGCAGGGTTGAAGCTCCACTGGCGTCTTGAACGATGGGTGGTAGCTCTGTCCTACGCTGACGCGGCTCTCTATTCCAGAACAGCACTCCGCTAGGCGATGATTGAGAAGATAGCAACCGCAGGATTGACCGCCGTCAGCACTTTGTCGAAACAGAAGATGGGATCGTCGCTGAAACAATGCAGATTGACATGCAGATGSCCCGTTGTATATGAATCAAGGATCACCAAGGACCGGGCGAACAACGTGGCGCAGCTAGGAAAGCAGATCGGCTAAAAGCTAAAAGCAGGGTTTCGGCATGCATACGACGCTGCTACATGTGATTTAGTGCTCACCATAGAACTAACCATCATCAGACGATTGATGTCCAATATCTTTGGCATGTTTCTCTTACCGCGGGACAGCAAGACATTTCGCTTTTGATGCCACGAGGTGAAGAGTCAGAGCAAGACTCTCAGGCGCCTAGCGGCATATTTTCCACGTTTTTTTGTGGCTTGTGGTATTTTTAGGCGTTTGATCGCCCCTGCAGGTTTAACCGCGAAGCCAAGTGGATGAGAGATGTTCGAGGTTGATGATAAGGGCATCTCGTCTTTCTCTTGATATTGCGACCATTTTCAGGCTGAGGTATCGGCACATTCAGATGTTCCGATTCCATCTGATCTAGAAGTTTTTGCGTTCCCATTGGGAGGGAGCATGTCTGGGACAAGACCCGGTGACATTGGAGATTGCCGCCCCACCTGTAAACTTCGATTTCATGGGCCTTGGGAGTAGCATCTCCCAGGCTTTGGACTGACACCATGTAAGATACACGGAATCGCGCCCGGCGCTTCGAGGACCATGAAGGCTGCGCTTCGACTGTTGGRGGGTTGTCATCATCGTCTCTTTCCTGCCCATCGATCCTGGGTTCTTGCTCAGGTCCACCCTTGGCAAGCTAAGCGATCAATGGTGCCCCCACAATCAAGTGAGGTCTGCTGGACACGATGCATGCAGCATGAATGCGTGATGATGGCGTTCGTGGGAGCCTGGCTTGTAGCAGACAAACACTGATGGCGTGTGATAGCGCCGCTCTTCATTTTACCGCCCAGATCTGTCGTGATTGCTCCTCGCACGATAGGCCGGCAGCTCATATAAAAGAAGSATTAGCCGTCGGCTAGCAAATGCGGCCATGCTGTCGCCTCTCTCCAGCAGTTATCATCGCCCGACCGTGCTGTAGCCTGTCGCATCGAAAGGCGAACGCCTGCCGACGTGACGTAAGCAAGCCATCACAGCTGTAACTCGCTTGCCCCAGGCCTCGCTTGAGCTGTTCATGAGCCTCAAATTTCGCGATCCCGAAAGATGGTGGTCGAGTTTGGAGGGATAATATCCGATGCAAGAGGTTGCGAGTAGGTAGTTGCAGTTTTACTAGACTTTGCCCATCACGTTCGGGCAAGCACCTGAACTGGAAGACGCGCTGCCGCGGAACCATCGCGCCTCGGGCCGCTTGCCGGCCGAGGGTGGGTCCTAAGGTGTACCTTAGGTACCTCGACCTGCCATGCGCTTCCTCGTCAGCCTAGGACGACAATCATCAGAGTGCTGTAGGTGGATGTGAGTGGCAGATCTGAAGAAGAACATGCAGTGAATCAGTCAGAGCTGTCACCGCGTTGTAGTCTACGCGTCTGCCCTGTCGCGACAACCAATCAGATCCTGGGCTCCAGGCGCTCAACCAACCTGCAAACGCAGCACTTCCATCATCATCATCAACTTCATTCAACCTTTGAGATTAAACTTGTCTCCGTCACAACAACATCCACTCCTACGTCCGCACCCGCCCAGATACTGCACCTCTCCTTCTACATTGACAATTCCAGACTGGCCGCACATCGGCGCCTCTCAACCGCCTGGTGAGACATGAGCGCCGAAGCTGAACATGTCGCCGTTCTGGTCGGCGAGGGCCAGAACACGACCGCAAATGTGGCACCCGACACCGCCACCGCCTCTCGTCTCGCCACGCTGCCGGAAGAACTGCTGTCCAACATCTCCGTCCGATTGGGCTCCGATGACATCTTCTCGCTGCGTTTGACATGTCGAGACATTGAAGCCAAGGTAAGTGCCGCGTCTAGCAAACAACGATTTCAACAACCTTGGGTCAGCACCTGCTAACGTTCTGCGGACCTTCCACGAGTTCGCGACCGAGTACTTTGATGCAAAAGGCTTCATCTTCACCACACACAGCCTTCAAGTCTTGGGCCACATTGCAAGCCACGCCAAGCTCCGAGAATACCTCACCAAGGTCTACTTCGTGCCAGCCGAGGTTGCTAAGCCCAAAGCCCGCTGTGAGCACGGCCATCCCGTTCGAACTACCGTGCGAGAAGGCGAGGCCGTCGCCTTCTATGTCGCGGATCAGGCCCAGCTTCATGCTTCGGGCATCGACAAGCAAATGATCGTCGAAGCGTTCTCCAAACTGCCCGCTCTCCGCCTCTTGGGGGTTGTTGATCACCTAGGAGGACTGCCCGACGGGGTCGAGTGTAGTGGTATTCGGAGGATCTCTCGCACCACCGGTGCTCGGCCGTCACTCACAGGCATCAGCCAAAATCACGTCCCCCCGGCCAAGTTCAGCCATGCTTGGCTGTCGCATATTTGGACTACCGCATTCAACGCACTTGTCGAGAGCGGTGTTACTACGCTGACACGACTGGAGACCGATCTTGCTGCAGGTCTTTCCCCCGTTACCGATTTGAAGTTCCGAAAGAGCGCACTGCCTCAGATCCAAAATACTCTCGGCAATCTCGAAGAGCTGTCGCTCCAGATTCGCACGCAAAACTTTCGAAACATAAAGCCAGATCAACATGATGATGGCCAGCGTGCTCGTCAGAACCTCAAGACTCTTGCACAAGCAATTCCGAAGGTTACCAAGCTGAAGCTCAACTTTGATCTGCCCCCCGCTCCCCCGTCGCCACTTGCTGGTGCATTTTTCAGAGCCTTTATGGCGAAGATCGATGTCGGAATGCTGACGGACCTCTCCGTTGACACGCTCAGCATATGCGTCAAGGCTCTTGCAAGCATGGTGTGCAAATTGAGGTCGATCCGACTGCTCTCGTTCAACAACGTGGACGTTGTGGACGGAGCATGGACACCGATCCTGAAGGCCCTCGCTCAGCTGCCGAAACTCAGTCACCTGCATCTCATGTATCTTACCGAGGCGAGTAGCAGGGTCTACTTCCTTGAGCAAATTGCTCTTGATGGGGATGAATGGGCCCCTGGCGATCTCTTCGGGCAGGCTGCCGCCGGTCACGAGGACCAGTGGACCGAAGACGGGACTATCGACTCAGATGACGAAATTCCGCTGCTGATACCTGACATGGTGGGCAAGGAGTCCGAGCCGGCACTTGCGCCGTCAGCTGTTGCCGTCCAGGCTCCCTGCACCCAGAATGGAGGCAAGGAGTACAAGGCTCCCGGTTGTCAATCGCATCCTGAACGTGGCTATTATGTATGCCTCCAGGGAGAAGACGACATCAAGCAAGAAATCCCACGACTCATTGAAAAGTACAACACCATTGACGGCGCGAATGATGGCGGTTTCGGCGATATGATCATTAATACTTTCCTCGGCGGTGCACCATTTGCAGTTCCACCCGCTGCCATGGGCATGGCTGCTGGTCCCCCTCCAGGTAACGGTGCCAATGCCAATGCTAACGCGGGCGGAAACCCAACCGGCATCCCGCATGCTAATCCACAAGCAAACGTCAACGTCGGTGGCAACCCTATGGCAAATTTGCAAGCAATGTTCGGTGCCCCAACTCAAGTCGGAGGAAACGCGCAGAATGGCTATGCTACCTTTGCCATTCCAATTCCGGCGGGCAATGCCGCCAACCCTTTTGCCCCATTCSCCAATCTCTTCGGAGGCGCTCCTCCACCAGCTCAGCAAGCTCCGCCCCAACAGCCGGCCCCTCCACCTCAGCAAGCGCCTCCACCCCAACTAGTGCCACAAGCCCAACCCGCTCCTCAACCCAACGTGCAGAACGCTGCGACAAGCCATTCTCATTTACCGAGTTGGATTTCCACGACTGAAGGAGCTTCTGATGATTGGCTACTGGAGGATGAGATTGATTGAGGCTCCGCTCCGGGCCAAGAAGCCGGCATCTCAGTAACCACCTCGATTGATCGAAGAAGATGGCGATACACAGTATCCACGACAGACATGAATTGCCAATGGAGTTTTGATCGGCGAGCGCGCGGTAACACGGCCAACACGGCTGACGATGCAGAGGCCTATCCGACAGGCCAGGCAAGTCAACTAGCTATGGATAGGGATGCTGCAGATGTTTGGCGCGTATGCTTCACCTTGATCTGAGCGTGTTTCAGCCATCCACTGTGGTGCAATCCTATAACAACAATAGCTAGCACGTGAAGAATCCACTACTGATTGAGTAGCGCAAAAACTGTCTCTGTACAGTATCTCGCAGCGTCGGAAAGGCCCTCTACTGACTTGACTAGCATGAGCCTCCTGCATCGTCTTGATGTAAGGCCAAGAAGCGTCTAGCTTCCAAAGACATGTCACCACCGCATAGAGAAGTCGCAACCACCGGACGGCAGACGACCTTGATCCCGGACTGGAGTCTCATGCAAGAGACTGATATACAGCAGCCTCACAAGCACCCCACTGTCCCATGACTTGCATATCGCCAAACGGCATGACTTGGCTGGCAATCATGCCAGCAACGCCCTTCTCGCGATCGCACCACCCTTTTAAAGAACGGTTATTAGCAATGGCGAACTTGCGGTCGTGACCTCGACGACTTACAGAAGAGGTTGGCAATTCCTGCCCACCAAGCGGTGTTGCGGCCTCGTCCCGTCGCACCGGGTTCTTGAGTCTGTTGAACAATGTGTATTAGTGCAACGCTCATTTGACCTTTAGGGACATTTGCTTACGATCATGAAGGATAAACCCCAGCCTTGAGGTGGGTTACCTTCTTGGGGATACTGCAGCAAATGAATTAGTCATGTCTGTGAGAATATGGGAGCGGAACGAGGCTTGCGTAGCATGAGAGACATCGCTGTATCATGCCACGGCCCTGTTGGGTTTGCTACTAACAAGTTCTGGAGCGGGATTTGTCTGATCAGGCTTCGCTGCTCTGATGGAGTGTTAGTTGCAAAGTGTGGCCATTAGGCGGATGGGAAGATTCTTACGGGATGCCAGCTCTGGCAAAGTCAGGATGCTCCTTGATTTGGTTCTCGAACATCTCTTTGACGGTCTCTGGCTTGAGTATCTGTGCGCCGGTCTTTGGGCTCTTTCCGTCATTCAATAAAGCTGCGAGGACTTGGACATATTCTCTGGGCTTTGCGAAACCTCCGGCACCTTTGAGATCTCTTCTTAGTTCGGGATTCACTTCAATCTGGTTTCGAGTTTTGCTTACCGCCGCTGTGGAAAAGGCGCTTCTTTTCGGCATCTGTCTCTGCGATGAGTGGCTCACGGTAGATATGGTCTCTGGTTTCGCTCCCTTGGGAGCCTGGCCAGCGCTGGTTCATGTCTGAATGATGGTCAGCAGTCTCTTGCAAGATCACTTCGATCAAATTACTCACAAGCCAGCTCTTTCTTCATCTCGGGTGTTGGTACCAAGCTGACGTTCTTCAAGCCTAGCGGCTGCATAATGTTCTTCTGGATCCAGTCATTCAAGCTCGTCTTCGTGGCCCTTTCCAAGACAATGCCAGCCCAGTCGATGTTGATACCATATTCCCATTTCTCACCGGGTTGATGGACAAGTGGCATACGAAGAACGTCTCCAATATCGGCGCTGAAGGGTGAGAGGAAGGTTAGCCGACATTTCGCCCAGTCGAGCGAGAGATACATCATAGATTGCAATAGTCTGACACTTACTGGAAAACGTCAAATCCCACAGGACGACCATAGTCCCTCAGCTTCTCGTTGAAGAACTCGTACGCGAATCCAGCGGTGTGCGTAAGGAGCATTCTGAGTGTAATTTCCTTCTTCTTGTCGACTAACGTTCCATCGTCTTGCAGGACCTGAACCTTGGCCAATTCCGGGCACAACTCGTACACTTGCTTGTGGTCATCAAGTTTGAGAATTCCCTGTTCAACAGCTTGCATACAGGCGATCGTCGCCAGGAGTTTGGTGCACGAGGCGATCCAGAAGACTGTATCCATGGTCATCGGCTCGGAGGTGTCAAGACCTTTCTGTGAAAGTGTTGGCTGTGTTGTGGATATATTGAGCAATTTGTATCCCGTCGTCACATACCTTTCCCGAAGCATTGGCAACAATCTCATCTCCATTCTTATCAACAGCAACGAAAACTAGGCCGGGAACACCAGCACTTTTGTCGCCCGTGACGGAATCGAGACTCTTTTGCACGGCATCTTGGGCTCCCTGRTTAACCATCTTGATGTGTTTGTCTGTATGAATGTGGTGGTGAAAGGCGTCCTTCAGTCTGACAAGATATAGGTACAGCTCTGGATGTTTATGAGTTTATGTCGTAAATAGACCTGAGCACACGCCCCGCATTCACTTCCCCGCGCCTACGCGCTTTGGTGTGATTTGAGGGGTCTGGAACTGTAGCTCCACCCTGATGACCACCACCTTTCGGGCTGTGCGAGAAAGGGTCTGCATATGTGCATAGCCCAGCTGCGTTTCCAAGCCACGGTGGAAGTGTCGGACGAGGGGATGATGGCCCCACTCCCAGCTTAGGGCAGCTACTCTCTCGTCCACGGCATCTGACCGAACAATCGGCATGCTATCCGCGGATCAAGATGTCATCAAAGGAGCATCATGCAATCTTTCACGTGTTCGAATCTCTTCATCGGCGCTGGATGTATTGCACGCCTGCAAGCTGAACTTTCGAAGTCAATGGCAGAAGAATAGCCGATATATTCAGGTCTTCGCATAGCCCTTGCGCGTTTGTTCTATTCTCAACGATCACGCAAAGCATTGATCCCAGCGACCACCGCCCATTGCAAAGCTCAAAGAGTCTACGAATCTGGAAAGAGTGCAACGACCCAATCGATCGCCTCCACACTGGGTCAAAGGAAGGACGCGATCGTTGATGATGACACGAACAAGTTCCTCTTTCGATCCCGTGCACTCCATCTTCTCAAAGTACGCTCGAGCGGCAAACGGTACAGTCCAGGTCGCGCTATATCCGTTGGCCTGTGGCGCTTCTGTCAAGGTAGTGTTCGAAAGTGGGACTTCTTCTTCGTACAATCCAACGGCCGAGAAGATAGCAGTCATGTCGTTATCGTGGCTGAAATCGGCGTAGAGCTGACGACGGAGTGGGAATGTGGCAGGGTCATCGTCCAGTGTGTGGTTTGTAGATGTGTGGTCTTCAACGGGCTGGTTGGTCATACGCGCTATGAGTTCATTTGTGAAACCAACTCCTTGGGTCGGGCCTAGAGGATTGCCATTACCGTAGCCATAGTACTTGTTCAACGTCTGGTAGTAGCTGTACTGGTGCCACTCTTCCTCACTGAAGAGCGCACAGAATGGAGAGATGTCTCCACTCCGCGAAGCGACGGTGTTAAAGGGGCACATGTCCATCATGTATACCGTCTCAGTTATGGTCAAATTCGCACCTTGCAGATCGGAGTTCAGCCGTGATTGGATCGGAGGGATGAAGACCTTCGCCCAAGTACTCTGAGCTTTCGAAGCGATAGAGGAGTCTGGACCATCCTCAAATGCAGTACAAAGGCCGTGACTAAGGGTGTTATTAGAGCCATCTGCTTCCGATATYACGACCATGGGATATGGGTAAGCAGAGTCACGACTGACGTTGAACTTGTCATCGACCTTCGCCTTGTGGAAGCCCTGGGTCCAATTCTGGGCCGATTGCACCACGCGTGCTTCTGATGCAGTCCTAATGAATGGTGTAACGTGGCTCGCAAGCTGCTCATAGCGTTCGTAGTACATGGCTCCCGAATTGATCATCTCCTGCTGTCCAAAAAGTGTGAGCTGATCAGTTCCTAGAGAGTACTGGTAGTCTGCAAGAAAGGCATATTTGTCTGGGTATGCTTTTGCATTGGCGTGGACTTTTTGGATAGTTGCATTGTAGACTTTCGTCTTTGTTGCAGTTGGATCACGGGCACCGTGCCGTGACAGAATCTGTGCGAATGTGATGCTGCAAGATGGTGGCACATCGCTAGAAATGGCGGAGTCTACGCTGTAGAATGGGCTATATTGACCCCTGATGACACGTAAAGCATTAGTCAAATTCCACGATTGTGGGCTCAAGCCACGCATACCAAAAATGCGAGATCTCAGGCTGACATTGGTAGCCATGCTGTACGGAGTCACAGGAAGAGCCAGGCGTATTGAGAATGGATATATTGGCCAAGGAGCTGTTGCTGGGTGTTAGCAGATGAAGCGATATTGCGACTGAAGAATGACTCTACCCAGAGACCAAGAAAGCGGCAATGGCAGTCAATGAAAGCACCATGACGGCAATGTGCACACTTCGTCTGCGAAGTAGTCGCTCTCGAGTTGGAGCGAGTGAGCCGTGGAGGCGCTCATACCCACCCTTATACCTCCGCCGCGAGGCGGGCAATGAATAGTGGACTTCCATCGCAACCTTGCTCAAGCAGCGGTATACTCCGATGGCGTGGGACTCGCAGTGTTGGGTCGACCACTTCGAGTCCACTGGCCACTAGGCCGAAAATAAGATGTTACAGTCATCATTGGGAGAAGTGTGAAGACGCGGTACGAAGGAGGTTGTGTAACAGCCTGAGGATGGTAGAACGTCGGCTAAAACTCCCTTCGGCTTCTCGGCCAATGAGATCCGACACGTGTTGTTCTTTCCACGCTTCTTCTCCACGCACWTCCTCCACGTGCAAGCCAGACAACATCCATGACAGAAAAGACACCAAACAAAGAAGAAGCAAAAGCAAGTGACGAAAGTGGATTGTGTGTGTCTCTGTCTGTCTATCTAAAAGCCCCGTATAACCTATACCCGGTACAACAGGTTTTGGAAGGTACCGGTGCCCGGTGCAACCGTGCCCTGAAGTCACCGGTTTTCCGAAGCACCCTGCTCTCTATGACTGATGACTGGTCGCGAGATGCACCGTTGAGATGCACCGTTGGGGCGCCAGGCGATCTTGAGCAGGCAATGACACGTGGGATGCAACCTGACATTGCTCATGAATGTCGTCGCCCGTTGACATTCTCCTTGGCTTCGCGGATCTGCTCCTAACCCTGATGAGCGCTGGCTATGGCTTCGAAAATCCTCTTCAACGCTCCCTTGTTGAAGTCTATCAGAACCGAATCGTGGTTGGTACCAGGGTATTCAGTACTGTCCGTCTCAATCACCTCCCCAACTCCATCCTGCTTCCAGCACTTTTCAAAATACTCCTTCCCACCCTTCCCAATCAAAGCATCTGATTCTGCAAAGTGCAGAGATACCTTCAGCTTCGGCCCACCATCATTCCGACCTTCCTTCTTCTCTTGATCGCGCAATACCTCCACATAGCGCTCATAGTTCTCACACGCACCCATCAAGCCCTCGCCATCACTCTTCAGACACAGACGTGCCTCCTCAGTCCCACCGGCCATTGACTCCGCAAACATATACTTGGTCTGAAGCTTCTCAATTTGCTTCCCCGTTTCTTCATCGCCGTACTTGTCCTGCATATCCGTATTGATAGTCGGCGACCCAGTCTGAAAGACATTCGCAATCGTGCTGAAGATGCCTCCCGACAATGAAGCTGCAGGAACGATCTTTGTGTTGATGAATGTCGCGATATCGCTCCATGGCGATATGAATCCGGAGGGTAGCTTCGAGAGTGCAGTCGTCAAAGCCACCTGAGAATGCTCGCTGTGGACCCATGGGGCTGACAGCTTTTCAGTGACTATCTCCAAGCTGTAGGGGAAATTTCACCTACCCATGAACGCAACATAAGGAGCAATTGGACTCAAAATGTTGCGGTGGTGAAGCATGGTGTTGAGTGTATATATTGTGCCCGCGCTATGAGTGCACAAAGCTACATGCTTCACTTCCAGCCTCTGCAAAAGCACAGGCACGGTTTCAAGCCATACTTGAACACGTTGCTCCAGAGCTACTGGTGTTGATCCACCGAAACCAGGGCTAGACATGCATTCATCAGCTTGCAGTTCATAGCTCGACGATACGGTGGCCTACCGATCGACGTAGATGACTCGAACGCCKGTGGACTGAGCCAACTTATCGAAAGTCAAGGCCGTATAGCGACTTCCAAACATAGCTCCCAGGAACAATACGACGGGCAATTGATGTTCTTCGAAATTACTCGTGGTGGCGTATGTTAGACGCAAAATTCCATGTGAACCTGTTTGTGGTAGCTGGAGACTCTGGTGGAGATGTCGTTGAGCAAGCCTGTGTGTTGCTTCATCGTAGGCGTTGTTCAGAGGAGCGCCCGATGAGACTTTTTTTGAGAACACCATGATAGAGTTGAAAGCGGCTGGTGAATGTGAATGCAGGATTCAGTTCTACGCTTTTCCTGCAAGGGATTGACGAAGGATGGGATAAGCAATCTCACTAAGCTCCGAGGATGGTCCAATCCTCCGAGCTGCGGGAGAAGCATTCGATCGCCGTCTGCTTTACTTTTTGCACAATCACAAACTCTCTAGTGACAGGTGCGACTCGCCTCTTGTCAAGGAACATATACCTCAGACAGTCTTAACAAGAGATCAGCTTTAGCCGATGACAGATGGTACGCCTCTGTATGAATGATAGATTTGATCATTATCAAACTATGAATGAGTCGAAAGGGATATCGTTCTGACTTGGTATCATGCGAAAGCCGTCTAGGCAAAGCAATGTAAAGGTACAAGAAGCCCGCTCAAATCACATCATCAACTTCTCAAGCTCATCATCGTCGTCGTTAGTCCAAGGTCCCTTCTCCTCCTCTGTAGCATTGAGCATTCCTTCTGCTCTTCGAATAGTCTGAACGTCGAGATCAGTCACCCATGCCCGCTCACTCTCAGCGTTTGATAGCGGTAGCCGGACTTCGTGCTCAACGTTCATCATCATGTCGTCTTTCAGGAGGCGGCGTTGTCCGTCGAACACGCAGAGCACCCGCTTCTTCATCTTCATCATAGTTGGAGCTGCACCCCATGACAGAGGGTAGTTCTTCCTCCGCTTGGAGCCTTTACTGTTCATGGGGCCAGAGAGAGCGACACCATCCTTGGACAAAGTCATGCCTTTTCGAGAGGGCTTRCAGATTGCGCCGCTGGCAGAGATGTGGGTACCATTGCCCGCTCTGATTGCAGCGTCGCCACTACGAGCTTTGAGAGAGCCTCTACCCGACCTGGTCGACCGCCTTCCGTAGGTAYCGTCATTGGCATCGTCTTGGTCGATCTCGTCTTCGAGATCCTCATCCTCGTCTTCAAAAGTTTCTGGCGCAATATGGTCAAGACTTGTGGGAAGGTTGTGTCTCTCCAATGACCGCTGGACATCTTCGTCTGCCGCGACAGAAGATAGTAGCTTCTCGTTAATGGCATCACTGGGATCGGCTCGCTGAACAACACGAAGCACACAGTCATCAAGATGCTCGTAAAAGTCCTGTGCGTTCGCAAAAGCGTTCCCACAAGTAGAGCACATGCCAGAGACTTCGCGAGCCAGCTCGGGCATCTTCTTTCCGTGTCCTGTTGGACTTCTCCTCCGTGCGTTGGGTGGAGTCTGCTCAACACCGTGGACTGATGTAAGATGTCGCTTGAAGACATCCGCCCGGTTGAAGCTCTTCTCGGCCGAGCTACCGCTGCCAGGACAGAATCCACATACCATCGTACCCTTGTAGTGTGTCAGGGTGTGGCGATTCTTGTCGTACTTCCTAGCGAAGCCTTTGATGTGGTATTCACAAGACACGACCGAACACTTCTCTGGTCGTTCGTTCTGATGCGTAAGCTTGTGAGCTTTGAGATCTTTGACATAACGGCCACAGGTCGGAATCGGACACATGCCCTTGTTAGAATCTTCGGAAGACGCGGAGTGGTGGCTATGCTTAGAATGGACGGATGACACGGATTGGCGTCGCGAAGCAGTGTGTTGTGGGTACAGCTGCCATGACTGTTGTTGGATGTATGGGGAAGCCGAACGATGATGATCTGCAGCCACTGATTGGGGACTGTGCATTGGTGTCCTTGATGGGTCTGGAGATGCAGCTATTGGATAGACATTGTGCTGTGAGGCATGCACGGCTTGCAAATCTTGGAATTGAGTACCAAGATACGAGGGTGAATACGGCTGAATGAGTGACGGATCTGAATCATCAGCACATTTTCTTTCTGGCACAACGTTGGCGACTTACCAACACAACCCTTCTCCGGCACTAAGCTGTGTTCCATGTTGAAATTGTTGCCTTGGAAGAGACCATCGTGCCGCACAATGCTTGGAAATGGTTGTTGGTGCCAGTCGCCCTGTTGAGGTGGCATGGATGGTGAGCCCATTGCGGAAGAGAGCGTACTTTGTACCGATGCGCCGGAGTCCGAGATTGAAGGGATGTGATGATTGCTGTGGTGATCAAACGAGTGCGATGTGGAGCTCGCCGGGGAGTAGTTTGAGCTGGATGCGGGTGCTTTGGTTTGATTGTWGCCCGCGAAGTCGAACTGTTGTGAATGTTGCAGGAAGCTCTGGTGCTGATGGTATGCATCGTACGATGGAGCAGCGAGATATGCTTGATCTTGATAGGCGCAGACGGGAATGTAAGTCTGTTCCTGCGCCCAACTCTCTGGGTATCCGTAGAGCGTGAAGTCTCCACCTGACGCCATGATATGCGGTTACAGTTGATCAACTAGAGTGTCTTCTTCCAGCGATTGATGGTGAGAAGCAGCTTCTTGCTGGTCAGTATTGTTTCATCTGCATGTCCATTGATGGATACACACTGTTGGTTGCGCTGCTATACCATGCGACTCAAAGAGCTGTATCGCGAGCAGTTCATCGAACTTCAATGCCGTTGATAGTCGCTGAGAATGGATCTGCGGTACCTGGAAGTCAAGTGGTAGATGTTGCCAGCCTTGTTTGTTCTCCAGGAGAGACAGGCGAGTCGGCGTAAGGGTGATTGTTGGGACACGGCGGGCGTGTCGAGCTGGAATTAGACGTACGGTACATTTGGAGGCTGCGGCAGGATGGCACCTATGTATACATAGGAATCACCCATCTGCGATGCACGGCACGAGCCACGCGTGCAGTGACCCCGGCTAGTCTGCGGACGTGCGTGAAGGATTGCCTTGTCCCGCACGGGCTGCCCGGGGCCAACAGCAACAAGCCACCCTCCATTTCCATCCCAAACTCACGCCAGGCTGCTTTGAGCGAGCGTGTCGGGCGGGGGCTTCACGTAGCGGGTGATGTGTAACCCATAGTCCGTTTCGCCCTGCCCACCTCTACGATAGCTAGGTCAGGGCCGTGATCGAGTATGCTTTGGCGTGGAGCGGTCTATCGCCAGGCTGTGCAAGTCCCTCTGGCCAATCGCAGACACGCGCAGAGACCTGCAACCAATGAGCATCCGGTCCATCTCGCCAGCCTGCGAAGCCTCACCGCAGTCAATCTATAAGAGTACAAGTGCATTCCGGTGAAGAGCTCTGCCACCTCCATACCATCTGCTACATACCGCTCCCCTCAGTCATGCCACGGCACTCATGCAACATGCAACATGCAATATCGCTTTGGTGCATACCGCGTTGACGTCGAGCTGGTTTTGCGGACGTACCCCCAGCCGCCCTAGCAGGACCGGTGAAGCGGCAATCACTGGAAGCACCTATCAGTGCCCGAGATCCGCTCAACGGTCGGCCAGAAGGCCGTCATTTTGCAAGCATCTGATGATCCTGCCGGATCCCAATTCCAAATTCGCACGGCGGACAAGGCCTGCTCCACATCACGGTAAGCAAGCGTATGYTTGGGAACCATCATTATTCTCCATATGACAGGTGATGCGCGGGTCCGAACAATGACGGCTTACCTTGCTCGCTCGGTAAGCCCCCTGCGCTGCGCGGAGACATATGATCTGCATGAGATGAGGCTCTCATCACGCTAAAAGGCTTTGAGTTTCCGCGAACGGTATTGAACCTGACCGAAGTAGGAACTGATAGTACCTCTGAAATTCTGAAAGAAGCTGGTCGTGAACTCTGCGCTTGCCCTCACCACGCAGACGGAAGGAATCGACCTACGCACATGTCTCTGTCGATCTCGGTACCGTTGCGATCACGTTTCTTGCTAGCGTGCGCTCCAGAGCAAGATTTCGGGCCCGTTCGGTTGGCCTGCCGAAACATCCAACRCCAACGCCGGCGACGAAAGCGCGGCACGGACGACCTGCCAATATGGACTTCACGTACTGTACGGGGATACTTCTGCCAGGGATAGATCATTACCACCTAGACCCTATGGCCTTAGTAATCGAGAGCACATCTTGTCCTTGGAAAGTGGGGTTGAACTTTGAAGAGGGAGTATTGCAGGGGCATGCATCTCTGTGCTTTTTTTGCTTCGGCATGGCCGAAGCGGCTGTGTACGGCGTGCGCCTCAACCAAGCCATCGGGCCCCACGAAGGCTTACTAACAAGGTCACACTCACATCTCCAGCGAAGGAACAGGCTTTGTTCGTTTCATCATTCGTGATCATTGTCGTTCTCCAACTTGTCGTTTCAATGGACTCCTGCCAATGACACTGATTTGGAGCAGACTCTCTTGGAACCGCAGAACGCATGACCGAAGGATGCCGGGGCACTTGGCGCGAACCCTAAAAACAGCGACATCTCGATATGGACCCACCTCTGGATCAGGGCAGACTTAGGGTTAACTTTTAGGTCGTACACTAGCTGCTATCGCAGCGAGCGGCATCCCTCGTCACTTTGATCTTGACATGTGCCCTACCAAAGCACCCTGCAGGATCATGATCAGCTATTGGGCCAAAATCCAACATGTCGCCTGTGAGCGAAATGAACAAGATTGCGAACCACCAATCCCAAGGCACACCGTCTGCATGATACAATTCAAGGGAGAAGWCAGCATGACCAATGATTAGATGAATGTATCTTCCCGACTGGGCTTCTTACACGTGGCACCCATCTCCCGGCAAGGATCACCATGCAACCAGAATCATCCTTCACATGCAGCCAAGGCTTGCTCGCTTGCGAATCAGAGCACACAGCGACCATTGAACTACCTGGTGACCCAGCTGTTCATTACCGCGACCCCGTAAGACGGCACATCTTTCTTTCCGCACCAGCACCGCACGCAGATGCTCGGAGCATTTCAGGATACTTGGCTAGGTTCCACACGGAATGCATCGCGCTATGCATTCCATGTGGCACCTTGTCGGCCAATCTATTTCAGCCCCGCAAGGATCGTGTTAGGCATCATGGCGCGATTGACGCAGTTACTTCTTTCGAACTGGTGTCTCTAGCTTGTCGACTATCACTTGAAATGTTGATGGCTTTTGGACCTCGCATCAAGGCGATGCTCGGGGAGTTCAGGGGCCATCCCCGGTCACTGCAGCTGCCACTTTGTGAAAGGAAGGCAATGTTGTGACCGAGCACAGCGGATCCGATTGACAACACATCGATGGAGGCCCTAACGCCTCAATCTTTCGCCGCCGGATTGATGTGCACCTCCATCGCCAGCCAGATTAGTGGAAAGGCAAAATCATTCAATGCGCGACACTAAATGGTCGGTCCAACAAGCCACAGGGCATACTTTTCCGTCTCGGTGGCTAGAAATGGAAGTTGTTTTCCACAGCCATGGATGAGGAACCAAGCACGACATATCATCACAGCCTTTCCCCCGTCTTCTATGCATAAGGCTGCATGATACCGTGAAGACCAGTCTGATCAGCCTGTGATGAAGACACTTTTGTTCACTCAACCGCGAAACCTGCGACGATGGTCAACAGGTGGCATGATCGAGGGTCTCATAGCTGGTACTTGGTCCTGCGGCACTCTGAGGGAGCGTACCCCGACGATCCGGAAGTACGTCGGGATTCTCAACACCGATCCACAAYGCAAGATACAATATCGATGTTCATAGATCCTGTTGCCGATCCCCGAAAGCTCTTCAACCCGCTTGGCTGTTTCAGCACACATGCTCGCCCACTGGTATGACCTTCAAATAGAACGATGAGACGTACCTTGGACGACGCAACTTCAGACGATCTTCTCTGCGCCAAACACGCGCTATCCACGTGGTGAGGAGACACAGAGCAGAAGATCGGTTGTGGTCCCAGTTAAGTGGTAGTACTGTTTCTAAAAGCGAGCGCCAAAAAGATCCACGACCAAGCTTCTGCAATAAGATTCGAGGAGCAGGAACAAGCTAGATCCATCGTTTCAATATAGCGCACCCAATCGATAAGCATCTCCTCTTTTCCGGGGACCCTCTTGGTGGTCATGTGCGTTCAAGTCGTGGCAAACGGTCTCCGTCCACGCCGTTTCATCAAGCTCCAAGCATCTAAACCCAAGCATTTCGATTCTGAGCCCTACTACACTGATGATTCAGGAAAACAGACTGGGCAAGATCGATGTCGGCTCCAAACTCGAGCAAGAGATCAACTCTCTCTCTCTCTCTTCATGATGGACCATCGCCGTCGATTGGATCCCTTTTCCACAAGTGAATACGCTGAAATAATCAGCACTGTTACTAGACATCGTCGTTGGGTCGGAATAGCTTTGCAACTCAGGGCTGCAGGTCTACATCGCGGCACTGGATCCACTAGAGCGATAGACTGAACAGTGAGTTCAATCCTCTCGAGAGGTGGAAAACTTGATGCATCCGGAGATCGTGGGTGGGCTTACACGATTTAACTCTCTTTAGATGCATTGAAGGCCTTCATATTTGGGGCGTCGTTACCCTTGGCTTTGATGCTCTTAAACCAGCGAAGAGAACTAACTGGAGTTCTGTTGCGAACACTCCTGTAGCTCCAGCACCCTTTCCCGCTCCCGTCTCTGCTCCCCGAGTAGCTCCAAGCGATCGATGAACATCTGAGGCAGCTGACTATCATCATCGAGTATAAGCCTACTCGACTCCAAGAACCGTGCACGAAAAATATTCCACAGACTCTGATCTGCTTGCACGTCGCTCCCAGGACGTGGCCAAAACGGATCATTCCTCATGTACGTGGAAGCAGCTCGTCCAATACCGGCCTCGTCCTGTGTCAGCGATTTCACACAATCGAAGTCCAGTACCCATAGTGCATGTCGTCCGAGAACCTCGGAGTGGAAGTCTCCTGACCCGTCGTTCGTGCGGCCAGGTGCGATGACAATTTCGATGTCATTTGCATCGGTCTTTGAATGCCAGTAGATGACGGCGAGGGTCTCAGCTATGGCTCGAGCGTAATCTTCGACCGCAAGTCCAATCGATTCCATCTGGTCGACACAGAGTGGCTTATTCCGCAGAGTAAAAAACCTGCTTGGTGCAGAATTGTGGGTTCGTCGTCCAAGATATGGACGAACCAGACAATCTTCATCTTGTCTGTTCTTCTTCACGGCTTCTTTGGCTTTCTCCAGACAGAACATGTCGATGAGATTTTCGCGAGCTTCCTGCTGTAGCGGAAGGATACGTTCCGTAAGAAGCGAGGTGCAGTGCTCGTATCCAAATGGGAATCTCGAAGCACGGCTGCTCCACCATGCCGAGTCGTCCGCGGTGACCAGTGCGTAATGGTGAGGAATGAGAACCTGTGTCGCTAGGCCCAGAGTCTTCTGGGCATGCTGTAGACTGCACTCAATCTTCATGTGCATGGCCGAGTCGTTTGCGACGGATCGTTCGGGACCTCCGTCTTCACGCTTGATGGCAATTGACGGTCCATCGCGATCCGATGCCCATACGCTGCCGCAAAAGCCTTTTCCAATCTGTCTGAACGGCGTTGAGTTCATTTTCGTGACTGTATGTTGTTCATGAGGGGAATTGTGAGGAAGCTGGACAAGTCGCAAATGTTGTCAGATGTAATTGTGCTTTGTAATGTGAGTCGCATGACTTACTTTGAGAAGTATGTAGTTCTTTGGGCCGGTTATAAGTAGTGGAAGCTAACTTAGTAAATCTGCCAAGACCTGGCTGGTGAAACTGAAGGTTACCATCCTCTATGCAGCGATCAAAGACGTCGAAATTCTTGCAACAAGTGCAGCGAGGTCAAGAGGACACCATTTAGTAGGAAAGTTGACTCTCCGTGAGACGGCCCATTTCGATCATTACAGCTCCCCGTTCGCGAGTGTGGTCGTCGATGCACCATCAGGAGAGCCGGCAATCTTCACTTTCACCATCCCTCGATCTTGGAATGGGGACTTGTTGAAAATTCTCAATTAATKATACGAGCGTATAGATGACTCTTGTAGCCATCAACCCAAAGCTCGTTCTCATGCCCTTTACCCATGGTCATTATTACAATGTATACAAGCCCAGAACATCAAATCTTGACCATGAGCTTCCCACCAGTCTTCCACATCCGTATCGCACCAAAGATACAGCCGGCAGCAATAGGCATAACTCCCCCATAGATCCAAATTGCATTCCAGTCATCTTCTCCGAGAACCGCGCCACCACCCGGTCCACCCGCAAGAACTCCGAAGCCGAAAAACGCGAAGCCCATGCCGATGCGCGTTCCGATTTTGCTCTTGTCCTTAGTCAGAGCCACAAACAGCACAGGAGGCAGTGCAATGAAGATCCCGCTGAAGAACCCGAAAAGGAGGACGATAACAATGAGACCACCGGCATTCTTGACCGCGAGGGCGCAGAGAATTACTATTCCGACGCAAATGGATCCTGATTGAGGTTAGAAGGCGCGATAGGTGATGAGAGAGTCGACATACCTGGTGTTATAACGTTGAGGGGCCCGATCTTGTCGCTCAGAATATTCGGCAAGGTTCTACCGAAGACGGAGCCAGCGTTCAGGATGGCGACGAGGTAGAATGATAGACTCGTGCTAGTGTATCCCTGAGATTTACCAAAGAAGGACAGATCTAAAACGTGGTCAGTAATCAAAAGCAACCCGGCTAGTCGAATTCATGGGATAAGGCGTACAGAAGATCCCGACGTATAGACCGATGAACCCGATGACACAGCCAAGAGTGAACACCGCCTGTGCCTGTTAGCGAGAACAAATTGAGGTGCGTGATCAGAGGGCTTACAAAAGGTACATCCGTGAATGCAGACCAGTCAATAATGCTCCGAACCTTGCCCGGCTTGACTCGCATCTTCATCAAGCAGATGGGCAAGAGCAAGGTCACAAGTGCCGTGAAGCCCAGTATCCTGACACTCCAGCCAAATCCAACCTGCATCGATGTCAGTGCTCCACTTACATAGCTGCCAATTCCGGAAGGAGGAAATCTACCTGGTCGATCAAGCGATAGAACATGATGGGATAGATGATGCCACCCATTGAACTGCCACTAGCACCKATACCAATCGCGAGTCCAATCCGGGTCGTGAAGTAAGTGGGCAGGATGGCGACAGAGGGAACGTAAAGGCATCCACCTCCAATCCCGATAAGGAATCCCTGCGCAAGGATACAATGCCAGAACTCGGTGCACAAAGAAAGCATCATATGTCCGAAGACCATCAAGAAGGTGCCTGTCACTAGTAGCAGTCTGAGATGACCGCGATCGTAGATGGGCCCCACGAAGGCGCCGACCACGAGCACCGAAACTGCCTGGAGAGCACCAATCCATGAGATGTTTGATGAAGACTCCGTGAACAACGCGCCGCTTTCATAGTAAGTTTGGTAGACACTGAGGAGCGTTAGCGATGTCTTGTGGGGAGTGAAGATGGTGGCTTGTATTGCCACTCACCCAAATGTGTTCAAAATGCCCCATGTGTTGAAGAACAAGAAGAATGAACAGAGCACTTGGATCCATGCTTGCGTACCGCCATTCTACCCGACCGTCAGCTTTGGATTACAGGCCGCTCGACTTCATCCCTCACCGGCGGAGGGCCAACAGTAGAGGCCCTTGATTGCGACTGTTCTAGCACATTATTGTCGCGAGKCTGTGCTTCCGTGGCACCTTGTCCATCCTCTTCGTCTTTGTTGGGTGCGATGGAGTCCGGAGATTTCTCCGACGCCGCGTCGGGGTGATGTTGCTCGCTCGCGTGATCGTGTTGCGACACCATGCTTGCCCGGTTGGAGAGAGACAGCCAAGGATCAAGGGCCGAGAACCGGGTGCCGTTTAACTGGTTAATAATTATCAACCGATATCTTTGTTCCACTAGGCTGGGTCCGATTTTCTGCTGCTGAACTCCACTTTCTGATCGGAAGCAACTGGTCGATGAGGATGTTGAAGTGATTTGCAAGAACTAAATGCGCAAACTAAGGTAGGCGCAAAAGGCCTTACTGTCGTCATGACATAGAGTTTGTGCGACGGTTGAAGCTCGCGCTCGCGCTTCGGCCTCGGACTTTAGAAGCCGCTTCGTCCGTCTACGGACTTGCTCCGCATATGCATCTGCGTCTTCCATGCACAACTTCATCACTACATTTACCTACCCCATCATCAGTGCACTCAGGAACGGCCTGCTCTACCTGCCCTGAAGCAAACGCGGCTTTGACAAGCAATCGCGCCATTCCACGAGGACTGTGATTCACCAACAATAAGATTTGGCAGCTTGGCCAATGAAACGATCTCCTCGAAAGACGATATGCCTATTTCTGGTCTGTCCTGGTATAGGGACGACTGTGCTTTCATCGAGGTTGTGTTCGGCTTCGGTCGAGGATCAAAGACATGTTCACCGCAACATGAGCGTGCCAGTGCCATAGGCGATGCTTACTATGCGGCGCAAAAGCCGTCGACAAGATCATTTTCATTGGCGGTCGCTGGACAATGCCTGTCAGAATGGTTGATACAAGATACCCTGAAGCTACTTTACCCCTGCTTATCTTGTCATCATCATTCTCCTCAAGCACCTAGTCTAGACCACGCATCCCTGCCACCCAAATCGCCATTCACATCTCTTCGGAACATCGCGACTTCACGAAGCCCGGTCCCACCTCGCGTCGCTCGTAGAATGGTACCGACGCCGAGCAACATTTCCAGAATCTGAGGGATGTGTACACGCTCTTCCGCTGAAGCGTAACATCTCAAATAGAGACTCTTTTCGATCGCAGGCAGCGTCTTACGTGCTGCGTTTTGCAGTTTTCTCTAGACAATTCCTTGATAGGTCTAGCGTCTGTAAGGTGAATGAGGCTGAGCGAGCGCGTACTGAAATGCGGACATTCTCAAATTATATCCGTGGACAATGTACGCCGCTCATTCTGTGGTTTGAGAACGAAAGTCACCCATGCTCCCCGTCCACTTCAAGGTAAATCTCCGATCGACCACCAACCTTTCTTTGCACGCTTTGTTTCATTGAATTGTAAATGGCTTAGGAGCTCAAGCTTTTACGACGTCCCACACCTTGTGACTTCGGTCCTGCAAAGCTCATACATCAGGCTCTTCCACATCATGTCCAGGACCAGGGACCGTAACTTCCACCCCTTACCAGGCTTGCAGCGGAATTGTGCTAGATCATATGGCAAACTTGATTGTATGGTGGTGTTGCGACTGCTTCAAGTTAGTGTCTACGAGGTGAGCCTCAGTCTATCGAACAATGGATCAGAGAAGCGTAAACATTCGTTTCATATCGTTCTTGGTGACTTTGGTCTCAATTTGCTGAATCTGCGGGCAATCCGCAGAAAGCTGGCCTAATCATATTCCCGCCTACGCCATACGCTGTGTCAATAATTGCTTCATAATGGAGCCAGACAAGAGAAAGCAGGCCCCGATGTCTCAAGCGCGAACTTTGGCTTTCTAAGCCGCCTTCTTGGCCTTCTTCTTGGGAGGCTCAACCTTTGCCGCCGTATCACTCTCACTGCCCGCTCCATCGGCATCTTCCATCTCGGCATCGCTGCCTCCTGAACTCTTGGCATCACTGTCATACTCCTCCGCAACATCAGACTCCGAGTCAGCTTGGAAGTCCTCGTCAACACTCTCGTCATCCTCATCTGCGCTGCCTCGATCTTGGGCCACAACTTCCTCGTCATCACTGCTAGCAAGATCGGGGTCGTTGGCCAGTGCCGCGGCAAGCATGGAGTTGTCGGTGTCCATTTCGTTCTTGGTCTTGATGTTCTTGATCTTGAAGAAATGCTCCAGTGGAGCCTGCTCTTCGCGATTGATGTTGGAGAACTGATGCTCACCACTACCGTTCTTCAAAGTCACCGTGATGTCGAATGTGCGGCTGGCACTAACAGCTCCGCCGACTCGACTCATGGTGACTGATGCAACGTGTTCGAAAGAGAGATAGGTTGCAGGCTTGGGCACGAACAGGAAAGCCTTGTCCAGACAGAAGAGGTGACCCTCGTTCGCTTTGATACTGCACTTGACGCCGCTCATCTGATGATGGCTGACAAAGTCGTGCGAGGGTTGAATAAGTCGCTTGCCAGTAAGTCCATGGAAGATTTTTGAAACTACCCGTCCGATGGGCTCCTCATACTTGGGTAGGAGTTTACCGGCATACTTGGTGTCGAGCAGTTCATTTGTCATGTTGAGTTCGATCGCGACTTCCTCCTCCTTCTTGAATTGCATGACCAAGAATGGATAGCGAGTCTGGCCTTGTCGGAGGGGAGGATCGAGACCAATGCACAAAAGCTGATGTAGATCGTCTGGCTTGGGCAGAAGGAAGAAGCGCTTCGCACTCTCGTACGAGATCTTGTAGTCGTAAGTCTTTCCGCGCAACCTGAATGAGCTCTCGTACATGTCAATGTCGAAGCGACCACGCGGTGTCAGGTGGAGAATCTCCTGGAAGGTGGCGTATGTGTCTCCTGCAACTTCTCCAATCTCGGCCTTGGTCATGAGTGTCTCGTAGAAGAGCGTGGCAGCATTGTGCTCTTCGTTATCCTCRGCATCGTCTGCGTCGTCTCCTTCGTCGTCGTCCTTGGCCTTCTTCTCCGTTCCTGGGATGTAGAAGCGCATCTCAGTCAGCTGGTCAGCCGCGCCGCCCATCTTTCTGCCTTTTGCTCTTGCACCGCCCAAGCTGCCATTTGTGCCAGTCTCGTCGCCGTCTGCGGGGAGCGAGAACTCGACCGCCACTTCATTTTTCCCTGCCAGGTTGGTGTTGGAGATTTCGGTGTATGGAATTTCGAAGGCAGGCTGGTTGCGGACGTTGAAGGTGAGTTCATTGCGACCCATCTCATTCTTGCCCCAATTCCAGCCTCTTAGAGCGTGCTCCTTTTGCTCAAACGGCACGCCATACCAGACCTTGAAGCATTTTTGTATTGTCTCAAAGTCMTGTAGGTCTGTCAGTGAACAAGAAGCATTCTACGCCCATCACTGTAAACTCACTTCCTGCTTGAAGCCATCCAGTTGAACGACGCCCGCGGCCCGCGCAAAAATCTTCAGCTCGAAGCCACGCGCAGCTCTACTGAACTGCGCGCTCTGCAAATCCGACTTATCGAGGGTGAAAGTCCCACTACCAGCTCCACCGCCAGCCGGCTTCCATCCCAAACCGGACTCTGCAAGTCTGCATTTGCCGGGCTGTTTGGAGAGATCGAGGTGGATATCGTCAAATGACTCCCTGATTTCGTTAGACCAGATCTTAATGATGGAGTCAGGCATGGTGACGGTCTGCGTGGGTGACGGTCTGCGTGGGCTTGGGCAGGATGTATCGCAAAGGCGGAAGTACTCACATGTTAGGGGACTTTCGGCAGCAAGAACGGTGTAGGTTGTGGTGTTTGTGGAAGCGGCGTTTGCCGCGGAAACAACGACTGCTACCTCGCGTGCACGAAAATTGGAGTCTCGAGGGAAGTGACGCGGTGCAGATGCTGGCCGCCTGGAGTTTCCGCCGGAGATCGAGTGGCAAGTTTGCTCGAGTAGTAGGGATTAGGGATGATACGAATGGACAATGGTGTGGCGTTGATGTCTTAAAGATCGATGTTCGAGGATGGAGGGGCCGTGAAGTGTAAAGGTACGGTACCTTCAAGATTTGGAGCGCGTGCTTTAGCGCGTCCTGTATGCGGAGCGAGGTCCGCTTCACATTCACATTCACATTCAAATCGAAGCCGCCAGCATTGTCACATGCAAAAGTCACTCATTTCAGCTCGAAGCCATTGAGCTTGACTAATAGCCATGAGCATTCAGGTCAAATCTCAGGGCAACTCGCATTGKAGACGGTACGAGGCATCGTCGAAACTTCGACGTTTATTAGATCTCCTACCTCATCGACGTCGCCAATGACTGTCCCAAGATCCTTTACTCTCCTTTGAACCGTAGCGAACAGCTCTATCGCGCTCGTGGTATCGCTCGTCCAGCATTTCTGGACCACGTCTCCAACATACTGATCCTTGAGATGCGGCCAATTCTGTCTTGAGGGGATGAGGGAATCTTCTAGGGGTTCTAAAACATCACCATCACACATCTCTCTTTGCGAGTACTTCCTCTCCTCATCAATTCTTGCCACCGGGCTACTTCWTTCTAGTCCCTTGTATGGCATTGTTCCTGTTCCAGAGCAGGCGTACTGTATTTGCATGACGGTAGACCTAGGTCGAGATTTTGCGTTCATWCATAATCCCATTGAAACCCGGTAAAGGTCGATTTCGAAGATCCGCGAGCCATCCTGATGCAATGCACCGTCTCCGCTCTCCCTCCCTCCTCGCTAGCCGTCGCTCACCACACCTGATCCGGCGTGACCCTGATGTTTTCTCCATTCGGCCGCACAGTCTTCCTTGCCTTATCCCGCCTCAATGGCTTCCGCATGTCGAACGCATCACTACCATCACTATAATAGTCCGTGATTCTGCGGAATACCGAATAGCTGCAGCAAGATCAGTCATTCCATCTCACTTACATCACAGGACTAGGAATTCAGCAATACTCACCCCATCTTCTCATAAAGCCTGATAGCAGCCTCATTCTCCACCCTTACAAAAAGATCGACGAACCACGCATTCGCCTCGTCCCCAGCTTTTTCAATCGCCTCGCTCAGCTTCGTCGCATATCCCAGCCTTCTGGCTGCAGGCGCAACAGTCAAACAAGTAATGTGCGCGTGCCATGGGAGATAATTCGAAAACTTTCCTTTCCTATAGAGATTCATGGCAGGATCATATGGCTCTATGGGGGCAGGTGTTGGTGATGATTCCACTTTTCCCAGAACTGCGATCCTCGATCAGTGGCTGTTCTCGAGGTTTGTCGACTGTGCACTCACTGTACGCTTCGATCTGGCCGTTGGGTCCCTCGATGACTTTGCATAGCTTTGGCCATTGGCGGAAGTAATCTAGATAGAAACCAATATTGTAGGTTTCTGTGAGGTGATCCAGATTGCATGGATTGAACTTCAGCAGGTCAAGCGGCGTCATGGGCCGGATGGATGACATGTTCATTTACGGCCTCATGTGTAAATGTCGAGTTTGGGACTGCGGACTCCCAGTTTTGGATGCTGCGCTTGGGGTTCTCGGTAAAGGCGGAGTGGGAAACACTGTGGATGTCCTTGGTTTTAACCAAATCGCTCGCAAGTTGAAGACCGTTAGTAATGCGAATGAATAATTCTTTGGCGTTGTGACTTTCGAAGTTGGCAACAAGAGAAGCCTAAAACTTCAGACGTGCTACCCCAACCCTAACCGTACAACCCTCCGACTCTCTCGAGCCACGATCCGTCATCTCCATACTTTAGTGTGATACCCATGCAACCCGTTTGGCAGCAGAAGTTTACGTTAGGTTCATAGCCACTCAGTAACAACAAATCATAGGATACAGTGAGACCCTGTGCCACGGGCGAGTGTTATCCGTGAAGGTGTACATCTTGTCTATACGGCCTGTACACATCATGCAAATGGTCGAATCTGAAGATCAATATCCATCGCCGTCCCTCCACTCTCTCCCAGACTCCAACGCCCTCTGCTTCGGATCCTTGCCTAACTCAACAGYCTTCTCCAGCCTGTTGTCCAGCGCCTCCTGCAGCTCCTTGATTCGCTTCTTCAAGTATCGGTCCCTTCCGAACTCCGGAACATCCAATATCGCATCGTCCGCGAATTTTCCATTCTTCGCACGCTCCGACGCCAATTCAATCAGACCCGCCTTGTCCTGCCATATCCTCAACTCCTCCTTCATTTCATTCATATCAAATCGCATCTCAAACCACTTATCAAAGTTTGCAGCAGAGCCAAAGCAGATCCCGTATCCATCGCAATAGCATGCGCTCATGCTCGGACAGTGGATAGGTGCGGCGGTGAAGATATACTGCCACACATACTCGAAGACTCTCCCCGAGAGGTAATCGTCGAWCTCGGTCCGGATCAACCAGTCCCGTATGAACACATATCGCTGCTTCGGCAGCTCCCTGATTCTCTCACCCGAGACTGCAAATTGCGCGCAGCAGGGCTGCGAAAGCACAGTGGGAACGGGCTCGTAGGGGAAAAGTTGTGTCCAGCATTCTGCAATCAATACCTCCTCCTGCTTGTCTTCATTTTCCACAACGCTGCCGGGGTGGAGCCACGCTGGACAGCCGGGATCCCAATGACAACGCAGATTCATGTAGCCTTCTCTCGCAACCCTCTCCGGGCTGAGGCGGCGCACCATCTTGGCGGCATCTCGATCCAGCAGCTCGTTGTTGTGCCATGCCTTTTGATGTGAGTGCATGAAGATGTTTGTATCCGCCAGATGATCGTAGTAGTCGATGATGTAGGAAAGATACACCATCACCTCGTGGCCCTTATTCTTCGGTGGATGCAATGTAGCATGACGGTCGTCGACCGTATATATCGCCGTTGTCAGGCTTCCATCCGCGAGGAGATCCCCCAGCTCACTTTCCACCCACGTTGTGTCTTCAACCATGAGCTTTGGCAGCACCAAGCATTTTGTGTAATTACTCCCAACTGGCTTCGTTTGCCCTATTGGATAGTGACTTGTTGAGTCGATCTTGGGCTCCTTGAAGTCCGCCTTTCCAACTCTTAACTCTTCTGGAGAGTGAAGCCCCTCCGCCGGCTCTGGACCATATTTCTCGCCAAGTCCAATGGCTTCCGGTAGATGTCTCCACGTGCTGTTCTGCAGTGAGATGAAGAGTAGCAGCGTTCCGGCGAGACTGACGGCGACGAGGATGGGCAGTAGCCTGCGGAGGAACATTCTTCTACGGAAAGGCGCCGTGATGAATGCTATGCCAGCGGCCTAGTGATAGTGGACTGTGCTTCGCCAGATCAGCCATGCTCCATGCTATTGCAAATGGCGACCGTGGTGAGGGGGTTACCCACAGCAATATTGGAGAATTGCTATCAGTATGGATGGAGGATCCATTGACGCGATTCACGGCGGCCAGGGTGGTTGGTCGGTGGCCATCGAAAGACGCGAATAGGATTGGCTGCATGGTCCATCGACGCGCTGACGATTATCGAGCGTTCGGGAGACGGGATCTACACAAGCGATCTTTTGAGTTTTGGACCTGCTGATCCATAAACAACAGTCGAAGGTTGAGCGAAGGTCGAGGAGACTGTCAACGTTGAGGCTGTTTGTGTTACTAATTTTGGCGCATACACTGCTATATACTTCTACATCATCCTGCCTCGTCGGAGGTCTCACCTTCCGTCTAACATTCAACGCCATACCGGCTGTCCGTGGGTGCTACTTACTGAACGAGATGGTGCTCTGAATGGATAAATAGTCGATACAAATCGAGGGAGAGACCTGTCGGCGTGCCATGACTTTGTGCATCTCCACCCTACCCTGCTCAAGAAAACTATGAACACAAGAAAAGCTGCACTCAAGGCAGTGAGCAAATGACCTACCGTTTATGCCGTTGCAGCGATCTTCGAATGATTCTTGATCTCAATTATTGAGGACATGWTCGATTATGATCATGATGAATACATTTAATCGCCTTCGAAAAACGGAATGCGAGGAGTTGAGCTTTGCAAGACTATGCAAGTAACCGCGCYAACCTGCAGAAGTGTCAGTAAGTGCACAGATACGGTGGAGCAATGGGCAAGCCAGCTGTGGGCTTGAACCTGTTTCCCTTCCTTGGAGCTCGGAGCTTCCAAACGAGGTGACAATGTACGTTGTTGGTGCAAACGATGCAATGTTTGCTAACTTGCCATGGTTCGGGATAGGTGGAATCGGTTCAGATGCGAGGTACTGCTATTTCGAGACGAGCGGTGTTGAGAAGTCGCGAGTTCGTATTTGTTGCAAGAGCGACAGCATCACGGCGTGATCATGGTTGGGTCATAACGTGCGAGGTGTAAACGGTCGAAGGAGGAGAGGTGTCAAGCGGCGCTCCCAGTTGGAGTATTCATGGTAAAGGTATCGTGCCAATGACAGGATACAGTCGATGCGCGAGAGCCGAGAGTTGAAGGCAGAAGTAAAGGTTGTCTGATCGACTATAGTGATTGCCGAGATTTGGTGTTCGGCCTCCGATGGTTCATCGGAAAGCTGTAGTGACCTCCCGATAGCCGTATCCCTTCGGCATCCTTTCGAAGCCGCTAATAACACATGCTGCAGTCGCACCGGGAAGAAGGAAGTTGTGATAGTACATGGGCTGCCGAATCCCGCAAGAACTCCTTTGGATGCAATTTGACTCGATCTTTTTGCCACAAGGCCCTGGTGCAAGCTCCTCAACGCCTGGTGATCAGCTCCGATAATGCTCTCAATCTACCTTTGCCGTAAAATCTTAGTCGTAACGGCGTGGCTCACGGTCGTAGTTGCGGGCTGGCGGAGGCTCACGAGCAGCATCGCGAGGGGCAGCAGCGTCGTAGCCCGCACCTTCTGGAGGAGGTCCGCGTGGCGCGCGCTCGTAGCCACCATAGCCACCTCCACCACCGCGACGCTCACCGCCGTATCTGTCATCACCACGAGAAGAAGCGTATCGGTCGGTGCGTGGCGGGCCGTAGTCGTCACGGCGGCCGCCATAGCYACCGCCACCACCGCGGTCTCCGCGATCGTCGTAGCGGTCACGGTATCCACCACCACCTCCACGGCGGTAGTCATCGCGACGGCCGTATCCACGGTCCTAGAAAAAGTTAGAGATGCTGCTGAAAGGTGGATATGGACGAACGTACGTTGTAGCGATCTCCACGGCCAAATTCGCGGCCAGGTGGTGGGCCGCGACCGTCCTCTGTATTGTCATTAGAAAGGCAGTGGCGCATCCGGGCGGGTAGCAACGAACCTCTCTTAGGTGGGCCGAAGTATTTGCCTGGAGTAGGTGTACGTGGCCTAGCACGACGCGCCTTCTCGATGCTCAACGTACGGCCCTCGTAGATCTCGCCCTGCAACGCCTCCTTGGCAGCGTCGGCCTCGTCTGCCGTCGCCATGTTGACGAATCCGAATCCACGGGAGTCGCGAGTGTGTGGGTCGCGCATGATGTTGCACTTCTCAACCTGGCCGTACTTCTCGAAGAGTCGGGTGACCTCCTCCTCGCTCAGACGAGGGTGAATGCCAGTGACGAAGAGGTTGGATCCGGGGTTGGTAGACTCGTCTTCTTCGTCGTTGCCGTAGTTGCGTTTCGAAGGTTGTCTCTCACTGTTGCAATATTAGTACTGAATCATCACCGGCGAGGCTGTGGAAGGCGCAGTCTCACCGATCACCGCGGCCGTTGGTGGGCTCGTCGCGAGGACGTGTGTCGATGTCGCCATCGCGGTCGACGACGGGGGAGCGCGAGCGATCACGCGTGGTGTAGTCGCGTTCGCGGTCATCTGCACGTGTTGAGGTTAGTTGTGAGTATGGTTGGCGCTGGCGGTAGTGCTGATCGGCGTGGCCAGCTGTTTCCCGTGGAGCTGAAGTTGCTGCACGCGCCGGCCGCAAGGCAAGTGACGTACCCTCGTAGGTGCGCTGATCAGCATCCTCGCGGTAGGTGTCGAGGTCGGCCATGATAGCGGAGGATGGAGGTCGTGGATGTGCGGGTTGGTGTGATGTGGTGGAGGGTGAGGTTCTTGTTTGCTTGGTGAGTAAGCGCTGGCGGATGCGGCTGAAGTGGAAGCGCGGTGCAAACGCGCTGCTGGACTGGACTGTGAAGTGACGTGACGTGAACTGTTCAAACGGCGTGGAACTTGTGTGCTGAAAAGAGTATTAAAGTCAGAAATGTCACCCTCCAAATGTGGTGATGATGTGATGTTGGAGATGAGGTGATGTGGTGCTAGAAAACCAGCGTGCTTTGCTCGAGAGAAGGAAGCAAGGGAAGGGAGCGCATGCAGGTGACCCGGGACATGACATGTGATCCCTGCTGCAGCGTCACTCAAACGACATCATTCACATCATTCACATTATTGTTCACGTCGATACCAGCACAGGTCGGCTTGATCAGATATCCTTCTTCATTACGACAAACACCTCGCTAAACCCAGCAATTGCTATCCTACCATTTACATCATGGTCCCAGATACACAGGCACGCCGTATACAACAGGCGCAGCACCGTTCAGATATCTGAGATAGCACGCATCCCGACTCTTTGCCACAGCTTCAGCCAGACTTTGCTCCTTCGCAACATCCCTTGCACGACTTCGACTTCTGGCAGGTGTGCGAGTTGGCGCAGGTGTTTTCCGCACTTTGGGGGTTTTTGGCGTCTTTGCGCCTCTTTGCGGCGTTAAAGGGGCAGCCACAGCCTGTCTTTTCCTTGGTGTCTTCACCGGTGCCTTGCAAGAATGCTCTTGAGAGCCCCACAAGCCCCATTCCTCACCAACCGCCAACGAGAAGCGATCAATGTCTTTGTCTGTGACGTCCCACAGATTTGCAACGACAGCCATACATCTGGCATTGCCTTCATCTCCTGCGTCGGCTCCCTGACCCGCGACTAGGTATGCTAGCGGGACTGCGAAAGGCTCAAGTTCGTCGTGCTCTGTGACAGCACCAGACGAGCAGCCCATCAACCACACGACTTCGCTGCATGCTTCCAAACGCCGAATAGCTCGTGGTCGGATGTACTGCGAGCCGGCTCCATGACCGAAGTACAAAAGCGTCGAAGAAGTGGCAAGCGCGTTGCTGAATTCTTCCTCAGTAGGTGCTCTTTGCACGATGGCCTTCCACTCCGCGCCTTCAGCTTGCGCAAGCTTTGACAGCTCGGGCATAATTGTGGCTTCAGTATTCTTGAGATCAGCCGATGGATTCAGGATGTAGGTTCCTGATTGACGAGTGACAAAATAACGATCACTTTCGTCGCCGCATCTTCTTCTCATCTCCACGATACGATCACGCAGACAGAGCATGCTGTCGACCCGGCTCACGCTGGAACTCTGCAAGCAAGGTAAACTCTCCCAAGGGAAAGCTTGCAATCTTCGATCAAGCACCAGTATCAGGTGAGCTCCCTCTTGGCCTTCGACATCCACGCTGTCGTGGTAGGATCGCAGCGCGTCCAACACCTCGATCGCCATGCTGTCAAAATCTACTTCATCGTAGGCGTTGCGCTCTCCATTGAACTGTAGCATATCCACAACAAAGTAAAGCAGATCCGAGAGTGGCTCATCCAGGTCTACCTCTCCGTCTTGATCACTCCCGAGGCCGATGAAGAGCTCAAGAACCTGGTCTGCCAGCAAGAGCTTCTTCGTGCCTCGCTTGACCGCCCGTCGTGACGGAAGGTGGCGATCCAGCACTGTTTCGAAGTCTTTGCGAAATCGAATGAGTTGATCCGAATCAATAGGCTGCTGCGACAGGGCTCCTCGGAATCCGCCCAGCCAGACATTTTCGATGTTGACAAGCAGCTCATGCAATCGCAGGTCGAGGGCCTCGCGCTCGCTCCACCAATTACTCTTTGCACCCTTTGTCCCCGAATCAACATTATGACAGCTGTAATTAGACAGTTCGACGATTTCCTTCAACTCCTCGCTGCCCACTCTGTAGTCGAAGATATCGTCGTCTGTATCCTCTGACTTCTGGCGAGAGAAGGGTAGGCGCAGAACGAGCGGCGTCTGGCCACGACGGTATCGGGTGATGTAAAGTTCGTCGCCRTCTTGATCAAGGCCAATAGAAACAGCAGTCCACGGACCAGGCAGGATGTCCACATATTGTTCTTGAAACTGGTCTGTTATGATCTCGCTTCCGAAATTTCCAGCTTTCGAAGTCGGCCAAGCAAGGAGGTCGGATGCTTGGAAGGTCTCCTTTTCCAGCTCAGCAATGACAAGTTGGCATCTAGCAGCATGCATCCGAGGAACCTCCACAGCAAGAGTCTTGCATATCTGATGTAGTGCGCTCGATTCCGTACCACTTGTCGTGGCAGAGAGCAGCATGGCAGTGTTGGTCAGCAAAGAGTATTGCCTGTGTGTCTCAGACGTGCTGAACAGCCGCGCAGCTGATCCGTCTAGAATGAGGCACTGTTGTGCCGTCAGTAGCAGATATTCGAGGGACCCTTGTGGGCTGGCTTTCCGCTTCGTGGTCTTGACGAGCCGTTTGCCCTTGGGGCCAGGCTTCGGGCCAGAAACCGGTGAATCATCCGCTAGCTTGGCCTCTGTTATCGCCGGAAAAGACACCGTGGACTCAGGCAGTACGTTGAGTGCGAAGTCAGCTCCAAGAATGCTTGTAACCTTGCGCATAGCCGATTCATGTTCAACCTGGCACCGAGCGAAAGAGGCAGGGAGATATGCGAGAGCATCTTCCATTCCTGGCAAGGTCGCACCATTCGGATGGTCGAGCTTGAGCGATATGATTGCACTCTGAACAATCAATTGAGCTTCGAGCTTTCGTAGCATATAGCAGACGCCGGTTCCGTGCGCTTGTGAGCCGTGAGAGCCAGCTAAGTGAGACAATCTCTTCCCACTCTTGGGAAAAACAACTGCTCGGGCAGCCTTGGGAACCACTCTCGTTCTTGGAACCGTCTTCGCGTTGGCAGACCTTGACGCCCTTTTCGTCGATGCTTTTTTGTCCAAATTCGTAGCAGAGCCGGTTCCTTTTGTCGTCGCAAGGGAGCCCATCTCAGTGCCGTACTCAGCAACCTGCAGAGCTTGTGTCATGGTCACGGCTTCATTGAGATAATTGAATGCGGTTTCAAGCTCGTAAGTCTTGACACTAAGCGCGCATTTTGCTCTGAGGCGCTCGATTCGTTCCAGAGAAGTGCTGTTCGAGGCGTCACAAATATCTTGTGCGAGACACAGTTCCGCGTCCTCAACACGTCCTCCGGCTGCCAGAAGTATGCTGCGATGGGAGCGTACCCTTGAGAGGAGTAGCTGAGACTGTATGGATTCCGCTATCCGCATAGCCTGCTCTGAGCTATAATTTGCTTCGTTAAACACTCCATGGTGCGCATAGACATCAGCAAGATGCATCAGCGCCTGACATAACAAGCGTGCTACTGGCCAGAACGCAGCACCTCTGACCTCAGCACACGCCGATGTCTTGGAGTCGCGAGTAGCGGGCTTAAGATTGAGCTTGCTTACTTTCTTGCTGAGGTCTTCCATGGAGCTCTCCTCAGGCTCTCTTTCTATCTCACTTATGTCTGTCTGCGATTTTTGGTCTGTGGCACGCTCTATACCAGACCAAATGCTATTAAACACTCTGGCAGACCGTTTTGCAGCGCGCAGGGAGTCGTGGGGCACCCCGGCAGCTAGAAAGCATCGTGATTGCAGAAGCCAGCTACGCCCATGTAGAAGCTTGTATTCTTTGCTCTGGTGAGACTTCACCTTGAGCGGTTCCACATCTTGACGTATCTCGCGAGCCTTGTCCAGCATGCTCTGACAGTCTTCGACTTTGTCCAGAGCCAGCAGTTGCTCTGCTTTGYCGAGGTAGTACGCAAGGGCTGGGATACCTGAGCAGGCGTCTTTTTCTGCAACCTGCAGAGCCTTCGCGAGAGCCACATCTGCGCTCTCAGCCCAGCCAAGTGATAAGTAGGCGGCAGAGACTCTTAGACCGTAGCAGCAACGATCCCCAGGCCGAACATCGCACAGCTCACTGGCCCTCAACAACATCCGGGCAATTTGGAGCCGTTTGATGTCGTCGCCCATTACTCCAGCATAGGCCTCGAGAGATCCTAATTGCGAAAGCAGATTCGCAGGGTTATCCACAACGTTTGCAAGGCTTTCGCTGCCCTCATGACATGTCTCGAGAAGATGTTGCCATGTCTGTAGGTCGGAGCTAAGTTGGGACACCGCCACTGGACCGTTATGGAATGCCAGCGAGATCCCGAAAGATGCGTTGATGTCAGAAGCGTAACAACGCAAGCCAGAATCTTTGCCCAGTGTATCAATGTCAATCAAGGGAACCTCCAAGAAAGGTTGGAGAACGTGCGGGTCAAGCAGACCCGGGAACTGCTCTCGAACACGCATCGCCAGTGCTGCAATCCTGCAGCGACGAACCGGGTGCAGATCCACCGAGTACAGTGTCAGGAGCCTCTTCAGGATATACGGCACAATACACTGTAGAGCCTTCTGGTGTCTCATCTTATAAGCCATCTCCAGTACGCAGGTGAGTTGCCATTCCAGTAGAGCGCCAGACTCATCAGGTTCCAAGTCATCGTCGTCGAAAATCATAGATGTGTATTTCCCACTCTCTATAGTCACCGCCTTTGCTACAATAGCTCGTAGTGTTCTTGCGAATGCCAGAGTCTCGCTCGTGGAATCCCAAGCTTGGGTCATCGGCATCGTCATTGCAGATTTAGCGATCGCATGTAAGGCTCCAGCGTGCTGAAAGAGGCTTGCGGTATCCTTTGAAACCCAGGAGATTAGCTCGTCTGACGATTTGCTGTTTAGCAAAGCCGCATGGACGATCATCATAGCGGTGCGTGAGCCGTTGCCAGGGAACAGTCCTGTAGTTCTTGAAGCGAAACCAGCAGCCGACTGTACGAGCTTTTTCCATGCTTCGTGAATGTCTGGATTTCCGATTAGATCAGTTTTAGCGCCCGAAAGACGTGCAATCTCGGCTAAAAGCTGGTCGTAATCTGACTTGCTGCCAGCAGGCCGGTCATGAAGGCATTGAGTGATGTGGCAGATGTCTGAAGCGACATCGCCGAGGTCGTATGAAGATCGTGGTGCTCTCATGAAAAGTGATAGTCTGAGGGCCAGGGCAGCAAGGAAGCGAGCGTGAGTGCTGTCAAGACTCCGGCCATTCTTGACAGCGTTTTCAGCCCAGGCATACGCCAGATCGGGGAGAGCCGCCCCATCTGCCAGTACTGCGAAGGTTCTTGAGAGCGTCATACTGCACGGACTTTGAGCATCGTCTGCGKCCAGGCCCAAAGCTTCATGAGCAGCAGAACATGCTTTGTGTATGGACACGGCTTGCTTTGGAGATTCAACTCTCCGAATGAGAGTTGTCATACATTTGGCGAATGGTTCTGCAACCTCTTTCTGCAGATCGACCATGCGTTTAGTAATATTCCAGGCTTGTTGCCGTAGCCGCAAAGCCGAAATTTGCAACTGGAAGACTGTAAGTGGGGATGGACTCCGACTTGGATCTGCAGCTGCCTCGTCTGCGGATTTGGACACGCTCGGACAAAGTTGCAATAAGCTCTGAGCAAGCGCTTCGAGCTGTCTCACAGCCCTTGCCTCGTTACCAACAGTCCTGGCAGATAGAAGTATGAGAGATCCAGGTGAGCCGCGGGTCTCCAGCATCAGATGTTGCGAGGCATCCTCAATCGTAGCCGGCTTCTTCGAGTTGGTGATCATTCTCAGAAGGTGGAGCTGGTATGTAATCGCCACAGGGATGGCTTCTGGGTGAGCCTCGAAGTCCAAGTCCAGACTTAGCAAGCTGGCCAGATTCTCATGAACCGGAGTATTCATACCAGCTGATCGTTTCTTTACAGTTGTGTTCTGCGACGACTCCAACATTCGCTTTACTGCTCGCAACTCCTTGATAGCCAATGCGTCCAACCGTAGGGCGATCAGCATGCCCGCGAGTGAGAGCATACCAGTCTCCAACTGTAGCTTGGGGAGGGGCTTGACTCCTATTTTCTGCGCGTCCATCAACCCTAGTGCTGAAAATCCCAATCGTACACATTCTGCTACTGCAGTGACATGCACTGTGGTTGGTGGTAGACTTCCGATAGAAGATCGGGACGATGTCCGGGACAAGACGGAGGGCTTGACTGGAGATTGGCGGACAGGAGTGACGTTGCCAGACCGAATCTGCAGTGCTCGCTGTGACAACGACGAAGTCCTGGAATGTCTTCGCGGTGTTGCAGCATCATCGGACCGAATCACAGAGGGTTCTCTTCTTCTAGATTTGGAAATGTTCGTAGTGGCCTCGGAGAGCACTTTCAACCCGATGTTGATAACCTCGGTGGCAAGAGCATATCGCGCCTTGGGAGACAATGCTCTGGAATTGTCGTCATGAATCTGGAATGCATTATCTTTCCTGACAGCCTTTGCCGCCGGCTTCACTGGCTTCGTCGTCTTCGTAGTCCTCGAAGTTGTGGTTATCTTTGGTGCACTTCGACTGGTCGTTTCCAATTGGCTCCCAGAATTTGGTACGCCGCCGAGCAAAGTGTGGAGAGTGGTGACCGTGGACGGGGTGGCACTGCCTGACGTGATGGCATTCCGGACGGCCTCTGCCAGTGACTCTAGAGTCGCCATTATTGCCAATTGACGGCGAGCTTTGCTATAAGTTATTTCCAGATATGTACATCCTTGCTCTGCGTTGCTTTCGCCGGTCATTCGCGAAGACGTTGGACGCGATGTGGTTTGACGCACATCGGGGAACGGACCGCACCGAAAGTGTTGGCCGAGCAACGCCTTGGCATTCACTGGACTTCGACGTCGGGAGTCGGGATGACCACATTGGTGAAGTGGTAGCACTACAGGACATCTCCAAATGGCGCCGTCACGAGCACTCTTCATACCGCGCGACGTATGCCGACAAGGCCTTAGGTATCAGACGCAGCGCCGCAGCTTTGCGGGTGCGGCAAGGCTGTACGATGAAGGAGCATCGAGGCTGCCACATGTCGCCAGCCCATCCTTCTGGAAGTCGCTGATACCACGCCCCTTCCGACGCCCGGCCGATGCTACAGAAGCAGCAGAAAGATCCGCCAGGAGAAGTGCTGGTGCGGAGGAGAGGCGGACGGGAATCATCTTCCTGATACTGGGAATTGTGGTTGGCTCCAATGCCATCAACATCATCGCCATCCGTCGAGATATGCTCAATTTTACGCGACAGACAGATGCCAAACTAGAGCTGTTGCGCGAAGTCATTCAAAAAGTGAAGAACGGCGAGGACGTGGACGTGAAGCGGGCGCTAGGCACGGGTGACCCGGAGCAGGAGAAAGAATGGGAGCAGGTCATGAAGGAGTTGGAAGAGACCGACATGTTACTGGAAGGCTCCAAAAGACGGGAAGCGAAGCGTGCACAGAAGGTCGAGGAGCGAAGAGCCAAGGACCAGGTCCGGAACGCCCCCTTGACAACGCCGTCTGATCAGCCAGAGCCAGCGAAGCGGCCGAAGTTCTTGATGTGAGGGAGGCAGAATTCAAGGATCTAGCCACGCGCACAGGGCCTGTCCGCAATGCCAGAGATGGATCTGTAAAGATGCAGTAATGCGTTGCGCAGCCGTGAGAAAGCTTCATGCTCTCGCCAACGCCCAACTTCGATGATCAAGCCGGAGCACTCCCAAGCTAGGTATGTTCTTGAGATTGAGAAGGAAGTAAGAGGGGCCGGAGTTGGATCGAGAGGCGTAGACCAACATTGTCTGTCCTGCGTCTGATCTTCCTCTCATTCACTGGAACCTCATCGCATGGCAGCGTTCTACCAAAGGCTGAAGCGAATTCAAGGACCAGCTATAAAAGGTAGCGATGTACAACCGTGGCTCGCCTTGTCATCCTCGGAGACACTCTTCAGTCCGGAGCCCTTCTAGGGACCACGAGGCTTTGAGCCGGGTCAAGACTTGCAGCACTAGTCACATATACGGCATTTCCAGCCTCTAAGATGCTCTATAGCTCTACGACATCTTGTGTTCAGAAACGGCGCAACGGCTCAGCACTATCCAAGGTTTCGACTACTGGTCACTCAAACCAACAAATCGACCCTTACGCAAACACGTCTCCCCAGCTGTAGAATGTCAGTATCAGTTCAAAGAAAAAGAAAGGCTAATCTTGATTCGCTCACCCACACTGGGCATCTCCTGCCGTTCCGTTCCTCCAATAAACTTTCGACTTCTGGAATTCTCCTGATAAATGTTAGCGGAGATCTTGTGTTGAGGATTTGGTGTTTCCGGACCCTTCATATCATTCTTGATCCATTCCTGGGCGACGTATTCAGCACGCTCCCGGTTGCGGATGCGAAGCTGGAACTTGAACGGCATAGGCTTTGCAATCAGCAGCGTCGAGAAATTCATGGTTGGGTCATTCTCGTAGGATTTTGAGCCCTCGATCGGCGTTGTCAGAACCTGTGGACATGCTGCCTGCTGCTGTAAGTCGTAGGAACCTGGCATTCCATCGATAGCCTTTGTCATCTCTCTTGCTTCTTCAGCGATTCCTGGAAGTCTTGATGGCTCCTGCGAGATTGGTGTGCTCAACACGATCGGTGAGCTGTCGTCGATCACATTCGGCAWTCCAGCAGACGCGCCCGATGGAGCAGAAAGTGCATTTTCGGTCCACGTGAGCACTGAATCAATCGATTCGTATTCTTCGTCTTTCGGATACTCGCCGGGGATGCTTATGGCGGAATCGTTGAAGAAGCTCGTCAGCGAATCGCGCATTTGTCGGCGCACGGACACGAATTGACCATCGTCAGAGCTGAAGCTACCAGCCGAGGATTGGCCAGATTCATCGCAGAATTGGCTTGTAACACTACTCATGTAGTCTTGAACGGATGTCTCAATGGACGTGCTTTCTGTGACAACCGTGCCTGGATCGGCGTGGATGGAAAACAGCCACGCGACGCTACCCAAGCCAACGAAAAGGTCGGCGTCGGTAACGTGCATGCCTTGACATGTTCGTCGGCCGTACCCGAACTGAGAGTAATTTGTGATCGTCGGGTGCTTGGTTAAAGGCTCACGAAAGGTCGGAAATTTGGCATCGAGCCATCGTAGGGGATTGAATGCGTCAGGATCGATGAATACATCAGGGTCTCGCGAGATGGACCATTCGAATGCATGCATAGTCGAGCCGGCAGGGATGTGGTAGCCATTATAGTTGTCATCTTTGATGACTGTGTCTGAAAGCAGAGGGCAAAGGGTCAGCGTTGTCTCAGACATYCGGGGCGGGCAGATCCCAGGGCTCCAAGATCCCAGCAGTTCACAGCTGCGTAGAGGTCTCTTCGTTGGCACTGTCTTTCAATATCTGCGTGGGATGACTTTTGCGCTCCATTTTACTTACGGGGAATCCCTGTCGGTACAGCCGGGCGCCAACGCAAAGTTTCTCTGATGAATGCGCGGAGAACTGGCATATCTGGCATATCACTCAGCAAAGGCATCCGGTCGCCTAACACGCGTTCGATTTCCTCGTGAAGGACCGGCTGATACTGTGGGTAGTGGCACAAGGCCAAACAAAAGCTTTGCATTGGTGCGGCAATCGTGAGAGCGCCTGCAATGCCGTGCATGCCAACTGCATATGCCCCTTCTAGAGGTGAGGAGAAGCCCCAGAGCGATTGGTTCTCCAAGAACATCCTCGTCCAGGACTGGGTAGAGCTTGCTTTTGTTGATGAAGAGGTATTAGCCATGGTTGCTTTGACCTCTGCCTGCATGGTCTCGAAGAAGGACTTCTCGGTGCGGTTGCGGCGCGCTTCCCAGGCCTTGGCTGGGCTTATCCATTCCGGCAACGACATCACAGCCGGAAGCCTGTTTCCCAAAGCTCCAGCGGGCGAGACGCCAATCAGCAGCTCACGAGCACGCTGCTTCAGTTCATCTGCGGGAGCCGATGTACCCCACGCGAGCCGACATGTCACACGGGCCACGAATGACTCAAGAGCAACGTTGTACTTCGCCGGGTCGGCCATGAGCTCGAATAGGAGTCGTATCGATTCGAGTTCTGGATAGGCGTAGAAAGATTCGCTGTTGGACTTGTCCATGATTTGCTGGTTGGTGTTAGCCTATTCACTCTTCATACGAGACCGCAATTAGTGACCCACCTTGGCGAATCTACGCTGACGCGACCATAATAAGTTGTGGCTCATCAACGGTAGATACTGACCGCTGGTACGATTGTCCTGCTCCAACCCGGGGATGAACGGCCTGTCGGAATAGATGCTGCTTCGCTTTGACAGTAAGTCGTGGGCAATCTCATCACGGCAGAGGAAGATGTGGTTGTGTCCAGCGAGATTGACTTGATATATCGGGCCATATTGTTCGCCCCATTCGTGGAATTTCCTGTCCAATGTCAGCGGAGTTCTACAATGACGTCCCTATTGTGTCGAGGGCTTACATCCAGGTGCACTTCGTGGGAAGCTGGTGTATACTGCCGATGATAGGTAGTCCTGGACATAATGAGATACTGTTCGACGTCGACACTGTGCTTTGGAAGCATACCTTTAGGACCTGGAAGTCTTTTCCCCAGGGATGCTTTGGACCTCCTRGATGAGCCAACGCGGGTTGCAATAGCCACAACGACCACCACGGCCACAATAACGATAAGGGAGATGAAAGCCATTGCGATGCCACAGTACCGTGAAGCTTGAAAGATGCAGTAGAATTTGCCAACGCTGACGATAAGTATCGGCTTATGAGTGAAGGTAGAAAAGGGACCAGGCCTGATGACGGCGCCAACTCTGGCGACCTATAGCTCCAGGTCCAAGATAGCAGGTCAGCGGTATATGGACCTTGGTATGTCGCGCTGCGAGACGCGAGGTCGCTTAACAGGAGCAACCCACCACTTTCCATGAGTGCTTCTTCGTCAACAAGGAAATAGCCTGTACACCTTCCAATCGGGAGATGCCTGATGTCGCTCGTCGAAGTCAACGAGAACCATTCGTTCCGTTTACGATCGGGCCGTTACCTTACCACGTCAGCGGGCCCTGTGTACTGAGGAGGAACTCGTGCCTGGAGCACTGGTTCATTTCCGGCCATCGCCCGAGCGCTCGTTGCAACTGTGGACATACTCCCACCCGCACGCAGCAAATGTTGCCAAGAAGGCATCCCGCGATGGTCAACTGTTGCCGATACGTGGATGGACATAAGGTAATGCTCTGGCGGGCAAGCACGGTCCCTGGTCACGAAATAGGTGCGACAGACAACCCGAACCCACTGAAGCTGCTACCACCACCTCTACATAAATTAGATGATTGGATACAAGCAGGTKCGCTTGGCCGGTGGATAGGTGTCCTGCCCTTCCGTACAGCTCCGCCGGCTTTTCAGAGCGATCAAACATGCTTGGCACGCAGCATCGAATTCATGCCACCAAGCGCTTGGGTGGAGAGCATGTTCACTGCACTCAGGCTCCAAATTGAGCGATGTTCAAGATGATGTGCTTCATCTTGCACTGGCATGCTTTTCTGGGCTGGCATTCGGTCACATTCATCATCTCGGTCCACGATTCACTCGCATTTTATCTTGCATACCACATCCTATGCTTCAAGGGTGCGACTGCATGGACACGCAAGCTTATCCATGCCCGAGATCGCGGTCATTTCAGTCTCAAACACAGCRCAATGTTCCTTGCCTGTGTGATGCGAGCCCGAATGAACGCTAGTAGAAGGCTACACGAAGACTCTTCACCGAATGACTGCCTGACGGATTCTGCAATGCACTATCGCAGGTTGAACCACCAATCAGTCCAGTCTGTGCTTGGCCCATATGTCTGGTGCAGGGAATCAACTTGCATCTCACAGACGAGTTAAGAATGAGCGCCTCGTTCCCTACCTTTTTGTCACTTGGCTTCATCTTCTGCACGTTCCACCTGCTGTGCGAAAACGACATGAAGCGGAAACCAAGTTTTTCGGGCCCTCCACATGCAGAAGAAGGACCCGATCCACGAGAAGACATGTCCTCTGTTGGATATGCCAAGGCCGTGGAATGCAGCGGCTAAGGTGGTGTTCCGAAGATCCTGGTCTCAGATCACTTCGCTAGCTGTCGTGGATCATTTGGCGTCGGGATGTCCCCATGAAAGCAAGGCGAGCATTTTGCATTATGCAGCCGCGGATACCACGTGCAATGTCGTATCACGGATGGATTGATGGCAGCTTCCATGCAGGCGAGGCTCACAAGTTACCGCAAGAGTCGTATATGATGCCCTGCTGCATGGTCTCGACTGACATGGTACAGTAAGTCAGCGTGTGATGATGTTCAAGGGTACCTTAGGTTGTGAAGGGATGGACATCAGGGTTCCGGGTGAACCTGTTTCGCAAAGAACATTACATTGCGAGGAACATTTTCGTTCAGATATGCGCGCATCCATAGCGTCTTCCTCAGGAGTCTTGGTACGATTCTGAGGACATGTATCTTGCAGGAGAGCCTTGCCATGAAAGATTTCTGCCCCTTCTGGTCAACAAGTGCCTCGTGAGATGGCGTTCTGTTGTTCCAAGGCGTTCGTAAGGCAGGCGACTTGTAAGGTAAGCACGTTGCAGACTGTCGGGTACATGTCAAAGATGACCGACATTCTCCACGGCGCCATTCTTTACTTAGATCAATTCGTTACATCAACCTGTCTTCCAAAGGGAGGTCTGATTTCCAAGTCGCCAGAATTGTAGCCTTGCAGCTCTGAACGTGATGCGACATTTGCCGGTGAGAGAGCAGCATTACACAGTTTGACTGATTCTCATAGAGACGTAGGCTCGCTGTCTGTTGCAAACAAATGCGAGGAGTAATAGTCAGAATTTGATTCAGGCTCACCAGTACGGAGAGCGGGGACGGAGCTGACTGCGGGGAGAGGCCCCCCGTCTCGACCTCGGCAGTGGCTGACAGCACAACCACGAATCCTGGAGACAGGCGTGATGGAGAGTCTCTTTTGCTTGCAACAATCACGCAACATCCGAAGATGCCAGAATCTGTGATCAATGAGCCGGACCTGGCCTTGGATCGATACGATGGAAATGTCTTTGTACTCACGATGCGAAAAGCACCGGTAAAGTTGCATACCTTACATTACATTATTACATTCAACCGATGAGGATCTGACAATGAGACCAGGAAAACCGAATCAACTCACAATACGCACAGAAGCTGATTGCAGCATACCACACAGTCCGGAAGATCCTGGGCGAGAACAGCGAAGGGGCAGTCATCACCAAAGGCAACGATGCCAAGTTCTTCTGCACCGTGAGTTGATCATCATTAGCTTACGCCAAGGCAGCTTCGAACCAAGTGAATGTTTTCGTCTGACGTGCAGGCAACGCATACTTAGGGTCTGGAGCTAGACGAAGCAGACAACAACCCTTCCGCAAATTCCGAAGGTTTCTATCCCCTGTTGGCCACGTTGATGGACTTTCCCTTTCCGACAATAGCCCTGATAACGGGCCACACTTTTGGAGGCGCGGGTCCGTTCGCCTTGAGCCATGATTACCGGGTGATGAATTCGAAGCGAGGCTACATCTCCATGCCTCCGGTGAACCTTGGACTTTCTTTCCCGGGAATTGGAGCTCTGCCGCGGATGAAACTACGTCCCGAGATCGCTAGGAAGATGCTTCTGGAGGCTGCACGATGGACTGGCGAGCAGGCCCTCGCAGATGGCATCGTCGATGAGATCGCCGAACCGGACAAGATGCTCGACGCTGCATTGAATCTCGCAAGGCGGCTGGCACCCAAGGCCAAGATGGGAGTATTCAGCGTGCTTAGAAATGAGTTGTACGGCGAGGCCGGCAAAAGTTTCCGCGAGATCAGCTATGTCTTTGGCAGACAAGTGGGCACAGCTGCAAAGGCGAAAATATAGTTGACAATTACGAAATAGTTGGGTATCTCAGAGGCTGTTATGTACATCAGTGACTGAAGCTCACAAGGAGTAATTCTCGGTGTGAAGGAAAACCTCGTCAAGATTCTTCCCCGGCGCCAGCACCAGTTTCTGTAGGTCTGCGACTGTGTTGCTTACGTCCACTCGCATACTGGGTGGTCCGCAAACGAATACGCAAGCCTTACGACCAGTCCATTCGCTGCTCATGTTTTTGATCATATAGGGAATCGGTGGTCGTCCCCACTCTACACTCCAGCCACCACGGGTCGACTTCGTAGCGGCGGGCATGAATGCAAATCGCATCAAGTTCTTCTGGACTACAAGTACGATTATCAGCACAATCCACGCGAAACAAGAAGCGGTAACTTACACTCAGTTGGTGTGCTAGGGAATCCAAAGTCAAAATTCTGTGGATTTTCTGCGACCTGCTGCATTTGAGTAGCTTGCGCGTTTTGGGCAGCCTCAATGTCGAGGGTCATGGCGTTCGATCGACGCTTCTCATGTAGTGTGGGATGGGGAGGCATGTGAGGTGTCTCTGTGCTGTACTCGCGATCGGGGAATGGAGTACGTGCCGGCGAACGACTTGCGACTCGTTGTCTATCAGGCGATGGCGATAAGTGAGCACGATTCTCAGCTCGAACCGGTCTTAGGTGGGCTTCTGGTAGTGGCCGCAATCGATCCGCGTCTTCCTCACGGAGCTCCTTTTCTCGTTCTGGATCACCACCAGCCTCATCTCGAATGAGAGCTGAGTTGCGATTGTTCGATKACATGGAATATCGATTACTGGCAATGTTCTGGAACATGTCGTTGACTTTGTCGTGGAATACCATACTGACCGGCCGGTTGGGAGTTTGTGCGCTGACAWGCTTGTTGCTATGTGGAGCGCGCTTCGCAGCGGTGATGAAGAATTGGCAGCTCACTGTGCCTGGAGGTGCAAATTCGCGGCAAATCCGCAGCTCCTCTTTGAACCATTCCATGGTCTCTGGCCGTTTCAAGGCCCAGACTAGATGGACGTGCTTGGTGATAGCCTTGCCATCGCGCATGCGCTTGATGAGATCAAGAAGCTGAGACACCACTGCCGTGATGCCCGTCCCACCAGCAATCAAAACGACGTGGTCGAAGGAGTCCATACTTCTTCGCATGCCGCCGTATGGTCCATCGATAAAAGCCCGATACGTCCACCACGGTCCATGATCGAGCGCGCTGTCCAGTACTTTCTTGGTAAACCCACCAAAGGGCCGGAAGACCACGACCATGTCTCGACAATTTTCGTCGTACTCCGAAGGGTAGTCATCGCTGCAAAGAGAGGCAATTGTAAAAGGGTGATTTTCGAAAAATGAGATGCCAGGCATACGTAGATACACATATTGCCCTGGCTTCCATCGAACTTGAGTAGGGATCGTGACCTTCACGGCGTTATCATGCAGGACTGTGACTGCAGCTTCCTCGCCAATACCCCAGGACACTCGAAATGGATTGGTCCAGTTGAGGTAGAAAAGTCGCATTGCATAGGAAGCCAACCATATTGCTGTGGTGGCCCAGAGGTAGTTCCAGGACGTGAGGTAATTGTGACAGTGCCAGAAGAGCATACCAAGAAGGACTATGGACACAGGAACGTGCACCACGACGAAAGTTTCGTAGAAACGTCGTCGCAAGGGACCGATCGAGTGTACACAGAGAAATATGATTGGGACGAGCGCAGCAATTCCTATTATGGTCAGCCATGAGTGCTAGCTTGTGGTCCCTTTAGGCATCATACCAGTTCCGTAAATGTACGTCCCAGGCTGCTGCGTCTTCAGCAGATTGTGGAATACTTGCATGCCGCCATTCTCGTCCACCGGTGTTATATAGAAAGGAATCGTGTGTATTAGACTTAGCACCAGGCATATGTATGCCAGCCATCGATGGAGCACGTTGAGTCGCTCGTGTCCAATTCCCGTGAGTATGGTGATGAAATTGGCCTTCATGCTAAGTGCTACTATCCATGGCATGAGGGCGACTGCCAGCATGCCAGAGCGTACCGCCAGGGGCGGGGAACCAAACTGAATGCTTTCCCAATATAAAGGCTGCGGCACAAAGGAATAGAGTATCACAAACGCCAGCGCCGTGARGACCAGAATGCAGACACCGGGAGAGGGGAATATTATGGGCCTCATTCGTTTGTGTAACCTTATGTTTGGTATCGGGCGGTAGAACAAGAACCGCACAGAGGCCAGCGTTTTCCTGAACATCCAGTTCAAACGGTGGCCAGGTTCGAAATCCGGTGTTGTCGGGAGAGGTCCTTCCCTCGGGAAGAACTTGCGTTGCGTACTGTCTGTGGCCAGCGCAGAGAGCTCGTAATCTGTGCCTGGGGATGTAGTAAACGAGGACCCCTCTAGCTTTCCTTTGTAATCGGCGACGGATATCTTATCGTTCCAAAAGTGCGTCCATCTCAAGGCCGACGCGATTGCTAACAAGATGATCGCGAAATACACCCAGCCTAATGCGTATTTACCTGAATCCTTCCATGGGTCCACAGTCGTAGCTTCCACAAGGCCCGGAGGACTGCTACTGTTGCAGCATGGTATGTTTATGCGCTTCTCCAGCGAGGCGAATCTCTGAAGGTGTTCAACGGCAGCACTGACACGAAGTGCCATCGCTCCGATTACAGCGGGCATGATGACAGCGCCCGTAAAAAGCCCAGGCCAGCCGGCTGTGGGTAATTCGAAGAGAGGTCGTGTAGTTCCAGTATGCTTCCGGTATCCTCGCGGTCTCCGTACGAAAAGTCACACAGCGCACATGCGACCTGGCTGCGGTGCAATGTGGGTGTATGACCAACAACTTTCTCGCCCGTCAGGTGAAATGGTGCTCCATCGAGAGACCGTTACAACATTGTCGCGGTAGCTAGAACGTGGAGGTGTGAGATCGCATGCTAGATGTGAGGCTTCCAAAACAAAAAGAAGCTCCGTCGATAGGATCTCGCACTCGAAGAGGAAGAAAGACGAGAGCCGACACGACATGTGGTGTGGGTTAGCGTATGCACACATTGAGATGGTTTGCGAAGCGGGCATGCAAGGGCTCCATGCACTAGACCGTCACTCTAGGCGTATCACCCGGAAGTGATATGCAGGGCTCGTGCTTCGTCTGCAGCTCGTCCGCTAACTAGCATGGCTCAACATGGATTTTCCAACGCGAGCAAACTATAAGCGACCGTCCAGGATGGCGATCCTCGATCCGGACAGCAAGACTTTATTGATGTGCACATTTGAAGCTCATGCGGCGGTTGCGGAAGGCGCAAGATTGGGCAGCTCCCAAAACATGGCAGAAAGAGTCCAGATCTGCACAATTCATGTAGTCTGCAATGCGCTTGTAGCTCGGCCCGGACCTGCCTGGAAACGCCACGTTCAGATCAATCTTCATTCGCCGCGAACTGACGACCACGCACGCTTGTCACACAGTACAGCGGAGCGACTGGCCCCGTTGCTCGATATCTAGCACGTTGCTGGGATCCCACGGAGAAGCTACTGAAAGTCAAAACCATGGGTCGTCCTTTCATATGACTTGCCTGGATCTCGCTGTACGCCACAGATCAAAGCTATTGGAAGCCCGTCACGATCATACACACGAGTCCATGACAGGTGAAAGTCGAGTCGCGCGATGGAGTGGTGGCCAATGAGGCGTCAAAGATGAGCAGACAAGAGCCGACAGTCGGATCCGAGTTGGGTGTGACTGCATGTGCGATGAGAGAAGCTCATCGTGAGAAGTGATGTTAAGCGCCCGCGAAACCACGCTAGTGATGCTCTCACCCGCCATTGGCCAGAGTCTATCCATGCGAGCACAGGGCAGTGAAAATCGTCACATTCGACATCGTTCGACTGTTGCTGATGAGTCTTGCGATCACCAAAAGCGTTGCCAGGACCAGTGCAAAGTTCTGCACTGCAGGACATGAATTGTGAACAGCGGCGAGTGTGGTCGTATCTTGGGTTATTATGCATTACTAGCAAATTTTGATAGGCATCTTGAAGTATACAGTACAGTTTGTTCTGAGAGACAAGCAGATCGCTCTACTGAGCCGACTCCGTGGACTCGGCCTGAACCTCGATCATATCCACGCACATCTTGAGGAAGCGATCGCGGTATTCTGGACTGTTAGTCGTGACGCTCATCGGTCCTTGCCTATCAACGACATTATACGTATTGATCAGACCTGTCATCGCCYTAGCATGGAGAGTGTGCTTCGCCCAGAAGAAGTCGAGTATCGCGGCACGGAAATACCATTTCCCGTCAGCAGATGGGATGCCTGTTCTCCAAGTTGCATTGAGATCCGGATCAGCAAATGGATCGGACGTYGGTGACCGTGGGATGCGAACGAGGAAGAGGGAGTAATCGACGGCACTGCAAAGAGAAAGCAGTCGCGTGTCCTTTTCCAATTCAGCTTTGAACGATTCGGCGACGTCCAGAGTGAGGACAAGTTTCTCCTTGAAATTGTCGGCGAGCTTCGACTTGGTCGCTTCCGAAGCGAGAGCACCTCCAGCAATGTCTCTTTCGGGATAGAAGTAGCTCATGGGCTTCAGGTCGTACGACTCCCAGTCGACTTCCTTGCCATGCAACAAGTTGTCCATCACGATATCTGCTAGATCAGTAGGATTTTAGCAACACAGACATATCAATTACTCACGATGACTGGGAGCCAAGCCGAGAAGCGTGCCGATACTGTAATGTGCGTTCTCCAGGAAGTCCGAAATGCGAATGAGTAACGAGTTTGGATTGCTTCGGACGTGATTGGAGTATGGCTCCAGGAGATCATTCTTAAAGAACGCGTGTTCGAAATGGCGCGGAATGCTTTTGATGATGAATCTCTCATCTGAGGTCGAAAAGAAGGTCGATCCACTGTAACCCATATCGCCTGTGCAACTTAGCTTTCTTATCGAGGGGTGACTCTGAGCTTTGTCATACCCATTGCTTTGAGGTTCGCTTTCTTCTTGTCTTTTGCCCCAAAGGATTCCTGGTACGCATCTTCATCGATTTTCCAGACGCTCTCTCTCAACGACTTGAACAACTCCGCGCTTACACGTGCGAAGATGATCCAGTACAGGTTGAAGAAGGCTGTAAGTTTAGCTAGCACAGAGACGCGTGCGGATTCGTTGCGTAGGATTGCACGCGTGATGGAGCGCGCAATGACGGCTTGACGGCGGCCCATGTTGAAGTCGAACTCGTCACTACTGGGAAGTGAGTTGAATAGAACGAGAAAAAATTAAAAGACGGAAATAGAGTAGAAGAGGTTGGCTGAGTGAAGGAAAGCAAGTCAGGATGACGTGAAGAGATTCACATGCACATGCCAAAGTCAAGCTTGGGCTTTTCACCTCTCACTTACTTTGTACTTCGCTTTGTGATCACTACGTCTGTACAGCAACACCGGGACTTCACCGACTCGCGACGCACAATACCTGCTGCGATCATGCAAGCCCACCGCAAGGCTGAAAAGCAAAAGGAGATCAATAAAAATAAGAAGAAGGTTCAAGCTCAGCGGAATGGTGAGTTCACCGATGCAATTCGTCCACAAATCATCCTCGACACGGGCTGACTTTGATGCAGAAAAACTAGCGCGTCGGAATCCAGATCGCTTACAAAAACAGGTGGATGAGCTCAAGGAGGCAGATGGCCGCGGAGGGCTTCGACCGAAAGACAAGGAGAATCTGGTACAGCTGGAGAAGGATCTGAAGGCGGTACTGCGAGCACGAGAGGCATTGGGCGATTCCGCACCGTCATTCCCCAGCCACCAGCGAAGAGATGGTGGAGAGGCACGAAACGAGCGGCGGGATCGGGGCAACCCACGACAAGAGCAAGAGCAGCGTCGAAATCATCTTGGGAAGCGACGTTGGAACGAAGAGCACGCACAACAGGAGCCGGATGACGACAGCGACACGGATCCGGAAGTGCGCGATATCCCCATGCCACGCGATACGCCGCCGCCTGTCCCTCGCAAGGACCACCGCCGCGGGCCATTCGTAGATCCCCAGGTCGGACCGGACGGGCAGAGACACCCCCATGCGCTTCCTGCGAAGCCCGTACCACTGCCGCCTGCACAGGTGGTTTATAGCAGTGCGCCACAGCTCAGAGATCTCAAAAAAGAAGCCGTGAAATTTGTGCCAGCAGCTGTGTCGCAGCAAAAGAGAAGAGTCAAGGGCGAGGGACGACTGCTGGAGCCAGAGGAGATTGAGAAGCTGGAGAAGGCGGGATACTATGCGGCGCAAAAGACGACTGGTACTGCAGGTCAAGAGCCTAGCCGCGAGCAGGCAAACACTGCGTCCCAAGTCCAGGCGACTCCTGATGTTGACTTGGACGAGGAGATGCGCAGGTTCGAAGCCGAGATGGCCTCGCTACAAGAGGAAGCACACCAACGACCTGGACTCAGAGCTGTCCAACTGGAAGAGGTAGAAGATGATGGCGATTGAAGGTCTATTGAAGGTCTATTGAACGTCTGCCTACACGGACCTCCCCACACGCTCCTCTCTCCACGAGCATCGTGCCTCCAACATGCTCTTCTTGACGACGGCGGGCTCATCACTACCACAATACGATGCGCCAGGTCTTGCCCCACTCTGTGCTGTGTCTGGAAGGTCGCTACAACGTCGATCCACCCTGCAAAGTAGCCCTCCCCATTACGTCCCACAGAATGCGAAAAAACTCGTCTCGGCCGCTGCTCAGCCACGGAGTGTGGTCACAATCTATGCGCTCGATTTTAAAGTCCTTCACGCCTGCAGCCTTGATGCGCTCCACGAAAACTGTCTGGACGGTGGCTGGCAACGCCCGGTCTTGTTTGCAAACAATATAGGTGGCTGGAATTCCGTAGCGGCCCCAGCCGCAGTATTTCGCAGACTCCGCGAATGCTTGACGGTTCTGCGGCAGCAGTCGAGCGGCACATTTCTGAGCAAGAGCCGGGTCCATGGTATTGTAGAACCGCTCTGGTTCCAAACATCGCCCCATGCCATCCTTCAGCTCCTCAGCAATTGCACCGCTGCTCCGTGTCGCGCAGTCGGCGCCCTCTTCGATGATTATAGCGCAGATGTACAGCAGATGGGTAATGCGACCATACTGCTTTGAGCCATCGCTCGCTCGTCGTCGTTCTTCTTCAAATGCGGCGACGCCCTCACTCCCCACCACTCCGCCAAACGAGTGGCAGAGAACTACGGCATCTCTCCCTGAGCTTGTTATGTTGATGATAGCTTGCTTCACCTAGACCAGGTMTTCGCGTCAGTGTGCTTCGGGAATGACATTGCTCGAAATAGCTTACCGTAGCAATTGCTTTGGCCATAGCATCGTCGACTGCTGTGTGGCCCACAGTAGGTAGAGTCGGTGCTTCGACCATATATCCTTCGCGTGCCAGCTCGGTCACGACATTTTCAAAGTGCCATGAGGTATGCCACGCTCCATGGACCAGTACAACGCCTGGCTTGGTTGGCATGACTACTTTGCACTGCAAGAGGGTGATTAATGCGTCGTAGTGGGATCAATAAGGCAAACAGAGATGTGAATGCGACTGGCTCTTATAAACAATTCGTGGCGAGTTGACACGAAGGATTCTTCAGCTGCTGACATCCTCACCTCGCTAACAACGGGGAACAGCACCTCCTGGTCCCTAAGCAGAGTTTGTGCAACCGAATCTTCAACTTTGAGCTGCCTGCCTCACAAAGATCGAATATGGCAATAAGTAAGCCAGCTCATGCCGTGTCTGTGGCCCGTCTCCCCACATTTTTTGATCTGCCGTCTCCAGCTTCCCGCTGTCGGCTATGGGGTAAACTACGGCCGTAGTAGTTTGATCGGCACATACATTGTACAACTATACTCCGAGTTGAAGGTGAAGAACAATATATCTACATGAAACKATCCAAGTCGGTTTGTCTCATACTCCGCCCACTTTGGTTCATTCCATCACCGTCAAAGTCCATCTTGTCGTACAGATCATGGCGTTTTGTGCGTGATCAAGGAGCAATGCCACGTTGTGCTTATCGCTAATCTAGAAGAAGCAGCTACCGGAGCGGCCGTCATCGGTGTGGGTGCGGCGGCAGCATACATTGATGCAAAGTACCACATTTCAAAAGACATTGGAACGATTCGAGAGGAGAGACGAGCTCGTCGATTACCGGACCTCCGTGGTATGCCATGTCCCGTTCCAACGCAGAAAGTCAAGCTGATCCCCCACGTCTGTCATAGCCAAGCAAAAGAAGGTCTCGTTGTGGTATTCTTTCGAAGAGCAAGCAAAGTTACGCAAGGATGAGCCATGTCTGTGGTACCGGGCCCATCCAACTGACACTGCTTCGCAACACACATACACGGAAACGCTCGACATCTCGAACAAATATGCCCGGTTCTTATTGGACAATGGCGTACGGCCTGGAGAACTCGTTGGAACATGTCTGCTCAATTCTCCAGAATTCATGTTCAACTTGATCGGCTGCTGGGCAATTGGATGTGCTCCAGCATTGATCAACACTAATCTGGCTGGTGCTGCATTGTTGCACTGCCTGAAAGTCGCAAAATGCAAGATCTTCATCGTCGACGAAGATGCGGACTGCCAACAACGTGTTGAAGAGGTCAGAAGCGAGATCGAGGAGCTCGGCATGAGAATCATCATATTGGATGCAGAGACCAAGGCCACGATCTCAAGCATGGAGGCCTCACGACCAGAAGATCTCTACCGGAGCAAGGTCACTCCCACATTTCCAATCTTCTTAATCTACACGAGTAAGTTTTGAAGGGTAGTAGGCTCATAGGGGAGTTCAGAGGCATCTCTCGAGCTTTGTACATCATCCTTGCCTCAGACATCGCTGATCGTTCCGACCTTCGTTCTTCAGGCGGCACTACAGGGATGCCAAAGGCATGTGCATTTCCAACCGCGGCCGGCTATCCACAAGGCCTATCGCAGCAACGAACCACTGGACTCAGACCCGGGGACGTTTGGTATGATCCCATGCCACTGTACCACGCCACAGGATGTGTCATCGCCRTAGCTTGCATAACGAGCGGTCTGAAGCTTGCTATTGGCAAAAAGTTCAGCGTGAGCAACTTCTGGAAAGACGTTCATGACTCGGGTGCCAATGCGCTTGTGTATGTTGGGGAGACTGCAAGGTACCTGCTGGCAGCTCCACCGTCACCGCTTGATAAGGATCATAAGCTCAAAGCCATGTATGGGAACGGTAAGTCGAGAAGGATGTTCGAAGATCTCTCGCGCGTGTACTGATCAACACAAGGCATGAGACCTGACGTCTTCAGCAAGTTCATGGAGCGTTTCAACATACCAGTCGTAAACGAGTTCTTCAACTCTTCCGAGGGTATGCTATCGCTGCTCAATGTCTGTCGCGGACCCTTCCACATCGGCCACGTAGGTCACCATGGTGCACTTCAGCGGTGGCGATACAGAAACCATTACGTTCCAGTTCAAATCGACCACGAATCAGACTCMGGAGACAAGATCTGGCGAGATCCCAAGACTGGCTTCGCTCGTCGAAACAAATACGAAGATGGAGGCGAAATCATCGTTGCGTGTCAATCTGAGGATGCCTGGGGAGGATACTGGAACAACCCCGACGCCACAGCAAAGAAGTTCGAGCGCGATGTCTTCAAAAAGGGCGATTTGTACTACCGCACGGGCGATTCTCTAAGAAGAGACCACGATGGGCGATGGTTCTTCATGGATCGGCTAGGTGACACCTTCCGATGGAAGAGCGAGAATGTTTCCACAGCCGAAGTGGCTGAAGTACTCGGAAGATTCTCCGGCCTCGTGGAGGCGAATGTCTATGGAGTGGAACTCCCCGGCCACGATGGTCGAGCGGGCTGTGCAGCCATCTACATTCGACCGAATGAGCGCGCATCATTCGACTACGCTGGGCTGACGAAACATGCCAGAAAGGGATTGCCACGCTATGCTGTTCCACTCTTTCTGAGGGTGGTGGAGAATAGCACGCCGTCGCATAATAATAAGCAAAACAAAGTTGRGCTCAGAGGGGAAGGTGTGGATCCTAAGAAGATCGCTGAGGGTAAGGCTGGCAAGAATGATACTATCTTGTGGCTGGCTCCGGGAGCCGACTCGTAYCAGCCGTTCTTGGAGAAGGATTGGAATGGCATTGTTGGTGGAAAGGTGCGGCTGTGATTTGAGAATGAATCCGCTGCCCGCGTCTAGAGCTGAGCCTCTGCATGGAGGATTCTGACTTCTTCCACTCAGTCAAATGTTTCTGCCGGGTTGACGAGAGATATTGCCGGGAGTGAGTTCGATTTGAAATGGCTGTATACATTTGACATGTAATACTGAGTTACTGGAGATCACATAAGTTTTCCCCTCTATATGATCATGTCCTCATCATCATACACAAAAATAGGCATTCCGCTGCAATCAAGCGCCGTGACCATGCAAAGCTCTTCCAAAATATAATGAGGAAATTAATCTAGCACCCGTTGAAACCCTTTTGCTGCCACATCTTGACAGACTTGACCTTCAACTGACCCTTGTCCGCCCACGTAGGATACCACTGATCACGAGCGWTCCAGAAATCATGCGAAGCGGTGTCGGAGGTGTCTACCCATGGTTTGCCCTGAACGCCGTCTTCAAACCACCCGTTGGTACCTCCAACGGCAACGTTGATAATGAGGTAGAAATCTTGGTCAAAGGGACTCGCGGACGTGCCAGCCGCCCAAGGGTTGTCAATTCTCGAGCCGTTCGAGTCCGATGTCGGGAAGTTTCCCTTGCTGAAAAATGGCTTGTTGAAGTTGACGTACATGACCTGCAGCAAACGAGTGTCGACGTAGCTGAAGACGTACTTTGGGTTCCATTCGAGCCCGTACTTGTGGAATCCAGAAGCGTAGGTTGTGTGCAGGGCCTTGTTCTTCTTGTTGGTTCGCCACCAAGCATCATTGTTCGCGTCGGGTCCCCAGTGAAGTGTGGAAGACACAACATTGTTACCTCCTGTTTTGTATGTGTAGTTGTTGCCACGCGATTCCATAATGTCAATCTCGCCGGACCGCGGCCAGTCGCCGTAGACGTTGTCTTTCGGCAACATCCAAATCGCTGGCCAAAGCCAGTCACCCTCGGGTAACTGCGCTTCAACTTCGATGCGGCCGTATTTGATCGATTTGCTCGACCTGGTGCTGATACGTCCTGATTTGACTGGGTTCACAATGGTGCCGTTTGTGGTGTTGGTTACAGCGACACAGTTCGACCAAAGGTCCGAAGAGCAAATTCCTTCTTTGAGCAGGTTAATGACGGTGTTGGTCTCGATGAGCTTAGCGTCCTGAAGAGTGGGCTTGATGGTAAGCATGCCATCCTGAACGAAAACGTTTTCGTCGGTATTCGTGGTGACCTCGAATTGGCCGTTACTTGGGAAAAGTTAGCACATGTGTACACATMAAATCAATAATTGCAGTCTAACCCAAAACCTCCAGACTCGACCTCCTTCGTCCACATGTCCGAGAGTCCACCAGAAAAGTCATCTTCCATTATCGGGCAGTAGCTGTAGTTGTGGACAGTCTGCAGGCCGTCGTAGATCAAGAACCCAGCGAGACCAAGGCCAACCAACAGACCGATGATGGGAATGATGGTTGTCCATTTCTCCCTGGGGTCTTTCTTGTCAAGCCATGGTTTCTCAACCTCCTGCTTGTTGATACGTCGGGAGTGGAAGAACTTTGGAGGCTGCATCTGTTGGAAAGCGGTCGAGGATCCCATTGCCGAGGGRGGCATAGAGCCATACGGCGTGGCGAAAGGATTCGGTCGCTGCACATGTTCGATAGGATCGCTATCGGGTGTGCCAGAACGCCTGGGCGAGTCGGCGGCCGTTGTGGAAGTGCCGTGGACGTCCATTGCGGGCCAAGTTGCTCACGCAGAGCGATGAAGGCTTGGTACGGCTTCACTGTTCCCACTTGCCTAGCAATTGGCGTTCGAATTGCAAAGCTAGAGATGTATGTGTTGCAGAGAGGGTATGACAAGCAAGGGTATGACAAGCAACGTAGAAAGACGAATAGCGGTTTGGGTTGCCAAAGGAAAATGAAGCACGGAGGGCTAAGGTTGCCTTTGAGTGGATCACAGAATCAAGATTAAAGTAAGGTAGCCACTAACCTCTAGATCAAAGTCGAGTCGTCAACCTCCGGCTGCATCTCCAAGCCCGTCTTTGGTGGTAGACTTGAGAACTCGTGGATGTTTGAGTTTCGACGGTCCGGAAGTCGCCTGCGCATGGCTGAGACTTGAAAAGATCTGCCTGACATCTAGACTGACGTGTAGAATCACTGTCTGGTCGTTGAGCTGCAGCGAACAGCTTCGCGGAAGGCTGCATCAATGAAACCGTGTTCGTTAGTTGCGTTCAAGCTGGGATATATTGGTCAAGCTGCTGCTATCCGCTTTCGCGTCGGCACCAAAGTGGGAATGGTCGTAAATTTAGACTTCCTGCTGCGAATGCCCGCCCGCTACATATGTGTTTCCGGATTCCGATCGAGGCCGATTTGCAATAGAAGATACGCCCGCTGTTGCTATCGGAGTCCGCAATGCCGGGGAGATGTGACCTCGCCTGCACAAGTATCTGCAAAGGCTGTCTCTATGCAGGCCGATCGGCTGTACACGAACAGCGTTCTGAAGGTCAGTGTCCAGTATCACTACCTGCATTCGACCATTCGAGAGTACAGCGGTCTACAGTGTAGCTCTCATTATTATACAGACAGGGAGTGGCCAGCGTTCGACATGTTGACTCGTTGTTGAGAGGTTTAAAAGACGCCCTGGGGTGCGTGCATGCATTTGCGGCTCACCTGCCGTTAGCGTCTCGAGCGCCACTTCCGTCCAGTAGGTGTACCAAAGGGGATCATAGTGCCTTGTGTAGCAATCCTCGAAGCATTGGTCAGGTTCTGCAATGCATGCTACGATCGGGCACTTTGCTGGTTGGGCCAACACAACACGGTGCGATCGCCTCAGGCCGTCATATGTATGTAGGTAGCATGTATCATGCAAGGTCCAGAACAAACCGCGGTTCAGGGTCTGGAAGCGCATGAACGGCAATTCGACTGTGCACATGCAAACATTGCTCGCCATCCCGTGTTGTGGAGACAAGGCGCGAGCCAAGTCCACGTTCTGCCTTGTTAGCCGGTCCGCGTGTTGTTCTTCGTGATTGATAGTGCTCGATAGCTCAACGCAACTGTTCAAGAAGAAGTCTAACGCGGGAAGTTGCGGTGTACAAAAGCGCGGCCTGCATGTATCTTTCATCTGGAAGTCAATGATCGAGTTCCAGCCGAGGCCACGGCAATGTCCTCTGCAGAATCGCATGCAAGAGCTCTTCGAGACTTCAACATGCATGCATTTGGCCGTCGCAGCGTSATTTTCTCGTGCATGCGCAGCTAGCCCTACGAGCTCATCCTACAGGCTGCGGAGCTACAGCTCGCACCGAAGGCGATAGCGTGCATGTGTCTTCCCCGTTGGGGCGAAAGACAAGAGCAGAAGTTCCAGAAAGTTTCCCATTTCGCGCGTGGCGCCAACGCCGTCCGCCCAAGAGGGGCAGGTGTGCGCCCGCGCCATTGTGTACCGATGGCGGCGGCGTCGGCCGAGAAGGATCGCATCCGAACTCTCCACGGCGTGACTGCTGCAGCCAGTGCTCAGGATGTAAGACAACAACGTGCCCATCTGCAGTCCGCCGATGGTTCAGCTGGGCCAGATCAGGGGTGGGGGCAACATGGCAGTGAATTGTGCCGTGGGGGAGAAGCTTTTTGGGTCTGCTGCCCGCCAAGCCAAGAGACGGGCGCATGGCGGGAGTGGTGGTAATTAATGATTGTCGGTGTGGTGTATGTTGCGGCAGTCGAATGGATCGCGGAATGCCGGAATTCCCAATGGAATTGCCTTTGTCATCGAGCTTGTCTCACAACCCTGCAAGCACAAGCCCGACGACGACACCTCATCGTCACCACCGGATGATGACCTATCTCTTCCATCCCCGCGACCACAAGCCTCGACGTTTCAAGCAAGTGTGCTCGAAACTTCCGCCAGTCGTCACCTCCGTGTCCCAGCTCTTGTTGAGAGTGCCGCATCGGCGTCGTCTCGGAGGTCGTAAAGCTACCTTACGCCTGAGTAGCAGCGYCCTCTGGCTCCACTGGTCTTGCCTGAACGCTTCGAGTTGCCGTCTATCAAGAACTCTGCCTGGTAATCCGGGCGCTGAGAAGGGCCGGACTCGCTGCATGCCAGGCATTCGAGTGACCACTCTGCATTTGTTGTCTTCCAGGCCCTCTTTCATCAGTTCGCGGTGTCGCTCCGCATCCGGGCGGTACATAGGTCTWGTTCCCGCAAAGCATCTACCACGATCGCGTGGCCAGATAATGGCGAGTTCCAACAGCGTGGTCCTAGCCACGTGTATATGCATATATGCAGGGGGGAAGATGCGAATCGCCCTGCTTTTCTCCACCGTTGGCCTACGCTGACTCGCTTTTACTGCAATGTTATGGCGGCAAGACAGATTACCCAAACCACAGGGAGGAAACGGCGAGATTGAAACACAGCTTGGATAATTCGAGCACTCGCATCTAACTCTGGTCATCAGGAACAGCCTCACGTCGTCGCGAGCATATCAACGGCCAGAGCTTGCTTGCCTAGACTATCTCCCAATCATTGCAATCGTCTGGCACGATCTCCCACTCCTCGCCTCCCAGCTTGCTGCTCCGACCATCTCCCCCGCCTTGGCATTCTGAATATCCTCGAGCTTGCCCTACCGAGCTTCGCTTTCCCGGCACGATCTATTTCTGTTAGCTGTGGGGCGAGTCAACATACGGGAGCGCTCTATGTACCGGAGCTGCACCAGAAGCGGCGGCTTCTGAAATCTTCACCGTGCGTGGGGCTTCATCAGCCTTCTTCAGGAATGAGTGCGAATCCTATCACGTTTAGCAATCAGACTTCCCATGATGTCGAATCATACTTAAAGCAAGGGAAGTCGACTTTGCCTCTTTCAAGAGCGGCTTCTCGATGTTAGCCACCGCTTTGGTGGGCTGATTGGGCTCTTGCTTAGCTCGGTCTGGCTTGTACTCCATTGCGAGGCGCGATACTGTGGGCGCCATCTCGAGATATCTTGTGTATGTGTATGTGTATGTTTCGGTGTACGGAGAATTGATCTGTAGGTCTTATAGGTCTGTACGTCATGTTTCCGGCGCGCGTGATTGTCGGGAAGTGTGATACCATTCACATGGGAACAGTAGTCACAATCTAGAAAGGGCTTGCATGTTGCGACATGTGCGGAACAACTGATCTCTGTTGATGTGCAGTGCAAGAGCCCCCATGGGGTGGATGTCTCTTTTATATCAAGAGTTCGTTCAGACGTTTTCTTTTGCTTCTTCATCGTTACATCTGGTAATCTCCACGCCCCGCTATTTGGTTCTGCGAGATATGAGAAGCTCCTGAAGCTTCGAGTACACTTTCATACGGATAGATCATGGACAATGGAAGTTCGTATCAACTTCAGCAAACAGTTCTTAGTCTGTCTCGGGCGGACACACAGACACAGAGAAATCAAAAACGTGATAGACGCTGCTCGTTATCTTCCGGCCACATGTCATTGATGATAGCAAACTGCTAAACTACACCTGTCTCCTTAGATTGATACTTCCTGTTCGTGCGTACTTTCGATGCTCCGGAACATCCGCATTCAAAATTAGAGTTTCAAAATTCGAGTGAATGAACACTGTCCTCAAAAACTTTCTCGAATGAATAAGCACTGTCCTCAAACCTTCCTCGCATTCCTAAGTACATACTCGACAAGATCATCCTCTGGATCAAACATCACGAAGTTTGAAAAGTTATCGTCTTCTGTACCCTCACACCCCATCTGTCTAAGACATACACTTTTCAACACCATCAACAACACAAGCACCATGTCCGGAGATTTCACCCTCCTCCTCCACGTTGCACTCGCGCGCGAAGCCGAGATACAAGCCGAGTTCGCCCGACAACAACATGACCAAGCTCGACATCTCGCAGATACGCAACTCCATGCGAATCATGCTGGAGTCCCATACCTACACATGGTTGAAGCCAAGCACGCCGAGTACCTTGCAACTCAGGACTTCCCAGTCGAAGCCGTAGCACAGGAAGTGGGAGCGAAGCTTATCGCGGATCTTCGCTCGGAACGTTCCCCCCCACGCCGAGCTGCTAATGCGCCTGATGTAAGTATACTGACACACTACCAACTCTGAGACCATGCTAACAAAGTTATAGGCCGTCGCCGCCATGCAGAAGGCGCAGCGCAAGAAGCAGGCGCAGCGCTATGCTCGGAGGCAGAGTGAACGCAAGGCGCTAGCTAGACTGGAGCTCGATGAGGACTGGGAGATGGTGGAAGGGGATGACGATTGGGAGAAGGTCACGGCGGAAGAAGCTGATGATAGGAAGGAACTGTTATCATCGTCAGGCTCAAAAATCAGCATCCTGGACAGCGGACTGCAGTGACGGGCGAGACAGTGAAGCTTCGGATAAGCAAGTCTTCGCAGACTTGTGTATTGGGTCTGCCTTGAAGAATTTTCTCGTTCTCTAGCCTTCTTGTTCATAGCAATTAAAGGAAGARTGCTGCCATCAAATCAAGGTGCAAAAGATTCAAGTGAATGGAACCCGAAGCCGAAAGTAGACAAACCATCTGGGGGAAAACCCACGCGTCGAACATACAACATCTTCCAACCTTGAAATTCTTAACAACAAGAAACTTCTCCGAACACCTTCGCGCGTACCGACCACTCATCACGATCCATTCATCACAAGCTGCTCATCACAAACCACTCATTACAAGCTACCACAATGTCTGTTCAGCTTGCTTAGAAATTAAGCAGAATTCTCATGTGCTTTGCCCGCGGGGATTTGAATCTCTCTCTTGTCAACAGGAGGGATAACTTCAGGCATACAACAAATTTCTTTCTTGCTTCCAGGCGTTGGAACTTTGTAGAGGCCCAGGGAGATTTCTCACCTGTTTGCTCTCTCGTTTTAGCAGACCGTCGCAGAAAGCACGGCTGTGAAGTCACGCAAACTGCAAGGTCTTACTTAAATAGCTAAGGGTGCAACACTCACTAATGATCGAGCGAGCAATGACGCTTGCGGAGCCTGTATTTTTTCCTTTTGCCGTGCTGTTATGATTAGTGTACTAACATACTGACCTACCTTAAGACACTTGGCGACGTGTTGAGCTTCCTCGTGGTCAGTATTCCAAGGCGGCCGTGTCCAGATGGTGTTGAGACAACTTCCACCAGCAGACAGGTTGATCAATTGCCTTTCTTCACGGGAGTAACAGAGCACCAAATCTCAATATCGATCGTTCCCATCCTCAGGACCACGCACACACAGGCGCTGTCGATCGACCTGTACTATGAATGTGCGTCAAAGAGCATGAGATGAGTATGTGCGCCACACGTACAACCGTCTGGATCGACATCATCGCAACATCACCAGTGTGCCTAGTCGAGACCAAGCCAAGACTCGGGTCGCACGACATTGAATGGTCTCCTTGCGTCAGGCTCAGCATGACTTGTCGTTTGTCTTCCCCTCTCTGGTAGGTTGATATCGAGGGTTGTTCTTGGTCTAGGTTGCACACTCAGATCCCGTAGTGGTAACGCTGCACCACCTTTGGTAGGTGCGACACGGACAAGACGTCAATGGCCTCGCCTCGCGTTGGTGTAACGCGAAAAGAACATTATTAGGTGCCAATTCGATTTGTGGAAAGTCCAGGACAAAGGTTGCCTTGGGGATGTTTGTTCGGCCGACGATGCCAAGGAAGGGAGATGTGAGTAGCTGTCCTATGGCGTTAAAGGAGTGCCAGCGTCRATGGAAATGAAGGACATTCGGTGCTGCTTTACGAGAATTTTCCACAACAACTCCAAAGCTGGACTGGCACTGTTTTGGTGACCATTGTGATTGTGCAATAGATTTACCTTCCACAGAGCACATCCTCAACGGCAGACGGAAGTGGCCTCCAGAGACAATTGCCTTCAGACACAAAGGCACAGTCTCGCTCTTTTTATCTTGGATCAAAAGATCTCGTGGCCGCTGGGTGAGTCCAATATAGATCTTTCCGGATCTATCGTGTGGTTTTCCAGCGGCTATAAGACTGACGTGCTTTGCCTCAAAAGCATCCAGGATCAACAATATCGAAAGGCCAGAACAACGACACTCAACAAACCAGCCCCAACAGCCGACATGCAATTCACAATCACCTTCCTGACCCTTCTGGGCTCTGTGTTGGCTGCTCCCGCGACCATTCCTCACGAGCTTCTCGACGCTGACGTGGCCACGAGCGGACTGGATTTCAACATCTTCGCCCGCGATACTTCTCAGGGTCGCTGCGACGTCGAGATCTGCAAGGCCATGCTCGTGAGTTGTGTCGTATCATGTGATTCAACATGGAATGGCGACTGGTATGTACAGTACTTTTGTGTTGATGCCAAAGGAAGGAAGGAGTTGCTGATGATAATCAAGCTTCGAGTTCAACACGTCGCCATCGTGTGAGTCCTGTCGTGTGGTCCTTGGAGGTTGCTAGATGCGAAGTCGATGGAGGGGGAGAAGTACATGAGTGTATCGAGTGGCGGGCATATACACAGTGATCAGTAGTTAGTCAGTAGTTGATGTGAACTTGAACGCGATTTGGACTTGGAGGATGCATAGTCATCAAGCCTTGGCACACGATCGCAAATCCCAACTTTTCGAGCTCATACCTACTCTCAAATCTTCAAGCACGACGCAACCTCCTCGACTTCACCCCATCCACACACCTTCTTCGCMATGTCTGCCCAGGCCTTGAACAAGATCGCGCCCAACTCGCCTTCGCGGGCCAAGCCCAGCGAGGTGGAGACCAACATCGCCACTGCTCTCTTCGACCTCGAGTCAAACGTCCCCGACATGCGTTCCGCGCTCCGTCCCCTGCAGTTTGTGTCTGCGCGTGAGGTAAGAAGCAACAATGGATGAAGGATGAGGGAATAAACACAAAGAAGAGGAGGGACTATCATCATTTGGAACACATGGACAATCAATCAATGTGGGATTCGATAAATGAATACACGATCTGTGTAGAGGCGGAGGGCACTGGAAGGCTTCGCGCTGACCAGGAATCTTGCAGATCGACGTCGGACACGGACGCAAGGCCATTGTCATCTTCGTCCCCGTCCCCCTCTTGGTCGGATGGCACCGCTCCCAGCAGCGGTAAGTTTTCGCACCCCTCCCTCTTCGAACCCTTACAAGACTCCACCATCTGACATTGTATGAATCCAGCCTCACCCGCGAGCTTGAGAAGAAGTTCTCGGACCGCCACGTCATCATTGTCGCGTCCCGCCGCATCTTGCCCCGCCCAAAGCGCTCCAACCGCAGCCGCACCTCGCAGACCCAGAAGCGCCCACGTTCGCGTACGCTGACTGCTGTCCACGATGCCATCCTCGCCGACCTCGTCTACCCCGTCGAGATTGTCGGCAAGCGCATGCGCACCAAGGAGGACGGCTCCAAGGTCCTCAAGGTCCTGCTGGACGAGAAGGAGCGTGGCGGCGTCGACTACCGTCTCGACACCTACTCTGAGGTCTACAAGCGTCTGACCGGCAAGGGTGTCAACTTCGAGTTCCCCCAGGTCGCTGCCGACTTCCAGTAGATATTAACCCATGGAAAAAAGGGTTTCTACTTGGACGCATTGAGGATGGAATGTTGAAGAAGAGGACTGTCATGGCATGAGGCGTTTCGGCGCATGGAAGCGTGCAGCAGCAGAGAGTGGCAACTTAGCTACTCGAGCCAAGTCTGACACCACACAGACGGCTCCCCAAAATCGATCGATTCCTTCAATGTTATACCCGGGTCATTGTCAGTACCGTATCACAGTCACAGTCTGTCAAAAGAGTACTTCAACCTTTATACTCTTGCTTTTCCATTCACGATTGTCATGTATGCATCCCGCGTCTACCGCAGCCCATGCATGCAACCTTGGGTATCTCTCGTCTTGAGCGGAAGTCTTTGGGTGTAGTACCCCGACCCAGTCTCACAGGTAAAAATCATCGCTCGCCCTCCGTGCTCGCCCAACATCAAAAGAGAGTAAAATCCATCCACACCCGTTTTCTCATCATCGTAAAGCGGCCATTGGTTCATCATGCAGCAACAGGCGCCACCGCCTGCCTGATAGGCATTTCCAATTTCGTCGTCGCCTCATCGTCTTCCTCATCCACATACGTAACCCAAGGATGTTCCATCACAGCCTGGATGCCAATTCTCCTTTCCACATCCCGATCCAGCATCTTGCGGATCAAGTCGATGCAGTCCTCGGACAGGACATAAGGAACCCGGAGATCGTGATCCATTATTTCGTCAATCGAGTAGAAGGGATTCTCCTTGTAGACGATTGTGTAGAGCAAGATTCCCAATGCCCATACATCTTGCTCTTTTCCTCGGTAAGGTGAACCGCGGAGGACTTCGGGTGCCGCGTAATCTGTTGCTCTCGGTCAGTAAAGTCTTGCAGACAAGTAGGGGAATACACATACCAATTGTCCCCACGAACACATCAAATGGTCCGTTTTTGATGTACGCTGCACTTCCAAAATCCACAAGCTTGACCCTCCCTTCCCCGTCCAAGATGACATTTTCGTCCTTGATATCCCGATGTACAACCTTGGCCTCGATATGCAAGTGTCGTAAAGCTTCAGCAACCTGTCGGAAAATCTTGCGGCACTCTTGCTCTTCCATAGTGACTCTCAGCTCAATGTAGTCGAAAAGATCCATCCCAGGAAGGCCATGCGGAATCATCTCGATGTAATAATTGATGTCGTCTTCAAAGAAATCGGCCATTTCCACGATATTGGGATGTTGGAGCCCATCGCGACGAAGGTAGTCTAGGACATGAATCTCAAGAGGAACCGTTCCCAACCGACGGTCACGATGCCATGTGTCGACGAGAATGCGACGCTTGGTGACGTACTTGATGCACATTTTCGAAGCTGCTGCTTTCTTATAGCGTGCGAGCTTGACTTGTCCGTAGGCTCCCTGACCCATTTCTTCCAGAATGGTAAAGTCTTCTATCTTCTTCTTCTTGATGATCTTGACATTTGCGGCGATGAGGTCTGGCGATGGGTGTTCAAAGGGCTCCCCTTCTCCTGGACCGCTAGACATTACCAGCGAAGGGGAACGTTTCTTTTCTATTTCTTGATCGAGCGGATTTGCGGATGCCCTGTCATTGAGGATCATCGGACTAGGTGCCGGTGAGTCGATAGAAGGTCCAGGAGCCGGTTGATGGGGTGGTGTGCTTGGCCGGCTGATCAAGGGCGTCACGGGTCCGACTCCGTGATTCACTGCGTGTAGCTGTCTGCTATAGGTGATCCACAGAGCGTAGACTACTTCACTGCTCGATAGCGGCGAAGAGTCATCTTCTTCAATGACAGTCTCGTTATAGATGGGATCCCGATCAGATTTGACCACTCTCATCTGCACATCAATCATAATCTCGGCACCGTCGCGGTGCTTGGCTGGAACACCACTGGGTCGAAGGAAGATTGCCGCAGCGTCCGCCGCGCCTTCTCTAAGGGCAAGGAGTGCACGTGCACGTCTGAAGCTGTGTTCGGGAATCACAATTCCATCAACCAGAGCTATTTTGTCTTCATCCGTCATTACCCGCAGTATCTTGTCGAAACTAGGAATCAATTCTGCGACTGGCAAACCATCGGGGTTGGCATGCCCAAACAGTGCTGCCGAGAATACACTGTTGGAGCTGCTGACTCGCATCGTCGCCGGGTTCACAACGATGATGCCTGCAATGTGCGGGAAGCTGGAGACCCTGAAAACGCTCTCATCAGCCTGCTGATCGATCGTGACCGGAACGGAGATGGAATTGCTCGTTCGTGCAGTGAATCGCCGCAGGCGTGCTAACGCCTCGTAATCCACAGCTCCCGTGCTTGTGCCCTTCAACTTTGGCCAGGCAGGTATCAATCTTTGAACATCCATGCCGTTTCGAACACGATCAATTCCGAAAATGGCCTCGATGTCTCCACTACCTCGCGACAACAGCCCAATCTCGTCCACGGTTAGCATGGCCACATCTTCTGCGATCTCTTCGAGCACCCATATGAGATTGTTGCCCTTCTCCTTCACCCACAAAGACGCACTGCCATTCGAGCCATTCATCTTCCGAATCGGCACTACGTCGCCGCAGAGTAGCACGCCTCTGCTTTTGGACTTTGGGTGATGGGTCTCCTTCGGCAGAGTCTCCTTCGGAGGAGTCCGCGTGCCGTCAACTGTCTGACTTCGACGACTTTTGTACGTCGCGCGTACGGGCGGTTTCGAGAGCAACTTCGCTGTTACACCGTTACGCATGCTCGCTAGAACTTTGCTCGCACCGATCTTACCGGGTGGAGGGGTAGGCAGTTTCGGTTGCTTCGGTGCCGTTCCACTTTCGGGGTTCTTCAGCTTCTCCTCAAGCCATTTGCGTCGGTCTTCTCTAATCACCTCCATGATGCCCAGCTTGCGCACTTCCGCGCGAGTCACTCCAAAGACGAGACACGCAAGATCGTTAGCTGCGGTTATAGTCCAAGGTGAGGTGTTCTCGGTGGTGAAAATGGCCTGATTCGGGGCATTCCGGTTGTGACCGTGCGGTGCTCGTTCAGTCACAGCTGTGTTGGACCGCGGGGGGATCTGTGGTACCATGGGGGCAGCTGGTTTGTCTGCTCGATAAGGGCGGGCCATGGCTTCAGTGAGCCGATTTTGCAGCGAGTACCCAGCCGTGTCGGTATATGTGCGTTTCAGAGGGGGACGTTGCGTCATTGTGGGCATGTCCTCGTCGTCGACTGTGGGCATTCTGGAAAGCTTTGTGTCTGATGCTTCGCCTTCCGTGACAGTAGAAAGCGATGAAGGTGAGAGAGAGTCGACAGCTCCATCTGTTGGGGATACCACCACGGAAGGTTCGGAGGTGACGGAAGTTGAGTTTTCCATGGCCGTGGGACTCTCACTTGTCTGACCCCACGACGCCGCGAATATATTTTCATTCGTGTGGTGTGCAGGACCAGTGAGAGGTCCGTAACCCATGTCAATAGTGTGGAGAGGTTGCCCGCCCTTGACGTTTGCCTTTTGCAACAACTCGATCATACTCAGCACTTCCTCGTCGCCGGCTAGGCGGGCCTGAGCGGAGGCTATGCGTGGGGACGTGGCAGCCCATTGGAGCTTGTTGGTGAGGAACTCGACAGATCGCTTGATCACAGCGTTGCGGTTCTCCAGCGTGTCGCTACTCTGATGTGCGAAGCTGAAAGAATGTAGACTTTCGGTGGGAAAGCGGGACAAGTCCTCAGATGGCGGTAGAGCAGGTGATATTGGACCGCCCGCAAGTGCAGTCATTGAGGATTTCCGCGACGCTACAGGAGTGAGCAGGGTGGGCGATACGGATTGGAGATTGGGAGAAGACGGGTTCCTCGAGGGTTGCTGCCGTATGCGGTACAAACCCGTTCGCTCTGCGGGTACAATAGGCGACCTTCAAATCGAGGTCAGCGATTGTTGCTGCTTGTTCACTATCCCTCGACGTTTCATCGCCCGATATCTTCACCCTTTCGACACCACTCTACGCACATGCACGCATGTTGACACACCTTATCAATTCATCRTATCCGTCCGAGACGCCGGCATCCGCGGAAAGGCGAGCGAGCTGTTCGGCGGCACGGAGACTGGTCGTCGACGAGCTCTGTGAAATATTGGACCGTGTCTTGGGAATGGAAATGTTTGTAGGGCGTTGCTGGGTACGGGTCGGCGGTGGCGGCGATGTTTGCAAGTTGATTGCGGGCGGAGGTGGAGAGCTCGCTGTTCCTGTTCCTGGCAACATTTTCGTGTCAGCGACAACGTGGTAGACAGGACGTGACTCGCTCGCTCGCTCGCAGGCACAGTGCCACGGGCTCACTCATGTACTGCTGCTGCCTGAAGTGTGCAGAAACGACAACCTAACAACAAAGGAGAGTTGAAGAGGCAAGAGAGGATGTTGTACCTTCATGATGATCCCCATTCGGACTCATTGCTTGTTCCCGCAGCCTTTCGTCCTTCTCCTCTCCCCAACGATCGCAGCAATCGGGCAAGCTTCGTCCCTCTTCCCCCGTTGATCTTCAGACAGGCGCGCTATCCCGGTCAACGGAAGCAGGGCTCTGTCGTCRCCTTGCACTTGGAAGGTGCAGCGGACGCCTGCAGTCGTGAGAACCCAAATTCTCAAATCTGTGACACGGTTCCCGACTGCCTGGAATGGATGATCAATCGTTCGCTTCTTGCTCGTTTGTCGGCAGATGCAGGACGCTGAGGGGGGCTTTGGAGCTGGGTGACGTGGGAAAGGGACTTGAACTTGCTGCTGCACTACGGGGAGAATCTAGTATGCAGGAGAACCCGGACAGCCAAAAGACAAGACGATGTCAACGGTGCGTCGGTGGACGGACTCTCCGCAAAAGAGAAGCACGCCAGGCCCCGCTACTAGCGACTCTAGTCGGACTGGATTCGTATTTACGCCTCCATCATCTCACGCGACGTGCAGAGCTTTTGTGTGTCGTCCGATTGCATCGTAGTGTATACGGCTAAGGGTCTATCTAGTGAGGACCCTCTGCATGATTGTTTGCTAAGGTACCTAGCATGAGCTGATACCGATGCATGTGTCAATCTGCAAATGTCTCCATCTGCCGTCAGCATGTGCACAACCTACGAACTAAGACTAACCCCACAAATGCACCGAAGCGAATCCTTCGGCAGTGAGTGATGATGTGTGATCTCGTAACAATGAAGCGTTCAATGAGAAGCCTCGGAGATAGGCTTTTCTACACGCTAGGATTGTGTCACTAATCCCTGCCATCAGGGAGACAATCCATGAATCCTGCTATTCGTACTAACGGAATAAGCATAACGTGTGGGCGAGCGGAGCGAGATACAGGTAACATTTGATATTCGTGCCCTTATAGCGATAAAGGTGTCTTATTTGCCTACAGTCATTATCGGCGTCGATGGCGATTGAGGCAACCTCATGCGTTTGATATACATGGCAACCTTGTTWCGCCTACTTGGACAAGGCGGGCCTCACAGAAATCGTGCTTTGCAGCTTTGACGCTGTTTCTGAATTGATGCACTCCCCATCGACATATGCACGCGTTGACAACCACTGGCTTGCGCTGACTCTCAGGCCGTTGCCGCGATGCAAGGGGCGCGGCTGCAGAGAACCGAAGGAGACGGGAACTTCGGCCCCTGCGATGGTCGGACAGAGGTGCTTGACAACATCACAAAGACGCACATACCGAAGTACAGCGGGACCTTCGCGTAGTCGCTTCTTGGTCGCCAGACTCTCGTTGTAGGCATCATGTGATCGCTGTAACTCTTCGGCAAACGACATTGTCGAGTTGCCCTCCTCGTCCTTTGGAATGGGGCCGTTCGGGTCCTGGTAATGCATGTTGGCAAGCCTTGCTGTCATACTTTCAGACTCGTCCGCTGCAAGCTCTTTAGTCATCCACAGATTGGCAAGGCTTCCCTCGTAACCCGGCTTGCCCGGCTGGAGCATTAGCTCTACTCCACGAGGACCGAGAAGGGGCGCGGCTGTGACGTTGAGCACCCAGGAGTGCCTGTCAATGTCATCCTGAAGCATTGTCGGCCAGTCTTCCTTGAAAACTTGCAACGGCATGAAATAGTACGTTAGGTAGTTCTTGTTGGCTGGACTTCCTCGGAGAGCTCCGGAGATCCACGTGGGAAGGGAAGCCAGCACCTCCTCTCGGTGCACGTACTGCGCTTTGGCGATCTCGTTTTCGGTGCGGATTCTATCCTCTTCTGCTTTTCGAGCCTCCTCAACTTTACGCGCCTCTTCGGCATATTTTGCTTCTGCAACCCGACGCTCCTCTTCCTCCCTGCGAGCGTTCTCTTCGGCAGCTCGTTGCACAGCCGCTTCGGTTTCGGCCTTCTCGAGCTCAAGACGCTCCTGCTCGAGCCTTTGCGCGTCCTCTGCTGCCTGCCTCTCCACTTCCTCACGCTTCAAGACTGCCTCCTTATCCTCTGCTGTCTCTTCTAGAGTCGGCAGCGACTGATCGGCGACAGGGCGCACCAGCGAAAGACGTCTGCGTGTTCTAGGTGACGCGTCCGAAGCTGGTGCAGAAACGCTCTTAGTTCTGGATCTCGGAGAAGTGCGCTTATTCAAGGGGCTGTCTGGTGGTTTCATCGAACTCTCCCCGCTCGCGTTTGCTACAGTTGCCATTTCGGTGTTGGACTCGTCATCCGAAGAAGCGTCAGAGGTTCCTTTGCCGTTGGCGCGCATGGCCTTTCTGGACATTAACCGACGACCGCCGTTACTGCGAGGTGGAGCTGCCTTTTCCTGATCGTCTTCAGTCTCGTCGTCGTCGTCGTCATCGTCGTCGTCATTGTCATTCCCCGTGGTAGGTTGTGGACGTCGCGTGCCACCCTCTCTCCTAGTAACCGGGCTTGAGCTGCGACGCTCCTTCAGAGCTGCGCGCGAGTCGTAGAGACGCTGTAAAAGATCGACCTCCTCTTTCCAACTGGGTCCGTGGCGCGCTTCTGCAAGCTCCGGCCAGCTCTGGCCCAGGCGATTGCGATATAGCGGATTAAAATTGTCTAACTCGGTCAAGGACTTAACCATCTCAAAGTGCGAGGTACCCAGAACACTAAGCATTGGCAGTTCCGGCTTTTGCACAGCCTTTTTGTGATCCATTTCCGCTAAAAGCATATTCACCAAGTAGATATCTCCAGTCTTGGCAGCCAGGGCGATGACTGCGTTGTCGACAGGCACTCTCGCATCTAGAAACTCTTTCACCCCATTGCGATCGTTATTCTGGACGAGCTTGAGTAGATTCTCGTACGAGCGTGCCATGAAATGGAGCTCTTTCGACGGTCCAGCTCGATGGCGCTGTTCTTCCTCCTGTTCGCGCTTTTCCTTCGCCCCGCTACTATTCCAGTCCTCGATCGCTTTGCGGAGAGCTTGCCGAATCTCAGTGGCGTCCTCGATCTCGTCCATTACAACATCCAATGCTTGCTGGCCTCTTTGATTCTGCCGAAGAGGATCGACACCGGCTTTCAATAAGCTGTGTACCACGTCCAAATGACCATTCTCAGCTGCATCAATAAGGGGAGTATCCTTATCCACGTTCGCGCAAAAGACATGGCAGTCCTGTTCGATGAGGTAGTCCACAACTTCGACATTGCCGTTCAGCGCGGCAATTTGCAGAGGCGTGTTGCCAGCATTGTCCGCGAGCTCCAGCTGCYCCGGGTCTTTCTCTATCCACGCTTTCACCTGCTCGATATCACCCTCTTCGCATGCCTCAGCAAGCTTCGTGAGGCCGTACTTGTTGACATGCCGTTTATGTTCGCGACCGGGTGGTCTCCCCGGAGTGGACGTGGACCTGCCGATACCCCTTCGCGGCCGTCTGAAATCGCCTTTTCCATGGGATGTAGCTTCGGAGGAAGCATCTGACTCCTCCCAGGCCGCCCGAGCATTTTTATAATCTTTTCCAAGTTGCTGTGTATTAGCACGACGCTTTCTGTTCAAAGGGTCACCCGGCGCATCGTCCATGAAAGCTGATTGGGTCGACGCAGCACGCCTGTGGTTGCGCAGCTTCGGCGAGAGAGATTGGCCAGTCCTAGTAATGTCCTCGGAATTGAGCCCGTTCACCCTAGTCTTGGCGGCATTTAAACTTGGGCGCTTGTTGGGCAAACTGACGGAAGATGCCCTATGCTTCCTCTTTCGCGGATTGGCAAAGTGGTTCCCGTTACGACTGACATCGGCCTGTTCGGACACAGCACGGTTGCCCGAGTCGCTGACTGATTCGCCCGGGGAAGAGGATCTTGCGGAGCTTAGCGAACCACTTCTATAATCGTTTCCACTTTCTGCCTGGTCGCGATCCGCCATTTCTTGGTCCTTGTCTTGGCTGGGTACATCGTCCAGGATCGCTTTCTCCACACTGACCAGCGTACTTGGAGCAGGAGAGACGGCAGCAGAGTCATCCTCGTCGTCTCCAGAAGTGGGCACGGGCAGGCCACCGATTCGATGAAGCTGTTTTGACACCCGCTCAACTTTGATTTCCTCTCCATCCTGCCGCGCTTGCGCTTGCTGCAATTGTTTCTTTTTCACGGGTGATTCAATCAAAGTCTCCGCCTCCGATGCATTGTCATCACCGCAGTTCGCCGCTCCAGCGGCTTCCTGGGCTGCAGTGTCGCGATCGACGGCGGGCTCGTGACCTACATTGTCATTGCTCGAAGGCGCGGCAGTATTCCTGGGCGAAGCTTGCTCGATTTTTGCTGTATTATCATCCGGATTTAAATCATTGACCTCGCCGGGAGGTTGGTCCGGCGGTGTGWTGCCATTCATAACGATGAGTGGTGGTGACGTCTCATTACTCGTAGGTCAGGCAGTAGTCGAGTTCAGGGATGTCGCGCAGGTCGCCGTCGAGGCGCGGTCGTGCGTGAAGAGTAAGGTATCCAGCTGGAACGCGTCGATCAAGGTTTTGATTGGGACACACAGAGTGTTGTGCTGCAGACAAGGTGTGAGGAAGTTGGGTGGTAAGTTGTGTTTGGAAAGTGGAGTTCGGTGGAGGCGCGCGGCGCCGATGGAAGCTAACTACATTCATACCACGATCTGCGGAGGCACGTTCTTTTGATAAAGCTTCTGTGAGGTGACGGCCGAACAAGGTGTCTAATTCAATTTCCCAGGTCAATCAATGATGTGGATGTCGCGAAACATCAGATGCTGCAGTCCCAATAATGGTGGCTGTCCCAACGCCTCATGGTCCAAACCCAAGACCATTCAATTCATCACCATTCCCATAAGCTCGTCAATCACATCATAGCGCACCCACCACTCCTGGCGCGTCTCCTTCGTCCACCACCGACCCCAATGCCCGGAGTATTCGCATCGCCTGCCTCGTCGGCATGCATCATTTGCATTTCTCGAAGCCTACGCTGCCGACGCCGCCTACCAGGCCCAGCTCCTGCCTCCTCCTGCGCCATCATGAATTCCGCGAATTTCCTCTCCAGGCGCCGGGCAGCCACAAAATCTCCTCGCATGACGCGCTTCGTGTGCTCTTCGACTGTCGGCTGAAATGTGTAAAAGCACTTTAGTTGGATCACCTGGGTCGGGAACGTCGAGCTTCTAACAACGTGGATCCGAGGCTGCATTGTAAGGTTCTCCGCTGATGAGGACGCTGAACTGGACGCCGAATACTTCTCCAGCGGTGGGAGCTGTGTGGTGTGGGTCGTGATCGATACGTCGGCGTTGCGCGAAAGAATTTCGCGGACTCCTATCCACGTTACGTGCTGGCAGTCATAAGCTACCAGTTTGAGGCCGACGGCGGGCTTGAAAAGCGAACTTCCCGCTGTAATGGCACCTTGCACTCTCGCGCGAGGTGCTCGCTGGCGTACCATGACTGCTGCTTCAGTCAAAACCAGATCTCCAATGCGAGTGTTATCCATCTCTAGCGACCGGAGATTCGTGCACGCCTTTACAACAGGCAACATTCCAGGATCGCCGATACTCTCGCAGTATGAGATGCACAAATGCTGCAGACGCGACGCGCATGGTGCGCTGGCTAGAGCCTGCATCGAACGGTTGGTCAACCCATCCAGCTCCTCCAAGTCAAGGTGTGTCAGCATCGGGGTCGTTGACAACAGATCGATCAAAGTCGCATCAACAATGCTAGGGCATCTTGACAACTGCAAGCCTTCAATGTCAGGAACATTGTTGATTAGAGTTCGCACTCCCTTGTCGCTGATGCCACGACATCTGGTCAAATCAAGGTGCTTCAATTTGCGTGGCGGAACCGCCGGTCTCCCGGTAAGGAAATCGATTTCACTTTCCTTGCCTTCGATTAGCAYGGCGAGCGAGGCATCCGTTAGCGTGTCACAGTTCATCAAGATCAGGCGCTCCAGGCTGTTGTTGAGGAAGAGCTCATGTGCAAAATCGAGATCGTCCCAGCCTTTGATTTCGCCAGCCCGAAGGTCTTTCAAGTTTGGACWGCTCTCTACAATTTTGCGCAGTCCTCGGGTATCAATGTTGTTGCACCACGAAACGTTCAGATACTCCAGCTTGGGACAATTGGAGGACATGATCTTCAGACCAGCGTTCGTCGCTCCTGCAAGCCCAGACAGGTTGATATGCACCAGCCTGTTGTTTGACCAGAGAAAGTTGTGTATCGATGCACGATCGATGCGGCAACCTTCGAGTGAAAAGTTTTCGAGGTTTGTGCAGGCATCTGAAAGCCCTCTGGTATTCCACTTCTCCCTCAGCTGAACACAACCTCGCAGATTCAGATCTCGTATGAACGGCCCGGCTGACGTGATGATGCGGACCAGCGCGTCTGCAGGAATTTCTTGGTAGAAGCCTGTGGTATCCATATCACCCCAAAGCTGCCCATCAAAGCATATCTCATGCCATGACTTTGACACCCGCGAACAGCGTACGATCTCTTTTGGTGTGAGATACGTCAACACCTCCATCTTGAGTTCAGACGGCAGCTCGCGCCACAGATTGAAATTCTTCTGTTCGGCTGAAAGCTGGCCCACTGGTCTCGAGAAATAGTCCCCATCGATCTCCGCGATCCCAGGTGTCGGTCGAGCACTTGTTGTAGGGCGGAACTCGGCGGGCATCCCCACCGAAAGCTTGCCATCAATGGCATTGGATGGCACTTCTCGGACTCTCACGGTCTCGGCAAAGCTAGGTATCTGGAAGCCAGGGGTGCTAGCCGCAGAGGTGTTGGCATCGAGATAAGTCGTAGGAAACCCTCTGTTCATGGCAGACCCGCCCATGGCCGAAGCGGAATTGAGCGAAATGCATGACACCGATCCTATGCCACTCCCACTATACCCGCGAGATCGCGGGGCGTTGAGCCTGGTGACAGACGGCGAAGAAGAGATGCGTTGTAGGCCGGCAAGCAGTCTGTCTTTGCCTCTGCGTTTCCGTGGTGGCTCTGCGTTCGATGCACCGGAGAGCGCCAGGCTCGTAGGTGGTTCAACTGCTGAGGAGGACACTTCTACCTCATCCTCAGAATTTGTGACCGGCGGCTCCATGTGCACGTTGGCCATGTCGATCGAAGGACCGCACAGCCGCTACGGAGTATGGTTCGAAGGCGTGAAGAATAACGTATCGGCGTTAACCTGACCGCTTGGGTCGGCGGTGGGTTGAAGAGCAAAACAATTGCGAGGTAGGATGGTTTGCGATGGCGAGGTGTGGGTAAAGAGTCGCGTGTGGTGTGGTGTGCCGCTCAACTGGAAAGCCCCGCGACAGTCAGTCAGCTGCAACATTCACCAAAGAAGCGCGTGTGATAGCAGAAAGCTAGCAAACAGCTTATCAAACATACCAAAAGCCACACAGCCGTTATCTATGTGTACAACCAGCGGTCAAGTGTCCAACTTGAAGGTTGCTTGGTTGTTGGCAATCGCGTCCTTTAGTCAGGCGACTTTTCTCCCTTGGGAGCGCGTGCGTGTTCGAGGGAATTGTACCTGCTAAGGTAAGGTAGTTCTAGCTTATCGATTTGCCAGAGGTGGGGGARGGGGTTCGAATCGCCGACGTCAACGCTGGAAACGTCTCACACGCTTGACCGTGGGATGAAACTCGCAAAGGGCCACACGGTTCGTGGGTAGCGAGGAGTAATGTGGTCAGTAGTCAGTGGAATGGGGCGCTCAGCCGTAGTTCTACTTTACATTACTTCACACGCCTGCACTTCCCGAAGGAAGGATTGCGTGTCTGACAACTCGGGCTAGCCGTCCGAAGGGAACAGCAGCAAGTATCGTCTTGGCGCCGATGTCCCAGAGACTCCAGTGCGGCCCAGGCCCACCACAGCACGGGGAGGCGACTCGTTCAGCGTTTCAAGCCTCGGACTGGCAGCTGATGGCATGCATTCTCACCACACACATGAGTCTGTGTGCTTGAACTGTCGTTCACCACAGTCAGCACAGGCAAGGGATGGCAGCCTCTCGAGATCATTCATTCACAAGCAATGCGGTTCGCGGGATGCTGGGTTTCGTCGCGCCGATACAATCYGTGTTCGCCATTTAGATGCTCTCGCCTATCAGCATGAGACGTTAATGCTGCAGGGCAAAATAGCGCTCCGGCGAACACTTGACCGGCTGAATAGTTTTGCACTGCCACACAACGTGGAGAACGACAGTCTTGAACGTGTTGGCATTCGCCTTGGCTGAACGGCTTACCTGTTTCGAAGAGTCCACGCCTTTATTAGTGGCGTTGATTGACTTTACGCTGCCCAGCTCCAAGTTGGTCTTCTGCAACTACAAATCGTGGATGCGATGAAAGAGAAGCGCTGTCCAGATCTTCAGCCCATTATAGTWGTACGTTATCGTGTCCAGCCGGTCAGTCTCACAATCCCTTCCAACAACACTCAGCTTACTCCTTCTTTGCGGCTGCGCTCAAAGCTGCCTGCTCGTCCCAGCCCTTTCCAAATAACTTGGGTATGAATCTACCGACTCGCTCTTGATAGAACTTGTACTCTGGGTACTTGCCGGCGCTGATACCCTCAGTGAGCGGCGTGCTGCCGGCGAAGACAGCGCAATAGCTGAATGCACCGACTACAGTCCAATTCCAGAACGTGTGGGTCTCGAGACAACTCCATTGGTAGAGCAAGACCCAGATCGTCTGCTCTGCAGCAAAGTTGGGGTGTCGGCTGTACTTCCAAAGGCCAGTTGTGTTGAAGCCGCGATCCATCTGAGCGCGTGTCCAACCGGCGGGCACTTTGGCCGTCTTCTGGTATTCATTCTTTGCCTTGTGATAGTTCCATTGCTGTCCATCCGCAAAGTATTCAAACACCACAAGAGCCATCAGTGCCCTGGCGATGACGACTTCGGAGAGGGACATGCCAGGGTTGAGCTGCGAGGCAAGCATCAAAGCATAGGTGGGGAGGGTCACGCTCCAGAGGAGGACCTGTACTCTCGTCAGCTAAGATCTTGAATGTAAAAGCACAAATTGGCTAATCCTACCAGCTGTACTGAGGAAATGAAGACGATGTTGAGCACAAAGAAGGCAACACCGCCGATCTGCTTCTTAATGAGCTCCCATCGGTAGTCTTCACTCCCAATTTGATATCCTCCCCTCCGCCAGTAGTTGAAGGTCAGCCTCATCGACCATACAACACTGAAAGCCAGTACGTTGTCCACCCTTGTCGTTTCGAGGCCATTGAGATGAGCCCAGATTGCGAGATGCAGATTGAAGAGCATCGGCAGAATAGACCACACCCTGTCGACCTGACTATAGTTCCTGTTGATTTCGGATATGATCCAAAACACAGGAAATCCAGCCAGAGCCAGCGCGAGACCAAAGATGGCCGGGTTTGTAGAGAGGTAAATATGCTTGAGAGCTTGCAAGTCGCCCAATGCAGCCCAGACTTGCTCTGGCAGTGCATAGAGTTGCTGGAGGTGTGCATGTTAGACGTTGTTCATTCGCACACATCTGCGTAGAACTTACTGGCAGGAATGGTTCAAAGGTCTTTGAGTAGTCGGCACAGTCCACGAGAGACTTCGCAGCAGGCAGCGCCATGCCAGACGCGTAGGGCAGCAACWTATTGGATTGTGAGGTTTGTGGTACGAGAGTCTGTTGTTCCGTTTCGTTTTGTAGATTCAAAAGCGCGCACGCGTCATGTCATCAATGTCATCATCGAACAAAGGCGAACTTTGACCACGCGAACTTCTTGCCCAGTCATTGCAATGTTCTGACCAACATTTCGGCTTTGAGCATGCGCTCATCACTCATTCGGGTCACTGCGAAACGTTCGTTATGGAGACTACCTCTCCAGCGATCGTACGCCATTCAGGCGCCTGGATCTCCGGCCATTGCTTCGGTATTCGACAACCGGACGAAGTGGATCCAAAAGGAGCGCGCCGCGAACGATACCACACACAGTCGACAAGTCGATTATCTCCGAGATGAGGTCGCCATGCGACTCTGTGATCGAGTCCTGGACATCAACCGAAATTTTCCTAGAGTGCTTGATTTTGGGGCAAACGCCTGTAATATTGCGCGAGCCTTGACCCGCCCAGATCCAGACCCAGAATCAGCGAAGCCATCTGTCGAGCCGATCGGCAAGAAGATTGAGAGCATTGTCTGCGCCGACACAAGTCCAACGTTGCTGTATAGAGATCAGGATGAGCCTTTCAATAAAGAGATCAATATCACAAGAGAGGTGCTGCAAAGTCCAGAATATGTGCCATACGAGCCAGAGACATTTGACCTCGTCATGTCCTCGCTATCAATGCACTGGATCAATGATCTGCCCTCTGTCCTGGCGCAAATCAACAACTGCCTCAAGCCAGATGCGCCGTTCATTGCGGCCATGAGTGGAGGTGACAGTTTATTCGAGTTGCGAGGGTCATTGCAGCTGGCAGAATCAGAGCGCCTGGGTGGCATTGGAACACACATATCACCACTTGCAGACGTGCGAGATGTAGGAAATCTGCTCTCGCGTGCCGGCTTCAAACTTTTGACGGTTGATGTTGACGACATCATCGTCGACTATCCGAACACTTTCGCACTTATGTCAGATCTGCAAGCAATGGGAGAGGCAAATGCAGCATTACGACGAGAGCCGGGTGGCATCAGCAAGGATGTGCTACTAGCAACGGAAGCCATATACAGAGAGATGTATGGCGAGGAGCAGGAGGATGGTACAATCACCATACCGGCCACGTTCAGGACCATCTATATGATTGGGTGGAAAGAGGGTGCCGCGACACCAAAACCGCTTGAACGAGGGAGCGGAGACGTGAACTTGAAAGAGCTGTTTGGAGGAGGTGGTGGTGGTGTCTAGTACATATAAAAATCCACTTCTGCGTGATCCTAGCGGTCGAGTTCACAATTATTGTACAATTGACATGCAACATTTGAAGTCTGTGCTCGGAGACTTCCCTAGAGTGAGGGAGTTGCAGGTGGTTGTCATCGCGTCGACCCTGGAATGCAGCTTCGGTGGACCGTCGCGTTTCCTCACTTCCCGTCCCTATCTTGCAACCCACATCAACACCACCCACCATCACCTTACTTTCCTCTTCGCAAACTTCGCCGCTGCGCACGTTGTCCGGGTATCAATACTTCCACACGGTTTCCATTGAAGCACGCAATGGTCGACTACGCCAAGAAGAAGAACGACGAGCTCGCCGCGCTATGCAAGGAGCGCAGCCTGCCGCATACTGGAAAAAAGGCCGACTTGGTCAAGCGCTTGGAGGACTTCGATGCCAAAGATGCCTCTGCGCCTGATTCTGCGCCGGCCAAGTCAGTTGCAGCCGAAGACGAGATCGACTGGGACGATGATGCAAAGGCCGCCACAACGGAGCCTGCGGCAGCTGCCATTGCAGCTGGCGGCGTCGGTGAGGTTGCGAACCCACTCGCTGTGCCGAATCAAGAAGCCGCGATCGATCCTTCCAAGACAAACGACCTCACCGTGGTAGCTCCGTCTGAACAGCCCGCCGCACAAGAAGCTGAGTCGGAGTCGACAATGGAACATCGGACACTGGCTGCGGAAATTGAGAAGCGGAAGGCGCGTGCGCGCAAATTCGGCATGCCTGAGAACAGCGAGGAAATCAAAGCTTTGGAACGAGCGCTAAGGTTCGGAGCCACTGATCTGCCTGGCTTGCTGAACAAGGCACTTCCAGCGAAGTCGGAGCGAACAGACAGAAAGCGTGGTCGGGCAAGCGTGGAGCCAGAGGGTGGTGTGCGCAAGGCAGCAAGCCGAGCGCGCAAGGGCGGTGACCGTCCGAAGCCTGTCAACGGCAAGACGGAGACCTCAAAGCCTTCGCAGGGCGGTGCCGCTTGGATGAACGACAAGGATCGCGAGGCCGCTGAGCGTCGGAAGGCTAAATTCGCTACTGCGGCTTGAAGAATTGATGAGCGTATTGATGTGGGTGATTTGGATGCATCATACAGAAGCGCCCTTATGCAGCGTGATGCTTTAAGAGCGATCAATCTAATACGGTTCTCCGAAGCACGGAGTGGCACTCCACCTTTTCTGTCAGCATATACCTGCTTTTAGCGGATTGCCTCGTTTCTGTCAGCAACACTTTCAGGTCAGGTCAGGAGACTTATCAAAGAAGCTGGCCTGGCTAACGCGGTCGCAATGAACTCATAGCTTGGACTGGGACTTGCGCCAAATTTGCACCTCAGGCAAATCCGTCTTTGCTGGGAAAAACTGGGGTCCGAGAATCTTCTTCACCACCTTGCCAGTGGCAGACTTCGGCAGCTCTTCTGGTATCACCCGAAGCATTGTTGGAATCTTGTACCCGGCAAGGCGCGAGCGAAGGTCCTGGCGTAATTTGTCCAGAGTAAGGTCTTTCTGGAGGAACTGGCGATCGCCTGGGGACGAGTCTTTTTCGGTTTTCAAGCYGATCGCTGCAGCGACACGCTCGCCGAATTCTTCGTCCGGAACGCCAAYAACCATTGCCTCGGCGACGTAGGGCAAGGCTAGGATTTCTCTCTCGATATCTAGAGCGCTGATCTTGTAGCCTCCACTCTTGATAATGTCCACACTGGCTCGGCCCATGATCCAATAGTAGCCGTTCTCTCGTCTAGCAATGTCACCAGTTTTGTAATAGCCATCCTCGGTATGAGACGCTGCGGTCGCCTCTGGATCGTACAGGTATTTGGAAAACATGCCGGGGCTCTTGACAAGAATTTCGCCTTGCTCGCCCTCGGAAAGACGGATGTCACAGCCAGGAAACACAGGTCCAACCGAGCCGTCCGGAGGATTGACATCGTTCAAGTGGACTTTGAACACTGCTCCTATCTCCGAGGCACCATACCGCAACAGGATATTCTTGCGAAGCGCTTGCGCCCACCAATCTGCTACAGGTTTTGGCAGAGCTGAAGTCCCGCAGAGACAAGCGCGTAGCTTTCGAGCTCCGTCAAGATACGCCTCCGCGTCGGATTGGGACAGCGTGTTTTGCTGGTTCTGGAACCATCGCATCCTGGAAGTGTAACGTCGACGTTAGCGATGCGTCTGAGGGCTGCAGTCCCTCGAACTCTGGGCCGCAACTCACATTCTCATGTAGATGGTCGGCACTCCGGAGAAGAACGTGATGCCTCCCTGTTTCCAGCGGTTCCATGTCCATTCTGGATCGAAGCCGCCACTCTTAAATTCAAGCGTAGCACCAGCCATCAAAAATGGGAAAAACATCATGCCGATGCCCGTGGCGTGGTGCACTGGGAGCAGGTGAAGCAGTACATCTTCTGGGGTGATCCTGTAGTGGTCAATGACAGCGAGAGCCTCATCATGAATGAAAGCCCTCCGCATAACAGCGCCTTTGGGAGGCCCGGTGGTCCCGCTCGTGAAGATAACTACCTAAAAGCGAAAGGCAGGCGGGTCAGCGTTGTCTTGGATCTTCATGCCGGGCAGAAAGCGTTTCCTCCGGCATCATATCCTCTTTTCTCATGGCTTTCGATCACTGGTCGAGATGCCTCTTGGCCTCTTCACTGTACTTACACCAGGAGCGCTATCTTCGAGGTATAAGTCGGAAGATACTATGATTTGAGATGGATGCAACGGCGGATTCCTCAAAGATGGTGTCGTGGGGATGCAAACAAAGGTGCTTCGCGGATTCTCGTTCTTCACTAGCTTCTCAAGAGACAAACCAAGTCGAAGAGCACCGTCAGATACCAACACCGCCACGGCCTTGGATTTAGTCGCGAAATACAGCGCCTCTTCTGGTGGAAGAGCGACTGTCATCGGGACTACCGCTACTCCAAGAGCGAGGGCAGCAAGAATCGACACTGCGAACTCGTACCCTCCAGCACTGATGATTGCGATGTACACCTCCTGGCGCTGGTCCAGTGCCCGTTGGACGTCCTGGCTGAGATTCTCTAATATTCTTTCACGAAAGGCAAGTACATCGGTGAGCAGCTGAAGATGCGTTGCTTCAATGCCCGTGTTGTCATCTCGTATGCAGAGCCTAGGCGGTGAAAAGTGGGCGAACCTGACCAGTCTGGCAAAGGCTGGGTGACATGGGAACACATTTCTCCCAATGTGTCGGGGTACGTACAGAGTGCGGTCGTCGTAGCTTGTCATTTTCCAGTGTTCTTGCATCAGTGATTGTAATGGTAGGACATCCTCTTGTGGTATGCTGTTGGGATCTGGTTCAAATGTGCTGCTGGAATTGACGGCTACACGTTCCAGTTTGCGATAAACGGCTTGAATTGATGGCCAGGACGGGGGCATCAGGATGTCGCTGTAGTAGTGCTGTGTTTGTGTCAGTTGATTCGTAGTCGCAAGAATTGCCGTTTATGCTGGCGACGGATAGCTAGGATCACGCCCGTTGTAGCCGTGGGGAAGTGAATGTAATCCGGAGTACCCCGCCAGGCGCTCCAGGGCGTCCCCAGATCGTCGCTATGGACGGAATTGAATACCCGAGGATGACAAGGACATTTGCYTTCGGCGAGATGCTTAACCGTTTCAGACCCCGTCTGCACATAACTTAAGCAAGTATCGTTCACGACAATTCGAGCGAGGAGGAAAAGATGAAGGACTTCTCCGACAAGCTCACGCCTGCTTCTCCTACCGGCCCAGAGATTCTTCGAAAGGAGCGTGGCCAATCTAATGTTCCTATCGAAGAGCTGGCCAACCACTTACTCTCCCGAAATGATTTTTTGAAGAAGCAGGTTGCCGTCCTTCCAGTTCTGGAAAAGGATCCACTGTTTTCCAAAGCTCGGCAACAGAATCTTTCGCGACCAGAGCGTTACCATCTGGGTCTCGCTCGAGCAAAGAAGCTGCGTCGTCTTGCCGAGCAGCACAATTGGGATGAAGAAGATGTCGTTATGAGCAAGTACCTCTGCGATGATGTGTCTCCGTACATGGTCCACGATACGATGTTCCCCACCACTGTTCGTGAGCAGGGAAGCGAGGAGCAGAAGAAGTACTGGATGCCAAAGATCGACAATTGGGAGGCCATTGGATGTTACGCACAGTCCGTGCCATCAGCTCCTTGTCATTCTTAGACACTAACTGATTGTCGATAGAACCGAACTAGGCCACGGTAGCAACGTGCGTGGCCTTGAGTGCAAAGCTACATGGAATCCCAAAGAAAAGAACTTCACCATTCACAGTCCAACTTTGACCGCGTCGAAGTGGTGGAATGGAAGTATGGGACGCACTGCCAACACTGCCATCGTAGTAGCCCAGCTCTACGTTCCCAAGTCTTCGAATCCTTCAGAGCTGGTGAATCATGGACCGTCAGTCCCTTCCAACCATCTTCATCGTTCTGTCTGATCTTGTCAATAGCCATTCGTTCATCGTCCAGATTAGAGATCTGAAGACGCACAAGCCGCTGGACGGCATAATCGTTGGTGACATCGGTCCAAAATATGGTTATGCGCCAATGGACAACGGCTATCTGCTGTAAGTTGTATGCCAAGTTGCCTTGCTATGCCGGCCTACCTGTATTTGCTGCAAGCTGACCATTCATTCCGCGAAAGGTTCGACAATTTCAAGGTCCCACACTCCGCCATGCTGAGCAGATACTCGCGCGTAGATCCGAACACAAGCGAGTACACGAAGCCAGCCAATCCCGCTGTGGTATACGGTTCCATGACGGCCGTTCGGGCAGCCATCATCATGCACGCCCGTCTGATCATAGCGAGAGCTGTGACGATTGCAGTCCGATATGGAACTATTCGCAAGCAGTTTCAGGATCGTGACAGCACMGACAAGTCCGCGCCAGAACTCTCTGTCCTGGACTATCCCACGGTGCAGATACGGATCCTTCCATTACTGGCTACTGCGTTTGCTTTCCACTATACCGGTGAAGCGATGCACAACCTCTATTCAAACACCAGGGCCCAAATTGACAAGGGCGACTTCTCTAACTTGGCAGTCCTGCACGCCCAATCTTCTGGGCTGAAAAGTCTCTGTACTGAGCTCGCAGCAAACAGTATCGAGACATGCAGAAGGGCTATGGGAGGCCATGGATTTGGTGGAGGCAGTGGCTACATCCAGCTCAACTCCGACTATCTCTCCAAGCCAACAGTGGAAGGCGACAACTGGATGATTACCCAACAGACCGCTAGCTTCCTGATCAAACGCATGCAAGCTGCTGCGGCTGATAAGGGCAAAGCACAGGACGCAATGGAGCAGTCTTGCCGAGACTGGCTGGTCGAGAAGGACAGGAAGATGTTAACTTTCCGGATATTCGACAGCGATGAAGACCTGGTGAAGGCCTTCCACAGGAGGTCTAGAGATATGACTTATCGGGCGTATGTGGATCGCTTCGTCAACAAGCGTGATTGGAACTCGATGCTCCTGCAGCTGCGCAAGGTCRGCCACGCAGAATCGCAGTCTATCCTCGTGACGAACTTTTACGAGGCGATGTCGGAAGCCAAGCTATCGCCCATGCTGAGGGGACATCTACAACTGCAGTTCAGACTCTTTGCTTTCTTCACCATGGAAGCCGAGGCCCGAGACTTCGTTAAAGCGAATGCTGTGTCCGACGACGACCTGGATGCTCTGCCAGCCAAGATTCAGTCACTCATGGCTGAAATAAGGCCTCATGCAGTTCGATTGGTGGATTCTTGGAAGATTCCAGACTACCTGCTTGACTCCGCTCTAGGCATGTCAGATGGCTCTGTCGTAAGTATCCCCACTGCCATCTAATCGTTTGTTTTGTTCGCCACTGATATTCGCAGTACGAGAATCTGTGGAACCGAGCACATCGTCTCAATCCGTTGAACGAGACTACGTTCAACCCATATTACCAGAACGAGGAGATCGTAATGGGCGGTGGGTCCGGCAGCTTGAAGGACATCATGTCAAAGCTCTAGTTTGCGAGCAAGGCACGCACAGCACCGTCTAGCCTTCGACACTCACGACTCTACCACCACCTCCGTCGCCATCAGGTACCCATCCTTTCGGCCGCTCGGCGCCTCTTACGACAAGACCGTACCTGTGTTGCGTTAGCGGATACATATATAAATCGACAGTTCACTTACAACGACTGCTCCACCTTGTCGACACTGTTACGCATGACTTCCATCTTCTTGTCGCAGTCCTTGGCAAAGGGACCATAGTTTCCAGTGTTGAGAGCTTCCAACGCGGCTCGAAGACGACGCATGTCGTTCAGAACGCTTCGCTCCTCGGGCTGCACCGTGTCGTCACTCATGGCATCCGACGAGTCCGCTGCAATGGTGGGCAACGACCCATTGGTAGCCATGGCCGTGATGGCGAACCTCATCAGCTCTCCAGTCATGTCGTAGATACCGAGAAGATAGTCCTCGGGAGTCAGCAGCACACCCGGGCCTTCCACATCCATACTACGCATCTTCGAGACAGCTTCCTCGTAGGTCAAAAGTTTCGCGGTCATCAAATAGTGCTCGAATGATGCTGCTTCCATCCACTCCTGACATCCGCCGCTGATTTGGCGAGCATAGCGGTCACCATTGAGTCCTTGCAGATCTCCCGACACGGCTGCGAATTGTGTGGAGATGATGTCGTAGTATGGCTGATTGTTCTTGATGACAGCGGCCGGCAGTGGCTGCTTGACAGCGCGAATGCGTTGTAGTGCGAAGATGCTATAAAAGAGAGACTCAGCAACCGAACGGCACATTGGGATGGATGTTGTAGCCCTCACATCTTTTTTGAAGCGGCAGTGATGTCGCGACTGGCTTTGATGACTCTCTCGCRGCGTGCGTGGTGTTCATCAAGCTCAGCACGGAAAGTTTCGAACATGGGCATGAACGGTGATGCCGTGCTTCCTGCTTTGCTGTCAGACATTTCCTCGTGTGTTCGCTTTGGGCTCATGATTCGATGTTGCACAATGTTTGTAGTTCAAAGTATCGTGGCTCATAAGAGGGTAGAGCGCTCATATCGCCACAGGAAAGTCTTGGGACGAAAACGCTCGAGATTGTACGAAGATGGAAGAACTGCCTCGAAGGCTGTACGTATGTGACATATGCCATTCAATTGGCGCTGAGATAGAGGCTCGTCTCAATTACACAGTTCGTGCCTTTTGTCTTCTTATTATTACACCCCCATATACTCCCTGATCATATTCATGCCGCTATGACAGCCCTCCTGTTCGTGTGAGCAAAGATTACGCTCCTACACTGACTCCAGCTCGTCTGTCTGCACTTAGAGCCGGCTCGAGCCTCTTATCAAACAACGCTGTTGATGTTGCCCGAGCTCCACTGATGGACCCTACACCAACACTCTCGGGAGCTGCAGTTTTCGATGGCCTTGGAGGATCTACATCACCATTGTAGCCAGCCGTAGCGTAGTGTTCAGCCTGAGCCGCCCGAAGCTCTTCGACCGCAGCGTAGGCTTTCAAATTGCCAAACATGCGGACCTTTTCGCGTCGTGCATCATCGTTGAAGGCACTGACATCGTAGTCTCTCGCGATGAACCTGGAGTCCATAGGATCTGAGAAGCCCTGGGTGCTGTTGTAATCGTAGCCCAACTCTCGAAGGAGGGTGGTGTTGAATGCAGCCATCATAGTGTTGTCTTCGTGTATCAAATCGTGACAGTGGAACATGTACATCCCATTCCAAGGTCCGTACGTTGCAAGGACATCGACCGTCTCTCCGGGAGCGATCATGACAACATCTTTCAAGCCAGCAGCCTCATATGGCGCAACCCCTCGAGCTCCACCAGAACGACTGAGAACTTGGAGGTTGACCAAATGCACATGTACAGGATGTACGGCTAGACCGCCAGTGTGTCGAAATCTCCAACGTTCGACTGTTCCTTGCGGCGGTCGTGCCAGGACTCTGCTGTTTGGATCGCTGAAGGAGACACCATTGATTGTCCAGTCATCCGCACCTCCCACCTGGAAGTTGAACTCATGGTCGACAGTATCACGGCTTGGAGGCCAATTAACATTGGCGAGCGAAGTGGGAATAGCGCCATTGATCGAACCATCTTCTACGCTCGTCCCAACGCGGAACCGCATGRTTTTGTCTGTGTTATCGAACTTTGTGTTGTTAGGCTGCTGCTCCTGAGAGTTCAGCATGGTAATGTTCGATCCAGCAAATCTAGAGAAGTCGACAATGATTTCATAACGCTCGCCCGGAGCAATGACAAAGTCCTCGGCGCTGACAGGAGATTCAAAGAGGCCTGAGTCTGAAGCAATGACTTGGAAACGAACAGCAGTGCCTTTTTCATCGACAAAGTAGACTTGAAACACACGACTGAGGGCCATGTCGAATATTCTGAGGCGGTACTTGCGAGGCTCCACATCGAAGTAGGGCCAAGGTCGATTGTTGACCTCAACAGTGTCTCCGAAGAAGCCGATAGTGCTTGGACCCGGGCTAGCGAGATCACCGTTGGACTGGTAGATCTTGTCCATGAGCGCGAGCGGAACATCATACTTTCCCTTGGGAAGTCCGAGGGCGTTGTCTGCAGGGTCTACAAGATAGTATGCTCCAGCTTGACCATAGTAGGCATCGAGTGCTGTATGGCCATGTGCGTGGTCATGATACCACATGCTCCTGGAAGATTCAGTGTTCGGGTAGTAGTAATCCTTGTACTGTCCAGGGTCGATCTCATCGAAGGCAAATCCATCCCAGGGCGAGTGCGTGTACGACCCATGAAGATGTACTGCAGAGGAACGCCTGCCCCGGTTCACGTAGCGGATGACGGTCTCGGTGCCTTTGGTGATCATGAACGTCGCTCCTGGAGCCGCTCCGCCTGTGAAGAGTTAGCTGTCGCTCATGCAAAAACAAAAGATACTAACCATAGCCTATAAGATTTGCAGGAGATAGATCAGGATACACCTGGTGTTGGAATTGCTCAATGGTTGTCTCGTAGTATTCGATCGGTACTCCATTGACTGTCTCGGTGAACAAAGGCTGCGCGACCTTTGGAATGGGTAGAGAATAGTCGAAGAGCCATTTGTACTCTGGGCTACCTGCAGACCGTCCAGTACCAGAATTTGGCAAGATGTCCTCGATGATTGAATCCAGTCTTCTCATGGAGTCCACATTCCGGCCGGTTAGCTCATCATCAATTGGGCCATCGTTTTTCAGATTAGGCAGCGTGCTCGCAAAGACCAAGGGTACAAGCCCGAGGCCAGCGGTGATGAAGAAGGCAATTCTCGTCATCCTGATGGGTTGTGCAGATTGAAATTAGAAGAAAGCGATAGATCAAGTAGGGCAGATTGGTGGGTGGCCGGTGTTAAATCGTTCGTGCAATGGACGGCAGTGGACCGTTTGTACGTTTCGATGAATGGCTTGAAACCCATTATGTACCCTATTGTCAGTCCCGACCGCCAAGTTAAATCAATCCCCTTGACCCACACGCAGTGGAATAGTCGTTGGGGGCATACTCACGCAACACAGTAGACCCTACTGCTGATCCAACCACTTCAAAGAAGCATGAACGTCGATCATTTCAGCGTTCGATAATGCATCAAGGTCAGTCAAGACATAGATCCTTGTCGATTGACCTGCAAGTAGGACAAGCTCGGGACCAGGTCTGCTGCTGTGATTGATGCATGAGACCAGTGAGAAGGGGCTGCAAGGCCGTACAAGGCAGCGACTTTTCCCTAGAGTGGACTAGGCAGATCTTCGTACTTGCACGCAATGCAGGTGAATGGGCCCACATGGCTGCCGAGTACCACAGGCCCACATGCATGGTGGTATGAAAATGTCTTCCGCGAAATCGTCAATTCAACTTCTTGCAAAGACGTCAGTACATGAACCTGAACATATCGGAGTCGGGGTTGCAACTATCACGGGAGTATGGCGCCAGGAGCTGTAAGGCTCGATTTGGTTGAATTCCTCGCGTGTGCATATCCGCGTGGTACGGTAGGCACCACACGGCGTCGTCGATGAGTGTATGGGTCAAGACGAACCTGGGAGGATGTATCACCATGGCAAGTCTCGACGATTCGTTCCTACCCACATGCTGTAGATAGTTTGGAAGACTGACCACCCTGGCTGTTTGCCTGATCCGGACAGAACTCCAGACTGACGACTGCCACTGGTGACAATGTCGAGTGTGCATTTCCCATGCTTGGCACAATGCAGTGGCTTTGACACCGAGCGCTACGTTGAAGCGACTTGCTAAAGGTCCCCGACAGGACTGTACAACATGTAAGCAACGAAGCACGAATCATTCCCCAGCGACTCTCCGAACTCATCTCGCGAGGTTTAGCTTGCACGGAGATTTTCAGGGTCGGAGTAGGCCCRCCTCACAATATGTACATCGCTCGTCAGAGCAGAATGTGAAAGTAGACACTTAATCATCGGAGATATAGAGTAGCGGGCGGGTGAGATGTCCAGTCGAATTTGATACCGAAGAGATAACCTGGCCGAAGATCTCCGTCGCACGACATCGCCCAGTCGGGAGACCTCGAAACCTGAGAAAAGTCAGTTCACTTAGTTTCTCGCTCTGTCGCTCATTTCCGGTATTAGAGAGAGCTCTTGCTTATGGAATAGAGAAAGCTCCATCGAGACGCACGTTCGAGCTCACGACCTGGTCGCACCAGTGCGATCATGACGTCTGCTGTCTGGGGCCACGCGGGCAAACCTCAGTTGTGTAACACCTCCACCATGCTCCCACTGCGCATGTACGGTCGCACGATCTACCGCGGGCCTGTGCCAGAGACCATGTGAAGGCGCCACCCGATCAGACTCCAACTTGTAGCATGCGAGACAAAGTGGCAGCGGATCGAGCTCCTCTTCGGGGCTTGAAAACGCCACGTTATGTCGGGTTCGTTGCATGTAGACGGCAAACTGACCAAAGGGGTAGATGTGGGCCATGTGGTGTCTGCTCTTGGTCATGTCTGCCGAGCCGCCTCTGGCTGAGCAGCTAAGAGATTTCAGCGGCTACAAGTAGACCGGTGATCCCTACGCATGTGGAGCAGCAAGCAAACCATTGTGCCACGTATGATCCGTGGTGGAAGGTGAATCGGTCGATTCCTGGAGTAGTAATGCACATGTGCGAGGATTAATCTTCATTCATTGTCATCGTAAGGGTGTCTTCTTGAAAGACGCGTTGTGTTCGTTAGACGACAGCAAATGCGCTTGCATAGCTCACGCTGCTGTCGGCAACCCTCGTCACATCGCTGCTGCGCTCGTATCGCACAAACTTGAACGCACCAAGTTCCTGCTTTCCTTGCTTCCTCAATTCCTCCACAGCTGCCATCATTACGCCGATGGGATGTCTTCCGCAGACCGTGTTGCCAGTTTCTTCCAGTACATCAAGCCAGGCATCGTGACTGCCACTCTCGCATGCGCCCATGCACTCAAAGTCAACATCCTTGATTGATTCGTGGATGGCACGGTCCTTGGGAGCCCTGTCTGAAGCTTTCATGCTGATGGCAGGGCCACTGGCTGGGCGATAGTATGTGTAACGAAAACGGAGTCCCCAGTGAGCAAAGTCGGAAGAAATCACAAAAACATTGGTCGGATCTGCCAGGTACGGTGCCAGTAAGCGACCCAGATTTTTCTCGGTAGAGGATGATGTGTTGCCAATCATGATGGGCACCAGAGGAGGGAATTGCATCGGGTCATCGCCGAACGATCTGCCATWCAGTCAGTCAGTGTGCTCTATTGACCAACATTTTGAACGTACTTTGACAGTGTTTTGAAGATGTATGGTAGATGCATCTCCAGACTGTGTTCTTCTTCATCAACAGACTGTGACATCCACTCAAAACTCCCGGTCGTATGGAGCTCGGTTGTGGTCTCTCGGTCTACAGCGAGGTCCCCAATGGGAGTTGCGTAATGCGTGCATCGCGACAATGCAGCTTTGGTGAGATAGTGATGATGCGATGGGCCCAGCAGAAATACTTTCTTGCTGTTTCCATTAGTACGAGATGAAAATAAAGTGAGGGCTGGACATATGAACAAGCGTCAAAATGATGCGGCATCCGGGCTGCGAAGAAGAAGCGGACTTACGCATTGGACACGTCCCAAGCCTTGTACGCCCAAGCAGCAGCCGGACCTGAATACGAGTAGCCAGCGTGTCTGTGACAAAGTGTTTAGCAGCTTGAATACCTGCAATATGTTGGCATCCACATACGGCGCGATGATCATCCGAGCGCCAGGAACAGGCATGTTTGGATGCTGTTCGCGGTCTGACTTTGGACCAATGCATGATACTGGCAGATCGACGGCACTGAGCCAGCCGTCGAGCTGCGAGTTGAGCTGTGTCTTGGAATCCGAGTACCACGAGCCCGCATGGCTGGCATTGCGAATGGTTTGACCGTTCGTCATTATTGTGGAATGCAATACGTGGTTAAGGTCGATGAGTAGGTAGGAGTGGAGTCGAGATAGAGGTAGATCCGCAAAGCGAAACGAGATCGGCAGGGACGACGGACGCGTCGCGTGTAGCTCTTGCCATTTGCACTCTCAAGCTCACCACCACCAACATCATCTCCGCCACGCTATCGGCATACCAAGACACGTTTCCACTTACAATCATACACCATTGCCATCTCCACATCATGGCTCTCAAGCGCAAGCGTTCTTCAGCGACTGTCTCCTCGCCAGCATCCATCTCCTCCTCCGCCACCAAGTCTGCCAGTCCGCCGCCACTCTTCTTCCAACAGAATCCACCAATTGAGCTATCCCACGAGCCCACATGGTCCTTTCCCACATACGACGATCACCCACAGCAACATCTGAACAGCCGAACGCGAAAACGGTATAGAAACAACCGGCCGGATGAAGAAGCAGTCTACGGTGTGTCCCGTTGGCTCGGCGCCGTCATGAACATGAGCTCCCTTGCTGATGTCTGTCGAATCGCAGCAAGCACGATTGAAAAGTTGTTCGCAGCTCAAAAGCAGCTGACCATAACTTCGCCTGTATATTCCCCTCCAACGACCACAACACCGCCGTCAGAGTCGACAGAATCGACGGAGCTGCCGCCACAGCGGACTACACTGCACTCATTCTGGCGATTGCAGCAAGCTCCCCTATCATCATCATCAACCATGATGGACTGTGCATACGACACGAATACAAGCCGTGAGACCTCCTGCGAGAATGATGATTCAATGGACATCGACGACGGCTTCGTCAATGAGGGAACATCATGTCAGTCCTGTCACCGGCGAGTCCATGGTAGATACACTGCGATTGGCAATCTGCGGGTATGTCTTACCTGCGCAAGTAGCGCATATCGATGAGACTTGCTATGGACGAAGGGATGGTGTACCGCAAAAGCGTTTCTTTATGATACCCAATCGAATTTATGCCAGGTGCAAAGCTCGATCCTCTGCTTTCTTGTCATCATCATGGCCCGTCCGAAACTGACGCTTAAGATTCACGTCTCGGGAAATGCCTTCGAAATAGGGGCGAGTTACACTGCGAGTAGGCGAACAGTACGGGAGGTGAGTGTCGAAGGCCTACCGGTGCGTCTTGTTTATACTCTTTGGCTGACTGACAGTATACTTTAGTCAAGCAGCGACTACACCCTGTTGGTGATGCCCATACAATCCTCCGCCATCATGATGTGACAATACAACCTGCGCTTCCTTCACTCAGTCGAATTCACCTGACCCCTTTCGCCGACGCCGGGACCAGCAATATAGTCAGTCCTACTACGAGCAAGGCAATCCGCTTCCGGGTCAACGCACTCCACGTCAGGTCCTTTCATACACCATCAGCATCACCATCGTGTTCTAAGGGCGGATGCCATGCTACATCGCCGCCAAGCCGGACCAACTTCGGCTAAGTCCAAGATCGATATAGTCAACTGAATTTTTGCGACGCTCCATGATGTCCACATCGTGGCAACAACGTCCTRGGTTCCCTAGTCTAGCGGTTATGACGTTTCCTTTACACGGAAAAGGGTATGGCAAACCGGCGGAAACCTGCGGTATTAAGCATAGTACTAATTCAAACGCAGTCGCGGTTCGTGTAAACTGCTATCCTAGTAATCTGCCAAGCTTAATACTGATTCTCCTTTAGATTTCGATCATCGCGGTTTGTCTCTATAGTAGTAAATGAACCAAACACAATACTGATTCTAAGTAGGGAACCTCAAAAGATTTGAGTTTTTTTGGCTCCTTGGAGATTTTCTTTTGCCTCTGTATAGCGGGATACAAAATATAACTTAGAGCTCCGTCCCCACGCCGCCTAGAGTGAAGTTGAAGATTGCCGCCCTACCTACAGCACTAAAAGATCTTCCACTCTCTACAAGAATAGCACGAATAGGGAGACACTTTACATACAAAATTTGACTCTCGGTAAGGCTGCTTCTTTTTGTGCTTATAGCTACCTATTAGCGAGCGCTATCGTCGATTCACTATAAGGAGAGCCAGCAACCTTTAATTTCACCGGCTCTTAGCCATCCGTACATAGGGGATCATTGGACTTGTTCCTAACCAGGGCCATAAGGGAGGTGGTCTGTGTGCCTTGAGACTAGTTAGCATCATCCAAGGCCCGATGAAATTGAAGGTTGTCGGCCTCGTTGCCCTACCTGTAGCATGCAAAACTTTATTCTCTGCGACAACGACAACAGCACGATTGAGATATTGGTTCGATGGGCCATTCGATCCTTCATCATTGACTCTTCGCAAGGCTGCTGCTTTTTGTGCTTGTAGCTGTCATCGGTTCACAACATGGAGACACGGCAATCTTCAATTTCACCAGCCCCTGGTTGGGCTTTTTGAAAACTTACCTTTTCATCAGACTGATCATACTTGAAGGGCCTTTTCGAAAAACAGTAGGTGCTCCATTATGCCGTCTGATTGAGTAATCACTAGCAGGGGAGGAAGTATGAATACTAAGGTAATACATGATTTGCAAAAGCGCATTGTTAAGGGATCTAATATATGAAAAAACAGGAGGTTACAACATCAATCAAGTCTTGATCCGCCAAAAAAAAACCCCCCATCTAAGCCTCAACGGCATGGTTCCAAAGCTCCTGCGAAGGACGAGCAGAGAAAGCGCTGACCTTCAGGAGAGCCTGCATCTGCTCATCAGACATGGACATGACCTCCTGAGCGACGAACCAGCGCTTGCCCTCGGTGCAAGGTGGGGTGGTGAGACTGCCCTGGTAGGTCCAGAAGTTGTCAAAGTTGTCGACCTCCTGGACAGCCGCCATGGGGTTGAGGACCACACCAGGCACAGCGGTTGTGGTGTCGTTGAGGGGAATCATGGGAGGCAATTGGTTGAAGAAGGTGCTGTTCTCGACGCCATGGTCGATGCGGAAACCAAGCACGGCACGGGGTTTGCCGGCGGCGGTGTAGTGCACGAAGTGGAGCTCGGCCTTGGTTGAGGTGCCGTCCACGGTGTGCTCGGACGGAGTGTGCGTGTGCCAGCTCGCAAGGTAAACAGTCTCGTTGACGCCGTTTTCGGAGAAGGTAATGGCTGGGAGAGTGGTGTAGTCGCCCTCCGCATGGTCGAGAGCGTACGAGGGACCGTATCCCCAGTTGGTAAGTTCTCCGGTCATCTCGGTGGGGTAGTCAATGTCGAGAAGGGCACCAGAAGCAAGGCCTAAGTTCAGTGTAAGGCCGAGCTCAAGAAGTTGGGGGTCGCGGGCACGGTTACGAGAGACGCTCTCGCCGACGCGGAGAGAAAGAGGACTCTGCTGAGTTCCGGTCTGACAAGTTTCCCAAGCTAGACGGTGTTAGCCCAATTGTTCTGTAAAGTCTTCCATTGCGAGGGACGAACCTGGGTCTTGACGGGCCCAGTCATTGGCATTCTCGTACAACCAAGTACGTTCAGTGACGCCGCCACTCTGGCGTTTGTGTAGTTCAGGGCAGGCGGCCACAATGCCCGCTGAAACAGCAAGGAGTTGGAGAGAGCGAGTAAGAGACATCGTGAGTGATACTGGATGTGAGGACTGGCGAGTGATTCTCTGAGTGTGAGAACTGGCGAGTGAATGAGAAACGGTGGATATGAGGAAGTGATGGGTTGATGGGTCCTTTCTTCTATGAATCTGCCATCTTTATACAGTTCCCAGAAGGTCTCAGCTCTTCTCCAGAGTGCAGTCACCCTGGTAATCACGCATCAAGTTCGGCAGGATAAATACAAGAGGTCAAGGAGCTAACCAGTCGCTAGGACGCTCATGACATCTACAGAAATGTATTTCCTATTGGGCCCAAGCCTCGCCTGGAAGAGGATATGAAGGGCTCCAAGAGCCAAGCTGAGCAGAACATAATCTCTGTGGGCACTTAGGGGCAAACTAGTAGGCATCCCCGGGAGTCGCTCAACAGACTGCCGTCTGGGGTCATACGGAGTCTACGGAGTCTGCTGCGCTGCGCCTCGCGCTTGAACACATAGCGGATACTGGGCATGGCCAAGACTTGGCTTACGGATTGTGCAKTATCATCCATTGATTGTGGGGGCGTGATTGTGCATGTCGCCATCACTTTATTGAGCTGTATCTTGAAAGATGGCCGGGGTGGGACTCGATCTGAATTCGGCATCGGAACAAGGCGTGTGAGATGAGCACCGAACAAATGGCTGAGTCCGGCAAGAACCTGTATCTAGCACCACGAACACTTCCTCTTACAGGGCCCATCCTCTCACAGGGTCTCTGTCTGGCACGCTCAACAACGACGGCATCATCCGATGGTTCTTGCTTGGCTGCCATGTGGTGAAAAACGTGTCTGACAACGTTGAGTGAAGTGGGGTCATCCCTGCAAGACCCGCGAAGAGCCATACCAAGCTTTAGCGAAGAGGTTGGTTGAAACTCGACAGATGCATCCTTCTCCGCATTGCCTCTGTTTTCAATCTGTTCTCAACGTCGCTAGGAGCTGAGGTGGAGGAGGTCATGTCATGCAGCTCAGTGGATTCACGAGTTGTTGCGGGGCCCCAGGGTGGGTGGAGATTTAGTCGGCGGTGGTCGGAACGGTCTTTGAAATGCGATATGAGTCTCGAATTTCAGATGGCTCTTGCAAAGCAGCGCTTGCATGGTTCCGAGACGCCCTTGAGAATTGCCGACGGCGTCCGAAGCCTCCTCTTCATCGGAGCGACGTGCCAGAATCGCGTTCCAAGAGGTCGGGCCGTGGTAGTGTCGGAAAGCAGCGTGGAATCAATCTCGATCATGGTACCAATGCAGCAGACGGATTCGGTGCTGGGCGTTTGCGTGTATACTGCTTCTTGGCGGCACTGCGATGCATTAAAGCTTCAGTCCATACCGACTCCGGCAAGGCGATTCCCAATACGCCGAGCTGCTGCTACGTCACTCGCGAGATTAGGTGCTCATGCCGCTTGCGAGATCGTGGGTGGCAGTGTATTGAGGCCTGCAATGCCAATGCCAATGCCAATGCTGTAGGTCCATTTGTCCGTCATGCAAAGGCAGCTCAGAGCCGGGTCACCGGATGCGAGCGTGGTGTTCCAGACAGATCCTGCTCGATAAGCGCGCGGATGTAGTCCTCGCACGCGTTCTGTCGCCGAGCTGCTGTTGGAAGGCACGGGTCGGGTCGGGTTAATGAGAATTATGAATTGTATGTATGTTCGGGTTGCTCGTGGGAATGAATGCATTTCGGCAGCTGTCAGCCGACGCGACACGGGAATTCTCCCTCACAGATCCTTGTCCATCCCTCGAGAACCTAGCTAGAAACATCACTCCAGAGCTACTAGTATACTGTATAGGAGGTAGTCTTCTGCAGGGAGAGCAGATGATGTCGAGAGAAAGTTGTTGTACATTGATGGATGGCCTCGATGCCGTTGGTGAACCAAGGAAAGCCATCACCAATTAATTCGGCTTCGGTGTTCCCGGTACCGTAGGATCGACTGACGATCTTCGAAGATCAGATTCAACCTCATCCAAAAAGTAGGMTTCAGTCCTCTCGACATCACAGAGACATCAGAAATCGGGATATCAGAAAATGGCCACCAAGCTTCGCATCCTTTGCCTACACGGCTTCACATCAAACGGCACCGTTCACGCCCATCAAGTCAGACGGATAACCTCATTACTTCCAGAATATGAGTTTCTATTCCCAGATGTCAGTATGCCTAGTCTTGGTCATCTTACACACGCCTAACTTCTTGTAGGGTCCTCACAAAGTAGATATAGCGTCACAGATGGACCTCTCAAGACCCGGAAACCAAGCCTGGTCAGATCTGGTCACATCACTATCTTCATCCGGTCATCGAGCATGGTGGTATGCCCGGGATGGCAACATGATCAACAAGGAGACAGGCGGCTTCTACGGTCTGGAAGAATCGCTTGCCTCCATTGGGGAGCTCTTACGGGAAACAGGACCGGTTCATGCGATTTGGGGATTCTCCCAGGGAGCTTGCTTTGCCGGGATGCTGTGTGCTTTATTCCAGGACCGTCTCGCCGATCATCCTTTGAGGCAGCATCTAGGTGCTGGGGCAGAGGTCATCGTCCCAAAAGCTGGCATCATCTTCTCGGGCTTCAGGGCGCGGTTTGAGCAGTACAATTCGTTGTACGAGACTGCTGGAATAGAGATTCCCACGCTGCATGTCATGGGAGAGAAGGATGAGGCTGTACGTGGGGAGAGGAGTCAGCAGTTGATTGAAGTTTGCTCTAACATGGAAACGCTGACCCATCCTGGTGGACACGACATTCCCAAATCTGTGGACGATCAGAGAAGAATAGCTCAATTTTTGAGGAAGCATGTAGGAGAGCAAGGATCAGGCGACAAGATTCAAGCCTCGATGTAGAAATGTTTACACAACCCACCCCGTAGACTATCGACGCGTGGATTATGTGAAGATGCTGAATGATAGCGGTGCGTGAAACGAAGGTCCGGACGGAATGGCGAGGTGAGGCCCTGAATTCATTGAACATGCCTTTCCTTCTACAATGTCTACCAACCACTCACTCGCACTCCTYTCCTGATCCTTTCTCACTGAATCGTCACTTTGCACTTTCTCGTTGCCTCCGCTTCTGAAAAACTGACAGGCATATTATCATGAAGCCCATCATCTGCATTACAATCTTGTCAAACTTCTTGGAGCCAGTGTGTGTATTCTGGAGTCTCGCCTCGAGATCACCATCACATCGGCGGACCTTGTTCTTTACTGCTGCGCCTTCCTACGTCCCTTCTGCATGACGCGTGCCAACGCCCTCTTGGTCTCTCCATCCTTGAAACCGTCCAGGTTGTAGTAGTTGGGGCTGATGTCCAACAGCCACTCTGGCTTGACAGCAGTCAGAGTGCGGATGTAGTTCTTTGAGGTGAGCACGAACTCGTTGTACAAGACCCACTCGGCATCCACACCCATCACTGTGCTTGGATGGAGTAGAACGTTCTGATTGTCCTTGACGGTAATGTACGAGTTCTTGCCGGTGTCCTTCTTGGCAACCTGCATGAAGAAACCGGCCACCAATGCACGCCGAATGTTGCTGTAGTAGTTCTTGTCGGAGAAGGGCGTGGAGCAAAATTCGACCTCGTGCTTCTCCATGATTCGCTTGAGCTGCATCCGAACATTGTCTGCTTGTTGCAGCGCACGATATGAGAGGAAGTGGTCGTGAGTCCACTGCTTCGGGTTTGCTTGCGCGTCTGGTCCCTTGAAAGCATGATACACGTTCAGCATGGTGAGGTGATCGCCGTCTTCGTGGGCGAAGAGCCGCTTCATCTCGTCGGCACGGTTGCGAGAAGATGCGGGCCGAACGAAGAGGTTTGGCACAGAAAGGAGTGCCACAAGGGATAGGATCYCATTGCTGCAGTAAAACTCAGGTGATGAGATGAGCATTACAGCGAGCGCGGGATCGAGCGGAAATTCCGAGGCCATCTGGCCGAGATGCGTGAGTTCTCCTTCATCGTCAAGACACGCGAGGAAGTTGAGCTCTTCCAACGCTCTCATGAGGGTCTCAGGGGCAGGCGGGTCCATCAAATCGAAGTGCACCAAGTCATCGATTCCGAGCTTTTTCAGCTCAAGTACCGTAGATGAAAGATTGGAACGCAGAATCTCAGGATAAGATTGATCGATCAACTCCTTCTTGAACGCCCCCTCAGTGTAAAGGCGGAAGCACTTGCCCGGTCGTGTACGACCTGCACGACCGGCTCTCTGCTGTGCCGAAGCTTTGGATATTGGCGACACCAGAAGTGACYCAACACGGATGCGTGGATTGTACACTTTCTGCTTGCTGAAGCCTGGATCAACCACATAGACGATTCCGTCGATTGTGAGGGATGTTTCGGCGATGTTGGTAGAAACAATGCACTTCCGACCTGGCCGACCTCCAGCGCGTTGAGGAGGAGGTGCTGGGTCGAAGATCTTGGATTGTTGTGCGGGTGGAAGAGAACCGTAGAGTGGGTAGACCTTCAGAGGGCCGGCATCGGCTTCGCGAATCATCTCATCCGCCTCCATGGTGATCTTCCGGCAAGCGTCTTCAATCTCCTCCTCACCAGTCAGGAACAGGAGGATGTCACCATCTGGCTCCGTGGCGTGAATCTGAAGGACGGTTCGCAGTGCAGCTTCCACGTAGTCGCGTTCCGGCTCTGGGGTATAGAAGATCTCGACGGGATGTGTGCGACCTGGGACCGCCAACAATGGTGCTTCCATAAAGTACTTCTGAAACTTTTGCGCATCGAGGGTGGCAGACATGATGATGATCTTCAAGTCGGGCCTCCTCTCAACAACACGCTTGAGCAGACCCATCAAGATATCCGTGGCGAGAGTCCTCTCGTGGGCTTCGTCCAGAATGATGGTGCTGTAGCGGTTCAGGTCGTGATCGTTCATGGCCTCACGGAGAAGCATACCATCCGTCATGTACTTGAGGATGGTGCTCTGACTTGTCATGTCCTCGAATCGAATGCTGTATCCAACCTCCTCCCCCAGCTTGACATCCAATTCCTGCGCAACACGCTGTGCGACGGACATGGCGGCGACACGACGGGGTTGAGTACATGCGACCATCTTGCCACTGGCCTGGGGCAGATCGTCGAAGAGCACATATTGCGGGATTTGTGTCGTCTTTCCCGAACCCGTCTCTCCGACGAACACCAAAATCTGGCTCTGCTGGTATAGCTCGAGGAATTCCTGGCGTTGCGCATGCACGGGCAGTCCGCGGCGAGTCTTGAGGATGCTGAAGTAGCGAGAAGACAGCGGTTGGCCTGTGAAAGCATTCAAAGGGCCATCCTCCGCCGTCTCGGCCTGCTTTGCGGTCGTGCGATGGCGCTGCAGGCCACCGAGACCAGCCCCGGATCCACCATTGCCCTGGCCATTGCTGTACTCGTCGGCGGCGGGATAGTTGTGTGCGAGATATGGATTGGCGCGGTCGTCGGTCGAAGAGACGCGGTCGTCGGTCGTCTTGACCCGCTTGAAGCGGGACTTGCGTGGCTGTTCCTCGTCAGCCATTGTTCGGGGAGGTTGATGTTATAACGTGGCGGCGACGATGATGATGATCGAGGAACTTTTTCTGGAGACTTGGACAAGTTCTGGCGCGTTTCCGCGCGCAAACTCTAAATTTTTTGGATTTTTGGACKTTTGACGACCCAACGACTTGGACGGAATTAACTGATTTGCATGCATTGGAACTCGGCCGGGACGAACACAAACATGTCAATGCAACAAGAAGAATCGCCACCAGCCCTCTTCATAGGCCATCATGAATCGCAACGCACTCTTCCCGTGAGCAGCCAATTCCTCGGACAGGCACAAGCAGCGGGATATGACCTTCTTACCGCACCCATCACGACCGACGACTTCCAGTCAAGAGTGCTGGCCAAACTCGGCGATCATGTGCAGAAGCTTCAAGCCGCATCATCAGCGTCCGATCGTGTTCCTCTACCCATGATTTCACCTTTGATGCCAAAGGACACGGATTTCACGCCCGAAGACAGCAACAGCTCCATCATTGGAGTCGTCAGTCCGTGGATCGACTTGGGCTCGCCAGATCCTCTCATTGCGCACATCAGCCGACAAGTCTTCAACTTGGAAGTTGCCTATGCTTCGTTCTGTGGTGTCAGCAATGTTCTCGTCCACGGTCCAATCGCTGGCTCCGACACTACCCAATACTCTCGAGCCATTCTCGAGGGTTTGAGTCTCGGACCTTACGTTCAGTTGCAAATCATCATGCCGATGACTGGCGAGCTGGAGCTGGAAGGCGCCGAGAGCGCTCATCTGTCTGAGCTGGCGAGGCCGCAGTTTGTACCAGAACTTGATGAAGATGATGAGAGCGAGGCTGAGCTTTATGCAAGCTGGGAGACATGGAACACGATCCGGACCATCTGTAAATACAGTAACAAGCTGGCGTTGTGTAAGTGCATCACTTCACTCTCTCCTTTCGTCTCTTGGCGGTCTTGCTTCACTTTCCGTTGGCTATAACTTGGGGACTTGCTGCATTCCGGACCACGGGCGAATAGCAGAATCGTCCGTCCCATTCAGTGATCAATACTGATCCCTACCTTCTCCGGCAGCACTTGAAATTCCTCGCCAGCTTCCATCAGCCAGTCTGTTATCTCGTTGGACCTCGGAGCCTGTTCGGACTCTGCTCCTTCCACGGACGAGCTTTCTTCGCAATGCCAAAGGATTCCCTGTCTTGCCAAAAGCTCACCAACAGTTACTGACGGACTTTCTGCGACTTCGCTTTTCTCCTTGGCTCCTCTTGGCGGACGTTGATCCCATCGAGACGAACGACTTCCACCCAGCGCCCGCCCCAGAACCAACTCCTGCAGAGGCTGCATCTGATCCCAACGACAGGCCCAAAGATCCCATCTCTCACCTTCGCTATATCCGTCATCTCCAACAGACTCAGCCCTCTCGGCCTCCGATCGAGCGATTTGGTCAGGGGTACCAGGACTACATTCAATCTCCGCTTCAACCCCTGACTGACAACCTCGAAAGCGTCACTTATGAAGTGTTTGAAAAAGACCCTGTAAAGTACGAGTGGTATGAAAGTGCCGTCGCTGCGGCTCTAAAGGATCTGAACGCATTGCTGAAAGGCAGCCGTCCCATCGTCGTTGCAGTCGTAGGCGCCGGACGAGGTCCGCTTGTGACCCGTGTGCTCCGCGCGGCGAAATCCACAGGCATTGCCACTCAAGCGTGCGCGGTTGAGAAGAATCCAAACGCACATGTCCTCATTCAGCGGCGTAATGCTACCGACTCGCTCTGGAATAACTCCGTGCTAGTCTACAAAAGCGATATGCGTGCCTGGCCCGGACCTACAATCGATGGCAAGGTCCAAAAGGTCGACGTCCTCGTTTCGGAGCTCCTGGGCTCCTTCGGTGACAACGAGCTATCGCCAGAGTGTCTGGATGGTGTCCAGCACGTCCTGCACCCGGACCACGGTATCAACATCCCGCAGAACTACACGGCATGGTTGACGCCAATCTCTACACCAAAACTTCATAGTGACCTGCTCACTCGCGGAGGGGAGGATAAATGGGAACTCCCTGCTGTCGTCATGCTGCATCAGTACGACGACCTCTGTACCATCCCCGGTGGCAGCGAAGGCGCGCTGATTCCTGACGTCAAGGAAGCCTGGTCCTTTTCGCATCCCGTCTCTACTGATATTCTCGAGCAGGCCGCTCTACGCGCAGGTGGGACTACTGATGCGGGAGGATGGACTGGTGGCGACGGAAAGAACGAGCACAACGTTCGATCCTGCAAAGTCAGCTTCCGCGCTGAGAATCGCGGCGTATGCCATGGACTGGGAGGATACTTTGAGACGGTTCTCTATGCACCCGCTGATGGTGGCAAGAATATTGAGCTCTCTATCAACCCTGTGACGATTGATGAGAAGAGCAAAGACATGATCAGCTGGTTTCCGATCTTCTTTCCTTTGAAGGTACGTTTGTTGCATTCGCGGATGAGGATACTGTGCTGACGATCTCTACTAGACCCCACTCACGATTCCTGATGGCGCGGAGATTGAGGTGAGCATGTGGCGTCAGACGGACGATCGCAAGGTCTGGTACGAGTGGGTTGTGGAGGTCTTCAAGATTGAAGAGGTACGCCATCTCATGGTTGAGTCTACTATTAACAATCAACCAGCTGACATGATGCAGGCCGACTATCCAGTTGGTAAGGATGGGGAGCAGATCCGAACAGGGATGCGCGAAAGGAAAGTGAAGGTAGCAATGAGTGAATTGCACTCGTCGAGGGCAAATGGATGTCTTATGTAGATCTTTCCCGCAGGTGTTGGAGGAAATGCGTCTCGCATGCTTKGTATCTTTGTATAGTGAGCCATACAAAGGTTCGTCTCCGAGGAGACCTTGTTGAACCTCAAATGCATATCATTGAAACATGAAACCGTGAGACAAGCTTTTGTACACGGCAGATCCTCGAGGACCAAGGGATGGTGATATCGAAGGTTGAAACCCTGCCTCTTGCGRTTAGAGACATCTCCGACAACAATGACAAGACTAGAATGGCTTCATTCGGTGGGACACTTGATTCCCCGCACGACCGCTTCTTTTCTTATCGGTGGCTGTCCGTTCGCGAGCATAATTGTCAGGCAAGCTTCAGGTGCCCGATTCCACAAACACCCAAAGTCCTCAAATACAGTAGCAGTGATCTCAAAGCCATGTGACTTGTATGAATATAAATAGAGAGCATACAATGCATCCTGTGCATACTATATATGTGATATGAAACAATACCACCGCCCGTGACATCCGCATTGCTCGCCTCCACGCTACCCCAACCCTAACCCTCGAGCGCGTTCCTCAGATCACCGCCTATCTAAGACAAGAGTTCATCCACAAAGTCCTCCTCCATGTATAAATTGTCGACCATGTGCTCAAACTGCTCCAAACCACGAGCATAATCGTATTCGTGAGCCTTGGACTGCTCCACAAATAGCGTCAAGTTGTGCTCGCGAGGAAGCCAGACGCGGTGACCAATCTCAAACTCATCCGGGACTTCGATGATATCTCCGCCACGAAGGCGATATCGAATGTGCGTACGAGGGACCCAATTGCACCAATTGGAGGTGGAGTCGGCGATTTTGCCCTGGTTGTCGTACTGCAGACCGTCGTTACGACAATTGTCGCCCTCGCTGTCACCACTGCAGTAGGACAATTCGCCARAGTTGGCGAATGACTGATGGAAAGTAGCGGGGGGTGTTCCGTTCAAGCCTTGGTTGTTCATCCAAGGTCCCTGGCTATAGAACAGCTGATAGAGCCTGGCATCTTGTCCTGCAGTCTGTTAGTACAGCGTCGCACGTTACCAAAGAAGTAGCATACGGGTTTGTTGGTCACTGGGAACGCACCTGCAGGCATGTCAAAAGTGGTCAGCAACAACATAAAGTCCCAATGCAGGATAGACGCATACCGATTCACTGCCAATATGTCGGTACGATCGGCATTGCTTGTACTTCCGAATGGATACGCGTCGCACTGATAGCTCCCTGTACCTGGGGGAATCATCGCACAGTGGTTGTTCTTGCCACACCCTGCAGCTTTCTCACGATCGGCTTCGGCTCTTCCAGCATAATCATCCCAGGTCAAAATGGTGCCATGGCCACGGCAGTAGGCACCATAGCACATGTTCTTGCAGACCTCAGGGATATAATGAGCGGGATCCGTATTGGAAGTGCAGACCCAGATAATAGTTCCTCGATCTGGACCGTTGGTGGCTTGTCGAGCAGAGTTATGGCCAGGAATGGCTGAAGCGAATACCAAGTTCCCGAGACTGGCGAAAAGTTGAGCGGAGAAGAACATGATGGAATGACTTGATCGTTGAAAAATCCAGATTCTGTGCTGAGAATGTTCGTCGAGCAGACGAGATCTTGCAAATTCGCGCGTCACCTCCTCCTTTTGATCATCTCTACCTGTGCTCGTGGCACATCATCTCCCATGGGTTCTTCAATTCCAATTAGCAAAGCTTGATCACGGACCCACTCTGTCTTGAATCAAGGCATGACGGCGTGACCAGATTGTGAGGAGGCACATCTGCGCAAGACGAAGTCGTCGGATCCACCAGCCTGCCCCATTTCCGGCAACGATTTGTATATACCCTCTTGAGTGTAAATGCCGTGCCGCTACTCGCGACAAAGATAGAGCCACGACTTTGAGTGGCCACCAGTTTCAGAGCTATCTTTGGCCCTGCTACAGCGTCTCGACGTATCCGCGTGGAATGCGTGGCCTGGAGGACTACAGCTCTGCAAGGTTTTCAGCCAATGCAGGTGGAATTAGCATGCAAAGGGCATCGACCCGCTGCTAGATTGTCCCATCTTGATGGGTCGAGATACTGTGGAGCACAAATTCGCTGGTCAAAGCAAGCCAGGACTGCTATCCTGGCCGCCCAGATGAATTAAACGTTCTCGCCCCTGATTCTCCTCACGTCGGCAGCATTGAGCACAGGCTTCCTCTGGTCGGGATCCATGTTCGGGGGCCACCAAATCATCACAGCACAAGTTGCAGAGCCGGTCTGTACACTATCGCAGACTTGGAACCCCAATCGCTCGTAGACTGGAGCACCGGCCTCGCTGGCTTCCAAGTACGCAGGAATCCCGAGTTTGACACACCTATCGAGGCCCCACTGCACGCAAGCACTGGCAGCACCTTTCCGCCGGAACACAGGATCAGTAGCCATGTAAATGAGCAATGTATAGGGCCTCCCCGCGAACCATTCGATGCGTTTGTCTAGCATGGGTCGGAGCAGATCCCTTGCCTTTTGTCGTTCAACATGATCGGATACCCAATCTGCAGTCAGCAGGTAGCTGGGCTGGATGAACTCTTGCTCGGAACGTGGGCGATCGTATACGAGCCATTCTGCACTTGCAATAATGCTTTCTTTCCCAGAGAAAACGTCGGTATAAACGCATTTGATCCCGACTGGATGAGAGAAGCTGCGAGCATGCTCTTGCCAGGCAAAGAGATGGCGGCTACCGGCGGCGAGCAAGTTTTCCGTGGTGTTCGTGTCGCCGACAATCTGAGGGTATTCACCTGCCTCAAAGGCTGGGATCACAATTTCCATGAGGCGAGGAATATCTTGCTCACTGGCAGCTTCGACACGAATGTCCGGCATCTTGTTGTGTCTTGGTTGGAGCGAGAAGATTTCTGGTCGTATACGACGTGTCACAGAACGTGATGATGAAGCAGAGATCGCGTTGTCTTGTGCTAGATGGAATGGTGACTGGGTGGTGCTGTCGAGGAATGGGGAGTCAATCGACGACTCCGCTAAGCGAACAGGTAGCTACACCCACCAGAGTAAGCAGTCTTGCGGAGAGGCAATGATTCCACTGAATGTTATCTGGCGTCGTTGTGATCGGATTGCAAGAAGACGCGTTACGTAACACGTTATGTTCACATTTTGCCAAGTCCCGGGATCATAACGCCAGTCTCCCTCCTTAGATCGAGTTGTCTTCATCTTCCCTCCCAATACTTGACCTTCGCATCTGATGTGTCGGAGACGGACTTGGAATTGGCCGCCGAAGACACAGAGCTAACGGAGATGGGATATGTTGCTGCCGTGTCCGAAGAATGGCAACAACACGAGAGGAATTCAACCGATGGGGCGCGATGGTGTCATGATAAACAAGATCGGTTCATGCAGCATCGCCCAATCGCAATGGTACCCTCCTGGATTTCTTGGAATGTTCTCTTCGTGTTGGCTGCTGAGGTGGTATAYTTTGACCCTGAGGCTGGGCAGCGAGACGGCGAGGCAGTTGCTATCAAGGCCTATGTGATAGGTCGCGAGAAGACTGGACAGGCCTCGATCAATCCCCGTCATAGAGATGATTTAGTCGACAATGTTAGAAGAGAAAGTCGCTTGCCGAAGTGAGCCAAACCATAGCTGTATTGCTTGAAATGACATCGGAGATGTATCTCCTAATACATGCAGCAAGTTGGGATGTCCCAGCCGCCGTTTCCTACCAATATGTTGGAAGGCAGCAAGTGCAACGAAGACGATGGCACCGAACTTTGATAGGATTCAATCACTATCTGAGGATCCTTACTTTTGAGTGTCCGCCATCTATCCATAAATCATTGGCATCATTTGTCGAAGGAATTTACAACTCGCCGGAGGCAGCGATGAGGACCTGGGTGCTGGTCTTGCCGCTCTGGCTACCGAAGCCCTCGACCTTGCGGACGATGTCCATGCCCTCGACGACCTTGCCGAAGACGACGTGCTTGCCGTCCAACCAACTGCAGCACATGGGTCAGCTATATTCCGGCGATGGTGTCAAGGCTGCGTATTATCACTTACGAGGTCTTCTCAGTGCAGATGAAGAATTGCGAGCTACAAGATAAAGGTTAGCAATGTCCAAGAAGTTTTCAATGTCGACCGAGACATGGCGTAGGTTGAGAGGCCCTCAAACTGCCGTGTATGCCTTTTGCCCTTCAGCGTCTTACCCGTTGGTGTTGGGGCCAGCGTTGGCCATGGAGAGGATACCAGGGCCGGTGTGCTTCAACTCGAAGTTCTCATCGGCGAACTTCTCGCCGTAGATGCTCTTGCCGCCAGTGCCGTTCTGCTTGGTGAAGTCACCTCCCTGGAGCATGAACTGTGGGATGACGCGGTGGAATGGGGAGCCGGCGTAGCCAAAGCCTTTCTCGCCGGTGCAGAGAGCGCGGAAGTTCTCAGCGGTCTGTTGGAGTAGCATGTGTCAGCATGGTCTGGAGCGCAATGGTCATTGAAAAAGCTGATAATGCCCCACCTTTGGCACCTTGGCCTTCTCGAGCTCCATCACGATGCGGCCGAGGGCAGAGCCGCCGGCGGTGATGTCGAAGTAAACCTTGGTAGTGGCCATTGTGGTAGATGTGTGGTAGATTGAAGTTTGGAAGAGTTGGTGAAGTGGTGTAGGTTGGATCGAAAGAGACGGAGCGGCAGAGCAGAGAGAAAACCATTCCCCGCACTAGTGCTACATGAGCCCCACTTCCAATCACCAGGGTCCAGATTACGTCAGAACAGTGTGCCCCTCGATGGCGGTGCTCTCCTTCGCATGCAGAGCCTCCGTTTCACATGAATGCTGATAGCTCCGATCCAAGCATATTGGAGTGAAGTCCACTCAAGACTGCACGATCCACACTCCTCGGCATTGCATTGATCAGCTGCCTGCAGTGAAGCACACAATTGCGAATCCCAACCCGGATCAGCAGACAGCTTTTGAGAACGGTGAGACTGCCATGCTTGAGTACTATACGCTCCTATGTACTATCCTACATACATGTATGGAACCTGGAAGGCCCAACTTACCGCCGTCGTCAGGCTGGTAGACTGTGGACACCGCATTTTTTGTTTCCTCAGAGCGTGTGTATGCGGCAGTTGAATTTATTCGTTATCTATCGTATCTTCTTGTCTTAGGTAATGATCTGATGTGGTATGGACAGTAGGTTGAGAGTATGCTCATACGTCTGTGAAACTGAGGTCGAACAAATCTTCCTCACACAACCCCAGCACGTCACTGGATCCACTGTCTGAGGTGCAGGCCACTCCGTAACAACACGAGAATCTCGGCCTACTTTTACCACTGCATGTGATATGCCTCTCGATTCCACCTTACCAAACCAGTGGTAGTTGCCTACTCCAAGACATCGAGCTCGGGAACATGGTCAAATCTAGGAAAGCGGGCCCATGAATGGTATCTCGGAAAGTTTCAGTGCTCTCTCTCAGAAGCAGAAATGGACAGCGAATGAGACCTTTTTCTCAGAGAAGTTCTTCTTCGACGGGGCTCAGCGATTGAAGGAACCTATCCACATCCCGACCTGCTGCGAGAGGCTGCTTCAAGAAAGACCAGGGGGGACTTTCTGGCAGGCTAACTCCTGAGCAATTGCAAAGCATGGAGTATTCAAGACCTAGATGGAATGAAAAGTATAGCAAAGGATGACTATAAGTGCTTTCTGAAGCATAGAAGCTTCAGCTGGTATCAAGGCAATGCCGCAAGATGTTCATTTCGCCATCTTGCTGGAAGCCGAGCTACGAGATTACTCGCGTGTTTGCTGTGATAGTCTTGTCTCGTGACAGTCAAGGAACGCTCAGCTGCTGGTAGAATCTCGCATATTATCATCATCATGAAATCGATTCTTTTTGCCAACATTGGAAGAGACGGGAAAGAAAGGAGAGCAGCAGCTTGCCAAGAGTACAGCGACGATCAGTCAGCAGCCAGGAACATCAAGGTAACAGCTCGTCCTCCGTTCTGTTCTGACATCTTCAGCTAGGACAGCCCACCAAGTCCAGCATGAGTCGTGACACTGGGAGATCATTGGATTCATGATGGAGCTTGAGGATGAAAATCTCTACATCCTACCTATTCTAATGACCTGAGTTTCCACTTTTTCATCGCACGATACCATTGAACATGTTCGCCAACTGTTCACGCCGTGTGAGACTGCACGCCCCCATTCGAATACTCGCTCGAGCCTTCCACATCTTCCGTGATGTCCCCGCTCTCCGCCAGCATCGCCGCGAACTGCTTCTCAATGGACAATCTGTCGGTCTGGTGCCAACGATGGGAGCTCTGCACAAAGGCCACATCTCCCTTGTACGACAAGCTGCAGCCGAGAACAGCAAGGTTTTTGTCTCAATATACGTCAATCCTACGCAATTCGGCGTGAATGAGGATCTCGATAGCTATCCAAAGACATGGGAACAGGATATCAAAATGCTGAAAGAGCTCGACAGCCAGCTGGAGTCGGAAGGACAAGGACGTGTAGAAGCCATCTTTGCACCGACAACCAAGACAATGTATCCCACACTCCCACCAGATTCGACGTTGCCGGGTACGGGTTCCTTTGTAACCATCACTCCGCTTGCCAATCTTCTGGAGGGTAAGAGCAGGCCCGTGTTCTTCCGTGGGGTGGCCACAGTTTGCATGAAACTGTTCAATATTGTGGAAGCAGAACGTGTATACTTTGGGCAGAAAGATGTGCAGCAGACAGTGGTGATCAAGCGCATGGTCAAGGACTTGCATGTCAACACCGAGGTCAGGATCATCCCGACGGAGCGGGAGAAAGATGGTCTGGCAATGAGTAGTAGAAATGTGTATTTGGGGGAGAGGAGACGAAAGGTCGGCATTGTGCTCTCTCAAGCGCTGAGAGCGGCAGAAGGTGCTTATATGGCTGGGAGAAGGAAAAGGGATGAAATACTGGCTCTGGCGTGGGATGTGACCAACACGACGGATATGGAGCAGGATGGATTGGGAGCGGGTCAAAGAGCACGATTCGAAGTGGATTACATCTCTCTCGCTGATCCGGAGACTCTGGAAGAGGTGGAAGTGGTGCATAGCAGCAGGGGTGCTGTGTTGAGTGGAGCGATTAAAATGCTCCCGCTGGAGGTCACGAATGAATCAGAGATATTGGGTGTAGGAGATGATCAGGTTGCTGTCAGATTGATTGACAACATCGTTCTACATCCGCAAGCAACTTGAGGAAAGTTCTAGCGACAATACTGCGCATCTAGCAGCGAATCCGAACACAGGCTTCGACATCGGTAGCAAGATCTATCTCTGGTCGGCCTCATCCCCGTGCCAACGTCCCGAGCATGTATCCTCGACATTGCTTTCATCAGACTACATCCGAACAAAAGCCCATGTCTTCTCGGGCTCGGGCTCTTTTTTCACTCTCGGCTTGACAGGCTTCTTGGTCTTTGCCGTGTCTCCCTTCCCACTCTTGGTACTAATCACACTCTCCGCAAGACTGCTTGGAGAACTCTTCTGTTTCTCGGCCTTTTTCTTCTCAGCCTTCTCCTTCTCACCACTCTTGGCGCTTGCATTGCTATCAGCAACACTGCTGGCCGAGCTTCTGGCGAACTTCTTCGTCTTCTTCTTCTTGTCCCCATCATCATGCTTGGAGTCCTCCGAACTTGCGGCGACGCTGGTGCTTGGACTCTTCGAATCAACGAWACTGGGATCATCGCCCATGACGCTGTTCATTCCTGCCGTCGCGGTCAAATCATCGGACTGGACATTGTCGAGGAACTTCTCCACGAAATGTCCAAGCTCCAGGCCAGGGTCGAATTCGAAGGCACGTTCCGGGAAGCCGTCGTTCTCAAGAAGCATTCCATCGTCCTCGAGATTGCCAGCTTGATCGACTGCATGCCCGACGGCGGCATTGGCTGCAGCATCAAGGACCGCATTCGCGGTAAGCTGCTCTACTGCGGGCTTTGCCGGTGCAGCGATTGCAGGCTGCCAAAAAGCGACTTCGATTGCGTCCTCTGCCAAGAATAGCTTTTGATCACTCAGCCGCGAATGCGTGAATGCGATGTATGCTTCAGCCCAGCGCTTGGAGATGAGGACAACGTCTCTGCGAACTGTCCGAATGAGCTTCTGGTTGATTGGTCCGATGAGCTGGAGCCACTTGAAGAGAATCTGTCGCTAGACTTAGCATTGTGATGCTTCAAACTGGAGAGAATGAAGCTCACTGCATCGAGTCTGTAGATGAAGATGGTCTCCGTGTACCAGATACGGCCAGCTTCGTTTCGCATTTGGCTGCACGCCCTCATCAGAGCAGGCGTCTTGGATCTTGTCTTGACTGCGTCTGGGTAGCGGGAGCTGACTGGATCCAGCGAGGCGTAGAAGTCATCATTCATGGCATAATCTGTGCAAGCAGCGGGGTTAGCTGAGTCATATGGCAATGAATGAAGTACTCACAATAGATGCGAACACGGACTTCTTGCGWTATGCGTAAGATGTGGCAGGCCTCGTCACGGCCGTCGTCATCGCTGTCTAGAGTGATGATGTGTTGTGGACCAGACTTGGTGGGTGAGGCCGGAGCGCAGATGAGAGCCTGCTGGGTCGCAAGGCTGAACGCCTCTGCCTCTTCTTTGCGACGCTGAGCTGCCATCTTGGTGCACTGTGTTGAATTTCTCGACCGATGAGAAGTGAGAGAAGAAGGACAAAGTAGGAGAGGAGAACGAGGAGAGTGTTGGCGTCAGAAGTGCCCGGGTCTAGGCGGCAGGCTGGGTGAGGTTTGATGTGAAGGAAGGAACGCGTGGGGTTTGCATTCACATAGGGCAGGAACGAGTGGCTGGTCCACCCAATCTTGATAGTGAGAGGAGGGAGCGTGATACGGTTGGATTGAGCCATTTCATCTTGTTTATGAACTCACTGATGTTTGAGTACGCTGTCGATGGTTGTTGAACACGCCGCTGATAGTAGGCAGGGCGATTTCCACATCCACAGCCGGCAGTCAGAAGCATGACAATCGAAGGCAATCGTGTTGGATTGTGAAGACGGCTGTCACATAATTCCTCGTGAGGAGATTTTGACATGCATTGCAGTCGTCCTTTCGACTATTTCAGTCTTCGATCACCACCCACCAATTTTGAACTCTTTGCTGGCTTTCTTATTACCACATGTGTTGCAGTACACACTCTTGCCATTGAGACTAGGATCTACTCAATGGGACTGAATATTATGATATTTTACTACGGCTGTAAGTTCCTACGGCGGATAATACTACGTCCTGAAAACAACGCACTTGAAACGAAGCTCTGGCGACAGGAAATTATGCAGTGGGCAAATTAACCAGCCCCTCGATCCGTGGGGATGCTCATGWGTTATGGGCGTCGTTACGAGCCCAATTTCATCCACCAGCAACCACCTTATTATGGTGGAAGACCAAGAGGAAGGAAACGTCGTTGAAAATCTTGGAGAAGGCGGGCGGGTGTGTACAAATCCAGATCAAGCTGTGGCACATCAACACAACAGGCCTAGAAGTTGACTGATGAGCAATGATACATCTTTTAGAGAACGAATCAGAGGAAGGCTACCTGCTAGCAAAAGAGAAAGCCCTTAGCGTGTCGAGTTGAGAACTTTGCAGCAAGGGAAAGAGAAAAAAAAAGAGAACACTGCTGAGCAGCATCGATGACTTTGCGAAAGGCCGTACCTCGATGTGAATTAGTTTTTGAAGTAACATCACGAGTAACGGAAACGCTTACCCAGGTTTGAACTGGGGTCACCGGAAGATTTCCAGAATTGGATGTCAAACTGAGTGAACTATTAGCCCACAGTTTTTCGACAATATCGAGGACTATAGGTTCATTTCTTACATCCGCTATTGAATGTCAGATCATGTGTGCCACATCGTTGGTCTGGGTGGACGGACGTGTGATGACCACTACACTATACAGCCGTTGAGCTTGGTGGCATTGATGGAGGCGGGACTGGATGTGGTGGTCTATATCGACTGAGATTGAAGCGCCGAAATTTGGCCGAGTCGGAGGCTACAATGATAAAGCCAGCTATCGAGGAATAGAGGTAGCTCTTCAGGCCATTTAACCATGACTGAGCTCATCAACGCAAGAAACGGATCATTTCGGAATCGAAATATGTCGAAACGGTCAATATAGGGGCATAGTGTCGTGCACAGAGGATTGCATGTTCTGAGGGAGCTAGCGGCAGCAAAGCACGAGCTCTAAAGGTACCTTCCTCAATCACATTGGCACATCACGTAGCCTCAAAGTGACCGTAGATAGGATCACATCTCAACAGAAAGCAGACGAGCAAGCATCAATATTCCAAACATTCACTTGGCTCCCCTCCTTCCAAAATTCGGAGGTTTAGTACAATTTCTTATCAATTGCACCATCTCTCCCCCGTCGCCCGAGCATCGGCCAACCCCACTTCTTCACCCTCGCAAGCACTCAATACAAGGTAATCGTTTAGGATCTTTAATCTGCCGCCATACAAAACTCTTCACGCCCGTCTCTTCTTCCCAGAACCATCCCATGACCTTCTCAAAACCGATACATCTTCTAAGAACGTTCAACACCTGCATCTCCCGCTCGACAAGCTCTTTCCTCCAACCTCAAATAGCCCACCTCACCCGTCACAGAATGGCATCCGCAATGGCCAAGCGCCTGGAAGGCAAGACCGTCGTCGTAACAGGAGCCTCGTCCGGTATCGGCAAAAGTACCGCCATTGAATTCGCACGTACATCGCCCAAGAACCTCAAGTTGGTTCTTACCGCCCGCCGAATCGACACGCTCAAGCAAATCGCCTCGGAAATCAACGCAGAAGTCGGCGATGGCGTCAAGGTCCTGCCCGTACAGTTGGACGTCAGCGATCCAGCCCAAGTCCGCGACTTCGTCTCCAACCYCCCAGCGGAGTTCCAAGCCATTGATGTACTTGTCAACAACGCCGGTCTGGTAAAAGGTGTGGATAAGGCAGGAGAGATCAAAGAAGAGGATATCGCTGTTATGCTCAACACAAACGTTACGGGATTGATCAACATGACACAAGCCGTCCTCAAGGGCATGAAGACACGCGGTGAGGCTGGGCAGGGAGATATCATCAATGTTGGTTCCATTGCCGGCCGTGAGCCATACCCTGGTGGATCGATCTACTGTGCCTCCAAGGCTGCCGTACGCAGCTTCACGGATGCTATGCGTCGGGAGTTGATCGCAACGAGGATCAGGATCATGGAGATTGACCCAGGCCAGGTCGAGACGGAGTTCAGCGTTGTGAGATTCTATGGAGACAAGGCCAAGGCAGATGCTGTCTACGCTGGTTGCACACCCTTGACACCTGAAGATATTGCTGAGACTATTGTCTTTGCGGCTGGACGACCGGAGAATGTTGTCATTGCCGATTTGCTGGTTTTCCCCAACCACCAGGTATGTTTTCGTCTTTCTTTGGTGGTTTTGCGTGGAGAAGAGGCTGATTTTCCGAAAAGGCGGCGGCGACAGTCTTGCACAAAAAGTCATAGAATCTCGTCTGACTTCTCTATAGGCGGGAGCTGGCGGTGCGTTGTACAAGAAACCTGCAAAGATATAGACGCTCAAATGCACAGCATGAGTAGCTGCAAAAGCTCATGCACGAGACATCATGAACACCTCCATCTTGAGTCATTCCCTGCCTACTTTGACGGATCCAGCAAAAGCTTTCCCGTGGTCTTGCGCCCCTCTAGATCATTGTGTGCCCTCGCCACCTCGCTCAACGGATACACCTCATGGATTCTGACATCCAGCTTATCCTTCAGCACAAAGTCAAACAGCTCCTTGACGTAGTGCTCGAACTCGCTCCGCTCCGCAATGTAGTTGAACAAGGTCGGCCTCATCAGTCTAGCGTTCTTTGCACTCAATCTCGCAATCGTCACTGGCGGTACTGCTCCAGAAGCATTCCCAAAGGAAATCATAGAGCCCTTCCTTGCCAGAACATCCAGACTAGTGTCGAAAGTCGACTTGCCAACTCCATCAAAGACAGCAATAACTCCCTTTTTGCCCGTGAGTTCGTCCACTTTACTCTTGACGTCCTCATGGGAGTAGTTGATCATGTGAGTAGCTCCAGCCTTTTTCGCAAGATCCACCTTCTCCTGAGTACTCGCAGTTCCAATCACATTCGCCCCGATAGATTTGAGCAGCTGGCATAACCAAAGACCTGTACCACCTGCTGCGGCCTGAACGAGCACCCAGTCGCCTTTCTTCACAGCATGAGCTTCCCGAACCAGAGTCAAAGCTGTGAGTCCTTGAAGCAGAGCCGCAGCACCGATTTTCGGGTCCATATCGCTGSGCACTTTCACAGCTTTGGCAGCGGGAGCCACAGTGTATTCTGCGTACGCACCTTCCGCCAGCCAGACTACTTTGTCGCCATCCTTCAAACCGAGTGTTTCCCCGCCGCCGGTCTTGACAATGGTTCCTTCAGCTTCGCGGCCGAGGATATAAGGGAACTTGGGAGCTGGATAGAGACCAGTGCGGAAGTATCTGCACAAATATCAGTCTTTTTGTCTTTTTATTCAAGATAGCAGCCCATCACTCACGTGTCGATGTAGTTGATTCCTATGAAATCGTTCTTGACTAGGATCTCGCCATCCTTGGGCTGTGGAACTGGGATATCGGTCTTGTATTGCAGGACGTCGGTACCACCTGTCTTTTCAATGATTACGCCTTTCATAGTGCTGGGAATGGAAGCCATGGTTCGTGCTGATACTGGTGTTCGATGGAAGTGTGCGGAAACAGCTGCGGCTCTCCTGGTAGGAATAGATGCAAGAATTCGTCGAGATGCTGATCTGAAGGACATGTAAACAGCGGAAATTGCGAAGGAAGCTGCGAGAACAGGACAGAATGATCGCAACGCCGATTGGTAAGCTTTTTGTATTTGTTGCCGACTTGAGAAGGAAACATGGAGCTGAGATAAAATGACGCGAGACGCTTTCCCCACCTCACTTCTCCGAGATCGGCAGCAGGACGTGGTATGAGATCTCGCTCAATCTCCATGGGGAACATGTGCAAACAACATGCCCTCACGAAGAGACATCGCCAAGCGTACAGATCACTCAATCTGGTGTCTCCTCATCAGCAGGAGCGGTACTCTCCTCATGCCCATTCCCAACCTCAGAAGCCTCACCACCTGCATGCTCTGCGATCGTCTTGCCATCAGCATCAGTCTCCGCCCTCTCGGACCCATCATCCGACATGYTCCTTTCGTTTTGGCGCACCATCCAGTCCTTGGGCGGTCCCGAGCGAGCAAATTCTGGAACACACTCATTCAACGTCCAGGTAAAGAAGCTTGGGTAGACATACTGCACGCGATCGATATAGCTGATGTCGCCGACGTTGAATTTCATCACAGTAGCCTCAAGCTTCAAACCAACATAGCACGAGCTCAGCACATTCTCATCAACCAGGAAGTCATATCTAGAAGCTGAAGTCAATATCGGTACTTCAATCCATGGACCACAGCCGAACTCACCTCTTGGGCATGCTCGCCTCTCTGCGAGCGATAACTTCCTTGGGAATGTCAAGTCTGGGAGGTCCACGCGCAACCCAACGCTTGCAGATCAGCTTTCCTGTCGGGTGGATGATGTCGTTGTTGCTGCTTGCCTCCTTGTATAGGCTCTTAACTTGATCGTTAGGAAGCTGTAATTCGACGACTTCCAGACCAGTCTGATGTTCGTCAGTGCTGGTGAGAGTGCCATTATTGTCTGCTTGCACGAATTGCGCGTAGTGCTCATCTGAGCAATGCGCCAAAAGTGCGGTATGATAGATGTTCTTCGCCGAGACAATAGACATGCCCGTGGGATCGTCTCGGTGAACCCAAGGGGCATTTGGATCGAGAATACGACGCCCCGCAGAGTATCCGTCGAGCAAGGTGGAACAGGCCGTATTGAAGTCGCCGGGTAGATTCCGACTTGCGGCCGCAAGTTTGGGTAGCTCATGTCGCGCGGCTGCGCAAACGTGCCGTGCCTTGAGGAGCTCGTCTTCGTATTCCGGGCACACCCCATGGTAGAGAAGGTAGTTGAGGAAATTGGTGATGATGTCTGCTGCATTGTCGGTCACCGCCTTATCTGTCCACACGAAGTGCTGGAGCAGGTGAGAGGAGAAGAACGCCTTGGTCATGCCTTCAAAGTCAACGATCCACGTCGCACCACCTTCCTGGTCGTCTTCTAGGCCGTCCCAAACGCGCTCGGAGACGCCAAAGGTTGCCTGTCATGTGCGTCAGTGATTGGTAGTGTATGATCTGCTTCAATTGTCTACCTTCATCTGCATGATCTCATCCTTGGTGTAGTTCTCGAGATCAGKCTCATCAAATCCGCCAGTGAATTGGCGCTGATTGCCGTCAAATCCGCCGAAGAGCAGGTATTTCGAAAAGACCCTCAGGTTCTCTTGATGCATCTTGCGCTTCGACATGTATCTCGCAATACCATGATCGATGCGAGTGGTGAACGCCTCATTGGGATCAAACAGCTGTCGCTCTGCCTCGGCCTCCTCAGGTCTCATTGGGCCCTCAGTGATTCCCGCCTCGAAGCCCGTCTGCTTGAGCATATTCTTGGTCAACCATGGCTTCTCAATAAGGATTTGGGCCTTTCTGCTCTCGTCTGATTTCTTCGGGATGATTTGTACTGGCACGGTCAAGGCAGTTCTACGTCTGACATTCTTCAGCTTGGCATCGACTTCAAGCACTGTGCTTCCTCTGAGCGCCGCCTTGGCCAGGCGCGGGGGCTTGTATTGTTTCATCTTCTTGAATCCGAAGATTTTGTTGAGTGAGGTCCAACCCGTGCCATGGACACCGGTTGAAGGCAACAAGTACGCATCGGTTGCCAAGTTCCCATCGCTCAGATAGTACTCGACTTGGCGGATGATTTCGGCGGCTTGTGGGTGTGTCTCTTCGACTGCAAGACTGTGTATGGAAGTGCCTTCGGGATTAGCTTGCGACTCCACCATCTCTTTGATCCTCGTTGGCAGGTTCGGGTGCAAGCCAGACCCAACTGGACGACCCTGAGATGGGCGGATGTAGCTCTCCTGATCGACGGTTACCTTGCGGAAGTCGCTCTCCGGATCGAGAGTCTCGAGATCARGCGGGAGCTCCATAGCCTGCGAGACCACATCGCGCTCGGTGAGATCCGGAGATTTGACGTCCTTTTCTGGAATCAAATATTGCTCGGGAACGCCCTTGCCCGCAATCCCATCCTGTGAGCGCGTCACCTCCTCGCGCTCATTGCTTGCGGTGAGTGGTGGAGCTTGCGCGGCGACTGTGTTGCCCCCATCATCCTCTGAAGAACGCATGATATTCGAGCCGCTGGTGGTGCTGATGGGTGGTGTCTGATCAGTCTTACTGACGTCGCCAGTGCCTGTAGAGTTGTCCATGCTGGTGCGGCGCTGTTGTTGTGAAGAGGCTCTTTAACAGTTGAAAAGTTGCAGATGTGATGCGCAGCTGCCTTATGCATCAAACGAACAGGCCCGTGCTAGCAGCAAACGCTTACTTCACTCTACTTTGCTTCTTTTCGTYGCTCCGCGCTTCCAGAGCTTCTACCTACAACCAGTCAGCAAACATGGCGGACAGAAAAGCAAGGGCCAAAGAGTAGAAAGCTCTCGGACCTGCTAAGATTGACGCGAAATCAGGTGAGGATGGTTACAATGAGTTTCGGTAGCCTGTCGACTGATCAGCATCCATAGCATTTCCAAGGCAGTACGACATGTTCGAGCGCAGATTGAATCTTTTCGAAGTGTCCGCAGAGACTTCGAAGAACGGGATGAGGCCCTTGTGATCTATTACACCATGAATCGTGCGACGCATGGTGTCGACAGGCGACGCATGTGGCTGGCCCTGGATTATATACTCTGCCAAGAGGTTTGCAAAAACTTGTTGAGAACTCATGTCAAACCATGATGAAAGACAACCATGGAAAGATGACAAGACATGGAAATCGCGCCAGAAAAGCTTTGCAAGCAGCATATGAATTACATAGAGTAAGAAAGCGCTCTCGTCTTAGCACAAGACTTAGTGAGCAAGAAGGAACACTGCGAAAGAGCGTGGCCTAATGAACGTGCATGTACACAACCTTTGTTGGACGAAAGGTTTTCCGTACCTCGTCTCCAGGTGGGCCAAGCCAGATTCAAGCGCAGGTCTACCATCGACGACTGTGACACATGTTAGTGCAATCTCGCTATAAGATCAAGGACGAGATACATACTGGTAGGCTTCTTGGACTCTGGCCTCATGGATGTCTTGTACTCGGGGTTGCTTTCTGCGCTGCTTTGGTGTGTCCTCCTCATCATCCTCATGTCTAGCTCGCGAACCCTCCTGCGAGTCCGCAAAACTGCGCTTGCGGTTAAGCTGATTACCAGTCTTGGCACGTGGCGTGGCATCATTGTCGTCGCCATCAAAATCGGATCCCGGTGCTGTGCGATTGGAGCTAACTGACTCTCGCCGCTCTTGGGAATAGCCGTTGGAGTGCTGCTGTGGGTAGCCATTTGATGGATGTCGGCGAGGCCGTGACGAATTCGGATTCCACGTGTCGTATAGACCACGTTGTTGAGATCTCGGCGGGTAGCCTGGAGGAGGAGGTGGTGGCGGCGGTGGAACAGGAAATCGTCCATGGGAGCTGTTCACAGAGTTTGCTCGGCTGTGGACGCGTTCCKAGTCCGATGTCGTGGGTCGAGGACCAAAAGCTGGCCCAGGAGTCTCATACACAAGCTTCGGCGAGCCAGTCACCCCCAAAGCAGCAAGCATCTCCTCTTGAGTTTGGTCACGCACTGGAGGAAGCGGTTTAGGTCGAGTGATTTTGCCTTGACCACCGCGCTGCTGAGATGCCACAGAGCTGGCTCGAGAATGTGATGGTGTTTCACGCGGCGGAACGCTGCGCCGAGCGCCCCAGTGAAGTGCGCGCTCCAAATTGTCGCTCAGGGGGCCATTCGGCAGTTCCGGCCTTTCCCTGCTGAGAACTGCCGTCTCGCGTTCTCGTTGGAGATCAGACCCCCATTCAACTGCACCGCCATTCGCAGGCGTAGGGCCTCTTGATAATTCTGGCGTCGGCGAGCGAGCCTCTGAGGGATCTCTTGCCGCCCACTCCGCATCATACTGGAATTGATACCTTGCCAGCAATGTCGGCATTGGTATGATCTCCGTGCAGGTTGCTGGAAACTCTCTGTATATGAGACTGTCCTTCACTTCATTCCAATCGTCCATTTGTCGAACACTCAGCAAAGCCTCCTCTCGCTTCGATTGAATGAAATAGCTTGAAACAGATTCCTCATCCGAGGGCAGAGAGGGTCGTGGCGCAACAGCTTCCAGTTCTGCATCCTTGAAAGTGGAAGGGAGCGCGCGTTTGATCTCAACGGGAGCTTTCCACTCAATCACACCCAGACTCAGCTCGGGGACGATTTCCTCGGGATTTCTCGCGAAGTAACATTCGCCATCGAAATCTTCTTCTAGCCCCTCACCGGCGGTCTGCGCCAGGTCCATGGCCGGCATCACGTCGCCATTGCCGTCGAGTAGACTTCCCGATGCGTTACGATGGGATGTATGAGGGGTCTGGGATGGTTGCCGGGCATGTTGGGTGAACGTGGCAGGCGGTGGCTGGTAAGCCGTGGAAGGGACACCCGGATACGCAGCAGCTGGAGGCTGCCATGCTTGCGGYGGACCCGGCTGATACGCCACTGCTGCAGGAGGATACGCCGGAAGAGGATGTTGCAGCTGTTGAGGAGGATATCCAGGATAGTGAGCGGGTGGCTGTTGATACATGTGTGGTGGATATTGCGGCTGCGGATACCCCGGATAAGCAGCAGGTGGCTGACCATATCCATACATTTGCGGTTGAGGTTGCGGAGGCCATATGGGTGGCTGTCCTGCGTAGGGAGCCGGAGGCTGTGGCTGTTGCGGTGGCGGTCGATAGCCGGGAGGCGGCGGATAGCGCGTGATGACCGGACCGTTGCCTTTGGGCTTCTTGGCCGGTGGAGGTCTGATGTATAACTAGTTAGTTGGAGAGCGGGAGACATCCCGTGCTGCATGACAGAAATGGGAAGAAAAAGAAAAAGACGCACCCGCTCTGATACGTTTGCTGGCCGTACTGCTGGAATTGGGGCGGCGGAAAGCCGGTGTGGTTCGGGAACATCTTGGATGAAAAGGGCAGAAATTTTTCTCAAAGGGTAACGCGAGAGAGCTTTCGATTAGAAGTTCGTATGAAAGCGCAGTCTGTAGAAAGGCGGGCGCGGGCAAGACGCCGGAAATGAGAAGGTCTTCTGTCGTACGAAAAAGATCTTGAGCATGAGCGGTGATGGGCGATTTGCAAGGRGATATCTGGCAGAACACGTCCTTGACTGCTTGATTGATGTTTATGGTGATGCAGCCTGATGAAGACGCGGTCGTCGCACCGACACAGGAACGTTGCGCTGGCCTTTCTTGCCTTCCTGGCAGCTCTGGACAGGGGAGATGGCCACAGCTCGGCCCACTCAGCGCGTCGATATAATAGTGACAACGGAGAGGACTAGATCATCATTAAACAGCACTCGGTGTGTGGACGAACGATGCTGCTTCTGGCCGTGATCCGGGAAATGGGGGAATGTAGTGCGGTGGTGATGAAGACGTACATCCATATCATTGTTGTTGTTGTTGTTGTTGTGGAGAGTGAGAAAGTGTCGAGCGAAACCCAAACCAAATTTCGGAGGTGTCTTTTGAAACTCCGCTCCATTCCACTTGGGAGCTTCTATACCTTAGGTTCCCAAGAGGCGATCCGAAAACCAGCGACCTCCGACAACTCGACAAGCGGCCCACATGTCTTCCTGACGATGGTGACGGCGGCACCTGCACAGCTCATCTCCTCTGCCTCGGGCCCCATGCGCCTTGTCCACCCACCCGCATCACCAAGGGCGCCCTCCTCGCCCCACCGCTGAAGCATCAGTATGCCTGGTCTGCCGGGTACGATTTTCCTCCGATCTCTGCCCCAGACCACACCACACCGGCTAGCCATACTAACACATTCATGATTCTCCAGCCAGCGTAGACCTCGACGAATGCATCGACCGGCTGTATCGCAAGGAGCTCCTCGCCGACTCGGTCATCGAGGCCATCTGTGCCAAGACCAAAGAGTTGCTGATGAAGGAGAGCAATGTCGTCCACATTCTGTCGCCGGTGACGGTCGTGGGCGACATTCACGGCCAATTCTTTGACATGATTGAGATATTCAAGATTGGTGGCTACTGTCCGGATACCAACTATCTCTTCCTTGGTGGGTCCCGCGAGCAACACTATATCCCTCCACTCTCAGCTCTAATCCATCTTCATCCGCACAGGCGACTACGTCGATCGCGGCCTCTTTAGCATCGAGACCATCTCTCTGCTCGTCTGCCTCAAGCTCCGCTATCCCCAGCGCGTGCACCTCATCCGCGGGAACCACGAGTCGCGCGGCGTGACACAGTCATATGGCTTCTACACCGAGTGCAGCCGCAAATACGGCAACCCGGCCGTCTGGCATTACTTCACCGACATGTTCGACTATCTCTCCCTCTCCTGCGTCATCGATGATAAGATCTTCTGCGTCCACGGAGGTCTTTCCCCCAGCATACACAGCATAGATCAGATAAAGATCATCGATCGATTCCGCGAAATCCCACACGAAGGACCCATGGCCGATTTGGTATGGTCTGACCCAGATGCGGAACGTGACGAGTTCAGTCTCAGTCCGAGGGGAGCGGGCTATACATTTGGAGCGCAGGTGGTCAAGAAGTTCTTGGAGGTGAATAGCATGACCCACATACTTCGAGCCCACCAGCTTTGTAACGAAGGCTACATGGTCATGTTTGAAGATCGACTATCCACAGTTTGGAGTGCGCCGAACTATTGCTACCGATGTGGCAATCTGGCCAGCGTGTTAGAAGTTGGGCCTGGCGGAGAACGCAAATGGAATGTTTTTGATGCGGCGCCGGAGAATGAGGCCCATCGACTGGAACAACAACAGCAGCAGCAACAGCATGCTGGCTCTGATCCGGTTCGGGACTACTTTCTTTGATTGTGCATCCAGAGTTTTGGGGACCTTCATGTCTTTCGTTTGCGCATTGGTGGAGATTTTTGATGCCTGGGAAGATACCAAGATACAGCGGTGCATATGGAGGCGTTCTGGTGTATAGAATTTTCAAACAACATCAGATATGAGGACTCTGACGAGTTGCACGCCCCACTTCTAGCGGTTTCCAATGATGAATGCTCGTTGAATGAATATCTGGTGACAGTCCTTTCCCTCCATGAGAAGAAAGTTATATAGAGCTGTTCATATTCCTATCCTTCGTCGCATCTCAAAAGTAGCTTGTTCGTGTGAGACTTTCTATGCCTGTCGTCTTGAACAGACCATCTCTACCCTTCCCGTCTGTAGGAGATCTAGCACCGGATCTACTGCACAAGCCTGGCTTCCTCGTCCTCACTCTCTGTCTCATACTCGCTCTCATCAGTTTCTTCTTCCGTCTCAGTCTCCTCATCGCTTTCCTCTTCCTCACTCCCATCTTCGTCGTCATCATCATCATCATCATCAAGCCAAGCATCCAAGCTTTTCTCCTTCTTGCTTGTGCCTCCATTCGACGTATACCCAGGATCAGCCTGCAGCGCCTCATCTAATCTCTGGCCAGCAGAAAGACTCTTCGTGGACACGTACTCGGACCTCCCACCTGCATCTCTCTCATCGCGAAGGGCCGGATCCGGCTCCTTGCCATCTTCCACCCAGTCCGGAATCTTTTCATATCCGCCAACCCCATTCACACCGGCCTCTCCGCCAATGACTAAACTTGCAGATCCCAAAGCAAAGTCTTTCCGTGATTCACTTGGTGAAGGCGCCTGGGGCACTGGCTTAGGTGCTAGCAGGAGTAAGCTCGCCAGTTCCGTACTGCTTTGTATTGCGAGCAGGGCGCGGAAGAGCCGTGCGCGATCTCGAAGATCGTAGGAAGGTGTATAGCGTGCCAATAGCATGGTATGTTGATACAGCATCTCAATTGCATGCTGCTTTTCGGGAGGCGGCGGCTCAACAGAAGCCTCATCGTGTGCATGCTCTCGGAAGCCGCCGTCATCCTCGTCCTGTGACGGAAGAACAGTGCTGGAGTCGTGATGTGTCGACGTGGGGTCGCCATTGAGCGCATCAAGTGCCCTCTGCTTCGAATTCTTTGCATTGAGATGGTGCAGGTAGACTTTTGCTCCTAAAAGCACAATCTGTGCCCGAACTTCGTCACTCTCGTCTGCGTAACCCTTTACAAGGATTCGAAGGACATCAGCAGCAATACTGTGCTCCGCATCTAGACCGGCAAATTCACCGACAAGCCACACGATACTGGCACGTGCAGTTGGTGATGTGAGCGAGTCGAGGTTYTTGGCTAGTCGGATGACAGTCTTGCTGTGCTCGCCTGGAGAGCGCTGTATCAAGTGTCGGATCACTTCCATGGCCTCCCCAACGAGAGTTGAGTCCGTGCTGTGTATCTGCTTGAGTAGGAGATTCAGACACCTCCGCGCTGTGGTGGTGCTCGAATCTTGAGCGCATCTTCCTATTGCTCGGACACTATCGCGGGTGAGATGTGCGTTGTGTCCCTTTGAGAAATGCTCCAGCTCAGCGAGTATCAGATCTTGAACTTCTTTGCCGTTGTGAGGAAAGACCAGGGTCAAGATTTCGAGCTTGAGGCGCCAAATGTGAGGCGCTTCGGTGGATTGGATGAGGAAATGGCGGAAGTATGGAACGAACTGGGCTGGATATGATAGGCAGACCTGGACGATGTTGTACAAGGCCACCTGCTTCATATCTTGGGGAGCACGAAGTAAAGCTATCAAAGGACGAATGGCCTGATGTAGGTGGTGTTGCGGAKAGAGATACAGGTACGCTCTGGTCACCGCAACGACCACTGCAGAGTTCCGGCTTGATAGTAATGGCTGGATGGACTTCAAGAACAGATCTAGATCCGGATCAACCATCTCAACTTCCTCCAGATTATCCTCTGCGTGTTCCTCTTCCTTCGGCTCCAGGTCTTCGTAGAAGTCTTTGGCTCTTTGCTCCTGAGTCGCAGCTCGCTTTACTTGCTTCGTTCTCCTGGGGAAATTCTTCCGGGCGTATGTGGTAAATAGTTTGATAAGAGCAAGCTGACCCCATTCGTCCATGTCGACGACCATTTTGCACAGACTTCGGTAGACAGGATGGATCAGATCTAATCGCTCGGGGCACACCTCCATGAATGCCTGGGCTGCGGCACCAGCGACGTAATACTGCTTATCACCGAGCAGTGTCGGTAGGTACTCCTCTACTTGTGGTCTCGTCGAAGGGTCGAGTTTCACGCACTTCACGCAAGCCAGCGCAGCTGACTTGCGCACCAGAGGGGAAAGATCTGTAGCGCCCTTCTTGATAGCGAGGCTGACAATCTGTGAGATGACGGGCACTTTGATTCCAGACATTGTCTTGAGGGCCATTGCCCGTATTCGAGGATTGCTGTCGGAGAGTGACTTTTGAATCGTATTGATCGACAGCAACGCAGTATCAGGATCGGCCTCGGCGTGATGAATGAGATAGTTGTAGACCAGTGGTCGAGTGGATGGAAACGGAGTTGACAGCGTCTTCAAGACAGCAGCGAAGTAAGTCAAAGTGGGCTGAGGTGGGTTGGCATATTGCATCTATTCTCCTTATCAACATCTGGTGCTCGAATACATATATCGCCGTGTCCTTTCCACCGATGGAGACATACCGCTACCACCCTCCGCAAACCATCTAGAACATCTCTTTCATTCCTGCTATCCAGCAGTTTTTTAATCTGTGCTGCTGGGAGCGGGCGTGTTGACTTGCGTGGTCCGGCATCGCGGGCAGCTTCGAGAGTGAGGTCGCGTGCTTTGGGTGTCGTTAATTCCCACCAGATGCTCTCCATTGTTGAGCTGTTGACTCACCTTGTTCCAGCAGCGAGCTGATGCGGGAGATGGACTCCATGGTCACACGAGGTAGGTGTCACCTACTAGGCCTCACACGCTATTGCCTTGTGTATGTCGTGATGTCTCGTGGACCGAGTGGGGCAGGTGAAGTCCACGTTAGTTAGGTACTAGGGAGACGAGATGGGTGATCTTCGCCAAGGAACTTGGGACGAAAAAATATATTCGACCTTTCACTCTTTCCGTCTCGTATCATCACCAACATGCAACACATACCTGCGCCAGTCATCACGCGTCCGACGCCTACCAGCATGGACCGCAAGTCGATCTTCAACCATGGTGTCATTGCAGCCGACTGTCGTTGAGGTTCGGAGTGCACGAGATTTCCTGCAATATGTGCTGGACAATCATGCTCCACCTTCAACGTTGGTTGTCTGCTCCTCCAAGGCCGACTTTCTCGAGACACTCCAGTCATCTGATGACGGTGATGATCCCGTGGATCGAGCAGAGGGCGTCGAAGAAGAACAATCGTCGCCAAAGGACTCAGTCAATGAGCGGGTGAAGCGCTTTGCCCCTACCCTTCGGTTGTTGTCTCGATCCCGAACGGTGAAGCTCGCATTCTGTCCCGACATCACTCATCTCAGAGCATATCTTGCCTGCATCAACACTGACACTAGCCCTCGTGGTGCGAATGAACTCGCATTCACTGGAGCTTTGCATCCACGTGATGCAGCCCCAATCCTGGCGATCCTCAATCCGATCGAGCTACATAGGCCCACGTCCGCCTTCTCAGCGCAAGGTCTCAACAGAACCTTGTCAATTGCCGTTGAAGCTGCATATCGCATTGGGCACAAGCTCGTCCTGGCCGAGACTGCCCGCAACGCCTGGCTGGAGGAGCTCTCACTCCTCAATGTCACCAACAGACGACTTGGCGAGCTCGCTGTCGGACGAACTGTGACTCCAAAGGCTATCGCGCAACACTGGTGCATGTTTGAAAGGCATGTCCCGTCCGAACCCTGATGGTCTCAACACACCGAACGATGGAATCAATACCCTTTCCCGACAGACAACACCCATCGCCCTACGCTTAGTGCAATGCACCTTGATAGGTAAGATCATTTTCCCATCCCGGCACCCCTCTTATATGACGAAAAACAAGTAATTCACAGACCTGTTCTGAATTTACTGTGGAACATTACAAGCTCTAGATCTGATACCCATCAACATCTCCATCATCATTCATGCACAATTAATGAAGGATACCTTGGCTGACTTCTCTATAGCATCTCCCTCATGTCTGGTGCAATTGAAGGTTGCCGCCCTACCTGTTGCGGTCAAAGACGTTGTGCCTTCTACAAGAATAACAACACAGTCGAGAAGACACCATACGAAAGACAGTTGGCTCTCCTCAATAACGCGTGTTTTGATAGTCATAGCTAAATTTTCGTGAGCGTTGTCGTCGCTTGAGTACATGGACTAGGCGAGCCGGCAAGCTTCAGTTTCCTCTTACCATCCCTGGTCTGCAAACCAGGTAGGGTCAGGTCATGTAAACATGTGAGAATGGCAGCACCATATACCGACGAAATGAGCAATCTCATTCCATTTCTCCCCTCGCTTGTACGAAAGCAGACCGYCCCTTGTAACAATCACAAACGCCGGTTGGGTATCGTTACGCCGCCATGTCCCTGGCTTGCTCGTATAAAGATTTCATCAGATCGTAAATCGCACGAGCGATTCTCATGAAATGCTCTGCTCCATCTCCGTCATGTACAATTTGATGTGGCTCTCCATCTTCATGTACTCTTCCCTTGCAGCCTGAACTTCGTGTTCTATCTGCTCCTTCAAGTCCGCCATCTGGAGCCATCGTGTCAGCGAACCATCTGATAATGCATCACGACAACACCAAAACTCACCTTCTTTTCAGTCTGCTCGATTCGGACTCTCCGCTTCTCCACCTCCTCGCCCCTCTCTCTCCTTTCGGCAGTCAATTCTCGGTGGGTAGCACGCAAGCTCTCCATCTTCTGCTTTGCATTGCCAGCTCTGGTCTCCGCATCCCGACGGAGCTTCTCAGTCCGATCCTGCCATTGTTGTAGCTGCTTACGCAACATCTTCTCTTGTCGCTCCACTTCTCGCACACTATTAGACTTCTCCGTCAAAGCTTCGCGATTCTTCGCGGCGGCCCTTGCTTCCTCTTCCTCTTTGTTGAGCTCCACTTGGAGATCTGTGAGCAGTCGAGTAAGGGACGCAATATCCGTCTGTAAGAGGGTGAAGGTATCACAACTGGTTTGCAGAGCTCTGGCACGCTTATCAAGACGTTCGATTTCAGCGCGATCCGCGTTAAGGTTCGAGCTGAGGTCGCGTAGAGATTGCTCCAGAACGGCGGGCGATTGTTCGGTGTAGGGTCGAAGTTTGTTGGCTTCATTGCGAGTGGTCATCACAGAGGTGGTCTTCTCCTCAAGGATGTTCTTCAAGCGCGCCTGATCGCCCTTGACACGCTCAAGCTTTTCAGTTACGCGTTCCTGGCTTTTCTTCAGCTCGAGGAGGCGTGTCTTGAGCTCCTGGTTCTTCTTCTCCTTCTCCTTCATGGCTTGCTCAACATTCTTCCGGTTGTGCTCCATCTCATGCAGTCGGTCCTCCTTCTCCTGATTTTCATGGTACAACTGTTCGATTGCATTCTTTGTCCGCTCGCTAGAGTTGTAGTGTTCGTCGATGACAGCCGTCTGGCTCTCTCGGAATCGAATGAAATTGATTATGTAGCTGAAGATCTTGACGAGACGTGGGTGTGTCGGGCGGTAGAGGTCCGAGAAGGTAAAGTCTTTGATGCCGCATTCGAGCAGCAGCTTGCGCATCGTGACGAAGAATCCCATGAGCTCGCGCGTATCGGCCGTGAAGATACGTTCAGCATCGTCGCCACACATGTCCTCAGCAGCGGCGCGCATTGCTGGGGCCACGATCTCGCGCGTAGTCATCGTCAGCAACTCCGCGAACCATTCGAAGACCTTTTGGATCTGCTGCGGATTCGGTTTTCGCAAGTCATCGATCGAGAAGTTGATGCCAATATCACTTATGCATCCCGCAATCTCTTTATCGGGCTGCTATCCGTCAGCACTGCGCGAGGCTGTCTGTCCCACTTCGCATTGTCCATACCAGTGTCATGAAGGCATCTTCATCCGGCTCTTTGCGCTGCTTCTGCTGGCTGGGCGGTTGCTGGCTCCGCGCCATACTCATTCGCGGATTGTAATCCATACTGGGCATGATATGGTGGGGGTGCGTTGTTATGTGTGTGTGATGCTGTTGAGGGATGTGCTGGTTCGCACGTCGAGATCAACAGATCAACAAACCAACCCAAGCCGGGCGGGGCGGGGCGCAACCGGAAGTTGCCGGAAGAGCGACTGCCCTGCACGGCATGTGATGAACACCACAGCCTTTCATATTACCACTCCCTCATGCCGCGCGTAGAGACGTTGGGTCTGATGGAGGGACACACTCAGCACTTATGGGAATAAATTCCACCTACACCGATGACATTAACCATGGTTTCTAGATATAACAACAGGATTTTACTCCCGGCGGCGACTTTGGCCTACATCGATGACCAAACATGCCATGTTTCTAGCAAGGCGGAACCATCGGAACGATTCATTGCTTTGTGTAAAAACGACTGTTTCTGCCCACTCCTCGACATTCACCAGGATCGCTGCGGCCAATGCTAAGCGTGTATATCGATTACGCCATTTCACGGTGCATCGACTGGGGCCATGGCAGCTTTGGTCCTCGCTTGCCATTGTAGTCCTGTGTCAGCAGGCGGAGCTGGTTCAATCTTCACAACATCATGGTGAATCCTACCATCGGCTCCTCCAATGGACACAAGCTGGTTGATAAGTGAACTCTTGGAATCATGTCCGTGATCCATGGTGTATCTGTACTGAAGCATAGATCATTGACGAGTATGGACACGCATCGCTCCACCCGTTCCACCAGCCTGTGCGGTCAGTGCTGGGTCTGCAACGCAACAAAAGCTCCCGGTGAGCTGTCTTTTCTTTCGCTTCCTGTTTCTTTCGCCATACTCACTCTCAACTACAATCATGCGGGCTAGCATCCTCGCCGCGGGCCTTTCCGCCGTTTCGTTCGCTTCTGCGGACTATCCATCCGGTAAGTCATTCTACCAGCACGTCGTTCATGCTCTTGAGATGCCGGCAGCCAGCAGTGCCCTGGCATACATCCTAGCGCCACTTCATCATCTTCCTTCGCGCTACGGAATCTGCTGAAGGAAACGCATACTGACAACTCTCAGTTGAGCCGACATACCCTGTCCCTCACACCCCCAAGCCGGATTATCCGTCTGCCACCACCAGCTATGAGCCAATCCAAAGTTCCCAGCCGGAGTTCTCATCCTCCGCTATCACCTCTCAGCCAATTCACAGCACTCAGCCGAAATCTTCGTCTTCCGCTATCAGCTCCGAGCCAGAGTACCCGTCGTCCGGTGTCAGCTCCCAGCCCCTTTCCACCACCAAATCCGGAGATCCATTTCCCACTTTGACTTCTCAGGGATCCTCTTCCCCCACCGTCACTGTCACCTCTGTGAGCAGAACCACCGTGGAGACCACCAAGGAGACAACTCTTACTCCTACAACCAGTCTTGCCAACACTACATCCTCGGTGCAAGCGTCCGCTGTCAATTCACCTCTGCCCACCGCAAATGCTGCGGAAATTTCCTGCCCTGCGAACAACAATACGGTCGTCCCCTCTCGCCCGGGGTCTGCATACATAGTGTTGTGCGGGGGGGTCGTTGGAAACATGATCAACGTCATGCGACCTGCCGAGACCACCCCTTTGTCGCGCACTGCCATTTGCCTGGCAGCATGCGACGCCAATCCGAGCTGTGTCGCCATCAATGCCGCYCCCAGCGGCTGCACATACTTCAGCTCGGTTTCTGGCCGCGGTACTGCAGGTGAAAACATCGCACTGGTTAACGTGGATAGGGAGGGGGCTATCACTCCTTCATCGATGGCGTCAAGTACTTCCAGTGCCTCGTCGTCTGGAACTTTGCCCGCCGGCATCCCGACTACAATGTCATCGTCTGCATCTTCGAGCTCGATGACTCCCTCGATCAGCCCCGCCGCTCCTGCGGAGAGTCCTGTAGTCAGCTTGACATCGTCCAGCTCGATTGCGAGCCTCACGAGCAGCTCCATTGCCACCTCCACCATGACCCCTATTATTAGCACTACATCTGTTATGGTGACTACCACACCCAGCTCCAGCTCCAGCTCCACATCCAGCACCTCGTCCAGCTCGTCCAGCTCTTCGTCCAGCTCTTCGTCCAGCTCGATTACGAGCCCCACGAGCAGCTCCATCGCTACCTCCACCTTGACCCCTATCACCAGCACTACATCTGTTATGGTGACCACCACACCCAGCACTAGCTCCAGCCTCACACCTACCACCTCATCCAGCTCTACCTCCAGCTCGTCCAGCTCCGTATTGAGCTCTTCATCGACACCTACACCTGCTGCTCCAATTACTAGCTCTACTACTAGCTCTGCACCCTCAACAACCACCATTGAGACCACGGATATCTTGACAATCATCACCGAATCGACGGACATCGTCACCGTCACAGCATCCACCACTGAGCATACCACCACAACGCCCTCCACGACGGGGTCCATCACTTCCAGCACATCTTYGTCAACCCAGGCCACTGACACCGAAACGATCATCACCGATTCACCATCAGCGCCTACCGATATCGTCACCGTTACGGCATCATCTGGAGGATCTTCAAGTTCTAGTACATCCTTGTCAACCGCTTCCGGCACATCTTCTTCAACGGACACGACCAGCTCTACCTCATCCTCGGGTTTCACAACTACATTCGTGATGACCAGCACTTCCACCATCTTCGCGAGTTTCGTTCAGCAAGGTATAACCCAATCTACCCCTGTGTCCACGATTACCACTTCTGTTACTATGACCGGAGTCTCTGTTGCTGCCCGTGCAGTACCAACTTACCATGCAGAAATTGCACCCCCGCACGAGGAGCCCMCCTCTTTGCCAGCATCAAGCGAATCGTCGTCCGCAGACAGCACGCTATCAGCCGCGTACAATCAGCCAGCAACCTCGCCGATGAACAACAAGCCAGAGACTTCTACTGAACATTCGCACACCAAGCATCCGCACACCAAGCATCCGCACACCAAGCATCCGCACACCAAGCATCCGCACAACAAGCCTTCATCTGTTTCCAGCATGTCTTCTTCGATGACTCCAGGATACAACAAGCCAGAGACTTCTACTAAACATGCGCACACTAAGCATCCGCACAACAAGCCTTCATCTGTTCACAGCATGTCTTCGACGACTCCCGGATACAACAAGCCACAGATGACCCCAGGACACAACAAGCCTTCCACCGCCTCCTATAGCAAGCCAGAGATCTCGACCCATCCCACGTATACTCGGCCACAGATGANATACTCGGCCACAGATGACCCCAGGACACAACAAGCCTTCCACCGCCTCCTATAGCAAGCCAGAGATCTCGACCCATCCCACGTATACTCGGCCATCACCAGTCCACGGCACTCCATCACCCAGCGAGTCATCGCCAATCCCCCCGATGACATCGCACCGCAGTATGAGGTTGCACAACATTGCGTGCAAGTGGTTTCCGTCGATTGCGCAGCACTGCCCGCCAGGAGATAAGCCGACCCACAGCCCTCCAGGATATAAGAAGCCGAGCCACAGCGCTCCTAAGCCTTCGCACACCGCAGAGACCACCAAGTCAATTGGATACGTCAAGCCTTCTTCCTCCAAGGACAACACACCAGTACACAAGCCAACCCACAGCGCTCCAAAGCCTGTCGGATACGTCAAGCCAACACCATCGCACCCTCACAGCAAGCCAGAATATATGCCCACCACCACCACCACAGAGGCTAAGACGTACTCTACACCTTCGGTTTGAAGACTGAAGACGCACCGTCTGGACTTGGTAGAATAGCTTCTCAACATATATTGGAGTTTCATCTGGTTTCCCCTACTCCTTTCCCATCGCTTGATGCTATTGCGTGAAGTTATTATGTATTCTCCACTACGTATGTGTCATGACAACTGCCCTAATTGAATGTTGTGCTGCATATCTCTTGCTGACTTTGCACAATCACAAGTTCTTACCGTGGTACTGCCACGTGTTGACCTCAAGTATACACAGTGATAATTGGATGAGATTACAGCTCCACGTTGACCCGAATTCAGACAAGGACTTGATGTTAAGGGAAAAGAAAAGTTCAATTAATGTTGATCTGATACAAGGAATTTCATTTGATGTAATAGATGTGAAGAAAGACGACCACTCCCTGCGTTCAAATGCCACAGATATTTACATGGCAGAAGTACTCGTCTATATGAAAGAAATAACGCCTTTGTGCTGATATACAATCACTCCTGCAAGACGCCTTTCCATCCCCCATATCTTTCCATCAATCCATCGCTTACAAGAAGAAAGCGAGGAGACCAGCGGCCGCGGCAAGGCCACCAACCTTGACAGCGGCGGCAGAGCCAGTGTAGGTGGCAGGGCCGGAAGGAGCTGGCATGGAACCAGTGCCAGAAGGAGCTGGAACGGTGGCCATGGTGGTGTTGTGGATGGGGTAGACTGGTGGCTGGATTGGGGAAACTGGGGTGGAAGCAGCTGGAGGAGCGGTGGCCCAGATGGATGATGGTGGTGCCTGGTAGACGGGAGCAGTGGGCTTCATTGGGTGGCTCTCCACTGGTGCGGAGCTGGAAGGCACGTGGTAAACTGGGGGAGGAACAGCGCTGGATGGCATGACCGGGTGGCTCTCAACTGGCTTGCTCTCGACGGGAGTGTACACTGCTGGGTGGGTGGCGGTCAAGGTGATGACGGTGGCCGAAGTAACAGTGTAGGTAGTTGGGCCGTGAGTGAAAGTAGTTGGGGTTGGGCAGTATGTGGTCCAGACGCCAGTGGAGGTCGAGGTCGAGATTGGCGACTCAGGGGTGGAAGCAGAGCTGGATGACGCGTGGTAAACTGGTGGCGGCATAACAGCAGAGCTGGAAGATGCGTGGTAAACCGGTGGGGACACTGGGCTCGACACGGCAGCAGAGCTGGATGGAGCGTGGTACACGGGCACGGTGGCGGTCGAGGTGGTGCAGGTGGTGTCGACGCTGGAGGATGGCACCATTGGGCTGGTCTCGACAGCGGTGGTGGTGGTCATGGCCGAGGAGGAGGACTCCACTTTGGAGTAGGTTGGAGGAGTAGCGGCCTCGGAGGTCGAAGCGGCAGGAGCCTCGTACGCTGGAGGAGCGTATGAGGCAACGGTGAGGCCGGCAAAGCCGAGAGCAACGATTTTGGAAAGCATCTTGTTGATTAAAGGTCGGGGGGATTAATTAACGAAAGTGGTGGGTGATGCGTGAAAACGAGTGTGGTTGCGGGATGAAAGGGAAGAACGAGAGAAGAAGAGGCGCCTGGCGAAATTATTATATTGGGAAGAAGGGGTTGCTCCTAGCACAACAAACCAGGATGTGCAGGGAGGTTGAAATTGGCTGCACGCCATCTAGCCGGGATGGAGATGCAATCACGGTTTTGGTCCAGGGCAAGATCGAATGAGAGAGACGGCAGGGCCTGGCAGCACGTCGAGCGGCGGCGGGATTGGTGGGGCAATCTTCGGAGGGACAAATCGCGGTCCTGGGAAATCTGTAACGAAGCGAAGCGGCCCGTTCGTCGACGACGTGCAAGCACCCATGTCCGACTAGCAAGCGGCAAGACACCCCGATTGTCCGTTTGCTGTCCATCGACGCCAAGAGAATCACGGTGCCACAACGGGGCGGCGAACGGACAGACAACCAAGACTAATAAGACCAAGGCGGAGTGGAGGATTGGGTGGGCGATGTTCTTCCGGTCCTGGGACCTGGCCGGAAACCTGCCAGCAGGGCTACCTACCTACTGAACTGAACAGGCTGACACCTATTTCTTGGCACTGTGGATTCTGATTCTGATTCTGGATTGTTCGGGGCCAGACGCTCGATGAGCCAGGCTTGGAAAGGGACGCAATTTTGAACGCTGCAGGCATATTTCCGACAGATTCTCATCGGAGACACCTGCACTCCGCTTCGGGGCTTTGTCGATTGCTGCTGATTACACTCAGGCTCGGGATATTCTGCTGGCGCAAAAGGTCTCGCGTGGCGTATGAAACTTGACTGCCAGCGGCATCGCGTTGTTGTTGTCGCAGAGAAGCTTGTCCAAACTCTCACCAAACCCTCCATGCGCTTCCATCTTCGGCACTGATACGTCTTGTAACATTGCACGTCTGAGAAAAGCTGACGACATCGAAAACGCTGAAGACATGGAGTCCTGGATCGAGGGCGCCCGTGGGAGAGACTAGCGATGAGGACGTCATGATCAAACCGCCGGCGATTGGACCACGGACGTGACCATGACTTTGTCGGCAATCGCTGTCGACCTTGGGCCAACCCTAACCCTCCACGCCGCACCACGAACCTCGCAATCGTGTTGAGCTCCATCCGCCCAGGCTTGAGCTGACACTTTGGGGATGGCGATGAACCGAATTCCGGGGAGAAAATGGARCATGGCGGTGTACTGTGGCACAGAGCAATCTCCACTCAAAACACACCGCCCGCCAGCAACCATTCAGCATACCAGACTTGATGTCCGGCGAGAACGGCCATGTCGAGGTGAGAGTCTTCCAGCGCCTTCCCATGGTTCATCGACTCCGCCCTTCTCGGTCACACAGCGTCCAGAGGAACAGCCCTTGCCGCCCACGACTCAATCCAATCAAAAGGATCAAAGCTCCATACCCAGTCCCATAGGCTCCTTTTCCCGGCTGTTGCACAGTGCCTGCATTGAGCAGCTCCCCGCCTACCAGCCCACTGGTAACATATTCGATCCCTCGAACACCATTCATCAGACCGTAGAGAAGTCCCGTTTTGGTTCCTGGGGCATTGAAGAGTGTGAACATCAACGATCTGGAGAATGTTGCCAGTCCCAAGACATGGCAATAGCATACGAACCTGATGTGAGCCGACGCAATCCCATAGCCCGTGCTAAAAGACAAGATTGGCGATCGAGTATATTCATGAGGTCCAATGTTTGAGCCAAGCATGCTTGCGACGTGGTCGAACTTCTGGCTGCCCCTCTGTCTCATTTAATGGCCGGTCTGACAAGCCAGACATCTTGGTATGTTCTATGACTGTCCATTTGGAAGATTGCTCTCAAGAATAGTAAACGGCGTCGGTGACATTGATATGTTACAGCGTCTCTTTGCTCCGAAAGCCGTTCCTGATGGCCAAAGATCCGCTTTCGCTGCAGTAATGTGAGGATCGATTCGCTGCTGGCGCACTAGAGCCAGGATGCTCGAGAGGAATCTATGGATCTGAACAACCTCCGATGCAAAGAGATGCTGTGCCTTACTCTCGACGTCCGGTACCGGTGAGAATGCCGTGTCGGAATTCGCGCCGCGAGGAATCGGATTGAGTGCTTCGTAAATTTGCTGATACATTATCTAGATATTCGTAAACCGTGAGCCACTGCGGCATTCTCAACCGTTTTCAGTCCTGTGCTATAATGTATGACCCAACAGGTGCTGTGCTCTCGTAAACCCAGCTCATCTCATGAAGAGGAGTWGGCACAAGAAACTGGAGTCTCGGTTGGAATGGTCTTGAGAGCCACACCAATGCAACCGTCTTGATAGGCAGGTTTCTCCGCGCTTGTGAACCATAGTGAGTACGCTCCATCGAAAGAAGGACAGGCCTTTGGGCTTTGGCCATCGAAGACAAGATATCCCTCGTCGTTGATAGAGAAGCCCGTACGCTCGGCATTGCGAGGCGCCGGTTGGGCACCTGTAGTGTAGCCATTGACTCCCTGACCTAATGAAGAACAGAGTCAGAATACGTAGGGGTTACCGAATTCATTTCTTTACTTACCCATTCCTGAGCGATCAACCCAAAGCTGCTGAGGCGTAGCACTGGCAGCATACAGGTATGCGGCTCCATCCTGGATGTAGAATGTGGCAAAATTGGTACCTTGAACGTCACAGCTAGCGTCGCTCTGGTTGCCACCGATGAGGAGGCTGCCCTTGGAGGCTGTGATGCCGGTGTTCTGAACAGGGCTGCCGGAGCGGATGGCGATTAGACCGAATTTTGCTGGTGCCTCTGGTTGAGGAGCTGGGCAGGCAGCAGGCAAAGCAGCGGCAACGCCTGCAAAGAGAGCAATGTTCTTTATCATCTGCATATTGGCGGTAGAAAGTAACTTGGTCTGGATATTGTTGTTGTTGTTGTTGTTGCTGAAAGTGCTCGATGTATTGTTGCTTGTTGTTCTTTAGATGTAGAAGTCGTAGAAAGCTGGGATCGGAGGAACTGTTGTGATGATATGAAAGGAAGGAGAGGCGTACTTGCCATGGCTATATGTACTGCAAGATTATTCCGATGATACCTGGTAGCTTACCTTATGCACATGGATGCCTCCTGGCAATACGAGTTCAGGGCTCGTCGGCCGAGCCGAGAGGACCAAGATGATGCTGTAGCACCCCATACGCCTAGTGAACGTTCTCACCTATACGAACTCCAGGCCCGTCAGGTGCCGCTCCATCATTCAGAAGGTATGAGAACGACAAGCTCGTCTTCGCAAGTCTTGGTCTCCGTCACGATACGACTTCACGACGTAACAGGGTAGCATGTTTAGCTCCTCGTTTGTGGCGAGCGAAGCAAGTGGTGCATCGGTCAGTAGCATGCTGCAGGCACGACAGGAGAACCAGATATCCAAAATAGATGGTGGGCCAGTCTGGTACGGTCGAAAGTTACGGCGTAAGAACAAGAGCGACAGGCAAATGGCGGCTTTTGCAAACCTTTGAAGTGATCTCATGCTATTTTTGGAACATATTCATGGAATTGTGGCGACTGCAAGAAACAACAGAAGTCAGCTTGAATTTCTACACAGGAGCAAATTGCAAGTGAGATCGCGCCAAAGGAAGGCGTTGGCGCTCATACGCTTTCGATACTACGAAACTACCTTACCTGTCTTATAACAAGACGCCGGCTGGTCTGTTGGAATTCCCTCTGCCCGTATGGTGCATGCCCGTGGTTCATACACTCTCTGTAAGGCTTATAGCATAGGGTCACGCCCGCCATATAAGAGCTGCAGGCCACATGTAGAGACTTGGCTGCGACGCAGTCATGCCAACAGCAATTCCGCACTTACTTCTCGTATCAAGCTCGTGGTCCCATTCATAGTCGTCGACCGGCATTGATACCGCACGTCAGTCTTCCTCATAATATAGTCGTTCATCATTCGGCGGCGGTCCGTAGCATTCRGTCATACCCGCCCAGGTGCCGACGGACCCAGTACTGGTTGTATGTCGAATAGTCTCTCTCGCCAGTGATTCCCAATTGACTCGCCACGTTCACATAACCCTCACCATTGACAGGTCCGCTCTGGGCTACGTTTTTGATGTCGTCCCCATCAGTCTGCCAGGGAGTTCTGCAATACGGACAAGTCACGACTCCACCACGCTTCGTTGCAGCCCAAGCATCGAAGCATACCTTGTGCACGTTGTTCCCTGTCTGTCATCAGCCATTGTCCTTCACTTTCAAGTTCACGCAACTTACCGCAAGCGGCTTTGCAGTACACAACTTTCTCGCTCTCATCCTCRGCATTGAAGTCCTCACAGCAGATACCACAGTCCTCCAATGGCTTTCGGTTTCCATCCTTCTCCGATTCAGCGGCTGTTGCAGATGGCAAAGCAGGTGCATTGTCAAAGATTTCCCGCAACTCAGAAGACAAGAAGGCAAGCTGGTACTCCAGATCGGACCGTACACGAAGCACTCGAGCCAAGCAGTATACCAGATGTTTGCATTGGTTACCTTTTGCTGCATGAGGACAATTACAACTGGGKAGGGTGTCGATGGTGATGGTGTAAATGTTACCCGTTGTGCCCGCTAGAGAGATTGTCTCTGTTGGGTGAGCTGTGTTCGAGGTCGGATCTTGCGGCTCATCGCGCTGTCTATCGACTACAAACATGCGTTGAGTGAGTGCTGGCACATGTTAGATCGACGCAGTGTTGCTTGACGTGACAATGCTTACCACGATTGCGGATCTCCTCATAAGACAGAGGAGCCTTGGAGCGGAATCGTCTGAGACGCTTCTCCCCTGCCTCCTTACGCTTCTTTCTCGGCCTACCGTAAATGTCTACGCTCTCTTCCCCTTCAGGTGTATTCTTCCGCTTGTGACTGCGCCTCTTCGGTGAATCTGGCGGGACGAAGGCGCTGGGCGGAAGCGTTTGGGAGCTTGATGCCAATTGGCGGCGATGGTGGGGTGGGCATGGATACGTATGGCCCTGGCCTCCATAATAGTGTGGATCAGGTGGCCTCGTATCGGCCCCCATCGTCGTTTTGGAATGGATGGTACAGGTGGAGATCAAAGTCGCCTCCGAAGACGCGCCAGAAGTTCTTCGAGAAATCACATAACCGGCGCTTTTTCACGCTAACCACGCGAAACGCATTGGCACGAGCATCCTCGTCCTCGTCGTCGGCCCGGGGTCTCTGCCGTTATCTCTACCTGATCCGTATCAACTTCTGGACACAGACTCCATTCACACCGAAGCCGAAATCAAGGTCCAAGAGGTTGCAGCTACCTATCCAAAGCCCCTTAGCGACCCGCGCTATCAAGACTTCTTCCCTCAGCGGACCCAATCCGATGCCCCAAGAWGTCACTGACAACCGAGCATCATGATGCCGACTGGTGAGCAACTTCAGGATCAATCGTAGCAGTCCTCCGGCATGCTCTGGCAGTTGCAGGCACATGCAGGCTGTACCGGTCGCTACAAATGTCGTCTGGATCCCTTACCTTCGCCATGGGGCACGGGGTCAATTCTTCCAGTCCGCAACCACATTGCTTCAATTCTTCAAATTGCTCAATTCACGTGGATGCATAGAATGGATGGAGCACGTAATAGATTTGTCAATCGATCATCAATTTCATTTCTCATCCTGCAGTGCTACATTTTCCTCCAGGTATACCGCTACAAGCCATTACATCATCCACTACATTGTTCCTCTATGCACTCGCCTTTGGCTTGGCAGTTGGGAGAAGGCAAGTAGTGAATCCGTCGTTTCCGACGGCGAGACCACCACAGAGGCCGTTGGAGTCCAAGAAGCCAGAGGCAGGTCCAAGAGTGCCGCGGRGGTTGCCAGCGGCATCGTTGTGCTGGGTCTGTTCGATCATATGATTAGTCGCGATGCTTGGTCTCGAGGTTTGGAAAGACTTCTTACGTTGGTTGATGGTGGGGGAGTGGCGACAGGGAAGCAGTCAGTGTATCCCAATGGTCCAATAGCGCCGCCAATGCAGCCCTCGACGGCTCCAGTTGGTCCACCAAGAGCACCTCCSAGAGTGCCCTGGAGGGGTCCAAGGGTACCAGCGGCACCACCACCGATCTCACGCTCAGCGACCTATTGAGTCCAGTCAGTATCATTGGTGTAAGAATGAAGGCCAGGGTGCGAACATACACCAGTGATTGCTGGGCCAGGAGCAGCGAAGGCGGCAGATGCCAAAGCAAGGAGTGCGAGAGTGAACTGCATGTTGATCGGAGTGAAGGTAGAGTAGTTTTGGTATTGTGATTGAATGGATGTGGATACCCAGTTGCTGTTGGGACAAGCAGTTGGTTTATATGTCCATGTGAATTCCGTACTGCATTTCATCTACATCCAACATCTGCCTCGGTGAGAGACCACCAAACACTGTTGTCTGTACATCTTGGAAGATCTTCCCCCCGCGCGGTATGTGACAGATAAATTCGACGGTGCCTAGACTTTTCTCGCGACCATGAATGTGATTGGCGGTCCTAACCAATTCGCTGTGTTGTAGAATACGCTAGATCGCTAACGCGCCCCGAACAGGTTTATGCTGGAGATCTCCGTCCATGAATGTTGCTCAAGGACTGGCCGAGGCTGGGGGATCGACGAACTACATGCATTGCGCATCTCGCCCCACAAAGGCTTATTGTGAAGGATTGCAGATCATCGACCTTTGAAGGGAGGTGGTGGTATTCTTGGCGGAGGAGACTTTCATCGTTGCCACACTCAGTTCATTGATCAGTGCAAGACTGAGAGCAGAGTGCGATAAGATCCACATTCTCGAAGCGCAGTCAGCCAGAAACTAGAACAAGCCGTTGTACATTTCTTCGCAAAGCGGATYGATGACGACCTCCGCAAGATCTCTTGAATTTAAAATTTCCTTCCATCTGGGGAAAGGATAGGGCGAGTGCCGGTGCGATCGCCTGCCGCGGCAACCCCCGAGTGACTTGYGATCGTCTTGCTTTAGAACTAGGTACTCCAGCCCATGATCATCTTCTTCTGTGCCTGACCAGCTCCGAGGTTGGAATAGTGCGAGAGACCTAAGGAAAGAGCCATGTCAAATCAATAGTTCTCAGTCTCCGTCGAGTGAATTCTCTGCCGTCTTCCCGGGCAGCGCCCAACTCTCAGTATGTACAACAAAAGAGAAGTGCACAGAGCACCATATCGTCGTCGACAGCCCTACCCTGGACCATCTGCAATGTAACACAACGCCACGCGCACCAATGCACCCCAAAAACCATTCCTAATGTGAACAATGCATCCCCAACAATGCCGCGTCGCAAGCGGACTGTGTTTTCAGTCCAAAATTCTTGCGTATATCCCTTCACATACAGTGAATCAAAGCATCCACCCGGCGTTCATACGCATCGACATTGCGACACCTCATGGCTGTCACAATTGCCAGCCTCCGGGCTTCCTGCGTCTTCTCTCTCGAACGCCTCTCTACTGGCGAAGTGCCCGCTACCTGGCCCGCCGTCATGAGTGAGTGGTGCGATCAAATCTACTCGTCCTGTTCAACCGCATCGCCAGCYTGGCAGCTCATGAGCCAAGTTCTTCGGCCGTGGCAGAGCGACGAGTCTTGGGTGCTCTTGCCAACGGATTTGGTACGCCTTGGGCAAGATGTGAGAGCTGACAGCCCCTAGAAACTCCGCAGTGTCTGCACCTAATAATGCACACAGTGTCCAACAATCTCTCGATCGCAGACTCACTCTCCTCAACGATCGACCTTCGCAGGCCAGCCATTAATCCAATGCATAGCAAACCACCCCGCCAGTATTACAGCTGCAAGACTCGTATACGGAACACCATAATAGAGCAACGTATCGCTGGATTCCCCAGTCTGCGGGAGCTTTGAGCCCAGCACCTCCTGTGCGAGGAAGCGTGTTAGCATCCTTGCTTGTTCCGGGGTGATAGGTCGGCCGTCCTCGACGCCTGCTCGCTCGAGAAGGCTTTCGGAAGTCGGGCTAGAAGGTGCCGATTCACGATTTTGAACGTCCTGTGCCGACCCGTCAACGTGCCGCAACTCTTTCCCTGGGGGTGTTTGCGGTGCCTTCGTTGCGTGGTCGAGCGTGGCATTTTCTGCGTTCGCTTTTCGCTTTTCCGCTACCATCTGTGCAAGCGTCTTACGGGCCTCATCCCGCTCCGTCTCCGCAATCTCCGCCCGTTTTCGGTATGCTTCCATGTGTTGTTTCATTTCATCCATAGAAGTGCGAAGTGTCTCCAATTGTCCTTGGAGATCCGGTGAATTTTTCTCGGTCGTTTCCGTGGCGCTCGAACTTTCTTCATCTACTTCCCTCTCCTCATGGTGTGTTAAAGGCGWGTCTTGTCTCGGTCCATCCTCTTCCAATCTCTGAGCTCTCTCCTCGGCGCTTTCCCTAGCAGTGCGCTCCAGAGCGAGCTCAGTCTCAAGCTTGCGCATACGTTCACTCTGATTGCTGAGTTCGCCTTTCGCGAGCTTCAGTTCTTCACAAAGCCGGATTATATCCCCAGAGTGGTCCATCCTCGTCGGAGAGGCACTGCCAGATTGTGGTCGAGCAGTATCATTGCGGCGGAGTAATGGTAGGATGAGTGGGTCAGCAAGAGCCTTTGCAACGTCGGGTTTCTCCGGAAGCGGMGCTTGTGGGGGAGGTGCCGGAGGCTCAGAAAAGTGTGCCTTGAGGTCCAGTTTCGACCTTACGGGGGAATGTTTTGCCTTTTCGAAGCTTGGCCTCTTTTCCGGTGCGGGTGGTGCGTCGATTTTCCCTCCCAGCATATTCTCAATGGCATGTCTCGCACGAGCAATCTCTTGTGATTGCTGCATGGCAAGCTTCATCTCATGCTGGTTCACGTTAGCACAATTCAACTTGAAGGGCACCAAACGATACTTACGTTGAGCTTTCTTACAATGTGCTCGGTCGTAATCGGATTCAGCCAATTTCTCATGTGCTGAGGTTGACCTAGCTGTCCCATACCCAGTGCCGCTGCTTGCGTGGATGCTGGATTCATGCTGCTCCGGCTGTTCATGGACCCGTTGCTGTTGTTTCTCTTGAGTTGCATTTGGTGGGGACTAGCCATCAGTCCACCTCCCGCACTTGGGTCGAGAAGATCGCCAAAAGAAATTCCATCGCCTCCTTGCCCGTAGATTCCAGCATGCTCGACTTTTGCTGCAACTTTGTGGTGCACGACGGTTTTCTGATCCTCGGACACAATATCAATGCCGAGCTCAAGCACATCCTGTTCACGCAATTCTCGAGGCTCCGATTCCTTATTCTCCTGGCTCAGCCGCATGCCATTCACAAATGTGCCGTTGCTCGACTTCACATCCCGAATGAAGATGCGTCCGCTCCGATCTGCGTAGATCTCGGCATGTTGCCTTGAGAGCACCTTGGAATCAAAGTATCCATTCAGTGGTGTGGGAATCGTCTTCTGGTTTGTCTGCCGGCCGATGCGCAACACATCCGGGGCATAGGGCACGGTAATGGTCTTGCGCTCGAAAGTCCCGTTCATAGGTAGGAGGTGCAGTATTGCAGTTGGCATAGATGGTACTTGCTCTCGTAGCACACCACTACCCGCTGTCTGGCTATTTCCATTTGCCATTTGCTGTGACGGGAGCAGCGGCGCATGGAGCGCGGATATGGCTGATGAGGCGGTCGCGCCAGAAGTGGCCGAGCTGACAGCCTGGGGTCGCGCTGTAGATATACCCGTGGCAGGCTCAGCCTTACCGGGAGGCCAAAGGCCACGAGTGGGCTTCTTCCGAGCGGCCCAGCTGCTGGCAGTGCTACTATCCGCCGGGGCCTGCACTGCACCGTTGCCGTTGCTGGAAGACTGTGTGGAATTTGCGGAAAGGGTTGAAGTGGAGGAGGCGTTCGAGGCAATTGAGGAGCTGGAGTTCTGCCGCTGGACAGTCTTGCGAAGCATTTCGGTGCCGGAGCCGTTCATCCCTCCAAATCCATAGCGTGTGCTCTCAAAAGAAAGCACGGCAGTCATGCCTGCACCGCTGCTCTTACTGCCCCTCTCCTCCTTTCCCCCTGCGCTGAATTGGTCGGATACYCCAATGTACTGGTGCAGGACCGCAGTGATAGCTGGCGGTCACGGAGTCGAATGGTGGCAGATCGAGTGGGTTGGTGATGTCGTGTGCTCTCCTGCGAAATGTGCGAGGTGAGGTGTGGAAGTGAGCTTTCGGGATTTCCTGCTCGACGCCAACGATCCGCAAAGGCAGCGGACGCAGGAGTGCAGGGGTATTGGGTGTAGGTGAGCGTCAGTGCGGGATTGCGCCGCGTCGGCGGTGCCAGTAGGGATGTCGTCGCGTGTGGTCTCTGGTGGTGGTCGATGCGTTGCCGCCGTGGTCTCCGGCGGGTCGCTTCCTGTCAGAACGGCACAGCGCAGTGCAGCGCAGTGCAATGCAGCGCGGCAGACACGGGGCAAATAGCAATGCTGGCTTCCACTTTATGGCATCTGCTCGTGCTGGTGCTCTTCTCCCCTTCGCTCGTGTCGTGTCGTGGTTCGCGGCGTGGCAGAGAGTCTTTCGTGGCCAAGGGTCGTCTCGCAGGCGGCTACTAGTAGGAAAGTTGGCTAGCACTGAATTGATTGATTGATTGCCGAGCTGCTCGCATGCTCCACTCCATCGCTTCGATCTTCTGCTACACAACTAGCAACGCACGATTCCAACAAACGCACAAACCATTCATCCACAATGCCTCCCGTTGCAGCTGCAGGCGGCATGTCAGGTCCATCGACCTTTGACAAAGGTAGGTCCTTTCAAAGCAACCACCCACAAATTAGAGCAAGGCTGACTGTTCCACAGCAAAGATGGGAGCCATGATGGGCGGCAGTATGCATACCCGCGTGTTTACTACAAGGACGGTCTAGCTGACTTAACCAAGCCGTCGGGCTCTGTATTGGCTTCATATTCGGCGCGACAAATATCATTCGCTACGGCCCGGGACCAAACGGCATGATGCGAACTCTGGGACAGTACATGCTTGGCTCTGCGGCTACATTCGGGTAGGGCATAGTTGGGGAGTGAACGCGCACGCCAAACCGCAATGCTGATGGTCACAGGTTCTTCATGTCCATCGGAACGACGATTCGCACAGAGAGCTCTCCCATCATGACAGAAGCCTTCCGCAAGGCGCATGCGCGGCATGGACCTCCAATGATGTTGCCATATGACCGAGCGCAGAGGAGGAGGGCGAGGCCAGAAGAGTCATAAAGCAAGATCTCGAGATGATGTGTACGAAATCTGGGAGGAATAGCCCACGGCCCTCGGAGGAGAACGTCAGAGCCAGAGACAGGAAGGGGGACACGCTTCGAGCTACTGCTCCCGAAACCACAACGAAGAGTCTGTTTTGGCCAGATGTGTCTCCGCGCGGGCATTTGTAGCTGTGTATGCTGTAAGCTATGGGCCAGGACCATGATTTCATGGCCATGCCGGGCCTCTGACAGGTTCCGTGCGAATACAAGTCTGCTTGAACATTGCTACAAGGATAACAAAGCTGAGGACCAATCCAATCGACTGAATGCCAACTCTACCTAGGAATCGATACGCCGGGACGTCAAGCGCCTTTCTTTGATGCAAGAGTAAAGACAATCTCACATCTCGCCTGGATTGGGCTGCAGAGGACCACCGCAACAAGTTGTCCAGTGGCTTGCGAAGCGATGTCAACCGGGACCATACGCAGGGAGCAGAACACTGCCTTGGAGAAAAGCATTCGTGGAAATTACGACAAGCAACAGTGAAATCCATGATACACTAAACGGCCCAGCCATCTCCATCTCTTGCCACAGGTGAAGTTCCCGAGTTGAGTGCGTTGTGGCTCAAAGCCTGACGTGACGACGATAGGTAGGGCGTAAGTCGAGCTCGGACTTCTCAACGTTCGCAATGGTCACATCTCTTCGGTCGCATATGGACTACATCAACTAGAAAGTCCAGCTTAAATACGACTGATGTGCTGTGGCGCAGTGCAAGGCTCGCATGTCCTTCCCAAATAGGCTGCTCTCAATGTGGAGGAAGATCGTGAGTTCACAGACTTCTCAAATCGATCTAACGCGATGAAAGACGATGGAAGAACTCTTGTTCGCCTCCGGATTGCCATCCCGCATGGTCGTTCGAGTCAATCTTCACCAACAAGATTCGCGCCTGAAAATTGAACAAGCAGGCTCTCCCCGTGTGGCGAAGGCTTCCGCCAAACGAAAAGCTCAGGCAGTAGCCGCATACTGCCCCAGGATCAAACAGCACCTTTCTCATTGATTGACTCGCTGCCAGTAATTGACAGCATGAGATAGGCGCCCATTGACACKGTCAGTCATGTTGCCGCAGATTATCTCGCATCGCTGTCCAAGTCAAGTAGAACTTGAGAGCGAGTTTACTGATCCTTCTCGGATTGAGTGGGTCTCTATATTACATGCGAGAGGATGCTAGCATGCTTACCGAGTGCGGCGAGTGGAGCTTCAAAAAGCCTTGGTGGATTCAAGCTTCGCAGGCCATGCTGCTATAGCGGAGATCCTTCTATTTCTAGCGCGGTCCATGCCCACCGGACGCCTGAAAAGGGTTGACTTCTACTTCTACAACACCGTAGTGCAAGGCGTCCAGATGCAGCACGGTGCATGCGGGACGCCTGACTATGTCTTTGTGTAATCTCTTCGTTTTGTGCACATGCAGCTGCGACAATACGCTTGTTATAAGTATATCGGCTCGACTTCTCTATCTTGCTACCATCCGAACATCAGCACAACATCAGCACTCTCACTCCAGTCTCACTCCCGCTTTTAGACATTACAAAATGAAGGCTACAACAGCATCTCTGGCCATTGCCATGATGGCGACCGGTGCTCTGAGCAGAGACGTCCCACAAAATATTCGAAACTTCTACAACAAGATCCACAGCGGCAAATGTACCGGCGGCCATGTTCTTCAGGACGGCTTTTACAGCCAGGATGGTGGTCCCAAGAGTGAGTGATATATGGTTGATTCAATGCTGTTCCATATCTGATCTAGYGATAGCTTTTGCGTACTGCCAGGACAATGATAATGGAGTGGTGTACATTCATGGAAAGACCACTGGCTTCGCCAACATGGACATTGACTGTAAGGAGACCCGATTTTCAGATCCAGTGTTAGGGTCAGGATTGCTAACGCGGCATTCCAGGCGATGGAGACCAGTCGGACCACGGAGATGGACGATGCGGAAAATCCACCGACACCCAGAGCACCACCGCTTTCAAGGACCAGGTCCAGCAGTAAGTATAGTGAAGGGCAAAAGGTATCCCACGCAGATATCAAAGCCGATGCCGATGATGCGACCTTTACGCATCTGTGAACTGCTGGAAGATCTTATTTTGCCTGCCCCGAATGTGTGAGACACCGCTGACCCTTTTACCCTTTGCTTTTAGGTACTCCAAACAAACGGGCACCGAAGTGAGCGACGTGAACGCCAACTACATTCCATATGTTGTGTTCGGAAATGAAGGCAGCAAGAACGGCTACACAAACTTCAACCCACAGGACCATGGTATCCAGCCTTTGAGTGTCATGGCAGTCGTCTGTGGTGACCAGCTCGTAAGTTGCTCCATTTGAGGCGTAATGGTATCTTGCTAACCCAACCCAGGTGTATGGTGTATGGGCCGACACCAACGGTGATGATGGTCCTCCTCTGGTGGGAGAGGCTAGTATCTCGCTTGCGACTGCATGCTACGGCAAAGGCATCAATGGCGGCGCCGGCCATGACGAAAACGACGTGCTCTACATCGCGTTCCCCGGTAGTGTTGCGGACACAGTCCACAAGCACGCGAAATGGAATGCGAAGAGCTTCGACGACTTCGAGACGTCGATTGAATCCACAGGCGACAAGCTCATCCAGCGTATCTAGATTGTTCAACCGCAAAGTTGTACGATCCAGAATCATCCAGCGTATCTAGATCTTTAATTCGCAAAGTTGTACGATCCAGAAGAGAGTCCACAGACGTCAAGWTCCTCATGATTAACTTCAAATCCCAAACCCTGATCCTGCTTGTGGAGCGGTCTGTTCGTAGCACTTCCACCGACCCGCGTCGATCCTCCATTGCATGATCGTGATGATTTCTCTGACCAGACCATGGACGTCGCGGGGAAGGGAAAGCAGCATCCAGACACTAGCCTGGCCCTCGTCCTCCTCAACTTCGGTGCTAACGCTCAAAATCTTGAGCTCTGGCCCTATACCAGCAATGGTGGATCGATCGCAGCAGGCCTTCCGCGCCCGAGAGGAGCTCTTTCGAGATTGATTTGCCAGCGAAGCCGGATCGAGATATCGTTCAATGTCCGGGTGTTCCCAGTCTTGCAATGCAATCAGCTTGATAAGAGTGCTGGATCTGTCCTCGAGATCTCTTGCTAGAGTGCCCACGGGGTTCAACTCCTTAACGGGTGATGGTGAGGGACGAAGAATCTCGAGAGAAGTCGCCATCTTGAGATGCTTGTAAACAAGGGGATAAAGATTGAAATGCAAGACATACCTGGGGAGGTCCCCGATCTTGTACGAAACCATCGGTCTCCCAAGCACCCGAATCGTGATACAAATGCTCAATGTAGGGCATGCGAGGGTACGAGGGAGTACTGCGAGAGCTGCACGGTAGCCCTAAGTGACCTTTTCAATGCTATGTTAAAAGTGGGTCCTGCCCGAGCTGTCAGTGGACGCTGGCATGTCACACTTGAGTCGGTAGAAAGCTACGGCGTATCTGATTCGACACGCGCAGGAGCTCAGCGGCTCGATGAGGACCACCTCGTTTGATTACGACGTAGTCACTTCACACAGTCGCGGGCCCTTTCCATCTTGAACAAGAGCTAGTGTTAGGTCTCGGAAGGATCACTTAGGGCTCGAAGGTTCGATTTTGCATTGTACGGTATGCATAGCATCCCGATCCGGGTCGCAGAATGATAGGGTGGCCACGCGATGAGGGCGCCGCTTCACGCCTCCAGAAGGCTGTGATCGCGCGCGAAGGACTGCAATCCAATCCTTGGTCCAGCGCCAGCCGCGGGAGGCGTCGGCCTGAGGATGCTGATGCCGCCATCATGCTAATTGTCATGTCGCTGTCGCAAGCAAATGGTTTGAAGACGTCCGGGGCCAGTCAGAATGCTTGGGCGGATCCCGCGGACGTTGATGGCACTAAAACGCGCTGCATAGATGCACGTCCCGGATGAAGTTGTTAGGGCAAGAAAACTAGCCCTACATTAAACCGTTACGCCAGCAGGATTATGCTGCAGTCAGAATCGTCAGTTGGCGCGGCACAGCTGAGACATGGGATCATTGGCACTTGAGATGTCTTGGTTTTTGGAAGAGAATGAAGAACGTGAGAGAGTCGAGATATTCCAGGACTTCGAAGTTGAAAGATGCTTGCTGAAGGTTTACCGTGGTGCTTGGCAATYAACCCAGACAATGCTGCTGCTACTATACATACCGCTCCTCTTCTCTTGGCTTGCTCATTGATGAGCCTTGCTATATCCCACGATCTTAAGCACGCAATTTATCTCCATGCTTCTTTTGTAATAAGTGGCTGTCGTCCATGGACATGCTGCGCAACCACAGATATCACCTGAGCGACCTGGTCATTGACCCTGTGCTGCACAAGGTTTGACAGCAGTCAAGGTCGTTCCGTAACCAAACAGCCAGTAAGTCCAGCAGATGGTAGCGACATCAGGCTCCGCTGTAATTTGTCTTCCTCTTCAAACTCTGTCAGCTCAGATGTCGAAGAGCTCCCTGCCTGAGCAGGCACCTCCGCAACGACGTCCACAGTCTCCCCCGACGACGAATCATCCACCTCGACATTTCTCTTCCGCTTCAAGGTAGGTGACACTTCCGTTGCTGACTCCTCTGTCGGGGACGAGTTCGTCGGTGACTCGGAAGGTGACAGCTTGTCACTTTCTGTGCTCTCGCTTGCCGGCTTCTTCCTCGCGACTATTGGAACAACCTTCGTCGTCTTCTTCGCCTTCATCGTCTTCTTTTTCTCCACGTTGCGTTTCTTCGGCTTCGGGCCCGGAACCTTGCAGCCCTCTGCTTCCATCCACGCTCTCCAACCGCCTTCCTCTGCGAAGTGTCTCTGATCGAACAAGCCAGTCTGGCTGCTGGCATCGTCGCCACGGTCAGCGCGACACGTGGGACAGTTCCACCCAATACCTCTGGGTGGATGATCTGGAAGCGCCATACACGTGAGATGGAAGTACTCAATCTYGCACTGCGACTTGTCAGCCATGTTCTACATCATGATGATGTTTGGAATATCTCGAGGGAGAACTTACGCCACGGTTCATACATTGGATGACTTCTTCGATCTCGAATTTATCTTCGGGCGCGCGGCAGGTGCAGAATGTGGTCTCATCGACATGAGGCGTCTTTTCGCGGGTCTCTCGCCAGCCAGAGGCGCGCAGGTGCTCTGCGATGCTCGCGGCGCTCTTGGAGGCAGACGTAAGAGCATCCATTGAGTTTGAGCGAGGTCCGCGAGGAGCACTGCGAGTCGGAGATGGAGTCTTCACAGGTTTCGGGTCTGCCAATGGGCGGAGTATTTCTTCGCCTCGTCGGGTGCGCTTGCTTGGACGGTCCCAGTATGACATCTCAGATGTGGTATCGCTACGCGCGATGCTTGGTGTATAGGTGTGTTGGAAAATGTCGTTGCCGTGGTGATCATCCAGGAGAAGTGTGGTATCCAGGAAGCAGCTGAGTGCGAGAAGAAGACTCAATTTTCGTCTGATTGTCAGTTTCTTTTCATCCGATTGTCAATTTTTTTTCATCCACGTGTGTCTTTGTTCATTCACTGCTTCCCGCTGACTTCGAAGAGAATTGGCAAACGCTACCAGCAAACCGATACTGACGCATCTAGAGGTATCTAACCGGCGATCCAGACTGATGCCATGCGGATTCCGAGGCCGCTGACTGTTTCACACATGATGTCTGAGCAAATCCATCTTGCTGGTTTCCTTCAATGAGAAGGTCGAATGCCAGTCGGACCAAGTGCTTCACAAGAGCGAGTGCTGTGTGAGTTCACGGCGTACCATCCCAATTTTTTGGTCACATGCCGCGCTTTCCACCACTGAGATGGTCTGCAAGCATGACAGAGGTCGAAATCCTCGGCGAGTGTAGCAAGAAAGAAGAACAAGGAACGTGACAGTCTCTTCTAAGAAACGCTGAGAACTTTAACCTACAGCGAGGAAGGAAGCAGAAGCTCGATAAGTTTAAATCAATACATACTGCTATCGCACACCTCGATTGTTTGGCGCGCCTCGCTCTACAATGCCGCGTTTGCGAGGTTGCTCTGGAAGTTGGAGTCTTTGAAAGGCACATTGGCAGAGCCTGCTATAGATTAGCATCGACAACCTCTGCTGAATCCATACGAGCAAGACTCACCAAAGTCCGTACTTTCAAGCGCAGACCGCGCAGCAGATGTCAAACTCTCGTACGCAATCAGTGGCTGCTGTCCACCGACCGTGGATGTGAAGCCGAGCTGATGGTTGACCGGGAATATGCTGAAGTACCTGATCAAAGGACTTGTACCGCTGAGATTTGGCGTTGTAGTGGTGTCATAGTCTCCGTGAGCGGACGCAGCAACACCGAGCAGTTGTGCCGACAACGTGGCACCTGAAAGCCAGACGACGATACCCTCCCAGTCATGGCGGTGACCGAGCCCGGTCGAGGGCGAATCCTTAGGCATGTACCACTTTGATAGATCAGTCGCATAAGCATGGTATTGGAAGGGTCCGAACGTACAGAGTACATGATCGCAAACGAGCTGCCGTACGTTGCGGAGCGCGCATACACCTGGCCGGTACTGCTTGAGCAGCCGCTGTTTGAGCCACCTGTTGGATTGAGGCCACCGCTTGGCAGCATTTAGCATCTGCTTGCTGCATCTGGCTGAGCGATGCAGTATCTCACCCAGTATTTCCACTGGCATCCACAGCTGGGAATGGTACACATCCATTGTCGACTTTCAGGTAAGGCTTGTACTTGAGGTACAGTTGGCCGATAGTACCAGAGGGCACAGTCTGTGGGAACCCAACAACAGCATCGTGGGCGATGACAGCTCGACGCTGGATGCTGGCGGCGAAGGCCGTTGCGATTGCAAGATAAATCGTTGCTGCGATCTTCATCTTCGAGTGCAGAGTACTGAAGGCCGATTGGGGTAGAAGCAACCGTGGTCTTCAAGTATGCGTGTCGGGATGTCCTTCATATATGAGCCAGCTGCCGCAACATCGTATGCACGTTCACCACTGTCCCGAGGCGACTTCGTTTAAAGTCGCCTTGTTTCAAATTGTGCTTTCCAAGCGAGTCCACGTGCATCTTGTGGTTCGTCGCAAAGCAATTCTCGTCAAGTCCAACGGACAGCGCTTATAGCTCCGYTGGTAGATAGTGCTAGTTCTACTGTGCTCTCGGACCATCAGCTGGATGTGGCAGGTCGTTCTGATCCCGGAGAAATTGTATAGTATCTTCTGAATTTACCCGGCTCCAGTCGCCCGGCTTGGTCCTTGAAAAAGGGAGACCAACAAGCGCGCTGGCAGGTCCATGAGGGGCTGGTAAGTGAAAGCGAGCATGTGTTGAATTTGCCGTGAAGAGCTGGGTGCAATCACGTCCATTCGTCCATTGCACTCACGGTAGAATCCCGACAATATATCAAGTTGCGATCCATCCGGACGACCATCCGGCATGAATGATACGGCCTCTATATGCACGTGGTAACATGATGATAAGATGTCGAAAATGATGTTTATGGAATTGTCTCTCCTTGCCCTTTTGGAGTTCGTGCCAATTATCTTGACGCCATCACTTTCGCCGACGAGTCTTCGCCAAGGCGGAGCTAAGCGAGCCACTTCGAGAATCAAATTGACCCTCCGACTTCACACTGGATTTCTTGCTAGGCTCGAGCAGCAACATCGACAACTTTCGCCATGGTCCAGTACGTTGTTCCTCCGCAGCGATGAACGGGAACTCAGCAGCGCGGGAGTCAGTGGTAGATAAACAGGAGCGGTGCGGTGGATCTCTTGCTGGACGCGATGCGATGCGATGGTGTGCGCGGTGGTAGAAAAATGGATACAAAGATTACAACCAGCGCACGACGATGTTGTTGGAGGAGAACATGGGACATCGCATCGCACGCTGAAAGCAGACAACCGCTCTGCATGCTGCTCATCGTTGCCGTCACAACGCGCTGCTGCTGCCCGACCGCTGGCCCTTCCCACCCCATTGAAATCTGCTGACAACCTCCAAGACGCAGTTACTCCAAGACCTACAAGGTCCCACGTCGTCCCTTCGAGTCGGCTCGTCTGTACGTTCCCAGCGTTCTTTTCCATGGCCTCTGAAATGCGAGCTTGACTCCATTCACGTCATTGGGCGCCAGAATGGGTCTAACATACAGCCAGTGACTCCGAGTTGAAGACCGTTGGCGAATATGGCCTGCGCAACAAGCGTGAGGTGTGGCGTGTCCTGCTCACCCTCTCCAAGATTCGTCGTGCTGCCCGGTATGAAATTCTGTTGGAAAATACTCATGCAGGGACAAACCACTGACTCTCCCGCAGTCAGCTCCTCACCATGGACGAGAAGGACCCCAAGCGTCTGTTCGAAGGAAACGCCCTCATTCGTCGTCTGGTCCGTGTCGGTGTGCTCGACGAGTCCCGCATGAAGCTCGATTACGTGCTTGCCCTTAAGGTTGAGGATTTCTTGGAGCGTCGTCTCCAGACTTGCGTTTACAAGCTCGGCCTTGCCAAGTCCATCCACCACGCCCGTGTCCTCATTCGCCAGCGCCACATCCGGTAAGATGAAAACATCCTGATACTCGGAACTCCATGCTAATACAGTCTATCAGCGTCGGAAAGCAGATCGTCAACGTCCCATCGTTCATCGTCCGTCTCGACTCGCAGAAGCACATTGACTTCGCCCTCACCTCGCCATTTGGTGGTGGACGTCCAGGTCGTGTGCGGAGAAAGAAGGCCGCCGCTGCCGCCAGCAAGGACGCCGGTGGTGACGACGCCGAGGAGGAGGAGGAGTAGATTATATTCTGCTGCAACCAACTTCACGATTCACTGAAAAATGGGGCTTTTTGCATGGCGTACTGAGTGCTAGGAATGGGCACAATGGCGAGCGCGCTAGATAGGCGTCTTCGCTGCGAATCAGACCAGCTGAGTCTACTCTCACCACAAAATATGATCATAAAAACGTGCCCCACAGCGTCTCGTGTCCATATTTTATCTGTCGTGAATTGCTCCTGTTATTGGTTGTGTATCTAGAAGATGTAAAGTTCATGCTGTTGTCCATCACTACCTTACTTGTCGCGTGTCAGCATCGAACATTCCTCCTAACTCAGCATCTCCTCCAAAGTCAGATTCCCATTCCTCCCGCCCTCATCCAACAAATGCATCAAACTCGGGAGCTCTAGATGTCCCTCGCCACTCTGCTCAGAAGGCAGAAGGGTCGCAAGAGAAGGAAGATTTTGCGAAGTCGAAACGGATTGACTCGGTCCACGGTCCAGATTCGTATTCGGGGGCACGCTAGCCACTGGCTTGGGAAGTTYGAGGGTCATGAGAGGGTCGATTCCACTATTGTTGTGGTTGGCATTTGTGTTGACGCGGGGTGCCCAGTCAAGAATCCCACGATCGAGGATTATTGGTTCTGTTTCTTCCATGTATTCATCGTTGGAAAAGTTAGAAAGGCTATTTAGGAAAATGTCGTCAAGTGTGAAAATGGAGTGTTGGGCCGGCTTTTTGGCAGGCCTGGGAAGGGAGTCGTCCTTGTTTGGGGCGTCTTCTTGTGCAGGAGGTGGTAGTGATTGCTGGCTCTCTTTGGAGGTCTCGTGGTCTTCAGTGAACGTAGTAGAGCTGGCTGCACCTCGCTTGTTGGTAGGTTTTTCAGCCGGCAGTGCAAGACCTGCTTTGGCATATTCCTCGGGGTATCTCGTACGCATGCGGTCTCTCAAATCTCTCGGGTTGCGGTTCGACAGATTTAGAGAAGCATCCTTCCTGATCGACGACCATGATTTGCCGTGCTTGCGAAAGCCCCGCAAGATGGCTTCGTCTTCAGCTTCGGAGTAGCCGTGTCGAGAGCGCCGGCCACTTTTTGTGAACGGCCGGTCGATGCCAAGATCTTTCAGCTGAGATGAGCTTATACGTTCCGAGGCTGGACCTTTGATCTTCTTCTTCTTGGGCGATGGATTCGCGATGATCGTCTCGCTGCTGGCGGTCTTTTCGGCCTCCTTTTCGGCTTCTCCTGGAACAGGTGCAGCGGGTCTGAGAATCAAATCTTTCTTGGTCTTCTTCTTGGGATTATAATGTTCTGGGCAGCAAACACGAAAGCGGTCCTTCAGATCGAGCGCCGTCCGTCGGTGGAATTGATAATCGGCACAGTTGAGGATCTTGGTCCAGCTGCCAATCCCGAACTGAGCCACACCTTTTAGCAAATCTGCGGTCTCACTCTCTGTCCACTTGTTACGCTGCGGTTTGCTTCGCCCAGTCTTAGATGCCGGGAATGAGCCTGTTGGACTGCCTCCATTTGGAATGCCGGGATTTTGCTCGATGGCGGCTGGCCGATCCACAGAATTTCCATAACCAACAGGGGCCTCCTGAGGTCGAGGTGGAGGCACTTGAGGCTGATCGACGCTTATCGAAGGCAGTAGACCAGCATCTGGCGGTGGTTGATGGAGTCCAGAAAGCGTGGGCGGGATGCGAAGTCGTCGATTCCCCGAGTTCCTGACGGGCAGCTTGGGGAGATCGAGAAGCGTATTATCCGTGGCCTTTTKGCGTTTGGGGGGTCGATCATTATGTGGGTCGAGAATGAGTTTGAATAAATCCTGATTCGTGCTATTCTCCAAACGGGCTTTCTCCAATCTCGGCGTGCCATTTAGAGGATGTTTCTGAGCTTGGGTGTGCGGCTCAACTGGGTTCGGAAGATTGATGAAGTCCAGAGAGGTGGGACGGTATGCTGCCGATCCAGAGGCATGCTGAGCGGTGGGAAGCATAACTCATGGTGGGTGGAAAAGATGTCGTTGTGAAGCTTCGAGGGTGGAGGAGTGATCGATCAGTCAGCGGAGGAAGCATGTGCCTAGGTACCGATTGGGCGGCGAAGCGAACCTAACAACATCGCGTCCCCATCTCCTCCGTGCTCTATCAAAAGACAACATGATGTCTTTCCATGGTCCAGTGGTGTGCATAGCTGCTGAGATTCCATCATGAAATCTCGAAAAACACCGAACATGTATGGAACCAGGCAGATGGAGGGCACCTTTACTTCAGCCATCTTGAGACCCTACAAGACTCCAGCAACGATCGTGAGGTCTGCGTGCGAACGAGACGCGCATGTCCTGGATGTCCCGCCCCAGCTGCCGAGTCAAAGCAACAGTAATCTCTCGGGTGTGCTCATCAGTGGCCAAAGAAGACAGTACTCAGACCCTCCGACGTGGTATCGCCGGACAGTATCAAGGATATCCTTTCGATGATCGCAATAATGGCTTGGGCCTTCACACGCCCTATTTTCATCCAACTTGTCTGCCACAGCGAGAGATTTTGCCACTAGCTTGTTGCCGTTGGGAAAGAGGAACAAGATCTGGTGCGAAAGAGCAGCCGCGCTGCAATCTCTTTGATCTGGAGGCATTTCCAACCATTCCTACAGCCGTCTACTCGCCTCTCCGAGCGGCCAGACTTTCAGAGCAAAACACAATACAGATTCCAAGCTCATCACTGTCACTGCTGGTCAATAAATTCCCTTTTGGCTACATGTTTTCTACTTGGCTTCAAAGTAGGTCGAATAAGCATTCAATGCCGGCTGACCTCCCAAGTGTACATACAGAACATTGCTTCCAGCGCTTATAGCGCCCTCTTTTACCAACTGGATCATTCCAGCCATGCTCTTGCCCTCGTACACGGGATCTGTTATCAGCGCATCTGTCCTGGCCGCAAGCTTCATCGCATCGATGGTCGTTGGGCCTGGAATACCGTAGACACCCTCATGGAAACGCTCATCAAGTACAATTGCCTCGTCCGGAATCTCGAGTTCTGAATCCAGCAACTTTGCCGTGTTTCTCGCAATCCTCGCAACCTGTGCCTTGGTATCATCTGCTTTGGCAGAGGCGTCAATTCCGATGACTTTCCGTCCTTTGCCTTCTGCGACTGCGCCGACGATAAGACCAGCATGCGAGGAACCTGTAACTGAACAGACAATGAGCGTGTCAAAGAACACGCCCAGCAATTTCTCCTGCTCCGCTAGCTCCACCACGAAATTCGTGAATCCCAGCCCACCGAGCTCATGGTCCGACGCTCCAGCTGGAATGTAATAAGGCTTACCGCCTTTAGCAACGACTTCGTCCACGGCTGCCTTGGTAGCCTCCTTGTGGCCGATATGGAAGCCCTCTGAATTGAGGCGAACGTCGCCGCCCATGAGTCTACTGAGCAGAATATTGCCAGTTTTGTCGTAGAGCGGCGGATCGATCGGAACCCACTTCTCTTGCACTGTAACTGCTTTGAGTCCGGATGATGTGGCGACTGCTGTAACGGCTCTGGTGTGGTTGCTTTGCACACCGCCTACCGATACTAAAGTATCGCAGCCTTGAGCAATCGCATCTGCGACAAGAAATTCTAGTTTCCGAACTTTGTTTCCGCCATATGCAAGACCGCTGTTGCAATCGTCACGCTTGGCGTAGATCTTGATGGTTCCATCCGGAGAGAGGGTTTCCGTGAGTCTCGGAAGGAATTGGATTGGTGAAGGTCCGAAGAGGAAGTTGGACTTGGGAATGCTGCGTAGCTTTTGGAGATATGCTGGTTCCGTCATGTTTGATGTAAGATATTTCGTCAAGTCGTTGCGTTGATGTTGTACATTGGTCTTGCAACGTCTTCTTTACCCTTTTGCACATGCACATGCACGCCCTGTGGAGATGTAGAAGAGCTCTGATCTGGCTCAACGTCGGCTATTGTCGTGCCTGCAGGCCTATCGCACTCCCAATTGGGAAAGTCTTTCCGCCTATCTGGCCTATGAGCTCTGGTTGACCCGTTGCTGGCAGAATAGAATTGAAGGTTGTTGGAAAAAGCTTCAGTCACCGATTCTAGCTCAAAAGCTGGACTCGAGAGATGTTGTGGGCAGGTGAGCAAGAATCTGAATTCGAGCCTCCAGGAGTTCCACGTTGAACAGGTGAGCAACGGGGAGAGTTCCAACCTCAGCCTCTTGCCTTTCAGCCACATACGACGGCTTACAGTACCGCTATGTGGTTCACTCGTTCCGGAAACTTGTAGTCATCGCCTCAATCGCTGGAATAATCACCTCATACATTGCTTTGAGCATACGAGACGTCTTTCTGGACATGGAAGATCATGACCCATTTGGTAGTAATGGAAACAGCGGGAGTCAGATTTTGATGCGATCGTGTCATCCGATTGGAAATTGTTCTTTGCAGGCATTGTTGGTCTCGTGTAATGTAGCGGAGAAAGGTGCGGGTGTTGTGGGTGACGTCGATGGAATCCCCAACTCCGATCGAACTCCGATTTCAATAATTTTATGGTCGCATGCACAATCTACTTCTTCCTCTGCACATTCTCAGTCCACGTCATGTCAGACTCCGATTCCGATCAGGCCGGTGTGCCTCTGATAGAGAATCTCTCACCCTCTCCAGAACCGCAAAAGAAGCGCAAGCGCAACGCCGAAGACGAAGCCGAAGAACCTGCCAAAACCGCAAAGAAGCCCAAGAAGAAGCGGCCCAAAAAGCCAAAGGACATTGACGATGAGGCTTTGGACAGCAAACTGGGCGTAAACCATGCGATTGGTCATATGGATAGCCAATTACTGGCCGATCATATCGCGCAACGGACGAGAAGATTTCAGCCAGATTTGACAGAGGTTGAGGCTGAGGATGCTCGGATATCTGGTAGGATTCTTCGTATGAGGAGAAGGAATGTCGGCTGACTTGTTGGTTGTAGAAAAGCACATTCGCGATACTACAGAATGGACGGCACCGCGGACTACGGATTCCCTTCCGGAATTCCTCGAGAAATTCGCTGCACCGCGAAGGAAGAAGCGGGGTGAAAAAGGCAGGACGCTGAGCGATGCTCCAAAAGTGAATGGATCGCCGCATACGCTCATCATTGCTGGCGCCGGACTGAGGGCGGCAGACCTGACGAGGGTGTTGAGAGTGTTCCAGACCAAGGAGAGCATGGTACAGAAGCTTTTCGCCAAGCATATTAAACTGAAGGAGGCCATAGTGGAGGTCAAGGGAACGCGGATGGGAGTGGGAGTGGGCACACCGCAACGGATATACGACCTGTTAGAAGACGGTAAGCATGGGAGCCCGGAAATTGGAGGGGTATATGCTAACATCGTGATCCATAGGCGCGTTGGCTTCCAAAACGCTGGAGAGGATTGTTGTGGATGCTTCGCACATCGATCAGAAGAAGCGCGGCATTCTAGACATGAAGGAGACGGTGGTACCACTCGCCCAACTCCTTGCCAGGCCAGATCTCAAGGAGCGGTACGGGAGCGGAGAGGGCGAGATCGAGCTGTTGTTCTTTTGAGCAGCCCAAGTCGAATAGACCTTTCGAAGTGTGGCCTCTAATGGGTGTGGTAGCTCTGCTCGAGGATTTCGACAGGCATGATGGGCACCCTGACTTCCACCATTTCCGCCAGACACATAAATAATCAGCTGGGGCATGCTGTCCATTTCCCGGAATGAGTAAGTTGTGCTGAGATGCAGTCTCGCAACTTCATCTCCGTTTCCTATTGTCTTCAACAGCAAGAATAAGCGCTTCTTGCTCAGTATATGTGAAATTTGTCTCTACTTCCTTCCACAATTTAACAGCGAGCACCCTCTACGATCCAGCTACATCTGGTAGGGTCACAACAGACCGTAATCGGTGTGGCAATGGCTTTCCCGCTGGAGAGCTTTGTGCCACAGCTTTGCTTCGCAGACTCATCGACAATCAATCGTTCCCATTCTCGTCATTGATCACGGGCTCTGATCTCGCTGCCCGCCCGTGTGATCTTGGTTGCATCCTGGCGAGCAAACATGGTGAGCAGATCAACAGATTCGATCCACAGCACAAATGTCACACGGCTTCTTCGCACTCCTCACCACCGACATTCGATTTGCAATCTCCTTCTCACAACTCTGCCATCCACGGAAAGACATCCGCGGCATCCAACGAACGAACTCTCCGCCAACACCTCCCAATGGCTTCCACTCGTGGTCTCTCAATGATCCACACCATCCTCATTCTGTGTCTGCTCTACGCCCATTGCAGTGCATTACCCATTCCAAAGTACAAAACTGCAAAACTCACTAACAGTCAGTTCCTCCCTAACATTCAACGGAACATCACAACCACTAACGCCAACGAGTAGGCTGCTACGCAGAACGCACACGGTCTCTAGAGAATTCCAAAGCCTTCATTCCCACTGCCCCCACTCTTGAAAGCATCCACAAAGACCTGAACCAATTCCTTTCGTGCAACAGAGACTGCACTTCCCAGCTGGAGCTCTCCCTCCCGGACCACATGACGATTCAGTCGCGTGGGATTGGTGCGATCCCAGATCTTCCTCTCCCTCCTGCGAAGAAAACGAAGCTAGCTTCTCCCGGTCCGGTGGACAAGGATCGCTATGTTCCTAGCTTGACCAAAATGTGCGAGACTACGGGTTTGCGGAAATGTTTGAGGCCTTTGGCGCCAAGTCACGGGGAGGTCGTGGAGTGTGATCTTCTCGCGGGAGCCCGATTTGATGAAGTGGAGTCTTTGCCAAACAGGGTGGCTGAGCGCTCTCCGACGATGGGACAGGGTCCAGAWGCTACGATGGATGCACAGAAGAAGAAGCATGGTCGGGGTGGCAGGGGTGAGAGAGGAGGCAAGGGTGGCGGCGGCAGCAAGTCAGAAACGGCGAAGAAAGGTGATGGTTGGGTTCTACGGTTCTGCGTAGGTGTCTGCTTGGTGGGCTGGTTGGGTTGGGTTGTTTTGCTTTGAGAACAGGAGACTCCTGTCTAGGTGGAGATYTTGTACGACATCGACGGCGTAGTAGAAAGGGTGGGAGCTAGCCCTCCTGCTTGAATTCATAATTATAAATCGAGACTGCTCTGTCTGATAGATCAGCGTGATGGAACCATGAACTTGAACAAAGACTGCATACCTTAGCTCAATACTACGACTTCACACCAGAATACCAATACAGCGTTCCAAAGGGCGGTAATACCAACGCCCGACCACTCTCAAACCTCCATAGACTTAAATCCAGCTCCTTCTCATCAGGAAGCAACTTCCACGTCTCCTCTGGCGTCCTTGTTCGAAAACACGAAGCTAGACCATCAATGGCATAATAGAGCGGGATAAGAGGGATCAAATAAGTAAACAGCAATACCAGGGGTGAAAACCACCAGTCCACCAACGAGAAGATGTATGTCGAGAAAATTACCATGGTGACATTCATGAAAGCCGTGGGCGTGCGATGGGTCATTTCGAAGATTCTACGCTTTTGTGTCAGCAGTAAGAGTGGGAATGGAGATGGCTAATGTCAAACTTACAAAAACGCATCCGTGTTCTGCACAGCACTCTTCAACACCTCCCTGGCCCTCCGATCATCGAAATGATGAAAACAAAGATTGAAGATCCTGCACTCTTTGCTGCCCTTTGGAGCCATCTTTCTCGGCTGGGTAGCATCCACAGGCTCCCAAATCGCGGAGACATTCTCCGAACGCGAAGTGATTCGTTTCCAGGCATCATGGTCCGGATACAAGTCCGTAAGGACGAATTGCACAGGTTTGTATCCAGCTTCTACAAGTCGTGCATTTAATGTCGCTTCCATTAATGGTGTGGGACCCCCTGCGCCGGCACAGGCATCCACGTAGGTGAATTGAGAGGCCTGGCAAAGACCGCCTAGTCTGGTAAGGAGGATGTCACAGGCTTGCGTGGATGGTGAACCTGCTGAACTGGTTGAGGTCCTCCACATGCGTGCTAACGATGCGCAGGAGTGCGCTCGGAGCCAGGAGGGACACCATGGTTGGTCTTCGATCTCGATGAGTTGGAGTCGAGGTGCTATGATGGTGTTCATACTGGGTTGCGATATATGTCAGTCCTCGGAACTATGTCCCGCTGTAGAGCTGCTCAAGATGAGTATGACCGTTTACTCGTAGAAGCTGTAGCAGCAGAACGCTATTCCGCTTAGTCTGCTGGGTTGAGCCCTAGGCCACTATGGCAGGTGCCTCGACGGGAATACTTCATGGCGCCAGAAGTTTTGCACATAGTGCTGTGCATACGATCAACCAGCTGCTGTTGATTGGGTCTTCAGGCGTACATCCTTCGAACCGCCCTCTGTGGGTGCGACCTGCTCATCACGGTTTAATATCGAGACTCGTGTCATTTCGAACAGCATCTAAGTTAATAAAGCGGGCGAGTGGGTAAGCGGCCTAACAGAGTTTTTGAACAGTTGATCGGCAAGGATGGATCGAAAAGCTCTCAAAGACCACACTTGACGGTGAAGTATGACTCCCGAACTGGCAATGGTGGAGCCATATCAGCCGCATAAGGATGTGTTCCATACAGTGTAGAAGAGGTCTTCGATTGACACTGGCGAAGCTCGAGTCGTCAAACATAGTTCGAGGGTCACCTTTCGTTGGCGTGCAGCGAGTCGTCCAGGAAAGRGCTATACCAGAGAAGCGACCCGGCGTTTCGTGGCAAGGCAATCTTGCGGATGTTGAGTGAAAGTCGGATAAGATCGTCCCTTATTCGCATGCTTTTTCTTGCCAACTACTACTGCACAAGGACTGACTTTGTGCTATGGAGTATGGACCCACCGTGCATGGATCTGCAGGGGAATAAATTCCGCTCGAATGTGCCTAACAAAGCTTGCTGCATCAACGGCTCCAAGTCCGAGACGCCTTCCACAAAGCAAGCAAGAGGAAGAGGTCAGAAGTGATGGAAGGATGGAGAACTGGAGATTAATTCCAGGCTAGTGACTCAGCCAGAGTGATGATGCCTGCAGTGATGCCTGTCGACTACCGGATCAAGACTTCACCTGCCACCAGCACCTTTTTCCGCTTCATGTTCCATTAATGCCCGGTATGCATGGTATATCCAGCTGAGGATGAGTAGAGGCGAAAAGAACAGCCACACCTGGTCAACCCGAGCTGGTTCGCCTAGCGCACGGCACCCAAGTCTCCCGCCCCACACCTGCAAAAAGCTCGTCTAGCCCTCCTTCCTCTCTCGTTGCACAGTCGCCTTGACTCCTCCCTCCATTGGTAATATTGAAGGCGCTGCTTCGGCATCTCACGGTAAGCACACGACCGGCGCCGTCTCCTTCTCCGAGCTTTCGCAACTCCCCCTCTTTTCTCACAAACAATCCATCTATTGCCAACACCAAACAAGATGTCCGACAAAGTCATCGCCCACCCTTCAGCAGCATGTTGCATTTCCGGCAGCATCCATAAAGGCGACCCCAAAGGCCGCATTGAGAAGATTCAAGATGTAGAGACTTATATCGCGGAACCTGCAGCCGATAAAGCAAATGGCAACGTCGTTCTCTACTTTCCCGATGTCTTCGGTCTCTTCGTCAATGGGAAATTGATGATGGATGGATGGGCTGAAGCTGGTTATCTCGTTCTCGGACCAGACTACTTCAACGGCGTGAGTCTTAGAGTATGCCAAAAGTATATCCGGCCTGCTAATGATAGCAGGATGCGATTTGGAAGCACAAGAAAGACCTCAGCGACCCGAACGATAACCCAGGCTTTGACTTTCCAGCCTGGTTGGCCAAACATCAGAAATTCTCGGATCCTTTCATCCCCAAGTGGGTTGAGGATGTCAAGGCAAAGTATGGCAAATCCGATACGAAGTTCTTGTGTACTGGATATTGCTATGGCGCACCCTATGTCTGCGATCAGCTCTCCGAGAAGGGGGTCTGTTCTGCTGGTGCTTTTGCGCACCCGGCATTCTTGAACGAGGCGCATTTCGAAAACATCACCAGTAAGACTCAGCAATCAAACGATGGGGAGCTGTCTGCTAACCTGTACGCCAGAGCCTCTCTTCCTCTCCTGCTCAGAGATTGACCAGACTTTCCCCAAAGACTTGCGCCGTCGTGCCATTGACATCCTCGATCAAGGCAAGAAGATCTATGAAGTCCAGCTATTCGCCAAAGTCAGTCATGGTTTCGCTCTCCGAGCTGATCTCAACGATCCATGGCAGAAATACACAAAGGAAGCGAGTTTCGCAGGAATTCTGGGATGGTTTGACTGGTGGTCAAAGCAGTAAGGAAGTCTATGTACGCCAAACTTGTACAATCACTAACAGACGCTCCAAAGTGACTCGTGGTATCAACCAAAGTTGTAAGCAAAATTGAAAAAGTAGGAACCATTGACGCCGTCATCATTCTCCATCACTCTGACATGTACTCGAATGTCTCGTTTGCTCTGTGAATTGTGTTATTTCCTGTCGGTCGTGATTCCAGCTTCATGCCAATTCTGGTAATTGACTAATTCGTCGTTCGGATTGCCTGCTAGAGCCTCTACTCGAAACGGAGTGCCAATCATCGCTGGTGTTCTGTCGGCCCATGATGCGTCTCATCCGAGCCATACCATTCGAGCCTCGTGGTGAAAGTGGAGACAACGGAGACTGCGGCTCTCGGGAAGCATAAGTCGACTCGTGGGTAGCTGTCGCTGACTCGTGGCGCGGGAGTACCGCGTCGTGCATCCACTGCGAAACCTCCGATTGTGCTGTTGAAGGGCGTGAAATATTACTGTTGGCCTGTGGGTGGAAATTGTACCGGCCGACAAACTGTGCCAGCCTTCGCAATGGTAATCGCTGTGGAGGAGGTCTTCCTTGTGTCGTGGTTGTTGGCATTTCTTTGCCTATGAAGATGTGATGGCCGACGATGAATCCGAACCAGTCCGGTTGGCTAAGAAGCTGTACTGCCTGGATTTTCATCTCGCCCACGACGAAGATCTGGCCGTCGCGGAAAAAGTCAAATCGGGAAGCCCACCCAGCGTCTTGAACTTGATATTGCCTTGCAAACATTCGTTGCATGCCAGCGATCGCTTTTCCGGTACATATCCTAGGCATTTGGCCGTTGCTATCGCGAAGTTGAGTCCTCAGGTACCATGCCGAAGTAGGGTGCTCCTGGATTGAATGCGTTTCCAGTATTCGAACCACGCGATAGTTGTTCTGCCGTACCAGATATAAGATGTGGTCAGCGGCCGTGGTCGTGATTCCCGAGGCATATGGGTTTTGGTCTAGCACCGGGTCGATGATTATTGCATCCTTTGTGATTGGATCTGCCAGGAGATATTGATAACGCCCGGTCGTGCCTTCGTGGAGGGTGTGGATAATGGGTTCAATGTCTGACCGGATTGCTTGCGAACCTTCCGAATCGTCAATCGCGATCTTTGTATCTGGAGGTAATTCAATGGATCCGGGTGGTGTTCGAAGATCGACCATAGGCGCCAAAGGAAACAGCCGGGGTGACGAATGCTCTGATATTGGAGAGCTYAACTCGCCGCCTTGCGCATAGCTATTGTACGACATCCTCTTCCGCGATCTCGAGAACTTGGAGAGACACGCATCTCGCAGCGTCGCAAAGTCAAGAGAATGCCGTGGATTTGTAGATTGGGAAGATTGCTTGTGCGACGTCGACTGGCGAAAACTCGCGTCAGAAGGTGGAGTATGCGTGCTGGGTGACCAGGTCTGTCGCCAGGATGCTCTCCTACCCATCCTTGTTCGTGCGCTGGCTGGCGGCTCGTCTATCCGATGCATGTTGAACCGCGTGTGTGGTAGCACAGCGACACGAGCCGCAAAATCCTCGCTGGTACCACGGCGAAGTGTGAGTAGGGAAGACCTCTCGTTGTGAGACTGGTAGAACTTAGAAGTGAGCAGATGAAACGTGCCCGCGAGCAAAAGGCTCAGGTGTCCACTGACTCGAGTCTGGCCCGCTCGGCGCYCCGGTCAGTCAGCCTTCCCGCACTGTGCACGAAGATGGAGGATTCGCCATCGCCAATTAACCAGGGGTCCGCAATGATCTGCAACGCTTCCTGTCCGGCCAATGGACGCAAGAGCTTGACTTTTCGCGGCGTCAACCTAGATTGACACGATGGTGGCACAACATCCGCTGTGCATGCGCGGTCAAGACTGACTTCTCGACCCGTTTCCATCTCAAGCCGCCCGCAATGAACTCGTGGCTGCGTGTCGTGGGGAGGTTATATGCCAAGAGTCAGATACAAATACATGGTTGTCGGCGCCGGTCGACTTTAAATTGATGTCGTACGAGCAGCGCGAACCACTACTGCAGGAGTTGATGCAATGCGGCGTTAATTGATATATTGCCCGGCTTCGATGTGGTTTAGACAAGGGCATTGTCGCATTGTGCATTGTCTCGGGAAGCGCTTGGCCCACTCCTCACTCCTGGCGGGTGCGTATGGCGTGTGTAACCCACAGCTAGCAGATCGCACTCTCTCACCCCTGGAAGTTCCAATGTCTTGGTCACCACATCACGCGAGGTGCAATCTCCCAACATTGACGTTCTGCTTTGCAGAAATGATGGAAATTCGCATGACGTTGATTCCAGGGATAGAACTCGCCTGTCTAAGTAGCGTCTGAACTGGTATCTCGATCGACGCCAGGTTGTCATGGTTCGTGCCGCATCCAAGGCCAACAAGATCATTGAGGAAATCACCAGCACTCTGCCATCGTCGTCATCGCTAGTCGACCGTGGCATGGCCGCAGGCCAAGTCTATGCTCAACGTCAATCCGAAGTTCCAGCATGAAGAATCATGAAATTTCATGATGTCGCTAGCTGGCTCGTGCGGCGGTGGATGAAATACTKGAGTATGAGCAGGAGAGATGCAAAACTGGCAATGGACATTCCTTATCTGCGCTCGTGTTATGATAACCACTTTTGGCGATGCGGTTGCAGAGCACATCCGTTTGACAGCTCAATGTGAGAAAACCTAGAATATGCGTTTAAGTGAGTGTCGAGAATGGTGATGAGCAGAGTCAATTGGGCCGTCAGCGGTTGGGATTAGATCTCTGCCCACTGCCTAGCTCTCGGCCAACCGGCGAGCCTGGTAGTTCTTGAGAGATGTGAGTATCATGTCTCTTGTCCATATATCGTGGCAGATGCGGAGGAGGAACCTCTGGGGAGCCTGGATATGGCGGTACAATAGGCGAGCATGGCGATGATCCTGTATTCCTGTCAACACGCATCTACGGTCTTGCTTTGCAGGTTTGTACCTGCAGTATACTCGATAGACCCGCAGCCATTGTCAGGTTGCTGAACAATGACTCTAGCTGACTTTTCGACCTTAACATCGCGGCGGCGATGAAGGAGCCACAGCAAGCTGATTGTCAGAGCAGCGAGAACGGCGAATCCAGCTATTGCACCACCAACGATGGCGCCGACGTGGCTCGGGGATTTCGAGGCCGTGGACACAGGTGAGTCTTGAGTGCTCAATGCGCTTGGCGAGTGACTCGCTGTTGGCGTAGTGCTCAATCCGACTGTGTCGTTCAACGCAAGGAAGGGCGCCGCATCCGTCGGGTTACTGCTCAGGAATGCCGCGGCAAGATCTGTTGCCGAGCATTGTCCATTCACACATGGGTTGTTCTTGCAGCAGCCCCAAAAGGGCGGACTGATGTTACTGCAGGTGAAGAAAAGACCTCCACTGCACTGTTGATCGACAAAGACATCGTATGCCGCTGGATCGAAGGAGGTTGCCACAAGGTGACCTACTGCGGTCAGTATAGCGGATAATCAAACCCACGCAAATGACCGAAGTACCTGCTGAACAGCTGGTCGTTCCGCAGGGATTAGTGGTGCAGCAGCCGACAAAGCGGCTGCCGCTGGCGCAGGCGTAGAACTTGCCGCCGAGGGTACAGGACATGGGAGGCACAGCCATGACAGTCAGAGAAGGAGATCAAGGAGATGGAGAGACGGYCAAGGAGAGACTGCGAACAAAAGGTATCTTGTGGGCGAACAGCGCTTCAACTGTGTGCCACTTGGACAGCCTATTGCGACACGGCGTGTTGGAGCATCGGAGTGGGACCCGATGTTTTGAGACGCTGAAGAGAGAGTGCCTTGGAGAGGGTGCTGTGCTGTGGCCAAACGGCAGAGATGCAGCCATGCTTTCGATGTCATCAGCGCCGGCATATGGTGGACGATGGATGTGAGATGCACCGAGACGACTGGTGATTTGCATTGCGCGATGTTGTGATTGTTATGAACAGACGCGTTTGACAAATGTTGACATGGAGTGAGCGGGTCAAAATTTGATTGGCTGTCAACTCTCAATAAATGTAATGTACCTCGACTTTGACCTCAATCGTGAAGTGACCGTGATGGACCAGATCAAGATCATCCACCTCAATCCTCCAACTCCGACATGCCGAAACGCCGTCGAGAACGCGACAGACCCAAGACCGGGCCCGAGTCGCTGTATAACCCGAACAAACGCGTTTTGCTAAGCTATGCTTCCGACGACGAGGAAGAGGAAGAAGCAGCAGTGGACAACGCACCGGACCAGACCAAGTCAGACGCTGCAGAAGCAGTCATCGATGATCGTGCTATTGCCAATTATCAAATGACGGAATATCCGGATTCTGAAAACGAGGTCGAGCTCGGCGCGACTGGCGACGAAGACGTTGGCGCATCGGACGGCAAGGACGAGGACGTGGAGGAGGTTGGCGACGACGCTGACGACGACGGCGCCGAGGAGGATACGGGCCCATCATCTACTCCACAGGACAAGGTGACGGACGATTGGGCACCACCCACCAAGAAAGATCCTGTGACCCATCAACGGCCGACACTTGGTCCCGTTTCCTTTGGGCAAGATGAAGACGACGAGGAGGACTATGATCCGGAAACGGAGGAGGCCATGGCGTACCTTCGCGCAGTCAGGTAGGTCATGTCTCGATGGATGTCGTTAATCCATGCTAATGGTCCATCACAGATCTGAGCGTCAAACCATCCCTGAGATTCTCTCAGCACCACGTCAACTGCAAGTCGATGCTGACCAACTCCAAGATACCAACCAACGCAATCCTGATGAGCCTCCGATCGAAAACGATGCGATTGTGAGTTCGGACACCTTCGTTCAAGCCACGCCGGTGAATTCGGAACCCACGCCTTTAGAGGGCGACGCCACAGACCCACAGAAAGTCTTCACACGTCTGCTGATAGAACGATTCATGGAGCAACGTACACAGTTACATCTTCCGCCCAGCATGCACAAGCTAGCCGAGCTCCCTGACAGCTGCCCCATCAGCTTCCCACGAGGCAACAACAGGGCTCTCGCCGAGTGGTATCATGTGCTATCCGAAAAGGCTCCTTTGCCAGCTCAGTTACGTTCGATGGACCAAGACAGTATTTTCAATCTTCTCGGACTTCTGCAAGAACATTACCTCACGAAGGTATGCGAACTGAACAAAGTCACGAGCGCCTGGATATGGTCTTTGCTTGCGAGACTGGACGATGTCGGAACCATGAACAACGATGAAGTCTTTCCGCTTCGCGAGTTGGGAAAAAGAGCGGTCTTTCTACTTCTATCTTTCTCGAGTCCTGAACTTGCGGCGGGACTCGAAAGTCTAGGGCAGGACGCTCCGTCTATTGCTTCTACTGAAGCTAACCAAGCAGAGATCGCACCACAGGCACCAACGGACAACACGCTGGCGACGCTCGACATGATGCTTGTCGTGATCGGCCATGTTTTCGGTCAAAAAGACTTGCTCGAGTTCAGGCCGAAATGGACTGTCACCGAGAAGCCAGTCTGAAGATCCCATGCTTCGTTTCAGTTTCCCGCAGCATTGCTGTTCTTCTACCAGATGCGTCTGGGGCAATCCTCCCGGTTCGTGTTGTTGAACAGCTCTCGCAATTTGCAGGACGGAATATACGCTGCTGTCGTCACGACGCACGCATGCCGCGTTCTATACACGTCCTTGCATCAATTCTGACCAAGTCACAATCGTGGCTTCGAGGTCGTTCTCTAGGTCTCCCGATTGTACGGCTAAGAAAATCAAGCTGGACAATGCCGAAAAGTGCGGAAAGGACGGAAGCCCCGCCGCCCTCGGCCAGCGGCAGCTTGCCCGGGACTTCCAGGTTCCTCACGCATAGATTAGCTACACGTAGGTAGGTGTATTACAAACGACTTCTGTAAGTACATCCTGTCTTTGCTTCAGTATCCACGTTTCCCCCATTTTCCATCCCAATCATCGATTCTCAAAAATGTCTGCTCCAGCGCTATCCCAAATCGTGGAGAATTACCGACCAGACCTCGCACACTACGAGGAACTCTACAAATACTTCCACGCAAATCCTGAACTCTCAAACCAAGAAAAAGAAACAGCGGCTACCATTGCCGCATTCCTCAAAGACAAAATCTCCACCGAATTTGATGTTCGCTCCAATATCGGCGGACACRGCATAGCCGCACTCTTCCACAATGGCACAGGTCCCACCGTCCTCCTCCGCGCAGATTTTGACGCACTTCCCGTGGAAGAGCGCACAGGTCTCCCGTACGCCAGCAAGAAACGCCAGCGAGACGCAGACGGCATCGAGAAGCCCGTTATGCACGCTTGCGGGCACGACATGCACATCACTTGCCTTCTTGCCGCTGCACAGACTCTCGTAGCCGCTAAGGATAGCTGGTCTGGAACTCTTTTGCTGGCTTTTCAACCCGCCGAAGAGCGTGGAACTGGTGCGCAGGCTATGGTTGATGATGGAATGTATGATCCCAAACGCCATGGAGTCCCTATCCCGGACGTTTGTGTCGGTGGGCATGTTGTTCCTTGGAGGTCAGGTGTTCTGGGGACGCGGAAAGGTTTGGTCGCTACTAGTGCGGATAGTATGCGGATTACCTTGCATGGAAGGGGAGGACACGCGTCGCAGCCACACCGACTTGTGGATCCTGTTGTCATGGCTGCGAGTGTTGTGATGCGATTACAGACCATTGTGAGTCGGGAAGTGGATCCTTGGGATACGGCGGTCGTGACTGTCGCCAGTATCCAGGCTGGTGATGCGGAGAATGTGGTTGTTGATGATGCGAAGATCGCAGTTGATGTGCGTGCTACGGATCAGAAGACCAGGGAAAAAATGCTGGCTAGTATTCGCAGGATCGTCAAGGCGGAGTGCGATGCGAGCAATGCCGTCAAGGAACCTACGATCCAGATTACGAGGAACTTCCCTCTTACAATCAACGACGAGGGCGTTACGGGTAAACTTGAGACGAGTTTCAAGGGGCACTTTGTAGAAGGCAAAGAGGGCTATAATTGCGATTGTGAGAAACTTTGTGGCAGCGAAGACTTTGGCATTTTGGGGTCGGCTGTTGAACGGCCGACGAGCTTCTTCTTGTATGGTGGTGTGGATCATGCGGCTTGGGATAAGGCTGAGGCAGATGGGACGTTGGGCGAGATCCCAATTAATCATAGTGGGTTGTTTGCGCCAGCGATACAGCCTACGATGAAGACGGGTGTGGATGCGTATGTGCTGTCGGCGCTGACTTGGCTGGTCAGGACTTAGATGAATGCAATGTTCGATTCATTCCTGTATGTATCTGGCGGTTTTGGACGAGAGTTGGTCGTTCGGAGGCCATCAATGTCATTGCTCGACCTGAGATGTGACGATAATTTCTTCATAGCGCCATGTGGCTACGTCTCGAAGGAACTCTACAACGAGCGTACTCCCTGACCTTCACACACCGAGACACACTTTGAATTGAACACTCTGTGAAGCGAAGGGACCCATTGGCATCGTCGTCGACTCATGCATCGACTATCAGGCACCGCGGCAGTCAGCCACTACCCCAACCCCAACCCGACCGCACCAGAATGTAGCAACTGTGATTCGCATGGCGGTTTCTAGACCAGGCCGACCGCATATCTGTCGTCTCATGCAGCACATCCGAACCGCTGCGAGAAGTCTGTGACTAGACCTTGGTCAATGGTCTGGTCAATCTCCTTCAGCCTTCATTCACTTCAAGGCGGCTCATTCCAATCCCCATCACCGGAACGCCGCGCTAGAATGCCAGAAGAAACCTTCACCCATTCACTTCATGAACGTCAATCTCATCCCTCAATCCTCACCCAGCAAATCGTCCAAGTCATCATCGTCCCAACCGCCCTTCCGTCTCTGCACCACAACCTTTTGTGCGCCTCCCTGACCCTGCACCTGCTCTGCCACAGCCGCCAACATCTCCTTCAACTGCGTCTCCGTCACTCGCGATCGMAATTGTCCCGACTGTGCGAGCATAATGAGCCTATTCTCGACGTCTTCGGCTCGTTGGGCGTTGACCATGCGAATCCGTCCTAAACGGTCTGCTGCGAGGGGTTCGAGGATTTGTGAAAGAATGGATGCGCGTTGTTGGTTTCTAGCAAATGTTTGTTAGAGGCTGAATTGGACTCGGATTGGTAGGTTGTCTGTACTTTTGGTCCTCTTCCTTGTTGCCKTGTCCTCCACTACTGCTACCACCCCCTCCCCCACCGGACTGCTGCTGCAGTTGTTGAAGGCGCGCATTGCGAATTGCTTCGAGATCCGCGTCAGACATTTTCGATGATGCGGTGTTCTTCCGTAGAGAGCGAGTGTCGCGTGCGGAGGTGATGCGAGCTTCGCATGTGCCTTCACTTGCGATTTCTGGGACCCCACCAAAACGATTAAGGTTTGCAGGGTTAGGAGACGTCATCGCTTCCTAACCATCTTCAATAATCTACCTTCTATCATCGAACACATCACTGGTTACGGATAACCGAAGCGGTCGAGGCGATCTCTACTATTAAGCAACACGCTATGATCACAACCAGCGAGACTGCCACAAGAACGTGGAGGCTTCCCGAGGAGCTGGATCGCTCAGCATTGATAGGAACGCCATTGAGATGAGCTCATTGACTATTGCAATCCTGTTTGGCAGCAGAATCAATGAACTGGACTGCTTGCGAAGATCCGTACACTCAAAGACTTGTTTAATCATGAAGCACATCCCCTATGCAGTCCTACACCATTCAAGACCTTAGCTGTCAGCCCAAGACCAGGTACACAACAGACCGGAAGGTGACGAACACTCACTCACAGCAACCCAATGGTAATGTCACCTCTGACTCTTGCGGTCAAATGCACTTCGACATCCAAGTCCAACTCAATGCGGATCTTCAAGCTGCTCTTGTCGCCCTTTGCATTCTTTTCCTCTTGGACCTGGTCAAAAGTCTTGCGTGCGCCAACAGGGGGAATTCCAGCAGTACCGAGAACACCCGCGGCAGGACCCTCAGGAGCAGGCACAAGCGAATTCTCCTTGCGCCCACCTGCAAGACCAGCCTTTGCGTCGTCTGCAGCTTCAGTGACTCTATATGAGTGTCAACCGTCATGTTTGAAGCTGAGAGATTCGAAAAGCTGTCACTTACGGCTTAGTCGTCTTTGGGTCGGCCATCTTATTTGGCTTTGGTTTCGCTTTGAGTGCGAGAGACTTGTGTCGGTAGTGATTAAACAGTTCGTGAAGATTCTCGAATGACAGGTCGTTCAGAATAGAAAGGACAGATCACTGATGAGATCAAGAGGTATATCATATACAAGCACCACTCCGGCCGCTAACAAGACCCCGAGCTGTAGCTCTCTCATGAGCTCCGCCTTCCATTGTTGAGTCCGGTATGACATGGCGTATCGTCTTGAGCTTAGCATACATGCTACCATGCAGAGCGAGAGCCTATCGAGATCATATAGCAACAATCACCCCACCATCATTGATGAATCCCAATCATTTGCCATGATGGATACAACACCTTACTACTTTAGGAAAGCGCAGACGTCGCCCTTGAACATGAAACCAATAGGAAAGCGGGCGCCGCGTGCCGTCATCAACGATCGACAAAAATAGTCCGAGGAATGATGATATGATCTCACAGATGAGCCACGAACCTGCGGAGTAGTTCCTAAGCGGTACCGCTTTATGGTTGGTATCGAGCTCCGATCCGGTGGGAATCTGGTATTCTATGTAGCAAGACCACGAAGGTTTTCGCCGAGAAAAAAAGGCATTTGGCCAGGTGGCTGAGCTTTTGCTTTGGGATAGGCAACATACACCACAGAAGAATCCTCTGCAAGCTTGAGCAGGCCGTTCTAAAATCTCGATCACACATCTACGGTTGCAGGTCCATCAGATTGCGAATACATGTCCAAGTGGACGCTTCCAGAAACTCCACCTTGCAAATAAAGCCAAGGCATTGCGAACAGGACCCGACCTTCTCATACACTTCCTTAACGCAATGGTCCTGGGGATCCTCACCGCAGTAGCTGCTTGTCCTGCTATAATCGGCACAACAGAAGCAGTCAAGCAAGGCCAAAGACAAAACGCACGAGAAGAACATCGCACACGTCGCTGCAACTTGACCGTGACCTTGCTACGACATAGCCAAACATACAGTCCGCGCTTTAATGGCGCACGGATAGTTATTCACAACAACAAGCTATGGATCGATACTCGATCCACGATGGCCGCGACGGAACACCACCTCCATCCCTACACTGGCTACTTTCTTGCATATCCAGACGACAAAGCGAGCTATTGGCGAGAGCAAGGTTTCGCAAAGGGAGAGGGAATGGTAACTACCATCTCGGACGAGCAGCCACCATTCTTACATTGGGTTTATGTGGATAGGGTCACCTGCGAGGTTAAACACGGTGTCAGAAAGGAGGCCGAGGGACACGTGGTGGGACCTTGGGATGTTACGAAGATTGATCGGAGATTGACCTGTGAGGGTTGGGAAGGGTTTGTGGCGGTACAAGAGGAGGATGGGAGCGATCTTTGGGCTTTGTACTTCGATCGTGCGGATAATGGGTTGAGGGGACAAGGGAGAATAGGAGAAGAGGATAAGAGGATGTTGTATGTGGATGTTTGGAGGAAGGAACCGAGGAAGGATTTCCAGAGTGCTGTTGATGAGAGGGTGGAGAGGATACAGGAGAGGAGGGAAAAGGAGGCCGAGAAAGAGGAAAGAAGGGAGGAGGAGCAGGATCAAGATGCTGAGAAACTGGATTGAGATGGAAGCCACGAAATCTCGAACAAAATGTACCGGACAACCACTTTGCACATGCAAGCTTTGGTACTAGCGACATGCCTTTTCCTCGAAGATGTGGCATGTTTTGCAAGGTTCGAAATACTCATACCTACAGCCATACAGGTGTCGGGCCGAGCGTGGAAGCTCGTTCTCACATTGCTTGGCCATACTGGTCCTCGGGTTCTCCTCTTGTACAGCGTGGGCATCCGGCCAAGGACTACTACCTCAAGCTCAAATTATCTCAGATCAGGCTCCCTTCCACACCACGGTGGGCGAAGGCCATGTTTGTAGTCTTGGTACTCATGCCAGAACTGTGAGAGCGCGTGCTCGGGATAGGAATAATGTTGAGGATACAGCTGCACGCTACATCGTGCCCATGACCAACATCTCTTTCACGGCAGGATGCCGTTTACTGCTCCCTTTGAGAGCCAAAAAACATACAATCCGCGAGTTTTTACATTCAACGTTTGAGATTCCGCAGTGGTCACCCACTTGAGCACAGATCAAACGATTACATGGTTATACTAAGCTACCACGCACATCATCCCGCACTTTTCTTTTCAGTTCAGTCTCCACTCCTTCGTTTGGCCTATTTTTTCAACCCCTGTTGGTAAAACAGACGCTTCTTCTCCGGAGCCTGCCTATGCATCTCGTCAAAATCGATCATGCCGTCGCCATTAGCATCGTATCTGAATCAACGCTGCGTTAATGCCAACATCCTTAAAGCCACTTCATTTGCCAAGGGGAAGAGGAGGTATAAACCCACGTGTTGAACACATTGGTCCAATGCTGCAAAGCCGAACCATTATAGGTGGCGGCGTGCTGGTACTTCACGGCCCAAGCCAGGTAGTCGGCGAGCGAGACGCTTCCAATCGCAGGATCGGCCACAAAGTCGAAAGTCGAATCATACCTGCAGGTGTCGGGCGCGCTCTCCTCAAAGGGATCCTGAGCGCGGTTCAAGCCAGGGCGACAGCCACCGCCTGCAGTGAAGGTCAGCGAAGATATCGTTTGAGGATGTGCTGTTGTAGAGAGAGAATGCTTGCCACAGGCACATCCAAAGATGTTACAGGATCTGAAGCCACAGAATGGAGTTCCGAAGGTGCCGTCGCCACAACCACCATCGGAACTCCTGGCATGGCAGCAGGCTGCCTGGACACTAGTTGCGCAGGCGATTGCGAGCATGAGGGCTGTTGGAGTAAGCATATTGTTTGCTGGCGGGGTTCTTCTGGTGAGGAATGGTTTATGATACTGATATGCTTATACGGCGATAGAATGAAGATCAAGCTTCATGAGGACGTCGTCAATGGTATTATATGCCAGTGTAGGTATGCAGCATGGTAGCTTCCCCGCTCAATTGATTTTCTGATGTTTTGTCGATTGAGCTTTCCGTGCGTTGCCTTGATGATGATGACCGGAGTCTCTAAAGGTGGTCGGATCAGAGCATTTGCAGGGATGTATTACTCGGACATACTAGTAAGAGTATGCAATGCCATGTCAGCCGGAGGTCTGTTACATTTACGTACTGCCCTCTTCCTTCTCAGAAGTAGACGATTTCGGATGTCCGATTTCCGCACGCACGCCACTGGCGACCTTCTCGCTGGCGTGTCTAGCGTGTCGTGAGCAGCCGGGGAGGTGTCGTTGAACTTCGAAGGCGCGGACATAGTCAGCAGTGACGACAGACAGCTTCTGCCGCTTCACTCTTCCCGTGCGTATCTTTACCTATCCTACACATGCGTGGCATAAGGTGACTGCAACTATAGTCCTGGCACAATATGGTACGTCGTCGGCACGATATATCTGAAGATTGAGACCAATGGATGGCTTGCAGCTGTTGTAATGATCTYTCACTGAATTGAGATGAAGCATGCAGTGCGTGCTGCAGGTACAGTACACTTATTGACACATCTGACACGGAACTAGGTAGGGACATGGAGGTAGGTAGATGTGTCGTCTGATCCTTAGTCATCTGCGCATCACGTGCCAAAATCACAACAGCAGAATGCCAAGTCACCTTCTTCAGGCCTGACCTACGACACCGACATAGGAGAAGAAAGCATCCGGAGCATGTCCAATCCCGGGAATGGTAGGACAACAATCCCGGACTGCACAACAAGGCAAGTGGCGACATCACCCACCCCACCTTCTCGTCCGAGGAGGATGACTTCCAGTCAATGCCGCATTCAGCATAAGGTACCCGGGAAGCCTATCTGTTCCCAGCGCACCTGCCCGAGTCCCCGATCTGGACAGTCTCTCGGGTGTCGAGGCTCAACACGAGTAGCTTGGTGTCATTTCCATCACAGCTTCGGACCGCGTGGGGGATCGTCAACTCACAGAGATGGCGTAGTTGGCGCCAACAGAACCGATCTGACCGGAGGGTGTAAGGACACAGCTGGTTTCTAATCGAAGGTTCCATCTTTCACGACACGGTCACCCTTCAAACCCAAACCATCAATGGCTACCGATATCTGATCTGCTCTGCTCTCTCACTCAGCTCTTGGCATGACCGGGGCAGTAAGAAGGACTGAGGGATCGGTATTGATTCCATTGTCAGCGTTAAGTTGAGCAAAAAATTCCCAAGCCACGATGCGATTGCTATCCCCGAAAGGGGATTTGACGGAGAATCTCGGCCCATGACTATGGAGCTTGACGTGGCCAGGTCTGCATCTGCCATGCCGCCAACACGCATCGTCATCCTGCTCTATATCGCTCCCACCAAGGACTCCAGCTCGTTGAACTAGGGTGATAAGGTTCTAGCTGAGGTCGAGAGACTTTCAACAAGCGTGATTCTTATAGAGAGCACTGGCAAGGTACCCCCATTGCTTACACCATTTTAGTATACGTCTAACATCATTGTCCGACTTCGTTGGGAAATCTGATGCAGTACTGCATGGAGTATACAGACCATTCTTGGACTGTGAATCGCTGATCAGTCTCGACGCCACTGGTGGTGCAAAACCAATGCATACGAGTACCGCCAATCGTGGATCGGGATTCGGTGCTCCCCGTAGATATTCTCCGGATCTAGCACGTGCGATCCGTTCTCTACACGAACGCATGTCGACCGCTATGAATCGGATAGTCGGAGCGTATAACGGGATCGTGTAACGTCCATTCCAACGCCCTTCCATGCCTCTAAAACCTGGGTTGCCTTGGTGATGGGCTTGCGGGACAGAACGCTGAACAAGATTCATATAAGCCACGCATGTATGTCCGATTCCCCAACGCATTGTGGCCCACACATCCAGTCGATACAAGAGACTTTTAACGCATATCGACTGTACCACACACCACCATACCCAGATGAGTGTGATCGGCAACGATGCTGCCGAAGTAGTCTACAGACCATTTCTAGACTAATCTCATCCACAAAACGTGATGGCTATGGCGCAGGAGTTGGTTCATTGACCTATCTAGGACTAATTTATCGCCGATCCTATTCGTCTCTACATACAGTATATGTAGAGTGATTCTTCCTGCGATTATACTGTATTGCAGCTCACCTTCACCTCATCTCGTTCCACTATACTCACGCCAAATGATCCAACAACATGTTGTTTCTTCGCACCTTCACGCTCTTGGCGGCTGTGGCTGGCTTGACCAATGCCCAAAAGAAACGAGCCCGAAAAATCACTGTAAGCATCGCCTCCGGTTTCGTTTCTCCTACTTCTTCAGCATCTCCGTTCTAACCAAGCGCAGTTTGATGGTCCTGCCTATGCAAATGCTCCCACACCCGCACTTCTCGGCCCCGATAGTGGAATTCCGGTGGGAAACGCTGGAGCCTTGAACTTCTTCAACTTCACTGTCGTCAACGTTGCGAGCAACCAGGTTCAGCTGTTTGATCCCAACACCCGGCCCAACATTGCCATAATCACAGGACCCGCTCGCGGTGGTAAAAAATTCGCCAAAATCGAAAAGAAGGAAGGCTTCCCAAACTTCGAACTCGACAGCCTCTACTTTCGCTGCGCACGCAAACTATCCGCCGTTTACGTCCCGATCGACTGCACGTTGCTCCTTTCATACCCTTCTATCGCGGGCCAGTTGGATTCTAATAGAGATTCGGAAATCGCAGTGACCAGCAGGGCCATGCAATTCGAAGAATTCGCGTTTGGGGAAGTTTCATACGTTCGATTTGGAGTCTCCGTTCCGAAAGATATCTTGGCTGAATTGGCGACAAACGAAGTGTCTGTTTTCTTTGACACGATCAAGGTCAAGGCTTGATATCTCGGATACCTTCATGACTAAGGCGTTGCTCGCCTCACGTTGAAATGCTTTCAAGGAATGTGCAAGACATCGACGCAAATTTGAGGGGGGATTAAAAGGATGATGCTGGAATACATGGGATAATGTATACATGGGATTGATGTGGGAGAATCCATCGAACAACGAGGTCATGTCATCTTACTTCATATACAAATATTTAAATTTTATACTAGGAGTTAATTCCACAATGAAAGCTCTTTGGCGAGTGTTCAACACAGTTCATTACTCACTACCTAGACACTGATCACACATGATATCAACAGACGTTGGCCGCCGATACTGCGTTCTTGGGAACCTAATCAAGCTCTAGAATCTGGCCCAACAGCTACCGCTGCGATGACCGATCGGAAGCCACGTTGAGATTTCCCGTTGGCTTGATTTTATGCAGCTGTAGCCGGGTGGAGGTTTCATCGATGACTTCGAGGAAATCTCCGAGCCAAAACCCCATACCCAAGAATCAAACAGAACACCTGCCTCTATTCGGAAGCTTTGGGAACGCTGTCGTTGAGACGGATTTGTCCTGCATCAAGCCTCGCAGATGACTCCTCATTTAAAACGCCTTTCTCTCGAAGCAGTCGGTTGGCCATTTACACAAGAGGTAACTTCCGGCCTGCTAGGCTTATCCCAAGTAGCCGCCTGCTTGCCCTCTCACCATGCGGCACCCTCTTCCCGCTCTCTCCGACTAGGTCTCATGAGGTTCCTCCCCGTCATACCTTGATTAAAGCGTGCAAGCAAGTCAGGATCAAACCCCCAGTTGAGATTACCGGCGGGCAACTCCCTGGCAGGAGCTTGGATTGGCGGACGAGGAAGCCCAGATTCCACCGTGTCCTCCTCTCCATCATCGTGCACATTTACACGACTGGGCCGCATAGGAGCTCTCTTCGATGTAGCATCTGCTAGCTGTAGCTTCAACTGCTCGACTTCTTGCTTTAATTGGCGAATCGTGCCGTCTTGGTCGTCAGCAGCAGCGTTTCCTCGTGACTCGGGTACAGCTTCTCTTAGCTTGACAGCCTCTTCCCGCTGCTCAATAGCGGCCTCCCTCTCTTTCGCGGCAACCTCTCTTCCCTCCACTGCAGCCGACTTCTGTACGTTCGCTGCTTCAATCGCGGCTTCACGCTTTTTGAGATTGTCTTCCCATTCCGAGAGCGATGCTCTCAGTTGCTCAAGCGATCTTGCMCGTTGGACAATCCAGTCATCTCGCTGGGCACGTATCTCCTGATCGTCTTTGATCTCAACCATTGCAGCAGTCGTCGTACCTTCGCTCGATGGTAGAGGCGTCTGGCCGATTGCAATGTACTCAGCACTGCATGTCCATTCGGTCTCCGTGTCCAGTGACCATGTAAAGCCTTTGGCGGTCACATCACTTGCCACTGATGCCATCTTGAGTGGCTTCAAGGTCGTATGGTCAATCATCGAAAGACCCGAAAGAACAGTTGGGGGAGCGACAAACTTGCCACTTGAGAATTCGATCTCTCGACTCTTCTTCAGCTGTCTTTGGCCTCTCTGAGTACCAGAAATAAATCTTCCCGAGTCGATATCCAACTTTCCTTTCTTGTAAGCAATCCATGTGACGCCAGCTTTGTAGACTTGGCTGCCACTCCAAGCCTCCACATTGACAGTGAAAGCATCGCGGGCGACGTCTGTAGGGTAGGTATGGATCCTCCATTGTTGGGAGTTACTCCTCAAATCCAGATAATTGAGCCACAAAACAATCACCGGCGGCTCGTCGAAAAGTGTGCTGAAAGATATGCGGTTGCTGGCGAACACCGGATAGCCATTACTGCCCATTTCAGCATGCCAGCACCCTGTAAGAACGTCTTTTGTATCTGCATTGTGCTCGATCCAGGTCGAAGTGGCTTCATGTATAGTGGAACTGCTCCATGTTTCGACGGCAATGTCGAGTGAAGTCGACGTCACATTTTCAATCGACGCAGATAGGCGGATGTTATCGCCCGGAACAGCGCCGACATTGATAGCGTTCAGACCGGTGCRAACAACAGGACCTGATACATATTGCCCTTTGGACAAGCCAACAGTTCGGGAGAACTTTTGATCGTTCCCTGAAGACTTTCCCGCCGGAATCTCGCTTGTGGAAAAGAAGCCTGTGTCCGGACCTGGTGTAGACTCGTGAACCATTCTGCAAAGAGCCAAGTGGGTAGAAGTGAGGTTGAAGAGAGGAAATGCTTGAGACGGAGGTTGAGGTAGTAGACCACTTAWGGTTAGCAGCTAACCGTACCAAAGGCAGCTACTGTAGTTTGACATCATCTGCAATGTCCAATTCGAGCTCTTGGTAGAGTGGAGGTCTTTACTAGTGGCGATCAATACTTCGTATGAACCCAGTCTCCTTGTGGAGATTGCATGGCTCTGCTTTCAAAACCCGGCTGAAATAGCATAAATCTGATACGTTAGGTCACCATACAGGTACACATATATTACACCTACTCTTCAACATACTTGATCCAACAATGCTCCGAAACCTCCAATTGGTGCATGCGAGGACGAAGACTCCGACACCATGCGTTTTTTCGTGATGATCATCCCAAACCGCAAAGAACACTTCTTTCCAATTGTGCGCAGTCCCAACTCCAAGATACCCGCGCAACCACTGTTCTGTCGTTCTTGTTCACTAGCGCATAGACTTGACTTTCCGGTAGAGCCAGTTGGAAAGCTTCACGCCAGGCGTGTCGAAGCATCTGGTCACAATCTCCGAGAGGTAGAACATGACGATGAAGCTGAGGAACAGACAGAACAAGAACGCCGGCTCGAATCCGAAAACGCCTCCATCAGGGAACGGCCACCAGGGTGCGTCATGCCATCCGTTGTACAAATGCTCAAAGTGTGGGGAAGTGTCCATTTCCGCGGGAGTCTTGAGGCCTGCAAGATAATACAGGCGGACTGTGAAGGATCCGATGACTTGCGCGTGAATCAGGTACAGGGCAAAGGAGTGTCTGCCGAGATCTGCAAACCATGTTAGTGTGGGGTCAACAGGGGAAGAGTGTTGTGAAACCTACACTGCGCAATGTTCGTCTCGAAGATGGATCGCACCCAGCCGATTTCCTTGACCCCAATCAGGACCATCCAAGCGGCCCAGAAGAGCCAAAACCACCGATAAGCTTCGGTGCCTTCGAGATAGACACCTGGAATGGCGTGTCTGAGCTTACTCCACGCGAAGCAGTTCTCCATGACTTCATCGACGGTGTGGCCATCCTCTGAAGGCTGACTTGCCAGGAACATGCCGACCACGAGAATGACATGTAGGAGAGCCATTCTAGTCTTCCTTCGCGTCCGCCACCATCTCGTGATACCATCCCAAGGCAGCGAGACTTGATGATCGGTGGCGGCAAGGATGTCCAATTCGGCAGTCAACAAGCCAGAGAAAAACGCGGCATACATGGCTCCTGGCGGTCCGAATTCCAACCACAAAGTCAATGCAAGCGTTAGCAGGATCCTGACTCGCGTGGTGCACTGATGCACGGCGAAAAGCCATACGAATAGGAACATTGACCCTCTCAGCTCCACTGGAATGGTCCATGTCGTAAAGTTGTAGATTGAGAACAACAATCCCTGCCGGAAGAAGTAGTAGAACTTGCATTGATCCTTGATCCAGAACCACAATTCTGCAAAGACATTGGCCTGCGGCTCTCCAAAAGCAGTCTTATATCCAAAGATATGCCATCCCATTGCAATCGCCAGCGTAGTAAAGCTCACGGGAATCAGCAGTCTCCCGGGACGTCGGAAAATGGCAGAGTTGATGCCCTCGATGAATTCGTCCCTCCGTCCTTCATGCAGATGAGTAATCAGTCGTCTTGGAACCACATATCCCGAAATGCAAAAGAAGAGCATGACAGAAAAGTGTCCTCCGACGAAGATGTTGCGCAAGAACGGCAGTGCAATCGCGCGATTGTTGTAAGTCGCGAAGTAGAGCGGATGGCCATAGCATAATTCCAATCCCTYGTGCGTGTACACTGTCAAATGATGCAGACAGACAATCAACGCCGCAACTCCTCGGAGGCCATCCAGCCACGCAGTCCCACCAGCCCGCTTCGTGCTGCCTGCTTTTCTACGCTGTAAGATTTCCGGTGTGAGTGCATAGAGCAAAGCGAGGAGTACATTTTTCCAATTAAATTTCGAGCGCAAGGTGTTCTCCGCGGCCAGACTTCCAGGCTCACGATGCTCAGGGGTGGTGCCGGTCAAAAGTCCCAATTCCAGGCTCTGGTTGTTGGCGACAGTCATTTTGCCGCCAAATCCATCCAGCGTCAGAACTGTGATGTGGTGGAATGCTGGTGGTGAGGATGTTCAGGATCAAACTGTTCCTGGAGCAGCGAAGGGATTGATAGAATTGTGACCTGCGCCTGGCAAGGTTGAGACTTGGACGCGGAGCCACAGACGCCTCGGTAGCCAAGACCGTTCGTTCCAGAAACGCTAACCAAGCTCGTTTCGCTTTCCCCGTATTTTCGCGCAAGGCACGCGTGTACTCTCCTAAACGCAGTCCATAAATGAGCGTGGCGTTTTCCAACCAACCCGCTTTTTTTTCGAGAATCTCAACCAATGTCTGTCCAGCCAGCAAAAACGAATTTACTCAACAACGTCACGTACTGCACAAATCAGAACAACGGAGGATGCTTTTCGGTCTATCATGATAAACAGCTTTGGTATGCAGCCTCAGCTAGCTGCAAACGCCTAGTCTATACACCTTACAATTGATCCAACAGTCCCTCGGCTTCAAGCAGAAGCACAATCTGGTGCACTGCCGTTCGGACGTTGTCCTTGCTGATGTCAACCACAAGATCGGCCTCTTTGGCATCGGGCGCCTCATAGGGGTCATCGACACCGGTGAAGCCCTTGATCTCGCCGCGGCGTGCCTTGGCGTAGATTCCGCGACGGTCAGTCTTCTCGCAGTGCTCGAGTGGTGTCGCGACGTGAACAAGGTAGAAGGATCCCGACTTTTCAACAAGTTCGCGAGCAGCCTTGCGAGATGCAGTGAATGGGGCGATCGGTGCGGCGATGACGGCAGCTCCAGAGCGAGTGAGCTCAGAGGAAACGAAGCCAATGCGCTGAATGTTCTTGTTGCGATCCTCCTCGGAAAACCCGAGCTCGGAAGACAGGTCGCTGCGGATATTCTCACCAAGAAGGAGAGTGACAGAGCGACCGCCCTGCTGGTTGAGGGTGACATTCAACGCACGCGCAATAGCATCCTTGCCAGAGTTGACGTAGCCGGTAAGGAATACGGTGAATCCCTGCTTGTTGCGAGGAGGGTGTGACTCGCGAAGGACGCGGACAACCTCAGGGTAGGAGAACCACTCAGGGATATCACCACCGGTCCTCAAACGACGACGGAGCTCAGTTCCGGAGATGTCAAGAGTCTTGACCTCCTTTGGCACCTCATCCTTGGGCATGTACTCGTCGGTGTCGGGCAGATATGTCATCTGCTGGAATGGCACCACCTCGATTCCAAGCTCATCACGGTATTTCTCCACAGCATACTGTGCGTCGTACGGTCCGTAGATTTCCTCGCCCTTGCTGTTCTTGCCTGGACCAGCGTGGTCACGACCAACAATAAAGTGGGTGGCACCGTGGTTCTTGCGAATGATGGCGTGCCAGATAGCCTCACGAGGACCACCCATGCGCATGGCAAGTGGGAGAAGTCCGAGGACAGCCATGCCGTTGGGGTAGCGTGGGAGGAGTGCCTGGTAGACGCGGACACGCGTAAAGTGGTCGATATCACCTGGCTTGGTCATGCCAACAACGGGGTGAATAAGGACGTTCGCTTGGCGAGCACGAGCGGCACGGACAGTCAGCTCTCGGTGAGCGCGGTGCATGGGGTTTCGCGTTTGGAAAGCCACAACCTTGGACCAGCCAAGCTTGTCAAAGTGCAGGCGCAGCTCCGCTGGGGWGTAGCGAAGTCCGACATAGTCGTAGTGCATAAGGCGGTCAATTGCATCAATCTTGCCGCCGACGTAAAAGTCGTTGGTCTGGTTGAAGAGGAACTTGACAGCAGGGTGGTCTGGGTCACCGCCAAAGACCTCCTTGGCCTCCTTGTGCTTATCGGGCTGGTACACATCCTCCACGTTGAGGATTCCGAGGTTGCGGTCGTCTCGAGAGTCGCGGAGCGTGATGCGAGCACCAGGCTTGACGCCGAGCTGTTGAATGGTTTCCTTGCTCAAGTCCAAGCAAATGGGCATTGAGAAGAGGTTGCCATCCGCAAGACGGTTCTCCTTCACCACCCCGTTGTAGTCCTTCTCATTCATGAAGCCCTCRAGCGGGGAAAAGCCTCCGTTGAGGATCAGCTCCAAATCACAGAGCTGGCGGTCTCCAAGCACAATGGCTGGGAGCTTCTCAGCTTCGGCGGAGAGTTCATCTCGTCGAGGCGCATCGCGGGCAATCAGGTCCTTGAGGACGCCGCCTGTGAAGTGTGAGTGGGACCGATTCTGAGCTACATGGTACAAGCAACTGCCCGTATTGTAAGCAACGTACCGTGTGGAGGATTGGCCATTTTGTTGGTGTGTGTGAGAGGGAAGTTCTGTTGAGAGGACTGCTTTCCTGAGCTAAAAAGTCGGAGGCCGATGTCGTCCCAATGGCGTCAGCCCGGAAAGAGTCTGCAGTTGATCGCGGTAACTGAAGGGTGGAATGGATGTGGGTTCGAGAGAAGATTCTGACAGCAGTCACTCCACCTGTTGTACAATGTCTCCTTGTCCTGCAAGATGACACGGCGTGCAGACGTCAGATCAGCAGGGGAGCTGGGTAAATGTGTCTGTTGCTGCACACTGATCTGCACGTGGCCCGGCTCGCGCAGGCAGAACAATCTAGCGCGGTATCGTGGCAGAGGAAGGCCTGTCCTCATGGACTACTTTATCAATTTATGCGGTACAGTACAATGCTCCTGCCTGTTCGATGGCGATGCTTCATACTGTAGCGCGACTATCATCAGAAGACCGTATCGCTGCATAAAGGAGTACACGGCGTTGGACAAGGACATGGAATGCTTTTTCCGTGCGATACATCGATTGCTTTCTSATATTATTCTCAGACATCCTCTAGCAAACGACCCTTGGAAGATCTCTCCTATGTTCTAGTTTACGACCCCTTCGCAAGATGACGATTGACGGATGGCGTTACGCGTCAACTTGGCTATTGTCTGTTGCGTACGTCCTTCTGTGGATAGGCGTCGGACACCGCGCTGATCTATGCAGCGACATGCTGTTCTGCACTCTCCACCACCCCAAGCAAGCCAAGACGTTCATCTGGTGCTGGTGGCTGATGGGCGGCGCATTCGCTTGCTGATGGAGGAGATTGAGAGTGCCTCTCCAGGCATATCACACTCATTCCGAGTCGATGCTGTGACTTGGATTGTAATACTGCGCCATCGACGCTTTCTGCTACTTGCTTGTCTGAATCACCGGCAGTTTGATTGGGCCGTTGGTGCAGGATGCAGAACATTAGGGTGTGCGGTGTGGTTGAGGGACGCACTCCGTCGGCACGTCGCTTAAAGAAAGRGCGATCGGCCGAAGTTGTATAGCTATGTTGGTACGCCCTCCCACTTCAGTTTCTCCCGCTGTTATCTACATGCACCAAACACCACCCTCCTGTGACACCCTTCTTGACCCTTCCCGGCGCAATGCGAAACTCGTCGTTGTCGATATGTGAATCACGGCGGACGGTGCTTTACCTTCACTCGCACACTTTACTTCACTTGCTACCCCCGACCAGGATCCACTTTTCTGGCATGCAACCGGCAGGCCAGAGGCAAGCACCACTTCATCCACTCTACAGGATGATAGTACCCCAGGCTTTCCAATCCGTCCCCTCCGGCGGGTTTCAGTAGCCACAGCCTTTCTCGTGGCGAGTACGACACAGCATACAACCGCAAGTGAAGCTCGGAAAGAAGAGGTTTAGTAAAGGTCATTCAACATCGCCTTCGTTCACTATCTGTCTACACTTCCGACCTCAACATCTCGATGTCTGTAGCCAAAGCTAACACAACAGGTGTCGGCCATCCAAACGCTTTTCAAAAGACGGCGTACAGAAAAACCGCCGGGCATACCTCCACTTCCGCTCCAACGCCAATGCTAAATCGCAGATTCAAACAAACAGACCGAGCCTTTGCCAAATTCCACCTTGGGAGTATGTCAGGACATCATCACGCCGGAGCCTCGATACTCAAGCCGGCATTGATGGCCTCACTCAATTCTTCCTGGCGTTTTTGCTCTTGCTCCTGCAGGAACATGGCGTACCGACTTCGCTTGTTGTGGATACCGCACTCGGTCTTGTTGCGACCCTTCCAGCGTCCCGCACGCTCATCCTCGCTGTMGGTCACGGGCTGAGTGGAATGCCAGTCACCTACGGAACGGTACCCTTGGTCAAGCAGGTCGTTGGTTGGCACGTCATTGTCTTTGATGTACTGCTGTACGTCTTTGAAGGACCAGTTGGCGAGAGGGTTGACTTTGAGAAGACCCGCATCGTCAATCTCGACTATGTCGAGATCACCACGCTTGCCGCCTTGCGTCCGTCTCCGGCCGGTCAGCACGGCTTGTACCCCAAGGTCTCGGTATGCCCGCTGTGCAGGCTCAACCTTGGCGACATAGTCGTACAGCTCCTCGTTCACTTCCCACAGCTTCTCGCCGTGCTTGGCCTCGAAGTCGGCCGTGGTTTCGCAACCTTCTGGCTTGTATGTGTGGATGACCAGTTGAGGATATTTCGCCTTGACACGCTCGACGAGATCGAGAGTCTGCGAGAAGTGGTATAGCGTGTCGAGGAAGATGAGGTCAATCGGTGGCTTGATGGCATAGTCGAGCTTGGTGATCATGTCCATGATTGCCAGGCCTGTGAGACCAAAAGCGGAAGTCTGGTACAGGACCGGAAGAGATGTGATGCACCATCTGAGGACATCTTGAGGCTCAAGTTTTGACAGCTGAGCGTTGATGAACTTCAGATGGGCACGGGAAAAGTAAACGTCGGAGGAGAGTGACGAAGAGGAACTACCGCTGGCATAGCCAGACTCATTCTGGTCGTCAGAAGACGAAACGGACCGGTTGCGAGCCATGTTGTGGAGACGGTCAAAGGGATAGTTGCTGCTGAACGGTCGAAAACGTCAGGGTTGAGTTGCGTTTTGAAGACGGCGGTATGGTAATGGGTACGAGGGAGAGAAGGGCGATGATGTAGCAGAGAGGGATTACGCAGCGAGGAGTAGTCCTCGCCGACCGTCGCTGAGCACGCCATCGACAACTTTGATCGCGGCCTGCGCCTGTCTGGTTGTGCGGGATTCGTTGTCGGCAGCGCTCTCTCGAAAGCGATTTCCAAGCAGCGAAAAGATGTTCTCCGCCAATCAAAGAGATGGAAAATCGCGTGCTTTTGTGGGGCAGCTCACGAATTTCATTGTCGGCCAGTCCGCAATTGAAAGGCCGGCTCACTAATCTCGATGACATTCCACGAATTTACACGCTGCTCCGCGATTGCGCAACCAAGATCCTCACTGCGTGTATCGATGCGCCGTTGACGTTGACGAGCAGATGCTTTCTAATTGCATTTACTGCACAACCTTCTCGGTCACCGACGAGAGAGACCACGATGATTGCAGGCAGAATCCTTTGTTCGATTGCCAATCACGAATTGCCGAAATATCCATTGTTCTAGAGCGTTGAGCGCTCCAATCTGCCCCACTTCACACAGTACTAAGCAGCTCCGCGGCATTATTATTATTGTGGGAGACGCCAGCATGTGAAAGCGACACGATTGACTTTGCGTGTATGAAGCGGTCATCTTGACGGTACAAGTTGCACCCCTCTGTACACACTTGACTGGCTCTGGTGCTCTCTCATTGGGTCGGATCGCCTTGATCGAGGATGACGGAACAATCGTAGATGAGGTTTCGTGCCATTACACGTGGCAGCGGAGAAATGCTTTGCACGTGTCGAATAAAGAAATGATGCTTTGGACTGTCGACTTTGAGAACGGCCTTGAAAACCCACCTGTTTTCGATCGTTGGTACAACTACCCACCACACAGCGATGAATGCGTGCTGGACAATGTGTGGAGAGACTCGATTGATCTGGATTGCCTCTTGTCTCAACGAAGTGAAGAATGGTGCAGTACTTGCCATACTCTGCCTACGTGGTGGACTGGTCTTGAAGCACGACGAGACATCTCAGTGTGACTCTCGTGGTATGAAAAAACATTAGATGAATGCCACAAACGGGTCAATCCACGCCATCTCCTGTGTGCTACAAAATCCGCTTTCGCGGGTTAATCCAAGGCAAGGACGTAGACCATGACCTAGAGGTGTTTTGTTGTTGCAAATAAGTCATTCGCCCGATCATCCAGACCGGGATTTTGGACAGTTCGACCCCATCTCGTGGGTATTTAACACACATGTCAATCTATCCACCGTTACTCTTGCGAAAAAAGAAGCACTCCTCAATCCATCACAGATTTGTTGAAATCATGCGCAGTGATGGAAATGGGAGAGAAAAACGAGACATTTCCTTCACCAAAATATGACCTACTTCTCCCTCGTACATAAATACATACGGTACACACCACTCCTCGAACCATACCCACGTCACCTCAAGCCTAACATGTCGTCGACTCACTCCTCTTCCTGCGCATAACTCAACTTYCTCATCTCCCCCAACCGTCCCCTCGCAGCAGCCAAACTGTTCTCCAATTGTAAAATTTCCACCTGCTGTTCCATCTGCGCGACTTTGAAATCATGTCCACTCAATTTCGAGTAATCCGTCGCTTCATCCCCACCCGAATCTCGCCTTCGAATGATTTCTTGAACCTGCCGGACCAAGCCTCTACATGCTTGTCCTACAGCTTTACTGCACTCCTCCAACCTCTCTTGAGTCTTGGACATGAAAGATGCTTTGACTCTGCTGGCGGCGACGAGTTGCGCGGTGGATGCCGCAACGTCGTTGGATGCCACAATGAGTTGTTCCGCGGAATTCCTGCCGGAAATGACGCCGTCGGCGGTCTCGATGAGCATGTTGGTGGAACTTGCCACAGCTTTGGCGGCGGAGATGAGGCCTTCTGTCCAGCGGTTGTTTTTCTTGTAGAATTGGGTTTTGCTCATGCCTCCACTTCCCCGTCCCTCCTTGACAATCTCCTGTTGAGAGGCCGTCGCAGCACGAATGAGCTGTGCAATGGCATTGGTAACCGCAATCGCAGCTTCGAGAATCTCATCGTGGATCTTCAATTCGTATGTGCTGTATTGATCTCGAGGCTTGTTCATGAGTTTGGTGAGACGTTCCGTAGCAGCTTCAATCGCCAACGCAGCATTGCCCATTTCTCTGTCGACAAGTTCTCCCAAATCCCCAGAAGTGTTGGTGACTTTTACACCCTTGGGCGCGAAAGCGTCGGCGAGTTTCGAAAGGTTGTTGAGGGCGATTTGGACTTCRTTGTTCTTGTTGATTACCACATCTGTCTTCTGAAGGTCTTCAAGTCCATCGAGACGGTAGGACATGATTCCGCGGAAGAAATCCACAGTGCTTGAAGCGGAACGGCGGGTGGAAGAGATGAGTTGATCGGCTTTCTTGTCATCACTCGCAAAGCGTGTTAATCCTTTGGTATTGGACAGGACGTCTGCGATGGCATTGGAGAAGGTGTGGACTGTGCGAATGACCTCTGCATGGGTGCTATTCGGACCGTCGGCGATGAAGTTGTTGAATGCTGTGCTGAATTCCATGGCGCTGCTTTGTGCCTTTTCAATCTGTGAGAGCACATATGGCCCGCTGGCGTTTTGATTTCCGGCTTGCATGGAGCTGTCGAGTTCGTAGAGGGCATCATCGACCCGTTGTACACCTGCTTGAAGGACCGAGTCGATAATGTCGTTGATCTTGCGAATGTTGTCGAGTAGCATGACATCGATTTGCTCGTCCATTGCGTTGTCAACGCCGCCACCGTTTTGGCGGAGTTCTTCCAATTCTACAAGAGCTTGGTCGAGACTGGACTTGTAAATTTCCAGCTCATCCTCCTTTTCTCGTAGCTGAGCTTGGAGGTCAGAGCTGCCCTCTCCGAGCTTCATCTGCATGTCATCCAGAGCGCGGGTCTTATTGCGCAGGGCCTCTTCCAGGTCGGCAATCTCACGGTTATGTCTTGAGAGCATGGCAGACAATTCACTGCCCTTGGCACGCTGCTCATTATCAGCTCGGTCCAAAGCCATGCGGAGTTCACGCTTCAGCTTCTCCAGTTCATCCTTGTGGCCGCCAGTCGTACGATCCTTGTCATGCAATGCTCGGTCTCTCTCCCGAATCATGTCTGCAAGCTCAAGATTCTTCGTCTTGAGCTCGCGCTCCAGCTTCTCCCGCTTGTCAATGGCCTCCTGTGCAGATGCCGCCTTCAGTTGCACACCCTTGAATTTTTGCAACAACTCCAGATGCTCATGTCTCAACTGACTGTACAGTTTCGCGAGAGCTTCGTACTTTGTCCTCCACGTATTGACCTGCTCCTGCAGTGCACGAATCTGATCGTCCTTGCTCGCAGTCTGCTGCTGGAAGTTTTGGTTCAGCTGTGCCAATTCTCCCTCCAACGCCTTCATCCGCTGGTCGTATTGTTGAAGCATGAGTTGATCTCTCTCGTACTGCGCGCGAGCATTCATATTCTCCCGCTCTAGTTCTGCCATGCGACCGGAAGTTTGTTGCGCGTATTGGTCCCTCTGCAGCTGTTCGAGTTGTAATCTCTGTTGCTCTGCTTGTAGTCTCTGCTGTTCCTCAAAGTCTCGCTGTGCTTGCTGTGCCTGCAATTGCTGCAGTCTCTGTGCCTCTTCCCACTGAGCCTGCAGTCTCCTCTGCTCGGCATCGTACTCTTCCTGTTGCCGCGCCTGCTCATTCTTCCAAAACTCGTTGATGGGCTCGGGATCGGGAGCAGAGGGAGGAGGAGTGTCGCGTGGTTTCTCATTCTTGGGTCTCGCCGGCAATGCGGGTGCAGCATCGTCTTCGCTGAGAAGATTTGGCGGGTCCTGCGGAAGTTTGGGGACGGTGATCAACGAGGTGAGATATCGCAGGTTGGAGCACTCGTAATAGAAGCGAACCAGGCGGTAGTGTTGCGCATCGTATCGTCCCCGGAGAGGACTCAGCGCTTCATCATCGCCGAGGGTGGTGTGCATGGCGCGCAGCATGCTGGTGATGAATTTGTAGATGCCATAACTCTCCTGTACCAAGGGAACCAAAGCACTGATGCGACACTCATTGTTAGTGGAGCCGCGGAAGTGGGCAAAGATCAACTTTTGAAAGGAATCAATCTGGTCCTGCAGGGTCATGAGCTCGGAGATGGTCTCGTAGCCTTCATTGGGGTCGTTGATGGACTTGAGGGAAATGTACTCCTCGTACTCAAAGGTTCCGTTGAACTCCGGGTGCTCGCGGTGAAACTTGAGCTTGGAGACGAGGTAGAAGATGTATTCCTGAATGAGGGGTTGGTATCCTCGATCTCCCATGCCGCCCATCCCTCCCATGCCCCGTTGCAGTCCCTCGAGCCATTGTGCATGTTGCTGCGCCTCCTTCAATGCGACGGGATGGCCTTCCTGCAGGACCTTGTGGATGGTGTACAGCGCCTTGAACGTCTGCACCTCGTCGGCCTGGATGGGCTGGACTTTGATGCCGTTCCAGAAGGACTGCGAGGATTTGTGGTCCCAGGTGTAGACGATACAGGCGCGCACATGTTTCCGCTTGGGCGCCGACTCTTCGATGGAAGTGGCCTTTTTGATGTTGGTGGCCAGCTCCGTCTCGCTCTTAGTCAGGTCGACATTGCGTGTGCTCGAGGAGTACATGGTGGTTGGGACGGGGCCTCGTCGACGAGGGGGCTCGCGATAGACGTCAAAGGGGGCCGCCAGAGTTGCGGTGGTCAAAGGGGGGAGTCTTCTGGAAGTTGGGTGTTATATGTGACGGCAGACTAGACAGGCATCTGCCATGCGCATGTGGAGTTCAATATGTGGGTGCATTCGGCGCCACGAGCCACACAGCTGGCGCGGCCCAATGACGACGATCATCAGGCACCAGAAAGGAATGCATGAAACTGCAGCTCCACTCACCGTTTGAGCTGATCGGTTTGACATGCTCATTTACTTCTATTTCTACCGACAATTCCACTGTGATACGTCGAGTGCACCTTTCTCTGGTAGGCGAAGTGCTGTGTTGTGGAATTGTGCCATCAACAGGAAAAAGAAGCATCTTCATCAGGGCGTTGGAAGCGTCCGTCAGCTATTGCCGCCTTTTGCACCAGATCAGATACGAGTCTCGGCTCAAATAAATGATGAATCGATTGATTGATGGGCTGTGATACCATCCATCACATCCTCCCAAGCCAGTCCCATTTTCACCCATATCATGCCCATCGATCGCTAGAACGCTGCAAAGATCAACAATATCAATGATTTCATCCCATCTCACTTCTCCTCCATCAAATGCTGCCACCGCTTCCCCTCCCTCGCCGTCCTCGCCTCTTTCCTCGCCTTCTTCCGCGCCGCCTTTTCCCTCTCCTCGGGCGTCTTCCGCTTCCTCTTCTTCTCCTCCCCTTCCGCTTCCTTCCCCTCAACAACTTCTCCTTCATCCTCCTCCTCATCATCAACATCCTCCGCCCTCACCACGGGCACAGTGTCCTCCGCCTCCCGAAACCTCTTCCCTGCGGCCTCAAATCTCGTATGCTTGCCCTTTCCCTCCATATCCTCCAGCTTTCCATTCCCCGCCAATCCCGCCTTCACAAATCTTGAAGCAGCTCCCTTGTCTAATCTCGGCTGTGCCGCACCCTTCCCTCTCCCCTCGGCGCCCGAAATTTTGGAGAAGTATTCCTTGACACGCGCTAGTTCCTTGAAGACGTCATGTTCTTTCGCATCGACACCGTTTAACCGGAGGTAGGAGAAGAGAATGGACTCCAAAGCATATGTGGCGAGGACGTAGAGCTTTGCTTTGTCGAGGAGCGGGAGGGTGGATGTTGCGGTGCTGAGAGGTCCGGCCGTGAGGATTGGGGAGAGGCTTGCTTCGAGATTTGCGAGGGATTCTTGGAGGTCGACAATCTGAGGTTGGATGGATTCGTCCATTTTTGGGAGGTGATGTTGTTGCTTGGGAATGTTAGTGTTGAAGGGATGGTGGATGGTGGATGGAATTTTGGGCAAGCTCGAGGCAAGCGCGACCGGGGTCTGAACCTTATCTAATCGGTGGCTYTCTTCACATGAAATGTTGCGACGTGCAAGGATAGCTTGGTAGTAGCACAGTACATCAAATCCGAATGTCTGACAACATGCCGGAGAGGAAGAGACTCAAGACGTCTCGTTATAACGAGCCTGTGGAGAAGAAGAGGAAGACCCCGCCCTCCAACCCGGCCATCGAACGAACATCAACAAACATCGAATCGACCGACTCAACCAAAGTCTCCCAAACGTCAGCCAATGCCCAAAAGCAACAAGACCAACAACCCGCAACATCCCTTCCCCTCCCTGCAAAACATCTCGCCTTCCAACGCAGCTGCGTCTCTCGCGGTGTGATCATCCACCCGTCAATAACCCCAGCATCCCTTCCCGGCCGAGGCATCGGACTCCAAACCACTTCATCAATCCCCTCCTCGACCCGCATCCTCTTCATCCCCGAGTCCGCAACGTTCAAGCCTGAAAAGAAACTCTCCAAAGCCCACCCCGGAATCTCTCCACACGCACACCTTGCCCTGAGTGCCTCGAGTTCCTTTCCCAAAGACGCGGAATTGAAGAAATGGTGCGCGACATGGCCTTCCAACGAGGATATCCGTTCCAGTCTTCCGATTTTCTGGGAGGACAGTATCCGTGACAAATTACCGGTTTCCACGAAATGTGTTCTGGAGAGACAACGGCAGGATTTCGATAAAGATGTCGCTGCAACAGGGAAAGCAGGCGATGAAGAATTCGAATACTATTGGGCGATTGTCAACTCCCGATCGTTTCATTGGAAGCCTCCGGGGAGTAAACCGGGATACATGGTTCTGTGTCCATTTATCGATTATTTGAATCACGGGCCAACAGGAACAGGAGTGAGAGTGGAGCAGACGGCGAAAGGGTTTGAGGTTTGGACGGATAGAGATTATGGTAGGTCTACTAGATCAGATCATGTGGTGTGCAAGACTAATGAGCGTGGACATGTAGAAGCAGGAGAGGAACTCCTCCTAACATACGGCTCCCACCCCAACGATAAACTCCTCACTCACTACGGATTCATACACATACCATCCCCCTCCTCGCCATCTCAATCAGATGACTCCATTACCCTCGACCACATCCTCCTGCCACATCTCTCCCAGAAGACAAAATCCACCATCCAAGATACAGGGTACCTAGGAAACTACACTCTCGACCCCGTAACACAAATCTACTGTTTCAGAACGCAAGTCGCCGTGAGGGCGGAGCTATTCTCGGCGAATGAATGGGAGTATTTCTGCTTGAACGGGGAGGACATGGGTGTTGATCGTGAGCGGGAAGTGGAGGAGTGGTTGGAGGGGATTTTGGAAGGGTTATGGGAGGAGGCGAGGAACGTGAAGGAGTGGCACGGGGAGGGGTATGCGGGAAATATGGTGAGGGAGAGATGGAGGTTGATTGAAATTGGACTGGGGAGGAAGTTGGGGAGGGAGGGGTGGTGAGTTTGTGGGGGGGCGGTTGAGATGTCAAGTTGTATGGAGGCCCCCACTCAATATCATCGACGAACAGCCCCACAAATACATCGGATGGTATGTATGCGTATCCACTTGGTCAGTTATTCCCTCAGATTCAACGCTACGGTAGAAGTTTCGTGACGCTGCTTCGCCTCAAAGCGTCTGCGGCACAGCAGGTCCGGCGCGTAACGATACGTCAACTCCTTCCGCAACACCTCTATTCCTTGCCTACCAGGACCAACTGTCTTTTGTTGGTGAGGTGCTCTCGCGGCAGTGCATATCTCTTCTTGGTCGAGACGGGGTGAAATTGAAAATTGCCGCCTCTCCTTGTGGTGAATTGACGACAACGCTTACGAACAGGTTGTTACAAGCACAAAAAGCAGCAGTCTTATGGAGAGACAAGTCCGGAGTATTGAATACCTTGTCGACTGATGACTTTTTAATCGTGCTGTCGTCTGTCGTTGTTGCAGAAAATACAAGATTTTAACCCGCTACAGGTAGGGCGGCAACCTACCTACCTACGATTTTCACCGGGCCTTCCAAGGGCGCTCTGATCCAATCAAAAGTCGAGGGTCGGCAGAGAGTTCAGACGAGCCAATCTCGTGGAGAGGACCTTCCGGCGGTAGTAAGCTCTTGTTTATAGAGCTCAGAGAGACCTTCTAGATTGGAATTCGTGCTTTCTTTCTCGCACACCTTTGGTTCGACATCACACGCAGCCCGTTCCATGACAAATATCTCACTCTCCCACGATGCCATCGCAAAAGGATCGTCTGTACGTGGCGTTGTACGCCCGAGGTGGAAAAGCGCAGATGCCAGGCTTGGAGGATACGTATGTTCCACTGTCGCTTTTGAGCAATGCAAAGAGATATCTGACGAAAAGACATAGCTATCACTGGGCGCTCATCATGGGTCCCAAAGAGGAGAATAAAGATTCCAAGGGAGATCGTTTCCATGCAAAAGTAGTTGTAGCAACGGTCGATGGAACTTCGCAGTCTGTCTGGATGTATGAAGAGCGGAGAACGGAATTATTGCCATCAGCCATGATTCTTGTCCGAGTCATAATAGGTAAGATCGAAGACAAGAAGCGAATCAAGGTCCTGCTTCGTGGAGTTCCAATCCGAGGCGACCAGCCGGGATGGAACTGTGTCGCTTGGGTCAAGGAAGCGTTGGAGGTTTTGCAACGAGATGGGAAGGTTCTGGGTACTTCCATCACATCCTGGGAACTGGTTCGGGACGCAGCGATGCGATATGTCGATCGCWAGAAGGGAGAACATCGGTTCGATGGTCAAGGTGACTTTGACATTTCTCGAGTTCCTACTTGGGACTTGTTGGAGAACAAGGAAGTAATTGGCTGATTTCTGATGAGACACTGGGACGCTCAAAAGTCGCCAAAGTACTTTCTTCGAATCTGCTCCATCTCTAGAGCTTCTGGCCATGGCTCTACGAAGGAATCGACTTCCTTTTGCCAGAACTCATTGTGAGGATTGACGTGCCAGGCCGTTGTATATTCCCAATAGCTCGGAAACCATCCCGCAGTTTCCCAATCAATGATGCCGACGATTTGATCACCCCGACACAGGATGTTGAGGCTGCTCAAGTCGCCATGTGTGAATGTTGTTGCTACAGAGCTAGCCTTGGCGTGGAATTCGGCCAACTCCAGCAAGCCCTTTGGTGAGCTTTCAGAAAGGTGTTCAATGTCAATGCCATTTCGTAATCGGGAGTGGAACTTATCCACCGAGTCAAATGGCCCCCAGAACGATTCTGTTGGCAATCGTACATCGTAGATCGGTCCGCCGTCGATGTTAGCAACGCCGACACCTTTGGGTGACGGAATTCGTCTCCATTCTTCCACCATGGTTTTCAAGTCCTTCAGAATCTTTGCTTGAGACGCCGCTGAACGATGCACCCAGCCGCATGCAAGCATGGTACCATTGATGCGCTCCATTACGATGTATACACGTCCTTTACGCTCAAACGCCATGTAGACCTTCGGAACAGGGACGCTGGTGTGCTCTTTGATGAAAATCATGGCGTGTGCTTCTGCGAGAGTCGTAAAAGGAGATGATTTGATGCATATGGTTGGTGTGAGAAAGATGACGCGACCTGAGTACTTCACAGATTGGCGGAAGGGTCGCTTGCATGCTAGACTGTGAAGTAGGACGACGGAATATTGAATGAGGGTTTCCATGTTGTCGTTTTTAACACGAGAGTTGTAGAAGTTCGTGGAAAGAAGGAACATGGCCGTGAAGTTAATTAGATACCTAGAATATGGGGTAAGGCAATTACGTCAGATATCGCTAGTGCGTCTCGTGCCAGCTTTGCCTTGCAACGAGTCTGCATTTCTGGACGGATACATGAATCTCCTCACATTGGCAAAGACGTGGTTCGATGGCATTTGCCGGAAGATCACCGATGATTTTGAAACGACTATAGATCTCCAACAGCCTCTGGCCACCCTTGGCTCAAGACTAAAGCCCGGTCACCCCAAGTCTGCGGATGAGGAGCCAGGAATCTCACTCTGCGCTTCAATTCATCCACTTCCGCCACGAACAAATACCCCTTCACCGCGCTGACTTTGACGTCATCTGCGCTGCTCTTCCCGACGCAGTGCTTGATGGCCATCAGACTACCTGTCATTTCGGGCATGGGTTTCGTCTTTTCGAATGAAGTCTCCCCTCCTGCAGCAAACAACTCAATTGCGTCGAATGGGCTTGAATGTGAATGCGGATTGAGAGAGTTACCAGGACCGAAGAAGTAAGTCCTGATCTGTTGTTTCCGCAGTTCTTTGGAGAAGCCGGCGTCTCGCTCGACGGCGCCTCCAGGTTTCGCAACGCGGATTACAGTCACGGTCTCTTCCGGGGTTTTACTGGAACCAAATCTTTGACTCAAATCACTCGCTAGCCGCTCCGAGCCGATTGTGAGCACAATGTTGATGCTAAGCTCCGAGACAATATGTGCGAGTAGATCGTAGTTGCTCCTGGGATCGTTGAGGGAACCGGGAGTGTCCACAATAATGCCGCTTCGTTTTGTGGTGTGGTTGTCCTCGAGTTTGTTCGTGACTGTCAATGCAAGTCGAGTGATTACAGCTTTGTAGACGTCGGGTTTCTCTAGTGGAGACTGCCAGGGAAAGTGATAGATGAGTGGTGCTCTCACGGGGGAGAGCGTTGGTCCAGACATTGGCGCAATGCCATATCCTCCGTCCACTTCCATCTGTGAATCAACTGTCACCGCCGTCAAACTGCTTGGTGGCGCTAGTAGTCCTTCTCGAGAATCCAGATTGATCACTGTAGGATTATGTCCACTGCGTACTTGCCACGCCGCCAAACTCCGGACAAGACTAGACTTTCCTACAGAATCAGGACCGACAACTAGCACTCTCGGCCCATCCACCTGATTCTGCGCTCTCATCGTCTCTAGCATCCCATACACGTTCAACCATTCCACAGCATAATCGGTTTCCTGTCCAGCATACTCGCTCTCAGCATTTCCGGTGACTTCAAGTTGACATCCTGTCCAGGTGAGAACTGCGGCTTTGCATCCTGTGAAAGTGTAGACTTGCTTCAGAGCCAATTCCACGCCGAAAAGCTCGGCGAGGCCGCTTTCGAGCTTGATGCTGTATTGTTGACCGAAAGCAACTTCGAATCGCCATTCTGTTCTGGCTTGAAGATTCTTGGTCCGTGATGCTTGAATTGTGTTCTCTACTTGTGCCGATGGTGTTGATGAAGTTTGTCCTAGGCCTGGGAGGGAAAGGCCGGGGAGGGCCATTTCGGGGATTGTGGATTGTGATTGATGGATGCAGATTATATTTTCAGATGCAGTGGATCCGAGTGCAGCGCAGTCACGAGCGTGGTCGCCTAAGTCCTAAGAGGCGGGACTATTGTTTGAAGCGAATGTGATGGCTGTTCAATATTTTGCGAAGCTTGGGAGACGTGAAGACGCGCGCGAGAAACATGCGCTAGGCTTAATTAAGCTGCTTACAATTACGTCACCATAAGTCGATGTAATTGACGGTGCGACTTGCCCCCCATCTCATCTCCTTCCTTCCTCCTCTTCTTGTCCTGGTTTGTGACAAACACCAAGATTGAGGTAAAAGAATCCCTTCACGGTCGTCTTCGAAAGATTCCAGGTTTGCAGCATCATCCCTGTATACCTACTTCAATCTCCATCACGAATGATMCATAGGCACAATCGACGCCGCAGTCGAGTACACCTCGTTCTCTCATCACGACGACACTAGGTGATAGTCAACTGGAAGAACGATTCGCCTTACACGCATGACTTGTTTCAGTATATGATTGAATGCAGGCTTTGAGCTGACCAGGTTCACCTCGTCTTGACCTCTTGCATGGCCAAGGCAAGCCGTATTGCCGATTGCGGAGACAGGTGTTGGATCCTCGGACAACAAACCTGCATCTGATAACTCATCTTTCCCTTTTCTGTCTTATTTCCAGGAGTCATCAAAATAATATAGGTTGCGAGGTTTTAAGTGTGGGTGTGAAGGGATAGACAATGTCACTGTCCCGCTGCCTCCCAGCTGCTATCAGACCGGTATGTTACGCCAGCTCTACTCAGCATCGAAAGCAGGCCATCGCCAGGACATGGACCCAATCTCGCAATCAAGACCATAACACTAGACGAAGTCTCATGACAGGTCGCCATCTCCATCAAGCCCACCAAAGCTCGAAATCAGAAAAGCCCAATGCAAACCTCCCACTCTCTGGAATGCTAGTGGTCTCTCTCGAACAAGCGGTCGCAGGTCCATTTTGTACTCGTCAACTCGCAGATCTAGGAGCACGCGTCATCAAAATCGAACGACCAGGTCTAGGAGACTTCAACAGACACCACGATCAACGAGTCAAAGGCATGTGCAGCCATTTTGTATGGACGAATCGCAGCAAGGAGAGTCTGGCACTGGACCTCAAGAATCCTTCAGATCTAGCTGCTTTGAAGAAGATTCTTTYCGAAGCAGACATTCTGGTCCAGAATCTAGCACCTGGAGCAACGGAACGTATGGGCCTGGGATATGAGGCATTGAAAAGGACTCTGCCAAAGCTAATTGTCTGCGATATCAGCGGGTATGGAAGCACAGGACCATACAAAGACAAAAAAGCCTATGACCTATTAATCCAAGCCGAATCCGGCTTCCTGTCCGTCACGGGTTCGCCAGGTATGCCTGCAAAGTCAGGAATCAGCATAGCAGATATCGCAGCTGGAACTACAGCATACAACAATATCCTCGCAGCTATAATCCAACGCGGCAGAACTGGTGAGGGGTGTCGACTGGATGTTAGTATGCTGGAGAGCATGGCGGAGTGGATGAGTTTTCCCATGTATTACGCTTATGATGGTGCTCCGGCTCCAGCTCTTGCGGGTGCTGAACACGCTTCGATCTATCCTTATGGACCGTTCAAGACTGGTGATGGAGGAGTCATCATGTTGGGAATGCAGAATGAACGGGAGTGGGGAATTTTCACGGGGATACTGGAGAAGCCGGAATTACTTTATGATGAGAGATTTAAGACGACTTCGTTGAGATCTGCAAATCGTAAGGAGTTGAAGGAGGTTATTGAGGATGTGCTTAGCAGGTTCTCCCCGGATGAGGTTTTGGACAAGTTACAGACGGCGGGCATTGCGAATGCGAGGGTGACGGATATGCCGGGTTTGTGGAACCATCCGCAATTGAAAGCGAGAGACCGTTGGATGAAAGTCGGGACACCAAATGGCTCCATACCAGCTTTGAAACCTGCTGGGGCTGCTGATGGGATGCATGTCAGAATGGATGCCATACCGGCTGTGGGGGAGCATACTGAAGCTATATTGAAGGAGTTCGGAATTGACAGGTGACATCCGCTAATACTTCTAATCTCTACCTCCGTTTTCCATCCATGTCTGGGAGCATATCGCGGGTCCGTCGCGTTGAGGTGACCTTCACTGTCTATTCCAGTCCATTCGTAACATCGTACCTGCTTCCCACTCAATCAAATCGGGCAATCAGAGTATCCATCTGATCCTCAATATTCTTCAATCCCGTGATAACGTTCTCATCAGGACCCTGGCCTGRTGTCCACGCCGCATGAGCAAAATCAATCATCTTGACCCGATGAGTCAAAGGAGGTGCCTCCTCATCCTCGTCCTCATCGCCCTCCAGAGTTGCCTTGACAGCGGCCGTCGTGGGTGCTTTCTCATCGGCGGAAGGAGGCGCAGGTGGCTGGTTTCCCATCTGAGCATTCAATGTCTCGTTGTCTCCCTCGTAGACGATCAGGATGCTAGCACTGTACATCCTTGATTCGGACCGCTCCAGACTGTGGCGAGCCTTTGTGATTTCCGCCAGGATGGTCTCGAGAATCTGACGAGCATCGTCTTTGCTCATCCCCGTTGCGAGACTGCTGAAGAATGCCGCGAAGCCATCCTTGACGTTCTCTGCAGTAAATTTGCGGCCGTAGAATTTGTCATACGTGTCGAAGCTTTTGCCGTTCCAAACAGACATGCCAGCAATTCGGAAATTTAAAGATCCACTAGTCGTCTCTGAGGCGACCTTGTCAAGTCTTTCCGCCTTGTCCTCAGAAGTCCCATCGGCATACAATCGAGAGCCAAGCTTCAGGTCCAGGACGTTGGGCTTGTTGAAGCCATATGCGATATTCTCGAGAACAATTCCAGTCTCAGTCGTGAGCTTCTTGCCATGGAGTAGCTTTTGATCCTTCTCCTCTTGAGTCAGAGTCTCTTCCGCATCAGCCCCGGGAACTTGTGGGGCACCAAGTGTAAGCGTCCCCATGAACGTCRGCATCAATTCGTAGAATTTGGGGTGTTCGGCCAGACTTTCCTGGTAGAAGGCAACTTCCGCTTCGGTACATGGCTTGATCACCAGTTCTCCGGATTCATCTGACAGGACTCCATCGTGGCCGGCAGCTGCATTCTCATAGGCCTTCAATTTCGACTGGTCGACTTGCATAGTTTCCGCCATGTTTTGAGAGAGTAAGTGAGGGAAGAAAGAATTCACAAAGCACTCAAGCGAGGATATTGGGAGCTGATGTCATGGGATTGTAAGAACAGGGCAACAGATTGCAAGTTCCGGACATCTGTAACGTTCATGGATGTTGTTGCTACGATTGCCCTGGGTGAAGGTCATCGGGTCGGCGGCCGGAAGCTCCTTTCTTGGCGGAAATGGCGGAAATGGCGTAATGGTAGCCAATGAGAACTGAAAAGGGTTCTCAAAGAAAGATGAAAGGTGACCGCCCGCGCTCTTCTAGAAATATCTATATCCGTCTACACATCGCAGTGTGGATGTCTGCCATGATATATGCACCCACGTTCAAATTGAACTGCAGTCGGGCTTGGCTGCACATGCGACCTCGATATCACCGTTATATCCTTTACCCTCCTCTCGCACGTTTCGCTTTCGCTGTCAAACCCTTACCAACGCAGAAGGGCGGTTTGACCTCATAATGGGGTCGGGTCAATTCCCAGTTCAATTGCTCCCGCACACGAGACCCACTCGACCGATTTCGAGACGCAAGCCTCACTGATCCTCAATCTTATAGCTTTCTACCAAGGGCCAGCTAACACCATCTCCCACAGTAACATTGGCCGCATAGCTCTCAACATCTGGGCTGGCACTGGCACCCAAGAGCTGGAAATGCGCTGCTGTGATTACAAACTCTCCCTTGGCTGTTGTGGCGGGAATATGGACTTAGTGGGTTATGTTCGTCGCAGTGTTGCTGAGGTCTGAGAGAAGAATATGCATATCAGTGGCTGGGGACTGGATGATGAAGACGGCGTTGGCTCACCACGTCCCAAATATTTGCCGCTCAGAACCTTTCCCAATGAGCCAGGGTAGGAAGTGTTGGCGGGGGATATGCCGAATGACATCGCAACGTCCGTGATGGATTGCACATAGTTTTCGGTGATGATGGTAATCGGGACGGTGGCGTCGGGGGCGATGGTTCCGGGGAGAGCGAATCCAACGATGCGAGCACTGGCGAGTGAGATGAGACTGGCAACGAGAGCGGTGGTGAATATCTTGGTTTCGTTTGTCGTCGTTAATGTTTAGAAGTCGCTGAGATTGGGCTATGAAAGTAGAGAGGGACGAGCTGTCTTATGTCGTCAACAATCCCTACCATGTAATAAAAGTAGACTACAAATATCCCTACCTAGGCAGACCCCTGCACGGCAATACGAAGTTATTTGAAGGGCCACCTTGTCCGAAATAGTTCCACGTCGACGACTGCTTCATATCTGCAAGTACCCTAGCATTCGTCGGATTAACAACGTCGATTCTTTAGTCCTGCAGCAGAATGCTGAGACGCAGATTTCGGGCGGTGTATAGGTATGTAGTCGTATCTGAAATGTCTCATTCCGGTAGAGTCGATTGATCACCAGCATTCAAGTCTCTCGATACTCACCACGACATGACATGTTGTATCATGCTTCAGCTTTCAGACGTGATTGAGCCCGTAGCGCCTCTTCGCATCGGACGTGAACCGACCCACAGAGTCCTACTGAGCAAGCCCGGTGCTCGTGCGGTAGCAACGAACCAATGCCCCAAAGAAAGCGGCCCTCTGCTCACTCAGAATAACTTCCTACGCAAAGAGACGCTGTGGAGACATTCCTACAGCTTGAGGAACCGGTATGAGGCGTGAGCGTGCAGGCTGGTGATCTCGTGCGCAGTGAACGGCTCGGTATCCCAGGAAGAGCCTCTCAGTACCCATAGGCGGACATCACCGTAGCTCCGGGAAAGCTGCCTGCTTCTCGCCCGGTGGAAATAATGGCTGTCGTGGCTGCAGGCTGGCCGTGTGGCTCCCTGAAACGGAAGTATTGCACTTGACGTGAGTGTACGGGGAGAGGCCGATCATGTTGACGGTGTGAGAAAGCTAGTCCTTCTGTATGCAGTCAACGTAGAGTTGGTGGTAACTTAGTTGATGAAAGGACAAAGGTTGGAGGATGAAGAGCGCGTCTCGTTGCATCAATATATTGATTAGTGTAGACATCAATATCAATCTCCTCGTTGATCACCTCACAAAAAAGTTCTAGCACCTTGTGAAGCTCTAAACCATCACCAAACCAAACCCCACGACCATACACGCTCACCAATCTTCACTGAGGTACCGATCGAGCTGCTCCGACCAGACGTGATACACAAGCACCAACAATCGACCAACTCCCTCCCTTCCCTGGCCAGCCATGGCGGGCATCTTTGAGCAGTCGCGCAACACGGGCACCTTGTTTCTAGGAGGTCAAAAAATCAGCGGCGCAGACATTCGCGATCAAAATGTGCTCGCCACACAAGCCATTGCGAACATTGTCAAGTCATCGTTTGGACCTAGCGGACTGGACAAGATGATGGTGGACGACATTGGCGAGGTGACAGTGACCAACGACGGCGCGACCATTCTCAGCCTGCTCAACGTCGAGCACCCGGCCGGCAAGATTCTGGTCGATCTGGCACAGCAACAAGATAAGGAGGTTGGTGATGGTACAACAAGCGTGGTACTGATCGCGGCCGAGTTGCTGCGGAGGGCAAATGAGCTTGTCAAGATGCGCATCCACCCTACCACCATCATCACCGGCTACCGACTGGCACTCCGCGAGGCGGTTCGTTACATGAACGAGAATGTCAGCACAAAGGTCGAGACGCTTGGCCGGGAGAGCTTGATCAACATCGCAAAAACGAGCATGTCCAGCAAGATCATTGGCGGCGACTCCGAATTCTTCTCCAACATGGTGGTCGATGCCATTACCAGCGTCAAGACCACCAACGCACGCGGCGAGACCAAGTACCCCGTCAAGGCCGTCAACGTGCTCAAAGCGCATGGAAAGAGTGCTACGGAGTCACAGCTGATCCAGGGATACGCACTGAACTGCACCGTCGCCTCGCAGGCAATGAAGACGAGAATTGTGGATGCGAAGATTGCCGTCTTGGACATGAACTTTCAAAAGGAGCGCATGAAGTTGGGTGTGAATGTGGTCATTGACGATCCCGCACAGCTGGAGAAGATTCGGGAGCGAGAGTCAAGCATGGTGGTGGAGCGGGTGGAAATGATCCTCAAGGCTGGCGCAAATGTCATCTTCACCACCAAGGGAATTGACGACATGTGTCTCAAACACTTCATCGACAAGGGTGCCATGGCTGTGCGGAGATGCAAGAAAGAGGATCTCAGACGGATAGAGAAGGCTACAGGTGCGACCATGATCAGCACCCTGGCGGACATCAACACTGGCGACGACTTCTTCGACCCAAAGGCGTTGGGTGAGGCGAAGGAGGTTGTTCAGGAGCGGATATCAGACGACGAGCTCATCCTCGTCAAGGGACCAAAGGTGCACACCGCGGCTTCCATCATTCTCCGCGGCGCAAACGAGTATTCGCTTGATGAGATGGAGCGCTCTGTTCACGACTCGCTTTCTGCCGTCAAGCGCACACTMGAGTCCGGCCGCATCGTTCCAGGCGGTGGAGCTGTGGAGACGGCGYTGCACATCTACCTCGAGGAGTGGGCAACAAGCGTTGGCTCCAGAGAACAGCTTGCGATTGGAGCTTTCGCAGCATCTCTTCTCGTCATCCCCAACACACTCGCAATCAACGCAGCAAAAGACAACTCCGAACTTGTCGCTCAACTCCGCTCGCGACACGCCCTCTCACAACGCACATCCGAGCCGGCATCCGCACACGCACCTGCCGCTTCTGCAAATGGCAACCCAACACCTCCCGCTCGTTCCTCCACACAGCAAGCGCTGGACGCAGACGCCAAGGCATTGAGCAAGGCGAAGGGGTACAAGAACTACGGTCTGGATCTCGCAAAGGGCAAAGTGCAGGACTGTGTCAAGGCGGGTGTGTTGGAGCCTAGCATGAGCAAGGTCAAGCAGCTGAAGTCTGCAGTTGAGGCTTGTGTGGCGATTATGAGAATCGATACGTTGATCAAGTTGGATCCGCCGCAGCAGCAAGATGATGGTCACGGTCATTAGAAGGGTTACGAGTTGTGCATCGGAAACGAGAGGGAAATGGATGTATGCGTAGCAGCATGAATGTGATGTAGAGATTAAGGCAATCAAAAGCTCATGCCTCTGACTTGAACTTGAGAACGTACCAGTGGCCTACTTCCCTATTCCAAACGTACAATATCATGAGGCGCGTCTATGTTGCTCATGTGTCACTGCCACCGCCGCTTGGCACGTCGGACTTGCACGTGAAAGCGAAAGACTTTGTCCCTTTCTTTCATCATCATCGTTCCCCGCGCTAAGAAACGGTTAGCTTGATCTGCATCATCTTGCATCGCGTCCTCGTGGAACAACAAAACATACACCCAAAGACCCCGACAGGATGCCCAACTCCCTCCTCGATTTCCTTCGCACTCACGACGAAGCGTTTCGTAGGTATACATCTCCCTCAACAACTATCAATCTGCCATCCTCCTCCTTATCTAACAAGCTTGTACAGCCGCGCCCGCCTCGCATCTCTCTACTCCGATTTCACGTCACAACGATCCACGAATCCAGACGGCTATACCGCAAACTCTACCGCTTGGCTCCGCGCTCTTTCTTCCGCGGCGAAAAATGGAGTTCTACCGGGAAGATTCGTGATTGAGATTGGGGAGGAGTTATCGAGGAATTTGGACTGTGAATTTGGAAGACCTCTCGCGCTGGAGGCTGTCGTCGAGGATGCGGTTAGGAGTGGCAAGTTGATTGAGAAGGGAGAGTTTCTGGGGAGGAAGGAGAGTCTGTACAAGAAGCGGTGGATACCGACTGTTGGGGAGGTGGTGGGCTGGGGTTTGAGGTCTTTGGGAGTTGCTGGCCGGGGAAGGTTTATCAAAGGAGGTTTTGTTGTCGTTGGAAATGTCGAGGTGAGTGTTGTATACGATGCTCGAAAGGCAATGAAGTGCTGATTCGGTATGCATAGGCCGCGGCGAAGACTGTGCTGGATCACATGGAGAAGACGACGACATCACCCAGCTCGAGGGTCTTCTCCAGGGAGCTGTTTGAAAGCAGCTTTGCACCTGCGTTGGGTACAGAACGACTTACCAAGGACGATCTCTCCGTTCTCCTCACACATCTCGCCCGGGATCGAGAAGCAGCATCATATGATCCTATCTCTGGAACCCTCAAGTTCAAGTCCGCCTCAGAGTCACAATCGTCCGCAATATCTGAAGAGGACATCTCARTCGCGTCTCTCCGCTCCCTGATCTCCTCTTTAGAACCACAAATCTCACAACTCAGCGCGAAGATTTCCCAACTCGATGTCTCAGCCCGAGAAGCTGTGGCGAAGAAACAACTCCACTCCGCCAAGATCGCTCTACGACAAAAGAAGGCCGCCGAGACAAAACTCACGCAAAGAACGGCGACTTTGACACAATTGGAAGATGTGTACGCAAAGATCGAACAGGCAAGCGATCAAGTGGAGATCGTAAAGGTCATGGAGCAGAGTGGAGAGGCTCTGAAGAGTCTGAACAAACAGACTGGTGGAGTGGAGAGGGTACAGGATGTCATGGATGGGCTGAGGGAGAGCATGCAGGATGTGGAAGAAATTGGGCAGGCGATCAATGAGGTTGCTGCTGGTGAGGTGGATGAGGGAGAAGTTGAGGATGAATTGGAGATTATGGAGAAAGTCGAGAGAGAGAAGCGCGAAGCTGTTGAGAGGGCTGAGAGGGAAGAACGGGAAGCTGCTGAGAAGATTGAAAGGGAAGAGAAGGAGGCCGAGGAGAAGGTCGAGAGTGAGAAGAAGGAAGCACAAGAGGCTGAAGTTACGAGGCTTAGATTGGCTGAGTTGGAGAGCGTTGTTGATAAGCTGCCTGGCGAGAAGCAAGAGGGAAATGAGGCGGAGAGTACCACCGCTTAGGGTGCTGAGAGGTCATCTTTAGGCAGGATGATTCGCAGCTGATAAGATTGCTTGTGCTGTATCTGTATAAAGCATATGACGACTTCACGATCAAACTAATAGAGAGCTTTCATAGTACTATTTAGTTTCCTTCTGCAAGTAGATTCTGGTAAGAACTGGTTGACCAGCTATCTGAGATGGCCGCGTGGAGCGCGAGATTGGGTCGTGCTAGTATGACAGCCGTTTCCCCAGCAGGACCGGGTACAATCATGAAGACACCATATCCCCCCACAGCTCCAATGCAAGCCAGGAGATACTGGACGTGGAGGATAAAAGTAGGCTCGCTGCCTCACGACCGGCATGCAGCCCGAAGCTGCACATATCAATTTCTGCTTCGCTTTTGAACGTATCCTCTGCGCCCAAGGAGCGCGAGACGACTCATCGGCAACCTGATGCCCACTCCGATCATAGTCTAGCCGTGAGCATACTCACGCGACTGTGCTCACTGCTCTGCCGTCTCAGAGTTTCCGAAAAGATACTCCAACTCAGCCGCAGAGAGTCTTGCCACGCCCTCAGGGGGTAGCACGCCATACTTGATCGATCTCGGCGGCAGCGAGTCGTTTGGACCATATCCAGACCCAGCGCATCGGATTTGAACTTCCACCTCGCCTTTGAGTCCAAGCTAGAGAAGGGAGACCAATGTCAGCATGGAAAGCTCAATTTGAGAATGAAACGAAACAACTCACATCCAGAGCTGTCTTCGTTCCCAAAACCTCCAAATCGATCCTGGTTCCCTCGATTTCAAATGTGACATGTTTAGCACTCTTGCCCATGCGGAGGGAAGCGTAGTTCAATGCGCTGAAGAGTGGGGCGTCATTGACGACTAGCACGGAGAGACGGTGGCGATATTGGTCAATGAATACTAGTCTGACTCGCTCGATGATCTCAAATGGTTCGAGCTCCTCCGAATCTTCGAGCTCATCTGGTATTGGAAGTGGTTTGCGGGGGCTGGGAGAGTTATCTGTGGCGTTACGTTTGGGTGGATGTTGAGGGGGAGGAGCTGCTCCGCCGCCGCCGAGGATCTCAGTGTAGCATTCGATGATGTCGGAATTTTCCAGTTTGAGCTACGATGATCGTTAGATTGTATTTGATGATATTGGGAGAGTTGGTGGGAGTATACCTCACGAGGCGTCTTCGTCCTGTCCATCTTGTCTCCCTCGGTGTGAAAGCGACAAACACCCACTGGAGATCCTAATCGCACCTCGAACGCTTCGCAGGCCTTTGAGATTGGCTGATCAAGGCGAAGGCGAAATTGCATCGAGAAGCGTGTGTCGTTGCGGAAAGTCACATTGACGGTCTCGTTTTGGGCTGGCGGATGTGTCTCTTCGATAAGTGCGGCGTAGTCTCCCTCATCGAGATAATGCATGTTGGGCGTGGTCTGAGATGCGGGAAGAGGGTGAGCGCCGCGAGTGCAGGATTCCTTGAGGTGGATATCAATCGTGTCGCCTTGCTGCATGCCTAGTAACGCAGCTGTTTGGCCGTTCTCGAGCTAGGAAATAATGTCAGATGAGGAAAGTCTCGTAAAACACGAATCAAAGTCACTGCGGCGAGAGGCGGTGAGGTTGGCATGTGAATGAGCTTACTGACCTCCGTGGTTTCATACCAGAACTCAAGCATCTGAGGCGAACTGCATGTGGTGCAGACATGGCTTCGAATTTGGTCCAATGCTTTCTTGATGTTGGTCTTGATACCGAGCTTGTATGATTTCTTGAAGTATGTGAGGGGGCCATCACTATCAACGACTGTGATGGAAATTGAGTCTCGGTTTTGCACGCTAAATGCCGCAACATGTCCCAACACGTCGTTACTAGAAAGGTGACGAGGTTCGTTGTCTTCCTTGTCTATGTTGCTTGGGTTTGGGAGACCGGTTTGTCCAAGAAGTCCTGCCTCATTGGGAGCAATGAATGTGGGACCATGGTTGATCTGGTTGGAAAAGGGCGTGTGGGACTCGCCGTGATCGTTCTGGTCGAGAACGAACCCAGGAAATCGATTTGTGCGCTCCATTGTCTCGAGTACAGAACGATGTAGGGGAATTGGTATGGATAATATCGGTGCAAGTGAGTGGGTGGATGAAAGGTGTTGTTGTTAAGGTGCAGAGTATTGATGCAGCAGAAGAGGGTAATAACAAAGTGAAGAATACGAATCGGCTTCGCCATCGTCTGTTAGCATGTGAAGGAAGCATCGCCGCCGGTGCTCTCCACGTGAACCTCGATGAGGTCGTCATGCTCAAGTTCCTGCTGTAGAACAACCGATGTTAGCAATCTCTTGCCATTGTGAAGCCGATCGCTGCGCTCGTGTCAATGCCTTGTGATATCAGATGGTCAGAGGCTACTTGCCTCGTTTGGTGACCTCAAAGCATCCATTCGCACTCCGTCGAAAATGAACCGACATTGCTTGACATTGCGGCCAATGTAGTTGGCGAAATGCGCCATCGGTTTACCCATTGGTCGGTCGCGCTTGTAGAAGATATCGAGACTTTTGCCACTACCAATTTCCTCGAAGCGAAGATTCAACTTCTCGGTGGTGGCTGGTGGACGTTCATTGTCGTCAAGCATTAGTACTTCAGGCTCAGCACGGGCATCGTCCGCAGCATCGCCGCTGATGGTGTTGGAGCTGTCTCTGGAAGACATAGCAATTGCGACGGGATGGATGTCTCAAGGCGGCCAATGACGAAGAGAAAACGGGCTGTCGTCGCGGAGTGAAGTCGGTGGTTTTGTCAAAAGAGTGTTGAAGAGGAACAGAGTTTGAGAGAGCTGAGAGGGAGACTCCAATTTTGGTGCGAAGGCTTTTCTGATCTCTCTTCGCGAGGTCAAAATAATACACCCGTATTGCTGAGATGAGCTCAAGCTGAAAGTGGGACACGCCACCATGGGTTCTGAGAAGAGTAAGAGATCAGAAACAGAACTCCGGAGCACACTGCGACGACAAATCATCTCGTCCAAGATGGCACTGAAAAGCTGTCAATCCGTGCTGAATCCGTTGTGCAGGGACCTCGTGTGTGCAGCCATACAATGAAGAGCCGGTAAAGTTGAGGCTTACCGACTCTCCTTGTAGTGTTGACGACAACGCTCTTGAACAAATCAAATACCTCTGGGCACACAACGAAGCAGCCTCGCAGAGAGTCAAACGTCCCATCGAAGGAAATCGTCTCAGTCGTGTTACGTTTGCAGGCGGCGCTACATCTTTGACCGTTGCAGATAGGACAGTAACTTGTAATATCACTGGGCCTGGTATGTACCAAACATTCTGCGAAAATCAAGGGCCATCGGAATTGAAGGTTGCCGACTCTCCTTGCAGTGTCTATGACAATGCTCGCGAACGGGTGGGTGGTTGTRGGCGAAATGAGAAGTAGCCTCACAGAAAGGTGGATTTTCTTATCGAACGACGACTTCTTGAGGATATTGTCGTTGTTGCAGAAAGCACGACATCTTTGACTGCAGGTCAGGTGGCATCCTTCAATTTCACCGGGCCTTGCCTTCAGTGCTCACAGACGGTGAGCGTGACGATCTTATGATGGGTCCATCGAATCGTTTCCATTGCTAGGGTACTACTTGGTGCTTTGTTTTGTTTTGTTTGAGATGTGATAGGATGAGGTGCAGTGAGAGATGTGATGTAAAGTGGGCAGGAACCAAGAAATGAAAGATGGAAGGAGCAGGGGCGCCACGTTTCGCCAAGAGACGAGACCCGACCTCACCTAGACTTTCACATTCCCTACACCATTAAAGATACTTCCTCAATCGTTCAAAGTCTCAATCTCTTACCTAGAAATTGCTTGTAGGTCAGTCGCGCACAATAGTGAGGTGACTTGAGAGCACAAGGGAAGGTCAGCTGCCTAAAGATGCTCGCCGCAGTGAGCAGGTATATCGCCAGGCTTCTCTCTCTTCTTCTTCGCTCTTCTTCTGTCTTTCTTGCATCAACAATTGTACGCAAGGCTTCTTTTGACAAAGGAATTTGCTCTTTATGGTGGCTCAAATTGAAGGCAATCCAGAACTTGACATGAGAATCATGCACCGGAGCACTTATCCTTCCTGTTCCTTCGCTACATGGCAAGCAACTACTGATTAGGAAATCAACGGCCTTGGATCGATCCCTGGACCGAGGAACGATTCTTATGGACTGCTGTACTCTTGAAGTTCATGAATGCTGAATTTGCTAGACTTAGGGCAACCAGGCCCCATTCGTGGCGAACGGATTTACTTCGCCGGTCTGAGCAGCTATGCCTCAACCGGGTTGTCTGGTCTCTCACTTTGGCCACTACCGATATGATCTTGCAGCGAAGAGGTGGGAGCCTCTTCCCCGGAGCCCTTTGAGAAGGCTCTCTCCGGCAATTGGCCGAAAAACTGCTTCGAGGAAGTCGTGAGTGTAGTCCCCGGATCCTGAGAATTCCATCGAGTTGCTGACATACCTCATCTCCTAGAGCACTACCCAGCACTTTCGGCAACTTGATTCCGAAGATGGTCCTGGCGGATAGCAAGCCTGCGAGATGCGGGCTTTCAATCAGGCATGTGCAGTCTAYCAAACGCATGAAGTGAATGAGAATTACCCGTCCCCCTGGATACGGTTACCGGTGGATCCTGGCTAAGTCAGCGAGCACGTACTTGTCGTCCAAGCTGCCCGCCCCGCCCCGCTAGCTCCCCTCGACAATTGGCAATGGTGGAGATAGTCGACCATTGTACTTTTCTGGCCCATGCGGGAAAGTCTTCGAACAATAGAAATCAATCCACAATGTCGAAGAAATGCTATTCAGCTCCAGAAGACTTGTTAAGGCAGCCTCTTCGCCGCATCAAAGACCATCATCCTTCTTACCAACTACCATTCCACAATCCCAGATATCACCGTTCAGAAGCTCAGCACGCCAAGGTCAAAAGTTCAAGTCCAAATCACAGTCATCAAAGATGGAAAACTACAACGATTGCCGTGACTACGAGTTGCTGCCTGACAACGCAGACCCCACCTCTTTCCAGAACAGCACCTCGCTGTACAGCACCAATTTCACAAACATCGGTAACCCATTCTTCGACATCTATCCACACAGCATGTCGTACAACTTTCCAACGACACCCTCGAATCACCCAACTGGTCGCGGAATCTATCCAGACCTGCCGGCCTATTTGGTCACCCCGCACGGCCAGCTTGGTCGGCCGATCAACTATCCCTACTATCACACCAACAACAGCATGTCTCTGCAGCAGACACCCGCCGGCTCCTCCCATCCGCCAATGATGTACAGTGACATCGCTACCTCCGGCATGCACGCCACGGCACCGGTCGCTCAAGTGTTCGACGGCTCCTCCTACAACGGCGAAAACCACGCCTTCTCCGACTCCACCGAGAACTACGCCAGCACCCCAACGTCCAAGCCAAGTGGCATGCTAACGCCGACTGCGTCCCCGCAGTCTCCTGCGTCGGACCTGCCAGCCGTGCCGCTCTCTCAACTCCGCTACAACAGCTTCGAGGAGGCTGAAGCCGCATCATCTGGCCGCATTCCACTGCAGATCGGAGACGACGACGACTGGGAGAGTATGGAAGCCAACAAGAAGATTCACGTTGCTACCATTATGGCTGCGTTCGATGTGGCTTTCCGTCGCACTCCCAATGTGGCGCTTACCGACACCGAGAAGGTTCGCTGGGTGAAGTATCAGACCGAGCAGAACGAAAAGGTCACCAAGTACATCGCCAAGGAACCCAGAGCCAAGGAGGTAGCTGCGTGGATGCTACTTGAAGCTCTTATCGACACCCACAAGCTGGGCTGCAAGAAGGGTTTCCGCGTCGCTGACGCCGACAAGCGTTGCTCCCAACGCTTCACTCAGGCAAGTTTCCCTCCCCTTGATCACGATTCACGAATACGTTGCTAATTTTCCACAGATGGTCCTGGCGATCGGCAGATACGCTGTCATCCGCTTTGACGTCGTTCGTTTGCTGCGCATCGACGAGCTAGCTACGTCGCCCTCGCTCAGCGTTACTCGCAAGATTGCCAACTGGCGCGGCAACGCCGGCAAGGTGAAGCGCGATGAGGAAAACAAAGAGCTCGCCGCCGCCAAAGGTGTTGAGTACAAGACCGTCCTCGGCGACAAGCGCAAGCTCAAGCCTCTCGAGCCAGCCCTTGTCCAGGATCAGGAGGATGACTTCAGCATGGATACGCCCACCAGCATGATCAGCGGAACCAAGCGCAAGGCTCACTACGATGGTGACGATGGTGACTTCGATCCGTCTTCGAGTTCGTCCATCTCCTCTATCCTACCCCCTTCGCAGCTCCACTGACACTCCCAGGTCCATCCAAGAATGGTCGCAAGACCGCCACCCCCGCCAGCAAGCGCACCAAGCGCGCCACGGTTGTCGCCGGTCCTGATGCCGACATGTGAGCGAATTGCACAGACAATTAAAAGGTATGCTTCTTCTTGCTTTTTGCACTCCCCACTTCCCCATTGCACGTACTTTGCGACCCGGCGCGGTCAGGCAGGCAGACAGGCAGACAGGCAGACGGGCAGGCAAAGGGGCAGGAATGGCATCGCACGATACGATGATGATACCTTATGATGGCATGAATGGCACGAGCGGCATGGTCGGTAAGAATGGCAGCTGTTGTCGTCTTGAGCGATGGCGTTTGGGGGTCAAGGAAACGGTCAGAACAGATGGTGTTCGGGACAGAGACACCCTTGCAGCGCATTCAAATTTGCACAGCGAAAATGAAATTTTATGAATGAACCTCACTCCTCTCCCATTCCATTCCATCAGTGCTGTCGTTGGTATGACCGGACCGCAGCCAAGTCACATCGCCGTCAACCTGCCGCGGCCACTGGTTGCATAGTCGATGAAGTCCGCAACGCATCCTCCAACCTCACAAACCAGCCCAACTTATCTTCCCCAGCCATATCCCAGCAACGAACGAGTTGAATCCACAAGCCATCCATACTCCCAACACCTCGCTAAACTAAACCCACAGAAACAGCCCTCTAAACATTTCATCATCATCAGCTTCAGCTTCAGCACAATCACCCCAAGAGACGCCCCCAAACTCACTCACCTACCTACTACATCTTCCTCACCTCCCATCCGCATCCGCAATCTCCTGCTGCAAAACAATACTATACACACTCGCCTTCAAAAGTGTAAAAACAGTCGTAGTCTTCCTCTCCAATCCCCTCAAAGAATCCAGAATTTCCGCTGAGGGATTCGCTGCTAATTCCCCGAGAAGTCCTGCTAGCTGTTTGTTCCCAAAATCGAGGTCAGAGATTGTAAATCAAATCAAATTGGTATTGTAAATGAAGACTGCGTAACGTACATCATCGAGATTCCCGACAAGTTTGGCGTATTCATCAAGGACTTCTTGCTCGAGTGATGAGAGGGAGTCTTCGCCATCTTGGGCTACTCGACGGGCGTTGGTGGAGTTTGCGTTGAAATTTTGATCCATTTTGGAGTGGGGTTCGAGAGTGGAAGTGCTTCCTTCTCTTTTGAAAGAAGTGTTTGTGTGTTTTGATTATGTCGAGGCGAAAGTGTCGAAACGCGAGATTGACGCGTCTTGGCGGTGGTGTGAGGAAATAAATACCTAAGGTACCTACCTTACATTTCACGACGCGACCTCATCAACCACAGCAAAGATCTATCGGGTTTGAAATGTCGGGCATTTTCATTGGGTTTGGAGCTCTTCTTCATACACATGTCGCGCTTTTCCGCTCATCTATCCTTTACCAGCTTTTTGTTTCTGTCTTACGTTGAGAAGAAGAGCGTTTACATACAACATGCCTTCGTTTCCCCAGAATTCAAAGAATGAAGAAGCATTACAGAAATACAGCAGTCAAGCTACCAGGTTTCATGGACGGTGTTTGCAAGAGCCTCTATATGATGGAGGCCGACCTCGTCTTGATGTGCCCGCTTCGAATGGAATGTTCTTCACATCAATTGGTTGACAACAGACTGTAGCAAATGCGATGATTCGCAAGCAAGTGACAAGAAGTACAACAACCGGTCTAGCATTTCTTTTCAAGGTCATAATAATCGTGGCAAGCTTTCTTTCTTGTTTGGATCCACTCACAGCAAGACCAAACCAGTACAGTCCCGACCCCAATCAACTCCAGCACCCTTCCGCTCAACGCCCGCCGCAGTGCAATATTTACAAATGTAAGAGCAGCGAGTTGCAGTGTATCACTCCGGTATGACAGTCTCTCTCTCGGTATTAGAGTAGTCCACCACGGGGAGATCGTTTCAGGTAGGTGTATAATGATGCTCCGTATGCGGCCGTCTTTCCTCATCCTCATCTCGTTTCTCCTGCGCCAATTTATCGCCGTCGCGTAGCGCCAAGGCTACCGATGTCCGTTGCCATTCATGTCGTGGTGATGCTCTCCGTCATCACCATCGTGATGTAGTGTAACACTGTTGAACTCCTCAAAGGGGTCCACAATCTCCCCACCAGGCGTCTCCAATCCTGAATCAAGCGGTACGCCTTTCATCTTGCTGGCCGTGACTCCAAATCCCTTGTTCGAGCCAAGATCCACGCTGTGACTCTCTTTGACATTTCTAAAGTTGATGGTATCAACGCCACGGCCCGTGTTGGGGATGATGGGTGGCTTCGAGTGGCGAAGAAGAGCCCACGATGTTGAACGAAAGAACGGGTGAGACTTGACGTCTGAGGCGCCAGCGCGAGATCCAAGTCGGCGGAGCTCATCCTTGATGAGGAGTTTGCGGATGAGGGACTTGCAGAGGCTAGAAAAAATGTCAGCAGATTCCATCATGTGTTGGGATGTAACTTACTTGGAAATGTTAGGAGCTCCGGATCCCTCGGGAAACGGCACTTCATCCCTCAAAATATTGGCAAAGGTTGCGTTGCGATTCTTGCCTTTGAAAGGCGTCGTGCCGAACAGCATCTCGTAGATGAGAATGCCCAAAGTCCACCAATCAACAGCACTTGTATGACCACAGCCTTTGATAACTTCAGGCGCAATGTATTCTTCCGTACCAACAAACGAGTTTGTCCGGAAGTTGTTGATACAACTCTTGGTGTCAATTGTGGGCATGTTGTTCGGCGAAGGGTTGCTAGAGATACCACCGCTTGCATTGCGGCCTCCGGCGAGGATCATCCCAGGAACACCACCGGCGTCTGACTGCTTGGACAAGTCAAAGTCCGAAAGCATGATGTGGCCAGACTGATGGAGTAGAATGTCTAGAGTCATTAGCGGGTGAAGGACACTGCCTGATGGTGGAGTACTTACTCTCGGGCTTCAAATCTCTGTATATGAACCCCATCAAATGCAGATACTCCAAAGCTGCTGTGACTTCAGCCGCATAGAACCGGGCGGCATCCTCATCCACACATTTGTTCGGCCTGGTCTGTAGTGCCCTGAAGAACTCTCCTCCACTGCAGTACTCCATACATAGATATAGATGGTCCTCTGATTGGAAAGAGTGGTACAAGGTGACGATGAACGGATGATTGCTCGTGGCGAGGATTTCCTGCTCAGCGAGAGCACGCTTGATTTTGTTGCGCTTGATCATCTCCTTCTTGGAAAGGACTGTGAAGTCGTCAGCATTTCACCTCACGTTCTTTTCAGAATTGCTTCCCACCTTTCATGGCATATAATCTCGCACTCTTCTTCTCCCTGACCAGATATACTTTGCCTACGTCACCCTTGCCAATCAACTTGATCTTGTCAAAGCTGCCAGGTCCCACCTCCACATTTCGGACCTTGATGCTGTTACTACTGTACGTCCGTCTGAAGGCGATGCTGTTCCGCAGCTTGCCGGGTGTAATAGGACCTTCCAGCCCTGGTGGCAGCAGACTGTCGCCCTGGGGTACTGTCTCGACCATGCTCAGCGCGCTGGAGTTGCTGTGTTGACCAAAGCCATTGRTCTTGGGCAGGGGAGTTGCATCATCCTCTGCCGTTTGTGGTCTACTGCCGCTGCCCTTGGACTTGAACAAGCCTTGGGCATTGGGTGCACTGGCAACTCTTCTCAGCTTCCTCGCGAGCTCCTCCTTGCCTCCACCGCCGCCATTCTGCTTATCATCCGGGGAGAGCTTCCTCGCGGCGGAGGGTGAGTCGGGCGGAGTGCCGGGCATGCTCCCATCATCGTGGTGTCGTAGAGCCGGTGGGCCTTGATGTTGAAAGTAGGGATTGGCATGTGCAATGGGACTCAAGCCATCATCCAGCGGGTTGCCCTCGGAAGCTACCGTCGTACTCCTACTCCGGCCGATGTGCGGGATGAAGCGGCTGTTTCGCAGGCTCGACTTGTTGTTGTCCTTGTGCTGGGATTGCGGCGTGCGAGAGCCGTCATTTTGCCCGTCGTGGGAGCTGGCCGTGTCCGCCGTTGAGCCATCATGCTTGCTGCTGCTGCTGATGCGGAAGAAGTTCTTGATCTTTTGGCCGGCCGAGTTGTTCACCTTGCCGTTGCTGTTCAAGCTGGCGCCGGAGAAGACTCGCTTCCCGTTATCGCTGGTGGTGGTGGTGCCGGGCATGTCGTCGTCGTCGCCTCACATTTCCGTCCACGCAAGCCGGGCTCGGAGGAGGAAGGTCGGGTGGGTGTGGGGGAGAGGAATGAAGGATCGAGAGGAGTGGAGGTCAGAAGCAATGCCGTCCGTTGTCGAGATTGGAAATCTGGCAGGAAGCTCCCGTCCTGGACAAGGGTGCGGTTGACGACGTACGTGCGCAGGATGCCGTTAGCGGTTGGGGTATGCGGGTACAGGATAATAACTAATGATGGATTCCAAACGACTGCATGGWATGATTACAGAAAACACCGGGCCAAAGACACAAGACACACTACCAGCCGCCTGGCCAACAATGTTCAATCGATCGTACAGTAGCTGGTGCTATGGAGAATGACTGCGGGGGGCGCAGCAGGCCGTCGGTAAACATTATTTGGCTGGCTGCTTGGTAATGCACGACGCACAAGCTGGGTTCAATCGGACTCGGCCCGCCTTCCTTCGCGCCTTCCGGGTGAGGACGGTCTCGCCCATCCACCTCACCTTCTTCATCGCCTGTTGCTTCTTCTTCCTCTCCTCATCTTCTTGTTCATCACCTCCTCATTGTTCTCGAAACCACGGTCCCATCAATTGAGAGGCGTCCAACGGTTGAGTTGTGTTTCCACTCCTCCTCCCATCCGAGTCATTTTCATCTGAAACCATGCTTCAGATCCTCGTGGATCTGCAACGTCACCTAGACCAGGAACAAGCATCTTCTTTATGAAGACTTCCGATGGCTGGCGATGCAAGACTATTATTACAGCATAATCTATTGATGAGCTTATGGCTCGTATACCTCCGTCGTATCTCCTCTGCGGCAAGCACTTCTCCTACATGCACGATGTGCACGATCAGTCTTTGAATCCAGACACTTGGTCGGAACTGGCGTGCCTCTCCGTTGCATGAATGTGTTTGCTCGGTCCAGCGGCTGTAAGATGCGTCGGGAATCTATTTGTCACCTGCAGATGAAGCTCAGAGCGTCAGAGATACGCCAGTCGGTTCTGGTCTGTCTGACAGTTTCTCGCGGCACGCGCGGGACGCTCACGACTTCACGAAGACGACACGATGGGCGGCAGATGAAACTTGTGTTACTGCTGTCTTGATGATCTTTCCCACGAGTCGCCCGGTATGCTTGGTCTAGCAGCCTCTCGATACGCCACGTTGAGAAAGTGGTGAAGAAGGTGTGTCATTTCATAATGCTGCTTTTCTGTGATAAATCAATCCAGTTGATCCTTCTGAATCGCCCTCTGCCGCTGTCACAGTCCTTGCAACTGCTTCTTAAGCCGAGAGAGTCGAAACCCATTGCCCCCGCTGTGCAGCACTGCACTCGACTCTGCTACCGATAGCTCTGCCGTACCGATAGAATCCGTCCTGCCGCTAGAGATGAGAAGTTCAAAAATCATTACCCATGAATCCAGGCTCCTGCCCTCCACGGTTGAAGAAGGTAGACTTCTCCCTCTCGTAGTACCGCGCCGCGACCTCGTCTTCATCGTCGTCCTCGTCCTCGTCCGGGAAAATGAAACCTGGATTACCATCGTCATCGTCCTCGTTTGGACCGAAGAGTTTAACCAGGTCCTGGACCGAACGAGGACCTACCTTGGTCTCCTGCATGACCTTGTCGATTTCTGCCGTCTGCAATCACGAATGTCAGCAAATTTGTCTATCTCTCTCTCAGGTGCAGCGTTTTGATGCTACTGACCTTCCTCTCCTTCACAGCGAACATGGCTGCATCGATGGACTGCTTAACGCAGAGGCGCGTGAGGCGGGTCTCGTCCGTCTGTCCGATGCGGAACACTCTGCAGAATGCCTGCTGCTCGACCGCATCGTTCCACCAGGGATCCATAAGGATCACACGAGAAGCGGCAACGATGTTGAGCCCGAGACCGCCGCACTTCAGCGACATCAGCATCACGCGCTTAGTTGAATCCTCCGCGAACTCCGCAAGGGCTTTCTCGCGGGCAGTGTGCGACATATTGCCAGAGTACTTCAGGTGACCCCAACCCTCACCTTGACACACCTTGGCCATGATGCGAATCATTGGCAAGAACTGGGTGTAAACGATAATCTTGCAGTTTGGTGATTCGGCGAGCCAGGTGAGGATTTGCGCCTTGCAAGCCACGGTCTTCGCACTTGGTAGAACTCCGCCAGATTGTCCAATCCAGTCAAGTGGTTCGTTCTTCGTCTTCTTCTTCTTGCCATCGTCTTCTGAAGCACTACGGCCAGTCTCGGTGCCGTGTGACGCGACGGGGGTCGGCTTCTTGGGAAGCATCTTCACCGCAGTGAACTGCTCCGCACACTGGCTRCATCGCGCTGCGGGGCGTCCAGCGCGAGCTGCGGCGTGCTGCAAATCTAGCATACAAGCTTTGCAGTAGATGTGATGGCAAGAAGTGACTGGAGAATGTTAGTATAAAGCATGAAACCGCTCAATTGAATTGGAACTCACTGTGTGCATCGAATGGCTCTTCACGGCAACCGCAGCATTTCATGCGATCATTGATGGCACCCATCTCATCCGATTCAGCGGCCGAATGCAGATACTTCTGAAAAGGATAGGTCTTGCCGTGCTTCTTGCCCAGGTCAAGAATCAATCCACCAGAGGTGGTGGAACCTCTAGGGACAACATCCACGTCAACACCCGCGTCGCTAGCATCCGCTGCCTCTCCAGAATTCGCAGTAGCAGTAGCAGCTGCTGCCGCCTTTACTGTATGTTCATGTAGCACGTGGCGGAGCTGCTCAAGAGTTTTGAGCTCATCCTGTGTGTGCCCTGCTGTCTCTTGAGTGATTTCCTCAAGCTTCTCAAAGTCCTCTCTCTCCAGTAGATCGAGTATGGTGTCTTGAATGAGCAGGACGTGAGAGCAGATCTGTCGAAGTCGCAGCAGCATTGTCCAGATGTGCGTGTACTGAGCCTGAGAGGGCATTACGTCTTTCTTGACGATGGTATTGATGCGTTGGATGAACCTCTGCTTCACAATCTCATACACGGTCCGCTCCACTGCGTTGAACTCCAGGAAGATGGTGTTCTGCTTCGGCGTGGGGAGATCCAAAAGACGAGCACCGAACAGTGTATCCTTGTGCGTGCGGCGAATGATGATCTGCCGGAGGAACACACCGAGCTTCTCAGAGCCTGTGGGGTCGTTCGCAGAGCAGAAGTTGGCTTGGAAGGTCCTCATACTGCCAGTGTGGGGATGACGCAAGAACTTGAGGTATGKATACATCTCAGAGATGCCATTCACAAGGGGAGTGCCGGAGATCGCCCAGTAGTACTCCGATTTCAGCGCACGGCATGACATGCTGGTGTGTGAGGTGTGGTTCTTGATTTGTTGCGCTTCGTCGAGAACAACTCGGAGGAATTTGATTTCGTGGAACACACCTTTGTTTTCTTCGAAATGCTGCTTCCACCAATCTGCCTTGCCGCGGTCGGTGGTGATCTCAGCAGGAACTTCTGCCTTGGGGTAACTCTTACCGAGCTCGGTGTAAGTGGTCAAGCAGATGTCGACWTCCATGATGGCTTCTTTGATATTCGCTTCAGTTCCAGGCTGCTTGTAGCCTGCACGATGTTGAATGACACGCTGAATGCCATGCTTCTTGTTCTCACTGCGAGTCATTGCGAATTTGGTGATCTCGGCATACCACTGGCTGATCAAAGCAGGGCTCGCAACAATGAGAGTGCATCTGGGCTGGCCCTGCTTTGGCTTGCCATTGATGATGTTCGCGATCATCTGAATGGTCTTCCCGAGGCCCATTTCGTCGGCAAGGATACCACCGCGTGGATGAATCGTCTCGTTCTCGCGCCTCCTCATGAATGCAACACCCAGAACTTGGTAGTGCTTCAGGGTGCACTTCATACCCTTGAGCTGCCATCCAGTCCCGTCCTTTGAGGGCTTGCAGCTTCCTTGACCAGTGAAATCCTTCAAGCTGTCTTCCAGGAACTTCTTATCGCCCGCAGCTGCAGATTTATCGTCCTGTGGCACGGATGCGATCAGATCTCTCAAAGCATGGTCTTTTCGATTGGTGTTTGCCTTGAAACCGGGCTGATTGGAGTGTCCGGCGACTGCTGCCGCATCTCTGAAAACGTCCGGGCCATGCATCATGGATTTGACGTTTGATATCTGGTGGGAAGGTTGCTTTCTACCCGATTTGGTCTTTTTTGACTGATTGCTAGGTGCCGGATCCACGCCGCTTTGCATAGCCCTCAAGGTACGTTCTACGTCCTCATTGCTGAGAGCTTTACCGTTCTTGCCGGCCCCCAAGGAGCGTCCAGTGGGCGCTTTGGGCTTCTTCCCTCCCTTTTTGGTTGGGGGAGCCATGGCGCCAGGTTCATCCGCCTTACGCTTGCGCTTGCGAGTCTTKACGCTGTTGGTGAAGAAACCGTCAGTCGCCGTGCCGTCTTCGCTGTTTGGAGCGTGCGAAGCTGGAGACCTAGCCAGGGGTGTTACAAAGAGCCCTTCAGACTCGCCTTCTTCGTCGGAGGAAGGGTCTTGCTCAAAGTGCTCGTCAGTGACCAATTTTCGCAGCCTAGCATTCYCCTTCGCTTGGGCCATAAGAAATGCAACATCGCTCTCGATATCGCTCGTATTGGCTCGTTTCTTGAGCAGATGCGCGGCTTTGAGAGCCTCAAACTCACTTTGCTCGGGTTGAACGTCTGCACTGACTCCAACATCGGAGGGAGCAAAGACGTCTGAGACGCTCTCGTCTGCACCGAGCTGGGAGGATGTGTTGGAGGGTACGCTGACAGCTTGTGCTGCCTGCTTCTTGGCGAACTGTCTGGCGAGGCGGACCTGCGTAGCCTTCAATTTTTCGCGGTTGGCTTGACCGGGTGGTATTCCCAGATCCTTCGCTTTTTTCTTGTTTCCGAGCATGGAGCGTCCGAGATTGATGGGACGAACGCTCTCGGCCGGCGTGACGTCCATTGAACCGCTGAGATCCGCTAGAGCAGCACTGTGAGCGCTCTCGATCTGCGAGACATCCACCAAATCGCCGAGGTCCGCCGGAGCAACATGCTGAGCACTCTCCACAGGCGAGATGTCATCCGAAACGATGGGATCCACGTTGGGATACTCAAAATCGCCGTGCTGAGAGCTCGCAGGCTCTAATTTTGGAGCGTCCTCGCCGAAATCGACTTCACCGAGCTCACCGAGTCCATGGATCTCACCGAAGGCGTTGAGCATGTCCAGGTCCAAGTCGCCTGTCATGCTGGGCATGACTTCGTCGGCGTGGTGAGGTGTTGCAGCGAGGTTTTGTCCGAAGAAGTTCTCGCCGAGATCGAGCATTTGGTCGTTTTCCGTCATGTTCACGTTTTCTGATATGCTGGGCTCCAAATCAGTGGTCTCAAGAGCGTTGTTCTCAGGGAGAGCCAATTCTGACAGAGCGAAAGTCTGCTCAGCTTGGTCAATTTGGTGGCCGCTATTGGCCATTTCGGTGTCGTCTGTGAAATTGAGCCCCGTGTTGGTGAAATTGTGGCCATCGGGCTCCTGAGGAGCCGGATCTTGGCCGTCGGCCATGGTGGAGTGTATGGGGTGTGTAGATGATGGAAGGGAATGATGGATGATGGGGGTTTGTGTGAAGGGGAGGTAGGTGGTTGTGGTAAGAGAGAGGGTTTGGATTGAGAGTGAGAGGTAGTTATATGGGAGTATGAACGCACGGATCAACGAGCTTGTGATTGATGAAGGGACTGAGTGAGGTGTTGGCGAAGTGAAGTCGCTTGGAGATCTCGTCTCTATCAGGATCCCGACTTTCATAGGCGTGCCGCATACGCCATGAGCTTGGTATGCCGTTGATCCACGGAGATCGAAAATCTTAGATTTCGGCGTCAAGTAGGGGGCGGCATTTGCGCTGAAGTGGATGCGATGCATTTTCTCACATGACGCAGAACCACCATTTCCCTCGCAAAGAAGTCCAACCGCCCTGCTATCGGATGAAAGCCTCGACCTCTAACACTCAGGTCGGGTTAGGACAGTTGTTTGATACAAATTCTTGCATATTTTCCTCGCCTGGCCTCCGTGCCCTCGTCACTTCGACTTCGACAGGATATTCTGACCGCCTGCTAACGGGGAGATTGGCCAATCTTTAGGTCCGTGATAGGWGAGTGAGAAGTGAAAAAAGGAAGACGACCAACCATCGTGCAGAGACAGTAATCGTTCTGCGGTATATAGATGTCCTCCACTTCTTCACATACGTCCCATCTCATGTTTAACTCGCAGCCTGGGTATTTTGGACAGTCCTGGTCTAGCTGCCACTGTCTTCACTTCCGCACCTAAACGCCTCGCTCAAAATTCCCAATCAATAAAATCCTGCCATGGGGTCAAAAATGTGTAGAGAACACAAATAAAAGAAGAAAAATAGAGGGTCCATCAGCTTGTCTCAGTCGGGTCCGGTGGAGCCGGGTAGTAGAAGGCGGCAATGGCAATGATGGCATAGAGTAGCATCAACATGACGCCTTSGAGCCAGTGGCTCTTGCCGTCATTGATGAGGTAGTTGACGAGCCAGATGCYGAGAACAAGCACGACGACTGTGAACGATTTGTTAGCGTCTGCCAGAAAGGTTGAAGTGATGAAGAGGACTCACCAAGGAAACCATCAAAGTTCAAGTCCAGCGTGTTGGGTCCGACTCCCCACCATTGCAGCATGACCATAATTGGCAGTACTAAGAGCGCAATTTGTAGAGAAGATCCAACAGCTACGCCGATAGACAGATCCATCTTATCCTTGATGGCTACTGTCACGGCGGTGGCGTGTTCAGCGGCGTTTCCGACGATAGGCAGGAGAATCAAGCCGACGAACTCTTCCGAGAGAGCACCTCCTTTGGTAACCGCGTCGATGGAGCTGACCATGTACTCGGCGCAGAGGGCGATCAAAACCGTGGCGATGGCAAGGGTCACAAGAGCACCTAAGACGGACACCGAAGGCGTCTCTTCTTCCTCTGGCTCTTCGTGCACAATGTTCTCCTGGTTGATACGACCGCCAGCCATGGCGGCTCCCGATGCTGCTCCAATCATGGCAATACCCTGATGCGCGAGATGGTTAACTAATGTTCAATAGAGGGATACGCATTTCAAGATGAAGACTGACTTTGCTTGCCTCGCCGGCGTCCTTCTTTCCTGTCGATCGCTTTGGAGTCTTCTTGCTGGGTTCATTGTACATGGTCGAATGTGTGCGCAGCTGAAAGTACAGGTAGCACCCGTAAACAATGAGCAAAAGTACAGAGGTTCCGCGAGAAGCTGGCGTGACGCCCTTGTCACCCGTGCTCGCAAATTGAGCAAACGCCGTTGGGATAATGAGACTTCCAATCGCCAGAGCGAGCAGAGATGCGGCGGTCTGTGCGACTGTGAGGTTGAAGTGCTGCTCCGATCGGTTTATTCCTCCCAGGAAAAAGCACATGCCCAGTACCAACAGCAAGTTGGACAACATGCTTCCGACAAGGGATGTCTGGACAATCACCACTTTGCCCTGCACGAGCGCAATGATACTGACGATGAGCTCGACTGCGTTTCCGAAGCTGGCGTTGAGCAACCCTCCCAGGACTTCGCCGATGTAGAGCGCGAGCTCTTCTGTTGCGAATGACAGGATGGCCGCTAATGGGATGATGGCTAAGAAGTTGATCACCTGGCGAGCGTATTAGCGGTTGATGAGTGGAAAACGCAGAAAGACGAAGCTAGTATGGCAGATATGTCGGCGCCACATTTGCAATCCTGCTCCGCGACCCATCACTTACGAAGACAACAATCTTGTTCACGCCAGCATAGTTAAGAGCAATGCCAACGGGCACGAAGATGAGCAGAACATTGATCCAGCTTCCCATGACGGCCTTGAATTGCTGCATGACAGGAATGGGCGGGTACTTCTTCTTCTTTGATCGCTGTGTTTCGCTGTCCGAAGAGTCGATTTCCTCCTTGTCCTTCTTGTGGAACATGCCCATGAACTTGCCGCCCTTGCGATGTCTTGCCCCGTCATCAGTGGAGTTTGGGTTGGAGAGTTCTTGCTGTGGCTGCATATACTCTGGTTGTGAGTATTCTGGCAATTGTGCTCCTTCCGTTTCTCCACTTGGCTTCTCGCGCGAGCCCGAGCTCATGTTGCTGAGATCTCGGTCGTGTGGTGAATCTTGTGGGAATGTGCCCGCCTTTTGGGGCCTTCCGTAGTTGCCATCCTCTCCAGCTTTGTTGATTCGGTCATTCTCGCCCGGTAATACAGCGTCGCTCTCGGTGTTGGCGTGGTAGAGTGTGTTTTCCTCGTCATAACGACGGGTGGTTCTGCCAGCTCGTCCAAAGGGATTGTACGTCCTGTTGTCCGGATCGTCATTATGGTACCACGCCTGAGCACGCGCTTGTCGCTTGATGTGATCTATTTGGAAGCCGCCAGTCAGTACCATGTTGTCGACAATTTATATTGTTGATGTTGTCGAGCACTCGGGGTGAGGATGGAACTCACGCATGTCGGTCGCAAAGTGGCAGTTGTACGGCCGCTGCACAGCCTCGTTTGGTGAAGTTGGGGTTGGAGCACCCTTGTGGGAAGCTTCGTCGGTGAAGGTGGGGACCTCAGCGCGTCAATGGGGGGTTGAAGGCGTCAGTTTCCTGTTTCTCGTCGAGCGATCGGGTTGATGAGTATCAAAGTGTTAGTGTCGTGGCGAGAAGAGCCAATTCCGAGTGATGTCGGTGTTGTTTTCATGCGGCGGCTCCTTTAAATTAAAAGGTCGTTTGACGATACGCGCGATGTTCAGGCGATCGTATTGTGGCTGTGTCCTGTTTGCGCCACACACCTCGTCATTCACTCTGCACCACCTACAAGTAAAGTGTGATGTTTCAATTGTGGTAAGACTGGAGTGGATGGAATATGTTCGATACTCCCTCCTCCATGACATGGACAGGCCATTGTGACCTCGTGCCCAACAAACATGATGAAGCCGGCTCGTCATGGGGCGCACAGCGCTTCTCATTGGCACAAACCGGATTTGTGCAGGGCATCCAGACCACGTCGCCAGCGTCACCGACTAGTTTTGGAGGGATCTGCGCGCTGTTGTGGTCGGCAAAGAGGAGAATTGCGGCAACAAGGTGAGAATTGGCTGTGGTAGCAAGCTTTGCCTTGCCGCGACATTCAAGGCATGGCATTCCACTTGGCGTGATAATCCCGGTTCGTGCGACGGGTTGATCGGCCGGCTTCTCGCTGCACCCGAACGAGGTAAGCACAGCGTCTGGGTGTGGCGCAGATGCATACCAGTGACGACTCTACCAAACGCATTTCAGCTATACAGGCCATGGTCGCCACGAGGCGGTGCACAATCGTTCGAGATGAGCCTGATTGAGATGCGAAGCTGAGACACGAAGAAGCTTGGCTCGGTCTTGAGAAAGCTTGGAACGAACAGGCATGTGGCAATCCTTCGGAAGCAAAAACCCTTTTTGTTCCTTCACCAGCTGAAGAAATGGCATGTCTGCCGGGAAAGAGACTTGCGGAGCACTTCAAGTCGCAATCGTGGCGGTCAATCTGCATAAAAGGCCGCCCATCTCATCAATTCCGCCCATCTGCACTCATTCGTAAGACCACAATTCCCTCCCAAGATCAAACCCTTCAATCTCCGTACTCAACACATCATTCATTCCCCAATCCTTTCCTACCTCCTCCAACGTCTCCTCCAATCTAGCTTATCCTCCCAAATCCCCCAAAGGCTTTCCCAACTCTCGTATCCCATTCAGTCCCAAAACACAATAGGCACAAACGCTGTCGACCACCACCTTGTGATCTCCATGCACGACCGTCCAGCATACACCCGTTCGTTGCGCCTGTGGGCAGGGCTTGATGGGGAGGAGTTCGCCGTGAGAGCAACTGCACCAGATGAGTTCTTGGGTGCACATTCGTCTTTTCGTTTGGGTAATGATGTGAACTAGGGCGAGAAGTGTGGTTGCCTTGGTGCAGAGAGTTATGCAAGCTCAGCGAATGTTTGTGGTTGTGCTTGAGCAGCAAGCATTTGGCGAACGGGTTTTCGGTTTGGGTGAACTTGTTTGATGCGGAGCAAATGTAGGGTGATCAGGATCGAGAYGTTGAGTTTGGCTTTCCCTATTGTTGGCAAGACTGTTGATCGCAACCTTGAATGGCTTCGGAAAGTTGGCTGGAAATGGGTTCAGTTCTCTAGTTATCGTAGGGCGTCGCCGTCGGCGTTGTCGAGCATGAGGTGACTGTCGTCGCGACCCCAGGAGGCGCTGTAGTGGTCATAACTCCACCGACGCAGACCTGCAAAAGATCAGAGATGAACAAAGATTCAATMAAGTTTCTCGTCATGAAATCGCTTACATATCGACATTGTGGAGCAAACTTCCACTGCTTTGTAGTGGTGGTAAGGGTTTCGCAACCCTGGCAATCAATACTCTTGGTGCTAGTCTCCAGGAACTTCGTCCTTGTGCAGCCAATGCATCCTCCGGCATTCAGGGCTGTCATTGGGAACGGGCAAGTTGAATTGTTGTGAGCGGCGGTTGCGAAGGCTGTGAGGCACGCGAGGAGGATCTGGATGAGAGTAGCGAATCTTGCCATTTTGACTGATGGATGCTGTTTTGTTCAGAATGCGTAGCAGCGATGTAAAGGATGTCGTTTCGTAATATCCGCTCCGGAGATGGCGGTCCTAGTAGTAGATGAAGTTGTCAAAAGCAAAGGGATCGGGATCAAGCCGCTGGTTTGGAAAACTAAAGTAGACAAGGCAACCTGGAAGCATCGAAAAGTTCAACGGCAGTTGCAATATTCTTATATGAGCTACCTTGACTGCCGCTCGGGACACATCGCCGTTAGTGAACCCAACAGTAATACTACCTCCTTTTGCAAGTGCACGAACCTTGTGTTCAGTGTTTGGTAATGTCACATGGCGTGCATCTCAACGGCTTTTCGAAACCGTCTAAAGAACCAGAAATCTTCCCTCGTGGATTCTGTCTTGCCACGTCTTAACATACCTCCTACACGATGAATCCAAGCTCCCACGATTCGTGCACCACTCCAAATCTAGAGGAGCTCATGGCTGCCAGGTTCAACCCAGACACTCCCAAGCCAAACTCGATCTCGATTGAACTCAGACCCAAAAGTTCTCCGCATTGTGGTTGCTGACTCTGTGTCGGTATGGGAATAGAACGGACACCATGACGAGCAGGCTTTTCATCTCTGAAGCCTTTGTCTGCAGTTGTTGCGCTGAAACGAAGCATCTTCGAAAACCATCAGACGACAACATCCTGGCGTGCTGGCCTGTGTAAGACAATGCTTGAAATCAACGCGGAGGCTGATCTGATGGAATGCGGGAAGTAGTCGTTATGGCATAGAGATTCGCTACATGTATGCTTTCTCGTGAATCAAAAAGGTAGAACGGAGTCTTTCTCCAGCAAGCTTGCATTACTCAAAACTCTTTCGGAAGAGGGACCTTCAGATCGTGAAGCTCGTGCTCGTCGGCATCAAAGTCTCCAATTGGCGAGGCATCCAATTCTACCCTTTGAATCTGAAGCCCATGTGCGCCTTTCATAACCTGATATCTCTCCGCAAATGTGTGCATTGGTCCGGGCGTTGCGGTGTTCGATGAGTTGGAGGTCATTATGCTGCCATCTCTCGAGGCTGGCGGTCGAAGTGAAGCACCCATGGTAGGGTGAAGTGGACGTCCGTCTATGGAAGTGTATGGGTCGATGAGATCGTCTGGTAGGGGATACATGAGCTTCGGTGTTCGTGCTCTGTCTCTACGCCATAGCATCAAAGCCAGACAGCTGGCAATGAGTAACGGTATGCCAAGTCCAACTCCGAGGCCTGCCATGTCGCCAGGTGAGTAAATCGCGTTTGGGTTTGCGGTGGCCGCTGCGGTGACAGTGACTTTGGTTATAACGGCAGCCTGTGTCGTCGTCTGCGCCAGCGCACTGCTAACTGCAGGTTTGACGRGCGCTTCCAGCTCGCTCGGTCGAAGTRTGATGGCGCCCGTGGATAATGTAAATAGAGTTGAAGTCCTCCTGCAATTTGTTGAGTTCATCCCACACATGAACTTGCTTTCCTGGCCACCGTTTGTGCACGCGATAACAGGTATACTGGAGTTGCGGGAGACTATTTTGTGTCAGCGTGAGGCTCTCCGATGAATTATCTTTCCCAATACACACCCTCTCCACAGTGTTGACTACACTCTTTGCTGTTCCAGTCCTTGTCCGTACAGCTTCCTCTGCTCATAATCCCAGCTCCAAAGCACAACCCATTGTCCAAACATATTTGCGATGCATCGCAACATGATGCTTCCGATCCAGAACTGCTGCACGCAACATGATTTGATTCAGATCCATCCGGGTAATAGCAACTCTGCGCAGCGGTCGATGAAAGTAAAATAGAGACAAGCGCAACGATGCGCACGGAGTTCTTAAAGAGTGACATTGCCGGCATGACAGTAAGATAGCTTTTAAAAGAGTGCGAATGGCATTGAGTGGCCAAATCCGTTCGACGGCTGCCGTGAAGAGTATGATTGTCGAGGTGATGTGCACGCAAGAGGACGAGAAGCGAAGCAGATCAGAACACAAGCCTACTCTTGTCGACCACCAGGCCGCGGAGTGGACAGTCTGTCCCTTCTACAACTTGAACTAAGCCGCATGCCTGCAAATCATGGGCTCTGGACTCGTTTCACCTCGCCCGAACCAGGCCTGGCGCGAGAGCTTAAGCTTCGACATGAATTTCGGTATAGCCCTAGCGTCACCCTTTTCACAAGCCTGCCCGCGTGGCCAGGAACGGGTGGCGGTCGGGCTCAGAGGCCAGCAGCAAACGGACCACGGGTTCCGAAGCCAGCGTGCCAGATCACTCCGCAATTGGTATTGTGCATGAAGTTGCTGTGAGGAATGGGAAACTGATGTGTTTACTAATTGCGGAAGGAGGTTGCAGAGTGGGCGAGATTCCCCAAAGTTCCAAGCCCGGAAAGTCGGAGACGGAAGATCCCACGCCCGTATTCGGGAAATCGCTGTGAGCACATTCGGGAAATCGCAGTGAGCACGAGCACATCGCAATATCCATGCCGAATCTTATCCCCACCGAGTTTCAGCCTCACTCGGAGCATTCCGTACATCTCCATCTGGGTATGTTCAATGCCTGAAAACGTGACAGTTGGCCAGTGCTGTGCGGGTTGTAATAATGGACAGTTTCCTCTTGCTAGACAGTTTATGTACTCCATTCGACAAACATACAGCTTTGTGGTATCATCCGCCTTTATCAACAACGATTATCATCAAGCTTCCACCAGAACATGGCACGCTGTACATTCCCATCATTTACATGCTCACGTGCATCGGTGAGCTCCCATCACTGTGGCGTCGTCGTTCCAGTCTTCATACTGTATGGCCTGAGCACATTCTTGGCATTGCAAATACGCCATGCCAGGTTCCTCACATTGCCATCGGCCTGGACGACTTCAGGTGCGAATTCGATCCCGAACATCTGGTGGACCGCATACMCGACTCTTTTGGCATACTTGCCCTCACGCTCCAATGTTGATCCAAAAGCTTCGTCCACACTGCGAGGCGCGACGTCCGGGTCCCGGTCGAAGCAGTTTTGCACGATGGGGAGGACAGCTTCTTCAACCACGCTTCGGACGAGACGCTGGTCTACCTGGACTTCTTCCTCGTCGAAGCGGTCGATCTTGATCTCGAAGGGTAAGGATATGGCCATGACGTTGTGCTTTCCATCGTGGTGATATCGGAATTCGAAAACTCCCTGAGTCCACCACAACTTGTCGCCAGAGAATTCAATCTCTCCAGATAAGAAGTCTTTGTCTGATCCGTCTGTGCGTTTCGCTGCTGGCACTTGTTGTTCTTCCACTAGGATTCCCTCATCAGCTCTGGAGATGTCGAATGCACCTTTGTTGGTCGCAGTCCAGCGACCCTGGCATCCAATCTTGGTGACCTCTCGGGATGCATTGTCACCGACTCGGTAAAGACCAATCCAGTCTTTCTTGCTGTGGTTCAGAGGAGCGGTCCACCGTACCTTGATCGGTGCGCCGTACTCCACTACCATGCGTTTGAAACTGTCCGTTCGCTTCAGTGGCTTCTGCCCTATCTCGCCTTCCCTCCCGCTAGGTACGACTTCCTCGGACTTGAAGTCGGGAAGAGAAGTATCAATCACAAGAGAGTAGTCCACTGGGTCGAAACCGGCAAGATCGGGAGTCAGTCGAGTGATACTAACTCGCGCAGGGAACTGCTTAAACAAAGTTGTGGAGTCCTGGACGAAAGTGCTGAAGCCAGCGGCGAGTTTGGGACCAGCGGCGTCGATGAAGTCCTCCAGCGAGTCGAGGGTCTCGTCCAGGACACGATCCACGCTTCCTTGCCACTTGGATAGAGGTGCAGGCAGAACACGTTGAAGGTTCTTGGAAACACCTGATGTTTCGCGAAGTCCTTGTCGGTACAGCTTCTGCATGTGAGGCTTCTCCACAAATTGAATAAAGCAGAGAGTCAATGTATGGCTCATGAGCGCCAGGAAGAACATTGACTTGCTCCAGGTCATGATGGCAACACCCCATACACCAGCCAAGCCGATGGTCCGCTCGGGGTTGTTCAGGAATCGGTAGATGCCTCCATAGGTGAGCTTGGGCGCGCGGTCCGGGAAGAAGAAGTCGCCAAAGAACCAGCCAAACTCGCCCAGAGATTCGTGGATGCTGGAGATGGTCCAGGCCTGAAGTGAGATTAAGGCAATTCCAATGACGTGTCTCAGCAGCGCCATGCTATATGTCCAGTCGTCAGGGAGGCTATCACAAGGTCAGCATTGAAGTCGTGAGGTTGCAGAAACATTCTAGTACTCACCCATACATCTTCCACGCGGCACAGATGAAGCTGGTGTAGCACATTGTCATGCTGATATGGTACGTTCCCTTCCACTGACGCCAGGCCTCCTCGGTGCTTTCACCGTACTTGACAAAATGGCGAGTCCACCATTTCTTGTTGGACTGTCTATCGAGAATAAAGCCGATCCCGATGGAGTACCACAGTCGCCAGATGATCGCGTTGAAGACGAAGAATGCTTGCCATGGCCGTGTTGATGGCGTAAGAAGCGCCATGCTGTAGATGTAGACCTGAAGGAGGATGACCGATACATCCGTCACACGATGCATATCCACATTCTGGAGTCCAATGAGGTTGTGTACTGGCGAGGGCCGGTCGCTGGAAGCAAKCGGAGGAGCTCCATTGACATGCCCAGCACTCATCAATCGAGTGCTGTACTGTGGCCGTTTCACAGGTGAGTCCGAATCGGCACGTTTCAGTGGTGCGGGCGAGTTGTAAGTCCTCTCAATCTACTCCATGTCAGCCAGTCCGTCTGAGCACACACGCTTGGAAGAAACTTACATGCGGGTTCTCAACAACCGTTAAGAATACAAGTTGCGCTGCGTGGGCGATGATTGAAATGAACAGAACCTTGTAGCTTGCAGCCATCATGGCAATGCCATAGAAACCCACGTAGCCGATCGAGTACATGGGATGTGGAGCAAGCTCAAAAACTCCATCGAAAGTCAGGTCCTGGTCGACGAGGTAGAAGAAGTCACCCCAGTACCACGCAAAGTCCTTGACGACTCGGTGTGCATCGAGCTTAACCCATAGGTTGAAGCCGATCAGAGCCACGCCACCAATCCAACGCGCGGCGGTCATGAAGTACATTTCATTTGCAGGACGACCACCGCACGCATAGGCAAAGAGGCAGTACGAGGTGAAGTCAGACATCAGAATCAGGTCTACAACTCGGCGGAAGAGCAGCCAAGTGTTATACTCGATCGGGGCTTCTTCGAACGTATAGTCCTTGGGAATCTTGGCTTCCATTTCGTTCTTGAGGAACTTGTAGAGGGCAGGACGGGGATTGTTGCCGCTTTTGGGGTTTTCGAATATCTTYGTCTTCTTGGCCCAGCTCACGAGGCGGTTATGATGCGACTGGTTGTGCAGCAGCCATCCAATGCCAAAGTTGTAACACCATCGCCAGAAGAGGAAGATCACGGCGAAGACGGGAATTCGTAGTTGCTCTGGGAGGATGTACATGAGGAAGAACTGGCCACCCAAGGCCACCACAATGGCAATGTCGGAAGCGTTCTTTGGTTGCATTGGGTCGAACAGCTGGGAGACCATGTCCTCGGTATGAGGCACGGTGAAGACTAGACATGGAAGTCATCAGCGCTGTTGGGTTAGAAAATTGGTCTGGAAGCTAGTCTGGAGGCGCGCAGTGTTGGTATGAGAGGGAATCTCTGTTACTGTTCACCTGTCTAAGGTACGTTGACAACATCACTGCTGCTGCTGCTGCGGCTGCTGCTGCTCCAGCCGCCAGCCCGACGTTATGCTTCGCCAGCCATTGGGAGTACATGTACTCACCCTTGCCATCTGGAGTCCGTCCATACGTCTTCTTGTCCTTTTCGTCCTTGCCATTGTTGGCCTCTTGCTGGTTCAATGCCTTGACGGCTTCGTGGGCTGATTCCGAGGATGAGGCCTGTTGCGGGGCATCCGGCTTTTGAAGGAGTCGTTCGCGAAGTCCGGACGCGTCGACTCCGGAGCCATTCGGCATGTTGTTCGAGTCGGTCATCGTGTTCCGGTGTAGTTCCAGGGCGGCATCGGGTTGAAGTCGATGTTCAAGAAGGGAAAAGGTTGAAGAAAGCGGGGCGTAAGATATATCTCAGCACCAAGCACATGCACAAGACAAGACAAGACAAAACAAGTGGAACCCTCCAGCAACCCACCTCGTTCGTTCCCAGGCCCACCCGCGTCACAAGGTTTGGGCTACATCATTGGCCTGCTCCGCAGAAGCTCTGCTTCAGCAAAAGCAACAGGTGAACGTGATGTCGCTCGCTTCTCGCTGCTGATGCAAAGCCGTGAAGGCGTCTCGGCGTGCGCAGGCAGCGTCAGGCATGGATGGAACAATGACGGAGCGATGGTCCTTGCTTGCAGGTCACAAGTTATGCTTTCTCGCTTGTCCACTGCCCGAAAGAAGTCTCGAGAATTTCAACCACTCCCATTCATTATTCACGCCGCAATGCGGACTACAAACTACAAAGAGGACCCGTGGCCGCCATGCTCCGTCTCATAGGTCTCCATTCCTCCGGACACCATCATTGTTGACCATTTGCTTCTTCCCTCACAGCTCGATCCGCMGCTACGACAAGTCGCAGACTTCTGCCAATGCGCGCGTTCCAGCGACATCTGTCACGGACCGTCTACCTCGATACCTGCCCCAATGAGCGATTATCAAATGCCTCTCAACCGTTTCCACTACAGAACTCCACCATACAGCTCTTTGTTGGCAATGCATGGCCGAAGCTTGGGCCCCATGTTCTCGGCGCTGCGGCATGAGAAGCAGTAGTGCTTCCAATGCCTCGAACCTCTCTCTACATCTGGTATCCGCGGCGATCTCTGGAGTCACGGGAAAATGTCTCACCTACTGAAAGCGAACCTCTAAAAGTTATGGCCCTCCGCAACCAGCGGCGCAACATTGTCAAGCTTTCTGTGCCTGGAACCTGAGTGATGAGGTGGGCAGTCACTTTGACGTGGGCTGCATCCCAAAACACTAACGACTCATGACATGCAAAGGCCGGTCCGCCGGTCCGCCGGAAATAATGTATCTTCCAGCTGTCTTGCCAGYCAAAAGCAGCCATCATATCGTAAATTAGGCGACCTTCAAGTAGCGGACCTGGCCCACACACTCTGGACGCAGCGTTGTGTTGGATCTCGCTGGTAGTCTCGCGGATATCGTCGACGAGGATGATGGCTACGCCCCCCTCCCGACACCTTCGCTTCAACAGACGAGCTCGTGGGAGTAACATTACGCATGTCATTGGCAGCCGCTTGCCAGACTAGCACAGGACAGCTTCCCGTTGCTAAACGGTGCATCCCACCCGCTTTGGAAGCTAAGGTTGACGACATGCGTATATTGTGTGGCCGCTGCTGCATGTGGCTGGTCTTGAGGAGCACTCCACGGCCGCGTACGCATGTATTTGACTGGAAAGTGTGCAGATATATTGACGAGCAGCWCATTCCCGACCTCTACGCTTGTCGGCGCTTGAAGCAGTCAACACACGTGAGGTTACTTTAGGCTCGCAAGTGTGGTTCGCGATCCTTCCGGAAGAGGAACAGAACTATGGTGGATGCTGAAGGCAAGTGAAATGGAAATAAGCCTGGGTGGCGAGCCGCTTCAACGTATTCCATCGCAGTAGGTATGATCTCTCTTTCCCTCTCCTTCCTACGTCTTTCCTTGCCAGCGCCGAAGAGCCTGAATGTTGCATTTTCAACGCCTTCCACTCTCCCTCGTCGTTTGGCATTGCAATATCTAGATCATTCCAGCAGCGTTCGAAAAAAGAAACTTTGCAGCAGCCTCCGCTTGGTCCCGATCTCGCTGGAGAACGGAGTTTCCGGGATCGCAGACCTTCGACTGGAATTTCTTCCGATAGGAAGCGGCCTGCAGCTTCGAACGATGTCTTGTGTGGGGTTGTAATTCGAGCAGTCAAGATCCGGATCCGCCTGCAGATCACTGTCGCTATGGTACAGCTGCCTCGCGCATCGAATCGAAATCGACGAAAACCAGACCGACACTCTTTGCGCACTGCTTTTGACTGGATTGGCTCAGATCCTTGCTAGGCCGTGGCCTTTCATAGGAGGGAAGGGAAGGCCACGTGAGCGCCCGCGCCGGCACAAATATTGCCGAATCTCGCTTGCAGCGTCCCGACGTACCGAATGGCTGTACATCTACCATTCGTGCCCACCTGAACAATTATGGACCACTCGATTGCTGTATACCTCCACATCACAGAGGTGGTGCTAGGTTTCGATGCTGTGTCGTATCTCACGGGCTTACAGCCTGCTTGTCGCCTGGGCTCTCCTGATCAACATATCAACCGGATCGACTGTTCGCCATCAGAGTTTCAGGTCACGATGCCTTTCCTTCGCTCCCGAGACTCACATTCAGCATTCCCGACGTACGATTCTGGAGTATGTTACCGCTGGCACGAACCTGACCCTTGACGATAACGATTCGTCTTGCAAACGCCCAAGCCAAGTAGTGGCTACGGATATCTGCCGGGTGGCACTCTCTGTTGCGACTACCCATCGGTCGAGTATCACTTTCGAGCTTTGGCTTCCTGATCAGTGGAGCGGACGTTTTCTTGCAACTGGGAATGGCGGTGTAGATGGATGTAAGTAAAGGCATCAGTCCATACACTGGGACTTGCTGATTCTCTAGCAAGGTATCAAGTATGAAGATCTTGCATACGGTAGCAGCAATGGCTTTGTAACCGCAGGTGCGAATAATGGCCACAATGGCACGACCCTTGTTACTGCGCTCGAAAACGAGGATGTCCTCGTTGACTTTTCCTATCGATCGTACGTGGCACTTTGTTTCTCATCTATACTTTGTCGCTAACCTCCCAAGTCTACACACAACTGCAGAGGTTGGCAAAGAGTTGGCGAAGCAGTTTTACGGGCAATGCCACTCAACGTCTTACTATCTAGGCTGCTCCTTGGGCGGTCGCCAAGCAATTGGCGCAGCAGACAGATTCCCGGATGACTTCGACGGGATATTTGCAGGCGCGCCCGCAGTTGACTTCAACAATTTGTATTCCTGGAGAGCGAGCTTCCCACTCGTCACTAACAAGTCCGACTCGGATCCTGTGATGGCAGAGACCTGGAAGGCCCTGGTCCACGACAGTGTCCTTAGTCAATGCGATGGACTTGATGGCGTTATGGATGGCATTATCGAGGATCCGACTCTGTGCAACTTCGATCCTTCCCTGCTGCTATGCTCCGATTCGCAAGACACGGGGTGCTTGTCGCCTGCTCAAGTCAACACAGTCAAAGGGGTGTACAGCCCATACACCTATCCGAATGGCACGCTCATCTACCCGGCCTTACAACCCGGCATGGAGATCGCTGCATCAGCAGGTTTACTATCCGGTCAGCCATTCGCGTATTCTGTGGACTGGTTCAAATATGTCATTTACCAGAACGCCAGCTGGGACCCATACACTTATAGCACGAAAGACGCTGCAGTAGCCAGTTTGAAGAACCCAGCCGACATCCAAACTTGGCCCCAGGATCTGGCTGCTTTCCGCAATCGCGGTGGGAAGCTGATCATGACGCATGGCCAGCAGGACCATCAGATCAGTAGCTATCAGTCTCCACGACTCTACGAACGCTTGCGAGAAGGTAGCGGGTCTAGCTATCGGGAGATGGACAATTGGCTTCGCTTCTTCCGCATCTCGGGCATGAATCACTGTAGTGCTGGGCCAGGTGCGTGGGTTATGGGACAAGGTGGCGGAGCAAGTGCCACGGGGATTGGTTTCGATCCTGAATCGAATATCCTGGCAGCTCTTGTGCAGTGGGTAGAGGGTGATGAGGCTCCTGAAACGATTCTGGGTACGAAGTTCGAGAACGACACTGTTTCAATGGGTCGGAAATTTCAAAGGAGACATTGCAGGTGGGTTCTGTCGGATCCCAGCTTTGGCTCTGCGCTAACTCGTCGACAGGTGGCCCTTCAGGAACGAGTATGTTGGTGGGGACGCTTCGGATCCTGCGAGTTGGAATTGCAGGCAACCATGAACGCTGGGAAAAGTGACGATGTGGGAGGCAGGCGAAATGAAGGTTGCTGAGTGTCCTCGCACCGGAACGATGAACACACTCACGAACATGTAGCTGTGGACACGAGAGGGATACACTTTTCGGAGAGATTAGTGCCTTTAAACGATTTCACCTCACGTATTGTGTCGTTGCTACTCCGATGACTTGTTCACGACGACACTACTCCGAAGTTCGACACTGAACACTACCCCTGCTAACGATTTCTCATGCTCTCACTGAGAGACTTGTATCAGGGAGAGAGTCTCAAATTTCGCATCGGCTTTCATGCTCTCACGTTTACGAAAACAAGCACGAGGACCTCCACGATCGATCTGTGCTTGGGGAGCGAACTTACATCATGCTGGWCGTCTAATGCCGCTGGACTCATTACCCCAACCCTAACCCTATCAATGTCAGCTTTGCACAGCCCCTTACCCCACAGTTCGCACCGTCCGTTTCTATTTCCAGCCCCTCACTCACCTGCTCCACATTTCTGATCAACGCCAAAGTCCACGGTCCACCAGCTGCTGATCAGAGGCAGACTGGCAACAACCATCTGCCATCCGTAACACCTGGAAGCATAAGCCGATTAATAACTAGACGCCAACAGGATTTCCTGCATACCACATCGATTTCTCACTACTAAGTATAGGGAGGGCAATCCAAGGCGCAGTCGTTTCCATGGCGTCGGCGGCAGTGTTTTAAGCTGGTGCCTGAAGGATTCGCATCCCCGACAAATACACCCAAGTAGCTGAAGGGCATGTAGGCAGTCGTTTTCCAATTTCACTACATCTCCCCGCGGTCTCACAAACACATTGCAGTCTTCATCAAACACTCTCATTTTCATCATTGCCAGTATCCCGCAGATTTCCTATGCCCGATTGCAAAGACTGCAAATTGTGCAGATTGAACCAGCTCTACATCCTCAATCACGATAGCAAGAAGAGCATTTTCAGCAGATACAACAACAAGAAGAACATCTCCAACAACGACAAATCGACAACCATGGCTCCCATCAGCGACTCAGACCGAACCCTTCGTGTCCTCAACGCCTGGCTATGGATTCCCGCATTCGCCCTCACTCTCGCCTATGGGATCACCGCCAACGAGGTAAAGCCCACCACCTTTTATACAAACAACACAGCCAGTTGACAGATATCTCCACAGGTCGTCCTCCCCCTCGGCATCATCCCAATGTCCTTTTCGGCCATTAGCACTCTCATCCACCTGAACCCCCCCTCCGCGAACCCAGCGAATAGAATTCTGACCGTCAGAGGAGGCCTTAGCGCCTTTTCAGACTTTCTGATCGCATCCTTTCTCCTGGGCCTGTTGATCCCTAGTTGGATCCTTTGTGCCGATGGATACAGGAGCTCCATGATGCTTGGAGCATATGCCACAGTTCCACTAATGATTGCCTTGTCAGTAGTCCCCAAATCGAACGCTCCCTTTTTTCATTTCAACAACAACACAAAACTGACAGTCAGTCCCTTGAACAGTTCCACCCACTCCTACTTCGTCCTTCGCGCTTTTGGCTATTATATGCTATCTCCCAGCAAGAAGACTTGCCCACATTGTAACGGCGATTTGACTCTCAAGCAGCGCGCCATGTCTGAGCACTCTGGCACCAGCCATAGCAGCAAGGAGTCATATCATGAAGTCCAGGATCGCGAAGCAATGGCGGGACTGGAGAGTGAAGATTACCGCGAGCCAAGGGCCAGCACTGATGATGAGAATGAGCGTCTTATCGTGAACTGAGCTGTTCCATCTACCTTCACCGGGGAAAGCAACAAACGACGAGCAACAAGCCAGAAGATGACACGACTGTCTTTACAACAGGGTGGGTGGCATTACAGAGGCGTTGAGGCATGTTAAAGGAAATGTACAAGACAGAATATTTCATAGTGCATTTACAGCAAGAAGTTATCGTCCACCCCATATCTCTGGACTGCAGAGACTTTTCTCCTCATCTTCGTCATGGGAGCTTATTGCGTAACTTCGTCGTTCTCCCCGTGCCGTGAAGGACCAAATGCAACGCCATTCCATGCAAGACTTCCCAGTAAACGCCGTGCCGAAGCAATAGTACAAGYGTATCTCAATCCAGAAGAATGGTGCCGTCGTCATCAATCACCAGCACCTCATCATTGGTAGCCTTGGCCTTTTTCGTGCCGCCATCAGCCTCGATGTCATCCTCCGCTCCGCGTTTCCGCTTGGAGCCTGCAGGAACGCTCGTAGCAGCAGCAGTGGGAGGCGCGATGGCCAGCCCAGCAGCCGAGAGATCGCTATTGTCATCCTTCTTGATTGGTTTAGGTGGCAAGATGATCGTGTCAGGCACGAGCGCAACCTTGTCAGTACCCTCCAATGCCTTGCTACTGACACTCAGCATGAGGTCCACCTTTGGTTCATCGCTGTCGTCAGTGACTGTGATGAAACCAGTACCCTTGCCATCTATGCCCAACTCCTTCAGCGGCTTCTCGAGATTATCGTCGAGATCTGGGTCGTAGATCATGCCAATATCCGCAGTGATCGAGAAGTCCTCGTAGTTTAGCCGTAGCTTGAGTAGCTCCACAAGCTCTTGCAGTGTCGTGGTACCGTCTTCTGCAATAACGAGCTTGGCGTAACAGGGCGAGCAGACCGGGCAGTCCGGACGAGGCGATGAAAGACCTTCACTGCTGATGATGCGATCTGTGTGTTTCGATGTGAGGAACACCATTTTTGACCCGCCCAGCTTGAGATCGCTGCCGTCAACTGCCTGCGCGTTTGCAGATGGCTTCCTGTTTTCTTTGGGAACCTGACTTCGGATGATCTTGAACGCTTGCATCACACACAAGCTGGCGGTAAGCGCATTTGATGTGGCAATCGCTGGAATGATGTTACCCGCCATTTGCTTAATGTCCCACTCGCTCTGTAGTGGGATTCCAAAGGCTTGGGAGCGAAGGTTGGCGGCGGCCGTCACAAAGTCCAGCGTGTCCTTGTCGTCCTTGTCAAATTCGATCGAGGTCTCTCCGGCTTTGACACGCTCGCACAGCACACCGATGCTATAACAGAACACCTTCATGTTGTCCTGCAAGGTCCACACAGCTTGATCCTGCTTGGACAGCTCAAGACCATGCTTCGCCGGACTCTTGTCGATATTGGTCTTTGACCAACTGAGTGTGGTTGGTGGTGGCCGACTTGTCCACATCTCCGTCATCGACCGCAGCCGCTCGATGTCGTCGTGGAAGACCAAGTTAAACACCTTCTCCGCGAAATCAGACTTGCCCATAAGACTTCTTATGTTCTTCAGCGCTTCGGCCTCTTCCTTTAGCTTGGCCACCTCCTCCACGTTGTCATGCTCGGTGACTGCCACATCTGTCGACTCGTCGTCCTCACTCGCCCCAAAAAGCTCTGGCAGGAGGTATGACTTTGCCCAGACTATGCAGTGAATGGGTTGTGATGGTGTTGATCGGATGGTGCAGATCGGGTAGGATTTTTGCACCGGCTTCTCGTTGCAGTCGTAGCACTCGGTGACTCCCTTGCGGATGGCCTGGACCTGACCATTGAAACCAGTAGTTCCGCTCTCGATGAGTGGCACATCTGCGGCCAGACACATACGGTTCACATGGCGACGTGCAGCCAAGTTGTCTAGCGCATTGAAGACGAGGTCGAAGCCCTCGAAGAACTCGACGTTGTATTGGCTGTCGTAGATTGAGGCAAAGTGAGCATCGATGTTCACTGACGGGTTGAATTGGCTGACGGTCTCTTTGGCGACAGTGGCCTTTGGCTTTTTGATATGCTGCTTGCGGAACAGGAATTGGCGGTTGAGATTGCTGAGGTCGATGGTGTCCAGATCCACCACCACAATCTCTGCTTTGCGGGTGGGGGCTACAGGCGCAGTTTGGGGCTCCGTCGCACCTGCCTGCTGCTGCTGCTGCTGTTCCTGTGTCGGTGGCGCACGCCATCCACTACCGAAGCCGCAGCACACGAGGTTCTTGAGCAGTTCGCAGCCAATACCGCCGGCGCCGACCAATAGCACACGGCTCTCCTTGATACGCTTAGTAAGAGGAATGCCGAGCGACTGTGCGATGCCGCGATCACGACGCTGCATGCTGGCGGTGGCGTAGATGAATATCGAAGAAGTGGTCGTGACTGGCGCGTGGAGGTGTTTGTTGTAGTGGTAGAGGCGGTTGTTGAAGTGCGGTGGTCCGTCGAAAGTGACGCGTTTGTTGTGGACGTGCAGGTGCGACACGTCAGGGATCAGGCCTGCGAAGGAGGTGAAGTCGGCGGTGCATGTGCGCGGGCGCAAAAGGCAGTGAATGAATGTGAGATGGACGCTCGTTTAACCTCACGAAGGAGACGAGCGAGCTGCAAGCCATCAAACAAGCCTCAAAGTTCACAGGGAGGATTAAGCGAAACCTTAATCGGCAACGGGTCCGATGGTTCGAAACACCAYTTTCCAATTGACWTTCGCATAGACGATGCTATACAACACACACCCGCACGACGCCCATCATGTCAGACGACGAGGTGGACTATGAACTCCTCGACTTGCTTCGGCAGCGACTGGGCATATCAACAGCCCCCAAAGACGAAATCTCTAGCGAAACTGGTTCGTCTTCATCGGGCATTATGCCCCTGCATGAATTGCTGCCATTGCTTGCAGGTTTCGCCAATTTTGACGAGAGACAGGCGTTCTACGCGATGCAGAGTTCATCTACAACAACTCGATCGATGTGTTCATCAACATGCATGGAACGAAAGCAGCCGCAGCGGCCATCTATAAGAGCATGCAAGAAAGAGCCTACTCCACCGAGACCTGGAGCCAGCATGAATTGCATCCCAGTATCAAAGAAGGATTCTCCGGAGTAGACCTCGTCAACTTTGTCTTCACGTTAGATTTGTTGAACTTTTCGTGAGATATATATCGATGCAAATGAGTTGGGAAGTGAGCCGCTAATGATCGTATCAGATTCTGGTCTGAACTTGACGAAACCGAAAGATATCAAGTTGAATATAGGGGCCAACACTGGACGGGCTACAACAGTCTAGWAGCTTGTCTACGAAGAGCTTTGGACGAAGGTATTCCGATCACAACCCCTCGTTTCTGGCGGAGCCGGCAATGCTCAGATGACTTGCTTGCCAACGTCTTTCGAAGTGCCACGCAAGAGCAAATTCCCCTACTGGAAGGGCGGATTGCCAATCTGCGAGAGGCTAGCGAAGTTTTGCGAGAAGTACGTCAGAGCTGTAAGACTATGTGAGATGTGAGCTGATTGGACAGAAATATCCGGATCCAGAGGGCGAGGACGACGAGGATGACGAGGACGATGACCTTGTAGAGGAGAATACGATTGCACCAGACGGTCCAGAATCCGCGATGCAGACTATCACGGAAGGAGACTTGGGAGAATCTACCCTTGAACACCACAATGGAGACGACTTCCTGGAAAGACAGTCACCACCACCACTACCAACAGCCTCAGAAGCCCAACGAGCACCAAAGACAGCAGAAGATGTCCAGGACATGAACCCCGAGACTACCATCAATCCAGCGGACAGCCATGGAGGGGCCACACATGCACAGACAGACGCCAACGCATCACCGACGCACGCCCCAGAATCATGCAGGAACACCAAACCGCCATCCGACAGCCGGCAGAAAGATCACAGGCCTGACCATGMAGTCGTACGCCTAATTGAACGCGCCGATAAATCGGCCGGCCGTCTGGTCAATCTTCTCGCCACGCAATTCCCATTTTCGTTTCGAGACGAGGCCCGCTTCGACGGTCGGAGAGTGAAGCTGTTCAAACGAGCCCAAATATTCGTAGCAGATCTGTGGGCTGCGCTCAATGCGCGCGGGCTGGGCGAGTTCGACGACGTCGATCATCTGACGATGTTCCCCGGTACGTCAATACGTGCCACAGCAGGCAACTTACGTGCATGTGCATGAGTGGCAGATCAGACATGTACATGCATGGACGTGGCTGCAGCGTAACTGATGCGATCTCCTTACAGATTATCGAGTTGCGCAGATGCTGTATGGCTTGGGAGTGTTGTCGTACAGCCCTCCTCTTGACTWTCGTGTCAACAATCGCATCATCATCGAGCCTGGCCACTCTTGGGAAGTCCAAATCCGGTGAGCACATCTATGTCTAAGTTTGCAATGTTTTGGAGATTACGAGCTGACTTGCATCGTTCCCGCAAGTGGCTGTAGCATTTGGGCAGTCGAATTGCTGCGACGAGAGATTGTAAATCTGCATCCAGAAACCCATGTCAATGCAGTACTGATAGATTTCTTCTTGTACGATTTGGCCAAGGAGCGGGAGGCGAATGGTGAGTTTCGATTGGCTGCTGCTGCAAACGTTGTGCGACCCAGAGGGCTSATCGTGAAACACGCATGTAGCCGGAGCGCCGCACCACCGTACAAGAAGTACCTGGTATTGAAGGCCTGGACGAAACGCTACACAGCCCGGAATGAATCGCGCGGATGAGGTTGCGTCCAACATTTGGTGTGTGGAAACATGACGAGGCTTGGGAAAGCTGGAGGGAAACTCGACGTCGATGCTCGTGTTGCATCATTTGAAGCGCCAAGATCTCCTCCGATCTGCCGCTAGTGCACGACGGCTGGCCTGGCTAGCGGGACCCGTTACACGACCCGCATGTGTGCATGCGCTCGAAGTGCATCCTTGGATGCTCATTGGCTCATACCCAAGACCTCACCACTTCCATCAGGAGCTGTTCACCCCTTGCACAGCTGAGCACAACCGCGTATGTGCGGCGTTTGTAGAGCACTTTAAGGTCGCGTATCTCTCTCTCTTCCACCTTCTTCTGTCTTCACCCGTTTCGTTTGCCAGACACGCGCCGCAGCTTCCTCTCGCCGTAGTCACTCTTTCGCCGTCGCTAGTCGACACCCACACTCTTTTCATCAACACACACACACACACACACACACCCCCACACTCCTTCACGAGACAGCTGGAACTGTCAACAACAGACAGCACTTCTTCAACAATCGCAGAATCAAACGAAGCAAGTGCAATCATCAAAACTCGACAACGCTTCGCAATCATCGAAAATGCTCTTCATCAACTCCATTGTGATGTGCGCCTCTCTGGCTGCCGCCATTCCTCATGCGCATCGCCATGCGCAACTCCACGCTCGCCACTTCGAAGTCTCGCTCGCCGGTCGATCCGAGCTTCCAACATCGCCTCTCAACGGCGTCTGTGGCGGCGACTCGGGTTTCGGATGTGTTGCTGGATCTTGCTGCTCGCAGTATGGATTCTGTGGCACCACGGCAGACTTCTGCGGTACAGGATGCCAATTCGGTGCGTGTGACGGTGCTGCCACTGGACCCGCAGAGACTCCCGGTCTCGATGTGACCTTCTCGCCTGTTGCGGCAGCGGTGGAGACTCATAATCCAGCGCCGAAAGTCTACGGCTCGCCTTCCCAAGGTGCWGCAAAGAACTCAGCACCAGCATACTCGGCTCCTGCTCCATCCACCACTTTTGCGACTGCTTATGCCGCTCCGACCTCGAGCTCGGTTCAMGCCTCTGCACCATCTCCCTCCTCCGCATCCTCATCGCCGTCATCTGGCTCGAGCTCTGGTCTTGGCGACATCTTCAAGATGTACCTGGGCGACGGTTCTACCGGCGCAGGCTGGCCATCGGATAGCGAGTGGTGTTCCTACGACGGCGCTTGGGAGGCCAACCTTCCAATCATCGGCGTCTCCTGCGCTCAGTTCGGAGTCGACAACAACTCGGATGAGGAGAACGCCAATCTCAAGTCTGCAATCTCAGAAGTTGCAGCTTCTGCCGGACTCGATGAGCGATACATCCTGGCGATTGTCATGCAGGAAAGCAAAGGCTGCGTCCGTGCTCCAACTACTACCTACAGTGTCCGCAATCCAGGCCTCATGTGAGTATCTTCCTTCGACGATTGAATCAATGAACGTCATACTAACTCAAGCCCAGGCAATCTCACAACGGCCAAGGCACCTGCAACGACCCGGCCAACGGCGGCATCCAAAATCCCTGCCCGAAATCCCAAATCACCCAGATGATCAAAGACGGCACCATGGGCACTCCAGACGGCGATGGTCTCATGCAGACAGTCCAGCAAGCCGGATGCGACGACGTCAGCAAATACTACAAGGCTGCACGAATCTACAACTCGGGTCGCGTGACGGGCAACGATCTGAGTCTAGGTGTCGCTACGCACTGCTATGCTGCGGATATTGCAAACCGATTGACGGGATGGACTTCGGCTAGCAGTACATGCACATTGGACTGAAAGAACGATGGAGGGTCTTTCTTATTCGAGTGGGGTTTCAAGCTGGGGTTTTACTACGACGACATGAACTTGGTATGGAGCATCGCATGGCGTACATGGCGAACCGAATGAAGGGTATCTCTTGTCGATTGATGGATGGGTGGTGGCTGTACATACATCTCATCATGAATGATACGTTGCGCTTAAACTTTGTGGACCGGGATTCCTAAGTCTCATCGCTCTCCATTTCGTTCCATCTATCTCGGTTTATGATTGCCTACTGAGCTCGTTTCAGGGTCTGTCCTCAGGCGATGTGGGAGATGGAATCTGGAAGGCTTGTTGTCGATTTTTTCTAACATTGCTACGGCAGACGTAACCTACGATGCAGAAATCTTTGAAGCACATCCCCTTGAGTGGGTATGAAGCTCGAAGTTTCCCGTAATCCCACAAAGCTCCGAAGTACCCAAAGAATTGGCTGAGCCACCTATGACTCCCTAAACTCCACTCTCCCTCTCCAGCCACCTAGACTGGAACCCAAAACTCACCCCTCGAGCTCTTCCAAGCTGCTCCATCGAAAATCATTTCCGCACGCACGAGCCGCTTTGGCCCCACGCAGCACCAAGCCCATTACCTGCCAATACCAACTGATGCAAACACTCTGGCGAAGTATCAAGCACAGTCTTCTCAATTTCATCAGCCAAATACCAGTCCTGCTCACTCCAATCAACATCCTCTTCAGCAGCCGGAACCCCATTTCCAAGAACCGCATCGCAGAGATGATCAGCATAATAAGCATAGTTATCCGCATTTCTCGCCGCGAGTTCCTTCGACCACACAGCCAACTGCTGGGAATTCTTCTCGCCGTAGCAGGTTCCCAACGGTTCAAGCCTGAGATCTCCCGGAGGCGGATCCACTGTCGCGTGAGCGAGTTCGTGGATCATGACATGGGAAGGCCAGGGGGTGTCGAAGTTGATATTGTCTAAGAATGAAGGACAGAAACCAATGAGTTGGGTTTGGAATCCGACCGAAGATCCAGTCACGTTAGGTTGGACTTTTGTAAAAGCACTAGCACCAGAGTTCGGGCCGCAAACTTGTTCGATGATGTCTCCTTTGCAGACGTAGGGTTGGTCGTTCCATTTGTCGTGGATGTGGGAGAAGACGTCGGTGATGGCGTTGAATTCTTCGGGGCTGGTGGTGCCGAAGTAGCGTTCGAGTAGAACGGTGTTGCTGTCTCCGGCAAAGGCGATTGAGCCGGCGTGGACTTGTAAGACTGTGTCGACGCATTGCAATCCCAATCCGAGAGCCCGGACGACGTTGTCTGCCTCGCTTTGAGTGCAATTTTGGACCTCAATAGCTGTGGCTCGGGCGGTTGCTACCAGGAAAAGAGTGGCGAGGATGTTAGCGAGCATTGTGGCGTTTACGGAGGGGAAGGTGAGGTGAGTCGAGGCCGGTGAGGTTTCGGAAGTTAATGGAAGTTGGTGAGTTGCAGGATAGAATGGTCGATGAGCAAGTGGCTGTGTTGAAGCTCTCTGCAGTCCTGGTCTTTGCGGTGTGCAGGGCGTTGTGGACGAGCGTTGATATCTGAAAGTTGATTGAGAGGAAGAGAAAGAGAGAGAGGAGAGAGGCTAAAAAAAGGAAAACTGCTAAGACTATGGGTGCCGTGCGTCTCCGATCAATTCTACGTTCCATCTCCCAGCAAGCTCAAGACCATGGGTCCATTAACTTATGCTTGTCATTAGTAAGAAGTAAACTTTCGCAATACCAACATGCGGTTCGCGGCGGAGGAATCCCTCTCTTTCAGCGGAAAAATTCGCCGGGCTTGAGTTGAGTACTTCCTCTTCTCTTCGAAAACCCATGACGTTCAAGGAGATATGATGAAAGGGGCTTGTAAATTTATGCACTTGGTTCTGTCTTGCGAAGATCGACTTCCTGTTCCAGCTTGCAAAAGCCTTAAATTCATGCTCCTGCGAAATATCGGTCCCGGATAAACCTTAATCCGAGTGCCGGAGAGTGAAATGCTTGTTGCTACTTGGCCTCAAGGTCCGGTGAAATTGAAGATTGCCAGCCTACTTGCAGCAGTCAAGTATTTTGTACTGTCAAGAAGACGTAATTCGAGGTTGCTCACTTTTGTGCTTGTAGCTAGCTGTACGCGAAAATCGTTGTCGCTTTACTACACGGAGGGCCGGCAAGCTTCGACTTCCTCGGCCTAGCTTACGAACATAGATTCTACTGATGGCCGACATACTATCAATAGAGTTCTAATAACCGGTCATCTCGTAGCGATTCCTTCGTCATGGTAAGGATGCACTGTTCCTTTGTTATCGTGAGGAGCGACAACCCTGCCATAAGAACAAAGGATCTAGCCACTTCAACCTCATCTCGGCCGACTCATAGTTCGGACATATAATACCTACCGGGCAGTATCTCTCCTTGCATAATACCAATGATGTAGACAGGAACGTGGGCAAAAGAGGTCACATGCCGAAAGCTTCCATAGTCGACTTCAACATACCGTACCGAAGATTCAGAGAGGAACGTGGGCAAAAGAGATCACATGCCGAAAGCTTCCATACTCAACTTTAATACCGTACCGCACATTTAGAAAGGAACGTGGGAAAAAGAGGTCACATGCCGAAAGCATCCACAGTCGACTTCGATGTACCGTACCGCAGATACTAATCGGCTGTAACCGAATATCGTAAAACCTACGCTTGGCCTCGCGAATACCAAGTGTAGAATGGAACACTCAGTCAGCCGGTTTGGCATCCAACCAAATACACTCAGAACTGTGAAGAGACAAGCTAGACATGGCAGCACTCTAAGCAGCTCATGGATAGTGTATGTAGCGTCAGGAGTGGTCCTTCCCGATGACTATACGAGACGAAGGTCGACCAACCGAGCGAAAAATTAAGCATCAAACCATACGAAAGGCCAGATATATCATCCATGCTTTGCTGAGATTGTCGGCAAGACGAATGCGAGATGCTCTTTTTAAGATGCTTTGTATGATTTGATATTTTCTCGGCAGCCTAACGTCGTACGTATATAAAAAGTGAATGAATGGATTTAAAATTACTTACTCTATCAGATCCAGCTCTAGTATACGGGCATAGGTAACGGCCACGTTGTAATTTGTGATGTTGAGGTTGCACCGGATAATCTTTAGCACCTTCTGTTCTCAGACCCTTAGGCAAGCCAAGGAAGCCAAGCAAATCAATAAGGAAGCGACCGGGCGGCAATCTAATGTCTGAGAAGGAGGTAGGAGCAGGGATGGCGATACAGACTGACATGCATGGTTCCTTGTGCTCCAGCAGAGCACTCATCCATCGGCTATCGTCACATGTGAGAACGGCTGCAAAGAACCTTGGGTGAAGAGGGAGGTGGCTCAGGGTCAGGTCCAGGGGCTCCTCATTCGAACAAAGAACTCAACGTCACTCCATACTCCAGCATGTAGTATTGGACAGACTGGCACGCTTGACGGGGGTTCTTTACGCATGGTATACCATGGTTTGGAAAGCAACAAATGATGAACAATAGCATTGAGAGTTGAGTACGTATTGCGGCACAGACTTCGGTGTTGCCCAATCTGATCACACTCGCTTTGTCTAGAAGAATGGGCTTTGTCATGCTTTGAAAACAACGAGCAATAGCATTGAAGGTTTCTTTGACGGCTACAATGGCATTGGGACTTTCTCATGAGCAACTTTCGTAGCTGCTTTGGAGTTGCTACTCCGGCATTGCGTTGGTATGCTTTTGTTCAACGAGGACATTGTCAAAGGTCTGGAGAATGTCCCATTGCTTGGACCCGGGAGGTGATAGGTACATATAGTGTCTCAGATCATCAGTCGTAACAGCATCATCAAGCCACAGCTTCATCGAGACCACCATCTTCGTTGAATCACAGAAAAGCCGGCCTTTTCTATACGACTTTGATCGAATCACAACCCAACCACACCGTGTACATTCGACCCACCCCTTTCAACCCTCTCTCAAAGATAGCGACCGTCGGTGCCCTCGCATCATCACCCACCACAACCATGTCCGCTTTCCTCACCACAATCGCAGCTGGACTGCAAGGAAACCATACCGACGTGCTCAACCTCAGCGTGGATCAGGTCAGTCTTCAATTCTTCTCCTCCCTACGCTCTTACTTCCCATGGCTCGATAGGTTTCTAGCCGTCGTTCTACCCGTTGCAATCCTRCTCACCGGTCTCTGGCAACATGTCTCCAGAATCTACACACTGACCAGCGGCGTGCAGAAATCCCTACTATCTCATCTCACCGTACCTGGCTCTCATGAGCTTAACAAGTTGGTATGTTCCCATCTATCAAAGCAAGGATTCGGACAGAACCCACGCTCAGTACAACTCGCGCCATACGATACCGCCTCTAAGGACTCCAACGGTCTGAACTACCTGCCCGCCCCGACTACGGACGCTTGGTTCAAATTCAACGGCACTTGGCTCAAATTCACTCGCAAAGACGTACAAACGCCCAACAACAACTTCCATCCCTTTCTCCATGAGACGCCCGGTGTTCCGGACCCCGACGTCACCCTCTCCTGCTTCTCGTTGACCGGAAACGTCAAGCCCATTAGGGATTTTCTTGATCATCTGAAACAGGAAGCAAAGGGCGAGAAGCACACGACTCGAATCATACGAATAATTCCCGGCCAAGGTGGATATGGCGGGTTTGGAACCCGCTCGGTCTACAAGCCTGCGAGAAAGCTCGACTCCGTTGCCATGGATGCATCGAAAAAGAGCGAAATGGTTACGACCATGACGGACTTTATTGCTTCCGAAAACTGGTACGCGGATCAAGGTATTCCCTGGCGGATAGGTTACCTGTTCTATGGGCCTCCAGGGACAGGTAAGACCTCGATAGCCACCGCCATTGCTGGACACTTCAATATTCCGCTGGTCATCGTAAGTCTGGCCCAACCTGGGATGAACGACACGACGCTTCAGCAAGTCTTCGACGACCTTTTGCCCCCCAACTGCGTTTGCCTTTTGGAGGATATAGATTCCGCGGGAATCGGGCGCGAAGGAACCGCGAAGCCAGCCGACGAGGACTCCGACAACAACCCCAGCGATCCCCGGACCACCGCGCTCATGAGTCGCCCAGTCAAACCCAAGCCAGGCGTCAGCCTGGCTGGCCTGCTCAACGCCATCGACGGAGCTGCCTCACACGAGGGTAGGATCCTCGTGTGCACCACCAACTCTCCCAATTCTCTCGACCCAGCACTTCTTCGTCCGGGGCGCATCGACATGAAGATCCTCTTTGGAAACGCTTCAGCCGAGGTCACCGAAAGCCTCTTCCGCCATATYTACAAGGACATCAGCGGCGAGCGCACCAGCCCAGACGTGGCGCAGATGGGGAGACGTTTTGCGGCTTCCATCCCAGAAAAACAGGTAACGCCAGCAGAGATCCAAAACTTTCTTCTTCCACATCGTACCGACCCGTCCAAGGCGCTCGACGGTGTGGAGGCGTGGGTGAAGGACATGCTTGCTTCCAAAAAACAAAGCGGCAACGTTGCGAGCTTCGAGGGGCAGATCTGAGGATGCTATCAGCGCCGCAGAGAAGCCTCAAGAAGCCGTGATTCATTCCATCCGCCGTAAAACTGAAGAGTAAACATCCAGATTTAGAAATTAGAAACAGTTCAATTGGATCATTCCATCCATACTTCAACGCCGTGCCTTCAGCTCATACTCCCGTGAACTTCTCGTAAATGACTGCCGCTAAGCAATACACAGGTCAGAACACGTGAAAAGTCTTGGAGTTCTTACTTCGCAAGCCAGAATGTAGCCCCTGATATCGACGGCTTGGCGTGCTGCATCGTTGCAACCCCTGGAAATTGAGTAGTACAGTTTCCGTCAGCAACGATCTCCAAGGTTTAGTTCCCTACCTTTCCATATCGAGCGTCGCCAATCTTCCTGAGAACACCAGCCGTTTCTTCCAGAGACGAATCTCATCGCGCAACGTCGCCGTCTGCTACTCGCGCTTAACAATGAAATCTTGACACTAACCTTGAGCGCTGCTTCTCCCTCCTCTTTCAATCGACACCGAAAGTTCGAAAGAAATCTCATCAGCGAAGTTTAAACTTACCGGACGAAGCTCTCCCAAACGCGAGGGCGATCTACTTCCACAATGAACAATACACAGACCAGTAATCCTCGGTCAGCTCAAAGCAAATACAAGAACCGCGAAGATCTAGCCGCCACCGGTGAGAGGCTGAAACTTTCAGCTCATGTGCCACAAGGAATGGGAGGTATCTATACTTTTCCGTTGGAGCTTCCCTTCCGACAAGGCGACGAAGGGATCGTGAAGACGACCATCATCGGCACTACCGGATGCTCGACATGTGTGGGAGTGTACATCCCTATCGACGACGACCGCTGCTTTGCGGCACATTTCGACGGAGCTTCGTACAAGCGACCTAGGAATAGCAGCGTCTATCAAGTGCCGGATGCACTGGCCGAATACTTCAAACTTGCTGTCAAGACTTCCTTGGATCACGTGTTCAAAGGTAAAGAACAGGATGTCGAGACCATCCGACGTCGAGAGGATCTCAAGGCCAGAGCTGTGGTTGTATCGACTTGGCTGGTAGTTGGTGGGCAAAAAGGACCAGGCTTTTACATCATCGATGTCTTGTGCGATTACTTCCAGCTGGACAAGCTGAAGCTGGCGAGTAAATGCAGTGCACATCACGGGTTCGTCGTCGATCACTGTGATCAGTCATCCCAGAGCCTTCATTTGCTGGGCTGGACACGGCCTGCACCAGACGAAAAAGTGTTTGATGAGATTTCCAAGCTCGCTGATAGCTGCCCAGAGCCTGGGTGGGATGAAAAGTTCATGTCAATCTACAGGACGACGTACGAGTGGGTGATGCCTTGGAATGCTGGATGGTGGGCAAGACCGCTCCTGAATGCCGGAGAAAAGAAACCATTTCGTTTCCGATATTACCATGACGAGGCTGAAAGTGGTAAGGGCCGGGGAAAGTGGGGAGTTGGACCATGACCTGGAGTGTCGTCGCCGCACCCCGTGTAGCGGAATTTTCAGCAGACGAGAGCGGTTAAGCCAGAACACTCGCGAAGAAATCTCTCGAAGTGAGCTCCGTCTCGTGCGGGATTCTTCCAGAACGCATCAAAGGTCTGCCAAAGTCTAGCGCTGCAACCTGTCTCAGCCACGCGAAGGGTATGTCCCATCCCACACAGTGACATGCACATCACTGATGGCAGCCATCTTCAGCATTCCTGCCTAATCTCGCCATGGATCGTTTCGATAGCATCAATTCTTGCTTCCGCCTCGTGTAAGGTGTCGTATATATCGTCCCAGCGTCCACTGTTGTGCGGTGATATGCCGACAAGGTAGTGTTATCCAGCTGAGACGCGGAGAGGAAAGCTAGTAAGTTACTGTACTGTGCAAGCCCACGGGTGATCTCGTCAACTTCGAGACCATCGGTGCTAAGCTGTGCTGCTCGCTAGGCGTGAATTGCCGGAGGTTGGAGCGAGTCATTGGCGATTCCAAGTCTAGGAGGCAGATTGCATGCTCTCGCAGACTTTCGAGATAGCCTGTCGTCAGAATTTGCCGATCGCTCAGTAGTTTGGAGATTCATCGTGGTTGATGTAATAACGGTCATGATGTATTCTCTGGATTGAGTAGGTAGGTACATGTACCTGTAGTCGGATAAAGGAGCTCGGGTCACGGTACGAGCTCCGCTATCCAATGACAGAGCACACAGCATCCCCTAGCTTAAGCTTGGCACTCGGCACGAAATGCCGCAGTAACTACATCCCATCACTCGCCTTCCCTTGGTTTAAGTCGCATCTGATCAACACGAAGTGAACGAGAGCTCATCTCCATCTTTGCTTAAGAACAAGATGGTGCTCGTGGTAACAGATGTACGACAAGTGATTGTCGTAAAGAAGCATGCCCATTCCATTGCAGACTTCGAACATCGTGGCTTCCACCATGTCCTCGTGAAGGGCGACCGCAAGACTGCGGTATAGCGAGACGACACGAGGAGCAGATGTGCATCCATAACTCGGAATTCTGCAACACATATCTCCAAGATGCTGCCCAAGTAGGTACCCATGACAGTATTTTGGTCGTGGCTGAATTCGTGGTTCTAGACTTCAACTCTATCTACGCCACACGGCCTACCCGACTGCCACGTGAAGAATACGAACAAGACTCCTTTGCCTAGACTCTCTCTGGAACAATGTCTAGCCGCATACGGTTGCAGCACTCTCGCTGTGGTGATTCGAGAAATCACTATAGCCAAATGCGTACTCGCCTCGCTCCCGAGCCTGCGACTGGGCAGATTACTTAATAGATGCCCCGCGAGATCTTGACGGGACGAAACTTCACCTCCATCCTCACTTCTCCTAGCAACAATGAAGCTCCTTCATGTCCTTCTCACTTTGCCAATACTGCTCGATGGATCCCTTGCTTCTCCCCTCGAACATGTCGAGAAGCGACATACCCAATCCTGTGGTGTTGTCGGGTACGATCGTGGACAATATGTTGTGAACAGACGCGAGTGCAGTGTCTCCGATTGTGCAGCCTCCTGTAAGAAGAGTTCGAAATGTCAGAGCTATGGTTACGGCAATAAGGTCTGCCGACTGTACTCAGTACCGGTCAAGAACAACGTTCGTCCGAAGTCGGATTCGCCATACAAGTTCTGTGACAAGGCTTGTAGCTCTCCGGCTACGAAGACGACGAAAACAACAACAACAACGAAGAAGGCTACTCCGAAGTCAACAACAAGCTGTATCACGACCGTAAGACATTCAATATCCATGTTAATTTGCAATGTGGGATCCTCTGACCATGCCATCTAGACTAAGAAAGGTGTTTCCACGACTACCTCCAGAACGAGCACCTCCGCAACTTCTTCGTCGATGACATCGAGACCTGTAACCACATCTTCTACGACTACCACCACGACTTCGGCGACAATATCATTAACTACCCCGACCCTGTCGTCCACATCTAGCACGACTGCTCCAGTGACCACGACAACAACCACCCCAGTGACAACAACCACGAGTAGCACAACAATAGCCGCCACGACCACAACAATCCCATTAGCATGTCCATCCAACCTCCCCTTCACTTTAGAGTCAGTCAGGGACGATGACACTTTCAACTCCCTCGGTGGATATATCCCGCAGGAATCGATGAACCCCAGGACAGATTCCGCCAATCTGGTTTTTGAKCCGGGTTTTATATCAGCAGTATTCACCCTTGACTCCTCCTGTCACCTTGTTTCCTCTACCAGCGGAAACTCAGCTGTTGTGGGTCTTGACCAGGGCGTTTCTCCTGTCATCTTCGACGCCGTTCCAGGCTTTATACCAGGCGTGTGTACTGTACTACAAAGTGGATCACTGTCGTGCGCTTTTGGAAGTCGCACCGGCACAGCCAATCAATTTGCTCTGGACGAGATGGGGAGATTGTACGTTGGAGAGAACATCGCCGCAGGAGTCTATCGCACCGATGTGGTGGTTCAATTCCAAACGGCGCCCAGCACTACCACGACCGCTACTTCTAGCACAACAACGACAACGAGTAGCACCAGCGTAACACCAACCACGCCCGCCGTAGCATGCCAATCCAACGTCCCCTTCACCCTCTCATCGCTCAGCAACGACGACAGCGGCATCACCACGGGATACCTTCCCCAAGAACTAATCGTCAATGGTCCTCGAACCGATCCCGATTACTTGATCTTCAAAACAGGCGTCACAGCAGCAGTCTTCACGCTCGACTCTTCCTGTAACCTAGTCTCCTCCCGCAACGGACATCCCGCGACTGTACTTCGCCAGGATTCCACTGCGGTCAATTTCGACCGCAATGCAGTTGTAGATACAGGCGTGTGCGACATAGCCTCGGCAGGGGGAGCTAATGCGCTGTTCTGCACTTTTGGAAGTCGTACTGGTAGCGAAAATCAATTCGCAAAGGATGATGCGGGACGCTTGCATGTGGGTGCCGATTATGATGAGGGGATATTTCAGACTACTGTGCTGGTTAATTTTCAGTAGAGATGGAGCTTTGCGTTGGAATCGAGGGACTAGGGTTGGAGTTTGTAAGCGGGTAGGATTGTKCATGAATCTGTGCATATGTAGAGACATCCCTTTCGAAATGGCTCTTCAGCAGTTCCGCCGTTTCTTGGAGAAATTGAGATGATCTGGCTCATGTGTGCATCTCAATACGCTTGAATTGTTGAGCGTGACAGCTGCATCCACCTCAGATGGGTTGATTCTCCTGATGTGGAGTTCATACTATCTCAAGGCCTCGCCCTCTACAGCTGTACGTCGTGGATGGTAGACATACCAAACGACCCAGACTGTGAGTTCGAAATCCATACGCAGGGGTTGAAGGCTCTTTCTAGAGAAATTCGACGCGAATGAGACGGGCTTTGACAAACTGGCGTTGTGCACAGCAGCAGGCGCGAGTACCGTGGATGTCGAGCATGCTGGTCTTCTTGGGCTGCCGTTGCAAGCGAGCGACGACTCGAAAAGGAAAACAGGCACTGATGCTACTTTAATATAGCTCTTCCACAAGCATCTCCAAGACGGAACATGAGAGATTGTCAAAGTCGGTGTCCAAATCGTGAACAAGATCGCGTTGATGAAAGTATATCCGACTGGCCTGCTGAGCGATATGGCCCCACTTTGCTCTCACCAGCCAATCGCGTGGCCCAGCTACCCCACCAAACATCCCCACATGTTCGTTCCTGCCATTGAAGCTCCTTCCATCCTTCATCTCCAAGATTTCCTCTAATCACAAGCAACATGGCCACCATCGACCCTGATGTTGGATGTGTTGTCCCTGGGCCGGGAGAATGGCCCGTTGACCCCCAGGAACCGATTCCCATTCGCGAAGACAGATTGTGGGTCGACGGTTGCTTCGACTTCTTCCATCATGGTATGTCAACAACACCGATTGATGGAAGCCATGACTAATGTTCAGCAGGACATGCCGGCGTTCTCCTCCAATCCCGCCGGCTAGGTGCCTCTCTCTTCTGCGGCGTGCATTCAGACGCCGACATCACCCTCAACAAAGGCCCCACAGTCATGTCTTTGGCGGAACGAGTTGCTGCGATGGAAGCCTGCCGCTTCTCCACCAAAGTCGTCCCCAATGCACCATATGTCACCAGCATTCCATGGATTTCCCATTACGGATGTCAATATGTGTCTCACGGAGACGACATTACTAGCGATGCGGGCGGTGAGGACTCATACCGATTCGTAAAGAAGGCGGGCAGAATGAAGATTGTCCCCAGGACACAAGGGATCAGTACAACGGATCTAGTAGGGAGGATGCTGGATCAGACTACCGGACATTTTGTACAAAGTCTGGAGGCGGTGATTCAAGGGAAGGAGAAGTCTGAGACGGGCGATGCRAAGGAGGTGGGCAGATTATTGAAGGAGTATGCGGCGGCGGAGAACGGAGTTGATCCCGGCATTGAGGTCTTCACATACGACGAGGAGCGGACGAATGCGTTTGAGCGGATTGTGGAGGGGACAAGACCGAGACCTGGGCAGAGGATTGTCTATGTGGATGGCGCTTTCGATCTCTTCTCTTCTGGACACATCGCCTTCCTGCAGACCGTATCTCAGATGGAGTCTGAGCGGGGCCATAAGAGTGGCTGGTTTGAAGAAGCCAAGCAGCGGGAACGGATTGAGAAGACCGGGAGTGATTATCCTCCTGCCTTTATCGTTGCAGGCGTTCACTCTGATGCTGTTGTCAACGCCCACCGAGGTGGCAACTATCCCATCATGAACGTCATTGAGCGTGGACTGTGCGTGGTGCAATGCGCATACATCCATGCTGTTGTCTTTGGAGCTCCGTTCGTTCCTGTCAAAGCATACCTCGAGACACTACCATTTGGCGATGCGGGAGCCAGAACACCGAATGCAGTATACCATGGTCCCACCAACTCACCGGGACGAGACGAATACTCCGATGCGAAAGCTATGGGAATCTACATCGAGACTGCGGCACATGCCTTCCAGGAAGTTAATGCCGAGCAAATTGTTGGCAGGATCATGGAGCGGAAGGAGGATTACATTGAAAGACAGCGAAAGAAGGGTATCAAGAGTTTGGCTGAGAGGGAGGCGGAGGCGGAGGAGAAGAGAAAGGCTGGAAATTTGTGAGGACCGGGGATGAGGACAGATTTGTGATGCTTTCAACGATGATACCCAGTGAGCGAAGGATATAGCTATGAGGAAGACTCAACTTCTTCGAGTACAGTACAGTACAAGGTATAATTGAAACAGTCTTGAGCACGTTGAAGTAGGCAATGACCACACCTTTTACTCGTATGAGGCGGTTTGGAGGCAAAAGAATCATTCTGTCTGGTAGTCGGAGGAAATATAAGTTAAGGAAATAAAAGGTAAAGGGGATGTGACATTTCAATCTGCACGTGACCGCCCGAGAAACGCGCTATCTTCATCCTCACTTCGCGATTGATACCCACGATTTCTACATCAACTCATCTCAAACCCAACAATATGGCCAACGAGACAGTATCCGACTATGTCACGCTCATTGCGTCCGACGGATATGTCTTCACAATCCGCCGATCGGCCGCCTGCATCAGCGAGGTCATCGCCCGAATGCTACATCCATCAAGTAAGAGCATCCAAATCTCTTTTATCCACAGCCACTGACCAGCTTCAGACGGTTTCATTGAATCCAAGACCAATACTTGCCGCTTTGACAGTATTAAGTAAGATATCCAACCCGCAGATACTTTATCTTGAGGCTTCTTGTATTGACATGTATTCGCCACAGCGGCTTGGTACTAGAGAAGGTGTGCGAGTACCTTTACTACAATGAGAAACACAAGGATGCATCAAATGTAGCCGATATGGATATTCCGCCGGAACTTTGCTTGGAATTGTTGATGGCTGCTGATTACTTGAGTGGTTCGTGCTGGTTTGGTGAATGATATACTGTATATACTGTCCCGCTGACCAACTTCCCAGTATGATCTGATACGGTTGCAAAGCCATATGCGAACAAGAGCTCGATTTAGCGTGGAGTTGGGGTTGTGGTGGTTAAATCTGTTTTCTAGGCATCTCGCAAACACCGACAACAGAGCTGTCGCAACCAAAGGTATGATCTGGCCTTCCTACCGCTTATTCCACAAGTATATTCAATTCTGCTTCTCCTCATCGCCACCCTCTCGTCTCGGAAAATAACAGAACCTGTCTATCCATTCTTCCTCCCAGGCACATCGGGCTATATTGGAGAAGTTCAGCGCATGATGGGATCCAGGAACAGACCTGAGCGGCAGGGAGAACCTACGACGAAGTGCTTCTGCTTGACTTTATTGCCCAGCTTTTCTAGCGTCCATTGTGCTCTATTCCGCGATCTCAGAGCACTCAAGTCAATCTTTCTCTGACTTACTGCAAGCGAATGCCTCTGCGCGTCGGATAATCCAGTCAAGCCCATCTGATCCCGCATTGCCAAGGCTCTCGACGGTCTTTGAGTCTGAAACTGGCCGTCGCGATCAGACGCCGATGCCACAGTATTATCGTGAGGTTCTTCTGATCTCCCAGGCGCTGTGGGAATTGCTTTAGGCGTCTYAGCATCTTTCGACGACCTTATCGTCCGCCGTTGACCAGTATATTGAGCCTCTTCCCGACTAGTCGCAACAGCTCCTGAAGCGAGTCGCATTTCCGTCTTCGACAGCAGCTGATAACTATCCTTCATCGAACCTTCCCCAGACTCCCAGAATTCAAGAAACTCCGACCCGGGGGAGAGATCCAGCATGCAATGTCCTTTGGTTCGCATATGTGCCCTCACAGCATATGCGGAACGTTTTCTGGCGCCGCAATATAAACACTCACAGTACCCCACCACCACGAGGCTGAGATAGGAGAGCAGAGTCTCTACATCAGTCTGTAGCTTTTGGAAATCTGGGAGCACGAAACTGTGTGATGCGGCCATGTGTTTGATGTTCTGCGAAATGCTGTCTGCAAATTCTAGGCAGAAAATGCATTGGTGTGGAGTGGGAAGCCTGTTATCTTGTTGGAGGTCAGATGAACTTGGATCGATGTCGCTGTTGCTGTTGTTGTTGATTTCTGCTGGTGGTAGTGGTGGTGGCGACGACTCCGGATCACTTTCAATGCCCTCTACTTCGGTTTGAGGTGCGAATACATTCTGGTATGTTTCGTTTGAAATTGGCGGGAGAGTTGCCATTTTACGCTTTACATTGTAAACGCTAAAAAAACACTTCATCAGAACTCGCAGAAAATCAAGACACATGCTGTTCCCTTACTGCCATTCCTCACGCATATGTTCGCGTCTCTGGAAATTATCATCGAAGTGTACCGAGCAGGCGCTGCAGAGAAAACTCATATTTGAAATGTTTGGGGTTGAAAGGTGAACGGAACTAATAAGCGTGTACCGCAAAACTATCCTCGATTGTTGGTATATATGCTCTACAGCGCGTCGGTACTCTACTTCAAGTAACATCCGATCTCAAAGGCTACTAGTTCGGCCTAAGAATGAGTCGTCGGGGAGATGAGTGGGATTTTTTTTTCTGAGTCACTCACTCGTGTTGTTGGCTTTCCTGAGTCATGCTTAGCAAGGCTTGGCGAGTGACTATGCGGGCTGGCCTTCACTTTAGCCGGACAGGTGCATGCGCACATTATCCTTAGGATCCTGCATGATGGCAATGGAAGCTTTGTGGCTTGTCTTTTTGATATCGCGGTCTGTGAAAATAAGAGAACTTCGCTGATCTGCTGGTGGTCATGGGAGTATCATGGAATCTTTCCGTATCCTCCCTCTCAACAGCGTCGCCAACTCTGGAGCTGCTATAAGTCCCTCTCGAATAGCAGAGTCATCAGTCAAGTCATGGAGATCTTGGTAGAAGAACCTCATATCGACAGCATGCTTTGCAGACAAGATACCGCCGCAACCACGGTCGTCGGAATGTGTTGCAGAGATGCAAACCAAGCAGCAAGTCTCGCTCGAGCGAGTCGATTGCGTAGGTCACATGTGAAAATAAATATACGGTGACGCAAGAAGTGAGTGAATCAAACCAGCGGGCATCGTCAAAACTTCTCGGTCGCTTGCAACAAGCCGAGTTCCAAACCTGCCTCCATTCAGACGCTTCTTCTTTCATTCTATATACCATGGTTCCTTCCGTGTATATGTCCAGGGCAGGACCTAACCCATGTACCTACCCCATATACCTAGATTCTGTGTAGGCAAGCTCCAAGAAGCGCTAAGCGTTCTGATTAGGAGAAGGAACGTAGGCGGTAATCCAAGGTTCTGAGAAGGAGAGACATGTTGTACCAAACAACAAGACATTGAGGAAATTGCACACCCATCACTCGCCACCATGGCGTCCCATGCGACTCGCGATATGGTCGACGAGCTCTTCACGTAAGTCCAACGACTCGCCTTCTTCGTTGTCCACCTCGCTAACAAAACGATTCCTGCACTGCAGCAAATTGGCATCGGATTCCCAGCGCCTCGTCAAGATCTTCGTCGGCGACTCCGAGCACCCTGTTCATCTCCAGCAATCGGTCCTCGAGGGAATTTCGGGATACTTCATCGGCGCATTTGCCGAGGGCCGCTTCGAGGAAGGCAGGAGCGGCATCTTGAGGCTTCCAGAAGACAACATCGAAGTCTGGAAGATCATCGTCACGTGGATCGTCAATCGTGCCGTTCCCGAAGATCTGCTGCGAACGGATCTGCTGCTGGCAATTCGGTGCTGGATAACCGGCGACAAATATGACATCAAGGAGTTCCAAGATGCTGTCATGCTTTGCATACTTGCGGAACTTGTGTCTGACGGAGTCAAGTTGAACATTGAGATGATCAAAGTCTCTTTTGAAGAAACTCCGGTGGACTCTCCATTGAGGGAAGTGATCGTAAACCGCAGAATGTCTGAATACGACCTGAAAGGTTTCGAGGAGAAGACAAAACATGAGGAAATGTGGATCTTGGATGGCACGGGTTTTCTCCCACTTCTGGAGAGTAAAAACAAACTTGGTTTTTGAAGGGGGTCTCCTCGCCTGTGACGTTCACGATAGACCAGAGGATTGGAAAGCATTCATGGTGGGCGTATCCAAGAGCAAAGGGATGCTGTTACCAGCGTCGGCCCAACCTGAAGCGGCCAACAAGAAGAGAAAAATTTGAGACGTTGGAATGAGAACGGAGATATTCAGGGGTTGTGATGGCCAGAAAACTCGAAATTCTTTTCGAAATAATATCTCGATGACTCGATCTATTCCGCCGAGACAGTTCAAAAGCTACTGGTCATACCAGTGAAAGTATCCTTTGCCAGAAGAATTTCACCCTTGATAACCAACCCTCTTATCAAGCTCCAACCTCCTCCCCCTCCCCATCCTCCTCAAAAAACACCAAAGCCCTAACCTCAATACTCTCCCTCCCTTCCTCATCAAATTCCGTCCCGGGAACCTCAAAAGCAGAATGCGGCACCCGTTTCGCCCTCCCCTTATACTTCTCAAGACTCCCCACCCCAGCGCGATTATCAAAACACTTAATCAACAACACCTCCTCAGGCCTCATCCGAAATTTATAAAACCACTTCTGCCCCTCATGAAATTTGACGGAAAGCGTCTCTCCCTTACGCTTCTCGGAAACAAACGCAATAGGAACGAGAGCTTCTTCAAGGATACTCTGGGATTGTGCGACGGCTAGAGGATCTCGTTGTATGGGTTTTATGGGTCGCCAGAGGTTTATTAGTTGGATTCGAGATTTTAGGAGGCGGGGTGCTTCGGAAGGGGGGAGGTGGAGGGGGACTCGGGAGAGGGCTGCTGTGTAGGATTGGTCTATGTGGACTTGTTTTACTGGGGTGTTGAGGGAGGAGGGGGTTTTGGATTTTGTATCTTTGGGGACTTTTTCTTCTTCTTCTTCTTCCTTGTGCGAAGAAGATTTGGGGGGTTCTTCTTTGGTGGTGCTGCTGCTGCTGCCACGGCGGATTGTGTGGTCGAAGATGAATGCTCTGGTTGCTCCTGTTCTATTTATTGTTTCAATGGTAAGTTATTTATTCCTTTTTCCTTTTTGCTGGGGGTTTGGAATGGATGGATGAGGAAAGGCATACTCACGCATCTCTTAAAATCTGATCGACTTCTTTATAGTATTGATTTTTAATCTTCTCATCGTCAAGAAAGTCCTTCTCTTCGCTGACATGTGGGATGAATTGAAAACCATGGCTATCAAGGTTGTATTTCGATTCCTCTCCCGTCACATCCTGGATAGTGACTTTGTGGCTTTCAAAGGGTCGCTCGTAGGTTTGAGGTTTGTCAACATAGATTGGTTCTGGTGGGGAGCCGTCCGCGTTGGGTTTGAAGAAGTTGAGAGTTGTGTGGACGTTGTGCTTTTCGGGCTTTGGCTTGTTGATTGTGGGGATAGTGGAGCTCTCATGGTATGTCGACGGTTGAGTATCAGAGGGATGTTGAATTGTAGCTGTAGCCATGATGATGTGTTGTGTTGTTCTTTTTGGTGCTCTTGGTTTGAAGTTGATCAAGCTGAGTGATGTTCTTATTCTAAGGCATAACAAACTCGCATATATACCTACTTCCATCGCCCATTGGAATTGTAAGCGACATTGGGCGTGACCTCCTCCTATATGTCAGCTTCATGCTTATCCCCGCGAGTACACCATTATGAACGACTATATGACGATGGCACTACCAACAATCTTGTCTGATTGATAAGCTGGCAAGCGGAGAAATTCGAGCATGTGTTATTCTTCTTCTTGCAACCATGAAGGCGGTATGACGTTTCTTGCATGAAGTCAACGGCCATGCAGTTCAACCTGTGTTTCTCCCGCTGTGATGTATCATGCACCACATTATTAGAAATGCGAAAGGTGTAAGCAGCATTTCATAAAGGTTGTGCAAGGCTGGCTGCAAGAGTACATGCAAGAGAAATCTAATCTAATGTCAGTTGTAAGATTTCTAACACGGTTATCATCATCGTAGAGTTCGTAAAGACCCAGCTCTCTTTCAACACTTGACTCTTCATATCGGCACATGTGCCACCTTTGTAATCGTCGTCCCATCATCCAACACCTCAAGCTGATCCTCAAGTCGATATCCGCGCCACTTAGGCAGAATCTTAGCAAACACAAGCCAATACACGACGCCAAAAGCGATCCTGTCCCAAATCAGCAAATTTTCAGGCAGCAGTGACACAATCAAACGTACACAGCCAGTCCCACAAGAGCATATGCCGCGGCACCAAGCACGCCTTTGGCTCTCTGCGCTTCACTCGGGAAAAACGGGGCTGCTATGAGAGCACAACTGATGAAAATTCGCACCAAGACACCGGGGATCCAAGCTTTGTAGGGTCTCTCAAGTTCCGGCCGCTTGATTCGAAGGTAGATGAGACCTATGCTGATGGCAACCGCGAAGATCTCGACTGGATAGCTTTCGACTTCTAGAATGAAAGAGTAGACGTCTCCACTGGGTATTGTGAGAACAAGCACGGAGGGAATGTAGTGGAGTATCAAACCGCCCAGAGGTGATTGGAAAGGTGCATTAGAAGAGAGTAGTCGAGAGAATGGTATCAAGCCAGTCCGTGCAATTTCCTGGTTGAGTCGGGACAACGCAAAGGTCACCACCATGACGTTGCCAGCACATCCTAGTGCTACCATGAGAGGGAGGAATCTGCGTCCGACGTTCTGGCCAAAGACTCTTTCGAAGAACAAAGCAGCGACCATTTCGCCGCTTGTCTTGATTTCGTCGAGGGGAACGACGGAGAAGTATGCAATGTTGATCAATAGAAACATGGCACAAGCGGTGGCCAGAGCTGTCAAAGTAACAGACTTCAAAGTCCGAACGGGATCTTTCACCTCGTTGAGGACGTTGTTGACATTATTCAATCCTGCAAAGGAGAAGAAGACTTTGAGAATTGAGGTCGCAATGGCACCCCATGACCAGATACTGCCAGCCCATAGTCCAGTCCAGGACCAGTCTAGCTCAGTTGTTGTTGGGACTTTCAAGTCGATATCTTCACTGTTTTGACGCAAGAGAATAACAAACAACCCACTGAAGACCATGAAGACGACCATCCCGATTTTGATCAAGCCTAGAGCGTTCTGGATCCGGATTCCCATCTTCCGGAAGCAAGCATGGATGATGGTGACTCCAGTCAACAAGCCCACAGCGGTTGACTTTCGCGTGAATTCTTCCGCCTCAACTCCAAGGGCGAACAAGATGTATCGTGCAAAGACAATGCAATTGCCCGCCGTGAAGCCCAACACAATGGCCTGTGTCGCCACGAGTATACTCATCAGATATCGCGGTCGACGATAGACGAATTCGAGATAGACCTTATCTCCGCCTGATCGCGGTAGCATGCTGCCGAATTCAATGGCGACCATGACACCAAAGTATGCGGAGAGAGCGCCTACCACCCACAATGTCAAAGAAAGACCGGGCGAGCCGACGGAGGCAAGTATGACACCTGGACTAGCGAATATTCCACTTCCTAGCACTTTGCTGATTGTGAGAAGATATGCGGACCGCCAGCTCAGAGTCCTTCCCAATGCGCTTGTCTCTGGCAAGACATCGGATTCGAGGTCTGCGGGAAAGAGCTTGAGGTTTGAAATAACAGAGTCATGGCGTTCGACGTTAGCAATGGACCTATAGTTGTCGATTGTGGTATTCGGAGACGCAAGAAGGAGAGCAGAGTTCTCGGCTGTCTCCTGATGGCCATTCGCTGCCCTCGTCATGATGTGTTAAGCAATAAATAGAGGTGGATTGTCTGATAGCGAGTCAAGTGCAAAGGCACCAACAAGATGAGGAGGTTCAGGAAGTTGTCAGCAGAGAGAAGTCAAATCGCTCCATTTCGTCTTATACCATCTTCTCATAGCAATGGGTATAACAACACTAGCGGATGCATGCATATTGTTCCATATTCACACCACACCGCCGGATCGCTAGCAGAGCGTATGGGCGAGTCGCTGTGATTTAATGACGCCATCCGAGCACGAGCATCGTCTGACGAGCCATGAACGGCGGCGTTCGCCTTTCTGGCGTCCACGTGAATCTTTGTTCTTGTGCTGGCTGTAGAAAGACGCCACCGCCAGTTCCACTGATGAATCAAACCAGCACTCTTCACTGTCATGATGGCCGTGAATAGATTGAGGATGGATCGCCCAGAACCAATGGAGTAGGTAGTACCTTGGCACTGTGCAGACAATGACCAACCACTCAACCCATGGTCCCTGCCAGCTTGAAAGAATTCATGGTCCTGTCTGTCGGATGGCTGATGATCGTATGTGGTGTGTGTCTGAGGGTGTACAGCGACAGGAGCAGGCGTCCAACAAAGGATTGTCTTGCTTATCGGTCGTCGCTCTGATTGGATACAACACATCCACGGACTTGCTTCCGGCGGACAAAGAGGAAATCCCGTCCCATCCTTATCGCAGCTCGCTCCGGCGCTGCATATGTATATGCCCTGCGTTGCCTTGAGCCTCTATCGCTGCTGATAGTGAGCGGATCATCCGAGGTGGGAGCTGGAGCAGTYGTCGTTGCGGCATCATGCCTCTCTCACTTCATGGTCTGTCTCTGCTACAATTAGGTAGTCCCACTACTGATTCGCGAACCTTACTCGCCGTACCAAACTTGCAGCGCGCCCTGTTTGAGCCTGCCCTAAGACAACTCCACCCCCGCCTACCAGCTACCTCCTAACGCCGAGGGAAGACATGCCAGTGTTGAGTACTGTATGGCCTGGGTGATTGTGATGGTGATGAATCGCGGTCATGAATCCTGTCATGGCCTCCAGCGTAGCGGCACCAGCACCAACCCAGCGGAACCTTGGTCAACCCGCCATGGCGGCGCCGAAGTCGCGGCCGCGGGGAGGAGCAACAGGAGGCAGCAGACGCAAGAACCGGGCCGCCGAGGACGATGACCCATCGAAGCGGCGCTGTGTATCGACGGCGTGTATAGCGTGTCGAAAGAGAAAGAGCAAGTGCGATGGGAACATCCCCGCATGTGCTGCCTGTTCCCAGGTGTACGGGACGGACTGCATCTACGACATTAACTCGGACCATCGACGAAAGGGCGTCTACAAGAACGAGGTGGACACGCTCAAAGCACGTGATTCCACCCTGCAGACGTTGGTCCAGGCCATCTTGAACTATCCCGAAGACGATGTCCCCGCCCTGGTGCGGGACATTCGCACGTGCGAGAGCCTGGACGCGGTGGCGGAGCGGATCAATGCCAGGGAGAAGGAGAAGGAGCATGGCAAGGAGGCCGACAACGAGCCAGGCGAGTCGCCGAAACATGATGAGCAGTCGCAAGGAGCGGCACCGACATTTGAATCCCATTTATACGGCAAAATGGGAGATTTACGTCTTGATGATGGGTCTATCCGATATATCGGAGGAACCTCCAATCTCATCCATCTGGCGCAGGAGGAGCGCAGAAGCGCAGAGATCGAAGAGCAGCCTCAGCACGAGAACGCCATCATATCTTGGACCAACGTAACCGACGACGCCGAGCTGATCAACCATCTTCTCAACATGTACTTTACCTGGCATTACACCTTCTTCACCACCCTGTCCAAACAGCTCTTCCTCCGAGACTTCTACCTTGGACGCCCGCCAAATGACACGCGGCGTGCAACGCAATACTGTACTCCAGTCTTGGTCAATGCCATCTTGGCGTTGGGATGCCATTTCACCTCCAATCCCGGCGCCCGAGATGATCCWGAGGACTCCGCCACGGCCGGTGATCACTTCTTTCGAGAAGCCAAACGTCTAATCATGGAGAATGACGAGCACGAAAAGCCGCACCTGACAACAGTCCAAGCACTGGCGTTAATGTCGGTACGTGAAGCTGGGTGTGGTCGAGAGGGCAAGGGTTGGGTGTACAGCGGCATGTCTTTTCGGATGTCTCTGGACATGGGACTCAATCTCGAGTCCAGTCATCTCAGCGCCGGTCGGGACGCGCGTGTCGACGAAAATGAAGAGGACGTTCGCCGAGTGACCTTCTGGGGAGGTTATCTGTTCGACAAGTGCTGGTCCAACTATCTTGGGCGCTTGCCTCAATTGCCCTCATGTATCGTGGCCGTTCCAAAGTTCGACGTATTCCCCGAGGAAGAAGCATCACAATGGAGCCCATACACCGACTCCGGCTTCTCAACAGCACATACACAGCCCGCCCGCACGAGAACAGTCGCACGCGAAATCTCCAAGTTGTGCGAGATCAGCAATGATCTGATGACGCACTTCTACAACCCCACGGACCTGGAGAAGACCAAAGGCAAAGCCGCTGAACTCAAGAAGCTATCCGATATACACAGTCGGCTTGAGGCGTGGCGGCGAGAGCTGCCTAAAGAGCTGGAGCCAAGAGAAGGCGGCCTTCCGAGCGTCCTGGTGATGCAGTAGGTCTGACCATCTGCTTGATCAGACCATATGCTAACAACCTCACAGCATGTTCTTCCAACTCTTATTCATCCATCTGTTCCGGCCTTTTCTAAAATACACGCAGGCTACCTCCCCTCTACCATCAACAGTCAGTCCACGGAAGCTGTGCACTTCAGCTGCAGCCATGATATCCAAACTCATGCGGCTGTACAAGCGCTCTCACGGTCTTCGTCAGATATGTAACATCGCCGTATACATCGCTCACTCGGCCTGCACGATTCACCTCCTAAATCTTCCGGATAAGCACGCCCGGCGTGACATAGTCCACGGCGTCAAGCACCTTGAAGAGATTGCCGAAGGTTGGCTTTGTGCTCGGCGTACTCTGGCCATTTTGAGCAGGTTGGCATGCRGATGGAATGTTGAAATGCCGGAAGATGCAGCGGTCGTGCTTGCACGGACTGATGCAAAGTTTGGATCTTTCAAGACCGAGTTCCACTCCCCATCAAGTCAGAGAGTAGATTCGGTAGGGGTGAGCCCGCAGCCGATGATGATGCAATATACACAGGCTCCTACGAGTGTCCCGGTCGAAGCTCACAACAGTACGGCAGGCTCAATAGCACCGCCGGTGTTTAACCCTGCGGCGAGCGGAGTGAGTACTATCGGTCCAACTCGGTCAGAATCTGGCATGCAACAAACATTCCCACTGGCTATCAACACCTTACCAATGCAGCAGTACCAACCCGTCACAACTGCACCGCCTGTAACTCCGCAATACAGACCATGGACCAACCAGAATCTGCGCCCGATCGGCGACAGTCCATCAGACATGTTCGGTGGCGTTGAGCAGCTCATTCGCGACAGCCAAGATTGGGCATATCGAGACCAAGCGCAGCTCGCCACCGGATTTGAGAATTGGAATGGAGAGATTGATGCCCCCAACTGGACTGGTGTTGGTATCAACATGCCAATCAACAATGGTGGGATGGCACCGGGACTGCCTGCTCGGAGTGTTGCTCCTCCATCTTCGATGCATTCTGCGTCTCCGCAAAGTACAAGCGGATATGTGACGGCAGTGCCGACAAATGGAGGGAATGCGTCTGTGGAAGCCATGGCGAATTGKCTGAATAGTATGAATGCTTACAACAGCATGGCGACGTCTTATAATGAGGATGAATGGTACCAATGAATGAGAGATGAATGAATTAATGTCTGAAAAACTTCGCAGGACACATCAACAAAAGCAATCACACCCTCACCCTTCTCAAACCTTGTGATTTTTCTTGTCTTCCAATCAATCTTGCTGTTATCAATACCAGCGTACATGGCGGGGAACACTGCTATGGCCCTCGGTAAGCAAGCAATCACCTATACCCCTCCCACCCATTCCCAACTCGCCTACATATATATATATAAACCAGAAATCAGAAGCATTCAATCCCCAAACTCTAATCCTCCAAACAACCATCAACCAACAATGACCTCTCCATCTCCAACCTGGGACCCAAACTCCCCAACCTTCCCAACAATCCACTCCCTCCCCTCAATCCCAGGAGCACCAAAATACGCCTCCTGGTTCTGGGGTCCCGAAGATTTCCTCGGCCGCATCAACCTCCTAACTCCCTCCCGCGTGAAATCCGCCGCCGCCTCCTCAATCCTTACCGGGGAGATGGCACGTACAGATTTACCTTTACATATCCCCGAACAACCTGCTTTTGGCCGACAGGTTTTTAGGCATGAAATTAAAGCTCTGAGACCGGGGAGAGCTTATGATGATGTTTATGAAATGAATACGCAGAGTGGGACGCAGTGGGATGGATTTCGTCATGTGGCGGATCAGGAGACGGGGTGGTTTTATAATTTTACTAGGGGGAGGGATATTGATGGGGAGGAGGGGGAGAGGAATGAGAGGGGGAGTATTCATTATTGGAGTTTGCATGGGTTTGCTGGACGGGGTGGTGAGTGAATTCTCCTCTACCTGTGTTTTTTGAGTGGAGAATGTCGAGCTGATTGATTGTTGTGCTTTAAGTTCTGCTTGATTATCGCAGCTGGGCGACTGCTCAAGGCATCAAGTATGATTCCGCTACGAAACATGCAATTTCCTACGCGGATCTCGTTGAAGTTGGGAAATTTCAAGGAATGGATATTCGTCCCGCGGCTCAAGGAGGGGATATTCAAATTGGGGATATCCTATTCGTTCGATCCGGATACGTGGAAGATTACTACAAGAGAACCAAGGAGAAGAATTATGAAATCGGTTTGAGGAAATTTGCTACCGAGGGCGAGGATAGTGAGATTCAAGCTTGGGCGGGTTTGAAGGCTGAGGAAGCTATTAGGGATTGGTTGCATGATTGTTACTTTGTGGCTTCGGCTGGGGATTCGCCTACTATGGAGGTTTTCCCTCCTCCGAGTGAGGGGGCGTTGCATGGGTATTTGTTGGCTTGTTGGGGTATGCCGATTGGGGAAATGGTGGATTTGGAGAAGGTGGCGGAGTTGGCGAGGAAGTATCAGAGGTGGACGTTCTTCTTTACGAGCGCTTCGGCGAATGTTGTCAGGGGTGTGAGCAGTCATGTTAATGGGACGGCTATATTTTAGGTTGAATTGAGTTTTGCTCGTGCTGTTTGAATGGCATACCTTGCAGAGTCTGCCTGAATCGCTGTTGATGTGTCGGTTGATGCATGATACTTTGGCTTCTTATCTTCATGTCATGGATCTCAGTCGATGGCGAGACCAAGAGCCAAAGCCAAGTGAAGCAAGAAGTTACCACCTCACCTACTGCAATCAAAGATATCGTCCTTCCTTCCAGAACGATAGAACGATTAACAAGGAATCCATCATTCGACAAAAGATTCAATCCTCCGCAACACTACTTATATTGGTGAGCAGCTAACTATTCCCAAGAGTAATCATCTCTTCAAGACAAGAAGAGCCGGAAAGCTTCAATTCACCCTGCTCTCATACGAGCTCCACCCACTCAATGTTAGGTACATGTATATAACAAGGTCACTTAATAACCATGCTCTAGTTTCAACTGCCTATACGCTACAATATTAGGAATCTTCCCTATAAGATTAGGCGTCCTCGGTATCTAATCTCTCCTATCCTCTTTATAATTCCACGTAACGGAGAGAGAGAGAGCTATAGAGGTCGCTACTACTAATATTATTAAAGATCCTCTATAATAATAGCTCTAGACGATGCTAATATTATCCGTCAGTCGCGAGGTGCTTATGTCAAGGTAGCAGCTTTAGCTTTATCTTGTCCAGAGCGTGACTAGGCTAGGCTCTATCGAAAAATCTAGAGAAAGTTGAAAAAAACAGATAAAAAGTAGAAGGTCTATAGAGGGTTATCTATTACTTCTAAACTAGTACTAAATACTATATATTTAAACATTCTAATAAGCACTGTTATTATGTTCCATTCATATCGTGGCATGAGATGGCGCTACTACGATTCCTAACCCTTGTTCGGATCATCGTTCTTCCGGTGTTTCTCTACACTCGAAATGGCGACAGAGCCTCTCTAACAATACGGTCATATGTAAAGAAAGCAGCTATTTCCATTCCACATTTCAAATAACAGGCAGCCATAATCAATACAGCTGCCCAGCGTACAACGAACTTATTTGAATCGAGATGGTAAGCGCCAGCGCCACACCAGGACTAATTCCTTCTTCGCAAGAGGGCTCGCTGGATCCTACTATGAGCAACTCCCCCAAAGCACCTCCTCAAAATCCAAAACTTCCCTCTCAGAAACAAAACCCTCCTCCTTCCCATCAACAACAACCCCCCCACCACCACCCCACTCATCATCATCCCTCTTCTCAGAACAACAATCCCCCCCAATCATCAATCTCTTATTATTATTAGGCTCCGCCAAAGAAAGTAAAAGCCCCCTCAACCCTCTAACTTCCCGTTGAAGTTCACAAATCTCCATCTCGCGTTCAGCAGCCTGTTCACGAGCATCCATTTCCTCGAATTTATAAGCCACGATACGATCTTGTTGACGTTCGGCATGGGTGTAATTTTCATTTGGATTGTTGGTTTTGCGCCAGAGATTCATGACGGAGTTCATGTGGTTTGAACGGGAGGTTAGGTATTCCAGGGGGTTGGAGTGGCGGTTTTCGCGGTCGAGGTCTGTGAGGGAGTTGGTGAAGGTTTGGAGGAGGTGGTCTAGGTTTTGGGAGCGGAGGGCGATTTGAGAGAGGGTTTGGGCTCGTTGGCGTTCGCGCTCTGGGAAGGTGTCGGGTTCGTTTGGGGGGGTGGTGGTGGTGGTGGTATGCATTCTAGGAGGTTTTAGTATAGAGGAGAGGGGGGGGATGAAGCTGGACTTACGAGTTTGATTCTAAGCTGGAGATGATTGCTTCCATGATGATCTGTTGATGGTGTACCTGGCTACTCATGCGGACTTGTTAAGTGCCCTGGTAATGGGAACTCCACCTCCAAGTGGAAGGCGCTTCGCTATCCCCGGCTGCATGCATGTCCGCCGCATATCGACCCGCTTCCGCATAGCGCCAAGCCGGACCACCAGACAAAACCGGTAGTTCCATGAGGCATGGCAGCTTGATACGTTCAGACCATTCGACCTCGCTGTCCCTGAGCTGACCAGGGACTAGACGAGCGTTTGTTGGCTATGCGACCCGAAACATAAATTTCCGAGATGCTGCATCCATCGGGACGCCTGCAATAATGTGAGACAGGCCATGACCTTCGTGATTGTAGCCTCAGTCAACATGATTGCGAGTCGAAATGCCGAGGCCGTACATCGCAGAATCAGCAAGTCGGCGTTTCCAGTGGTATGCCCATCCCAAGTCGGAGGCAGCGCAATCGAGAGAGCGATGCATCTACAAATGGCGCTCTGCAGCGAACGGCATTCACGACTTCTCATGTCCGTCCATCCTTGACCCCACCAACAGCATAGCCCTTGGCAACTCCGCCTCGACCCTCTTCCATCGGCGCACCCGTAATATTCCCTTGATCATCCCGCTCATAAGCAATAGCATGATCGCTCCCAAGCCCCTGCCAAGTCCTCTTGGTACGCAGGTACTCTGCTGCAGGCGAGATTTGACCATTGATCGTCGCTATTTCCTGTTTGGTACGCTGCACCAGCGCCGACGAAGGAGCCGAATTTCCATGCTCAATCGCTGCGCCATCTCCATTTGCGGCTTTCCTAGTCCTGCCCATTGGTCTCGATCCGCTGACCAACTTGCCCGTCCTGAGGTCGAATTCCGGTGGCGCGTCCTCGTCGTCTTCTCCTGCCTCGTCCTCGCTTTCCTGCGCCTCTGTCTGCTCTTTACCAAGCAGACTTCCAAAGTCTCCAATCCATTCTCCGCCCCAGACTCTCTCCTTATCACTCTGCAAAGCGACTCCGAGTTCAAAAGGCGTGATGACTGGTTTCCAAAAGTCTTTGCTTTCAAGCAGAGAGCTCTCCCAGCATCCAATGACCACCCAGCCGCCAATCTCGCTGAAGTTGGCCAACTTCGCCGCGTTGACTTTCCCAACCACAAATACATAGGACTTTTTCCCTTTCCTCTCAATCAGTTGTTGACAGTAAGTCAATGCATCCAGGTAGTTGGCGACGCTCAAAGTGTTGATCAGAATGCCAAAGACGGGGACCGAGGCAAGCTTGGTTGTYATTCCGTACCGCCGGCTCAGCAGCCGTCGTGTCTCTGCCTGTGTGGGGGGAGCATCATTGGAGCTGGTTGGCAGGCCTGGAAAGATATGCATGCTCGCTATGCGAGAAGAGAGAATCAAGAGAAGAGAAGTAGGTGGGACGCCAATGTGGAAGATGGAGTATGTCTTGAGGAGTTCCGCGTCTCCTGGGACTGTGCGATTAGGAAGGAGACTTCCCGGGTTATGTACAATCCCTGTTGCGAACAGGTTTGTATATCCCTTCTCCGAGGAAAGCAAGTCGTAGAAAGCAGGGATCTGGTGAGCGTATGGGATGTCGGCCATGAGACAAACTTTGGCATCTTTCTCCGGAAATGTCTCCATAAAGTTCTCGGCCGCGAGGGTCAGATCTAGAGGAGCAGACGTGAAAACGTAGATTACGGGTAGTCGCGCGGTAGGAGACAGGCAAGATCTTCCATAGTGGACCACAACATCAGCGGAGCAGTGTTCAGCGGCAATCTCATCAACACAACAGGCGCCATAGGATGTATCTGCCAGGATGCAGAGCGTTTCATCCGTATCTTGCTCCCTCGAGACTGGAGTCTCGTCGAGCTTCAAATCTGCCAGATTTTGCTCAATCGGAGGTTCTTCATTTCGTCTGGCAGTCCTCAATCCATCTCGCAATCGTTCAAAAACCCGTGGAGCATCAATCAGCATAGTATCTGGGAATTGCAGGGCGATTCTTTTCCATTTCCCTTGGCGAATCTCGGAAATGGTACGTTGAATTTCATACTGAAGGTAGAGTTGTTCTTCGGATAGCGTGGATGGAAGGGATGGTAACACGGCTTCCTCGAGGATCTGCTCCGATGGGGTGGAGAGGACCGGAGCGGTTTGTTGTGAGGCCATGTTTGGTTGATCTTTTGCTGCTTTCTCTCTCTCTTCTTTTCTTTGCTGTCAGTCATATGGGATTCGTGGGATGTGGTTGGCTGGGAGCGCAAATTTCGATACCGCGGCCTAAATGAAAGAAAGTGCTTTACTGAGTTGGATTTGACGGGATTTTGATTGAGATGGCATCAATACTGCGGGCGTCTCGCTACTGCCTCTGACGGGAGCTTCCGCCTCACCTTTCCGTGAATGTCAACACATTATACATGGCCCATCGCATATTGTTCGCGATGTTGGTGCTTACGCGGAGGCAGCCGCAGCCACACCAACGTCGAACCAGAGCCGCGATTAATGTCAACGGCGCAAAACTGGATTCTGGAAGGCGTCTTGAGACGCACGTGGAAGGTGTGGGGATGGCGCATTGTGATAAGGCAGTGATATGCCGATCTATATTACCAAAGTGKCAGAATTCTTGACGCGATGGCGGGGACCTTGACGCGAAGACGGGACATGCTGCTTCATTGGAAATAACTGGGAGAGGCATACGCAGAAAGGGATTTGTTTATGGTACTCTCGAGATCCAACAGTGCCCATGTTAGCAACGATGCCTGCCATCAAGATCTACGATATGCCATCCCACGACTTCTCCACCACACACTGTTATCATCGATTGCGGCGCGTGATAGGGCGGAAGACTTCCGAAGCTAGACGGATGAAACCGACTCCTGCGCGCCGTCTCCGCGCCGTCTCAGCGTCTCACACAAAGGCCGCGCCCTCGTCCTCTGCCGTTTGTTGTTTCACTTGCACGCACACTACACTGCCACGACGACATGGACCTGGACGCAGTGTTATCATGACGCCACCGAGGCTCAGTTACACGCGATTTGTTTTGAACTAAGCGCCTTGGACCAAACGCTCGCAATTGTCGTTGCGACAATAGGAAGAGAAATCGTCAGCCATTGCCGCTGTTACACCACCGAAGAATCCCTACGTCGATTGTCCTCGAAGCGCCGCCGACGCTGCTCCACTCTCTCTCTCTCCCTTTGTGCACCACCTGCTTGCTATTCTTGCACGGGGCCTCTTTATCCTCTGCACCGAACCTTTGTTCTGTCCTTTGTTCGCAGAGACAACGACCACCGGGCCCCGACATGCCACGCTTCATGCCTCCCAGCCGCATCCACAGCTGAACCCGCATGCAACACACGCACACGCTCTTTTGGCCCAAATTCACTTAATCGACCCTCATTCACACATTGAAAACACGTCTGCCGGTCAGACACTACAAATCATACCGCTGGGCGATTGATCACCACAACCACCAACAACACCACAAACTACTCTGCTCTGCCGGACCGAGCACCACGAAATACCCCGCAATCCTCAATCACCAATTCCCAATCCTCAATCCTCAATCCTCAATCCTCCATCATGGGTTGCATTGGAGATCGCGAAAAGGGTCCCAAGGACGAGACCCAGCRTTGGGACTTCATCACCCTCACCGACTTCCGTTGCACATCGGCATGGACATATGTCGCGTACGTCTGGCTATGGATCATGGCACTGGTCGGCATTGCCGTCTACGTCGTCGACACCTTCACCGCCGTGCAATTGCTGGCATACAACAATTGGAGCTCCCAAGTCAAGCCCGCCCTTGCCTTTGAATACTCCAAGTGGATCTTCGCCGGCTGCATCCTCTTCTCGTGGGTCCTCTGCTTCTACGAGTGGTTCCGCGCGTTGCGAGTCATCAAGCGGGGAGGCGTGGCGGAGAGCTTCCTCGACCCGCTTGCCGTCACACTGCAGAGCATCCGACCGCAAGGCTTCAAGCGCTTCCTCGTCTTCTCTGCCTTGACCAAGAGCAAAAAGGGCGCAGACTACGTCGCCCTCTTCGTTTACTTCTCCTTCAAGACCGCCATTCGCGTCATCCTCGCCGAGGGACCACGTCAGGGCATCAACGCCATGACATTATGGGCTGTGCTGCAATCTGATATTGCTGTCAAGACCACCACCGACCATTCCTCATTCGAACAGTTCTTCATGAACATTGGCGCACTGGCGGACAACTCGCCTCTACAAGCCACCATCTACTTTGCCATGTTGTTCACTCTTGTCATCTGGGCCTTTTCTGCCTTGTCACTGATCGTATCGGTCATCYTGTATCTCGGCTTCCTCTGGCACTACATCCCATCAAGCGATGGGCGCTTGAGTGTCTATTGCAGACGCAAGGTTGATCGTAGACTGGCCAAGGTCGTCGAACACAAAGTCAAGGCGGCAATTGAAGAAGAAGAGCGACAGGCAAGAAAAGCGGAGAGAAAGGAGGAACTCAAGAGGCAGAAGACGGGAGAAATGCCGCTTCCWGCGCATCTCAAGGTCAAGCGACAGCCTACCTTGCCAGAGTTGGGCAAGACACCAGACATGCACAGTGATGAAAAGTTCCCGCTGGTCAGACAGGACACGACCAGCTCGACCAACACCCTCCCGCTTTACACTCGAGACCCCATACAAAGACAACCTACCCTTCCCAAGCTGGGATCAGCTCCACTCGCTCGCTCCAACACCGAGGTTTCCGGATGGTCAGTCGCTCCGACCTACTCCGCCCACGCTCCACTCGTAGCAAATGCCGGCTACCCACACGAGAKCGATCTTCTTCCTCCTCTTCCACCAATTGGTCACGATCGTCAGGATTCATACGCAAGTCAGCTCAGCTTTGCTCCAAGTTTCAATCAAGGCCCACCACGTTTGCAAACGCCTATGAATACTCAGTCATTTGCGACGGACATCAACAGCTATCGAGGAGCTCCAGGAGGACCAGGACCGCGACTTCCGCCGCCAATCAGGACCATCCCACAATATCAAGGCTTCGATCCGGAGCCACCACGATCTGCATACCCTCCTCCAATGCGATCCGCCACAGCTGACGGGTATCGCCACGCACCACCTCAACAATCGCAAGACAACGCATTCGCTACGCACCAATCCTTCAGCCGCCGCCCGAATCCAGGTCCGATGCGGAAGCCTTTACAGCCCAATCAATACATCCCAGCACCGCAGATTCAGCCTGCGGCACCAGCATATGAACTGCAGAACCAGCCTTTGCATACTTTACCACCACCACCACAGAGCGCGGGAGGTTACGTGGCGTTCAACCCAAGCGCGATGCCTACGGTTCATGATGGTCCTCGCCGGAACATCACAGTGAGCAATGGTGCACCTAGTGCCCCAGCAAACTATTTTGGAAACGTCCAGCCTGCCCGTAGTGCGACCGCTCCGATCCAAGAGGACCACCGAAGAGCGAACTTCCTCCCCGCGCCATCACGCGGGATTGAAAGTGCACGAGTGTCAGATATTTTGAGCGCTTACGGCCCGGATAGCAGAGAAGGCACAGCAAGTCCTTGGGGACAGCATCCTCCACCACCGCCACAGAATGGCAGGCATTATGGTTGATTGAGTTGATGTGAAGATGTGATGAAGTTTTACGAAAAGATGTGCAGTGTATGATTCGAGCGCTGCTTCGTGCTTTGTTGCATTAGATACCCCTTTTTAGCAAGTTTCTTCTGTATGAAGTATTATGGATATGTTTTTTCGACCGCCTTCCATGGCTGGGTGGGGAGGTAAGTGTTCCATCTTGATATTCAAAGTCTTCTTTTCATTGAACCACCGGCGACTGTTGAAGAGGTGATTACAACGTGACGCATTAACCACCGCTTGAAAATCTTCCGACGGACATACCTTCGCCGGAAGGAGATGTCCTTCTTTGTCCTCGAAAGAAACCATACACCCGTCTCCAGCCCAGCGGACATATTCAAATCTCAACAAAGAACCCAAAACCAAAAAGCACTTATTGATTTCCACAAACCCCCCATCCCGCTCCCATCCCATACCCAWGAAAAAAAAGACCTCCCACAACTCACCATCCCCCACACTCCATTCGCCGCACTTCCACAACAACCATGACGTCCACAAAACCACCACCACCACTCCTATCCCGCGGCCTCATCCAACCGGACCTAACTCTCACACAACTCCGACAAGGTCTTCCTCCTTCATCGCCACGCACCCCGACTGCTTGGGAACGTAAATGGCTTGAGAGGAGTCGTAGAGCGAGGATAGGGTTTTGGGTTAAGATGGTTTTGTTGTTGTTGTTTGTGGGATTCTTCTTCTTCTTCTTCTTTGGGCAGGTTTTGGTAAAGGATGGCCCTTATAAAAGGTATATTTATTCTGGGATTGGGGTTTGGGTTTTTAGGGGGTTGTTGTTTAGACGTATGATGTCCCCGGGGATTGATATGGAAGTTGAGGGGTTGAGGGAATGGTGCAAGGCAAAGACGACGGGATTGAGGAGGGGGGGGTTTTTTATTTTTCTTTGGAGGTGTTTTTTGGGGATTGTGAGATGGGAAGTTTCTGTTTTGAGGTTTTATACTACTGAGATTCCTAGGGGGGTGATTCATTGGTGCGGAAGTTGTTGGAGAGGGGAACGTTGGGTTGCTATTCCTGGTACGCAGCTTGATAGATGCATCAAGGTTTTGTGGGGAGGTGAGGAAGTTGCTCCTACTCCTCCTCTTGTTGCGCCGTCTATGGTGCGGGTTGTTGTGCAGGCGAAGATTGAGAGTCAGAGTGAGGATGGCAAGTTCTTGGCTACGCGGTACAGTCGAGATATTATGAGTCCGAGAGCATTACAAGTTATGAAGATCCCATTCCTTCCGGGGACATCGGCTTATTGGGTCGTGGTATTGCAGAAAGCGAAAGAGTTGGAAATCGGTGCTATTATGGCTCGGACGCAGTACTTCCGGAGAAGGGAAAGGGGGCTGGTATCGAGGCAGGAACGGGAAGAATATGATACCGAGGGGGATGATCGGGAGGAGTTGAAGAAGTTATCGCCTTTGCCTGAAATCCCCCCTCCTCAGCTGTCGGAGCGATTTGAACCTCCTGTGGGGACTTTGCAGACTGTTTTGCGTCGCAGAGTCACTAGTCGGAAGGCTCTGCGAAGGAATGGTCTGATTTGGGAGGAATCTAAAGGGAGAGAATATGTTGTTGTTCCGCAGGCTTTGGGGTTTGAGCAGGTGCAGAGGATTTATATGGATTCGCAGACCATTCGGCTGCGGAGAAATTTTTTCAAAGGGGATGATGTGCGGGATGAAGATGAGGATTTTGGGTATGATCTTGGGGAGACGGAAGGGGAAAGCGAGGGGATTGATTCGGGTGTTGAAGATGATGAGGGAAAGACTAGCGAGAAAAAGAGGGGATGTGCAGGGCAATCTGGTGGAGGGAATGGGTATGTTGGCGGAGAGAAAGGCGACACATCCTCTTCAGGCGATCATTCTCCACGACGCTACTCTACGAAATCAACGGGGAGAAAAGAGCACAAACAGGAACGTGATGGCGGGCAGGAATCCACAGCATCCAGGGACTACTACGTCTCACCATTCGACGACAAACAGGAGGAAGATGCCGTATCGCCGCCGCCCAGAAAACTCAAGAAGCCCACTCGCCGGACAACAGCACATAACCTATTTGTAGCAAAGCGAGGTGGACATGATGCAAGGCCCATCTATCTACCTGCTCAAGCGGAAGCCATAAATCCCAATCCCAAGGACAAAGACCACCACCATAAACCCAGTGGTCCAGGTATACGCACACCGAAAAAAAAACATGCTGATTGTGAAGAAGGATGCACAATTTCTTCTCACACCACCAAGACCTGCACAGGAACACAAACAGAGCCCATTCCTAAACCGGCCAGCAACAAAGAAATTGGGTCAAACTCGAGGCCTTTTGGTCCGCGGCTGGGAGGAGGATCTATTCGGACTCCACAGCCATATCGCAATACGTCGACGCCAGGACCTCAACCTCCTTTCTCTGTTGCCAGTCCAACGGAACCGCCACCGCCTCCGGCCCCTCCGATGGCTTCTCTGCCCGCAATGAGAAGTATGGCTCTCCAAATATCGGAGCTCCGAGTAGGCTGCATCAACATATGGAGGACATACACTACCCTCGTCGACGTAGATCAACCGATTGATCTGCAACTACAGAGCGACAAGTTATATCAAATCTCCATGGCATTGGCGCAGCTCTTCCAGCAAGTCTTCAACGTCGATCCAGCTCCTCCTGCATTGGAAAGCTACGCAACGAAGCTCGCAGCAGTGGAGCTCGATATAGATGACATCGTTGGTCTCCTACAGCTTCTCAGACAAACTCTAGATGCAAACAATCCTGCTGGTGCGATCCTTCGTAAAACCCGACATATCATGTATGGTATTGTGAAAGGCGTGATGGAGGCCCAAGGCAAGCAGTTCGCTGGAATAGACTCCAGTGTCAGCAACAAGCGAAGAATGAGATTGAAAAAGCTCATACCTACTTCTTCTGCCATTGAGGATGAGCAGACTGCGAGATTGAAAGAGGAGCAGAGCGTGCGAGAGAAAGATATTCGCGATAAAGCGGAGCGGGAGAAAGTGGAGAAGGAAAAAGCAGCAGAGAAGGCTGAGCAGGATCGACTCGCTGCGACGAATCCCATGGATGGCGTTAAACCCCCCACTACGCCTGATGAAGGTCACAACAACAACAAACAGCCCAGCGGTGAAGACAATCACCCTGTCGATGATGAAACTTCACAACTTGGAATCACAGGTCCTGCAGAATACATCGAAGCACTCCGAGCAGTACTCATCCCAGGCTTCCTCCCAGTCTTCACGGATTCAAGTTCCCTTCTCTGCGGCCTCCGCGCTCTAATAATCAGTCTAGAAAACATGAACAGACTACTTCCCCGCTCCAGCCTCACCGCCGAAATTTTCCTGGCGAAACTATTCCTCAACCCGGAACTCCAGCGTAATTGGGATTGGAGAGCACATCCTGAGGGCCAAAGAGGTAATCCTACAGATCTCTACCATTCATATCTCGAACATCAATTCTCCTCTAATTGGACAAACCCGGATCCAGCGACGACTAATCAGGAGTATTTGAATGCACTTGCGCTGAATAATTTCACTTCTACACAATTGTGTTATTTTTTGGATTTATTCTGTATTTTGGGGTATACGGGGAATAACGATGATCTCGCGATTGGAATTGTTACTGCTGCGGGAGTTAATGGTGGGCCTGCAAGTGTGCAAATGCACCATAATAAGACGAAGCATGAGCATGACAAGGTTGTTTGGTTGTATCATGATAATTATACGATTGTTTCTGGGGGAGTTGGGTTGGGCCATTGGTCGGGTTTTGCTAGGGATGTGGAGGTGGGGAATCGACAATTTCAGGAGTTGGTTGATGGATGGGGACTTGGAACTATCAAGGGCGATGTACCACCACCTGGTCAAGAAAGGGGGAATGTTGGTGGTGGTGGTGGGCAAGTTAAGACTAAGAATCCAGMAATAAACGGCAACAACAACGACGGAACGAATCAACGAGATAACCCCCCCCCTCGAAGCGAATCCGGCCAGCCAAAAAGTCTAGGATGGCATGTATTGGATTTAATGCGCCTCCTCGACTCCTACACCAAATTCTACAACTCTTTCAAACTGAGACCTGACATCAATCTCGAAGAACTCGGTAGTATGCTGCAGGAATTAGAACAGGATTTCTTACCCCAAGTGCAAGCTAGCAAAGCAGCAGCTMAACAGGAAAACCGACAGCAAATTTTGGAATTGGCGATTCGTGTGGAGAATGGGACGGTGGAGCTTGTTGATGATATGGTGAAACTTGGGGCGTCGAGGATGGGGAGGCGGGCTGGGGGTGGGGGGGCAGACTATTGGGCGTGAGGAGGGGAATGATGATGATGATGATGATGTTGATGATGGGATTGATGCCGAGAATCATGGTGGAAAATCAGGTGATATTGGATGCGCCTCCTGGAGCGAGGCGGGGGGCAGCATAGTGCTGGTGGTGTCCCGGGACGTGGCGGTGGTGGTGGTGGGCGTGGAGGTCATGATAGAGGCAGGGGAGATGGTGGTCGTGGAGGTCATGATAGAGGCAGAGGAAATGAAGATCGCAGGGGCCATGATAGAGGGCAGGGGAGACAGAGATCGCAGAGACAGAGATCAAAGTGGCAGAGACAGACATGGCAACAGAGGCCAATCAAGATCACAGGATCGTTCCAGACAACGAGGAACGAATGATCCCGGTGATAATAGAGGACGAGGAGGCGATCGCAGAAACCAATCAAGATCTCAAGACCGAGCAAGAGGGCATGGGAATGTTCGAGGCAATGCTGCCAGAGGACATCATCATAATCGTGGTGGTCATGGCAACAATGCAGGGACCGGTAGTAGAGACGATCAATCCTCCTCTGGACCTCGACCAAGAAGAACTGGTGGTAATGATGACCGCGATGGAAATCACCACAATCGTTCGCAGAGTCGCGGTAGAGATCGATCTAATCCTAATCAGCGTGCGGAGCATGGGAATGGGGAGGGTGGTGGGCGTGGGGGTGGACATGATCGTGGTGGTGGGACACGAGGTGGGCGCGGCGGCGGCGGCGGCGGCGGTGGAGGTGGAGGTGGAGGTGGAGGTGGTCATACGGATGGCCATAATCGACAGGGTAGGAGGCGAGTTGTCTGATTGTATCTGTAGAGGTCGCGAGGCGAGACGTCGCGTTGGGTATTGCTGTAAGCCGGCGGTTTGTTCTCCTTTCTTCTCCCTGAATCTTCAAGAATGGTCAGTTCATAATGTCGCGCGCTACATCGTGATGTAACGGAGTTTCCTATGATAAAGTACACAAATGTCTATGTTGTTGTGTTGATAACAACGGAATTCGGCCCTTTCGTGAAAGATGAGTCCTGTCATTCACTTGATCTCCGAACGGCCTAGCCCGGCTTGGCGGTCTTTTAGCGCCCGCTTTCCCACCGCTGCCGCACAGTAGCAACTTTACCTACCGGGCACAAATCTCCAGAAGCTTCCGCCTCGACACCATACCGTCTGCGACTCCCCCAACCCGACTCGCGACATCCTTCCCTCCGCATCATTGAATGCAACATTCCTCATCCCATCGACGAGCCCGCGTCCTACTACCAATCGACGCCGCCGCCGCCGCCGCCGCCGCCTCGAAAAACAATGACGGATTTCATCATGAACACCATCTTTTTGCTGCTTTGTCCGGTCTTCTGGTACCTGCTAGGCAGCAATACGCGCTACACCAACGACATCCTCACGACCATCTCGGTGAACATCGGCATTGTCTTCTACGCTATCGCGTACTTTTACGAGTTCACTCTGCCATTCCTCATGAACAACCTCCCGGTAGTTTGCCGATCCCACACACTCGAGACCTTTGACATGGTCTCCCAGCTTACCGCGCAGTGCATCACTCGCATTGCCGCCTTTCCTTGGTCTCTAGCACTCAATGGTATCTTCTTCGCAGTCTTGCTAGCCATTGGTCTGATATGGTACCTCTGCTTCCGTGAAGCTCGAGGTCTGGACCCAAGCGTCACATTCTGGAACTCGCGCGTCATCATCATCGCGCGCAGCCCTCCGGCAGCTGGTGCGCCATCCGTCGCGCAGCCATCTACTGCCGACGCGGCCTCACAAACCACGCGCTTCTCTCCGCCACAGCCACCAGCTGAGCTGCCAGCGGACACCCACTCGGCTAAGCCACGAAGAGCGCTCCAACAGCCGGCTGTTCAAAGCAGTGGCCGCGCGCGTCCCCCGCAGCCTCTGCCTCTTGAGGAAACGATGTCAATCAGAGAGAAATTCGAGGCCTCAGACCGCGCAGATAAATACGCTCTCCGACGGCTGCACTTCATGAAGACGAGCCCATCAGTCGCGCAGGCCAGCGATAGCAGCAAGACTACTCCGGCCAAATCCACCTGCACAATCCCGCAGATCAACTCGGTGCCGTTGAAGAAGACAWTCGGCCCCATTGTTGCGCCTGATACCGTCGCGGAGAAGCCACCGCGAGAAAAGGCTATGCCGCGCGTGGGAGAAGATCGCTCTCCGCAGCTCAAGGTCTCATCAGTCGCCAATGCTACGCCCATCGTCCCGAAGCAGAGCATCGAGACTACGACGCGTACCGCTGCACCTGCCGACGCCGTAGTTGAGTCTGCGGATGAGAAATACGCTGCTGCCGTCAAGTTGATGAGCACCAAGGCTGCGCGAAGCGCGAAAGCAAAGCACGATTCGCGACGAAAGGTCACACCTGTCGCCAAGGATGCGTCCAAAGTCCCGCAGAAGATTATTGGGACTGCTATTGCGAAAGGCGTTGCTGTCGCCAACAAACTTGGTGATAAGATCAAGGGGATGAACGATGATTGTTGCGCTCCCATTGCGATTCCGTCGGATGATGATGACGATGTGCACGCCATGGGAAGCCACATCGATACGCGCATCGAAGATCTTTGCTCTGCCTTCGCCCGTTGGAGGATCTCCTCGCCACCAGAGCAATGCGACGAGCCGCTCGGTAAGCATACGCGAGTCGTCTACATGAAGAAGGTGAAGAGGAGCCTCCTCTCCGAGAAGGGTGAGTGGATCGTTCCTCCGCCGAGTGAGCCAGAGGTCCGCGTAGTGCACGTTGATGTGCCAAGCAAGCCTGTCGCTCCCGTCTGTGTGCCGACGATGGAGCAATCTGACAGCATACCGGTCGACTGTGAGAGTGCTGCTGCCGTGGAGGAGCCCAGTGGAGCAGAGGAGGGTGCGAGCTCGGAGCGCACCACAGGTGCTATCGTCCCGCTCGCAGAAGCAGAGCCTGAGGCGAGCAGCGCTCCATTGAGAGGGGCGTCGCAGGACGACGGGAAAGGCGGCTCCCAGCACGAACCATTCCCGACCAGGCCGTACGAAAGCCAGGCAGCCAGACTCGAGCGATACCCTATCGCGGGACCAACTGCTAGCACGGAGAACACATCTGGGGCGCAAGCCAGCTCCAGTGTGCCAATTGCGCTTGGTGAGGATCAGTCTCGCAGCGTCATGCCGATTGGAAAGGAGGCGGCAACCAGCTCAAGCCTGGCAATTGTGACCTGTGWGGAGCAGCAGTTGGACGCAATGGTGATCGACACCGAGGCGGTACCTACGCAGAGCTTGCCAGTTGCACCATCTGACGAGGAGGCCGACGCCATGATGATTGATGCTGAGGCGCCCCGGTCTACAGCCGGATTTCAAGGAGACGCTCTCAAGACAGCGTCGTCGATCAACAAGCCAGCCGATCCTCCAATCGCTATCGCTGTGAGCGGAGCGCAATATCACATGCCGCAGACGCTAGCAAACATTGCTGATCCGGAGTCATCCATGGAGGCCGATAGCACAGGCCAGGCTATCACAATCGTGAAAAGCACGAGTGTTGAGATGGGAGAGCTGCCAGAAGCAGTTTCCCTGCTCCCGGAGGTGCGATCCATTGTGAACACCACGAGTGTTGACATGGAAAACCTGCCGGATGCAAGCTCCAGTGCCTTGATGCCGAAGGTGTTGATGTGGTACAATAAAGATTATTCTACCACTAAGATATCATCAGGGCCGAGAAAGAACAGGAAGCCCCTGCGAATGGCTCGGTTCTCGACTGTCCAACTGTTGGGAAACAGAAAGAGATGGTCGTCAAAGCCTGAGACACCAGGAGATCTGGATGCAGCAATGGGAGACGAGGGACATGAGGAAACCGAGGACGAGAAGAATAAGAGAGAGGAGAGAGTGAAAGAAGAGAAGGCAGAGAATACAGCGGCGAAAGAAGATTGGGAAACGGGCAATGAACGCAAACGCCCCTGTCTTGCAAGCCGACTCCTTCTCCTCGCGAAACCCTTGGCCGAAGGCGCTCTTGCGACGATGACTATCTTTGAGGCTACTGCTTCGATAATCGTCGCCATCAAAGAGAGCACCAGAGATGTCTGGACCGTCATTGAGGGTGGAAAGGATGGCAACATAATGTGGAAAGCCGTCCTGAGGAGAAATCTGGAGCAAATTCGCCAGTATGGCAACTTTTCGACATCGACAGAGACAGCCAGGGGCTGGAGATGGCCAGCAGGCAAGATCGAAGACCAGTTCATCAAGAGAGTGTCAAAAGCGGCCGAGCGACTCTGCGAAGCACTCCGCCTCTGCAGCCTTGAGACGAGGACTTCGTCTCGGGCGGAGATCATGGGATACGCGGAGATATGCAAGATCATCGCGAACGGCCACAAACCACCACTTGATGGAGCTGCTCCAGTCGTGAACCCGCTCATGACAATGAACAAGGATCGTGCCTCGGCTGTCATCGTCAGCTGGTTGGAATCAATCAATATCCAATTCGACGTGGAACCGGATAGCAAGGTCATTGCGCAGACTGTCAGCGAACGATTCAGGCACATCGCCCAGTACGCTGGCTATGTCAAGTGGACCGCTTCGAAATGCCAGTGGCAAGATACTCAGATCACTCCCTATGCCGTCGGCAGGTGCCCATCGCTGGCAGCTGAGATTCGCGAGAAGCTGGCCGCTCATCACAAGAAATTCCCGAATGGCTACAATCAGTGGATTGTTGAATGCAAGAAACATTGCCTCCTCATCTCCAACGCCACCGTTAACATCTCGACACCAACGAAGCCACCAGCGATCATGATACAGGCTGTAACACCCGCACCAGCTCCAGCAGTTCCTGCAGCGCCAGCAGCTCCACGACTACCACAGAGTCCAGTAATGGAGCTACTCTCAAACGGGACTTTTGCTGACATTTCTGCCCACTACGGCTTTGCCAACAATGCCCAAACAAGGATGGCGACCATCAAGGCCGTCCTCAACTCCGATGCATCGTCGGAAGCGAAATCCGCTGCGATGATCTGGTGGTTCGAATGGCATCTGAACAAAATGCAGCAGCCAGGCAATGGATTGACAATTGTGGATCTTGCCAAGAAGTTCCTCTTTGATCTGAAGGAGGTCAACAAATGGGCCATCACCAAGGGCGTCTGGGACGAGCAGAAAGCAGAGCGCTGCATCGCTCTCCGTCYCCTCGCCGTCACGGAGTCAATCTCCGCGCTGCCAATTGTGGCAGGCAATACAATCATCCCAAAGGCCCTCAATCCCGGGTTGAAGCAGCTGAGAGCAGCCACTGCTTGAGTGCGAAAAGGCGGATCAAAAATGAGAGATCGAGAAGACGTGGTATGCTCGGTAAGCCTTCCTTCCCTCCCATCAAAAGACCACGGTAAACTAACCTTCCCATCGCAGAGCGTGAGCGGAGTGCAAAAGAGATGCATACAGTGTGGGGCAAAATACGCCGCTGCCAGACCCTCCCCAACGTGTAAGTCTAAGCGCCTCAGCCGGGAGGGAATGGTGGCGCGTAGGAAACTCTTGAAACAATACGTCAAAGCGTAAATCCCAATGCGTGGCTGCAGATGTGTTGTTCTTGAGTCGGATTTGCTTTTGACCCAGAGAGTTGGTCTGCTGGTGGTGGTGCGTTGGAAAATTCTTGAACAGTACGCCAAAGCGTAAATCCCGATGCGTGGCTGCAGGTGTGCTGTTCTTGAGTCGGATTTGTTTTTAATCCAGAGTTGGTCTGACAAAGCGTAAGCCTTCAATGCCGCTGCAGTTGGGCCGCTTTGTGAAAGCGTGTAGATAGGGGAATATGATTATGGTTACTGGGGGTGATGTGGGATGAATGCAAGACATGGGATGAGGCGGAGATCGGATGAGAATGATTCATGGCTGGATGATTGATGATGGGCACGAAAGAATGCAGGGCAGTCACGAAGAGAACGAAGACGACATACAAATTAATGCAGACATGCTGATAGGCTGAACCATGGTATATAATGAAGCGCATAAACGTTGAAGCCATGCATAACACATTAACACCTTCCAAGCGCGACTCACAAGTGACCGTGGCACAAGACGGACAAGAAAAGACGTATGTGTCCTCCGTTACAACAAACACTACATGGTCATGCTACCTTCAAGCCATTTATGCGTGCTCCCACTCTTGTTTATTCTCTTCACTCATCTTGCCTTGCCTGACCATACAGTAACAATCCTCTGCCGAACTGTGCAGAGTCTCTTTTCACCGAGCACACGCTATGCTCCTTGTAACACCTTGAAACGCCCTGTAGCAGAACTGCTATGCGAGGAGAGCAAAGAAGAACGCCATCCCATATTCCCACAGCTTACAGATAGACAGTGCGCATACCTCGGCGCACGCCATCAACTTTCACCCTCAATTCTTCTTCTCCACAGGGGCAACCTCCGTAGGTTTACTGCGGATGCCGCCAATCCAGCTTGTGATGCCGCCCTCTGGATGTGGTGCCTTGACTTTACCAAAGCCGAGATCGAGGTCATTGATGATCTTCAGCGCATTACGACAGCGCAAGTGTGGGAGCGGTGCCTTGGCCTCCTGAAGTCCAGTGATGGGCTCCAAGCTGCCGCGTGGGGTGAGCTCCTTCTCCTGCTCGCCAGGAAGCGGAAGGAGAGTCTGCAAGAGCTCATATCCAGCTAGCGTGAAACCGAATTGCGGCGACGAACGCGCGATACGGGCGGGACCACCCTTGAAGAAAGCTTTGAATCCTTCTTCACGGAAAACCTTCTTGGCGCAATCGCGCAGACCGGTGTATGTGCTGTCACCTTTCCTCGCCTCAACCTGCAAGCGTGTCTTGATGACATCGCAGGGTGTGGTGAGGTACGCTGCGGGCATGCCGGCGATGGCACCAGCCGTGAGAAGTTGGAGAATACCCAGCTTCTTAGTCGGGGACTCGCCGAACATGTCACGTTTGAGATGATTGTAGGTGGGGAAGTAAATGGCCGAGAAAGGCACGTCGCGGAGCAAGCAGGCAGAAACACCCTTGTAAAGACCGGTGAGACCCAAATTGCGGACGATCCAGATGGCCGTGCGTTTCGTCAGCTGCTCACCCTCCTGAGCAGCGGCACGGATGGCCTCGCCTTGAACTTGAAGACGAATCTTGACGATTTCCAGCGGGTTGGTAAAGACGACCTGAGCAGCTCCTGCAGAACCACCGGCGAGAAGCTCCTGCCAGAGCTTGATCTCGTTGGTCTTTGGATCAGTGAATTTTCCCCGAACCAGGTCGTTGACGGTAAGTTTGATAGCCTTTTCCGGTGCGACACCAATTAGCTGAGGGAGAACTCCAGAGTAGAGACCGCGAAGACCTTCGTTGCGGAAGACTTTGCCAAAGCAGTCGAAGCTGTTCTTGTAGAGGAGCTGTCCGACGGAAGCGGCGCGCTGGTTTTGCATGCGAGTCTTGACCAGATCGATGGGATACACCATGAAAGCACCAAATGCACCAGCAAGAGACCCCAGTGCAAAGTGATGTGCTGACACCAACAGGCCGTGCGCGAAGCCTGTTGCAACAGCATCAGTTGCAGCATCTGGGATTCCAGTCATTCCGTCTTGCAGCGCTGCGTTGCTTGAGGCATGCCAGCTAGCATCGAGCACACGAGCAAAGTCGTTTACACCGAGTCGGCCAGAGGGTTGGTCCAGCGAAGCGAAGTGGAAGAGGATGTCCGCCTCCATTGGAGTGAACAGGGAGAAGCGAGTGATGCGTGCTGCCTCGTTGAGGAAGTCTACTCGCGTGATCTTGCCGTCGGAAGACTTCTTAATGGCATTGCGAATGACCAGCTCAAACAGATCCATCTCACGGATGACGTTCTGGAACGCTCTGACATTCGCGTATGATATCMGCGATCCCGGGCTGATGTTGCAAAGGGTGGGCAGATTTTCGAGGAGATGATCGGACAACTTATGCCCGGCCGTCTCCACGATGATACGCTGAAACTCCTCTGGCTCAATGTATCCATCGCCGTTCTTATCAAAGTGCAAGAAGCATTGGCGCACGCGCTCTCCCTGCAGACCACGTAGCATCTGTGCGAACTGGGGGTATGTCATGGAATGCCGCTTGCGCTTTCCGCCCAGGTAGAGCTTTGCCCAATCGCTGTCCCAGTTGAAGGGGATCGTCTCGCTCGTCTTGTTGCGCGCATATTGCTCTTTAAAAGTCTCGAAGTCGACGAGGCCCGTGGTTGGGTCGGCGAACAGGCGGAACGCGATTTCGTACTCGGCATCGGGCTTGATCAGCAGATTGTGGAAGAGGGACCAGTCCTGCAGCGTCACGCGGTTCTTCTTATGCCGATCGGCGACCTGGAAGAGAAGGGCGTATTGCTCGCGCTTGATCTTGTGCTATAGTGGTTGGCGTGTCAGTCGCGTGTGAGAGAAAAAAAAAAGGCGATTGCATCCTGAGTCGTGACGCGACGTACATAATCTTCACTCTCGGGTGCCACGGCATCGACAAACTCCTTTTCGCTCATGTAGTACTCGCCGCTCTCTTCGTCCTTGATGGCATGCTGCATGAAATCGGCGCGGGTTTGCGCCGACAGCATTGGCTCGACCTCGGTGCCCAGGAGAGTCTCCTTGACGCTCTCCTTGACCTTTTCGACCTTGCCCGCGACCTGCTCCATGATGGCGAGTTTGTGGCACTGCAGCTTCGCGAGCGGCGGCTACAAGGTGCAGTGGGTTTGACGAATGTTGTGGAGTGGGATAATAATTCTGGCCTGGGAGTGACGGAGCAAAGCTCTGGAGAGCGAGGTCGGATGCCGGATGCGAGCTCCCGACGTGGACGACTACAGGCTAAATGGAGCCGCGGTATGGGGTGGATATGAGGACGTTAGAGAAATGAACAAAAACACATGGTTACAAAAAAGAGTAGTGGTAGAAATCTGCTTGGCCACAGCAGGCTGGTTTTATAAAAAGTTGTCGTGGTTGCTCCTTTCTGGTACAAGGTACGTGTAAGGTACTCAAGTTCCATCCCCGCCCGATTCCGCATCCTTCAAAATGCCGCGTCGAAATCCGTTCGTCCATTCTCACACTACTGCTTCAGCTCCCTGCCTTTCGGCCTCACAACAAAAACGTCGATTCCACCAAAGACAACTTTGGAATGGCCACCGGTGTGAGGCATTTGCAATCATCGGCAAAGGGAAGGTTAACATGTTGGTCGACTTGGCTATCGGGTAGCTGCCATTTACCTACCAATTACCTCATGGCTAGCAACGACTTGTCAACGGCCTATTATTCTTGCACTGGTAGGTAGAGCACTGTGATGGGGTGAGGGCGAGCTTAATGGTCGTATTTCTGGAAAATGCTGTGGAAAGACCAAGAAAGTTTCACGTGGCTGGGGAATGGCTAGAGACTTGGGTTGAAGACCTGAAGTTGAAATAGACTGCCTCCCGAGCCCAGTAAATCTGATCGACGCTACGGAGAGATCTTGTGGACAGCGACAGGGCGTTTTTGGAAGCTCAAGAATAGATTGTCGTTATGAAGGGCAGATGCGGAGATTGGGTTCAATTTGATGGTGCCAATGTGGTCGCCAAGGCTCCGCGACACCGTCAATGTAGTTTTGTAGCCATTGACCAGAAGGCAGTGTAGCTGGCTGATGAGCAGTTCGGCGTTCACATGGTGTTCAGTTGCGAGCGATAGACGTGTGTATTCGAAAGTACGCAGTACGCTAGTGTAGTACGCTAGTGTCGAGCGCCGGACATGCGATCCCACAATCAGCTTCTTGCGACTCCTCCAACCATCCGACCATTCCCTCCCATCTGCCAGTGCTTTCATCACAGTGCTGTCAAACTTGCAGAAAGATTAATGCTCACTGGTGGTCAATGTCGCAGCTGTAATTCATCTCTGCTGCGTCGGGCTTCGACAATAGACGAACGCGTCACTGCTCCGGATGGCTGCGAAACGCAAAGCAGAGTACGATCCCACCAAGAGTGATTCGGACGATCTCGACTTCGCCGTATCCTCTCCACGATCGCGAACCCAAGCACGCCCGCGTAAGTCGAACAAGAGCTCCCCGCGCAAGCCCACCAAGCGCCGGCGTGAGCGATACGGCGATTCCGAAGAGGACATTGAGATCGAGAGTGAGGCTTCGAGCGAGGACGAGGGCTCTTTCAACGACAGTGACGAGGCTCCGGTGGAGACAAATCCGCGAACAGGCCGCGGCGTGCGATCAGCAGCGAAAAAGGTGGTCAAGTATGAGGAAGTGAGCGACGAGGAGGAAATCCCAGCAACCGACAGCGACTCGAACTCAAGACGACGCGCGCCAACTGCAGCACGTAGTAGGCACACCAAGAGAGCGGATCTCTTGAAGCCATCGCGTGTTGTAGTATTGAAGGTGCCCAATCACTACATGGACGAGAACAACCGCGTGACGCGCGCACGGCCTGCCAGCAGGAGCCATCCAAAGCGCGAGCCGACGCCTCAGGGTACAAGTACGCGTAGGAGTAGTCGCATTTCGCACGACGAAATAAGGCCGCTGGTTGCTCTGACCGACTCCGGTAAGCACGAGATCGTCACCCGAACCGCGACCGTGACGCCTGAGCCTCCTCCTAGTCGGCGACCTACGCGAGGCAGCAAGGTACCCAAGAAGCACCCAAGTGCCATTATGGAGGCTTCACAGGAGGAGGACTATGTGGAGCCAACGGTGGAGGGGGAGCAGTTCTTCTCGCAGCTGGAACAGGCAGCTGAGACTGACGCGCCAGAGGCACAAATATCCCATACTACGCCTACGCATGACATTCAGATGGAGTACGCAGACGACGAGGATGAGAAGGTCGTACAAGAATCACAGCCAGATCCAGATGATGCAGAAGAGGAGGATGGCCCGATCTCTCGTGGGGGCCKGACGCTGCGCACGCGACGCAAAGCATCGACACCGCCAACTTCACAGCCGGCTGGAAATGGGCGTAGATCGCTGCGAAATCGGAAGTCTGCATTGGATCAAAGTAGTGACTTTGAACCAGACGCGGATGGTGATGCGGAAGTGGAAGAAGAAATCTCCGACTCGGATGACCTGCTCAAGCCTACTACCCGAGGCGGCAGCAGCAATGGGAACAGCTCCCAAGGTAGAAGATCAGGCAGACTGGGCAGGAAAGGTACATCACATCGAAGCCGCTCGAGGCGCCACGCCTCCGAAGAGGAGGAGCTAGATGTAGAGGAGATTGCAGACGAAGCCGCTGAGCTCGACGAAGACAATCGTCGCAACAGGAAGAGTCGAAAGCGCCCATCACAACGAGCAGAGATCGCCTTTGAGCCGAATCTGCGCCAACGAGCGAACAGACCAGATTACAGGATCTTGCGACCCGAGCTTCTCCTCCCCGTAGAGGATGACGATGCCCCCGCGGCTACCGGCATCACGCCTCAGCGGAACCGTCGTGGTGGAGGGGGTCACGTCTACCGCAATCTGTTCTCTACCTACGGTCCATTTGGAGGCGCTGGTGGTCCTCCGCCTGTGTTTGGTGGTCCTGACGGAGCTGCTGCTGTTGGGGGTGCAGACTCGGATAGCAGTGATGACGAAATCCCTCGAGCCTACCAACCTGTTGGTGGTGCAGTTGGCATGACGCCAACGTCAGCTTTCCCCAAGCCTTTCGCGCCGCCGGCTCACAACAGCGACGCTCAGGCAGCTGGAGGCGGTCCAGTCGGACTTGGCAAGGTCACGAACAAGAAGGCGCTCGCCGATGCAGATCCTCTTGGAGTTGATACCAATGTTACCTTTGACGGCGTTGGTGGGCTTGACCACCACATCAATCAGCTCAAGGAGATGGTCGCCTTACCATTGCTGTACCCGGAAGTGTTCCAGCGATTTCACGTAACTCCACCGCGTGGTGTCCTCTTCCACGGCCCTCCTGGTACTGGTAAGACACTTCTCGCTCGTGCGCTGGCTTCTAGCGTGAGCTCAGGGGGTCGAAAAGTCACCTTTTACATGCGCAAGGGCGCGGATGCTTTGAGCAAATGGGTGGGTGAGGCTGAAAAACAACTTCGCCTTCTCTTTGAAGAGGCGCGTAAAAATCAGCCTAGCATCATCTTCTTCGACGAGATTGACGGATTGGCGCCAGTCAGATCAAGCAAGCAGGAACAAATCCACGCATCCATTGTTGCGACGCTTCTGGCACTGATGGATGGTATGGATGGCAGAGGTCAGGTCATTGTCATCGGGGCTACGAACAGACCAGACTCTGTTGATCCCGCGTTACGAAGACCTGGCCGATTCGACAGGGAGTTCTACTTTCCTCTGCCCGACCAGGACGGCAGACGGAAGATCCTYGATATCCACACGAAGGGATGGGACCCTCCCCTGCAAGACCACTTCAAGGACCAGCTTGCTGAGCTTACTCGCGGATATGGAGGTGCCGACTTGCGTGCGCTCTGCACTGAAGCTGCTCTGAATGCCGTGCAAGGGACATACCCGCAGATCTATTCGAGTGACGAAAAGCTCATCATCGATCCGAGMACTATCAAAGTGCTGGCCAAAGATTTCATGATCTCCGTCAACAAGATGGTACCTTCCTCAGAGCGCTCCGCCGCATCTGGAGCTGTGCCGCTAAAGAAGGAGATTGAGCCGCTTCTGCGTCAGCCTCTGCTTGAGATTTCCCAACGCATAGATGATATGATACCACGAAAGCGCAAAGCTACCGCCTTGGAAGAGGCCATGTTCGATGATCGAGAAGACGAGTTTGGGTTTCAGAAGGAGACTATGCAGCGGGACTTTGAGGCGTCTCGTGTCTTCCGGCCCCGTCTCTTGATCAAAGGCGTGGAGGGCATGGGTCAGCAGTACTTAGGTGCTGCTCTACTGAGCAAGTTCGAGGGTCTGCACGTGCAGAATTTTGACCTGCCCACGCTGCTCAAAGACTCTACAAGGGTGAGTCGGACAGTCCATTCTCGCCAATGCCATCACTAACAAAATCACAGTCACCCGAAGCTGCCGTCGTCCAGTTGTTCGAAGAGGTCAAGCGGCATAAGCCGAGCGTCATTTACATTCCCAACATCAACATCTGGTATGAAACGATCCCAGATGCTGCCAAGAGAACGTTTGTCGGTCTACTCCGAAGTCTGCCTCCCACGGACCCAGTCCTGCTTTTGGGGATATTGGAGCACGAATTTGGCATCGAAGAGCCCGTCAACCTTAACATGCTTCGCGAGCTTTTCGGCTACTCCGGCAAGAACCGATTTGAGCTCGTCCGTCCGTCAGAGGAGGCACGCAAAGAGTTCTTTGGGGGCATCATCAATTTGCTCCGCAAGCCACCGACGGAATTCCCGGACAACAACAGAAAGAAGCGCAAACTCGCGGTGCTGCCAGTGGCACCTCCAGCAGAACAGCCCACGGGGCCCACCAAAGCGGACCTCAAAGCGCAAAAGAAGAAAGATTACCAGACCCTCAACCAATTGAAGCTTCACATTCAACCTGTCATGGAGCAGATCAAACTGAAGTACAAAAAGTTCCGGACGCCCGTCGTCGACGAGGCCGCCATCGGGTACCTCTACGACGAGCAAGATCCGCAGGTCCTCACCACTGATCTGACCGAGGAGCAAAAGCAGCAGCAACAGCTGTTCCGACCCTATGAGATTGAGAAGGATGACAAGGGCGTGCTTGGCCTGCGGGAGATCGCGACTGGAAAGTTCTACTACAATCTCGAGATAGTAACTATTGAGAAACGTCTGTCGAACGGATACTACAAGCGACACCGGGACTTCACGGCGGACATCAAGCGCCTTGCAAAGGATGCAAGGACATCTGGAGATCCGGACAGAGTTCTAAAGGCGAACGAGATGCTAGCAAATGTCGAGGTCGACATGGCCGGCATTGATACGCACCACCCGGCCTTTAGCGCTGAGTGTGATGCTGTCTACGAGCGCGAACAAGCGCGAGAGAAAGCACGTCTGCAGGCCATGGGGGATCTTGGAGCCCCTGATGAGCGGGTTCCTCTCATTATGCCCAACGTACCTCCACCACACGCCTCAAACACTACAACCGAGGACTCTGGACCTGTTGTGCTTGGGCAAGAGGTTCCTGGACGTCAGTTATTCCCAATCACGCCACACCGTGTCATGCACTTTGGCCAACGGAACAATTTGAATGGCAGCCACCCGTCAGAGCAAACCAATGGCTCTACAGCACCCTCAAACTCGCATGAGGATTCTGAGATGCTAGACAACCATGCCGAGGTTCCAATCCAGTCACATCAGCATCAGCATCAGCATACGCAAAGCCAGAACCGATACTCGCAAGTGTCCGCCCACACCCACATTGCACACGGTTCACAGTTGGACCAGTACCAAAACGATGCGTCAACTACGACATCGGGCCAAAAGACAAGCGACCGAAGCAGCGGTCCATTCTCCATCCACACCCAGAGCACCGCCAACGGCTTCCCCCCTGGAGAGCACCCGGATCTTGCGCTTCTCGGTCCCGCACAGCATGGCAGTCAAATACCCGACACACAGGAACCCTCTGCTGCCTCTCAGCTCTCGCAACCGTCGCAGTCGTCCCCGCCGCAGAATATGGCGCCTCCTCGCCAGAGCACGCGCGCTTCTAGTATCAACGCGCTGCTCAACGAGCCCATTCAACCACAACAGCAACTCCTCCTCGACGAGAGTGCGCTGCAGAAATTCCACGCTGAACTCACAGAGTGTAGCAGTGGACTGTCCCTCGAGCAGATGGAACAGGTCAATGCTAGTATCATGGACGTGATCTGGAAGCAGCGGGGGGACTGGAATCGGAACCATGTAATGCTTGCGGCACAAACTGTGTTCAACGACACGGTGGAGGATATTGAGAGTATTCAGGGCATCCTGGACCCCAGTCAGAAGCAGAGGCTGATGAGAGGCAAATAGAGATGAATGCTGCGATGATGCCAAGATGCAGGAGAGACTCAAGTCTGGTTTCGCAGGCTTCGACGACACTAGCCCAGAGACATGAGGCTTGTAGATGTAGATGTAGATGTTCGTAAAATATGGGCGTCTCTCACAATGGTGCCACTTCTTTGCGGTAATTCGTTTTCGCACATGAATGGCCTTGTGGTCGAGGATGTTGTGAGCAGTGTGTGATGTTCTCATCTTTTAGGTTCGCCAGAGTACAAGCTGCGTGTATTTCTCCGCGACGCTGTCACATGCAAATCTGAGCGCATGATGTAAGCTCCCGTCGTGAGCTTCGACCCTGCACAGCTGCCTTGTTTCGGGGACCTTACACGACGCAAGGGCAGTGGCTTCTCACAAGCGATTGTTCACGCCTCGTCTTCCACACCTGTATTGTTCACTGCCAACACCAGACCACCGTCAACTCCACTTGCACGCACACACAACCTACACATCAACGCCAACGACAACATGTCTCATAACGGCACCTTCTTCATTGACAGCCCAAGCGCTGGACTCAGAGTCGCTCAGGTGCTCGGTCTCACTTCGACCGCATTTCTGACTGGTATCAAACATCACTGCCGCACGATATCTCACCGAGACTGACATCCACCCAGGCAAGACGTTCGCAGCCAGCTTCTCCACCACTCCAGCTCTCCTCGAAGCTCCAGCTCCACTCCTTGTCAAACAATGGAAGAAGCAGTTCGATACCGACAAGTTCGTGGCTCCGGCTATTGCGCTTCTCAGCTCTAGTGTCTTCAGCTACTTTGCTTATCGCGGTTTGTATATGCTTTGATCAAGCAGTGTGGTCACCAGCATCTGACATCTTTTGTCGCAGATGACGCCTGKACTAAACCCTCGATTCTGTACACGACATCCGCAAGCCTGCTTCTCACGCTTCTACCTTACGCGTACTTCCTCGACGAGCCCATCAGCCGGAAGCTCGAAGCAAAGGTTCAGTCTTTGGCAATCACCGCGTCGGAGGATGGAGTGCCAAAGGAGGAGACTGCGCATGCTCTTGTCGACAAGTGGGCTACTATCAACCTGGGCAAAGTCGTGATTGCGGCTGTCAGTTCCCTGCTTGCGACTTGGGCGGCTGTGGAGAGGACGGAGGTCGTGCCCGCTACCTTTTCGTTCTCGGCTGGTGCGAACCGGATGTGAGAGTCCTTGACCTGTGCCTTTGCAACAGGACGCGGGGAAGCTGTGAAACATACCTGCGCTGGCTGGTCAAACGGGAGCGGTTCCAGCAGGTGGGAATGTCAGCTTATGGCTAGTGTGGACGCGGTGGCTGGGACCAACGTCGTCTTCTTCCCTCGAAAGGGGGACCGAGGATACCTTACGATGTATTATCAGCATGAATTACGCTTGCAGTATTAACCCCAGTTCCATCTGCTTGATTCAACAGAGCAACAAACAACCACGCCCCTCCATCTTCCACTGATACAAGGTACCTCTCGTCGGCTCGTGCTCCCCGGCAGACACGTTTCGGCAGTTCAGTTGGTACCGAAGTACCTTCGCGGTAAGGTTCACGGCATGACACCATAGCAACGACGTGTTTTGCCGAAAACAACACGATGAAGATGGGAGCTACGAAAGCGGTGTGCAGTACAAAGCATCCACCTTGCTTATGGTTGCATTGTAGCTGCAGCGAGCGCGTCGTACAAACTGAAGTCATAGGCCSGCCAAGGGTGGGCACACTTATGCTAGCGATTGGAATCGTCTAAAACGGAGGCATCGCGTCCTATTGGCCTCGTACCTTGTAGAAACTAGCATGGTGTGTGTGTGTTGTCGAAGTGGACAGATGGTTCCTTTTCGACGACAGGCCTCTTCTCCTCACGTCTCATCGTCTCCATCTCCAACAACCTCATCCGAGTCATCCCTCACTCCGTTTTGCGGGGAACGGCTGGTGGCATTTCGTGATCTTCCATCGCTCCAAGGCCCAGCCCTGCAGCTTTCCGTCGGGCCGTGTCGAAGGTGGTGTGAGCTCACAACGCTCTACCGCAACGAGATCAACGCTTTCTTCCCTTCGAGGAAACTCGAGAGTGGGTACTCGAGATATTGGATTGATTCAAGTTTCGCCGTGTTTGTGCGAATTGCAACGGAAGCGAAGCCGACTTTCAAGCTCAAACTTGAAGTCCCGTAAGCAAAGGTTTCCACGGCCGCCGAAGACGACGACAACATTTTCCCAACACCTGATGCCTCCACCGCGATAACGGCGCTCTTGCAGAAACATATCCAGGCCGCAACGGCGCCAGCCGCATCCAACCCAGCACGGTGAAACTGCGCCCTGACCGTAGGCAGTCGGTGGCAGGGAAGAGATGGAGCCGCCCCCGCCACCGCCGCCGCCTCATGGCGAACAGCCTCGCTCGTCACAACCCGGCAGTGGCCTTCCCCCCGGCAACTACGATATCTTCGTAATACCACCACATGCATCCGGAGGAGGCTTCCTATACTTGCCTTCATTGCAGCCACACATGAACAGCTTCATCGCCGGATGCGCTTGCACCTTTGTGGTAATTTACATCTACAACATCTCGACGCCGCTGCTGCGCGAGTTGTATGGGCTAGCGGTAGGAAACGGAGGGGGATTGGGAATGGTGGGTCTCATGCTCGCTGTGGGTATTGGAGCGTGGGCTGTTGGCAAGACTCAGGCGGAGAGCAAATCTGGTGCCAAGTTTGAGGGAGGGGCAGGCGCTGGTCGAGGAGGAGGGCCTGGTGCTGGCGGGCAATATCAGCAGCAAGGTCATTACGCAGGTGGACCCCCGCCGAGTGGATGGCAAGCCCCTCCACCGCAACCAGGACAGCATGCGCCGCCGCCACAACCAGGACCACAGCCATCACCACAGTCACATTCACACGCACCGCCGCCGCAACCACAGTCACACTCTGCACCGCCGCCTCAACCACAGCCGCAACCACAACCGCAACCGCAACCACAATCAAAGCCTCGTCCGGCGTCACCGAGTGGATGGGAAAAGGCAAGAGAGGAAACACGCAAGCGCGAGGAGGAGCGGAAACGAGCCGAGGRGCTGAAGAAGAGACGCGAGGAACTTCTAAAAGCACGGGAAGAGGCGGATCGCCTTGCTAAGATCAAGGCCGAGCAGGAGAAGTGGGAGCAACAACGAGCAAGAGAGAAGGAAAAGCGGGAGCGAGAAGCGAGAGAGCGCATTGCTAAGGAACGTCTCGAGCGCGAGAAAGCCAAGTTGGAGGCAGCAAAACAGCTCCGGGAGAAGGAGGCCCGCGAGCGCGAGGCTCGGGAAAAGGCCGCACGGGACAAGGAAGAGTGGGAGAAGAAGCGACAGGCGGAGAAGGCAGAGTGGGAGAAGAAGCGGCAGGCGGAAAAGGACAAGCCTGCCTCACCGGTCAAGCCGCCCATCACGCCCTCGGCCAAGTATGAGAGACCCACTGCGAAATCCGCCGGTGGCACTGAGGACGCACACTCCTACCGCCCATACGACACACCGCTCAAGAAAGCCTCGACGTACAACACGGCTGCCTCGTCCATCTCTGGTCTTAGTGAGAGCAGTTACGCACCCAGCCATAGTACGGCACGCACCACTCCTCCACCTTCTCACAGAGGTCCATACTCCACGAGTGACCCGCACAAAATCCAGATCAAGGCAGTCTATCTCTTCAGCGACAAGTCTCCACTGCGACCTATTTCACAGCTTGTCTCTGGTCAGGGTCCAGTGACAGATGGTCTGATTTTGAACATCGAAACCGAGGGACTCTTCATTGATGATGACATTCGGGAGGTTCCACAGAGGGAGTGGGATGTCAAGGCCTGGTCGCTGAAGTTGGTGGAGGAGGGTAGCGGGAAGAACGGACTTCACCTCTTCAGGGCGTGCTCGAGAGATGTGGACAACAAGAAGTACTTCTTCATTCTGGACCAGTCCGAGGCGTGGAAGGTCACCGCTGGGGTTGCGAGATTGAGAAAGGGAAGTCAAGTCCGCGCCCTGAGCTTCAACACGATCAAAGAGAAAGATGTTCAGCAAGTGTTGAATCTCGTTGGATGGATGTAAAGACGAGGAAGGCAGCACGACGAGGAGAAGATAGAGGATTACGGCCTGTCTTGGAATAGACATGGTGTTTTGCATGCCACGGTCCACGGGAAAAGTGGTTCTGGAATGTTTTGTTGCAGCGGCATCAGCGAGGTTTCCTCCGGCGTTTTTTGGGCATGTTTTGTTACCGATTCCCCCAATGAGCGATGCTGACGACGATTGCGTTGTGTATATACCTTGCTGTGTAAATACTCGAAAAGAGCACATTGTGTTTGATTGTGTTCACTTGTCTGGGGCGTATTGCCTTGCTACCTAACCAGAGGGTAGGTATTGGAAGTCGACGAGCAGCGTACTGACTGACTTTCAAGGACCACACTGCAACACTTCATGACATACACGCTAGGGCCTGGTATGGCGTACAAGGTTTGCACTCCGATCGATCGCAGCACGTTCCGCCGCTGGCACTCGTACYGGACACGAAGACTGGGAGCAATTGGCTGCGGAGTACGCTGAAGTATGGGAGGACGGAACTCTCAAGTTCTTCGAGGTAGTCGTTGCTCAAGATAAAGCCAGGTTGTTGGTTCAAGAGTACAATACGGCGGCTGCCTTTGGATTTTCCCTTCCGAAGTAGACAACATCAGATCAGATATCGTCTTCCACGGTCCCACGCTGGATGGAATAACAATCAGAGCATTGTAAGTTTAGTGAAGGGTGTAAGACGTGTGATGCCAGATGCAAAAGACCACACCAGCGGGAATGTTCCTGCTCGTTTTCAACCTGAGATGGTCTTGGAGAGCGCTCAGCCAGCTCTGTTGCTAACCCTTCCGGCTCTTACTTCTCGATTACGGGTCATGAACAGTGATGACTGCTTCCGACTCGTCCAATATCACCAACCAAGCCCAATTGACTGCCTTTGTCAATCGGACAGCAAACAACACCAAGGCTGTGTATCCAGTCGGTCTCGGCAATCCAGTCGGTATGCTGGTAGCTAACTCTACGTATGGCGGCGGTCCAGTATACGCAGCGAACTTCTCCAATAACGCATGCCATGGAACAGTCGTGTGGAGGTGGAGCTGGTAGTTATCAATGATGATAGCAGGTCTTGAGCGCCGACTAGCACAATGTACTTAGGCCTCTCCGCCTGATCCTGCGCCGATGACGGCGTTCACAGAAGCATCATCGCCGCTTACAACCTGTTTTGGAATGACATTGAAGTCAGCGCTGCAAAAATCGACACTGAGGTATGGAGTTGGCTACAGCAGGACGATGCTTTTGCCTTGGAACCGCCAGGTGCGCTTCCTCCCCCCCCAGCGGCGTGAATCCAACAGGATCCAATATCCGACACTTGTGGTCTTTGTAAGTCGTGTCATAGGGGGCATATCTACATGAATATCGTTATAAGCTGATTGTACACTGTACAGGACCTGGACCACGGTCAAGCGCGACAAATTCGTTTCGCTAGGTGGTCTAGCTCGCCCGTGCTGTCATATAAATGCATGCCAAGGACATGCTTTTCTCAAATAGGGGCATGCGTTTCAACGTGAAGAGCTTATCTGCTTTCCACGCGATATGTCGTTTCGGTGCGGATGATCATGCGATCCGAATCGTCGGACCGCCTTGTGCTGTGTCGAGCACTCCGTGAGGCACTACGCCTTTCTAGACCGCCAGTAGCGCTGCTTTTCTTCTTCGGGCGGGTGTCGGTTCCGCGAACGTCTACTCGGTACTCCACCCTAGAAACGCATCGTTATGATATGATCTTGAGCGTATTCACTCGTTGCGACTTACCATTCCGGTCGAAGTCTCGCTTGTCGAGGGACCCCGTCCTCATCCACACCGTCCGATTGTGTCGTGGACTTGTTCGGGAGACAGTTCAGCTGCACACTAGGATGATGATCTCGCTGTCCCGAGCGCATGTCTGATCCAGAGATGGTCGTAGTGTTGCCATACATGGTCAACACACCTCGTGACATGAAGGCCCRGAGAAATGTTCGCAGGCATGGGAAAGAGGCCGAGATGAGGGAGAAGGTCAGCATAACAAGCTCCCAGACCACCACAGGCACGATATCGATGTTGTCCTGGCCATTGCGAAGGAAGTTGAAATATGAKACCGTAGTCGCAATTCCGAAGCCAATGTCAATAACACGGAAGCAGTACACGAAGACGACAATTCTCTTTTTGGATGCTTTCAGTTGATTTTTGCTGATGAACCAGATTGGCATGGCTAGGACGAAAATCTCGCTCACTCCGTCCAAGATGGTGATGGCGGTCCAACGTGCCACCTACAGGTTATGTTGGTGAGTAATTGAGTAGATGTACGTTTTGGATACTCACGTTGGCGTTACAGACAGCATCATCGCTGGCAACAAGAGCTTGTCCTGGTCGACAATCTGCAGAGCTGAGGAGAACACCGAGGAACCCATACAAGATACAAACACAGTAGGATATTCCGAAGATCATGTTCTCCCTGTTCGAGCAGATTGTTAGTATATGAAGCTCCATGGTTAGATTAGGTCCTCGCGGAACTTACTTGTAWATGTCTCCCGCAAATATACGGCGCGTAAAGATGAGAATGGACACCTTACTGAGGCAATGACTGATGAAGAATGGAATTCGAGATGCAAAGTATAGCTGATTCGCGTCAGTTTGCGTGATACAATCAAGCTATTGGGAACATTTATACCTTCGCTGCGCTCTCGACTTCCGAAGACGACAATGTCAGATTCGACACACCCAAGCCTTGTTCAAGCGAGGCGAATATCAATCCCCAGCTGACTACCGCGGCGAGATAAGATATCCCTACAGAACGAAGGGTATACTGGTCAGCGATGTCTCAAACAGTTTCCATATGGACAGAGGCACGGCGTAGCTCAAGAACTACCTTTGGGCTACCCTGCATGCCCTCTGCCCTTGAGTATCTTACCCAGGACAATATCATCGTACCACAGCAGACCCCATTTCCCGACTGCCCTGGCGGCCAGACACAGCAGCGAGTAAACTAGCGCAAGAATCCCAGCGACCCATACCCAGCCCCGATGATCGAGGTGGCTTGGTGTGTCGAAGCCTGCACTCATAGTCGGTCGCCCGGCGGTCTGGCCCTGCCTGCAAGTTGAGCAGAGTACGGTATACAGATGTGTCACTGTCTGACCCGGAATGAGGTGGGCAGGCGAGCCGGCAATTTTGACCAGACGATCTTTCTTTCACTCAACACTTAGGGGCCGCGAAAGATCAGCGTGTACATGGCTAGAGATGACTTGAACCGGGGCATGCTGCAGGATGAATCGCAGGAGGATGTCGCGCTCTGCGAACACGGAGAACGCAACTGCGTCTTCGACAGCTTCTTGGCGGCTGCCATCAAAGTATGGTCCTTGGGCTTGGAAAGACATGGCGCATGCAAACATCCCGCTTATCTCGAAAGCGTCAAAGCACGATGATGGCTCGGCTGTCGCAGAAAGCCTCCGAGGCACCCGGGGCCTGGATCCGCTTGATTAAATAACCGGGTAGCAGAGTCCGTAGCGTAACTCTAAATTGATCGCACCCAGTCGGCGGATCTTTTCAATGCTTCCCTGCGTCCACCAAAGGGACGGACCTCCAAGCGCAGTCCTCGCCCTCAGCCATCCACCATCATATTACAAGACTTTTCCCAGCCGCGTGATGAGGCGCTCTGCGGTCTTTGAGGCTTCATCAAGATCGGGTAACAGTCGGTCATGCATCTCTGCTCAAGCTCGCATCCATGAATAGTCGGTTCCGTCAAAGAGATTTCGACGACCCTCCTCACCAGCATCACATCACCATCTACTGTACCTCCTGCTGCATGGGAAGATTGCTAGCTCGCCATGCAGTGCTCAAAGCTCAGACCGTCCACCATGTTTCCAAGCGCTCAGTCATCACTTGTGCTTTAACGGTAGAAACAACCAATGACGAATTGATATAAGCCATCCATGTACTCCCCCTCCGTGCTGAGACACATAATCGTCGGTTTGCGGATTGCGAAGCAAAATCGCGCTGCGAGGGGAGCTTCTGCATCAAGGGCGACAAAGTTCACTCAGCTCCCAAGCTAGAAGCCCGCCGCTGCACCCGCGCGGGTGTTGATCACTACTGCGGCCGGATGGCCAAGATCCAATCCTTATAATATCACGGATCCGGGACTGTTTGAAACGTTGGTACTCCGCATGCCATGGAGTCGGCGCAGCCGCAGCAGTCGGATGCGTGATGCGGACCCACGGTCTAAAAGGGACCAAGATCCCGGACATGTGTTATTACCCGGAACGACAACTGCRGCTGAGCTGATATGTCTATCACGGCAGCACGTAAGGTCCGTGCTTCCAAGTGGATGTGCCCGCCCAGTGAACGTGGCAACTCAGCGTGCATGGCGCATGGCATGGTGAGAGGAGCGTTCGAGTTGATCGTCGTCCATTTCCCGAAGGCGGACAGAAGGCGTCTGATAGTCGACGCACCATTTCAAGGTTCTAATTCTTCTCTTCCACCTGCAGTATAATAGTGGCGCTCATCGCTCACGCATTAAGTTCGCTCTTTTCTCTGGGTCGGATCTACCTGTCGTGCGTACTGCGCAAAGCTACTCTACTCGAGATGCAGAACGAGCAATTGGACGAGTACTCGAAGGGGCACGAGATCTCATCGCAAGATGTTGATACCGACAGCGAACAAAAGCAGGCGGAGGGTAGGAGCTATGATCCGACACATGGTGAGTTACTCGGGTCGTACTGCAGAGTTTCAGTTGCTGATGTGAAAAATAGACAATCGTGACATGCGAAGGGTAGATTATGCGCCACTCCTTACATTCTCGGACGAAATATTGACCACCATCTACAGCTTGGCAAGAAACAAGAACTCAAGCGACGATTCCGGTTCTTCTCCATTGTTGGATATGTCATCGTTCTCGGCTTGACATGGGAGTTCTCCCTGACGACCAGCGTCTTCTCGCTCGCAAATGGTGGCACTGCTGGCGCCATTTGGCTCACGCTTGTTGTCACCATTGGCATGTTCTTCGTCATGTTGTCAATGGCCGAGCTCTCTTCCATGGCACCGACCAGCGGTGGCCAGTATCACTGGGTGAGTTGCCTCTTGCCCGCGAATATTTACCCTGCTAAGGCTGCGATGCAAAGGTCTCTGAATTTGCACCTGCCCACCTACAAAGGCCATTGAGTTACGCAGTCGGATGGCTGTGTGCACTGGGATGGCAGGCAGCTATGCCCACAGTTGCCTTTGTCGGAGCACAGCAGGTCGTTGCGCTGATTGCGTTGGCTCATCCAGGTTACCATTACCAAGGATGTGAGTACAATTGAGGATTGTCTCGAGACGGGACATCCTCAGCAGAGTGGCTCGTCAGTCGATAGAAAGCGCAGCTGAAGATGCCGCTCTCGTTGAAGATTTCTCCTATCGACAGCTCTGCCCTTTGCGTCTGCATCAGAACTGACCTTGCTTCTCCCAGGGCACGCTGCGCTCCTGACAATGGCGTATGTGCTTTCCGCCATCTCCTTCAACACTTTCGCGATCGGCAAGCTTCCAATCCTGGAGGGTCTCGCAGTTTTCGTGCACATTTTCGGGTTCTGCGCCTTTATTGTGATCATGTGGGTTTTTGGCCCCAGAGAGTCCGCAGAAATCACCTTTACACGCTTCAGCGACGGTATGTATATGACTATTTCCCCTTCCTGTTTCCCGCATCGCTAATGTAGATTCCAGGGTATGTTTGATGAAAGGAAAAGCCGTTTGACATTTTTGCTGATTATATACCTCTATATGCAGCAACGAATGGGGCAACTTGGGACTGGCCACCTTGATTGGCATCGTCGGACCAACAACAACATACCTTGGAGCCGACAGCGCCGTCCACTTGGCCGAAGAGTTAAAGGACGCAAGCTACATTCTGCCACGTGCAATCTTCACGGCTTCATGCATCAACTACTGCCTAGGATTGATCACAATCATCACCTTCATGTTCAATATCGGCGACATCGAAGCACTCACTAAAGATGGAGGTCCACTTGGCACAGGGCAGCCCTGGGCCGAGATGATTTACAGAATCACCGGATCGAGAGCCGCCACCATTGTCCTTGTTCTCGTCATGATGCTCATGTACTTCTTCTGCGCCGTCAACCAGGTCACCACTAGCTCCCGTCAAGTCTGGTCCTTCGCTCGCGACAAGGGTTTCCCATTCCACAAGTTCCTCTCCAGGGTCCGTCCCAACGGTGTCCCGGCGAACTCAGTGTATGTCACGCTGGCATTCACTTGCCTGCTTGCTTTGWTCATCATCGGCTCCACGGTCGCCTTCAACGTCATCCTATCCATCTCTGCCACTTCGCTCTTCACCAGCTATCTGGTGGTCATTGGCACAGTAATAGCGAAGAGAATCCGTGGCGAGAGGTTTCCACATTCGAAGTGGAGTCTCGGAAGATGGGGCATGGCTGTAAACATCATTGCCTGCATCTTTCTCGTGGTGGCTTATGTGTTCTTGTTCTTCCCACCCTTACCCAGCCCAGCCCCCGTTGACATGAACTGGGCTTGCTTGGTGTACGGCGTTGTGGTGAGTATCGATCTAGAAAGTTGGCTTGCGAATATTCACTAATCACTCCCCTCGCAGGTTGCATTCGCGTCCACGTATTACTACGTATATGGACGCCACAATTACGACGGTCCAGTCGAGTATGTGCGCAGAGACTACTAGAGGGTTGTTGTATCGGATCAGCATTTGCATTAAGCCATATACCACTGCATTTATCCAATCGTCTTAGCGAGTGGTCATGTTCATACAACCGCATCCTTCATCACATGAAGCGAAGGCCTGGTGTTCGCGAAGGACTCCCTGGCATCCAGTCTCTCCCAGTATGCCTTCAAGTGCGSGTAGGTCGTCATCCAAGGGTGATCAGTCCACCTCATAGCCATGTAGCCCAAAACACTGCAAGCGGCGATATCGGCTAGCGTGAGTGAATCACCAATGATGAAGCCAGTCTTGCTTTGATCGACCCATTCGGCCAATGCCTTTAGGCCTCCATCTACCTTTCTCATCTGTCTTGCTCTCCACGGCTCACTCTGCTTTTCTGGCTCCCTTTTCATTTCGAATAATGCTAGGAGGAGAGCATCGCACATGCCTACATTCAGTCAGACTCTGGTATTCCAAGACGGGAGACCGAATGTTACCATCTGCAACGACTTCTACCTGCTTTGCGAATAGTCTCTCTTCCACATCTTGTGGCATCAGGGGTTTCTCCGGATGTTTCTGTGAAACACACATGAGTCTCTGCTAATAGCTCCAGCCTTAGTGATACACACAATCTCAAGCCATTCGAGAATGTAATGGCTTTCGTAGACAGCCTTTCCATGCTGGTCAACGAGCACGGGCAATTTCTCCAATGGGTTATACTTTGGAGTCTCGGTGGCTGTATGAAGTGTCAAAGACAATACTGTTGAGAACGCCTTGCTCTCGCTTACTCGAGTCCCAAGGAACTTCTGTCTGAAGCTCAAAGGGAATGCCCTTTTCCRCAAGCGCTATCCGTACCTTACGGGCATAGGGAGATGGCGTGGCGCTGATCAGTGTGTAGACCATGGTTTTTGCTATTGAAGTGGGAATGAAAGTGATGAGAAGGGACTTAACTGTGAGATCTTCAAACCGTTGAAGGAATGCCGAAGCTCTGATTCATGTTGACGTTCTCGGGTATGAGCTGACGATGGAAGGAAGGAAGCTCTCCCTCCTCCTCCCAAAGCAGGCAAAGCAGCCCACGTGCAAATCTCGCGCCACGATCTTTTCGCATCAGCCACAACCAATCTGCAAGGGAGTCTGTACGGAGTTCTGCACCATTCACAGACATCCTTGCCGGCGCACGAGATGCTTACGGATCTCGTTCAGGTCATCCCGCCAGATGGCGACGAGGATGTGGAAGACATTTTCGCATTCGCGGCAGGTCTCATCTTCACTGACGACTCCCGGGTCATGCACGGCGATGATCGCAGCACCATCGTCTACAAGTCCGCGAGATTTGGCGAGATTGAACTCCGAAATGCGGATCCTGAGAATGAAGACGACCGCAAACTCTTTGCACATTACCTGTGGAATGCTGGAATCAAAATGGCCGAGCTTGTCAGCTCAGAAGACCCACAAGATGCGCAGTGGAGTGTGAAGAACCAACGTGTACTTGAGCTGGGAGCAGGTGCGGATATATGAATACTACGGCAACAGGAAGAGCGAGCTGATGGTATCCTTTTTCATGGACTAGGCGTTGGCTTGAGCGGCATAATCGCATGTCTTGCAGGAGCACGAGAAGTCGTCATATCAGACTACCCGGCCAAAGAGCTTCTCGACAACATCTCGCGAAATTTGCAGAAGGCGATTGCTCCCGATTCCAAATCGCGGTGCCATGTACAGGGCTACACATGGGGAGACTGCTCATCGGAATTTGCCGTGAAGAATACGCATGCGTTCGATATTGTGCTGGCCGCAGACTGTTTTTGGATGCCTTGGGAACATGAGAACCTCGTCCGTTCCATGCTTCACCTCCTCCACACCTCTCCTGATGCGAGAGTCTTGGCCATTGCAGGATTTCACACGGGGCGTGCAAAACTCGCTGGCTTCTTTGACGAGGCTGAATCACAGGGACTGGAGGTGGAGCACATTYATGAAGAGGACGTTGCTGGAAACAGGAGAGAATGGGCCAAAGAGCGGGACGGCGGACTCGAGAATCATACCGAGAGGAAGAGGTGGTTAGTCCTTGCTATCCTGAAGCGAAGGACGGCGTGATACTGCGAAAAGGTATGGAAGCCTACCACAGCCTTGCATGTTACACCACGGGAAGTCGCAGGTTGAAGTCCGAACGGATGCTACATATCCGCTGCGACCACGTATGCGAGACTCGGCGTAGATCAGGCAAACGACGAAACGCTGCCTCTTTGGGCCTGGCAACAGAGGGATTCGCCAGGAGTAGTCACTGAACCCGCATCAAGGTCCTGATCAGGTTGCCTCACAGTTTGCAAAGGTACTACAGTAAGTATTGGTTATGCGGCGACTTGCAGTCGTGTACGTGTGATATGCTGGTGAGTATTCTCATTCTCATTCCATCTGATATGCTTCCACGGCGTAGCCTTTCGTTCACACTATCCTCTGCAATCCACATCGATTATCTCGAGACCCCAACGACGGCTTTACAGCTGATGCAATGCTAGGCTTTGGCCAAAAGCTAGATAACGAGTGTGAGTAGGCCTAAAATCTGCTGACGCTTGCCTGCTAGAATCTTGCGGGTCGAAGGTCTGCAAGTCCCTAGCATTCTCTTTGAGCGAGTCTTCGCAGATTACACAATACCTCCGCCAAGCAAGGAAGTACATCTACCGTGTGGCAGCCCTAGGGGCCTGACCTAGATTGGACTTGTTGTGACATTCCCAAGAACAAAGCCAAGGGGCTAAGGGCAAGCAGAATGTTGCCTCTCAAAGCAATTACAGATCCACTTGACTCTCTCGCTTCCCGGACTCATTGTGACGTCAATGTCAGTTCAGACGCAGACGAGGTTGTGGGCACTAAGACACCTGTGGAAAGCCTGCTTGAGCCAAGCCCATCGAAAGGATCAAATTTGACCTGTCCACCAGCCTCCAATACCGAATTGAAGATGGTTCGAGAATTGCAGAGGGACTTGCCCCAAGGGGTAGCAATAATACATTGGCCACAGCATTGAAGGCACAACAGTCTGAGTTTGCTAGCAAGGACCCACAGGTGCATTTTGTTAGACGAAACGGATCTGGCCTGCGGCGAAAAGACTGTCATTTACTCAATTATTTGTGAACGGAAGTGCCCATCTCATGAGTGCTAGAATGCGGGTGAAAAATCTGCCACCGTCAGTGCCATGCCAAAACAATGTGAGGCGACTCTCGAAGAGGAAAGATTTGTCTGGTGTCTGAGGAACCCGGAGCTGGTTTCGCTCTTTGCTAGTCATATTTGGTACATATGTAACAAGTATCGAGCTGGGCCTAATTTGACGGCCACGGATCAGGACTACCATGCTACTGATCGTCGAGCTCTCGACTGTGCTATGGGAAGACGTTGTCTACTCGCGTGCGGTGGGTCGGTTTAGGTAACTTGAAGCTCTCGGTGGTAGAGGCAGTCCGGATAGCTGTCCGGCTACTGTCTTTCGACAGAGAAGATAGCTTTTCAGCCTCCGCCACCGTTTTCATGGGCCTGGATCTGCTTATTTAGATGTGGAAAGAAAGCCTGACCGGTGCTCATCAAGTGCGCTACAAATCTGTCAGCATCGCAGCTCCCTTGCAATCCACGTTCCACGAGAATCACGTACCTTGCACTGCACCGGCCCAAGGGGCGCCTCCACCGCTTGCCTGTGGTTTGTAGGAAGCAGGAATTGGTCCCCTGCTCAGGAATTGCTTGACTTCTGCAGAGTTGAAGCCATTGGCCGCAACGTTGGCCTGCTCCGAGACATTTGCTCCATTGCTGCTGCTGCCCGAAGCAACTGAGCCCCGCTGCGCTCCCCAGGCGTTGTTGGCTGGTGTCTGGGAACGACTGTTGTTCTCTTGCTTTGGTGCTTGCTGTGGATTTGGTTGAATGGGCGAGGCGGTGCTAGATCGGTTCTGTGGAGTTCGTGAGGTGCTGCTGTTGCCCTGCTTCCCGCCGCGGTTCCAGACGCTATGAGGATGTTAGCTCTCGTGCTGATGGCCAAAGGATAAGGAGCACATCGCACTTGTTTGGTTGAGACATGATCAAGACCTGGGCCAGCAGGCCGATGAGGACCGTGTCTGGTCACGGCAATCGGCACAAGTGATGTTGGATGCTGTCGATGTCGGCGTTGGATGATGCTGATGCTCGTGTGGAAGGTCCGATAGCGGCCATGAAGCAAACAGCTCGGAGAAGTTACAACCAMTTTTCACTGTCCTACCTGCGGTTATTACTCTATCACGCCGCGGACGGTGTGTCGTACGGCGCAGTGCAGAAGCGGGATGGCTCAGCCAATAACTCTGCATACAATCAGATTGATGTGTATTCTACAAGGTCAAAACAATTCTTAGGTGAGTGATGCCTTGTGCCCTGTGGTATAGTAGTTCTGCCCCGCATCTCACCAAACCTCCTTCTGCTTCACCTTGGCAAGAGTGTAGTTGTTCCTTTCCATACCACAATCATCAATGACCACATCATCAAAAGAACATCCAAGGATCCCATGCTCATCAACCTCCATGCTTGTCACCATGCCGTCCCACGCGGCGATGACATGCTTGGCGGTGGAAGTTCCAAATCAATGCCGAGAGCTGCTATACACGCCTCGAATCACAGGTTCTCATTCGCCCTCGTGGGTTAGGATTATCCCACGCTATTGCTGCAGCCTTTCTACCACGCTCTCCATCGWTGCAGGTACCGCCTCGCCTACCATCATTGTCCGTCTGTTCTTCACCATTCATCGCTCGCCCATCCTCGATACCCCATCGTTGTGGCTTGCGCCGCGGCCGCCTTGGTGGGCTGAAGCGAGTGAGTAGTAGTGAGATGCATACTTAAGTCCAGTCCTTTCATTTCCTGGTCTCATTTTCCTTCAGTCATTATCTCGCAAGAATGCGTTTCCTTCAAAGTTTTTTGGCCATTGTGCCATTGGCGTTGTCCTCCTTGAAACCCGTTTACGCAGCTCCACAAGCGAGCTCTGGCAGCAGCGCTTCTGCTGTCAACACCACAACCTGCAACGGCAAAACCTATGTTTATGAAGAGCTTGCAGGATATGGCTTTATCGAAGACAATGCCGTAGACAAGCTCAATGACACGGTCGGTGGCATTGGATCTTCTATTGCCATCGATCGGCTGTCATGGATCCGGGTCGGCAATTCATACCAAGGCATTCTATATGCCATACCGGACCGGGGCTGGAACACGGAGGGTAATTATTGCACCATGGAAGGCATAGAGCATTCCAGCACACCGCCATTGGAGAGGCACATGCTCACTTTCTCTCCAGGTACATTGAACTACCAGAGCCGCATCCAGAAGTATGCCATCTCATTCAAGCCCAACCCGGTCGCAACTGTAGAGAATCCCAGTGACCCAAATCTCAAGTTCACATACCTTGATACAATTCTACTGACCGACCCAGCTGGTCAGCCGGCCGTTGGACTCGACGGTGGACTTACTGGACCATACATCACATACCCTGGCTACTCATTTGAATTCCCTTCAGCAAATTACACCGGAGATGGATTTGGCGGTGAGGGTCCTGGTGGCTTCCGTCTCGTTATCGACGCCGAGGGACTGGTGTTGGGCGCCGGTGGCACGTTCTGGGTCTCCGACGAGTACGGCGATTACATATATCAATTCTCTCACTCTGGTAAAATGATCGGAGCCATTCGCCCACCGGATGCGTTCATCCCTCTTCGCAATAACACCGTGTCATTCAGCTCGGACAATCCTCCACGATACAATCCAGCTCTCGTTCCCACTCCAGTCGACCCGTCGACCGGTCGTGCCAACAACCAAGGTCTTGAAGGCCTGACAACCAACCCATTGCGCACCAAGCTCTACGCATTGACCCAGTCTGCTCTCATCCAAGATGGAGGCTCACGAAACCGAAACAGCCGCAACGCCAGACTTCTTGTCTACGACATCCTGAGCCGGCCTGCAAAGCTCGAGGCAGAGTACGTGGTACAACTCAACCGTATCAACCCCGCTGTCGCCACAAGCAACGTCGCACGTCAGAGTGAGCTTCACTACATCTCCGAGACCCAATTCTTGATACTTGCTCGTGATTCGGGAGCTGGAAGAGGCCAAGGCGTAAGCACTACCTCAATCTACAGACACATCGACGTCTTCRACATCAGCAAAGCCACAAACGTTGCGGGAATTAGTGACTGCACGGGATGCCAGATCGCTTCGACCACCGGCGTCCTCAATAGCAACACCACCGCTGCACAGTACTGCCCATGGCTCGACTTCAACGTCAACAGCCAGCTGAACCGCTTCGGAGTCCGAAATGGCGGTGCGCAGTCCGATGGATTGTTGAATGAGAAGTGGGAGTCCATGGCTCTGCTCCCTGTGAACCCACTGCTTCTCTTTAGCAATGACTACTACTTGCTTTCGTTCTCTGACAACGATTTCATCACACAAGACGGGCAATTTCAGGGCGGTGATTTCAAGTACTCGGATGCGTCGGGCTATAGCTTAAGCAACCAGGCTTTGCTCTTCAAGGTAAAGTTGCCCAGTGGCTCCTTCCCTCTCGAGGGCTAGATTGAAGAAGTGTGGAAAGAACCTCGGAAATCGAAAATCGTATATAAGCTGCAATACATGCTACAGAGTCCTTCTCAATCGACCGCTGATCAACTCAGGTCATCGCCAGCGCTGTCAGTCTCTCGTTGCGCCTGCGTCATCGTATGCCCATCATCCATGAAGCCAACTCGTATCAAGATCTCGCTGTCTAACCGACCTATTACCAGGCTCAACAATCAGTCGCAGAACCCGCTCAAACTGGCGCCCAMACTCTTCACACCTACTACCTGAGAGGACCCTCTCGTCCGACCTCAACGTAAGTTTCAAACCCCCCGGCAGCAAATCAATCTCTAAAAGAAAGGGGTTCAAATGCAAAGGCTGTCTCCCACCGATCCCATCAAGCACAACCCTCTCCTTAATAACACGCTCAACCTCTCCCGCATCACACTCCGTAGATTTACCAGGTTGAATGATAACAAAGCTAGTAAAATCACATCCTCGATTCGTATCCTCGTTGAACTCACGGATCTGTGCACGACTACAATGCGCATGCAGACTTACTTCCATCGCCTGACGAGCCATTCGGTCGACGAGTGATTGTATCGTTTCCTGAGGATCGAGGATGATGCGCATGGGAACTGTTCCGAGAGTTGGACCTGYCATGGACTCCACACCTGCTACAGGTGTGGATCTTCCCGTGAAGGCTTCGCAGAAGAGTGCTTCGGATGTGTCGCTGAATGCAGCGTACAGTATCGCTAGTGTGGCGCGTACGTTTGCTGCGGGCGTGTTTTGAGATGGCCAGGTGATGTTGTCTATCTTGTGAATGACCACAGAGCTCACATCGAGAACTTTCACGGTCTCTGGTACGGTGGGGAAGCATCTTCCAGAGCAGCCTTTCAATTGCGCTTCCCAGAAGTGCTTGTCTGTATCTTTGTCGATTTCCATGAGATAGCGGATATACTTCTGGAATTGAGGTGGTGAAGGAGGAGATGAGCTCTTCTGGAGACGGTAGGCCGTGCATATCCTATCGAGGAGAAGGGAGATGGACCATCCATCGAAGACTGCATGATGAGCTATGAGCGCCATGTATGCAATTCCTGATGGATCGGAGTCAATGACAGATATGGACGTCAATGGCGTCCCAAACTCCACATGTCTCAAAGGCACACTTTCTGCGAATGCATCTGAGGTCGGGAAKCGCAGACAAGGTGTAAAAGTATCGACAACGACCTGCAAACTGTCCACTTCGCCACTCTGGACAATCCGCGTTCGCAGTAGAGGATTTGCGCTTGACTCCGCATCGATAGCCCAACGCAGGGCCTCAAGATCGACCGCGGGATCCAGGCGGTGGATGAAGTGAGCAACAAGCGAGTCTCTTATTGATGCACCAAGAGTCATTACTCGTTCTTGGAAGGGAGTACATGGATATGCGTCGAGGATAGAAGACGGCTGCACAGAGCAAAGTTCTGCGAGCTCGCCCTTAAGAACAGCATGGCCATTGGAGACCTGTTCTAAGAGGCTGAAGGGAGAAATCTCTCTCACACCACTTCCGGTGGAATCCATACGGACAGCATTTCGGGCAATCTCAGCCAGGTTCTGTTGCTGTAGAATATCTGAAGTTCGAAGCTGGATGCCATGCTGCCGTGCGAGACCTACTAACCGCATCGCCAATATCGAATCACCTCCTAGCTCGAGGAACGTGTGCTCGGTTGTAATCCCTTCGGGCTCTCTACCGACGACGGATGCCCACAGCTCCTGCATCTTCAATTCCATGACAGTCGATGGCTTCCTATTGTCCCCGCCGGCGGTTGAWGACGTCGCAGAAGACATAGCATGCATATCTGCCAGCGCAGTCGACTTGGCCAACTTCTGTAACTTCTTGCGGTCAACCTTTCCAGACACTGTTGTCGGTATGTTTTTGATCAGCATGAGGTGTGTCGGAATCATGTATGATGATAATCGCTGCGTAAGTCCACGGTACGCATGCTCTACAGCTTTCCGTGCCACATCTTCGTTGACAAGGGCCTCGTCTGCCGGTACTACGAAAGCCAACAAAATGTTGCTACTGCCATCCTTGACCGGAGTATACTCAACAGCGATTGCCTTGATCAGATCTGTTGGGATACTGTGTCGAGCCAACACCTCGATCTCAGCCAACTCCACTCTCTGACCCCTGATCTTGACTTGCGTGTCTGCTCTTCCACAGAAGTCGAGCGAGCCATCTTCACGATATCGAACCAAGTCCCCAGTCTTGTAAACACGCCCACAGCGTCCTCCCATTCCATCCGCGTTGCCTTGTAACAGCCAGTGCGGATTCTCCAAGAAAGAGGCAGCAGTGCGCTCCGGGTCGTCCAGATACCCCTTAGCGAGCGTTCCTCCTTCAATAAGCAGCTCTCCAACGGCTCCTACCATCTGCAGCACGTTGTGATCATTCGGGTCTACAACCCAGGTGTTCGCTGCGATTCCCCTCCCAATAGCAGGCGGGCCTTTGTCATCTGGCTTTACTCGGTGCGCGACACTCATCACTATGGTCTCCGTAGGGCCGTATCCGGAAAAGAAATTAACCTTCCCCGCCCACATCCTCGCCAGATCCTCACCTACTGCTTCTCCGCCACATATCAAGGTTTCCATCGTAGGTAAGTCGGCAGGGCAGTACTGCCTCAGTACTGCAGGTGTGAGGAAGGCGGTGTTGACGCCACCTTGGCTGATGAATTCAGGAAGCCTATCGATCATGTTCTCCTCTTCGGAGGGAATACAGAGGCACCCGCCTCGGAAGAGGGTACAGAATACCTCGAACATGGACGCGTCGAACGCTAGGGAGGAGTAGCTGAGTGTTCGAGTCGTGGGGGAAATGTTGTAGACGTCCGCGTTTGCACTCAAGTTTGTGGATGCAGCCCCGTGTTGAACCACGATGCCTTTGGGCTCTCCTGTGCTTCCGGAGGTGAAACAAATGTAGGCGGGATCGGACGGCGAGATGTTCGTAGAGCGGCCATGAGTTGGTGGAGGTCCCGAAATTGGCAAATTGCGAAGGTCGTAACAGACTATGTCATCTGGAAGCTCTGGAAGCGAGTCCGGAGACGCTGTGAGCAGAAAGGTAGCGCCAGTCTTGCTCAATATGCTTGCTGCACGTCTTGCTGGGGCAGAAAACTCGATTGTGGCAAAGCAAGCACCGCTCCTGAGCACACCAAGGATCGCTATGGGGATCCACTTGGACTTCTGTGAGCAGATCGTAACCACTGATCCATGGCCAATGCCAGCCGTTATCAGAATGTCTGCGATTTGATTCGAGAGTTCGTCTAGTTCATGATACGTGAACACACCATCCCAAGCGTGGACCGCTGGGGTGTTAGGCGATGCTGCCACCGTTCCGAGAACCACCTCGTGTAGTAGTCTATCTTCGAGCAATGGTGGTGGAGGGTTCCAGTGCCAGATATTTGCCAAATCGTGTCGACCGAGCATTGTAATATCTGCTAATAGAACTTCTGATGCATTTCGCCCCAGCTCGCATAGAGCTTGCAAGATATGACCTAGCTGACGGCATAGTCGTTCCGCAGCCTTAGGAGCGACAACCCCAGCATCAAAGCTTGCATGGACGACCAGACCTGTGGCGTTTGGTTCACATTCAAACGTCAATGCCGAACTGGCAAAATCTAGCAATCGATCAGCGCGTCGGTTTGGCCCATCTGCTGGCGTTAACAAAGAGCTTTCCGCATCGCTTTCCTGACCCGCCTGCACAACGAGCAAGGTTTGGAACAAGCAGCAGTGTGCCTCTCCGCTACCAAGCCGTCGAATATGCTGTGAGCCAGTGTGTTCGTGAGCGTACATGCTACGTCTTTGATCGCGAAGCTGTTGCAGAAACGCCCCCAGCGTGATGTGGCGGTCTATTCGAATACGTAGAGGCATCGTTGCAAGAGTTGGAAACACCATGCGCTCGATACCTTGCACGGGAGCCTTGCGGCCTGCGCTTACCACACCAAATACCACATCTTCTTGCTCAGTATGGCAGGCCATTAACAGCGCCAGAGCTGCCCGTATGAGAATGTCCTTGGACCACGAAATCTCGCCCCACTTCACGTCATTCAACAAATACGTCTTGATGGTATCAGGGCTTGGATCGTACGATGAAGGAACGGCGGGGAAGTGCTGACATGCTGCTTCATGGAGTTGGTTTCTCCAGAACTGCAATGAGGACTCGGATCCGCTATGTGTCATGTGGCGGATAAAGTCTGTGAATGACAATGGATCTTCGTAGTTGACGTTAGGGCTGTAGAAATTTTCCAAATGCCCGAGCATGAGGCTGAAACTCCACGCGTCGTAGAGAGAGTGGTGCATCGTCCAGATCAGATCGTGTTCACCATCCTCTGGCCTTTTGACCAAAGCGACCCAAGTCAAACGACCACCGAGTTCAACTTTGCGCTGCGAGGCTGCAGACGCATAATCTTCGAGGCTATCGCAGTATATCCAGTCCATCTTCTCCCGGAGAACAGCTAGAGACAATGCCTCTCCGTCGATATATACCATCCGTGTACGCAGAATCGGAGTGGATAATACAAGCGCATCCCAAGATTGCTGAAAACGAGCCAGCTCTACGTCTTTCCTGACTTGGAATGTCCGCCTCTGAGTGTAGAGACCAGGTCGCTTCATCGTCGCAGCTAGCAAAGTCTCTTGTAGCGGCGTACAAGGCATGATATCTTCGATCGAGGAGAAAGAAACGCCGCATTGTTCTTCCACCGCGTGTCGTCTTGTGGCAGTGCAAGAGCCAGACGGCAGTGATGAGAAAGTCGAATGGTCGTCATCTCTGCTTGATCCTATGCTGTTTGGGAGTTCCAACATGTCTACGGGATGGATGAGCAACAGCAATACCAGGCATTGCAAGAAGTTTGAGGTTAGCTAACTCTCCCACGCATCTCATCGCCAATAATGAGCAGCCAGCTTTCACATTCGTCCTAGTTTGATGATCGACCATGGACGGAGACATCTTGGTGCAGCAACCTGCATGATTAGTACATCCATTAGTCTCAATACCCCGCTGTGCATCTCAGCAGATACCACGCTCTGACAGATCTGCCCTCAAAACAGGCATTGCAATTGGAAATTACCTCGGAAACTTGCATGTGAGTGTAGGTGCAGCGTCTCGCGTATCTCGTGAACAAACGCCCTGGAGGGGGACAATTCATGCCTAGCCGATATCAGGAGGAACCGACTGGCGATATAAAATCAGCACGTGGATCGAAGAAAGGCAATCCAAAGACGGAGAATGCACGTCGATGTTGCCTGAAGCACCAATCCCACAGAGATAGATGAGTCGTCAGTCTTGCGAGCGAGACACAGTTCGTGTGAATGGTGGCCGTTATCCTCAATATTTTCTTCACTTGAATGCCGTTACTCCCCCAAGGTCGGTTTCAGAGAAACGATAACGCCATTCTTGCTCTCCGTCACAAGCTTGTACCGGTCCACAAACTCCCAGATCGGATCGCGATTCTCAATCCCTCCAAATGCCTTCATCATTTTGAACAGAATGAGCCCAGCCTCTATAATGGCCAGCTGCTGCCCTGGACAAACGCGCGGTCCGCCTCCGAAGGGCATATACTCCCACGAACGCGGTCGAATGCTGTCCCATCGCTCTGGTCGGAAGGTGTCGACATCATCGCCAAACACCTCCTTGTTGCGATGGAGTGCGTAGAAGCTTATGACGATGAAGTCGCCCTTGCGAACCAGCGCAGGGGCCTTTTTAGAATCCCCGCCGCCTTGCGGGAGAATAGTATCTCTGACTGCTGCTCTTGTGGTCGTGGATAACGGTGGGTGCATGCGGAGCGTCTCTTTGAGAACATTTTGCAGATATGGCATTCTCTTCAAGCGTTCGGCATTGATGTCACTTTCACCAACAGATTCCACCTCTTCCCGCAGAATGGCAAAAGCGGCCGGGTATCGTGCTAGGCAGAAATACACGTTCGACATGAAAATTGCTGTAGTGTTGTGAGCGGCGAGAAACACATTCAACAATTGCTCACGCATCGCAATACGGTCCTCTAGCTGAGCAGCGAGCTCGAAAGCCATAACATTGCGAGCAGCGCTCTGCGGGTCTTTCTTCTGCCTTTGGWTCGCCGYGAGTATTGCCTTGTCGACAAATGTGTGAATCGTACGACATGACGACCAAAAGGCACGATTCCAATGAAACAGGCTGGACCGTGGTAGGTGACGCCGTTCTCCCATTCCCTGCTGGCCCAACTTCCATGCTTCGACAAATCCATCCGCCTCGGGAGACATGTCACCAGTGAGGCTTCCGAACGAACTTCCGAACATCATTTCGGTGGAGAAGTCCAGCTCGAGCCTCGCAAACCAGTACTGCAGGTCGATGGTTCTGCCGTCCTTGGGAAGAGCAGCGACAAGGTTGTCGACATGTTTCGCTAGCCACGAGAGGTCTGCTGTTTGAGAGCGAGCCATGAGCTTTTGAACCACGGCTCGCGAATGCTTCCATACATGGCCGTCCATGCTCATCACACCAGCCCCGAGAACAGGTTTGACGGAGAACATTCGAACATCTTCCACCCCGTAATCCGCAAATCGAGTGCCGAGGACAGTCTTGATGTTCTCCGGGTCCGCGGTCACGATCTCTCTAGTGCGATAGACTTGGCGACTGTGGGTGCTTCCCAGGCTGCCCAACAATTCCATCAAAGGGAGATTACGCTTCCCGGCCGCGATGGAGATGAGGTATTCCAAACCCTGATCTAGGCCAAAGAGGTAGCTTTTCTGCGTTACAGATGGGAGAGGCTCGCAGCCTGCTTGCGTCGCAAGCCGTCGGCGCTGAATATTCCGTAGCAGGCCTTGGAGAAGAGACCACAGGGCAACGGCGAGAAGCAGTGTGAGCAGTGCTCCTGTAATTGGATTTTGTAGCGTTGCCATAATCGCGAATGTTGGGTGTATATTCGTATTTGCTGTGCGTTCAATGTCTCTCCTCTCACAATGTGAGCCCTACCATATACTGCTGCTCCCCGCTCACTGGCGTTGGCGTGGCACTTCCCTCTTCGAGACAGCTCTGCCCAGGCATTGTCTTCTCTCCATGAGAAGGCATAGATCTGCAGCCGCCTTGCCTAGCGTCTCATGGTGGAAGGGTAGCTATGGCCCCTACTGCACGTAGTCCTGCAACCATGATTGGTGCCATCAATGTGCGGGCGTAGTGCTCCATCGTCATCATCAAAAGAGTAAGAGTGCCGATGCTGACGATCGACTTGTTGTTCTTGCATTTCGAGCTAGAGGTATCGATTCTTAGAAAAGCAGGTGTAGCTGTCGATGAGAGTGTATGTTTTGCTAACCACGGAAGGCTCGGAGCGTAGATCTACATATTCTAGCTCTGCCGAGGCTTCACATGATCATTGATGAAAGGTCGCTTCTCTGTCAATCTCATCCACAACATCATTCCATATCACATCGTAGTAACCCTTCCAGCATGGCTCACTTCACTACCGAAGAAGGGACTCTCACCACCCCCGACGGCCAAGTCCTCTTCTCCAAAACATGGACACCCACCATCCCCACCAAAGCCCGCATAGTCTACCTCCACGGCTTCTCCGACCACTGCGAACAGCACGCCACATTCTTCCAAAACATCGCCAAACATGGCATAAAGACGCACGCGTTTGATCAAAGAGGTTGGGGTAAGAGCGTACAAGCGCCGCGAGAAAAGGGCCTCAGCGGGCCCACAAGCCAAATCATGGACGACATCACACATATGATCAATAGCCTACCACATCATCCTGATCAACCCATCTTCCTCATGGGCCATAGTATGGGCGGAGGTGAGGTCCTCTACTACGCAGCAGAAGGTCCCAAAGACACCAAGAAACGTATTCGAGGCTTCGTGGCTAGCGCGCCGTGGATATCTGTGCATGAAACTACAAAGCCCTGGAAGAGTACAGTGATTATAGGACGTATTGTGGGGAAGCTTATGCCTCATCGACAGTTGGTTCAGAAGCTCGATGAGAAGAAATTGTCTCGGGATCCTGATGTCTGTAGGCAGTGGAAGGAGGATCCGCTCTGTCACGACACTGGAACGTTGGAGGGCTTTGCTGGGGCTTTGGATCGGGGAGCGGCGCTGGAGGAGGGTAGGGTCAAGATAAAGGATGGGGAGGGAGAGGGCGGTAAGACGAGAGTTTGGATTGGGTTCGGGACAGGAGACGCCGTACTGAGCTTCGACGTGGCCAAGAAGTGGTATGAAGGGCTGAAGGTAGAAGATCGGGAATTCCACACCTATGAGGGGTGGTTCCACAACTTGGATATTGAACCCGGCGAGGACAAGGTAATATTCGCGAACGATGTATCAAAGTGGGTGCTAGATAGAAGTGACAGCGTAAGTGGGAGGTCAAAACTATAAGGCCGAGACGGCAGGAACAGCACAATGCCGAAGTGTCAACGTAGGCTTCTCGTGGAGATAAAGCTTCATCTTATCGATATAATCATTACAATGTCATGTTACTCATATTACTCATACACCGTCATCGCCATAAAAGCAATTGCCGATTCTACCTGGACCACTGCTGACGCCGACCTCGCTTCTTCTTGGCAGCAGCCTTCTTTTGCGCAATGACAGGCGTCAAGGTGGCGCTGTTGGGTCCGGATGGATCAGTGGGTGTGCTCTCGGCACCAGTCGCTAGCTCCGTCAGAGTGTCTTCGTCCATGTCTGAAAGCTCCTCGGACATGTMACGCAACACGGCGCGGCCAGTGTATCTCTCCTCGTGGATAGTCGTCCCTACTGGATCGAATGGCGTTAAATACCAGCCCACACCACCCTGGGCAAGGAAATCATGCGAGCCGCCCGATACATTGCTCGAGTCTCCGTTTGCAGACGGGGCCACGTTGGTGGGAGCAGATGAGGCCGAGTTGGGCGGTGAAAGGGGTTCGGCAGGCTTTGTCTTCTGTGCGAGGTCGGAGTTGGAAGAAGACGCGTAGCTTGCATCATGAGAAGGAGGCGTTGGTCGGCTTCCTCCGATGGGCAAGCTTTCGGCTTTACTGGTAAGGTTGAGATGTATAATCGCTTCATCCGTCCGCTGATCAGCATTGGGCATTTCAATGTCACCATTCGCCATGGATAGTTCGTCCAAGTTGGACGCACCTGCAGTAGCCGAAGCGTCGGAAGCCGTGCGACGCTTACTCAAGTTCGAAGCTTCTGCATCGACATCTTCGTCACCGTCACCGTCAGCCTCGACAGACTTCACGTTCGATGCGAACATTCCCATGGAATCCAGTTTGCGAATCTCCTCCTCCATCTCGCGGCCTCTGAGTTCGGCCTCTTTCCGCGTTGCCTCCTCCAGGGGTTCCTTGACGGCTTTGGCAATGCGCTTAGCAAGCCGCTTCAGCTCCTTCTGATCTTGTGGCAAAGCGGAATGTTGTGCAGTACCAGGCATGGCTTTCTCGAGTTGGGTGTAGATCGTGTCCATGCCATGCTCATGTTGGCTGCGCGCAGACGTCTCTGGAGTCTCGCCAAGCACCTGGCTGAACACCAGCGACATGTCCCTGGAAAAGTCGCCCACGGATGTGTAATATCGGTCCCGAAGGCGATCAGCAAGCGCGTTGAACCCAGCACGGAAGCTCTTGGTCTTTTCGTCAAGCCTAAGCAGGATACCAGTGTCAGCATTATCAGTGGAAACCAGAGGGGGGTAGCAATCAAACACGTACTTTTGAGCGCGATGCAGGATCGGCCAGAGCAGCGGAGGGATCGGAAAGTAGACACTGTTGACCAACTCAACGAGGACCTCAATCTCCTTCAAGCGCAGCTCCTCCCGCTCCCGTGTCAGTGCAGTCAGTCCGGTAAGGTGGCCCATATCCTTCTGCAGGATCTCCGCAAGTTCAATGCGTCGCTCAAGCTTGGGCCCGCCCGCCGAGCCCATGCCTGCGAAGTTACGACGAGTGATCTCCATGCTAGAGAAGCTCTCTAATTGCAGCTGCAGTCGCTTCAGCAGAGCAGCTCCCCTACGCGCCTCTCGCTTCAACGTCCAATATTTGCAAGCCTTCTCGACGAACTCCTTCCTCTTTCGAACATTGAAGCGCGTCAGACTCGACTCAACGGTGTTGTAGATGATCGCTGGCACCACAGGTGCGCCGGTCTGCGTCTTCCAGCTGGGCTTTGAAGGTTTCGTCTTTGGTCGTTTCGTCACGGCAATTGTGTCCTCGGAGACTACGCCATCACCACCACCCTCGTGCGGCGGCGGCGCTTCGATCTCCAGAAGCGTGCTTGGGCTATCGGCCCACGTCCTGCTCCTATAATGACGTGAGTACCACTGCTTCGCTTCTTGAACGGCCTGCTCGGGGTCGTGAATTCGACGCCACTCTTGTGGGACATGCTTGTCGCAAAAGGCTTTGAGAGCAGACTGGTCGATGGCGCCCCCATGCTGCGACTTCATCTTGAGGAAGAGCTTGGCCTTCCTCGCACACGTTACATGAAATGCTTGGTAGCAGTTCTTGTTGCCGCATTGAATGCAAGCTCCCATTTTCTGATTGCAGATGTAGCAATTCAGCTTCCATCTGCTCTTAGGGACTTTRTCCACATCGGTGATGGGCTCCATGAACGTCAAATTGCTAACGGTGACTTCAGGAWTCCATATCGCACAAAGTAAATGGCTCCAACGATCAGTGTTGGTTTGCTTGAAAGCACCCTCGATGTTGGGGCAAAAAACACACGTTGGAGTGCCTGTGCCAGTTATCTTACATTTCCGGCAGAACCACTGTCCTTCCGGTATGTAGGGGACACCGTAGCATTCCTGGTGGACTGCAACATCGCAGCCGTCACAGAAGATGATGGCGTTGGTGTTTTCGCAGTCTCCATCGTCGCAGATCGAGCACTTGCTATCAGGCTCGTCTCCCGATGGGTTGGGATCGCCATTTACCGCCGCCTGAGAGCTCGATCTAGGGCGGTTGAGCTGGGAATGGCGAGGTTGAGGTTTCGGCATTCGTTTTTCGAGGGCATGGTATTCCTTTTCGATCTGCGTCAGGGTGATCTCAAAGATCGCCGGTCGTATAGCATCCACGCCTTCTGCCCTTCGCTGCTCGTTGACCTCTTCCAGCCACGCCACGTCTTGCTCGTCCATGTCATATTCAACATTGCCGACCACTGGGGAGCCCTGTGCGACTTCAGATTGTCCGTCGCTTTGCAGTCGTAGTCCCACCTCCGCCTCGTCTTCGATTTGCTGTCMCTCGGAGAGGCGGACCAGCACGGGTGGAAGCCCAAAGTGATCGCTCTCTTGGTATCCCACTCCAGCCATGGTGCGATCCACATAGTTTGCCTTGTTCTCCTTTTGACTCTCTTCATACTGCAGAAAATGATTGTGCTCGTGGTACTTTGCATTTGGCAGGTTCAGGCGCTCTTTCGGGTTGTGGGTTGGTAGAGGAACAATTCGCGGCGGCGTCGGAGAGCCCAATCCACTCAGCATCGCCTGCGGCCGCCTTGGGGGTCTCCCAGGGCCCCTCTTGGCTGGTGTGGTAACCTTGGGGACTGGATGTTGCGGGTGTGGGGCTGATTCGGAAGTGGCATCTTTCATTTCGATATCCCCGTCTCCATTCAATGATTGCTTTCCGTCAGAGCTCTCGACAACCAGCTTCGGCAACCGGGACTCGTATCTTCCGTCTACCTCGTCCGCGGTGTATACAGGCATTCCAACCTCGATATTCAGGTCAGGATGAAAGTCCTCCCAGCTGCGTTCTTCTCGCGGTTTGTAGCCGTCGCTAGCCAAACTGGCCGCTGCTGCTGCTGCTGCATTGCTGTAGCGTGGGCGTGGTGTTGTCGCCTGTGGTGCGTATCGCTGCGGTCGCTCGCGGCGGGGTCGCGTCTGCATGGTACGTGTCACGAGCGGCGTGCCGTCGTCGGCCTGTGCATGTTCCCCATTCGCCAGTGATGCCGAGCTCGCCTCTCTCCGCGCGCGCTGGCGAGGTGCAGTCAGCGGCACACCAAGGGCCACTGCCTGTGCTCGCGACATCTCGTTGCCTTCCGAGTCAATGTATCTGCCGCCGCCTCGTGGTCCGCCAGGCATGAACTTGATCTTCTTGCTCGGAGGTTCGGTAAGGGTTTCGATGGACGCGAGTGCGCGCAAGGGCCGGCCAGGTGTCGCGCGATTAGGGGCCATGGCACGTCGAGGAGATGCCATGGCGATGTGGGGGGGGGCTGCTGTTTGAGACCTCCAGCTGAACCGCGTAGAGTGATGTGATGGTCAAGTAGCTCAGGTGCCCGGTTATTTCAGGGTTCAAAAGTTAGGGTTCGGTTACATCGTCCGAGATAGCGTAATTACTTTGTAACAATCCACCGGTCTGAAATGAAAACTTCTCTACTCTACCACTAACCTTATCAAATCACTCTAAATGGCGATATCTGGCGAGGACATCGCTCGGGCTGTGTCTTGGTAAGTCGAAATCCTCACTTCCTGCACACTTAAGGCAGTAAGTTGATGATGCAGACAGGTTTTTTGGTTGGGTCAGTATTGTTTAGAACGAAGCCTTCCCGGCCGCCTGCTTATGCTCCTAGTCAAGGTCTATTTCTCTGCTTGGACCATCTCGTTCTTTCCCCAAGCGTTCTTGAACTACCAACGAAAAACTACGGACGGCCTTACTCCAGATTTCCCGCTATTAAATGTATTCGGCTTTTCATGCTTCTCACTCAGCACGATCCTATTCCTATTCTCCCCTGTGATTCGCGGGCAGTATGCAGCTCGACATCCCCTCTCACCGGAGCCTACCGTGCGCATGAATGACTTGGCTTTTGGCTTGCTCGGGCTGGTCATGAGCGTCGTGGTGAGTCACTTTGTGATGGGGAGGGGAAGATGGACTAATCCCATGCTCGTAAGACCTACTCGCAGTTCTGGCCTAGTCTTTGGCGATGGGAGCCTGTGGCCGGAGTCAGGAGAATTGCCGGTACTGTCACCTTGGGGATCATATGGGGCTCGCTGCTCGCTTTGACATTAATCACCAGCTTTGTGCTCGCAAAGGGCAACGGGCGGAGCACTGATAGCACGGTCTGGGCATGGATCGATGTGGTCAGTGCTGACATCTCGGATTCAATGCCGCAGACACTAATGATGAGAATGATAGGTGTATGCCATGCAGTACGTCAAGATCTTGCTGACCATCTTCAAATACATCCCGCAAGTCGTGAGCAACTTTCAGCGAAAGTCAACAATAGGATGGAGTATTTCGCAGCGTATGTGCGAGAAGCCTAGCATGCCAATAGTGGTGCACTGCTGACATTCCATCTGCAAAGAATTACTGGATTTCACCGGCGGTGTCCTCAGCCTGGCCCAACTTGTGATTGACTCTTCCTTACAAAGCGACTGGACTGGGCTTTCTGGAAATCCAATGAAGATTGGGCTGGGAATGGTCAGCTTGGCTTTCGATGTCATCTTCCTTTCACAGCACTATCTGCTGTATGGGCCTGTGGAGGAGAGTCATTGTCAAGGAGATCAGGTTGTAGACGTCTCTCATCGGTCATGTAATGAGCAGCGACCTTTGCTACAAGATGCCAGGAGTGTGTGAACGTCACATCTCGGGAAATTTTGCGACGAGGACGCCAAGGGACGACTCCTTTCCCGATCTTCTCATTCCTCAAGCCAGTCTGACGCAGTTGAGAACGCATCTTGACCAGGCCGCAGGGAGGCGGTTGGTGGTGACGGGAGCTTGGTGATGGCGGCATGTAACGTTACCATCTGTTTGAACGTGGACGCAATGGCGTCGCAGGGTCCCACGCTTTCCGACCCACAATCCCACCTGGCACATTTGGCCGAAAACGGCTCGGTGGATCCATACTATCCCGAGGACCCCACCTCGCGGCGGCGAATTCCATGTGCGTGAAGACGTTGCCATGCGGAAGATACCGCTTTGGGTGCGACTTGGCCGTGAAGAGCAGGCAACGTATCATTCCGCCGGAGCATGCTACTTTGACCCAAAGGTCAGCGTGCATCTTTAGGCGCTGAGCGTGGAGACTAAACAGATCGACCACCGGGATGTATATGACCACCCGGGTACATGGTGAGCGAGCTGAGACATTCACACAAGGTGTTTCGATGACACTTTCACGATAATTCACCGGTGGGAACCATACGCAACTACAGAAACCCACGCACGTTGAATGCTCGAAAAAAGTCGCATTGTCTAGCAGGTACCACTGTCAACACACGATGGAAGCGGAAGACTGATCGCGGCCATCGCGGTTTCGCTCCCGGTTCCGAGTCAGTCAATAGTCAGGCAGCCGGCGAACCTTGCGATGGACATTGATCACAACTCTGAGTTTGACGTGCAGGGCATGGGCGTTTCTTGGATGACAGAACAACATCGCAATCTCTCAGCAGCAAGCGGCGTTCTACAACGYAAGTTTCGTGCGAAAAAGCCACAGCCAACGAGGAGGTATATACATACTTGCTGCGTAGCAACTAGCTGCTGATTTGCCGAAATGTCGCGTGCTTTGGCGCCCGTGCGCCACGAACCACGAAAGGCTATAGACGAAGACGCCGGCCTGGATTGGCGCAGGCGTGGGCGGCCGGGCTCCGAGCACATCTCCCGCAGTCTGCACAAGTGTCGGGTATGTATGCACGTTGTAAGGGGGACAGCAGCACCGCCGGGGGACCTCAACGCGAAAGAGTCTGGCGCCATTACGATGCTGCTGCTGCTTTTTCTCCCCCCGCGCGTCGTCCTGTCGCAAACTGCACTGCTTTAACAATGCCCGCCAGAACTGACAGTCAAATTAGCCAAGTGCCACTGCTAATGTCAGCAGCCCCGAAACACGATAGTGTAACTGGACTATCGACCGGGCCACCCCAGCGAAAATCAGTTTCATCCGAATCCGGAGGGATGGCACCTGTGGCCCTATATCGATTGGTATGTTTGCAACCCCCAGTCGTGCCATGCGACGTGCTCTCGGGTATGGATAGATTGGCCAGGCATCGCTTCTGAAGCATGGCGGCATGGGAGTTGTCCAAGAGAAATTGGACGCCTTCGTTTTGCGCCTATTTGCGACTCCATGCCGCTCTGCTTTCGCGTTGTTCCAAGACCCGACTGTGGGCCAACCGACCTGATTTCCGTCCACTATGACGTCCATTTCTCGCGAGCTGAGCTTCAGTGCGTTCCATCCCGCTTACAATTCATCATTTCCGCAGTATCCTCACCAGTCTTCAAACGGACGGCGCGAGCTGCGTGCAATGGAGAACGGAAACGGCAGTCATCAGCCCAGCGAGAACGGGCACCGGCACCATCGAAGCAGCGCAGCAAGCGTCAGTACTGCTATTCACGTTCCCAGTAGTGGATCCCCCAACGAGGACGGCAACAACGACGATTTCAATCAACGGTACACCGCGCGGAGAGCGACGACGCAATCGGACAATACAGTAGATCGATTTTCAAAATCAGAGATGGCGCCAAACTCAACCAAAGTATCCTTCAATGACGATGCAAACGAATTTAGTTCGCGTGGAATACACATTCCCACTCGGACTAGGTATGTATCTTCATCCAAATTGTCCCCAGCGAATATGTATTCGAGCTCACATATGTACAGCAGTAGYGGAATCCAGGTCCCAAGAGCGGGACATGTGCCCTCGTCAGTATCCTCACCRGCTACATCCCCCGCCCCAGGCTTTCAAACACAATATTCTTCACCACCGTCACCATATGCGACACACGATTACGCGTACGATGCCGGTGGACGAAGCAGTGGGGACTCTACATTCTCCCAAGAAACCGTAGCAACATCCGTACACACTTTACCTGCCTTGCAGGCCAGAGGTCCCGAAAATGGCGATTTTCATCACCTGGAGCCCGTGTTGGAGGACGATCCATCGTCGTGGGATCTTGTCGGTCCAGCACAGGAGGAAGAGGCTTCTGGCATGTACTCGCTTGAGACCCGTGCGGAGAGACTCTTCAGTGCCGACCACCTAACCAAGATCTTTGAGGACCCAAAATTGCTGCTCAGATTCACTGGTTTCCTCAACACACATCGACCAAGGAGCATACCTATCCTAATATACTATCTGGACGCATTGAAAGCAATACGCGCCATCAAATACGCAAATGCCATCGCCGAGGCATTAGAGCCGAWCAAAGGCCACGATTTTACCCAGCAAGGCGCAAAGCCTACCAACAACGTCATACTTGAGGAGAAGGCGAATCGAGCTTTTGAAGTGCTGGTCCAGGAGGACCTTCCTGCATACATTGCACACACATGGATACAGGTGGTCAGCATCAGCATACAACGAAGGATCACCGGCACTCTTGCTCCGCACTTACGTGAGGCCAGCGAAGGCCTGGCTGAGGTCTTTTGCTTGTCTGATCCGAGCAGAGCAGACAACCCCATCGTTTTCGCGTCCGAGGAGTTCAACAGAACAACCCAGTACGGCATGGGCTACGCGATTGGTCGGAACTGTCGCTTCCTACAAGGACCGCAGACCAGCCCTCATTCCGTGCGCAGACTTGCAATGGCTTGTGCCGAAGCTAAAGAGCACAGCGAGGTGTTCATAAACTATCGTCGGGATGGAAGCCCATTCCTCAACCTTTTGATGATTGCGCCGTTGATGGACAGCCGTGGAAATGTGCGATACTACATCGGGGCACAGGTTGATGTTTCTGGTCTGATAAAAGATTGCAGCGGGATGGAGGGCCTGGCGAACCTGTTGGAGCAAGAGCAGGGAGGCGAAGGTGCCGCTACGCCCAGCCATAAAGACGAGTTCCAGGAGCTGAGCGAAATGTTCAACGGCGCCGAACTCGATACTGTGCGGAGATGCGGTGGCCGCATGCACAAAGAGTATGTGGATGACAGCGATCGCGAGAGCTTGCTTGGCAGATCACGTTTGCTTCTGAAAGATCCCGCACAGGATGTCTTCCCAAAGGAAGCCCAAAGCAGTCCAGCATTGAGCGCAACCGAGCGAATCAATGGCAGACTTCAGGGTGTTTATCAAGACGTGAGTAAAAAAAAAACCATGCGCTTCGGACTATGCTAATGACTCTCAGTACATACTCATTCGACCGTCGCCATCGCTTCGCATATTGTTCACATCGCCATCGCTGCGGGTTCCTGGGATTCTCCAGTCGCCATTCCTTCCTCGAATTGGAGGCAGCAGCCGTGTGCGACAGGATTTGACCGCAGCCCTTGCTGAAGGTCGTGGCGTGACGGCCAAAATTCGATGGCTAACACGACCGGACGAGGACGGAGAAGGCGAAGGGCGACCACGCTGGATCCACTGTACGCCATTGTTGGGACACAATGGCTCGGTTGGCGTGTGGATGGTCGTTCTCGTTGATGAGGAGGGAGCCCTTCCCGGTACCGCATCTGGTAGGCGCTTTAGGCAAGCACCTCCTGTCTCCAGTAACATTGGAGGCAAAGAGTGGGACGGCGCATTGGCGAGAGATCGGAAGCACGCCAACGTGTACGACAAGGAGAACGAGCGTAAAGGCGGGCAGAGACCCGACTACTTCCACCGTCCCGGTAGTCGCGCTGCCAGCACCGAGTCGAAAAGCCAGCCCTTCTCGAGTGCTGCGAGCCAACGTTCGGGAACCCACCCAGACAGACCACGCGCTGGCAGGACCGGGACTTCCACCAACGTCAGTGAATTCTCCTTCGACTTGAATGCATGAAAGATGGCATGATTTACGGACTACGTGACGACGAGAGATTTATCCATGCACTGCTCCATCAGCGAGACTTTCTGGCGGTAGAATTGCCCACATATCTGTAAGTGGAAGGCCGCAAGCTGTCGATTGCTTCACTAGCTTCTTTGTATATATCTTCGATGGGATCTAGCCGGCGACTGTGATTATAGGTTGAAGAGTTATGAGATACCCATTTGAGCAATATGCAAATATTCATGTCATGGAAGGCGCCAGCGAGTCTTGCCAAGAACACAAGCTCAACTTTCACTCTACTTCACTTCATGTCATTTCTCTACCACTGTAACCCAACCCACAACACCTTTCTCTTAGTCATTGATTCCACATAGGAGTGGTAGGGTCGCATGCATGAATGGCAGTCGATTGTCCAGCCGGTGCTTTCCCCGCTGACAACGACGCTCCACGGCCATGAGACATCGCTCATTGCAGTAACAGCAGCGATTTCCTCGATGTTCTGCTTCAGACCAGTGGGTCATCACACTAAACTTGTCCAGTATGCCACGGCTTTCGATGCAGAGAATGGTGAGGTCTTGGGAGGCAACTGCTCGAACTGTCGAGACACAGCCAGCCGCAACGAATACTTCCCGACTCGAGTTGCTGGCTGGCCCATGTACGGCCTGGACGCACAGGTGCTACTCTCAATACAGTATCTGGGATTGATATCGAGTATGTTGTGTTCTCGGGAGAAGCTGGGTGAGTCAGCCGTGAGGCAACGAGTGAATGAACACAGCTGCATGTAGCTTGGTCATGCGCACCGTCGCAATTCAATCTTTCCTCGCTCCATCCTTTTCCACCTGTTACCATCTATCAGCAAGAAACTCGCCGCTTACCACCGCGAGCTCCACGTCCATCTGAAATATCCAAACATCAACAGCCATCGACATGGCGCACCAGCGTGAACGCAAACCGGTACCGGAACACGGTCGAGCCCTGCACGAAAAATTGAAGGAACCAGCGGCTGCACCATATCAGACAGTAGGTTCATCGCGTGCTGCTGTCCCTGTCTTTGTTTCCCCCACGCCCGCGGCGGTTGTTGGAGGACGGAAGAACATTCGTGACGGCGTCGGAATGATTGATCGCGCGGCCCATGGGCTAAAATCGGAGGATTTGTACTTCTTCGACCATGGCGAGAAAGACGATGGCGATGGCGAGCAGCAAGACTCGCAGTATGCTGCTGTTGTGTCGAGCGCTGGAGATTCCCAAGTGGCCGACGGCCAACCCTCATGCACATGCGGACCAAAGTGTCCATGCAAACCTGCCTGCACGTATCAGATTCACAGCTGCCCTTGCAAGCCTTGCGTACCGAGAATGAAAGGCAACAACAAGGGACCATCGCGCAGCTTCGAAGGTGCCCGGGCTGACAGCCCTCAGTACACCTCGGTCGGTACGTTGCTGATGAACACCTCCCCTCTTATGAGACGCTTGTACTGACGTTGCTTCTTAGGGTACACTCGCAAAAAGACCCAGCGCGAGCTCGAAAAGACGCTGCCAGATCGCGGCCTCGGCGATGGCACGGTCTCTGGACAGGAATCTCAACGCGCTCGAGTTCCCCGTCGCAATGACACCAAGATCGCCACCACAAGTGCAGAGCCACTTCAGCTTAAGAGACAGCGTGCGCCGACTATCAACACCGACCTTGCCTACGTACCACCAGCTCCAACGAAGACACCCTCTCGTAAGCAAAAAGATACGACGCCTCTCGGATTCTACGGCACCCACGGCTCGCACTCAGGACAGCGCTATCCCACATTCACCACTGGCCCTACTCTGAGCCAGAACGGTATTCCCACTCCTCCTGTCTTTACAGCTACACCGGCCACCGCCGAACCGGTTCAGTCTGGCGGACCCATTGCCCAGACACTTGTCCAACTGTCATCCTCTCCTCCAGAAGTCCAGAAGCAAGCAGCCGAGCCGATGTCGCGCGCACCTCTGCGGCTGAGCTCTTCTGGAGCCACCGCTGATGGCGAAGATGACGAGCTCGACAGGTACACACCGTCGCCACTGAGCGCTCCGCGACAGAGACGGCAGCAGTGCAACAAGACCCACGCTGCAATCACCGGAGAGAACATCACAGGCTATTCAAACATTGAAGAATACTCGAGAACTGAGTCCAGCGAGTTGAACGAGGTCCCAGAAGCAACATCGTGTGCAGTGACATATCCAGCAGTACCACGATCGACCAGCGACGGGATGTTCACTGCGGGGGTCTTTGCATCTACAGTCACCCAGAGCTTCCCTTCGGCGCACGCCGGCAATCCTCGTGATCCGGAAAGCATCGCGGACCAAGCAGGCGTCCATCGTGAAGACCGGTACGGTTGTGAGAATGACGAGCGCGCCACTGCGATCGAGTGTGCTCCTATGCGTCACTCTTCGCCCGCGAGCAGTGGCCGTGGATTCCCTCCGCCTCTGCCACCGCCACTTCCGCTGCCTGATTTCATCGCCCCACGCCCTGCAACCAAACAGCGCTACGTGTCTGCTGGAGGTACGGCCAAATTGGAGGACCGCCCAGAGATCACCAACTTCGTTCTGCCACCAAGCGTCACTCCTGGTATCTCCATGCAGAGAGATCTCTTGCTCCAGTGTCTCGACAATGTGCCAAAGTTCGCAACGCCAACTCGCAGCATGACGATTGGAAGCCCGATACCCATTCGAAACAGCGAGGAAGCGTTGGGGGATTCCAGCACGCGATCTTCKTATGAGGATGGCTTGGACCAACAGGGCACAAAGCGTGACCGTAAAGAAAGCGGCTCCAGCCAGCGTCTGGCGCGGTTCAAGAGAGTCTTCTCGTTTGGAAAGGAAGGCAAGGACAATGAAAGCAAGGAGACATCACCGGGCCAGCAGCTGTAGATGGAAAAAGAGAATTACGAGGTATCATACTGGCGAGTTATCAGCTGCATAGGACGGTGCAAGGGTGGAAGCTGGTGATGTTGGGAAGATGTCGAGCAGTCTGAATCCAGACACAAGTGATGGATCTGACCCAGGTATATGGGATTTTGAAGAGAGAACACGAGGCCACCATGTAGATTACAACAGAGTCTACAGGAGCCTGTCAGAAAGCGAAAAGTCCGAGTTTTATGTTGACTCTGCTGTTACAGTCGATATCCCATGTAATTGAGACATTAACTTGTTGAGCAGTGCGGTTTGTTCTGCCGCAAAGATCTGACGCCGCCGAGATGGAGATGGCTCGGCGCCTTGATTTCTATAATCCTTGCGGGTGTCACGGAGATGCGAAATTGGAAGTGGAGCGGGATTGCCGAATCCTCAAAATTTGATTCTTCGCGGTGCGATTTTACTATGGAGATCCTCATGGTTTAAACTGGTTCAGAGATGCCTTCTTCGCGTCCGTTGAAGTAACAAGGAGGTGTGCCGAACGCAGATATCATGCTGCTCCAAGTGACCACCTTCGCCCTTGAGCCCGGTGAAGGGAGAGCTTGGGCAATCGACAGGAAGACAGCTCATCTGCTACACGCTAGGCTTTCATCATCTGCGAGACTGTCAGTTTTGAGGACACGGGGGTGTGAAGGCGCGGTGGGGACGTACAAGTGTTAAACACTGGAGGGTTCATACCAGAAGAAAGGCAAGAGGGCGAAGTCGAAGTGAAAAGATGTTCGCGAATTGGCGGCGCGGCGCGGCCCGACGTCTGAGTCAGCGACGATGTAGAACTCCCGCCCTTGGCTCCCAAGGCTCAAGCTAGGCTCATGAACAACCAATCTATCGAAGGCGATATCTAGATTGTCGTGTCCAGCAATAGACAATCTTGATGCTGTTGCGACTTCGCAGTCGAACTGCGCTCAATCGGCTGCATTCAAGATGGCAGACTCCAAAGGGTCGAAATCACGGACTCTTTTCGCCTCTCTGGAATGGCCAGTCCGGAGCCAGACATCTCACATCCTCTCCCTCTCATAACAGTGTGCCACCTAAAGTTCTGGAAGAATTCAAGAAGACTTTGGGATTCCCTGCCGCAACATGTACCCTCAGACAGCTAGCCGAAGAATCCTCTAAAAAACTTGACGATCAGATCGTACTGCATGGCTACATTGGCGCCAGGAGAGACGCATCAAAGTCGCTCACATTTGCGGAGCTCCACGACATACACCTCAGCTCAGTCGTTCAGCTGGTCTCAACGGCAACCAAAGGAGAGGAAGGAAGTGATGCCCCTCACCAGATCCTTCGTTCTCTCGAAGAGCACACGCCTGTGGCTGTATCAGGCACAGTCAAAGCACGCAAAGCACCAAAGCCTAGCAACAGCGAAGGTGTTCAATCACCTGTCATCACGGCGGTTGAAGTCAAAGTCGAGAAGATTACAGTATTGAATGCATTTCCCAGGGACATCATCATGACCCGCGACACAGTCTTCTCGCCGGAGCAGCGTCACTTGCAGATACGGAATGAGGGTACAATTCGTCATGCTCTGGCTTTTCGGAGTAAAGCAGCTGGCATCATTCGAGATGAGCTTTGCGCCAAGCACGACTTCTTGGAGATTGAGACTCCGCTCCTGTTCAAATCCACGCCCGAAGGAGCGAGAGAGTTTCTGGTTCCCACACGGTCATCTGGACTTGCTTATGCTCTACCACAAAGCCCGCAACAATACAAGCAGATACTGATGGGAAGTGGCATCCCTCGATATATGCAGATTGCAAAGTGCTTTCGTGACGAGGATTTACGAGCGGAYCGCCAGCCGGAGTTCACCCAAGTGGATATGGAGATGGCATTCGCGACTGGCGAGGACGTTATGAGAGTGATAGAGTCTGTTGTTCTGCGACTGTGGAGAGAGCTTCTCCGAAGTACCGATCTGCCCGAGAAGTTCGATCGGATAACATACGATGAAGCGATGTCAAAGTACGGCTCCGATAAGCCTGATCTTCGCCTCGGGTCTGAGATACAGCGCATAGACTACATGCTTCCAGTGGATCTTGTCAGTAAGATTGGTCCACTTGACGAACCCGCCGTCGATGTCATGAAGTTCGCAATAGCAGACGAACCACAGCAGACCAGGAACTTTGTAAATACATTCATGGACTCGCCCGATGCCCTTCCTTTCATACAGAGTCCGGATGGACAGCCTGGGATTTTCATCGTTGACTCGCGAAAGCCACTTTCAGGATTGCACCCCTTTGGCTTTGAAGCCACCGAGCATCTCGAGGAGACTTTGCAGTTGGAGGATGGAGATCTTGTTGTCATACAGGCACGCCCGAACGTTCCTTTCTCGGGAGGCTCCACGCCGATTGGGAATCTTCGTCTGGCGCTTCACAAAGCTGCTGTCAAACAAGGCCTGATTCCTGCCCCCACTGGGTTTACGTTCACCTGGATCACTGACTTCCCCCTGTTCAGCCCCACTGTCGACAACGAGCCCGGTCAGGGGGGTGCCGCTGGTATAGCATCAACCCATCACCCTTTCACCGCACCAAAGACACCAGAAGACGTCGACATGCTCCTCGTGGATCCACTGCAGACCAAAGCAGATCACTACGATCTAGTAGTGAATGGCGTGGAACTCGGCGGAGGGAGTCGTCGTATACACAGCGCACAGATGCAAGAATACATCATGCGCGAAGTCCTGAAGATGAGCAGCGAGCGAATGAAGGACTTTGCACATTTGCTCGAGGTATTGCGTGCTGGATGTCCGCCACATGCGGGTATGGCGTTGGGCTTTGACAGACTTGTGGCTGTGATGCTAGGCAAAGAGTCTGTGAGAGATGTCATTGCATTCCCCAAGAGTGGGAGAGGGGAGGATCTGCTGGTGAAGAGTCCGACTAGAATGACGGCAGAGCAATTGCGGACGTACCATCTGCAGCTGGCGGACTGAATAGACTTCAGTAATGCGTAGTGTTGTACCTATAGATGTATAGTAGCGGGCCTTTGGTATCCACGAGCGGTGGATGGGGGTTTGCAATGACAAATAGAGACAGGTCTGGCCGACCGCATACACTTGTTCCCCATATTCCGAACCTTGAGTTATTGAAACAACTGTGAGGTTCAAGTCCACGAAGGAGCGGTCTTTTCACACATCCCAACCACGCAGGCACTCGAACTCTTCTTCCGAACGAGGATATCATCATTAGGATTCCTCTCGATGTTACTGCGTAAGTGACGCGAAGATAGTCTTTGTGACACTACCCCAACCCTAACCCTACCGAAATCCCTGGAGCACCGCGGGCCCGTGAAGTCGAAGGTCGCCGGCTCTCCAAGTAGTACATCGACGAGAATACTCGCTAAGAGGCACCTATAAGCACATGAGAAACAGCCTGAAGGAGAGCTAAACGTCTTATCGAATGGAGGCAACACGTCTTCTTGGTCGTGCTATCAAGCTCTAAACTGGAATGATTGCTATCAAGCCCCCAGATTGACATGCACCGCCTTGCGGTTCGTGTAGCTCTCCAAACCCGCCTCACCTAGCTCCCTCCCAATACCAGACTGCTTCACACCACCGAATGGGATCCTGACATCCGAGTCCTGACTCGAATTGATCCAGACCATGCCGGCCTCAATCTTCCTCGCGATCCTATGAGCCTTGACGATATCCTTTGTGAATACTGCAGACCCAAGCCCGTAAGTGGTGTTGTTCGCGAGCTCAAGAGCTTCTTCCTCGGTCTTGAATGTCACCACCACCACGAACGGCCCAAAGACTTCCTCGCGGAAGATCTTCATACTATCGTTGACGTCTGTGAAGACGGTTGGGGTGACGAAGAAACCCTTTCCGGTACCGACGTTCTTGTACGCCTCGCCTCCCATGGCAAGTGTTGCGCCTTCCGCCTTTCCAGCTTCGATGTAGGACAGAACTCGTTCGTATTGAGCCCTGGTGACCTGAGGTCCTTGGAAGGTTTCGTCCGAGAAAGGATCGCCGACCTTTGAGGTCTCGGCGACTTGCTTCTTGAAGGCTTCGATGAACTTCTCATATATTCCTTCTTGGACTAGAATACGGCTCGTAGCTGTGCAGATCTGGCCTTGGTTCGACATGATGCCAATATGAGACCACCTCACCGCTTGCTCGAGATCGCAATCATCAAACACGAGCAGTGGACTCTTGCCGCCGGTTTCGAGCGTGATGTTCTTGAGGTTGACGGCCGCCATCTTCATAATCTCACGTCCCGTGCCAGTGGATCCAGTAAAGKCTATTTTGTCCACCCCCGGGTGCTGCACCAGAGCTGAGCCAGCGACTCTGCCATGGCCATTTATAATGTTGATAACGCCTGGTGGGAAGCCTGCCTCCTTGACCAAGTTGGCGAATACTAGGATTGAGAGAGGAGTTTGCTCGGCGGCCTTGAGTACGACAGTGTTCCCGCATGCAATCGCAGGCCCGAGTTTCCACGCAGCCATGGCCAAAGGATAGTTCCATGGGACTTGAAGATCGTTAGAGTGTGCAGCAAGACACTTGGAACGACTTACTGATCTGTCCGCAGACGCCTATTGGCTCTCTAATTGTATAAGCCAATTTCGCAGGGGAGGTGTCAATGACTTGGCCATGGATTTTGTCCGCCCAGCCGGCGTAGTACTTCAAGCAACCGGTCACTTCGGAAAGATCCTCATTGAGAGCAACGGAATATGGCTTGCCTGGATAGAAGGATTCAGCAGGTCACCCCGAAGATTTGACCCAACTTGGCCCACCCACCGTTATCGAAAGTCTCAATCGTAGCGAGCAGCTCCTTGTTCTGTTCAACCAGACTTGCGAGCTTGTACATCAATTCTCCTCTTTGCGACGAATCCATGTCTCTCCACTCTCCTTTGAAAGCTGCTCTTGCTGCCGCAACCGCCTTGTCCACATCTTCAACCTCTGCGGCGTGTACAGATGTAATCTCGGATTCGTCTGTAGGGTTGATGGATACGATCTTGTCGCCTTTGCTGGATGCCACCCACTCATTGTTGATGAAGAGTCCCACGGGCTGTGTATATTTCCTGCCATTGGGAGCAGTGAGCTCGACACTAAGATCCGACATGCTGCGAGAGGATGCAGCTACACGCAGCTTGGGGATGGATGTGATGGAGGGAAACGGCAGTCTTGGGCCTTTGGAGAGGAGGAGAGCAGAAAGGCGAGGGAGCATGGCGGGAGAGATGTGAGAGCTCGTAGCGCACGGCAGACCTACCTCTCGCAGCTATTACGTGAGCCCCGACCCGCCGATTGAGCTGAAGTGGGATGTTGCTGTTGCTGCTGTGGTGAGGGAGCACAGAGATAGGACGAGATATGATCGCCCGGCTACGAGGTCTGGTTTGGGTAGGCCTAGCCGAGACAGGCGGTCCAAGGCCCGGTCGAGCCGGTGAAGTGAAGTTGAGGGTTGCCGCCCTACCTGCAGCATTTCAAGATATTGTACTTTCGACTGTAATAATCACACGTAGAAACGTTTGACTCTCCGTAAGGTTGCTCCTTTTTTGTGCTTGTAGCCGCCTGTTCGCGAGCATTGTCCTCGATTCACTCCCTACACGGAGAGTCGGCAAGCTTCAATTTCACCGGCCCTTGGTTTAACATCCCACATCTTCTATATTTACACCATCTTCATTGCACCTTCTTGATCCATCATGGCGGAAGAAGCAGAGGCAGCGTCATATCTGACGAGCCTCCTGAACAGGACGCTGCACTTGCACACGACAGATGGCCGCATGTTTGTGGGCCAGATGAAGTGTACCGACAACGAACGCAACATTATCCTGGCCATGACCCACGAATACCGCCAACCTTCACAATCGGACGTACGCCTCGCAGCTGAAAGACATGAAAGAAAAGGAGGCGTGGGGACTGTGAAAGTGGACATGAAGAAGAGATTTGTTGGGCTGGTTGTGGTCCCAGGACAGTACATCACGAAGATTGAGATCGAGAGCTATTCTTGATGCAAGATTGTCTTGAGGGTTTACGACCGCAATATCTCGCAAAACATGACAGACCACGACTTTCAATCTTGGATTAGTTTGATTGAAGAAATGCTGCGAAACACCGCGCAAATCAAGCTCTGAATGAAAGCGGGCAAGCAAACATTGCAGCTACCAGCTTTGCGGAAACCACAAACATCACAACACCACCTCTCAAGCACCTTGCAGGACGTGCACCATCGTCACCTCAACAACGATGTCTGAAGATATGCAGCGTACGGCGGCCGCGGCGCTCCGCACCATCACCCACGCACGAATTGCTTGCACCAACACGATTCACGAACTGGAAGTCATAGACAACCTGACCGATGATTGGAATCTCGACAACGCTCAACTCGCGACAGATTCGCTGGAGATTCACCTGCAAGCCGAGTTCTCAGCCAAAGAGGCTTCCACTATTCTCGAAAACCTCACCGCAATAATGACCACCGGCAGAATGGCTGTGCTACAGGAGTGGCTATGTATGGAACTGGAAGTCAGGCGTGAGAATGCTGTGGCGGCCGCACAGGCCATCATTCGTGTCCTTATCAACCTCGAGAAAGCGGTCGACAACGATGAGCTGGGTCTCGTGGAGATGAAGCGGCGAGCGGAGTTCATTGTGGGAAAGCTGGAGAAATTGGAAGACATTTTGGCCAAGCTTGCGGTAGACTGGAGGGTAGCTGTTGAGGCTAGTGCGATCCCTCGCAAGACTGAGGAGGATGTTCTCAGGTATGCGAATACTCTACTGACCAGCTCCCCCATGATATCCACTGACTTGTTTCCTAGCCCTCGCGCCGCTCCCGGCATGTGAAGATGTCGACTGGCAGTATCACAGACGCGAGTGTTTGAAGACCAATCATTGTCGGGGCAGTGTTGCCTCAATCATTGATCTGACAGCGGGATGGGAGCAGGGATTGAAGAGCAAGTGTGGCCAAGATGTGCAGAGCTGATCGGATGCGACTTGGAAGATGAGCTGCTCAACGGGAGAGGACGTGTCATGGAGATTTGCTCAAGCAGACATTCTCCAAGCCCAGTGCATGAACGAGACCACGTATCTAATCCCGAAACGTTCAAACTCCGTTCCACACAAGCCACCCTGCCTCATCCAGATCTCTCCCAGATGACAGAATTCCCCAAGTCATATTCAAGCCCTCTTCTTCCTCCCTCCCACGACCTCTGGCACTTCCCTTTCCTTCCCAATATAAGCAAGAGCCGCAATCCCCAACGCAAACAACCCCACATTTCCCCAAACCCCAATATCCATCGCAACAGTCCGATGCGTAGGAAGTTTCCAATGCTGATACGACCCACAGCCCGTGGCGAAATGATGCAACATGGTAATAACAATGACAGCTTTCGCATAAGGCTTCTTGGCTGTAATCGAAACCGACGAGTCCGTCAACGACGAACCGGTCATGGATTTCGGCAAGGGAACGGCATCTGAGATGACGAGCAATATCGCCGAGAGAGCGAGGAGGCCCCAGGCATCTACACGAGTGGTGTAGAGTTCCAGGTCTATGATTATCCCAACAACGAGTCAAATCGGTCGAAGACGGAGAYGGTGGAGGGTTTTCTCGGATTACTTACCATTGGGATCAATACCTCCTTGTGCCGGCGGCCTGAACCACCCACAGACTGTCGCGGGATCGATTGCTCTGACCGTACCACGTAGCAGGTACCAGAAGCTCGTCCCGAAACAGTACGCGTGAAAAGGCTGGTTGTTGGAGGTAGCTGTTAGCTTGCTGGACGGTTATAATGGTCAAAACCGATGGGACCTACGTTGACAAGTGCCCGGAGAGACATGTTCAGTGTAGTTCTTCTGTTTTTGAGAGGACGTGCAGCAGTTGGTATCTTGGAGTGTGAGGAGAGGTGACCATCTGAACTGTATCAGCTGTGGGGGAGCTTGGATCTCGCAACTCTTACGTCACAGTACAGTTTACATGGGCCCTCGCAGCGAGATCTATGTGAAACTTGTTGTTGAGATGTTATTAGATTGGTATTGCCAACTATACAGCTCGCTAGTCTTCTTGTGAGTCGTTCGTGCGTTGTCCAAGTGAATGGGACGCAAGTCAACAACGCACAGAATCCAGCATTGGGGAGTAAAGCTGAATGCTTCTCAATGGTGCTGAAGTCCGCTTCCCTCTCAGTCCAGCTTCTTCCTTCATGCCACCCCAACCCCGCAGCAGCGTCAAAAGTGAAGGAGACTCCATCGAGCTCAAGCGTTCATTGCGCGAGCTCCAGATCGTCATCGTCCTCCCTACACTCAAGCTCTGCTCGTAAATGTGTCAAATCTGGGCCGTGTCTTTCGACATGGTCCGGTTCGAATGAAAGTAAGTGTTGCACAACTTGGTGCGATGCTTGCCGCTCGGCAGTGATTCTGCCGTCGTCTGTAATATTCGTGGTCGTGTCTTTCTTCTGTGAATGATTGTTGTGGTCACGGCACCCTTGTCAATCCAGGTCCCCTACCAGCACTTGGTGGAGGCTGGTGCCCAGTGTCGTCCCCGTTCAGTTTTTCCAGAGGTAAGATTTTAAATGCATAGCGTAAAAGGTCGGGTATCAAATCGGGTATTGTGTTGAAGGTGATGTGAGAGACGTGAGAACGCTGCCCATGTCAATCCATGTCCTGCAGTCAGCACTTGACTTTACAAGGACTGGTGCCCAGCGTCGTTCATATTCGTAATAAGAGGTGAAAAGGGGCGAGGTGGGATGGTCCTCACTCCAGAGATTAACTCCAGAACTCCATTAAGGGCAGCTCACATGCTGCCCATGCTCAAAAGCGCAGCAACGGCCGTCTGCTCATCCAGTGTTTGGCCGGCGGTGTGCATGCCGTGGTACTGCACCGGGACAGACGACGAGTGAGACGGACCTCCATTGGCAGAAGGTCGTCTGGTCCAACTCTTGGACGCCCAAGGTCCATTATACGGGATACTGACGGCCCGATAGCTCTGCCGAGGCATCATGTTGGGAGTGGGCAGTGAAGCCTTCCGCAACGCATCGACGCCGACTGCAGCCCAGTCCTCGTCGTCAGTCTCGTCGTTCGTGTCTGAAGAGTCATCGGATGATACTCCATCCAATGACATCTTATCGGCGGCTTCCTCAAGAGGATCCATGTCCATGTCCGGCTCATCCTCTTCCCGAATGCTTGAAGCCGTCCAACTACCCCCCGAGTACTGCTCCCGGTACTTGGCAGGTAGCTGCGCAGCGTGCATATGGATGGCGGAGTCGCTGTGAGACATGGCATAGCTGCCTTGCTCACTTCGGGGTGGCGATAAGTGGCCCTCGTTGAATGAACCTAGGCCAGAGTCGCGGAGTGAGCCTTTGACATGAGCATCCCACCGTCCCCAGCCAGTCTTGCAAAAAGCGACGCTCCCGTCAGGCCCGCCACCAGCTCGGTTCTCCAAAGCAGCGACAACGATGCGCCTGGCCTTTGCTGGAGGTATGCTGGAAAAGCCAGGGACAGTCTGAGTCAGCTCACCCATGACGTGTCGTATTGGCCGTGGACCGTTTCCAAGCATTATGCCAGGCAAGTGGTGCTTGGCCAGCATGGAAGGCGTTATAGTCGCGGCGCCATCCAAGCTAGATAATGCGCCTCGACTGAGGGGCGTTCCGCTGGGTTGCTTGTTATCCTCCACCATGCCTTCCATATCCATATCGTTATCATCGGGAGAGTAAGCAGCCGAACGGCGTGGCCGGGGGTCCAGCTCCGGAGACACGGAGGTAGGAGGAGTCAGCAGAGCGCTGGCGGCCTTTTCAAAGTTGGCGGTGCCAGAGTAGTCGGCGACAGCGCGCGCATTCGGAATGGCGACCGAGGGAGTCTGCGAGGCCAAAGCCATCGCGATGGAGGAGGCGAACGCCATGGAGTTGATGTTGCGACTGGAAGAGCTTCCCTGCGACGCGTATATGAGTCAGCTTGAGCTCCGAGCGGCGGCGGAGTGGCGTGAAGGGTGGAGCAAGTGGATGAGGAGGGCAAGTGCTCGGGGTGATATCGGTGCAAGGGTGTGCGATGCGCGACGWACTTGACGGGTCAAGAAAGCCGAGCRCGCGTTGATGTCGAGTGTGTTGATGGACTCTCGATGCAACGAAGCTATGTGGCGAGGTGGCGGCGATGTCTAGCGAAGCAGCGAGTTGTTCGTCGAAGGTGGTGCGGAGGGAGTCGTCGGACAGTCAACAGCGGGGCTTCGTTCTTCTTGTACTAGGACGGTAAGGTACAGTCAGGTATTTCGATGTGGTGGGAAGTGCTTGTCGACAGGGGACTTGATGTGACTGCTTCCTCATGCCTCTGCTCTGGCGCACGCGGCGCAGCGATTGGCCCAAACTAGTCTTGGTCCTTGACAGTCGATTTGAACGGCCTCTGAAACCACACACACAATCGGCCATCGTATCCCTAGTTACCTACCGCGCACAATAGTTGGCAACGATGGCGCCGTCAATCCATCGATGAGATGCCCCTTCTCGTCGATGCTGCCCTTCCACACACCGCATCCTGCTGTTCTCGAGCAATCTGATGACCATCGTCGCGAGGYGCGGAATGTTGGTACCCAGGTACCTCTCTCAAATCTCGACTTCTCGGACCCCATGCCCGCCCTATCGCGCACTTGCGCTTGTCTGAGACGGGAATCCAGCTATCGTCAGCAGGCCTCGCCTTTGGTCCCACTCCAGTAGTGAATGACTCCACCTGTTCGCACCCCCGCTTCCATGTGAGCGTGCACAGCGACGCAACGACGTAACGTAGGCCGATGCCGGGAATCTTGCTCTGCGTCTGCTCGCAGGCTTGCGCACCAGCTCCAGACCAGGAGCGGCCTGCTTCAGATACACGTGCGTGCATTGGCCCTGGACGCTGGACTGGTGCTCGGCATCTTTGGCCAGCGTGCGTGTCCTCGCTTTCGTCATCAACAGCGGAGAGTTTCTCGCCGTCGAAATTCGTCGCTCCACGTTGCTTGCCGTGCCGCGCCGCGACGTGCTGTATCGATCACGTCCGCCGACTCCCGAGCGAGCCGCGGACTCTCTCGGACAGCTAAGAACGTGGCGGCTGTCTGTGATGTCTGTGGATCGCAAGCTCCGTCGCGGTTGCAGGGATTCATCATTCGGCCGTTCAACACTTCAATCAGTTGAACATTTATCCCAATTCGGGATCCGACAGTCCGAACCACATTACGACGAGACGTTCCGACACCAGTTTCGTCTGGCAGCACGGTGGAATGATGAGGTTGCTGTGCATTTTATGCGGTAACTGTGCCCACCACCTGAATGGAAAACGAGCTCCCGCGCATCGATTCCGAGGGTTGTAATTCGTGGTGTATCGCTATGACTAGACTTATCGCTGATCACAACCAATCATTTTTCCCTAGCAGGCAAGTCGACTACTGCACAATGATCATCGATATTCCTGGTCCTCAAACATCGCGAAGACTAGCGCATCACACTACGGTGACCGAGGTTGCCTGTTGTCGGTCGCGGAAGAAGAGCGGGCCCTCTCAACATCACCCGATACGCAAGTTCCAAGGTCTCTTCCAAGATCCGATATGAATCACGCACAAAGAACAAAATGGGTCTCGGTCATACACTCCGAGGCTCCTGTCGGTTTGCGTCGGTCTTGCTCTTCATCCTTGCGATGTCACACCATCGTTGCGCGTCGCTCTGCACGCCAGCAGTGTGCTTCACACTCCAAGTCACCRTCCCGCCCTTGAGTGACGCGACCGTGTAGGCATAGGTGCCRTGGGACCAGCGTAGTGATCGATGCTGCGTCCTGAAAAGTGAGCACCTTTGGGGAACGACAGCAGTACACCGTTATGATCCGTCCCAAGCAAGGTCTCCTTGAAAGTTGGAGTGCGCTGCCAAATTCATGCGAGCCTGAGCTGGATATGTGAACTCCCGTTGCCTTTGACCTGACCAATCAACAAGTGTTGCATATGCCTTGTGCGTTTGCGAACATTGACGCGATCGTATGGTAAGTCCATTTACTTACGGCATGTCTCACGCTGGACCAAGCACAAAACATATACTGCTCTCCACGCCGCGGTCATCTCTAGAAGCATTGGATGGCTCATGAACGCCAGAGTCTCAAGTCGGAGGATGGAGAAAGCCAAACGATCAAGTGAGTGAATAGTCTGCTGCGGCAGCGTTTCTCAAATCCACGATTCTCATTGCATTTTATGAAAGCGTTGAAGATGCAATGTTGGACCTCGACACCATCGGACCCAACTTGAGCCAAGCCCCTCCAGCAATCGATACGATCGCCACAGGGCCATGGCTGCCTTGCTAAAGAGGGTCGCGTCAGGGAAATGGCATCCGATACCTCATCACCTTTCGACGGGATGCAACGTTTGGACTTGGATGCGAAGGGTCCTAAAACGCCCGGAAGGTGACATCAACCACTAATGAAGGCTCAGTTAACCAATGCCTTACCAACACCAACGGGACAGAAGGTGCTTCGGAGCAGACCGACTCAACATCAGCGACAAGAAGTCGAGCTGGGAGTCATCATCACTGTAATGTGACGAGCAGGGACGGTGATTGCGAGCGGAACCGTCGGACGCTTCATGGCGTATGATCATGGCGCTTGTATGCATCTCGTTTGATGTGGTGGTTGCCGAGCTCATGATTACGGACAACGTGAGACTTCAAAAGGACTACAGCACAGGGAGACCAAACGAGCGTCCTTGAAGTCCAGAGGTCGAAGTGTTGAGCTCATCTGATTAAAAAGTCCACACGCTCATTGCGTTGTATTCGTGCTTTTTCTTCCTTTGCTAGTCTGTGCACTTCTCCGACGGTGAAATTGCGAGTTGTGACCAAAACGCACCCAGACCCGCGATTGAATGAGGAGGCCTGTCCTCAAGGTGAGCCAGTGGGTTGGATGCTATCGACTTCACCTGGCAAGCTTTTAATCTGTAGGACGGGCGGCTTCTTCAGTTTACCTAGCTCGGCTTGGCATGAACTATGAAGTGAGTTCTTGGTTCAAGGCATAAACTTGAAGACATGCTTCGGTTACAAGACTCCACGTCTATCAGCACTACATGCTGTACGATATATAGAAGGCTCGACCGGAGAAGCTCAAATCTTAGCGCTTCCTTCGCGCTAATCCAGAATCCCAGATGCTGCGCGTTCACGGCTCCTTGTGGCTTGTCCCGCAAGGAGAAACGACTGGCCGCAGCATCGCGAGGCAGATATTACGCTGCGACGCCCTGTCTGCCTTCCATCGTCCTTCAAAGAATAGCATATACTCAGCTCACCCGACACTTACGGATAGGATCATATTCCACGCAAGAGCTTCGAATAAATTACCACAGTCAGGCTTCAGGATGACGAATATCAAATCCATTGGATTTTTTGTAGCAGTCGGCTTCGCAAGCAATCTTCTGTAAGCCATAATTTTCTACTCACAAGACTACACAGTCGAGATTTGCTGAGATTTGCTGATCTCCGTCTTAACAGGCTGAGTTGGTTGGGAGTCGCCAATATTCAAAATCGTCGTGTCCCTCGGTCGGTCTGTCTGTCACGAGATGCAGACGACGTATGCACCTCATGGGTAACATACAACGCGGACAAGGTCACGTCTGATGATGAAAACGAAATCGTACGGTACTCCGTCGAATGTGCGAAAGCAAGAACCAGGTCGCAGCTCCAATCCACGACTAGTGGCAATGGCGTTCTCTTCATCTGTCTTTAGCAACGGCAAGGGTCAAATGAGCCTCGGTATGGGATGGCTGGCTGGGTCTGGGAGATATCAGAGCGTATTGGCAACCATCAGGCCAGCTGCGCTCCTGAACGCACAATCTCGCCGACACTCTATGTACGACATGAGAGAGGCAACTCATCTATACTCAGGTACCTTGTGATTCTCGTCCGGGTCGAAAGGCATCCATAGTGTCTTCTTGAAATCAAGTATCTCGGATAGTCAGCTGGGAAGGCYGTATGCAAAGCAGAACATCGCTCTCAGACCGTCTTTCAAAGCCCGTTCTGAGCGCTTTGATGTTCCGCATACCAGTCTGACTAGCTGCAGAGTGGTGAGTCCCTCTCAGCCAAGGTTCGGCAAGACGGCTGCGTGGTGTGCCCTTTGAATCAGAAGCAGATGCTTAGTCGTGGGTCCAAGTTGTAGCGCCTCTTCGTAAAGTATACTAAATGTCGATAACAGCAGGCTCTGATATGATTCGAAGTCAATTGGCCTTTGGGAGTGTTCGGATAGCTCCTTGATCGCACTGATTCGACGCGTCCTCGTCGGCCAACTTCCGTAAACTATGTCAACGAAGTATCATCATGAGAGCGACGGCGGTTGCAGATCGCTTGACTCTCCTTCATCTCGCTCCGCTTGACGTGCTGATCAGAGTACAAGTCAGCAATAAGACGAAGCATTCCTTTCCGGACAAGCGCAACGCAAAATGTGTAAAGATTTCCGAGACTTGAAGCACTCTCCGCGCGTATCATGCGAGGATTCGTACRCCAGGAAAATGGTGTCGATTGCAGTGGATAGAGGCTGATGTTGGGGGATTCGGGAAGAACAACCCCTGCAATGAAAGCGCGGTCGGGCCCGACGACTTCACTCCTCTTCTCTCCACATTCACTACAATGCCTCGACCCCGTACACTTTCAAAAGACCACCAGATGACCATCCTTAACCAGGCGTAGGGCTCCATTATGGACTCTGAAGCATGCTCGATGAAAGAGACGGAATGTATTGGTTCACCTGAGTTCACCCCCGGGATTATGGCACGTCTGACGATCGACGTTGCCGTGCGGATGTATACATCGCCATTGCGCCTTGGAAAGATTGGAGGATCAACTCGGCGTTGTCAGGATACTTCCCCTTGAGTGACATCAATGGAGAAGCTTCGAAATRTCCAGTGGTGTACAATGCTACGGGAATGGAATGGCTAGCCTGGTAGGCATGCGACGCACTCGTTCCCAAGGTGTGGCATAGTAGCCAGGTCGTGCCTTGAGCAGTTCAACGAGGGATCGCTGATCCCGTGACTGTTATCGGTCATAGTCTGAGCGACGAAAGTCCATGGTCTTGCTGGCTTCTGCTGATGCAGAAGTTTACTGGCTGCGTGAAGACGATATGATCAATAATCACCATAACCTGTTAGTACGTTTGGATATTTCTGGCCCGGCTTTTCCAGTGAACCTGATGATTCCGGTGCGGCAACTCCAACATGATCGGAGCTTGGCTGGCTGGCTTGCATTCGTTGGGAGGGCTAAGTCTGAGTTCCTGGCCCGGGACTTCCAAGACGCCTCCATATCAGGATCTTGACTCCTGCACGGCTCTGGTAGTGCTTCGCCTTCGTCGTGGAGCTCAAAATGGATCATCCATCCTTTGGAAAATAGGTAGAGGCCAAAATCACGCAGCTTGGATAGATGCTATTGTCGCTGCTCGGACATCCCAGAGTGGCCACAGCAGTCAATGTAGGTAGCAAAACCGGACGATGCCTCCTTCCCTCAGATACTTCAGACGGTCAATGGACAACAGACGAAAGTGCATTGCGCTCGCCGCAGGAACATGCTGCTGCAATGCCTGAGAATTGTCCTGCACGTAGTATTGGCGGCGGGCGGAGCATTGGCCCCCTCTACCACGGCTAGAACTGGCTGAGCGTCGTACCCCTCCGTTCTGCGGAGATTGCTGCCGTCGTCACCGTCTGTACTATTGGTCATCGTCGCCGCGGTCTTGGCGTGTTTCCGCTCCCGCTCCCGTTCTCAAATTCCGTCCATAGTATTCCGTGACTCCGTCCTTCTTCCTTTCCTTCTTTACAGCGCACACGAACGAAAAAACCCCCGCAGTACCGCCCGCGGACCTTCGACGTACTCCAGAAACAACCCGCAGTACTGCCCTGCGAACTCTGGAGGGGCTCCACAGAAATGACCCACAGTACCGTCTGTGATCTCTGCGGAGTCGTGCCTGTCACGGGGAGGAAAAACAGTTGAGAGCCGAGGCCACGGCGGAGGTGTGAGATTATTAAGAGCTGCTGCGACAGCTAATGAGTTTGAGAGAGCAGCGATTGTGCTGACAGAGTGAGAGCTACCAGAGCGGCATGTGCTCAGTTCGAATGGAGAGCGTTTTGTGCTCGCGAATACTGGAGAGCGTTTTGTGCTCGCGATTACTGGAGAGCGTTTTGTGCTCGCGATCAATGAAGAGCGATTGTGCTCACGATTTATATGACTGGGAGAGGCGCCTGTGCCTGAGGAGGATGGCCAGGGAGGAGCGCTTGTGCTCGAGGAGGAAACAAAAGATCCACGCGGAGCCGCGGCGTCGGTTAGTGGCATATACCCCCCATCCCCATTTCTTTCAAAGGAGGCGCTGTCAAAAAAAGAAAAACAAAGATGCGAAGCAAGAGAGAGGGAAAGCTGTCGGGCAAGACAATGTCGGATGGTCAAGGGGACCGGTCGGTGGGCTACTCTTTTTCCTACTGGGTTTTGAGGAGGGCTGCCAGGAAACGGGAGTGTGTGCGTGTGATTGGAAAGCGACTTGTGCTTGCGTGAGACGAGAGATGCAGAGGCGACTTGTGCCTGTTGAGGAAAAAAAAAAGAAAAACCAAAAAAACCAAAACCAAAAAGAAAAAAGAAAAAAAGAAAAAAGAAGAAGCAACATGTGTTTGAGAGATACAGAGGCGACTTGTGCCTGTTGAGGAAAAAAAAGAAAGAAGAAAAGAAGAAGCGACTTGTGGTTGAGAGGAGACAGAGGCGACTTGTGCCAGATGATGATGATGATGATGAAGATGATGATGAGGAGAAGCGGTTTGTGCTTGTTGAGGATGCGAGGAAAGCGACTTGTGCTTGCGAGAGACGAACCGGAGAGGAGCAGCTTGTGCTTGAGGAGGAGAAGCCCATGACACGGTGAAGGAGAGACAGAAAACAAAAAATGACAGCGCGCATCCAAAAAAACTTCCATTCCCTCTCATGTTCTACAAACCAAATGCCTCCTCCCAGAACCATACCTCCCTCCCTTTCCTGACCCAAGGCTCAACATGACCTCGTACGCTCCTGCTGAGGCTCTTGGGGCCGCACACCATTATAGCTACCCTCTCGTTCCCACCATTGGTAAAGGCTTGCTCGACAGTCATCGCCAAGTCTGGCCTTCCAGCATGAACATCCACATCTTCAGAACCTGTCGCCGCCGCCCCAGCCTTGTCCGGCGAAAGAAGCGTCTTCTGCTCCTCCATCTCAATCCCTTCATCGCCCGGTACTTCATCGCCCTCTGCGCCACCGACTGCATATTTTGCAGCCAAGCCAGACGCAATTCCTTCAGCATCCCGAGTAACATAGAGCTTCAGTCTCTCCACAAATCCTTCCCTCTCTTTATCATCGCTAGGCAAAGCCCAATCCACGTCAGCCATTGATCGTGCCACCCAGATGAAGCTGACCTTCTGTCTTCGATAGCTGCCCTTCCCAGGACTCAAGTCCGCAAGTAGCTGGCGGTACAATGGGACGATGAATGTAGCTCCGATTCCACCAGCCACAAACAGGACTCTATCATACCCCATCAGTGCATCTGCGTGTGTCGTCAAGCCGTAGGGACCCTCGACCGAGATGCTCTGAGTTTGTTCCTTCCTCATGGCAAGCTTCGCCGTGTTCCCGTCCAAGATTCTTGCTAMAAACTTCAAGTTCCCATCGATCGAGGGTATTGACGCCACTGTGAAAGGGTTGCTGCGGAAAGTCCGCGACAGTGGGTGTCCTTTCAGAGAGATGTATGCGTGCTGTCCAGGCTGTAAGGCGGAGCTTTGCCCACTTAATGGGATGGTGATGGCCACCAGATCCGTGCCTGGAACCTGGCGTATACTTCCTGCAGTGTATGTCGTAGTGGCGAAGAACCGCAGAGCAACATGGAGGACGTAAATCGCAAGCGTCTCGTAAACATATACCCGAACGTGATGGACGTGAAAGTAAAGAGTTGGGAGTAAGAGCACAGCAAAAAGAACATGCACAGCGTAGAATATGCGGTAGCTCCAATTTCGGACAGGTTGGAGTGCCGTCGTCACGATAGCCGTAAAAGCGATGACGGCAAAGATGCCGCATAGAACGTAGAATTGGACCAGCTTCGATATTAGTAGGCTCTTCTGAATGTAGAAATTCAGATACAAGGCTGCATGAGCATACATCAGGACCGTCATGATACGGCCGAGGATCTGATGCAGGGAGATTAGGGATTCGTGGGATCTTCGCGTGAGGAGTTGGAGGGGGGAGTATGGTGTCTTGAGAGAGAGCAGGTAGTGGAATGGTAGCTGAGATGATACCACGGCTCCAAGACGTTTGGTTAGATGCAAGTAGTCTATTGCTCGATCTTCAGCGTAGCTCATGGTGTGGAAAAGAGATCAAGGTGACGAAAGGACCTTTAACTCACCATCGCCAGTTTGACAGAATGAAAGCATTGTTAGCCACACAGTCCAAACGATCGCGCCGAACAGCTCTCCTTTCGTCCCGAGCGGTAAGCCAGCGATATTGAAAGAATCACCGCACCACCACAAAAAGGTCTGCCATCTCCTTGCCCAAGCTTTGGTGCCGAAGCGTTGCCCCGACTGAAGTTGCTTCGCGTAGGGAGAGCTCGGGGTCTGCTTCAATTCGCTCTGTCGTGGCAAATTTCGTCTCAGCCATGATGCTAGATGGAAGATCTGGATGGCCAGGACAGGCGCGAGAACTGAAAGCTGAGCAAACTGGCCATACCAGTCCAGTAGCTGGCGGCGTAGATGCTGCTCTTCTTCTGTCAGATCCACGAAGCGGTACATGATTCCGGAGATTGCGTGTCCAGACCCAGTCCCGCCTGATCACGTAGAGACATCAGACCTTCATATCGTTGGCAAGCACCTGCAGTCCGGAGGATGTAAGGTGTACGAGGTGCATCACGCAACAGACGTTAGTAGGTAGGTACGCACAGCAGTCTCAAGCATACGCAATACACAGATACATTATACCGATTAGGTAATCGGTAGAGTGTCCCACAAAAAAGCCGCCGTCTCATCATCACTTCACCTTGATCAGCCCCACCTTGTCAATCAGTTCCTCTGTTCCTCACGACTCCCAACTCTCCGACGCAAGCTCCTCACAGCCGAACTCAATGATCTCACCACAGAGGTACCCGCCTCTTCTCGCTGCTTGACCGGCGATGTTCTCATATCGTGACAATCGCGCTCATCAAAAGCCTCCATCTGTTTCTCGGGTTTCATTTCTGATAGAGCCAAGCCACCGATGCCTTTCAGAAAGTCTTGATGAGGCTTGCTTCCCAATCCTCTCTTGACGGGAGAGGTGTTGTCGATGTGCTTCTTGGTCGGCGGCAATCGCATACGGGGTGGAGCGATCGAGAGAGGGTACATAGCCTTGCCTGGGCTGTCGAAACTTGGGCGAGGCGGCGCTGCGTACTCGCGGGTGGGAGGTGAAAGGCCCATAGGGCTGATTGGTGAAAGATCTTTGCGGCTGGGCGAAGCTGCCACGATGTCGTCGACGTCCTCGCCAGGTAGACTGACACCAAGCTCGCGGAGTTGCGCTACAGATTGTCAGTTGCCGTGTTTGTTGTGACATGCTCGTTGATCCGTACTGCCTGTACGACAATGGTACTTGAAAGTCACGTAGGGTTGATCGAGCGCATCGATCAGAGCGTACGTATACATCTTTCTTGGCTCGCCTTTTTTCATACGTCCAGACGTCGATATGCTAGCAGTCCTGGTTAGCAATCATCTTCATCCAAGCTCAAAGTATCTCCATACTTKAAGCCGTTTTGCACTTCATCACCTTCGCCCAACGTAAACTTCTCAAACTTCGCCGGCTCCCTCTTCCGTGCTTTGCTTCTGAAGACTTGAATGTCGAAGCTTCCGCCGCGTCTCTGGCTGGAGTCGGCATTCTGGAAGAAGAATGCTCTCTTCTCCAGTACACGCTTACCGTGGAAGTCGGTGCCGGCATCGAAAATGCCGAAGGTGACTCTTCCGCTATGCTCCTCTTCGTCAATACCCCAGCTGAGCAGGCAACGGCCTTTGACAAAGAGTTTGAAGTAGAAGAACTTGGTCCCGGCATCGGCGGTCACTGGGCATGCATAGTTGATCCAGAACTGAGAGCCAGAATAGATGGGAACGTAGACGGCGGCAACGCGAGGCGGAGTCGGGGCGCTCAAACTCGACGAGGATGTGTCACCAACGTATTGACGCTTCGGTGGGGTGGCAGGCGTCGATGCCAACGGTGGAGAGAACTCAGAGATGGGGATTTCAACTATAGTAAGCGCCTCATATTGTGAGGCGAGGGAAATGGATATGCCTCGACACGTCGGCATTGCGCTACTTGTTCTGATGGGTRGTTGTTGTGTTGTAATCAGTCGGAAGGCGCAACAGAGGCACTTCGCTCCGCTTCAGCCAAATCTGAACTTTGACCCTGGGGAGCATTGCACGTGAAAGTGAAGGTTACTACTAGGTACTGGCGCCCCATGAAATGAAACGACGACAACGCTCGCGCACAGGTTGCTAGAGGCACAAAGGTTCGCAGCCTTGCGGAGAGACAAATTGTTCATCGAATAATGTCTTTTAATCGCACTRTCGTTGTTGCAGAAAGTACAACAATTTTAAAGGCTGCAAGTAGAGCGGCAATCTTCAATTCACCGGGCCACGGTGCAAGAATAACCGGATTGAGGCAATCTTTGTCTCAAGATACAGCCGATTTTGGGCGGTGTTGATTTCGCCCCCATTCAGGGATGTCCGTGAGCGAGCGATCACTAAGACACCCACAACATCCTCGACTCAGTAGATGGAAGGAACCATTCTCGCTCTCCCCGCGATAGCCTCTTGCCCAAACTTCTCTCGATACCACTTCCTAGTACCATCGGCGGTGACCCCAAGGTTGACCACGACAAAGAACAAGGCTGCGACGAAAGTCCAGTTCAACCACTCACCCTGCGGCGCTGCCAGTATTGATAGGGATGTGTAGATCAGGCACTCTGCAAAGTAGTGAGGAGTGAGAGATATGTGGAAGGCTGGGTGGTCAGGCAGTCTGTATTCGGATTTGTTTTCGCCTTTGGGCGTCTTCTTCAACGAAGCCAAGTAGGCGTGGCAATCGTGCTGCATGCCGGAAGATAGTATGAAGATGAGTATACCAACAATGGTTCGTGGGTTGGGACCTGTCAGAGTGAGATCGTTGATGGTGAACTTGTGGCTTTGAAGGGTCGCTGAAGAACGTTAGGCATATGTCTGTTCGACGCTGCGACACCAAGCACTCACCGACTCCCTCAATCCACACTGCAAGCCCAGTCCCGATGTAGAACAGTACGCCCAGTACCCAGTGCCCGAACCACATCTTCGACTTTGAAGGTGTAGACAGGGTCAAGCATTCCCAAAGCCTCCGACTGCCTTGTGCGAACATCAACAACCACGTAACCACGACCTGCTCAAACCTCATAGTGTTTCCATGGGATAAATTGCGGGCGACGGCACCGAAGAACGGGCCTTTCAGCATCACCTCCGATGCCCAGAAAAGCGAGGAGAGCACAGAGACGGCATAGAAGCTTGTGAACCAGCTGTGGGGAACACAAATGCTCCCGGCCTTGTCCAACATTACCAGTACGAAATTCGGGCCCTTCTCCGACTCCTCTACACTCTTTCCATCATTCTGCCGAGCTGTGCGAGGGCCGTAATCAAGAAAGCGGGCGCGGAGTGGAGGAACAGAGGCAATGACGAGCACCTACCTGTCCATCAGTCTTACCCCCTGCTACAACCGTCCGTGACCGTCGCTCACCAGCAGCGCGCAGATGATGTAGGCCAGACGGAGCAGTAGAATGGCGTCCATCGGCAATGTTGTCATGTCTGAAGCCAGATGGTGTGTCGACTCCCCCTCTTGCTGAGCTCCCCGGCGTACCGAGATGGAATACTCACGCCCTTTCGTACGCTCGTTTGCGCAGGCCGGCCGAGATTGGCGGTTGATGAGTGGATGGCAGTGGCTGCGGATACAAGGGTGCTGTCAGTAGCAGGGGTTGCGGTGAATTTGTATGCTGGGGTACTTTATATTTGTGGAGATGCCCATCACATATTCTATTTTATTGTCGCGTTGATTTTCCCCACGCGCGTGTCGTGACTTAAGCGACGATCCGAATGAACAAAGAATCCCTCGAGACTTCCATTCCGCTTCTTGCCAACATTTACGCAATCTCTGTCTCAACCACCAATCTAGGACCAGCTCTCCGTGTGCAATGCCGCGACAATGTCTCTCAGTCTATCATCTCTCCTGAACCCGTCGCCAGCTTCGGGATCGACGTCGCCCTCGAACAAAGATGAGCTGCCACCACCAACACCGCAGCAGCAGCAGCAGCAGCCGAATAGCGACATCCGCACATACGCCTACACGCCGTCGACCCTCAATGATGCCGCACATGCACTAGCATCTCTCTCCGCGAGTCCGGCGCCTCCGCCCACTCAGTATTACGGCTACAATGCTCCAGATGACAATACGCTGGAGAGACAACGCTCGGGCGACAGTCAGAGACGGGCCAGCGGTGATTCCAGGCAGTTACCTCCACCGCCAGCAGGAGCGTCGCGGAAGATGAGCTCGCCAACTCTCGATCAGTATCACGTCGCGTCTCGCTCGCCTGAGCAGCGGCGTGCTTCCATTGTGTCTCCAGCGCAGTCAAGCTTCACCTTGCCGCCGATGCAGGGCTATCCTGCTGAAGCAGGTAGGCGGCCTTCGCATGCGTCGTATCATGATTCAAATACGTCTTCATCTGCACATGCGACTGCGAATGCGCCAGTGCAATTGGAAGCAATAGCGGCTGCAAGAGCGTCACCTCAGTTTCTTTCAGCTCAATCAACTACATCTGTGATTGAGGAGACGGCACCATCACCTGCAATCATTAAAGAAGAAGCGGTTCCTACGCCGCAGCCATCGTCGCCCGTCGACTCTCGTGGCATGGAGCAGCACACCAGCAAAGCAGTGGCTTCACTGAAGAACGAGCATGGCCTTCGTACACAATCGCCACTTCGCGAGTCTTCAGTCCCCGTGCCCACTACAGAAGTCGCGGCACCAGATCAACAGCCAGCTGCCTCCAAGAAGCGACCTGCGCCGTCCAAGACGAAAAAGGGCACGGCAACTACCATGAAAAGGGCACCACCCTCGAAGAAACGGAAGGTTGAGACCAAACGATCCGTCACACCATCCTCCCGAGCTTCGAAATCACTTACTGTTGGCAAAGGTGGAAGTCTAAAGGGCACACCGGCAAATTCCTCCCCTGCGCCTTCGGTCCGTTCGTTTTCGGCAAGCCCGAATGAAGACCAGTACGACGAAGACGAAGAGGAGGGCGATGAGGAAGGAGACGGTGAGCTATACTGCTTGTGTCGCAAGACTGACACCGGCACGTTCATGATTGGTTGTGACGGGACGTGTGATGATTGGTTTCACGGAAAGTGTGTGGGCATTGAAGAGCGGGATAAGCACCTCATCGACAAATACCTATGTCCTAACTGCACAAAGGCTGGAATCGGAAGGACGACTTGGAAGCGAATCTGCCGACGTAGTGGTTGCCGCAAGCCGGCTGATATGAAGGGAAAGCCTAGCAAGTACTGCTCTCCAGAGTGCGGTGTGCTCTTCTTCCGAGAGATGGTGGCGCGGACTCGAGGGAGGGAGGACACCGCTGCGAATCGGTCATCACGACGAAAGGGTGGGGTAGAGGAGGGCCATGCGGATGCCGCCGACGATCTAGGTGCACGTGGTGGAGCTTTGGCCGCCGGAGAAGTGAAAGCTCTCCTGGAAGCCTCCAATACCGCCGAGGAGTTTCGAAAGTTGGGCGATGGGGTTCTCAGTCCACCTGCAACCCCCGACGGTAATGACGACGGCGATAGCGCCAAGCATCGGATCGAGTATACCGAAATTGAGATGCAGTCCCTCGAGCGTATCCGCAGCGAGAAGGAGGAGGCCAGGCGCCGGCATGTGCTGCTCAAGGACCGCATGAAGTTCATCACCCTCGTCAAGCAGTCCGCTAGCCGGGTGGCCACGGAAAAGGAGCTGAAACCTAAGGACTATTGCGGCTATGATTCACGTATCGAGTGGACAGAAGATCGCTTTCAAGCTTGGCGGAGCAGCAAGGCTGGCCAGCAAACCTTCGAGCTAGATTCTCTCGCCGTGAAAGGAGGCGAGGACGACCACGTCGAAAAGGACCAGGACCCTGAGGTTTGCGATCGCAAGAAATGTGCCAGGCACCTTGAATGGGCAAAACTCGCCGTAGACGACATACGATTCGAGATGAGCGACAATGGCGACCACATGCGCGCCCTCGATAGAGAGGAGACTGACATCAAGGAGCGGGCGGCACTGAGAGTGAAGAGCAAAGCGAGTGGTAACGCGCATGGCGACGGCACGGTGGAAGTACATGGTCTCATCTCAGGGGATGGCATCGATATGATGGATTGTGATGTTGCGCCAACTGTTGAGATTGTGCCAGATGCCATGGCTGTCGATGCTTAATGAGGAACGTCGATCACGGACTACGCCCAACACCTGAAGAGCTTCCCGAAGTTGTGACTGCGACACGGACGCCTTGACGTTGGTCATGAATCTGGCTATGCGTAAACACCTGATAACCTTGATCAATTGATATTGCTGCTGATGTCACATTTTAACGAAGCATAGCCATACGTATGCGCCTCTCCATCTCATGCCAGTTTTCCATCCTACCTTATACCGTCAACGAGTGCTGATTGGGCATCGAACGAGAACCCGATGAGGACCGTGATCTCGTTTCTTGAATGCGGGATCTCCGTAAAGGCGTTGGGTGAGCTGTTCGCCAACGATATCCTCCGATCTCTGGGTTGCATTTAAAGCACGCCAGCCAGGACTATGTCGAGTACGGCAGCCGTACTCAATACTAAATGTGAAAGGAGTCGCGACACGTACCCCTGTCTCGCCGACAGTAAGGTAGGTCGCTTCAATGCTGTTCATCTCCAGGCCAAAGCTTTCCGTTTTAATGGAAGTATTCATCTGTGTCCTGCGCCAACGACACAACAAACAGATGTGAGTCCGGCTTGGACTGGCCTCATCGTCGGAGTAGGAAGATGAGCGTTTGCAGGAACGAACTGGTTGTAGAGAGAAGAAAGCGAAACACACATATACAACGATATACGGCGATGTACGAAAACTAACCATGACCAATGCGAGTGCGTGTAGACGCATGCATGTATGGAACCATGGAAAACTACTCACCAGCATGTGATATCTACTGGCTAGCTGAAGCTAATCAGTGGGCTCTCTCTTTGGAAAGGCATCGGAAGTTAATTAGACCCGCAGAGTCCTCTCGGGCAGCCCAGCGCTGGTCCGTTGACAGCGAAGCAATTCTCGCGAAACCACAAACAAAGGCGGATTTTGGTCAACAAGAATAACGTCCGAAGCAAAGAAATGGCGCATATCCGCACGGGAATCTGCCTTGAGAGGAATGTTCGACAAATGGACAGGGGGTGGCCAAGACGTGTGAGAAGGTCAGGTAACAGTCCACGGATTCACGGATTGACTTCGTCGTCCGAGAACAAGAGTGCGGTTGGTATCGCCGGGTGTGTGGTGTCAGCGAGACGCCGTACAGTAGTGTCGAAGCGCAGGTGAAGTAAGTCTTTACTCCTACCTTGTACCATGATGCCCCGGTGATGACATGGTAGGAAAGCTCGGCCGCGTCCCACCTGCCTTCTGTGGACGTCGTGACCTCACCCCCGTCGTGACTTTGGGTGCTGTCGTTCCGGTTCTCATCATCAGGCTCGGATCTTCGCGGCCGTCGCTATCAATATCGCATCAGCTGCTCCCTGCGCTGGCGGCAGGCGTGCACAAAATGGTCGTGGCAGACGGCCGCGGAGGTCTCGTTTCCGAAATGCCGGTGCCTGACGGAGGACGCTGGAGCTTCACACGTCATTCCTCATGATGGAATAAAAGCAACAGTGAGCTTGATCTTCTCCACGGCATACGTTTTGAGGGTGTGCAGCTACACACTCCACCATGTCGAACGGTACTCCCAACGGCCTCGGCCTCGAACCTCAAATCCACTCGCCACGAGCGCGGAAACCCATCAACGCCCACCTCGTTCGCGCTTCTCACGATGAGCTACCGCGTGCCGCTGCCGTCGCATCTGGGATTGCCAGTGAGCGGAACACACCTGCACCGCCCGAGGATGCCCCTCCGTCCGTCAAGGCGACCTCTGCAGCTCGACAGGCTAACCGGCGCATGACGAAGAAGGGGCGCATGTTTCCTACGGTGGACTATGAGGCTCGTGTGTCCTACTTTGACCCCAATTCCACATATTCAAACTTTCGAGGCTTCTTCGTCCTATTCTGGATTGGCCTGGCAATCATGGTCGTAACCACTATGCTGCGAAACCTGCGAGAGAACGGGACACTATTGAACTTCAGGCAATACCCTTTGTTTCGCCAGGATATGGAGGAGTTGGCAGTCAGTGATGGACTGATGGTTGCAAGTTCGGCCCTCAGTCTTCCATTACACCTTTTATTCAAGAACAGTGGCAAGGGTCTGCTGAGGTGGAATCGCGGGGGAATGGTCATTCAGAGCATCTATCAGGCACTGTGGCTCTGGGTGTGGATAAGCCTGCCATTTCTCCGCGATTGGAGTTGGACTGCTCAGGTATTCTTCACTCTGCACACTTTGTGTATATTTATGAAGATGCACTCCTATGCGTTCTACAACGGTCATCTGTCGAGTACCCTCAACAGGCTCAAGGAACTGGACATGCCAATAGGACCTGGGACGCCCACGAATGCAGCCTTCCGCTTCCCCTCCGCTAGATTGCACTTGATGGAGATCGACAAGGAACCAGAAGACGAAGGTGAGCGCGAGAACATCTCACCAATCATTCAACTTCGGAACGATCTTGCGAAGGAACTCACTTCGCCAATGGGCAACGTAACATATCCCCAAAATCTGACGCTCTACAACTTTGCCGACTACGTTATGTGTCCAACTCTGTGCTACGAGCTCGAGTATCCACGCACTCCGTCACGCTCATATTTGGAGCTCTTTTGGAAGACCCTTGCCGTCTTCGGATGTGTATCCCTCCTGACCGTGGTTTCGGAAGAGTTCATCATTCCGGTGCTGGACGAATCGCAACTCCGGCTACTAGCCTCCCGAACATGGATTGATAGCTCGCTCATCTTCGCAGAGACCGTTTCCCGGATGTTATTCCCATTCATGGTCACGTTCTTGCTAGTATTCCTGGTCATTTTCGAGTACGTCCTGGGGGCTTTTGCGGAGATCACCTGTTTTGCAGATCGAAAATTCTACTCGGACTGGTGGAACTCCCTGGATTGGCTCGAGTTCTCGCGTGAATGGAATGTGCCTGTACACAACTTCTTCCGGCGACATGTCTACAGCGCCAGCAGAAGCGTCAATCTGTCGCGTCCTGCAGCTACTGGCATAACATTCTTGATCTCCGCGCTAGCGCATGAATTGATCATGGGGTGTATCACCAGGAAGTTTAGAGGATATGGCTTCACGTTGATGATGATGCAAATGCCCATTGTTGCAATCCAGCGCATGCCGTGGGTCAGGGACCAACAGCTGCTGAACAACATCATGTTCTGGATCTCGATGATCACAGGACTGTCATTGGTGAGTCGACCAATACTGCGATACATGTGATGAATGCTGACTTTCGACTTTCAGCTTTGCGCTCTCTACGTGCTCATTTAGAGCTTACGACTTTGTATAKTATTTGCTTCTCGATACCCTGTATAGTTGCAGATTTTTCTGAATTCATCTCCACGATTTATGTTTTAGTCATGACACTCACTTTCGATGTCCCGTTTCGGCGAGCTTGCCCGAAGCAAATTTGAGACAACTTGGCAACCTTGATAAACATCACGTTGAACATTCGGTCACTCTGCAGCAATACTATAAGTCATTTGGCCTGACTTGAGCCTGATAGCAATTGTTTGTTTATCTTTGCTTTACTTCAAGTCAGCATCACCAAACAGCCTTCTCCAATTCCCATACTCACAAGGCCTCAGCAGACATGGCAGCCCCAACACCACTCTGGCTAGACTGCGACACAGGTCACGATGATGCTTTCGCACTTCTCCTAGCTGCGCAACACCCCAATCTCAATCTTCTAGGAGTTAGCACAGTCTTTGGAAATGCCCCTCTGACGAACACAACCTACAACACCCGTGCCATCCTCACCGCCATCAACCGCGAAGACGTCCACGTCTACCCGGGAGCGGCTCGGCCTTTCTGCAGAGCGCCAGCAGCAGCTGCCGATATTCATGGCGAATCTGGTCTCGATGGCACCACTTGCCTGCCAACTCCAACTGTTCCCGAGAGGACAGAAACAACAGCTGTAGAGGCAATGTACGCCGCTCTAATCGCTCAACCTAAAGGAACCGCATGGCTAGTCGCAACAGGTTGCTTGACAAACGCAGCGCTCCTATTCGCCACTCACCCAGACCTCGCATCTCACATTGCCGGCCTCTCTATAATGGGCGGAGCAATCGGTGGGAACTTCAGCGACGCACCCATGGGCTCTGTTGCAGGCGAAGGCGAACGTTTCGGGAACTGGACGCCTTGGGCGGAATTCAACATCTATATTGATCCTGAAAGTGCCGCTGCAGTATTCTCAAACATGGAGTTAGCAGCAAAAACGACTTTGATCCCGCTGGATCTAACTCATCAGTTCCTCGGCACGAAATCCATCCAAGAAGCCCTTCTTTACGGATTTGACAGCAACGCGTCACAAGGCGAGCCGACGACGGTGCGACGTCTCTTTGTGGAGATCCTCACTTTCTTCGCAAAGACATATGCGGATGTGTTTGGACTTGTAGACGGGCCACCGACGCACGATCCTTTGGCCGTTGCGGCCATCTTCCCTCCAGGACTCTTCTCGTCTGACATCTTCGATGACAGAGACGGTGAGAGATATGGGGTTACTATTGTCACGGATGGGCATCATGGATCTTCGGATCACATACGATCAGGACCATCACAGTGCGGCAGGACCATCGCTGAACTTCTGCCATCTGGTACTGCGGGCGTGAGAATACCAAGGGGTCTGAATGCTGATGGCATGTGGCGGATCTTGGAAGAGTGTCTTGGTCGGGTTGATGGAAAGACAGCTTAGTCCAGTAGATGTAGAATGGGTGTTCAAGCTCCATTACATGGTCTATCCAACGTCGTAGCACTCACATGCAATCATAGAACCGAGGCACTGATGGTATTCTACTAGGTATCTTTTATTGGCGTTCTTCGCCCAGAGCACAGCATGGAAAGCAGTCGGACCTCGCGAATGCCCGCGGTATCCGAGGCCGCTACTTCTAGATGCCTATCATACTAACTCGCGTGTCCCAAATACCTCTGATCCATCTTCCTGAGACATCAAGTCCGCGCACAGATCTTGTGTGGCTTACTGAATGCCTGAACCGACCGATAAGACGTCCTATGTTCGCCAGTTAGCACCATGCTTGTCACTGCGATCGATCACGACATGCCTAGGTCTCCATAGCGCTGTCCTGGCTGTCCGTCCACGCTTTGCTCGCTGTTGTCGCAAAGTACCTCACATCCACGTCATCATCCTGCATGAGCTTCTCAAGATTAGGCAACACTTCGTCCCGTACTAGCTGCGAGCCACGCTCGCTTCCTGGGAAGTTGGCCGAAGATTGCTTCTCGAGATCTGCGATGGTGCTGGTCGAGTCATCGGGGAGGCGCTTGAGGATGTCGACCAACACACCATATGATTTGGCGACGTTGAAGCGGATATTTGGAATGGGATCTGCGACAAGCTGTGCCAAGATAGGAATGACCGACTTTGCAATTACGGGGAGAGAAAGTGCAGGTGCAAGGATCTGTGCTATGGTCAGCGATGTCTCGTCGTTCAAAAGGCTTGTGGAACACACCGAGACCGCGAAGCAAGTTGTCATGCGGTAGAGATAATTGGGGTGCTCAGCCATTGCCGCTACCTTGGGCACGATGGCTTCGCTCGCCCATTCGACACCAAACACTTCGGTGAGCTTCTTCAGGTTCTGTGTGCTGGCCTCGCGAATGCTAAACACGGTGTCGCCCAACCATGACATACAGAGACTGCTGAGCTTCTCGTCGAAGAACTTCACGCCGAGCTGAGACGCCAATAGCGGCACGTATTGGATGATCGCGAGTCTAACACGCCACTGCTTGTCCTCTGCCAGCTGCACGATGGCAGGAAGTAGTGATTGGGAGAGCAGTTCGATGCCAATGACGTTGTTGACCTGCTCAAGCTTCGAAATGATGTTGAGTCGTACGTCGGGAAAGTCGTCTTTAAGCATTTGCAAGAGCATTGGGAGGAGATGTTCAGTCGTTTCCTGCTTTCCGAGGATTGGCGCAAGACCGCTGATCTGGTTGCCGAATGCGGCGCGGACGTGTTGCGAGCTGTCGGAWACAAGGTCCTCCACAGCTGGCATGATTTCGGTGAGCAGAGCCTGGCGCTCAACCAGTTGGCAGAAGCCTGTAAATGTTCGTCAGCGCACGTCGAGCACTTGAATTCATATGACGTACCCGGAATTTGGCCTGCAATGGCGCTCCTGACCTCTGCTTCATTATCCTTCAAAAGCTTGACGAAAGAGGGAACCAGGTCTCGCGCAATCACCTCGTCGTCCACAGCTTTCGCAATCTTCTCGAAACGGTCCGCAACAGTATAACGCACTCGCCAGCTCTTGTCCGCGAATAGTTCCCGAAGAGCAGTTAGGAGAACTCCGTGGCTGCTCTGCTGTTCTTTGGGCACAGCCTCTGCGATAGCAATCAAAACATCAACCGTGAGAAGGCGAACACTGTCTTGGTCATCGCCGGCGAGATGTTGGAAGAGGGGGATCATCTCCTCGATGACGATGGCAGCTGGCATGCTCTTGACGAATTTGGCGAGGTTGTTGGCAGCTTGTCTCCGGACCATGGGAGTATCGTCGTGAACGAGCTGAGAGAACTGCTGTCGAAGCCCCTCTTGCGACTGTGCCGTCGCATGCTGGTACGGTGTGTTGTAAAGTCCGGTGGCGGAGATCTTGGAAGTAAACCAGTCGGCCTTTGACAGGCGGATTGTGAGTGGAATGAAGTACTGCTCAACCTGCTGCTGGGAGAGCTGATCACAGATCTTGTTGAGGGACTCCACGGCCTACTAAATGTCAGATGTGTCTCTGCAGGCTTGGTTCTCTGGCAAACCTACTTTGTCCCTGACCAGAGGCTCCTCAATGGTTGCGAGGTTCTCAAGAGGTGAGAGGAGCACGTGTCCATTTTCCGGACCACCCACATACTCCACAAAGTTACCCAGCTCATCTCCGAGTGCAGTGAGGACCTCGTCCTCGTCCTCTACAGATTCTGTGCGTTCATTGTTAGCGATCCGTCGGGTCGCGGGTCCAGATGTGTGACGCACCATCAAGGAATGGAATGAGCTCTTCGCGCGTCCGCTCGGGGCCCAATGCTAGAGCGATTGTTGACAGTCTGCGAATGGCATTCAAGCGTAGGAGAACATCGTCGTGCTGTTGTCAAGGTCAATCGCGGTTCCATCATGCATGTACACTTCTTCCGCCCGCAGCAGCCTGGGCGTACCTTGAGCTCATCGATTAAGACGGCGATGGGATACAGCTCGTCGTTTTGGCCTTGCTCATCCATGTTGGCTCTATGCTTCTGGGTCGTGGGGTGTGTAAGGAGCGAATGRCCCAGTTGCAGGCCGGGAGCACTGGCGGGTGGTGCGCGCGGGGTGAAGCAGGTTCCACTCCAGTAAGGGCGGAGCGGAGGCYACTACGTCGGGAGGAGAGCTGATGTGATCGGCGATATGACTGAATACGTGAGCAGATTGCGGACAGTATGCGCGGGCTGTTTATGTGGATGAGTTGCGTGTCGTTGAGGTGGTGTTGCGGTAAAGGCGTGTGAGCTCATTCTTGTGCGCTAGCTCTAATTAAAAACAATTGGGCTTCGAGAGTCACAGTCATATCCACCTTCGCTGCCATTGCAAAGTCACAGCACCACTTTCCGACCGATCAACCTCACCGGCGTGCAGACGGACTTGGAAGAAATTACACACATTCACTGCAACCGCTGCTTGCATTAGGCGACCGGTCGACTTCGGCTCCGAGTACACTTTCATCGTAGGAAAACTACAGCCCCGCGCCGCTGCTGGCGTATTGAGTCAACATGCCAACGATTGGGGTGGACAAGGCGGCTTTGTACAAGGCACTGGGCCGGGAGTACACCAAGGACGAGTTCGACGAGCTATGCTTCGAATTCGGTATTGAGCTGGACGAGGATACCTCGGAATCCAAGAGGCCGATTGTGAATGGAGTGGAAGAGGCACCACAGCTGAAGATTGAAATACCCGCCAACCGATATGACATGCTGTGCTTCGAGGGTATCGCCATGGCACTCAATGTCTTCCTGGGCCGCCAGACGATGCCCAACTATCGTCTGACAGCACCGACAAAGCTGCAGACGGTTACGATTCACGAGGACACTGCACGGATACGACCCTACTTCTCATGTGCTATTCTCCGAAATGTCACGCTTGGTCAGGCAGGATACGACTCATTCATTGCACTCCAGGATAAACTGCATGCCAACCTGGCTCGCAATCGGACACTCGTGGCCATTGGCACCCACGACATGGATACGTTGGAGGGCCCCTTCACCTACGAAGCTCTCCCACCGGACCAGATCAAGTTTGCGCCCCTAAACCAGACCAAGGAGATGACCGGCAGGGAAATGATGGAGTTCTACGAGAAGGACAAGCACCTTTCTCGCTTCCTGCCCATCATTCGCGATTCTCCCGTCTACCCCATCATCTACGACAAGAACAGGACCGTTCTTTCGATGCCGCCGATCATCAATAGCAACCACTCTAAAATCAGCCCAACAACAAAGAACATTTTCATCGACATAACGGCCACTGACAAGACCAAGCTAGAGATTGTCAACCACATCCTCGTAGCAATGTTCTCGCAATACTGCGCCGAGCCCTTCACCATTGAACCAGTCGAAATCATCTCGGCTCACAATGGCGAGTCGAGAACAACACCAAACCTCGAGCCACGCGCCACCACAGCCTCTTCCACATTCATCAACTCGGTTTGCGGCCTTGAAGAATCCCGCGAGTCTCTGTGTGACCTGCTCAAAAAGATGGGTCACTCAGCGAAGCCTTCACAATCCGACTCCGACAAGCTAGAGGTTGACATTCCCATTACTCGCGCCGACGTCCTTCACGAAGCAGATATCATGGAAGACGCTGCCGTTGCCTACGGCTTCAACAATCTTCCCAAGAACTTCCCAAGAACCACCGGTGGCCATGCCGCGGGTTTACCCATCAACAAGCTTGGCGACATCGTCCGACAAGAGGCCGCAATGGCAGGCTGGAGCGAGGTTATGCCCCTCATCCTCTGCAGTCACGCCGAGAACTACGCCGATCTYAACCACGAAGATGACAACCTCGCAGTCCGGTTGGCAAATCCCAAAACCAAAGAGTATCAGATCGTCCGCACAYCGCTCATTCCAGGTCTCCTTAAGACGATTCGGGAAAACAAACGTCACGCGGTTCCAATCAAGGTCTTTGAGGTCTCAGAAGTGTGTTTCAAGGATGCTTCAATGGAGCGGAGATCGAGGAACGAGAGGCATTTCGCGGCTGCCTGGTACGGAAAGACGAGTGGATTCGAGCAAGTGCATGGTTTGATGGATCGTATCATGCTCATGTTGAGCTGCAAGAGCATCGACAAGGAGACGGGTCTCGAGGTGGGGAAGAAAGACGGAAAGCCGCCAAAGACCGCATATTTCATCGAGGAGGTCGAAGGTGAGTCGTATTCCAATCTGAGCATGCCACTCTTTGCTAATGACACTCTGCAGATCCCACCTATCTGGCTGGACATGCCGCCGGCATCTTCGTCCAGCTCAACGGTGACAAGAGTAAGCGTGAGCGAATCGGTACTTTTGGCATTCTACATCCAACAGTGCTCAAGAAGTTTGAGCTGCCTTTCCCAACTTCGACGCTGGAGCTCAACATCGAAAAATTCCTGTAGCTGGACGATCAGGTCCCTCGTGGAAGTTACTTGAACATGAACAAAGAGGAGCCCCAATCAAATATTCTCGCTCGACGTCTATCAAAGTTCCCCCGTGACCTGTTGAGCGTAGAAACTCGTGACATGTTGAGTTGGTCGACTTGACGCATGACGGAGAAAAAATATAGTCGAAGCGAAGGAAAGTGGTGTTGTGTTCGCGAGCGCGTGATGTCATTCGGTCGATGTGGTTTCGGTTTCATGTTCGGTCCTGCTTCACCGTCTACACCTAGCCTCTGCAACTTGCCACAACAAACTGCAATATAATGCAGCTTCTGTGCGTGGAACGATGATATAGAAGTTCATCCGTACCGGGTCTGAAAAGAGAGAGCAATCAACGTTCTTGGCTGTAGGAAGCAGGCCGTGTAAGCTTTTATTGCGCCGCCGTTGTTGGATCAGGCGCGTCACCCGTGTGTGAGTTGTTCACGGATGTCCAACCAWGGCCTGACCTACCAAGGCCTCCGTCGACCCTACTACCCTGGACATAATTCGTCCTATCTCGACAACATCCCCGAGGAGGAAATCGAGGCATACGCAAGACTGGAAGATATCGACGCAAAGCCAAACTCCAAGCGGAGTACTGCGATGGCCGGCGAGCTCGATCAGATGGCTGCTGCTAAAGAGGAAGAACTGAAGCCGCCTATTCAAGCCGGTGGACGTAGGCAAAGTGATGGACAAAACGGTGTCACCGACTACCTGACTGCGGGCGGTGGCTCGTATAGTGGTATGAGCACACCGACGACGCCATGCCTGACGCGGACCAACAGCTCATCCGATGTGTTTGGCAACTTCGATTCTTTTGGACAGGAGAACTTTCCGCCCGTCGATCGCCTGACCATGTTCGACATTCTCGAGAATCTGGCATTACCGCAGCGGTTGGAGAAGATGCAGAATGTGGTCCATGAGAATGCAGAGAAGCTCAGGCGGCAGAGGCAGAAGTTGACGCATCGAGCCYTGTCCAGCAAGAACGTTGTAGTAGAGGAATGGCGGAAACGAGTGCCAGTCAATTCCGATGAGAAGCTGGAAAAGTATCGCAAGCGGATGAGGATAACGGTAGACCGGTTGAGCACGCGGTTCAAGAACGCCAAAAGCGTGTCTATGATGGAGAAGATATCCTTTGYGACGGCAGTCTTGAACATCTTCATATCTGCCTACATGATGGGTTCGTTCCCGGAGTACTTCCACTACTGGTACACTGCGCAGCTGATGTAGGTGTTCCGATGATGCGTGCCAGCTCAGAATCATTATACTCACTTCTTCTTTACAGCTACTTCCTGCCCCTACGATGGTTCAATTACCACAAGACAGGCTTCCATTACTTCCTGGCGGATCTGTGCTACTTTGTCAACATGCTGCTCATTCTGTCCATCTGGTTCTTCCCGCAGTCCAAACGCCTCCTCATCAGCACATACTGTTTGGCGTTTGGTAACAATGCCGTGGCGATTGTCATGTGGCGGAACAGTCTTGTGTTTCACAGTCTTGACAAGACCACGACGTGAGGAATATACTGATTCTTATGATACAATATACTAACATGCTTTCAGCCTATTCATCCACATCATGCCTTGCGCAACGCTGCACACGCTGGTCCATCTCATTCCCAAGCAAATGCAATTAGATCGGTTCCCTGCCATTCACACCATAAAGTACTCGGCTCCTGGAGCGCCCGAACACTACCGACTAATGGACATGATCATCTGGGCCACCCTGCCTTACGCCATCTGGCAATTATCATACCATTTCCTTATCACAGTCCGCAAGCGTTCCAAGATCGCGGCCGGTCGCCCGACATCCTTCACCTGGCTCCGTCGTAGTTACCGCGGCAACTTTCTCGGGAAATTTGTCCTCTCTTTCCCTGACAGCTACCAAGAGCCTATATTCATGTGCATACAATACTGCTACGCTCTCCTGACGATGGTGCCGTGTCCCATTTGGTTCTGGTATCACAAAGCCTCGGCAGGATTCCTCCTGATTTGTCTAAGTTGGGCGAGTTGGAACGGCGCAACCTTCTACATTGATGTCTTCGGCCGAAGAATGGAGAAAGAGCTGGACCACCTCCGCAAAGAAGTGGCACGGATGTCCAAGAGTCCTGAACTTTCCGGCCAGGACGGACTCATCAGTCCATTGATCAGCCCAGCAGGACCGATCGGCGACAGTCCAAGTCTGGGAGCTTCTGGTGTGACGACGGCGCTGGATTTGGGCCCTCCTGCCACTTCAGAAACACCTTTAGTTGAAGCTAACGATGGGAGGTTGCATCAACGCGGGAAATCCATGGATGCTATTCCTCTTTTAGATGCCGACAGGACAGCATCCAATCATGAAGAGCCGAAGCGGCCTATGGATGACGGGCTCGCATTGGGAAATGATATAACGGGCGGCGCATCCAAGAAGAACGAGTGATGGTGGAAAGCTTCATTCGTCTCGCATGCGTGCTCTCTCGTAAGGACCTGGCGTGGTAGGGCTTGGTTTGATTTGGGTCTGCTGTTTATACCCCTTGCTGCTGTTTCACGAATTGTACATGTTTTAGAAATTGGTTAGATTATGGGATGAATGTCTTTCACATCGCTCACGATTAAACACATGACATGGGTGAGATCGTTAGAGGTGATGTGTCGAGATCAGGAGAGATCAGTTTGCATCCATTTCACCAGCTCAGCTTCAAGTCTGGCAGCTGCCCCGTCTTCGCGCCAGAAGTGCCCTGCACCATCAACCTGAATCCATTTCCAACGACCTGCAGATCCAGCCGCGAGTCTCTCTGACCATTGCCGCAACTTCTTCGCCGAAGTGAAGTGATCCGAATCGCCAAAAGCGACAAATGTTGGGCTCTTCAATGATAACACCCCGACATTGGCATCCGTTGCCTTGGCTCGGGAGAGAGCAAGGCCTGGCGGCAATAGTACTGTTGAAAGTGGAAATAGCACGGGCGATACCAACAAATATCGCACCTTGACTCTGGGTGCAATTTGACGCGTGCCAGGGGATTGATGATCTTGAGCGTCGTCCCGTTGATGATGACTGCTGCCACTGTTCCGGCGGATCTGTGACCTGATGCGCTGCGGCATGTCGCGGACAGAGCTCATGGAACGGCGGCGAGAAGATTTGCTTCGCCTCCGTTTTGAAGGATCGGTTTCCTCACCACCAATTGTGATTGGAGAGGATCTTGAGTGACGATGAGAAGGCGTGTGCTTGCGGGAGCTCGGCGTAGCAGGCGGTTGCGATTCTTGCAGTAAACGTTGTGTCTGCCTTGCCAACGCCCGAGCTCGAAGGAAAATCTCGGCTCCGGCTGTGCCTCGTTCTGCTGTCTCGAAGGTGTTGATCATGGTTGCAATAGATGGAAGTCGGACCAGAATCAGGGAGCCGAAGGAGTAGCCACCAAGCAGTATGTTCATAGGCCTTGAGATTGGTTCTGACGCCTCGAAGGGCACCTCCTCGCTGAATCCGGGCTGTCTGATTGAAAGTACCGGGGAGAGCGCAGCCCGCTCATCTTTGGAAGAGCTCGAGTTCAAATGGTGCAGATAGTATACCAGCAGCCCAAACACCGAAATGTAGTCTTGTGTCTCGCCATGACCCGTCCAGCTGCTATTCCCTGCAGAACCGCCGGCTCCTCTGTCGATGTGATTAAGATGAGGCTTTGCAGGTGTGCCATGAACAGACCTACCTAAAGTTGAAGGTGACCACGATATGACCAGCTTCCAGGAGGCATTGAGTCAATGCTAGTACCACATGGTCGTTCTGTGAGCCACCTAGGGGTGCGTACGGATGGGCTATAATGGCACCACCCCGTCCGTCAATCGAACTCTGCAAGTGCTCAGGATGATAGATCCGGCAGTCCAGCGGCAGGTCATCCTGGAGTGAGGGTATGGTGAAGGAGTATGTTTCAATCATATCCCCATCGCCCGGAGAAATTCCAACGGCATAGTTTCGTGGGCACACTAGATTCAGAGCGCTGATTTGATGCTTGGATCCTCGTGGTGGAGCTCTGATGTGGAGCACGATGCGAACAACACAACAAGACGAGCAAGGGAGCCTTGACGATGTTCGAGTCCAAACTCAATTTGATCGTCCGTCTTCTTCACCACATGGAGCTTACAATTAATCCGCAGTGATACGCTACTGTACATGTATTATCACAACACAACACTCCCCATTGTCATTTGGTGCGCTACTGCAAATTCTATCTAGTCCGTGTCTGTATCTTCCTGTTTAGAAAACAGAAGCTCGGGATTAGGATGATCGTCATCCTCTGCGTCCGAAGGCTCTCCAGCATTGCCTTGCGCCGTCATGAAACTCTTGTCCAATTGGTCGATGAGTTCTCCGCCATTGTCAATTGCATCCAAGTTGTTAGTGGGCTCCTTTGTGTCGTGGTCCCCATCGGTGTCGTGGAGAACACCTGAAAGTATCTCCTTTCCCCTCTCCAAAGCATCTAACTCTGCGCCAATGGCCACGATGAGCAATTTCCAATTGCGCTCCTGGGAGGTTTGAAGTTTTCCCTGTAAAGATAAGGTAAGGTCGTCTATTTGCTTGATGAGCACCGCAAGTCGCTCGGAGGCGGTGCTGGTCGGCGGCTCTTCCCAGGCAGAATGCGATTCCGTGAGTGATGGTGCCAATGCCGCCATCTCTGCGCGAAGTCGCTTTTCGAAGTCGGTAATCTCGGTCACACTCTCCTGCCATATTGAAGCTCCCTCAACCAAGGCCACTTTCTCATGTTCAGTTCTCTTGCGCTGATGCACATAATACTCGTGTTGCTCGGACCAATACTCCTTTGCCATTCCGAGGTTTCGTCGATTGGGCGGGAGCTGCCATACAAACGACTTACCTTCGCGCGAAGTTGGACGCTCGGCTTCGTCGCTCGGTTTGAAGTTGAGGAATTTCTGTATGTCCTCCTCAAGCATACGTAGACTCGAAGTATACGAGGCCATTTTGGCCTGCACCGAATTCTCAATCGCAGCTGCCTGCTTGAGGAGTTTTCGGTGCTTCGTTCTCATCTCCGCAAGCTGTAGCTCGACCTTGAGAATCTCTTCCTGCACCGAGTCCGCCTCGGAACGCAACCTCTGGATCCTGATAGTCTCTTCATTGCCGTCAACGCGGTGCGAGGCTTCACGCAGGCCTTTGTGCTTTGTTTCCCAGCCATCGATCTGCTCCAGCGTCTGTTGATTCCCACGTAGTTCTGCGTCAATGTCGCGAAGCTCCTCGTCCTTTAAACTTGCCAGTGCAACAATAGTCTTGTATATCCCTTTGCGTGCGCTACGCAGCCCAGGTTGACGCAGAAGTGGCTTACGCATCCTTCTAGTCGATGTACTGCGTATACTCTGCATAGTCGGCGTTGTACTTCCAGCAGAACTCCGATCCCCAGTTTCCCCTTCACCTCCACCCAGTCCTCGGATCAACCCATCTGCCTGTGCATCCAGCAAGAACTGGAGGTCCGCCTCGAGCTCAACTTGCCTGTCATCGGCCTGCGGGTCTCGTTCCACGACCGTCGTCTCGGTCGGAGCTCTCTGGGGCGCATGATAGATGCTTTGTACAATGGGAGGTGGAATCATGGATGCTGAGGGCGAAGGACTGCGCCAGCGAGGTAATTCGTGGCTCGAGTGTGACAAGAGTGGACTGTTGGTCGATGAAGCACTCGCAAACCATGATCTGCTGGAAGACATGTTGGATGCAAGTTCTACCTTGTGACTCTCCGTGTGAGTGGTCAGTGATCCGGATCAAAACAGGTCACGCGAACATGTTTCGATGCTCATCCCGCGGATTGGTTCGTATACGTCGAGCAAGTGCAGCTATCTTGAGTCCGAGTTGGGTGAGTTCGGCGATGCCATGCCACGAGGATTATTAAAGGGTTGTTATCAGTGGTACACTCAGACGCTTTGTTTGTGGTAGAGGCAGGGCGAGGCCATGCGATACGCAGTCAGGCATCCTTGTTTGTTGTGGGCTCAAGCTACGGCACTCGGCAGCTTAATAATTAGCTTTTCGACTTGACTCCCTTAGGTAAGGTGGCAGCACATGAAGGATTAGGTAGGTAGCTTTTTGGTCTTTCACGTGCCATCGGACCCTCCACTGAACTTCACGTTGGTGAGAACGGGCTCGCTACAGCATCCCACATGCAGCATGAACACCACCGAGTGCCGGTAACAGCACTTTCATTCTGGGATCAAAATGTCCTACTTTCTGGAGAAGGTTCTCTGCTCAAGGCATACGACACCGAGCAGAAAAACCTGTTAGATGCCGTGGAAGTACTTCCAGATCAGGCGATCCACGGGATCATCGTCGAAGATGACTCGATCTTTGTATGGGGCGGACGACTTTTCTGCCAGCTCTCTGCGTGCTACAAATCTACCGGATCTCTGGATTTCAGCATAGGCCCTGTGTTCGAGGCCGAAGATTGGATCCTGGATGCCAGCTTTTCCCYTGCCTCATCTCAGGACAGCCGGCGAGTCGCACTTTTGACCGCACATAACGCACTATTTGTTGCATCGTTATCAAAGTCTCTCCAAGTGAGCCTTGAACCGCAAATACCCGGATCGAACTGCATACTTTATGCAGCTCATGTCACATGGCTAAGTGCTTCCAAATGTCTCATTGCTTCAGGTACAGCTTTTGGCGATGTTATTATATGGTCTTGCTCAATCGGGAAGGGAAATCGTGAGGCTTCATCTACCCATGAGACGCACTACAACTTCCTAGCCCACGAGGGTTCCGTCTTCGGCGTGAAGATCTCCTCTACATCCGTTGCCTCTGCACTTGGTGGGCGAATGCACGTACTGGCAAGTTGCAGTGATGACCGTACAATCCGTCTATGGGACATTTCCAATCTAGCTTCCATGAGCTCTGTACCAGGTGAAACACAGCGTGAGACTGGGTTTGGCACACAGGTAGCCCACGACTCCGCCGCTCCCACATGCCTAGGCCAGACTATGGGCCACGGATCCCGTATCTGGCAAACGCATTTCTTCCCAGAAAAATCAATACATCCCGAGGCCGAACTTCCAGAAACAGTCCATGTAGTTTCTTTCGGCGAGGATGCATCATGCATCACTCATAGGCTGGGGCCCAGCCATAATCACAGCTCTATCTACTCGATGAAGCAGTTGGAGATTCAGAAGTGTCATTCTGGGAAGAACATCTGGTCCGTAGCGACCGATCAGACAAGCCGAATCGCCACGGGAGGTGCCGATGGATCGAWTGCTCTCCGATCGTTTGCGGACCTGCAGGGCCATGGTCAGCCAGAAGAAATTGTACGCAGTGTGCCTGGTGAAAAGAACCAGTCAAGCAGCTTTAGGACATATTCCTTCATCAGTCCATCTGCGCTCATACTTACCACCAACTCCGGAGAATTGATGATGATGTCTCTGCATGCCCAGGGTGGTTCTTCTTGCAAACAAGTTTCTTATCCTATTGACACCTTGGTTGGTTACTCTACTATGGCTGGCTTACCCTCTATTGCTTTCTCCGCCGGGACCCGGGGCTGTGTGCATGCATACTTTCACGAGCTTGGAAAGGTATTGAAGGTGACAGATTCTGGCTCCAAGGTGGCCGGGCTTTTCACCCAGCCACCACGAGAAAATGAAACGGCTGCTCGATTTCAGCAGTTACTCATTACCAACGTAGGATCGCAGTCAGCCACTCTGTGCCAGATTAAGCCGCCGGTCGCAGGAGAAACCGATGACCGCATCGAAATGGCGAATAACACTCTCAGTCTCCCAGCCGACTTCGTGGTAACAAGTTTCGCTCATGCCACGCATGTCGACCATAGGCTAGTTGTCCTTGGTTCAAGAAGTGGCTCTATTGCAGTGTATATCGTACCGGATCCTTGTGAGTCTTCAATAAACCCCCAGTTGCTACATCGATCAGTCCACGGCAAAGAGGCAGTAACATGTTTGCGCTTCGTGAAGGACAATGATCCCCGCTCGACGAACATCTCTTTCCTCTCCACAGGTCGCGATGGTACGTACGCTGGACATAGGCTAGAGCTGTCTACCGAAAACCTGCAAATGAATACCGAGCATCAACTTTCTCTCCCTTTTGGACCCAATATAGAAGGCATGGGCTATTCTCCTGCGGGCCAGCTATGGATCTGGGGATTTCGAAGCAAGCATTTCGTGGTCTGGAACATCAACACTCAACAGGAAGTCATGAAAGTGGAATGTGGCGGTGCCAACCGCAACTGGGCGTTCCAGCTTGGCGAGAATGGAGGCACATTTGTCTGGACCAAAGCCAGCAAAGTGTACTACGAGGCTCACACTGGACAGCCGTTTCAAGCCTTCAATTCTGGAGGCCACGGGAGAGAGATCAAGTCGCTCGCCATCTCACCCACGGATCCTCAAATCATTGCCACCGGCGCTGAGGACACGGATATCAAGTTGAGTACGTACAAGAATGGCACCATCCGATGTCTGCACACATTGCAGAAGCACAATACAGGTATCCAGCACTTAAAGTGGTCTGCTGATGGCCAGTACTTATTCTCGAGTGGCGGCTTCGAAGAGTTCTACGTTTGGAAAATCAGCTACGACGTACCTTGCCTTGATGTATGGGTACTTTGCGAGTCCGCACATCCCAACAGCGGGTCATCTGATCTTCGCGTAATGCATTTCGACGCGCGGTCTTCTGGCAGTGGTGATGATGAAGCATACTTGATCACCATGGTATATTCCGACTCGAGCGTGCGGGCTTGGCGATACGTTTCAAAGTCATGGTCGATCCTTGCTGCGGGAAACTACATCACTTCATGCCTAACACAATCCCTGCTATCTCCGAACGATGAGACGGGATTAACAACTGGAAGCACCGACGGTCATTTGGGAGTGTGGAAGATTGATACTGAACGGGAGTGCGTGGAGTGGACTTTCCGACATCAGGTGCACCAAAGTGCCATTTTGAGTCTCATATCTCATGATCTCATCGACGATGCTCGATTATTCATCACGGGTGGCGACGACAACGCAATTGGTGTCACGCGGATGGAGGGTTCCAAAGGAGAGCCTCGCACGTTACTCGTCCCTCGAGCTCACGCGGCGGCTGTGACGGCGTTGGCTATTGTTGGGCAAGAAGGCAATGGTCTACGGCTGGTGTCTGCCAGTATAGACCAGCGCATCAAGCTCTGGCAGATCGATGTGGATGTTGAGAAGCCAGGCGTTGATGGCATCGATGTCAAACTGCTGCAAACTTCGTCAACGGCGGTCGCGGACGTCTCTAGCATTCAGACGATCCGCTTCGACTCTGGTGAGAGCGGCGTGCTGGTATGCGGAGTGGGCATGGACTTTTGGAAGATGTGAGGAAGAAGAAGTTTGGGCGCGAAAATTTGAGAAAGCGTGTGCAGCTAGCTCTTTTTCCTTTTTGATTATTCACAGTGATATATGGGTATGTGAAGGAAGCCTCATGATTGGGATTTGCCTGCCCCCCGTTGCATCCTCTCTCGTGACAGCATCTCCCGTGATGAAAAACTCATTCGCTCATTCGCTTGCTCGCTCGTGTTGCAAAGCCTTGTCCAAATTGACTCCTTGCTTAAAATGCCCAAAGAAAATATACCCTATTGTTGTGGGTCACGCGTCCAGCAGTGCGACGTTGGTCCCTATCGTGCTATTAAGTGAGCTAGCCTGCACGTCGTTGACTTGGCCGGTCCAGCAGTTCCCGGGCCGCTTGCCGTCTGGAAGATACACGGCAACGGTGCAGTTTCTGCTATTGCTCCAATAATTATAGCTTGCACAAACTTCGACGCAGTCGCTGAAACTGTAGACATATGCCTCTGCTATTCGTTGAGAATCCGAGATGGGACTCGCAAGATCGCAGAGTTTGGTGAATTTGAGACCCGCATCCGGTTGGTCTGTTAATTTGTCAAAGGATGAAGTGTAGCCAGTATCGTTTGATTCCGGACAGTCGGAGAGTGGGGTGTATGTTGGGGTTGCTGCTGTGAATGTGGCAGTCGGGCTCGCTGCTGGTGTTGCTGTCGCGAAGGTGCCATTGCTATTGCGCGTTGTTAGTTTATGATCCTCTAAAGTACCCAAGGAATGCAGATCCTCTTACTATAGCTGGCTATGGTCCTCCCTCAACTGCTTTCCTCCAACCGCACCGCCTACTGCGGCTCCGACCACGATCAATATCATGATCAATGCCACGACCAGGAACGTTTTAATCTTCATTCCAAATATGATGCGCGGCGGCTTGTTGTTGTCGGCGAAGCCGCGCCTGTCGATCCTGTCGTATGCGCCCGTCTCCCGCACCACCGGATACTTGTCCGAGGACGGGTAGACGTTGTCGTCGTATTCGAGGCCGTGTGCTGGGGCGACTTCGGGAGCATTGTGGTATTGATACAGCGCCGACATGCGCTGTGGCATGGTCATTCGCTGTGGACATGGGACGCGTGAGTGAGTGATTTGATGCGATTTCGCGTTGAGGTGGAGACGTACCTGAGGGCTTTCCATCACGCAAATCAAGCAGCAAAGTGAAGTAACCCGTCGAGGGCGGCGGGAAAGAAAAAGATTTGTCGTGGCGTGGCGGCCTTGCTGGCGGGTCCAAAGGAGCGAATTCGGGGCCAAGGAGCGACAAGAAGGCAAGAGAGCGTACAGACAGGTACAGGTTCAACGAGTGACTCGGCGTCCGGATGTTGTTCAGTGCAGACAGACCTGTCGCTCGTCTCGTCTCGTCTCGTCTCGTCTCGTCTCGCCTGCGGTGCTCCGTGGCTCTCCAAGAGCGCGAGTTGGGAGGTGAGAGCAAACGCTGGCCCGGCGAGGAGAACCTGGCAATCGAACCGCACTTTCAATACCCTGGTCCGATGCGCTAGGGAAAAGCACCTGGGCAGCGACCTCTAAACCCTGCTGTCGCTGATACCGCAGCATGACTCGCTGGCTGCTGCTCTACCCTCCATTACCTTACACTCCACCGTGCAGGTGTCTGGAAAGTCCATCTCCACGCACAACACCACCGCCTGCAGCCGCCCTTCACCTTCACCTCTCCGCGGTGCTACACAAGGCACAGCACGGCGCATTCACCCTCGAGCTGTCCACTCGTCTGCCGAACATTGTTCTACAAAAGGCTCGGTCCGCTTGCTGGTGCGACGTACGGAAACCTTGTCGCTCGCGTAGGTTCGCCCGATCCGAGCAAGTACGAAGATGGGAAAGTGTCTGTGTCACGTCCACCAATCCACAAAGCCTCATAATCTCCCCATACCGTTTGCAGCAGTACCGCAAGAACAACGAAGCCTATGCTACGTGCACATCAATGCATATTGCTCTCCACAATCCAGGCACCGTAAGGAGCAATCGGAGACTTGCCGGCAGTTGCCTCTAGTGAATTTTTAGCCTCCTTGGCTAGAGCTCCTATAAGCCAATGCCCCTGGAGCCGGAGATCCGACGATGCCGGCGCTTCGCCATGCATGAGCATCAAAATACCTAATGTGCAGGCGAGGTCGAGCTGTGTGTGTCATCTAGAATATCTTGTTCTTCTACAAATGGATTGGACGACTTGATGATGACATGTGCCATTCCAACAACCCGCATCTGCGCCCAATCTGCACTGCAGCTTGCATGACGCCCACGCAGAAGTCTGCGTATCGAATCCCGCAAGTCCAGACCGAACGTTGCTATATGCAAGGCACATGTACAACCCAACGGTTCCAATCAGAAATCTCTACTACGTCAGCCGTGTTAATTACCATCGGCTTGCATTGCGGCCTCATGTGGTATATCAATCTTCCACAAGCAGGGTCAATCTAGACAACATGTCAGTCCCGTGTCGATCTCCCATCCGCGGCAGCATTGCTGTCAACAGTCAGAGCCGCCCGCTGAAACCTTCTAAGAGACTCTTCAGTGCCGGGGTGGCGCAAGCATGACGAATGCGATCCACATTCGCTACATACAGTACATTCCCTCCTTCAAAGCCACAAGTGACTCGCTTCGAGGCGGGAAAAGACAAGACTTGATCAGAACCAGGATATGACCACAATTGACGTGAGAATCTCGATTAGATTGATCGGCTGTCGAAGTTGTTTCATACTCTCCTCAGCTAGCAATATCCTTGAAGAAATTGAAGATGGCACGAGCCCTTGGGTATAGCGTGGAGAGAAGTTACGGCGCACAGACGAGTGGCATTGACGGCGCTCGGGCGGTGCTTTAACACCTAGAAGGTCAGTGACATCTAGCACGGGTCCACTATGCGGTCCTTCGATCGGATGTAGGTGGGGCAGAGGAATGTCTATCGAGCGTTTGAATGAGCGGTATAGAGCTCGGCAATGATGAGTCTGACTCGCAATTCCTTGGAAACCGGCTCATCGAGTCATTACAAACTTGTCAACAGGCCTCTGACCTCGCGGGATGACATACATGTGCAGATTGTCTCGAGAACAATGCGTGGGTATCTTGGAGGCAAACAATGCCTTTGCAAACACCGGCAACGAACCATTCCACCTTCCAGACCTATTACATCTTCGCTCCTCGCGAGATCGATGATACGATCCCATAGTCTCACCTACACCGCTTGATACTTCCGCAACTGCGAGGCATGTTAGTAAAGTAATCAGACCTTTTGCGCCAAGATTCCAACTTACATCAAGCGTCAACGCCCTCGAACTATTCACTCCTTGATCCCTCATGACACCAACCAACGTCTCACTATTCTGGAAAAATCCAGTCTTCAACGAAATCACCACGAATTGATATCCAGGTCCCGCATGCTCCTTCACGTACTGCGCCAACTGCGTGGTATTCGCGTGGTCGAGCGCAGCATCCACCTCATCCAGCACGAAGAATGGACTGGGCTTGAACTGATGAATCGCAAATAGCAGTGCTAATGCAGCCATGGTCTTCTCTCCACCAGAWAAATGCTCCATGTCACGGAAACGCTTGAGAGGAGGCATGGCATGATATTTGACACCACTGAGGTAGGGTTCGTCGTCGTCCTCAACGTCAAGTGAAGCCGAGCCTCCCAGGGGAAATGATTGGGTCTTTGTGAGCGCGCGATATACGTGTCCAATCTGCTCGGAGATCTGATCAAAGGCTTTCTTGAAGAGGTCCATGCGGACTTTCCGCACGGCTTCAAAGTCTTTGGTGGCTGTCTTGGCAGCGAGGCGGGCAGCGTTGAACTCGTTCTCGGTGGCTTTCAGACGGTGGGAGGTGGTTTCGAGACGATCGGCAGATCGCATGTTGGGTGCCATCTTGTCGAGTGCGGTCTGGAGACTGGAGATATTTTCCGCCAGAGCTGCTTCACACTCGTCGCTGCCGTCTTCTTGGAGATCCTCATCCAGCTTGTCAAAGTCGACGTGGATGCCATAGTCCTTGACTTTCGCCAATGCCGCGTTGCCGTCATCATCATCGACATCCATGGCGTCTTCGTCCTCCTCATCGTCAAGCATTGCGTCTTCAAGAGGCAAGGCGTCAATCTTCCGACTGCCGCGTTGCAAGGGCAGCGATATGTTCTCGACTTTGCACGTCCTCAAAACACCATACCGCCCTGTCGCAGCTTTTTGCATGTCTGCCTCCAAAGCTGATATCTCCTTGAGTGTGCTGTCAACGCCCTTGCTGCGCTTCTGTAATTCGCGTCGCGCCTCTTGAACGACCTCAGCGCGATCATCGAACTCCTTCTTGAGATCTTCAAGTTTCGCATTGAGCTCTTCGATTTCTTCGTTGAGTTGCTCAATTTCGCCGTCCAGCTTCTCCTTCCGCGCTTGACATTCCGCGACCTTGTCTTCGTAATTTTTGCCCGATCTTCTTACTGTATCGAGACGCTCGCCGCATTTCTTCAGATTCTGCTTCTCAAGCTCAATCAATTGCTGAAGCCTTGATATCTGCGTCTTGAAGTCCTGCATTCTTTGTCGGTTTTCGGCCTCGTAGACTCCCTGCTGCTTGTCATACTCGCGGATGTCGCTGTATCCAAGACGCTTGCAAAAGTCTCCAAAAACCTCGTCTTCGACCTCAGCRGCAGATGCCTGGTGCTCCTCAAGCGACCGCCTCAAAGAATCGACGCCACGAACCTGTTTTTCGTATCTCGGTCGCACTTCTTTGGCCTGCGCCTGTAGATGTTGCAATTCGCGCCTTTTGTCGTCAATGTTGCGATCAAGGGCCCTGAGTTCATCCTTCAGATACTTTTGCTTGACGTCCAGACCCACGAGCTCGGATCGAAGCTGCTCCTCCTCAGCTTGTCGCTTGTGTCCTTTGGGCAGAGCGTCAATATCTGCCCTGAACTTCTCCACGTGCGATCGTAATGCATCGACTTCAGCGTCTTCAAAGCGGCGTTTCTTATCGAAGCTGCTTGCACCTCCGGTCATGTTTCCGCCCTTGTGGATGACGGTACCATCCAGAACGACGGCTTTGGCATCGACGTTGCGTTGAAAGATCAGAGTCTTGGCAATGGCAATGCTATCCGTGACGATGGCGTCTCCGCATGCAAAGCCCATGGCACGCTCAAGATTGGAATCGAAATCGATAGTGTCGATTCCTAACCTCATGCCGGGATGCATTCCACGAAGATTTGCATTGGGTTGCTTGTGAATGATGGTGTCGAGGGGAATGAACGTGAGCTGTCCAGATCTCTGGTCCTTGAGGTACTGGATGCATTCTCTTGCGGTCTTCTCAGAATCAACCACAATTGAATCATAGTGCCGACCCAGAACGGTCGCGAGCGCGACCTCGTACTTTTTCTGCTTCGGCCGACACAAAAGCCCAAGTTGCCCTCGTACGCCAGGATAAATCCGCTTCAATTGAGACACTATCTCTCTCTGGTTGGCTTCCTTTTGGGACTCACGCTGATAGCCTTGGGCCTCCTGTAGCTTAGTAAGGACGGCGTGCAACTTTTCGTCCAATTCTCTCTTCATCTGATCCGTGCGGTCACGGTCGCTGACGAGAGAGTTGATGGCGAGGGTTTTCTTCTCATACTCCTTGCTCGTCGTCTTGAGATTGGCAGCAAACTGAWCCCGTCTTTCTTGTAGCTGGACCAATTCATCCTGCATGCTCGCGACCTGGGCCTCGGTACCGTCAAGCTGAGACTTGAGCGATATGGCAGTCTGTTCGTCGCTCTGCAGCTCACGCGTTATACTCGTAATCTTCCTCTGGTCTTCACCGGCTTGCTTGGAAACTTCCGCCTTCAACCGCTGCAGTTCGGCCTCGTCTTTTTCGCTCAGTGCCGTGCCCGCTTGTTGCAGTTTCGCGCGGTACTCCTTCTCCCATCGGTTCTGTGAAGTCTGGACAGCGGTTAGACTTTTACTATGCTTGTCAAGGTTCGCTTGTATCGCGTCACGTTCCTTGCCAATGGTTTGGCGATGCGCCTCCACCACGTCAACCTTGGATTTGTTGATGGACAGGGTCTCCTCCACAGGCACAAGCTCGTTCTCCTTCTGCTCAACCTCCTGCTCTCGGCGCTTAATCTCACGCTCACACTTGTGCACTTCGCGGCCAGACTTCGCTTGCTCGGTCTTAGCAGCCTCCAGGCGGTCCTGGTACTTCTGCACATTGCGACGGAACTCCTTCAACTCAGCCTGGTGTTTCTGCATCTCGCTTGTGCTCTCCTCAATCGTCCGTTGGAAGTGGAAGAGTTTCCACAACACATGAGTCACAATGGCCTGGTCCTTCTCGTCGCGTGTCCGCTCGAATTTGTCGAGCTCCTCCTTTTGCTGTTGGTATTGCTTGATCTCGCCATTGATACCGCGACGCTGTTGGAGCTTATATCCCTGCTCCTCGTCTGCCTTTTCCTTCTCTGCCTTTAGCCTCTCGTACTCGGCCTTGTGCTCCAGCGAACCGCTGATCTGCTCAATCAGACGCGTGAGGTCTTTGGGGGATTGGGAGGCAACCTGCTCGATGTCACCCTGGAAGACAAGGAAGTTGCGGGCCTTGATAAGGATGTTCTCGGCTTCCAGTGATTCATTGTACATTTTAGACGTCACGGGACGGTTGTTGATGCGATATTCGGATGTTCCCGCTGCAGTGATGCTGCGCTTCCACCTCTGCTCCTCGCCGGCGTCGTCCTCAAACACGGCCATGACCCACGCGGTCTGTGGGTCTGATCGTGCTTGTTGGGTACTAGTCTGGGTCTCTTCGTCTGACGCGCCGCCTTCAGCATCATCAGCATCAGGCGCATCTTCGGTTGCGGTGCCATCGGCGGCGATTTTGGCTTGTTTGAGTACCCGCCCACGATAGACCAGGTCCTTGAGATGGGTGGACCGCAGATGCGAAGATTTGATGCCCAGCACAAAGGAGATGGCGTCCATGGAATTACTCTTCCCCGATCCATTGGGCCCGATGATGGATGTGAAGTGCGAATCGCCGAATTGCATGACATGATGGCCTTTGTATGACTTGAAGTTGAACAACTCCAGCGCGAGCAGCTTGCCCATGATCGCGTCCGCGCAGCCTCGCTGGCGACGGGGATGGAAATAATGGAGGTGAAGTGTTGTAGGTCGACTAGAATGTGGATGGCGTGTCGCGWGAATGGATTGTTTCTGGCGGGGTGACGACGCGTTCCTGACGCGAGATTTGTCTAGTCCCCCGTCCTCTACCTAGCTCGGACACACAACACCTCTACATCCATGTAAGGTACCTATGGATGGTTTCCTGACAACAAGGTAGTCAGGCAAAATGGACATGGACGTCGACGCCGCTTCCCGCTCGCCCTCGCCGGTTCAGCCGCCGCCGACACCCGCAGCGCCGGGCCCGCGTGCCTCTGCTCTTCAAAAGCTCTACGCCGATGCCGTCAATCACATCATCAAAACATGCYCGTACAGCAACTTTGCCTCCTGCTTTCCCACGCCAGCCAAGCAGGTGCCCGGCAGCGTCAAGCTCCTCCACGAGCAATTCACCGAAAAGCTGGGCGAGAGCATGCGGAAGGAGTTTGACAGCATCCTCGAGGAAAGGAATGTCGTGCCGTCGTTGAACGAATTGGACCGATTGATCGAGGATGCAAAGCGACGGAAAGCTTCTGCATCGGTTTCCGAGGGGCGGCCGATACCTGCACATACTCTGCCAGCGAAACAACTATACATCTCGCATTTGGCACCGACACTGCAGATGTACCAGCGGCAGATGGAGGCCAAGGAGGAGATTCTAGGAGAGGAGAACCAGGTGCTGATCGAGAAGATCTTGCAGCAAAGGAAAGATATCCAGAGTCTTGTGGATGGTTTGGAGGGTGTTGTAAAAGATTTGAATGGGAGTGTGGCTGCTATGAACCCCGAGGAGCTGGATGTGCTGAGGGAGGAGAATCGCGATGTTGATGAAGCGATGAGGTAGATTGTGTTGGATTGTTCTTGACTGTCTGAGCTCGGGACTGGTGTTTGGAGTTCTGCCACGGCCTATATTGCGAGAGATACCAGGGGATGAATTGACATGATTACCATTGTGGCGCATGAACGAATGGCATCGACGGCAAGTTGCAGTCGACAGGTCATATTGTGAGCCCAAACCGTATCGGCACCCAAGACACCCAAGAACCAAAGGGCGGTAAACTCGAAGGTTTTCGTCTTGTCTGTTGAGTTCGGAAACTTGACAACAACGACAAAACGATCGAGACGACACCAGCTGACACAAAGCGAGTTCCATCTGCAGAGGGCATCGATTTGTTGGTCGTAGCTGCCTGTGCGCGAGCTAAGTCATCGAATCATGGCAAGGCATCACGGCAAGCTTCATTTCCACCGTCATCTCCATGACGCCAATGGCAATTCCGCCCCCGAGGGAACAGCGTCCATCAGAAACAAGACATCGGGCGGATGAGTGCTGAACTCAGCACATGTATGCTCCTTCGCTTCATGCGTTCACGAATGAATCAAATGATTACAAGCCTTGGAACTAGCTGCTGCTCTACCACATGGAGATCCCACGGCTTGGAATCGATGCTCACGAAAGAAGAACAATCTATAAGATCCACAATCTGATAGTTCCCAACAAGATCGACCAATTTCGAAGATTAATCTGCAGCAGCAGATTCATCTACACATATTGCGAGCTTGTGACGCCTGCCATCAGGCCAAGTCAACTCCATGGGGTGGGTTCAAGGGTCTTGGTGACTTTGTGTCGCGTCACACGGCACCTGTCCAAGACCCATTTCCCAAGACGATTTCCATCCGATTACCCTGGCGGCATGAGTCTGACGACTTGCCAGCCCGATTCTCCAAGATTTGGCACAGATAGGGGGTCTGGGATTGAACTCCAAACTTGGCTTCTGCTCGAGCGTACCCTATATGATGAATTGTCCCATCCAGACTCTGATCTTGTGGAAAACCTCATGGCAGATGGATATAGCGAGCGCGGTCGGATGTCGTAGTAAAGCGTTGGCTGCTTCAGATTTCTTGCAGCGGGTGTTTTAGCAATCCCCTTGCATTCACTCACCACGCACCCACCGTTCTGCTCCTTTGAAGGAATTCTCACCGTGCCATAATTTCTCGCCCTACTCTGTGAACCGACCTTGGACGTGACGCAAAAGAACGACATTTTTGCAAGCATAGTAGGCTGAAAATACAAAGTGAGTGAATTCACTCCAGTCTTGGCGTTACGGCTGGGATTAGAGCGTGTCGACCGCGCAGTCGATATTTTGACTACTACTGTGCCATACAACGGTCGCCTGCTCGTGTTATACAGCGTCTCGCTGCGTCGGAGTTGCAACTCACCCAAAGGCAGCCTCGTGACCTTATAGGTTCATGCCCTTGCTCTTGGACACCGCCCTAGGGACCGTTCATTGCTGGGAAGATTCATAGTCTACTCACTACTATACAGACTAATTGTACATACAGTTTTCGACAAGCAGCCAAAGTTGGTCGAGTAGCTCTCGCCTCTCTTCCCCTGTCTTGGTGCAAACCGAGGGGGAAACCTCAATCGATCGAATCGTTGGTACTCTTCATGTCTGTGTCGATGTGCGTCTCTTTATCGCACTTCGATTCTTTATCGCTCTGCGTCTCTTTATCGCTCTGCGAATCTGTATCGCTCTTCGTCCTGTTGTCGCCACCCATCTCGATATCGCCCATCGATCTATTGTCGCCTCTCATCTCTTTCTGCGCGGCTGTGATTTTGGCGAAACTGGGAGGGTCGCGATCGTATAGAAACGCACAGAGAATGAGGCAGATCGCTGCGAGGAAAGCACATACCCCGACTTGGAACTTGAAGGCATCCGAGAAGGCTATCGACACTGCCTCGATTTGTTCGAGGGTGAAACCCTCCAGGTGCGTGAGTGATTTGCGCAGGGACGCAATCTGCTCACTTAAAAGGACATCGACGAGCCCTGACGCCAAGTGTCGGTTCTGGATGACGGTGGCCAAAGATAGACCAATGTTTCCACCAATGATGTGGCTTTGAGCCAAGAGTCCTTGTGCTGAAGCTGAAAGGGACAGAGAACCGTCAGCGAGATCAACGTTCGCAGGCCATGACTGACTTACCCGTGTCTTCAAGACTGGCATAGATTTTGATGTACAGAGTTCCTGTTGCCCAAATGAGGCCGACGCCAAAGCCAAGGAGTACTTGGAATCCATAGAGGCGATCGACGATTGAGCGATTGTAGTTGATGCTGTATATGAGACCTGTACCTAGGAGCGTAAAGGCACATCCCATGGTCATCGCGTGAAGGGTAAGATTGCGTTTGCTGGAAAGGGCAGCTCCCAGTCCTGAGCCTGCACATGGAGTCAGTGCCGTTCGGTCGCTCTATGAAATCTTTCTCACCAAGTGCACAGGCTCCAGATAGAGGCAATAGGCTTATTCCAGCACCTTGTGGACTCTTCCCATTGACGATTTGGAAACGCTCGGGTAGCTCCACAAGAATGGTGTAGAATAGGTAACCCACGAGTGTAGATATCCTGCGGTCAAGGTCAGCGCTTTGTTTTTCGCATGCATCTATCTGGTGGAAGGGCATACAAGAGATTGACCACGATGATTCTATGTTTCATGATCCTGGCATGGAATATTGGCGACACACGATGCGGACCGGGCTTCGAGAGGTGCCATATCCAAGCTGTCAGCGCCATGGCAGCAAGCCCGGCCAAACACAGACATGCAACGATCAGGCCTGAATTCCAGCGATAAGTTCCTGCGCCCGCCTCTTGAAGCGCGAACACAAGTAGCACAGCGGTAGCCATGAACAAAAGACAGCCGACGAGATCAAGTCGTTTCCATGCGATACGTCCAGCAGGCAACGGCGTGTGAGGCCATGAGATCATAATCAATGCGATTGCGACCACGCAGCAAGGCACATTGAATAGGAAGATCCATCTCCAGGAAGCATTCGTGGTGATCACGCCTCCCATAGTAGGACCGCTGTACAAAGTCTTGTTAGATTGCAATGTCAAATTGGAAAGCGATTAACTGACAGTACTGCCGATGTAGCGAAGACTACTCCCATTGTAGCTGCCATGAGCGGAAATTTCTCCGTGGGTGTGACCTCCAGCAGACTGACGATTGGTAGCGAGTAGAGTSCAGCTCCACCGATACCCTGGAGTGCGCGGAACACAATGACTTGATCGAGAGACTGGCTGAGACCGGCTCCTAAGGATGACCCCATGAGGATGACCAGAGCCTACTAAACATCAGCGGGCGTTCCTGCATTCCTATGAAGACCTACGATGACTGTGGTCCACTTCCTTCCGATGAAATCGCTAATATGTGTGAATATGAGTGCGAAGCCTGAGATCATGTAAGCTGGGCCTCATGCCTTTCGGTACGAGTAGCGAAATAACAACATACCAGCATATGTCAAAAAGTACGCCAGCACAATCGATTGCAGTCTCCCGAAGTCTTGAAACTCATCGCCAATGGTTACGAGTGCCGTGGCCACAATCGATGAGTCCATGTTGCTTAGTATCAKTGCCAATGACAGACTGCAATTTCGTCGTGAGCGAGATGCGATATATGCACAGTCAATGTCCTACCTTAGCTGTACAGRGTACAGTCTCCATCCATGAAGCTGGCCAGCAGGAGGCCTACTTGTTGCGAGTACAGGTTTGGCTTGTCGTTCTGTGTCAGAGGTGGCATTTTCCTTGGGCGTTGATGGAATCATTGTTATTCTAGTCGGAGACCACGAATAGACGACCGCTCGACTCTCAAAGTTGGACTGGAATCCTGTCATAGGAAGACATCGACATTGGATATACAAGCCAAATATTACGTACCGCAAGTACCGTGATCCCTTGTCAAGAGTCTTCGAGCACTCCAAATATGGCCTGTGTCGAATCGTCTAGTAGACTGGAGGTATGTTTCCTAGGCTCCAAGCCAGGTCCGTGGAAAGGCAACATCGTGCAGGCACGCATGACCACCCTGCTAGCAACATGGGTCGAAGAGCTGCCAAACAGGTTCTCGCGGGTGATTTTGCCGATCCAATGGAAGATCGCGGGAGGTCTGATCAAGGTCTTGCGTTTTAACAATAGATATAGCCGGTAAATTGCACTCTCAAAGTGCCGGGTCCAGCATGATCCATCATCCATGCCAGAACGATTGGGTGTAGTAGACAACCTAAATTTTGGCAGATCAATGCTATTGCTTACCTCGTCATCCCGTAGACTCTATACCTAGGGATAGTAAACAAACCCACGGCCAGGGCGCGGTTGAGGTCTTGGGACTCGAGGAAGTGCCCACGTCCCTCGTCGATGCTTACGTCAATTTTTCTTCTTCCACAAGCAGGGGTGTCCCTCTATGTGTGGTATACCATCATAGCGATTGAGGACAGGAAGCGGTATGCCCGCCACTTGAACACTGACTGTGACGTAGGCTAGGAGGAAGTCGGCAATCTTACCTGGGATGGCAGAGAACGGTCCCTCTCGTTTCTCTCTCGCGATCCGGGCATCAGATCGATGACAATACTGATCCCCAACGACTTCCCCAATGCACGACTTCCTCCTGGCCCAGCTTGGCAGTTCTCCAGGCACCCCTTGACACGGACGGGTCTGACATCTGCCGACGCACTACTGTCGGCCGAGATACATTCCATGTAAGGCGTTGGCCTGAGCGTCAAATCAGTGGCCATTACGTCGTTCGATGAAGCCTTTGTCAGTGTCGTCGACCGTCACGAAGATTGTCGACCGTCGTGAAGATTGTGCGCCGCTGATTGTTCTGAGCGACGCCATCGAGGTATCTCGACGTAGCCGCGTCAACAAGGCGTAGATTCTGGCTGGTGCCAAGGAGTTTGGGCCGATAAGGTCCGTGGCGGTTGGGAGCATCTGAGACGCTGTTGAATTCTTTCTCGCTGGGATAAGGAAAGGCAGCCGCTGATAATGAGCCCGCGGGCATGGAAAGTTTGGGTTGAGTTTGCATCTCCAAGGCACATGAAATTTCGATTTACAAATGGACCTTAGTGGAGCAGATATTATTGGACGCAAGAGGCATGATGAGGCACCTTGTAGACTGTAAGGTAGTATATCACTTTCCAGGTTCCAACGGGGATCCAGGCAGTTGCGCGCCAGAGGCGGGGGCGGACGCTTGACGGGGATATTTCAGCCAATGCCCTCGTCTTCCGACGAGTCCACCTTGGCCCTCTCCTCCTCTTGAGGTTATGGTCGAATCTAGCGCAAAAGAAAGACCGTTAAGCTTTGTGGGTGAGTTTCCGGAGGAAACCTAAGAGTCGGGTAAGGTGGAGAGCCACGCGCCCACGGAAATCTCCGCTGGAGAAGCAAGGCAAGGATACCCCTCGCAATGGCCGGATAAGGGAAATGCTTTCATCATCGTGGACACCTAGATAGGAATAACTGTGGGCATAATGACGCGTGCCGTAGCTGATGGTGGTTCGTGGAAGGAAGGTACCTTAGCACGCATTCGGAACCTGAAGGAATCGAGGACCATGCATGCATTCGAGAGGCACTGAGATTGGTGTTGCCGGGAAGTTCCCACAACATCCGATGTCTGGTATAGACAAGCCCTCGTCCACCTGGAGTAAGGTATAGTAAGGTACCTTCCTTGGTCTTGGCGAGATTTCCGCGCTAGGGCGTAGGGTAGTGGCTTGGCGATGGATGGTTCGAACTGTTGTGCATATGTGGGTCCACTGAGCTGATATGAAGCACACAGTAAAAGTAACTGATTGGCATGCATATGAAAACTCTGCATCTGAGATGCGGCTATATCGACAGAGCCTTAGTCATCTGTGGGTCACGTGCCAGATCCACAACACGAACTTCCAAGGGCCGATGAAACTGAACGTTGCCGCCCTACCTATAACAAGCAAAAATATTGTATCTTCTGCAACAACGACAGGACGACTACGGAGACATTATGCGATCAGACACTGGATCATTCGTGTTTAACTCTCCGCAAGGCTGCTGCTTTTTGTGCTCATAGCCACCTGTTCGTAAGCATTGTCGACGATTCACCCACCACAAGGAGACACAATCTTCAATWTCGGCGGCCCTTGTTCGGAGAGTCTTCCTGGTTCAACGAAACACTCATACTCTCGCCACCTCTCCTTGTAATACTCTCGCCACCTCTGCTTACAAGGAACATTTTCATTTACAAGGCCACAATACAAAGTTTGAGGAAGCCCGCCGACTGGATATTCCTGTATGCGGGAGACTCATTGTATTACCACGGTCCCTGGAGCTTTCTCACGCCATGTCCAACCCAATGCCAGCCGCTTGGACACCGAGACACTTTTGATGACATCTTCATCTCTACCGCGGAAAGCACCCCTGAGGGGAGCGATGGCCATCCATCTGGTTCGAGCGCTAGGACTAAATCGAGCGACGACATGGCCTCGGGCATGCATCTTGAGGGATAACAAGTGTCCGTCTGGTAGAAATGAGATCAGGTCTTTTTCTTCATGTCCACCGCCGTCTTCTCTCTGTTCGCCTGATTTCTTAAATCTTCGCTAGCGTTGCTCAGTCGCAGCCATGTTGTTCCTCAGCTTACGTTCGCTTCTGCCATTCACTTCACTTCTTTCCGCCATTACAGCCTCGCCATTCGATCAATTGATCTAACGCGACGATAACAACACTGCGGCACCACCCTACTCCCTTCCCAACCACTACAAAGACTTAGCACAGCGAGCAGCAGCAGTACAGAGACAGCGTGACGGGTTCCAGTATGGTCCAGCAGTAGCCGCCGGGCCCTACAGTGCCACTGGGCCACTAGGCGAGGCGAGAAACGCGGCCGACACGGCCATTATCAAGGCAGAACTCGCAAGCCAGCTGGACTATGTGAAGAGTGATTACACCATAGCAAACGCCACCGAGGCTCAATACAACAATCTCACGACTCTCGATGACTACACCAGACTATACGACAGCGAATGGTTGAGTAGCTCGGGTGGAGAGGGCCCGGCGCTCGGCCTACTCACCAACTACACGCAAGATCTCCTCTTCTCCATATGGGGCGACTGTCTTTCAACCCCTACGCCCTTCGAAGACTCACCGCAGACGACTCGATCCCGTTCGAAGTCCCGCCGACGATTGTCACCGCTCAAACCGGTCTCACAGCGGACCAACTGCTGCAATCGGGACGTCTGTTCTACGTCGATCACCGAAATCAATCCCGCCTACCGCGAAAGTCACAGTATTCCGCCAACTCCGATGCGCTCTTCTACATCTGTCCTCTCAGCGGTGACTTCCTTCCCCTAGCCATCCGGACCAATTTTGGGAACAATTTGATTTAGACGCCAGCCGACGCTCCCGATGATTGGTTACTGGCGAAGATGATGTTCAACGTCAACGACTTTTTCATGGGGCAATGGGATCACTTCGCCCGAACTCATTACGTCGTCGAAGCCATCGGTCTAGCTGCACAGCGGACACTGAGCGCAGAGCACCCTTTGTCGGGCCTCTTGAACAGATGTAAGTCTAACGGCTGACCCCTTATCCTCCCACAACACTGACTCTTGTCAATAGTCTTGCATGCAACATTCGGTTTCCGCCCAATCGGTGTTGCCACCCTCACCAGTCCCGGTCTTGCGGTCGATCTATACTTTGGTTTATCTGGAGAGGCTGCAGCAGAATTTTCCAACACGACTTACTTTAATGGCTACGCAGGTGCTGTACAGGCGAACTATTTCTACAACAACCTTCGAAGCCGAGGTCTGATTGACAGCTCCGATGGTCCAGAGCTGAAGCACTTCCCATTCTATGAAGATGCAATGCCGATCTACGACGCCATCCGAGCCTTCACGGGCGTCTACTGCGAGTCCTACTACGACTCTCCTGACGCCATCGCCAACGACGTCGAGCTACAGGCATGGATGGTCGAGGCTGTCGCAGCACAAGTTATCGACTTTCCGACTGCAGAGACCCTTCGCACAGTGTCTGACCTCGCTGACTTGATGGCGCACATTGCCCAAACCGTCACCATCGCACACCATTCCGTCAATCTCAACACACTCCTCACTGGTTCAGGTGTCCTGCCCTTCCACCCGATCGCACTCTTCAAACAGGTCCCCGAGGCAAAAGGCGTGAAAGATCTAACCTCCTATCTCCCAAATGTCGAACAAGCGCTCGACGTCATCAACTTCCACGCCAAATTCGCGAGGCCGAAGCTCGTAGGGACGAATCGAACCTTGGTACACCTGTTTGACAGCGAGGAGTTGCTGGAGAGGAGTCATCCGGTGGTACGGGAGGCAAATCAAGCCTACATGTCAGCTATGCGTGCGCGTAGCCAAGTCGTTGGTGAGAGGAAGTTTGGACCAGATGGACTGWGTCAAGGTATGCCATTCGTGTGGAGGGCTTTGGATCCTGATGTTATGCCTTGGAATGTGGCGATCTAGACTGTGTCGTGTACGTCTTCATCCTCTTTCTTATAATATAGAATAATCAACCTTCATGTACTATGATTCCACACTCCCTTCGTCTCACATATCCATGGCGCCGCATGAACGTTTAGCCTGAACGATGGCGGTCTTCTTCCCCACTCGCCTCGCCTCGCCCTATCTCGCTCGGCAATCAATGTCCCGGATTGAATACCACAGGGCGCGTCCCAATGAAAAAAAAAAGGTACAGCGTACGGCACGAGCCCCTTCAGTAAGTGGAAATAATTCGTCGGAACACTCTCATTATTCATTCTTGATACGAAACAACATTTTCCGGAATGGACGGGACACTGCTCAGCGTCGATGACATCTCCAAGCACAACACGCCCGAGGATTGCTGGATCGTGGTCGATGGAAAGGTCTGGGACATGACCGAGTTCGCCCCAAATCATCCAGGAGCTCCACACGGTAGGGGAAACATCGTCTCTTTGGAAGGAAAGGAAAAGAACAGAAAAAAGGCGTGCATCTAACGCGAGGGAATAGTCATCTGGCAACACGCCGGCCGCGACGCGTCAACCTCGTACAACGCCATTCACGCGCCTTCCTTGCTCGTCAAAAACCTCCCACCTTCCAAATTGAAAGGAATCGTCGACAAGGCAACCATCACCGCTGAATGGCAGCGTCCGCCTCCCCAGAGCACACCCGACCTCCAACGGAACGWGAAGCCTCCGCTCTCTTCCGTCATCAACGCCAAGGATTTCGAGGACATTGCTCAACGTACCGTCAGCAAAAAGACATGGGCCTTTTACTCCTCGGCAGATACGGACTGTCTCACTCGCGAACGTAACAAGGAGTACTTTGGCCGCATATGGTTTCGTCCACGCCTGCTACGAGATGTGCGGAACGTCTCCACTTCGACCAAGATCTTGGATCATGATGCAGACCTGCCTATTTTCGTGGCGCCGACGTCCATGGTGAAGATGATGACACCAGATGGCGAAAAGGCCATTGCGAGAGGGTGTGTGTCGGCGAGGGTGCCGCAAGGAATTTCCACCGAAGCGAGCTACCCTGTCGAAGAGATTGTCGAGTCCGTTTCCCCAACCCGACACCCTTTCTTCTTCCAGCTTTATGTACACAAAGATCGCCAAAAGTCAGAGGAGCTCTTGAAGCACGTCCGCTCACTGGGAATCGATACGCTCCTGGTGACTGTAGACGGTCCAGTGCCAGGTAAGCGGGAGGCGGATGAGAGAGTCAGTGTGGACCACAGTATGAGCAATCCTATGTCTGGTAAGACAGTTTCAAACGACAGTCGTGGAGGCGGCATTGGGCGGCTGTTGAGTGGTTACATCGCATCTGACTTTACGTGGAACGAGTTCACCTGGCTGCGGCAGCATTGGGATGGCAAAATTGTCTGCAAAGGCATCCAAAGCTGGCAAGACGCCAAAATGTGCGCAGATGCTGGGCTTGATGGCGTTCTGCTGTCAAATCATGGCGGGAGAAACTTGGACACGTACGTTATTACATCAATCTACCTTGTGGATCCAACTAACTGCTTCGCAGATCTCCTCCCAGTATCATGACCCTGCTCGAATGCCWGATGAACTGTCCTTCCATTTTCTCTCAGCTGGAGGTGCTCGTGGACTCGGGCATCCGTCGTGGCGCCGATGTTCTCAAGTGTCTGTGTTTAGGGGCCACTGCAGTCGGGCTTGGGAGACCGTTCCTCTTCGCAGCAAATTATGGTCACGAAGGCGTGGAACATCTCATTGAGATCATCAAGACAGAGCTTGAGACTGCCATGGCTTTGGTAGGTATCACTGATCTCAAGCAATGTGAGCCTGGCTTAGTCAGTACATTGGACTTGGACCATCTGGTCTCCAGAGGAGAAGGTCATCCCTATGCCATCGGTAGGAGAATGGATTCTTTTCGGTCAAGACTGTAGTCCGAGACTGCAGACTTTTGCGTGGCGTTCCCCACAACGTGAGTTCAAGCTTTGGTTCAGCCAATCCTTTGGACCCTGTCGCTGTGGCTGTGGAGTCTCGCTAGGTATGAATTGCTGCTGCCTGGCGTCGACTCATAAGCAGTCATACGATACGATCCAATCTTTGGACTTGACCAATTTACTCGACCACGATACAATAGAGCAGCAAGTAATCGCGGTCTATTCCTTTTACAAACCATGGCATGTGCTCTCAGATTAAATCTGCAGGCGCCTCAGCCGCCCTCGTCTGAAGAGACAGACGCAGATCCTACCCGTACACTCGATTGGCTGTCTGATCGCATCACTGAAATCTACTCACTCCGGACACTGGAGCATGATAACGACGATACTACACCGTCAACGACAGCAGTAAACCTAAGAAGGACTGCCTATCTAGACATTTACAATGCTGTGCACAGCTATTGCATTGCAACCCTACACACGGCGACGAGTCGCGGGGCCAATCTAAATGGAGAAGACCTATACCGCAGTTTGGAGCGAGCCATTAGAGGACATTGCCAAGAGTGTCTGGTTCGCATCAATGCTGCTCCCGAAGCTCTCCCAGAGTACGTGGAGCGATGGACCCATTTCCTCGATCTGAGTCAAAGTGTAGCGCGCTTGTTTCGGTTTCTGGGGAGGCATTGGGTCCGGCGAGAAGTGAGCGAGAAACGAGAGGGTGTCTATGAACTTCATGACCTTCATATGGTTATGTGGAGAGAATGTGTCCTTGGTGTTGGATCTGAGAGGATTTTGGAAGATATGTTGCGATTGCAGCGAGAGGATGCAGTGCTGTTGCCGGACGATCGCAAGAAGGTGCTTGRGGAGGGCATGGCTTCGCTGAGCGAAGTTGGCCTTGGGATATCCGATGGACGCTTGGTGCTATCAAGCGAATGAGTGGCGCTGAAGAATCATGCTCGAGTTGAGGAGTCTGAAATGATGTCTACCTCGTCTTTTGCAGTGCTCCTGTCACAGTAGCAGCGACAAGCTCCTACAGGAGAGATATCCATATCATTGGCCAGCCTCATGCAGAAAGTTCACGTACGCTCCACCTTTAGAGAGATGCTCAGACATCGGCGAGTAAGAGGCCAAGGACAAAGTAAGTCACTACATCAACCCTAACCCTACAACTGACCATGCGATATGAATGATCGCCTGGACGAGGAACTCGGGGCGTATATGCCCGCATAGTTCCACTTTGAAATGAGGTGGCATGTGTGTGGTAACGTTACTATAATCAACCCTGCAACAACGTCCTGAGCGAGCGAGCGAGTAACACCAGGTTCGAACAGACCGTTGATAATCACCACGCGGGAATACCTCACCAGTGAAGCGATTCGCAAAGGGATCCCGCGGCCCGCAACCATGTTCACAACCACGTAACATCTCCGTCGAAGCATTTCTTTCTGCCAATAAAAAAGTGAATACTGAGTGGGAAGACCCCAACAAGAGTCATGATTGAAGTTAAAGGATGTCTTTCTGCTGAGGTTCAACAAAGCATCGAGATGAAACATGTTTCGACGACTCGAACGCATGCCGAGCTATACGATCGACTGCAAAGACAGACGCTCGAATGCGAGACGTTGGAAATATGATGAAAGGCGTAGCAAGATCGGCAGCCTCACGACTCGACAGGCTTTCTGGAGGACGTTTCACGTCAAAACGCAGTAGTGCAACATATTTATTGTACAGACCATCCGGCACGAACACATCTTCACGCATTTTCTTCCCATTCCATTCAGCATCCAACCCGCATACCTTGAAAAAGCCWTCCCCCCAAAAAAACCAGCCATCAAATCAAATCAACCATGCAGTTCATCAACTACCTCCTCTTCTGCCTCCCAGCAGTAGCACTCGCCATGCCACTTCCACAACTCATCGGTGGCGCCAAATGTCCACCCCAGAACACGGAGAACAAGGGTTCTGGACTCCTCGGGAATGGCGTTAATGTCTCGCTTCTTTCCCCCAAATTTCCGTCTTTCAATGGTCTGGTCGGTGGTAAGTTTTCATTCATGTGGAGGATGCTTCAGGAAGAATGGGATCACATGCTAATTTTACAATGATTAGGCTGTGGAAACTAGGGGGAATGACTTTCTCAAGGTGGTTGTGCAGTTGGGGTGGAAAGGGGAATGTCTCTGGATTCCGGGTGAACGGGCCTGGTGCCTGAGGCTGGAATTGTGGAAGATGTTGTGCTGTCATGCAGTTCGCGGAATAGCAAGAAATTTGATGGAATTATGATCCAGATGACCAAGAGCACCTTTGAATTTGTGCAAGCACTTACAAAAGTGAGGCAGAGCGATTGCAACAGCGTCGCAGCGACTATTCCCAATGGAGTAAGGAGAGTAGGTTCATAGGTGAACGTCCTTCCCCAATTGACAGCCTGGCGCTACCAAATCATCTGTGGAACCGGGTCCCTAAGCGCTCCCCCCTCCTTTGGGAGCATTTCTSACAGATTGATAGCCTGGAGCTGGCCAGTTCTGTGGGCGTCGARTAGCCATAGTGTAGCGCTGTCCAGGGCCCACAAACTCGATGTGCTGTCGACATCAGGTCCATTCGATGTGTTGTCGACAAACACATACTGTGCGACAGCCTGCAGCTCACCCGGTTAATACCCCTGCAGGTGGATCTTGTACTCCTCAACGCGACTACCGACCCTCGAACATTACAGTGACTGTATTGCCWTCCTCTTCATCACTACCGCTAGGACCTTCATTGCGCGAACCAAGCCATCATGCGCGAAAGCAAGGCAAAATGCGAAATATTCTTCCCACCTGCAGGATGTCACGACTTCCCCTGTCCCGACTGTCATGGCCAATACGTGCACCCTGATATTCAGCGCCTCGGAAAGCAACAGTACGCTGGACAGCTGACAGACGACGAAGCCAAAGCCGAGCTCGATGAAGTCCTGCATGGTATCAAGGAGATTCGTGAAAGCCTCAAGACGGGCTTGGACCTATACGGCGATCTCATTCTCGCAAAGTGGACCAAGAAGACTGTGGCGAAACGCGTCCTGTCACTCAAATCAACAACGCTTCTCCGCGATGTGCCGGAAAAGCTCGATGCCGCCACTGCTGCATCGACAGACAAATTCTTGGCTTTCGAAGGCTACATTTGGCCCTACGCGAGATGGCTGAGGATCAAGTCCTTCTCTGAAGATCGCATGCGTCTGCTCACACTGTTGCACCTGAGGACTTCGCTTCCTGCTTCGGAATTCGCAATCATGGATTCGCGGGAGCTCCGAGTAGTGTTCGCAGCCAAGCCTCGCAATATAAAGGTTGAGCTTTTCTACAACAAGCACTGCGTCAGTCTTTTGGGCGAAAATTACGGGGATCTGGTCGAGTACGATTCTGCGCTCTCGCATTCCTGGGCGATTGCTGGCTTCCCCAGAGCACTCATGCTGCTTCGCACTCAGCACATCATCATGAGCTTCCTGGCGGAGATGATGCTGGATCTCATCCATGAGAATGGACTCGAAGGAAACAAGAAATGGTCGGAAATGGTCGCATCGGGCTTCAGGAGATCCGGCAGTGAGGCTTTGTGGAGCTCCTACACTACGCCAGCCTTTGCACTGCCCAAGCACTTTGAACCAAGATTACTGCTCGATATGGCTCAAAGCAGACTTCGTCTTCTCCTCGACGAGTTTTGGCTCATGCAGACCGATGCCGCATACATGCATCTTGTTATCCGTGTGCGAAAGGCAAGTATGGCCTTTGACGAGGGTGTCTCACAAGAAGTCCGTTGGACGCAGCTGGCGACCGGTTTCGTGCAAGAGATGTATCAGCGTCTCCAATTTTGGTACATCATTGTGCGGGAATGCCAGGCTGTTTGTCGCGCCTATGATGACAACCCTGTGCAGAGAGGTGGTATCCAGGGCCATGAGGCGGAGAAGACGATGTGTGTCATCATCGACGATCTACAAGGTCGAATGCGCCTGCTGAGCCATATGTTGGATCCGTTGCTACCGACCATGAGACTATTGAAATCGCGCTTCGTGACCTACAGCAAGGGCGAAGAAAACGTCGGCCATCGCGAGAAGCCTGCAACAGACCCCACTGATAATGCAGAGCGCATGTCCAGAGCGATCCAGAAGTTTCAGGAGAATGTGCAAGCGCAGCCTGGGGAAGCCATCGTGGCCTGGGCGTTTGATCTGCTCGAGCGAGAAATCGTTCGCCAGGGTCAGAGCTATGATGCCGATGAGCGACTTTTCGGATACCTCACCGACATTGCAACCATGGACGAGATGTTGGGAATGTGCTACCACAACCAACACGGCCACACAAGCCGCAGCATTCCGACAGACAACACACCCCAGCAGGAGCAGGCATATCAAGTCCAGAGATGGACCAARGGTTCCATTAAATGCCGGGAAAATTGGACGAAGGGCCTAGGACACATGATGAAGTCTTTCCACGACTCGCCTTGGCCGAAAGGGCGGAAAGATGTCGGCTGGTGGGAGAAAGCAAGCCGATCCCGCGCCAAGCTCGCCATGTTCTGGCAATTCTTCCGCGACGAGCTGAAATTTGGCCAGGATGCCTCCGAGATGGATCCAAAGCGGAGCGCGCTGAAGTTGATAGTGTTTGACACTGAGCCTGAATACCTAGCCGAGCTGCAGCGGGAGAAGGAGCTCTGCGAGTCAAATAGTAGAACTAGCGCGCAGAGATCTCCTCTCCACCCAGCAGCGGCGAGCCATATCCCGCAGACTGTATGGGGTAGTAGCTCGGATGAGCAAGGCATTGTTCGGCACAAGAAGACCAAAGCTAAAGCGCTTCGACAAGCTCCGTTGGAAGTTCAGGACCAAACTGATGAGAGCAGCACCCCAGCGACATCGTCAGAAGATACCGACTCCGCTGATGACATGCCGATTCCAGTCAAACAGGACAGTCTCAGTGTCTTTGGTAAGATGTATCCAGTCGATGGCATCGCGTCTGGCAGTGTCCGCTGGCAGCAATTTGCGCAGGCCATGGTGGATGCTGGATGCATTGCTACGGAGAGCGCTGGTTCTGCTGTCTTGTTCGCAACAGAGAATGGGAGCATCTCCGTTCATAAGAGGCACCCGGACCCGACTGTCGATCCCATTATGCTGCAGGCCATTGGGAAGAGGGCCAAGAAATGGCTGGGATGGCGTGGGGAGCGATTTGTGCTGAGGGCAAAGGGCGTGTCAAACAAAGAATGAAGCAAATGTTTGTGGGTAGATGATCCTTTTCGTCATTGAATACAATGTATCATATCATGACCAAGACCCAGATTGACGACGAGTAAAGTCTGAAAGRGAAGGGAACGAGTGAGGTAKTTTTGTCATCGTCATGTGTATGGACGACCGCTTTTAAGTCCGAGCTAGCTCCAGAACTTCCATCAAGGCCGACTTCTTCAATTCCCTCTTGCCTCCAACCCACCAGCCCAAGAAGATGGGCGCTCGACTCTCCCAACCGCGTGGTCCGGGCGGGACGACCGAGTCTTCTGTGCCGACGAGAGCCTCACCGCCGCCATCGCCCAAACGACCCTTTCCCCGCCAAATTAACCGTCGAACCATCATAGCTCCTGCTGCAGCGGCCACCATGGCATTGCTCTTGTTCGTGTATACCAGAACCAGCATTCGTGCGGCCAAGGCAAATGCACAGCGTCATAGAGATGTTGACAGCGGCGGGGAGGGTTTGAGTCTTGTCAACGAGCACCGGAGACGGCATGGCCTGGCCAAGAAGATCGATGGCGATGGAGGCGGCACGGTCGTCGAGCTCGGGCGGGAGATACTGGGTGGTGCGAGGAAAGGTGGTGGTGGTAGTGGTGCTGCGGATGATCAAACAAATCGGACTGAGGAGGAGGAAAGGGCAAAGGTGTTGAAGATGAGAATGGCGAGGAAGGGCGGTGACGATGCTGCGAAGTGAAGGAGTAGGCAGCATTGGCGAAGAGAAAGAGTAAGGTAGGCAGCAGTAAAGGTGGCGCACATGCTGCTCACTTACCTTGTCGACTTCACTTGAGCCTCGTCCATGTGCGTTGATGTCGGATCCACCTCGAGTACCTTTCTTCTTAACAATTGCTTCGTGTTGCCAACACCAACACCAGCACCACACAACCGCACGACACTCAACGCACAACTCACAACGCACAACATACTCCCCAATCTGGACATCGCATACACATCGCGGCGACCTCGCCATACATAATCGCAACTCCAAACTCTCCGAGACCATGGTCCAATATCGAAGCCATCCCTCGAGCCTTGCGACATTACGCTCGTCACGCAGTGATTACTGGAAGGTCTGGTCACCAGCTCACTTCGAGGATGACAGGATCCCTTCAAAAGAGCTCAAGCTTCAGATCGATGCGCGCAGCGGTGGCGGCCGACAATATACCTCTGGCACGAGTCGCTCAAGGTTACGCATCCTCGCATACCGCGCTCAACGGCGACTACGATGCTATGATGGAGACCCAAAGAACTTGTTGCGAATCTTCTGCCGCCAGCGTGGACTGCCGATTGCCCTCCAGAAGGCCCACAAACTTGAACTAATCAAGGCCCTCGAGACCGCCGACGAGTTGGCCACCTTTGATCGCTTCCTCGATCTTCCAGCTGAGTTAAGACTTCTCGTATACGGCTTTCACTTCGACGATTTCGAAATGCGAGCGAATTGCACCGACAAAATCTTGTCCCACCGGGAACTCACATACCCAGCTACCCCAGCTATCGCTCAGGTCTGCTCGCTCATCCGTCGCGAGAGTCTTCCATGCTTCTACCAGACCACAAGCTTTGTTTTCATCGCCTTGACTCGCCCGAAGAAATTGAATGTGCCTCCAAAGCCGCGTGCTTCAGCGGGAGTTCGGTTCCTCAAGACCTTGCCAGCAGAAACAATCGCCATGATTCGACACATTACTTTTCGAGGATACTTCTCGTCAGCAATCCATGGCACTGTTGGAGAGAAGACGGAGATGACCATTGACATGGGTATCGGCAAGATAAATCCGAAGGTGGTCGCATACCAACGACCGAAGAAGGGGCACGGCCGAGTCCGCCCAGGCAAGGCTAAGATTGAGCGCAAGCTTGAGCGCCGTGCGCATCGTTTCGTTAGAAGTATGACTGGCAGACCCAACGACCAAAGACTACTCAAGAGCGACTTTAAAGCTATCAGCACACTCTACAAACAGTACGGGGGGAAAGTTTACAGGAAGTCATAGGTCGGCGAGGAGTAGAGCCGACAGTTTGAGGTTGAGGATCTTATTCCCTCGACGGCTCCTGTCTGGTGGCGCCAACAGTTCTGGAGCTGCTGGCACCCTTCCCATGGGAAAGAGCCATTTGTTCACGGACGGGAGAGCTGTTGAGAGGCGCGGCAACATTGGAGAATGCTCCATCTGGCGGCTTTGAGAAGAACGAAGTTACAGCCTCAGCATGTGCTTTCTCTTACGCGGGTTGAAACGACTATCATCATGATCGATGCGGTTTCCAGCAGGGTCTTGGACCTATGCCGCTCCTGCCAGCAGTATCAAGTACATCTCGGATTTTTCCCCATTTCCACAGTCTTCATTGCACCACCCACTGCTGACGTGACAACCCGAGGTCATGGCCATGAAAGCATCAAAAACCAAAGTGAACTTTTCAGACTTTTATTTTGGTCTAGTTATGTCGTAGTCATCATACATGAATTGCCTTTTCCACTCTCAAAGAGCCTTGAGGATAGCCTCCCCAATAGGCGAAGCACTGTTTGGGTTCTGGCCAGTGATGAGCTTGCCTCCCTTTCCGCTGCTCACAACCTTGGCGGCCCAAGGCTCATCCGCCTTGACGAACTTGCCGCCGTTCTTAGTGAGCTGCGTCTCAAGCATAAAAGGCATGACGCTGGAAAGCTGCACCTGGTCCTCCTCGGCGTTGGTGAAACCGGTCACCTCGTTACCGTTCACGAGGTAGCTTCCATCACTAAGCTTGACATTCGCAAGCGCGGCCGGTCCATGGCATACAGCGCTCACGACCTTTCCAGCCTCGTAAAATTCCTTGATCAATTGATGGGACTGAGAGTCGGTTGCGAGGTCGAACATGGGTCCGTGGCCTCCCACGTAGAAGATTGCGTCGAACTCGGAGGCTTTTCCGAGGTACTTGCTGAGGACTTCGGTGTTCTTCCAGAGAGACTCTTTCTCTGCGAGGAACTTCTTTGACTCGGGGTCCTCTTTGAACATCTCAACGGATGATGGGTCGAGAGGTGCTGCGCCTCCTTTGGGAGAAACGACAGTGATATCTGCCTTTCCCTCGAGCTTGTAGTATGGGTGGGCAAACTCGGGAAGGTACCAGCCAGTGGGCTTGCCTGTGTTGCCCATCTGGTCGTGGGAGCTGAGGACCTAGAGATTGTTGGTAAGTGAATTGGAGGACGCTAGCAGACGATACTTACGAAGAGAACTTTGGGTGCCATGTTTGCTGAGGAGTTTATTGATCCTTTTTTTGATAATAAATGGATAGTGATATTCGTTGTTTGTTGTTTGGATGATTGAGCGCTGTTCCAAAGCTTCCTATATAAGGTAGGCGCTCCAAACTCGGAGATATCTACGTCATCAATAGATCGCTTCTTTCGAAAGACTTCCATCATCCACAACAAGCTCTTCTGGAGCTTACCAAACATTTGCATGGGCTTTGCTGACATCAGAGCGGGCAGGCTCTGTTTTTTCTTGAGCTAACGTTGAGGGGCATCTACCTTAATAGGTAGGTAAGTTGTGTCTGTCCCAAGAATTTTACCTCCTGGAACATTCACCGACCGAGGTGCGATGACGAGATTGCTACCACTCACTCACTACCTTGATGTCCGCTCCCTCCATCTGCTTTCACACCATCTGTTCGACCGTGATGGACCTATGAAGAGCGTTAAAATCTTCACACTGTTCCTCTGCAGTGAGCAGTAGCATCTGACAGCCCAAGAGAGTGGAAGGAGTCAGCCAGCTGCCTATCTTACTCGACCTGCGACTCCGTCAGCGACAGGCTTTTCATTTTCATGGGCCATTCAATGAAGCATGTTCCAGAGTGCACGACATAACATCACGCATCTGCGACCTCGAAGTAGCGATCCCTGCCTGCCCTGAGGTAATCAAACGTCCCGTCAGCAAGCGTGGCATTATCAAGGCCTTTCAGTTCATTCCGCTGGAGTTGCAGCTGATTGTGATGTTTTCATTCGCTGTGCGATCGGCAAGGGCTCAAACATTCAACTTACCGCATTTGCTTGAGATCGCGAGGCGAGTCGTACGAATTGGTCCCAATGGCGGCAATATTGGAGTTGGAATGGCCCTTCACGGTGGCGTGCGACAGGTTCAGAGATGAAGTGGAGTGTATCCTCCTTTATAGTACGGCGTCTTTTTGCATTGAAAGGCAAGTTTGATGAACAAAGTTCCTTAACCATATTRCTTCATCCGCTTCGATGTGGTTTTCCACCACCATACGTGGTGTTCCCCATCCAGATGTGGAAGAAATAGACATAGAGACAGATTATCAGCGGTGTTTTCCAACATGGCTAAGAGCTTCAGTACTTCAAGCATCGGCACAAGAATAATGAGCATGGCATGAAGCCTCGGTGTAGCGTTTTGGACATCAAACGTGCTTCCAAAGATGATCATATATGATGATCGTATGTTAACACTACACGAATCCATAAAGCAAAGTCCCGATATTCCTCCCACCGATGCTATGGATTCAAATACCATCTACATAATACACAAATTCATCTATTGTCACTTCCAGCCAAATCTTTACAAAATTGCAACACCTTCCCCGGGCATACATCAAAGCCTACCTACACACAATAATCGTCTCACAAGGACACATAGTCCTAACTCTAAGGAATCTGACATCCAGTGTCTGGTATTTGCTACATGGAAGTCCGGTTAGAGTATACCGGTACAAGCACGTCAGCACACCACTTTCCTAGACGCCACGTCGTTTAACAAGATCAACGACCCTACACGTGCATTGACATTGCTTCGTGTCGACAAAAGTCAAACTATGCGAGCCGCTGTAGCGAAGGTGAAGGATGTAGGGTACATTGTAAACCATGGGAGAGCTGCGGAGATGGGTATGTCAGGACGGAGATTATGGGGATTGAATGGAAAGTCTAGTCAACGCTGTTTATGGGCGTGGAGGTGTATTTGGTACCACTGGCTTCACGGCAAGCGAAACGGTCGGGATCTGTTACTCTCGAATACGGAGACATAACCGCAGACCTGTGGGTGGTGTATTGCGATGCCTTGTTTTTCTTTTTTGAAATGGCAAAGCGTCGTCAGTTTTGACCATTATTCAATAACGAGCTTGTATCCAGGAAGAAGAAATCATGAAARTGAGTTGCCATTTAGAGCCCATCAAGACTTGTTGCTCGGAACATTCCATTTCGCAAATAGTGCGTCGTACTGTGCTACGTATGGCATGATGTTCGCGTCGAGAATTAAGTTGGCCATGTTCATGTGCGTTTGGCTGCCGCTGTCCGTTGCTCATTGATCTCGTTACACGCTCCGTGCTTCATGCATTTACTCCTTCGCAGCCTCGGCATCGCGCTCGTAGTGTCCGTATGTCGAGTATTTCCCGAAATGCTGTGGATGGACTATCAGCACAATCGAGGGAGGTTCAGGAGAAAGCATTGCTTACCTCGGGCAATGGTGCATCCTTGTATTTCCCATAGGAGTCTAAGAAGTCAGTAGCTGTCTCTATGTCTCATCTCAATTGAAGAAACTCACCGTACTTGCCTAGATAGCAAGGGTAGATTAGTTAGCGATGAGCTAGAAAGACCAATGTCTATGGGAGCTCGAGAGGCATGTTCGAATGATCCTGTATGCCTTCTGCCTTTATGTTACTCACCATAGTGTTCAGGCAAGGGCACATGCTCATATTCCCCTATTAACCAAGTCAATCGGGCTGTAGATCGTAGTAACTGCTCGTTACTGACCGTATGTTGCCACTGGGGTCTCCTTCTTTGGGCACGCGGTCGGGGCAGCCATCACACCGGAGACGGTGAGCGCCACAGCAAGGATTGCAATGACAGACTTCATGATTGAAACCGAACGATCGAAGTAGCAAGTGAAGGTTTCGAGTAGTGTATAGCGAAGGTTGTGTGTTGTACGTTCTGTCGCTATTCCTCCATGCGACCTGGGACAAAGCCGACTCTTGTATGTTCGCAGCAGCAACACGAGGTAGCTTCCAACAGCGTCAGCCCTCGCCTCCGGCTGCTACCCTGAACACCGTACGGTCAAGTAAGGTAGTCACGTCAGCCATTGTTTGCCAACACTGCAAGGCTTTTCACGCTATTGAAAGGCTGCAGCAGTCACCGCGGATGTCCAGTCGCCCGGATTAAGCGGTCGTTAGGGAAGACTTGGCGCCGGCGACCTGCCAAAAAATGAGCTTGGCAGAAGGTGAGGTGTCTCGGATGTGCACAGTCGATCTTGCGATGCTCTCATGAGATGCGGGGAATGATCCGTCGCCAACGGTATGCTGTAGGCGCTAGAACTAGTGTGTCTGGGCGTTGCGCGCATTGGCTGCGAGGCCGTGCCGCGTTGCGGCATGGCACGATACAACATCATCCTTCCCAGAATCGAAGGGTAAAAATACTCTCGTATTTGTTGGCGGCGTGAGAAGCTTGGAGTTACAGCAAGAAGATCCAGCCGAAAATCCTTGGATTGCGCCCTGCTCAATCTTCAACTTTCGCAAGCAACATTTCGATTGATCATTTGCCAGACCATGGCGGCCGTTCCATTATTAAAAGAAGAACCTCTGGGAGCCGGAGAAGAGTACGATGAGGTTGAGTCGTCAAGCGACGAACGGCAGGAGCGAAAACGTGGCCTGCGTGGGAACACCATCGGGTGGTTGATCTTTCTGGCATGTCTGCTGGGTTTGACGTTAGGAATTGCAGCTGGTGTCGCGACCTTACTCGTCTGGAGTTGGCGGCCTGAATCGAAATCATGCTTCCAGCAGTCGTCAATGCCCTCCCCTGTAGAGCGAGATGTCCCTATCGAGTATCACWCCCAGCAGTTCAACGGGTCCTTGATGATGGAGAACGTCTATCGCCGGCCGGGAAGTCCAGAGGTCGATGCGGCGTGGGAAGCTCTCGGAGTGAATTGTAAGTCGCGTTGTGATTTTCGCATACTCGGATTGACCAACTCTGAACAGATCGACCTTTGAGCGTGCCCTTGGAAGTCGGTCTCAAAACAGGATTGGCAGCGGATCAGGTGAAGGTCAATAGCAAATATGGTGGCGGATTTCCCGCGAATGTCGAAGGGCTTCATCAGCTACATTGCGCGGTTAGTCTTCTCTCATCATGTCTTCGAAGTTGAAATGCTAAGGAAATGCAGAATCTGGTAAGGAAAGCGCTGTACTACAACATCGATTACTATCGTGCGCAAGGAGAGGGCGCCTTTACGAACAACGAATACATAGTGCAAAAGCACGTCTGTAAGCTGACCTCTCTTCCTTTTGCATACATTACCGGTTCTGACTGGTTCGTTGACAGCGCATTGCCTCGACATCATACGGCAGCAGCTCATGTGCACCATCGATGTCGGAGTCCTCGGGCAAGTGTGGTTCCAGCCTGATGCAGACGAGTTGCCTTCAGCTTTTGTGGACTTCAACACGAAGCACACGTGTAGAAACTTCGAAGCAGTCCGCGAATGGGCCGAGGAACGCCAAATGCCGGATGATGTGCCAGATGATTGGCTGGAGCCACCCAAGCCAGGAGACCGCATTTGGGACACTGTGCCTTAGTAGAAGAGGTTCCGCAATGCATCATCATTCAAACAGAGATCTTGAAGAGCCACCAAAGTGGGTCACCTCGTTGAAGGGTTTATGGTGTCATGGCCCAGACCTGTCATAGTCTTCTGCTGCTGCAAAGACAAGTTGTGCCACTTTCGAAGTTGGCGCAGGTCAAGGGCAGAGCCTAGCAGAGTCGGTGTGGATGTTCAGACCTGGATCAATCGTAGCATGGGTGTTCTTCGAAGTGCCGTACGTACTGCATTGGTGGCCATCAGCCTGCGTCTGCGTTAGATCTTGATGACACCAATCTGTACAGTGAGTCCGGTAGCGCGAGTCGGCGGAGTGGGAGCATTTCGGAGAGTGAGGGAGACCAACGACAGAATCCAGCTTTGTAACTTCTCACGCTCGAGACTGATTGGGATCAATATCAGCAGCATCCAACTCTCATCAGACTTGTCAGTGCTGGTTCGGCATATCCCTGAGGTTACTACAATGAGGGGCGACCTCGGGAGTCCTCTCCGGCAAGATTCTGCGCGGCGAATTTGGCTTGAAAAACGGTGAAGTGGAGAGCAGACCGTGCAGGTTTCACCCACCACAGGCATGTCACCGGCGACGTTGCTGTGTGATGACTGTGTTAGATCTCCCATCGTGGCGGCAGGGCGCTCACGCTCATGCAGTTGCCGCAATTAGCGCGAGATGCTCTTGCGAAGCAGTCTGATGCTCTCGTGTTCCGCGCTCACGTAGAAGATGTTGGGTCAACAGTACCAAGCCCTTTCCACTGCGCTCGGTGCTCGCAGGTGCCATGCTCCGTCCATGATCATTGCCATGATGTAGATGCGAGATGGGAAACTCCCGCTGCGGAGAGCTCTGCTCCAACTCGTTCTTGGGAAGAGCTGTCGAGTTCCCAGTGGGCTCTGCCGCCACTAGCGGGTGTGGATTAGCAAAGGGTGCCAGAGGAAGAAGGTCCGCTGCAGATGTTGATCCTTGGTCGTGACTAGCGGGAACCATTGTCTGGGGTTTTGGACTTTTGTACTCCTACACACGTCCCCGCTTCCATCACTTTGGACGAGAGAGCGGCAGGCGACGATTGCAGCTCAAGCCGAAGTTTCTGCGCGGTCGCCCACCTCGAGTACTTAAGCAAGTTGGGTGTTGAGGTGCAATGTGGAGGAAAGAGCGAGTCGCCAAAGTCTGATCACCTCTTCCAATGTGATGTTGGTTTCAATTTCTTTAGCGCGTGGACCGTGCGTGCAGACAGATCACGTGGACCGCACGCTCTCCCATCAAGTCTTTCCTCTCACTTTTGCCACCGACCCTACAACATCTTCCATCCTCGACCCTGGCGCCGACATGCATCGGCTCTCGTTAGATGACAAGATGATGGATGCGAACTCCACGTCAGATGTGAGATGACATTGCGTATCATCCACACATACCATGCTCGACGTGCTGCAATTCCTGCAGTCAAACGGCCGCCATCTTGCAGCGAAATTCTGCGATCAGCGGGGAAAAATGCCTGGTGGGGAAGAAACCGCTGGCACGAAACATGGCACCACGACGAACGCCTTGAACGCGCACACACGCAAGTTGGAAGTCGGGCTTGATCGTTGTCGACGTTGATCGTTCACTCATCTGTTCACCAACTCGCCCTCACTTCCCATCAATTGCACCCCAGTCCTTGATTGCTTGATTGCCGAGCGTTGCAACTTCTCAATTTACATGGTCACAACGTTCACCTCCTAACACACTGCAACATGTCTATAAACACGACCACAACTCCATCTCTTCTCACTCATCCTCAGCATCCTCAGCATCCTCAGCATCCATCTCTCCAACGCAAAGGCAGCGATTCATCACACTCCTTCATCACACTCTTTAAATTAGAATCGCCGCCAATATGCGTGTCAACGCCGCCATTGTTKCCTCCCTCACCGGGGCTGCCCTTGCCTACCCCGTCCTCGAATCCTACAAGGAGGTCAAGGAGGTACGTCGGTCGATTCATCTTGGACGTACTTGTTACTGACCCTGTACAGGTTCAAGCTTATGGCGTAGACTCTCAGGCACACGCCTACACTGCCCCAGTGTACGGCGACAAGCCTTCTCACTCATCCCACCCTCCTGCTACCAAGTACAAGCAGGAGGATAAGTACGAGCACAAGGACGAGCATGCTCCCAAGTACAAGCACGAGGAGACCAAGCAAGAAAAGCCCAAGGAGACTCCCGTCAAGCAGAAGGAGACGAAGGATGACTGCATTACCAAGCGCAGCCTCCTCGGCCTTGACTTATCAGCCTGCAACAACGTGGGTGTTGATGGCTCGGTTGGTGAATCCGAGCAAGAAAAGCCCAAGGAGACTCCTTCCAAGCAGAAGGAGACCAAGGATGACTGCATTGCAAAGCGCAGTCTCCTCGGCCTTGACTTATCAGCCTGCAACAACGCGGATGTTAATGGCTCGGTTGGTCAATCTGAGCAAGAGAAGCCTAAGGAGAAGGAGACTCCTTCCAAGCAGAAGGAGACTAAGGATGACTGCATCGCAAAGCGC